GGGGGGGGGGCCCAATCGACAAGAACAACAACCATCTCCCGGGGACCTTTTCCCGGTTCAACGAAACTATCATTCCAAGACCGGCGTTCGTGGTAAGGACGGGTTCTCGCCGGGGACACTTTCAGATTCATCGAGACAAGCTCGCCGCACGTAGGATCTTTGAAGCACAATTTTAATTTGTAGCTGTGTTTATTTACATCGTCATCTTATCTTTTGACTGGGGTTGAATGTGTGCGAGAATATTGTTCCTCTTCTCGTCTTTGATTTTTCTCGAGAGCTTTCCGCTTCTTCTTTTCTACCCCGGGACGTGCATGGCGGGCACCACCCCGAAGGATGCCACGGGCTGCTTGTCCATCACGTCAAAGATCTTCAAGAAGCTCTCGGTCTGTCGCTTCATGGCATTCAAATCGACCAACTCGCTTTCGTCAAAGTCGTCTGGCCAAGCGGCGAGCAGATACAAAGGGCTGGTGATCATGGACATGTTGGGGATCTTGACCACGGTGAACGGCTCGCCCTCGCCGGACTGGACCCCTTTCGGGATGGGATCGTTGATGCGGACGAACCCGGGCACGGCCCCGTTCCAGAGTCGCTGTGTGATGTTTTTGACCTCGACCGTGTTGGCGTAAAGGAGCTCGTTGGTCTGGTTGCCCTGCGAGTAGTACCGGCCCGTCGCTAGATCCTCGACCCAGTCTATGGCACCCAGGTGCTCGACGCAGGAGCTGGCCACGGCCTTCAACCCGCCCTTGTCCCCTCTCCAGAACTGCGGGTTGTCGTCCAGCCATCTCGTCGTCGCTCGCCCTACGGGGGAAAACGCCGGTTGGTGCATGTGGCCAGTGATGAAAAGGAGGATGGTCGTCCGCTCGGGCGGGTTCACCACCAGGTCCTGAGCCTTCTTCAAGAGGGTGATGTGGCCGTTCTCTTCCACCGCATTGATGCCGTCCGTGTGGGTGTTGATGATGACCGACTCGTTCTTGAACTTGGTCCCTTCCACCAGCGTCCAGATGGTCCGAGTTTGGGTATTGGGAATCAGCTGGCCGGTCAGGGTGAGAGTCGCCGCCGCGCCGTCCTTGGCCGCCTGGAGGACCGTCTGCCCAGCGTCTCCCGCGACGAACACTGTCGGCATGCCCTGGAACAGTCGCTTGAACGGGACATATTGACCCCGGGCGTTGCCGACCGTCATGTGTTCCCAAACGTAGATGACGCCCTTGACCCCCGCCTTGGCGGCGTCGGACACGTTGGCCACTTTTTGGTCGGCCGTCAGGTACGGCTCCCCGGTGCTGACATACCACTCGGGCTGGCCCGGCCAGACGGCCAGTGTCTGGCTCCAGTTGAGCGCGCTGTTGGTGATGTTCAACACCGCGATTTTCCCCGCCGCTTTGCTCCAGTCCGGATGGATCGAGTGGCCGGTCAAATCGACCAGAGGGCCCGAGACCCCGCTCTCGTTGGTGAAGCCCCCGTAGGGGGCATAGGACGAGATTTCGACGGGCTTGCCCGCCACGCTCAGACTCGGCGGGGAGAGCGGCTGGTCCAGATACGTGAAGTTGTAGGTGTTGTTGTACACGGTCAGGCCAAGGAGCTCGAGCTCGGACTGAATGTGGTCGATCAGCTGGTTCTGGCTCGGGGTGCCTGTCACCCGGGCTTTCAGGTCGGCGAGGAGTCTGACCTCGGCCTCATACCAGGCCAAGTCCGAGACGTTGGCGGCGCCCGTGCTCAAGAGCGGCCACAAAACGAATGCCGCGAGGACAGCGACCAGTCTCGAGAGTGTGAGCATCTTCAAGTCTTCGGAAAGGAATTCACCCAGACGGAAAGCTGAAGTATGGGATAATTACTTTCTTGGGGGAGGGGAAAGGGGACACCATCTCGCTCTTTTATACGCTTGTACGTTGCTAATGGGGACATCTGAAGCCCCACGATCCCCGCAGGTCCCCAGAATTCGCCTATGCTGAGTCGGTATTGTCATCCGACAAACACACGCTGGTCTGCCCAGTTCCCTGCCGAACTTCCGGTGCAATTCGCTCCAATCCGATCAGAGTTTGGATTGGGGTGGAATATTGTTGTTCTCTTTCAGACCGCTGAGCCAATGGTCCTGGTGTGGGTTTGGCCGGACCGGCCGGACCTTATCGGCCCTGTCTCTCTTCTCCATACTGGACTCAGACTCCACACCGACTATACCCCGGCTATGAAGCCTCCGATTTGGACAGACCCCGAGATGGATGTTTCGATGGCATGCTTCCCTCTACGCGGGGTGCCAGGGGGCCTGCCAGGCGTGAAAGCAGATGAGACTTATAAAAGCGCAGCCGCCATTTGCATTTACAGACATTCAGGAGTTCAAGCAGCCCGCGGCGTCGAACACGTATCCATTTTGCTCACCTTTCTTGTGAAATACAGCAGTCCATCATGAAGCACGACGACCAGACCCACCGTGTCGAGACGGCTGACCAGAATGCCGCAGAGCATCCTGTGAATCGGAGCCTGTTTGGCCACGGGCCTCTGGCCCATGTGCGCACCAGCGACTCCGCCACCCTTCCAGGTACGAACGTCCTGTTGCTGCGCATTTTCGTGTATCCCGGCAGAGTACTGACGACTGCTGCTAAGCTTTCGGAGGGGAAATGCAGCCTGGACTGTACCGGTCGGTCAAGGAGCGGAAATTTGCCAATCCAGCGCCTCTCGGACTATCAGCCTTTGCTTTGACGACGTTCGTCCTCAGTCTCATCAACTTGGAAGTTCGAGGTCTTTCAGAGCCCAATATCGTGTGCTCACTCGCTTTCGCATACGGGGGCTTGGTCCAATTGCTCGCAGGCATGTGGTAAGTGGCACATGCCGCGATTGCTGTTCAATCGCAAGGAGCTGATTTTTCTTGGAATGTTGCAGGGAAATGGCGGTTGGCAACACGTTTGGCGCCACGGCCCTGTCCTCTTACGGTGGTTTCTGGATTGCTTTCGGCATCATCCTCACACCGGGTGGCTTCGCCATCGAGTCCAGCCTAGAAGAAGTCCCTGGGGGGAAGGCTCTGTTCGATTCTCTCGGATTTTTCTTGATGGTACGTGACGGCGAGTCTGCAGCGAAGATCAAAATGCGGAGTCGAAAGAGTCTAACATGAGACAGGCGTGGTTCATCTTCAACACACTCCTCCTGATGTGTACCCTAAAATCCACTTTGGCGTTCTGCTCTTTGTTCTTCATACTCGACGTGACACTTCTGCTTTTGGCTTGCGCATACTTGAACCCCCAGAACGGCGCTCCTCACAAAGGTCTTCTACACGCAGGTGGCGTCTTTGGGTTGATAACCGCCTTCTTGGCCTGGTACAATGCGCTTGCTGGGATTGCTGATACCTCCAATAGCTTCTTTATCATCCCAGTTGCACATTTTCCCTGGTCCGAAAAGAGCAAGGCCGGTTCTCGGCCTCGCCACACTGAGCACGGGGCTTAGATTGTACATAAGGGGGCAAATGGTGGTGTTGGGAGCAGCCGCGCCTCATCACAAATACTCAGTGTCATCAGTCGGTTTTTCGTTTGGCGGACAGGCAGTGGCTCTCAGTGAAAGTAGAAAATGAGAAAAGGTCTCCGACACAGACATGGTTAAATGGTCCTGTCGGTGAAAAGAACGATAGTGATGTCCTAGCGGACTGGCAAACTCTGCGCTTTCAAACTGAATCTCTGCTCGTCGTATGTCTAAGCAGGAGTAAATTGCAAGATCCTTGAAAGTCAGTCTGGTGATGGTACACGGCACGCTCTCTTCCAACAACTGCATTTGATCGACGGCGCTCTGCATTGATATAACTTCATTGTCATCGTGGCAGAGTTTGCTCGGAGTATAGACTGGAGTGCCAAACCAGTCATGTTGGTGAAAGTCAGCTCTAGCGTGGAGCAGCATTTCTGTCATTTCTTGCCCTTGATTCGGACGACTCTCAGCTGTGCAATGAGGTCTCGTCCAAAGCCGTTAATATTCGACATTGACTTGTTGAAAGCTGTTCCAGAAGCGTAACCATAAGCTATTCTGTGCTTAGAATTCTTGATGCCTCGGTGGTTGGTTGGTTGGTTGGTTGCTGCCTAGGTAGGTAGGTAGGTAGGTAGGTTTCGGGGGGCTGCTGCCTCCAAGCCACCCGCCAATTAAGACTCTTGCGCAAGCCTAGCTTAGGCACCAAGTTAGGCTCCCTAGGCTCACTTGGCCCCCCAACGCCCAACCTACTTACCTAGGAACTTACTTAACCTTGCATGTACAGTAGGTACGATAACCCTGTCGTAGGTGGCCATCTCGAAATCGATTCTCTTCTCCCTTCTCCCTCCCCTGGTCTGTTCCGCTTTATTTTTTCCATCCCATTCGATCCGCCTCAACTTCCCACTTCAATTGCTGGCGGCTTATAAACTGCAAACAAATGACGGATGCGTCTCTCTTAGAATCTGCAGGAAACCAATGGAGCATCCATTCAGCGGGGATCTAAGGCTGATGGACGAAATGATTCGGCCACGTTATGGGTTGCTGCATCCTCCCCCTCAACGAGACTGGTCATTGACCATCAGTTAACGCCGGCCCTCAGCCTCACCTCGAAATATCAGAGACAAACGTGCCTCTAGCCTCCCGGCAAGAGACAGGGGCCTAGGGTCACGTCGTGGCAAAAGAACGCCCTCTGAGCACTGCCTTTAAAGATCAAATGGCCGGCCGGGCACATTCGTGGACGGAGTCAGCCTCACTTGACCAGTTCCCAACCCTATGTATGCAGTTACTCAGCCAGAAGACCTTTCATGTCGGCAACCCTAGCCGGAATGGTGCCAGACCTGCCTGCATGTCATCTGGAAGATAAGGAGATGCTTCTTCCGTCTATGCTGCAAACGCAGTTACTGAGAAGGTGGACGAATGGATGGCTGCAGGGGAAGCCCGGACTGCAGCTCGCCACGGACAGGCAGGCACTGCCATTCAGACGACCCAGAATCCGACCTGCCCGGACCCTCTGAACCACCCTCTTACAGCCTCACATTGCGGTACGGCCTTGTATAAGGACACCTCTCTGCAGTCTCTGCCAATACTGCCAGAGGTTTTCTACCGTTTGTCCCCAGGAAGAACATCTTCTTTTGCTGTCTCTTATCAGGGTTCAATCAAAGCCTTACAGGATGATACCGCAAACTCAAGCAAACCAGACGCCTCGGAAGGTTTGCTGGAGGTTTATCAATACTGGCCGTTGTCGTTACGGGACCCAGTGCTCATTTCATCACGTTGCTGCCGGTGGCCCTTCCCAAAGTCTCGCAAATACTGCCCAGCACCCGTTTAACCGATCACGGCGAGCGAGAAACGAGCCAGACGACAAATTCGGGGCTTGGAAACTGTCCGTTCCTAAAGGCACAAACAGCTTCTCTTCTACGCCTCTTCCCCCCCTCTTCTTCCAAAATGCTCTCACATTTGTGGGCTCAGAAGTTGGAGTAATGCAAGAGACGGTCCTCATCCTGGCCAAAGACGGTGGATTACAACGAATAAAACAAGTGGTCGAGCGCAACATGGAAGGCATGAGCTTGGAAACGCGCTGGAAAACAATCAAAGAGCAAGCCATCCCACTGTGTCAGGTCATCACTCATCCGCACGTCCTTGCGTCCACCTTGCTCGACATCCATCTTGGGACCATCTACAACTTCATCTACGGTGTCCAAGGCCAGCGTGCTGTACACTTCTTCAAACTTCTTGTTGCTACTCTTGCAGACCACAAACAAGTCGACATTTTGCCCTCGGAAATTGAAGCGGTCGTTAGAGCGTTCTCGAAAATCATTGACTGCAACACTCACGCCTTGGTGAATGACGACCTCAGGCCGCTTGCGGATACCCTTTTTGACACGGTAGCCCAGATTGATGAAGGCGAAGCCCACGAGTCAAGAAGACTAGTCAACCGCATTAATCAACGATTAGGGATCGGTCGAGAGCTGACAGGTTGGAAGCCTCCAAAGACAACTGCACCTCCAAGGGCCATTTTCACGCTTCAGCAAGACCTACCTGGGAACCTATCCAAGGACGGTCCGCGCCATGACAACGACTGCGTGAATGCCTACGACATACAGATCATGCCCACATTTGAGGAAATCAATGCAACACGCCCTGAGTATCTACCTTCCATGGGTCAGCAGGATTGGCATCTCCCTGGAGTGTCAGGACTTCTGGACCGACACTTCCGCCTTCTTCGAGAAGATACGGTTGGACAGCTAAGGGATGCCGTGAGACAAGAAGTGCAAGCTTCCTACAGCCCTAAAATGGGAGGCAAGCGTCAAGGTCCGCGAAAGTTGACATACGACAACGCCCAGGTTGTGAAACTTGATTTCAGTAGATGGCAGGGCTTGCTGATCACGATTGGTTTTGATCAGCCCTCCCATCTTCGACAACGCTCAGTTAAACAGAGGAAAGAGTGGTGGGAATTTCAGAAACGCCTCCGCATGGGTTCCCTCCTTTGCCTCCTTTCCAATGGTGCTTTGATATTCTGTTCGGTCATTGAACGCAGACCAACCAAACCTTCGGCCATAACAGACGACTCTTCGAGTTCGGGAAATGAGCAAGTTTCAAACAAATCTGAACAGCCTCTAGACCTGTTCTCAGACCCCCTTCGAGCCTTTACCACTGTCTCGCTCGTTGGTGACGCCACAGAAGACGTTCTAGGACTCATGAAAGCTTCTACTTCCGCACCTGCCAGGATAGTCGAGTTTCCCGGTGTTTTATTGCCTTCATTCGAACCAACCTTGCACGCTTTACAAGGGATGCTTCGCAATACCGAGATACCATTCTCAGACTACCTAGCACCTGAACCTCAGGCAGATCTATCGATGATTGCGCCTCCTTACTATGCCACTAAGCCCAATTTTGAGTTCGACCTCAGCTGCGTCATGAAAGACAAGAGCCCGATGAGAATCGCCGTCAATGATGAGTCCAACCATGAGGCATTCCGTGAGAACTCCGTTCTAGATAGAGCTCAGGCTGACGCACTCCTCACATCTCTCCAACGCTCTCTAGCTCTAATTCAGGGACCTCCGGGCACCGGTAAGAGCTTCACTGGGGTGGCACTCATCAAAGTCCTGCTGGCAATACAGGCACGTGCTAAGCTTGGTCCGATTCTGTGTGTGTGCTATACCAATCATGCACTTGACCAACTCCTGGAAGATCTAGTAAGACAGGGCATTGATCAGATTGTCCGCGTTGGATCCCAGTCAAAGTCCGAGATGTTGCAGGACTGCAATCTCCGCATTCTGGCTAGCAAGATCGATTTGACCAAAACCGAGAAACACGAGCACTGGGTTCTGAAGTCGAAGCTTGACGAAGATGAGCGCGCCATATCCAAGGCCATCAAGAGACTTTCGATTAAAGGAGACGTTGCAGCAATCCGAAGCTACCTCGAGATCTATCATCCCACGTCTTACTTGACTCTTTTTGCCGGAGGCCAGGACGATGACGGCTTTCAGAGCGTTGTCTACAACAAGACGTCTCTGTTAAATACTTGGCGTAAAGGTGACTCGCACCAGGGCCCTGTCCGCCCGCTGCGGACTCTACTTGAAGAATCACGTATCCACTTTCTGAATCATCCCGAGAGGCAGCGGTTATACCATCACTGGCTAGCAGAGTCGAAAAAGGCAGCCCAGGCCGCATTGTTGACTGCGCTAGCAGAATACAAGGAGCACAAGGAACAGTTCGACCAGGTCCGAGCAGGTGTTGATCTTCGATGTTTACAACAAGCCAAGATCATTGGTGTAACGACAACGGGTCTGGCAAGAATATCACCGCTTCTTAGAAAGCTCAATTCCAAGGTCCTTGTCTGTGAAGAAGCAGGAGAAGTGCTCGAAGCCCATATTCTGACCGCGCTCCTGCCGTCTTTGGAGCACGCAATCTTGATCGGCGACCATCTCCAACTTCCTCCACACATCCAAAGCTACGAACTTTCAAGAGAGTCTTCTTCTGGAAAGCGACACTCCTTGGATATATCGCTGTTCGAAAGACTCGTGACGCCTTCATGCTCGACCCAGACCGCGGTACCATACAGCACACTGGAGACACAACGCCGAATGCACCCGTCCATCTCTGAACTCATCCGCAATACGTTATATCCACGGTTGTGTGACTCCTCGGTGGTCGAGACATATCCACCGGTGACTGGGCTGGCCAAGAGACTCTTCTGGTTTGACCATGCACACTTTGAGGATGGTGCTGTAACTGAAACGGATAGTACGACTTCCCACTCAAATACCTTTGAAGTCCAGATGGTGACTTCACTGGTATCCCACCTGGTTAGACAGGGCGTTTATCAGGCAAATGATCTAGCTGTCCTCACTCCCTACCTTGGCCAACTTCAGAAGATCCGCAGAGCATTGCAAGGGTTGTTTGAGATCTCTTTAACCGAAGGCGACATTCTAGAGTTGGAAAAGGACGAGGTTGGCAAGGAGAATGCCGAACCTGGGCACAGTGCCGCACCCACACTACAAAAGACCCCTCTTTCACGCGCGCTCAAAGTGTCTACCATTGACAACTTTCAGGGAGAAGAGGCCAAAGTCGTTATCATCTCTCTGGTGAGGAGCAATGACCAGAAAAAGTGTGGATTTCTCCGGACTTCGAACCGAATCAATGTCCTGTTATCCCGCGCCAAACATGGAATGTATATCATTGGCAATTCACGAACTTCAGGTCATGTCCAAATGTGGGCGTCTGTGATTGACATGCTTCAATCTGGAGACAATTTCGGCGAGTCCCTTCAGCTCCAGTGTCCTCGCCATCCACAAGCCACGTTCTCTGTCTCCAAACCGGACGACTTTGCCATCTTCTCGCCTGAAGGAGGGTGCAACCTGCCGTGCGAAATGCGCCTGAGCTGTGGGCATTCATGCATCAGCAAATGTCATTCACAAATGCTACACAGTGCTGTCAAATGCCTCGAGCCATGCCCCAGACCTTTGAAAGGATGTGAGCACATGTGTCCGAACAAGTGCGGAGATCCCTGTCCTGCTAGATGTCCAGAGGAGCTACACAACCTCCAGCTCACCCTGCCTTGCGGGCATATGAGAGATACTCTACCTTGTTGGCAAGCTCGAGAACCTTCTCAGATTGTCTGCAGAGACAACGTTACTCGAGTTGTCCCTGGTTGTAACCATAAGATTGATCTCGCATGCTGCGTGGACGTCAAAACTAACAACTTTAGCTGCACAGCTGGCTGTGGTACGGCCCTTCCGTGCGGTCATACCTGCCCGAACCCTTGCAACACGTGCAAGAAAAGAGAAGATGGCAAAATCATTCAAGAAGACCATCAGACCTGCCGGCAGGCTTGCGGCCGTGCCTTCAAATCATGCAGACACTTGTGTAGAGAACGATGTCACGGGGATCGCCCTTGTCCTCCGTGCCAAGCTCCTTGCGAAGTGTCATGTCCTCACTCGAGGTGCACGAAGCGCTGCCATGAGCCATGTGTTCCGTGTGCGGAGGAGCAGTGTCCTTCACGATGTCCTCACAGTGCTTGTACCCTTCCTTGTGCAGCGCCATGTGACTGGATACCATGTTCAAAACGCTGCACCAACAAATTGGCTTGCGGACATCAATGCCCTTCGCTTTGTGGCGAGATCTGTCCACCGTCGAACTACTGTCAGGTCTGTGCCCCTGAAGACGTCAAGAAGATGGTGGTCGATTTGTTGTTGATGGAGGAGTACCACGAGATCAATCTTGATGAGAACCCATGCATAATCCCTCCCTGTGGTCATATCCTAACCGTGGAAAGCATGGACGGTCAGATGGAAATGTCAAAGCATTATACGACTGATGGAGCGGAGGTCTCTATTATTGACTCGTCTATTCCGTTTTCAAAAGACGAGCTCAAGGTCTGCAGCAGCTGTCGAGGGCCGCTGCGGACCATATCGAGGTACGGCCGCATAGTTCGAAGAGGACCTATTGATGACGCGACCAAGAAATTCATTACATCGGCGAACCAACAATTCCTTCCATTGTATGAGTCAGTTCACCAGCATCAAGCTGACTTGGCTGGGTCATTCAAAGACGTCCCTTCTCTGGGGAACAAAATGAATACAGATAAGCTCACACTGTCAGGTGGACGCAAGGAGCAAATCAAGCTGATACTCAAGCTCGCCCATGGTAAGCGGTACTCTTCGATCGCAAAGACCCGCAACCGGATCATGAAGTATCTTCAACAGGTCGGTGTCGAAGAACAGCCTTTCAAACGAGTTTGGGACATGGTGCAGTTTGCTCGAAGACAAGGCAAAACCAACAGCGACGTCGAGTTCGACCACACCGTTGTACAGACCAGCCAGACTTTACAGGGCGAATCGCTGCTGCTGAGATGCGAGCTGGTCATATTGTCAGACTTCTTGGCAACGTTTGGTTCCAGCTTGCAAGATGTCAACCTAGAATCCAACAGGGTCGACTGCCTGAAGGTTTTAGCTGCTGCTCGGGAGGCTCGTCAACCGGCTGTGGAGGTGGAAGCTCACACATTCTACGCCCAGTGCTGCCTGGCGGAGCGGACCTACAGCAGTCGGTCGGACATCTTGATGGCCCTAAGCAAAGAGGCCACCGAGCACATCGATGCGGCAAAGGAGGTGTGCGATCTGCATCCAGAGCCGACCAGACATGTAGTGGGCGAGGTGAAGACCGTCGAGGGAATGCTCGAATCCTCGACGTTCACGACCGTGGTAAATGACGCCGAGTGGAGGCTTGTGATCAATGCGATGGCAAGTGGGTTCCGTGGATCAGGGCATTGGTATACCTGCGCCAACAACCATCCGTTCACCGTCGGCGAATGCGGCATGCCGATGCAGAGAGCACGTTGTCCTCAATGTGGCGCTCCGGTGGGCGGGCAGGACCATACCCCTGCCGAGGGCGTTCGACGTGCGACAGATCTCGAGAATAGATTTTCTGACTTGAGACTCTGAACGGGCATGTGCTGAAGTGGCTACATCTGGGAGGGGGAATGTGCAACTGCTCGCAAGGGATGGCTGGTATAGTGGAGTTTGTGAAATATGGCTGTATGACTACGGGCGATTGGGCGTGCAGTCGCATTGTGACCTACAACGAATGCCTCTTGCCGGCGCTGTATCAGTGGATAGTGAATGGATGTGACGCCTTGGAGCTCGGTGAACTTTTGGGAAACTATATCCCATCCATCCTCTGCCATTTGATATTGCCGCCAAGTATTTCGCTAAGGATGTTAGGCCTCGTGTAAGCCCCTAGCTCTCGAGATCTACCACTACAATCTCGCCCTGCAGCCACCAAAGTCAAATGCTGTGCCTGCCGTTAGTCAGCGCCTGTTCGTCATTTGGCGAAGATCAGGAGGTGTAACTGTAACTGTGCGCCTCTAAAATCTCACTCGAGGATGGTACTGACTTCATTGTACTCCATTTCCAGACCCAGTCGAGTCGCTGAGCCCGGAAACAAGCTCCACGACCTGACTACGTCGTTGGAGCCTCGATATAAACCACAGATGTGCAAAGTGCAAAACACACACTAGGGGGTAGACGAATCCGTTGTCCCGCCAAACTACCCAGGATCAGAGTTGGTCGTGCTTTCAAAAGTCACGATGGGAGCCGAAGGAATGCTATCACGACGGCTCGACTGCGGCAGATGGCCCAGTTTGCCGTGCTGCTGCTGGAATTATAAATGGAAGACTGCCGCTGGGAACAGGATGCTCTTCCCAGACTGCAAGATCAAGAACAAGTTCCTTGTTATACTCGAGCAACAAGGCGTTGTGACTGCAGCAGAGGGGCCCGCAAAACGAATATGTCGACTCTTCGAAAACACAATCTGCTCTCGATCCTGATCTTCGCAGTTGCAGCTCTGGTTTCACCCTCCGAGGGAGCTCCAAGCAGCAAGACAGCATGTGCGGCGCTGACCAAACCAACCATCCCCGGAGCAAGCGTGCTATCGATCCAGTCACAGCATCTTCCCAACGCTACGGTGCTTGCCAGCCCTCCGCTTCTGAACAGTAACTTTACGGGACTTGACCTTTGCAGTGTGGATCTGGTGATCTCGCACCACGGCGTCAACGACAGAGTCAAGATAAAGGTGTGGCTGCCGTCGACCGGATGGAACCGACGCTTCGTCGGAACAGGAGGATCTGGATATGCCGCGGGATTCTTTGAATACAGCCTGGCCCCGGTGGTGGCACTGGGCTATGCCGCCGCATCCACGGATGCAGGCCTTTCGGGAGATCCCTATAGCCCGGCGCTGTGGGCTCTGCACCCTAACGGCACTGTGGACGAGGACCTCTTGCTGAACTTTGCCTCGAGATCCGTGCATGACATGGCTGTGGCGGGCAAGGCGGTCGCAGCACAATACTATGGCAAAAAGCCAGCCCACTCGTACTGGAACGGGTGTTCGACAGGTGGAAGACAAGGCTTGGTGGCAGCGCAGAGGTATCCCAAGGACTTTGACGGGATCGTTGCCGGAGCACCCGCGATCGACTGGACCAGGTACGTGGTCGCAGAGCAATGGCCACAGGTTGTCATGAGAGAGGAGGGGACCTACATCAGCCAATGCGTCCTCAAATCCTTCACCGATGCGAGCATCGCTGCGTGCGACTCTCTTGACGGCGTGGCCGACGGCGTCATCACAGACCTGCAACTCTGCAAGTTCGACCCGCTCAGCTTGGTCGGGACCAGCGCCCAGTGCGACGGCGGCAGGGAGAACATCACGGCGGAAATGGCCAGCGTCGTCGCCAAAATCTTAGCAGGGCCCAAAGGACCCGCGATCGCCCATCCTTACGCCCTGAACCCTGGCGCTGCACTGGACAGTTTGGCCAACACGACAATCGCCAATGGAACTCGAGTCGGACTGCCCTTTTTTGTGAACGACGCCTGGATCAAATACTTCGTCAAGAAGGACCCCGACTTCGACACGGGCAGCATTGGATACTCAGCCTTCGAAGCAATCTTCAATCAGTCCCAGCGAGAGTTCGGTCCGGTCATGGGCTCTTATCAGCCCGATCTCTCTGCATTCCGCTCCGCTGGAGGGAAGGCGATTGTGTGGCACGGCCTGGCCGACCAACTGATCTTCCCGCGCGACACCGTCGCCTATCACCAGAAAGTGGTCCAGACCCTGGGGAGGAACGCGTCCGCGGTCGCCGAGTTCTATCGCACATTCCTCGCCCCGGGCGTCGATCATTGCGGCGCAGGCCCGACACCTGGGGCTGTGCCAGCCGACCCGCTCTCGGCGGTGGTGGCCTGGGTCGAGGAGCAGAAGGCGCCCAACGTCTTGGAAGCTCGCAGGGTGGAAGCGGACGGGACGGTGATCACGAGGAACTTGTGTCCGTTCCCCTCGACATCGCGATATCGGGGCGCGGGCGACAAGAGCCTGGCGAGCAGTTATACCTGTGCGTGATTGGGCTCGGTCGAGGGCTGGGACAACAGGATGGATGGTAATCTTGTACCAGAGGACTGGATTTCGCGGTAATTCTCAGCCATCGCAGCATAGAGGAGTCCGAGGAGAAAAGAATGCCTTTTTCATGGAAACCGAGTAGATAGTTGTCGCTTATTCATGATGTTGAACCAGCTCTCGGCCTCGCTCATGGCCTCGCTCATAAGCATGGCCCGGTCGGCTTTACAACTAACGCGCTCCACGGGCAGCAAGGCTTGGGGAGGTGACTGCAGGTTACACCAGTAGCAGCAGCATTTTCTAAGAGCGGTAATTGCAGCTGCTCGGTCGTGCTCTGATGCAACGACGTTGAACGAGCCATGGCCTTCATCTGTTTGAGCGGAATGGAGACTTGTCGTACTCTTGTTGCTGATCGTGGATGGGACTATGGTACAAGTATATAAACACACCCGAAGGACCTCCTTTGTCGTAGCAGTCCAGTCCAACCAAGTCACAGATATCTCAAGGTGGGATTTCGAAAGAACAGCGCCTCACCCTCTACATAGGAATTCCTTTTGCATTGAGACTTATCATTAGTATGGCCACCGAGTCCCCCTTTTGGCGTCCCATCGACATTTGCCAAACGGCATTGCTCCTCAGCGACGTGCAGACCCAGCTGCTTTCGCACATGCCGCAGCATGAGCAGGACGAGTATCTCTCGCGGGTGCAACAACTGCTGCAGTCATTCAGAACCTACATCTCAAAAGCCCAGACCCAAGGGAAGAGAAACGACGGAATTCCCTTGATCATCCATCACGTTGTCTCGGTGGACTTTGCGACCATGAATCTGAGCCCGTACAACAAAATCAACAACTGGGCGCTGAGACGGCTGCATGCTGCTGGCAACGCCTCGAAGGCAGCATCAAATGCGGACCCAGCAGCCACGGTGCCGGAATCATTGCGCCCCGGTCACGGCTGGACTGTGAACGAATTCGTCCTCACGAAGCAGGCGCCCAGCTGCTTTGCGTCGTCGGCCCTCCTGAAGATCCTCGCCGCCCGGGGAATCAAGCACGTAGTCCTCGTTGGTCTGACCACCGAAGGGAGTGTCTTGAGCTCTGTCAGACACGGCGCGGACTTGGATTTCCACATTGTTGTGCCGGAGGAGGGCGTGTGGTGCGACGACGCGCAGCTTGAACAGACGGTGTTGGAGAGGCTGATCCCAAGGTTTGCGGATGTGTGCACACTCGCGGACGTTGAGGGTTTGCTTCCATGAGGGAGTCAGTCCATCAGTCCAGTAGCCCTTGGACCGGTATCACTGGAGAGAGTCCTGCCCCTAGAACGTGTCAGCCTCATCACGTGGCGGTTGCAGGGGACGAGTGATTTTTGTATTCCTATACATAGGCAATGGTTCGCAATATAGTCAAGATCAATGGTATGCGTGATTTGGTGTGTGGAAGACCGCGGTCTGCGCTGGTGAAGAGACGCGGGGAAACATCGGAAACAGCCCGGCAGCCCAGACGAGGCTCGAGCTTGCGTCGTACCCCGCAAAGCTGAAAGATTCACTTCACCCACTGACCATCTATCACTGACCACAATTCCCATGTGCTCTTCTTCTTGATCTTCGAGGGCAGTGCCTGGTCGTGCTATCTGGCTATCTGGCTATCTGACAAGTGGCTAGATCCGAGTATCACCACCTCCTGTTCCTGTTCAACGACTCCCCGTCCGCCTTAGCCCCGTCAGCCGAGAGCGAAAAGAGGAGGGAAGATACAGAGACAGGGTCATGTTCCGGCAAGCCAGGCCGACAACAACTCACTCTGCCTCCCTACTACTCCCCCCGTCGCTTGTGCCGTCGACTGCTCCATGCCAGGTGCTAAGATAGGAGAGTCCATTGATCCACCAGAACAAGCATGCATCAGCCTGATCGAGTCGTGGACGATGTCCACTCCGCCCATCAGACCGACCGGGCCCAACAACGTCGCCAAAAGGCTGTCGACCCCGACTGGACCAGTGCCAAAAACGGCATCTCCCAAGCTGACCAGGCCTCCGAGGCCAACGATCCTCCCAGCAAACGACGACGAGTCGCGCTGGCGTGCACCGTCTGCCGTGGGCGGAAATCACGTGTGAGTTTGTGGCTTTCTTGCATCGTGCCAAAACGAGCACCGTCGACGAGCGTTGCGTAGACTCGGACTAACCTGGGCAACTTTGCTAGTGCGATGGCATGCGCCCCAAGTGCTCGCTGTGTATCGAGTTGGGGTTTGAATGCGTCTATCAACAGTCTGCGTCATATTCAAACATCATCATCGGCAAGGAGTGAGTCAAGATCTTAGTCGCCAAGTACGTCGATGTTGATCCACCTGTCAGGTATTTGTCGTCGATCGAGGACAGATTAAAGGAGGTAGAAGGCCGGCTCGCTTCTCTCGAGCACCGTGAGCGTACAGCTGTCTACCAACCGGCCCGTCCGAACGTCTCAAATGGCGTCTCTCGCTCAGATTTTGCACAGCCGGAGACCGCCTGCTTGCGGGAAGAGAGCCTCGAAGATGCCGAAACCGTCGAAGATCCCATCGATGCTATGGGGGCGGTCACATTTGCGCAGGAGGAGGACTGCGCATTCTTTGGGCCTTCGTCCAATATTGCCTTCCTTCGACACGTCTCGAGGGCTGTGGCCCGGTTAACTCACGACCCTGAACCCTGGAAACCGTCTCCGGCAGAACATCACTCGGTGGGATTTACTGGTGGGTTCATCAATACTTCTGGCCCTGCGTCGCCCATTCCGACGCCCCACGACCCCCCTCTTGAGCAGGTGAACATCTACGCCCTTCCTCCCGACTCGGTGGCTCGTGAGCTCCTCAACTGGTATTTCAGCAACACTGGCTTGCTATTTCCTTATATCAACGAGCAATCGTTCATGGCAACATTTGAACAGGCAAGCAAGGATAAGTTCAAGGGCGTCAGGAGAGTTTGGCTTGCCTTGCTAAATATCGTCTTCGCTCACGCCATGGTGCATGCACGAGAAAACACCACCACTCCGGGGAGCGTCGAGTCGACCGCGGCAAAAGCCAGCGCAGAGTCAGAGATATACTTCCGGAGGGCTTCAGGCCTCTTCAACGAAAAGAACGCGAACGGGACCGGGACTAGTGTCGAAGTTGGTAAGTTGTTGGCTTGTCCGGTCTATCTTGACCTCACGAGGATGCTCACCGAAAACAGTGCAGTTCCTCCTCCTCATGGGCCAGTATCTGCAGGGAACGCAGAAATCAGTGCAGACGTGGAAGACACATGGTCTTGCAGTGCGAGCGGCATTTCAGATCGGTCTTCACTCCAGTGATCTGGCCAGAGTTTTCCCTCCACTCGAGCAGGAGGTACGGAAAAGGACCTGGTTTGGTTGTATCATGCTCGACCGGACCTTGAGCATGACCTTTGGACGGCCACCAGCAATCCCTGACAGCTACGTGCAACTTGAGCTGCCGGTGGGATTCTCCGCTGTGGACGGTGGATCTGCAGCGACCGACAAGAAGGAGGCCTTGAGCATTGCCTTCTTCAACGGTACCATGTAAGTTGAACCGCCAGAAAGTCCTTTCCGCTTTTGGTACAAGCTAAACCTGTCGCGCTCTACAGTACGCTCTATAAAGTGCTGTGCACCATCATCGACTCGCTTTACGGCCAGAATCTCGCTTGCTCATTCAAGGCAAACGCCGTCGACACAGTCGCCCTGGTCTACAAGATCGAAAACCAGCTTTCGGAGTGGCAACGCGGACTGCCGTCCCATATGAGGCTCATCGCCACCCAAGACATACTGCCGGAACGCCTGCCGCACGTCGAGAGCTCGGCCGAGGAAGCATGGCGGCAACTGCGCCTCCGCTTCATCCTCACCCTCCGCTACACCAACGTGCGCATCCTGCTCCATCGGCCTGTGCTGGTCAAGTTTCTCGACGGACTGAGCAACCCGGCCAACCACCAGGATACCTCGTTGCTACAGCAGGTCGGCACCATCCATATCCAGATCGCCATCAAGTCGGCCAAGGAGATTATCTGCCTGGTGCACAATGCCCTGCAGTCTGCAACGGGACGGTCGAAATGGGGATTGTTGGGCGCCTGGTGGTTTTCGCTGTACTATAGTATGTCCCGGTGATTTCTTGTCTCCATTTTCCATTTCTGATATCCCGCTTGCGATTCTGACCATCCTGTCCAGCATTCAATGCAGCTTTGGTGCTGGGGGCATGCGTCCTGGTCCAGATTGACCAGAAGGCCTCGGGCAACGAATCCAACATGTCGCTGACCGAATCGACCGAGGACATGAGCCTGCATCTGGAGATGGCAATTGAAGCAATCCGCCATCTCGACAGCGACAACCGCATGGTGGCGCGGTGCCGAGACTATCTCGAACAGTTTGTCCAGGTCGTTCAGGCGTTAGGTATGTCCTCTCTGAAGGAGACATTCATCAAAGCCCCCCTCTCTTCAACCCTTCTCTCCGCGCGAACCAAAACCACCCATTTTCTTATCTCTCACTCGATTTCCTATGGCACAATCTAACCGACGCGCGTCCCCTATTTAGCAATCGGACAAGGACTCCTCCCGCAGCCCCACGACTGGCAACCCGTCACGTACCACCACCCGACCAATCCGTCCGCATACGGCCAGGTGCCTCAACCTCCACCACCACACCACGAAGGAGGCGACTACGGGGTCCTGCTCGGCGGGGGGGCCGCGGCCGTGGGCGCCAGCGTGGGCATGGGCATCTACAACCACTCCGGCGGCATCGTGGCGAGCAGCAAGCAGTCGCCGCTGGGCATGGAGCTGGGCGAGTTCATGCTCGACGGCGATCTCGAGTTCCTGAGCAGCCACTCGTTCGCGTATAATCGCGGAGTGGCACCGTGAGAACAGACACAAGATATAGATGAAGATGAAGAATATACAGACGGAGAGGGATGGGACGATGTAATCTGGAACCCGAATCCCGAGGAATATGCGATGGCCTTTGATACTTATCGTTTGACAATTGATGCTTACAGCTCAGCTCCGCTCCTAAGTGAGGTCCTTTCAGAAACGGGGGATCTATTATTCGACCTCGCTGGGTCTTCCTCCTCGGTTCTCTGCGTTACTCCGTCCTATGTATCCTGATCTGCAGGAGGTCACGGTATATATCTCATATCGCGATGCTGGGCTCTACCCACCTCGCCACGCAATGCATAAACTTCCTTTCCATCCCATCCCATCCCATTCCCACCAAGATGCGTTCAGTGTTCGTGTCTTTCTTTCATACAAGTGTGCGTGATGCCCCTCTCCCTCGCTCACAAGGTCATTCGCTCACTGGCTAACTCGTTCACTCGTGGGGGGCGCGATTCGCACCCTCCTTGTCGTATCTCTCTCTCTCTCTCTCTCTCTCTCTCTCTCTCACGCATAGACGCCTTTACCCGGGATCTTCGCCTCTCTCTCCTCTCCACCAGTCCACGCCTTTCAGCCACATTCATATCCTCACGTCGCTACAGCACAGTGGTCTCGGCCCCTTTCCTCCTTTCTGCTTTGATCTTTTGGAAATGACTCTCCGCGACGGCCGGTGGCGGCCTCGTCGCAAAAAAAACTCACATCAACATCTTGCGGTATCGCGGCTGGCATCGCACAAAGAACTCGGACGGCTCGGGGTCGCCCAGGTTGAAGATCTTCCACTCCTTTTCCGGGTCGGCGAGTTCGAGCTGGACCCAAACAGGGACATGGTCAGCGAGCGGTCTTTCTTCATCTTCTTCTTGAAGGGGTGGAAAAACTTGGAACCAACAGAAGCGAGACGTGCAGGGGTAGAGAAACTCACCGTAAACATCCTCAGCACCGAGGGCACGACCTTGTACAGCTCCAGCAGGGCAATGTTCTTGCCGATGCAGGTGTTGGGCCCGGCGCCCCAGACGAGCAGGGCCTTGTTCATGGCGGCCTGCTGCTCGGGGCTGGCGTCCAGCCAGCGCTGGGGGCGGAAGACCTCGACGTCGTCGCCGTAGGTGGGCCGGTGGCGGTGCATGATCCACGCGTTGCAGCTGACGATGATGCCGCCGGGGATGTACTCACCCAGGATGTGGGCACCCTCGGGCGGCGTGACGCGCTCGATCAGCTGCATGCCCAGGCCGGGCCAGAGGCGGAAGATCTCCTTGAGCACGGCGTCCAGGAAGGGCAGCTTCTGCGCCTCGGCGAACGGCACGACGTGCTCAGCAAAGTTGACCGGGGTGCTGCTCTTCGGGGACGGGGGCGGGAAGTGCGCGTCGATCTCGGCCACCAGCTCCGCCATCACGCGCGGGTACTTGAGCAGGAAGTAGAACGTCGCGGCCAGCGTGGTGGCCACGGTGCCGCTGCCAGCGTTGACCATGGACAGCGTCAGGCCCAGCACGGCGCGGTCGTCGACGATGTCCGGGTTGTCCACCTTGGCCTGCAGGAACTTGGTGAGCAGGTCGACGCGCGCCTTCTCGTTCTCGCCCACGCCCTTGAAGTCGCGCTTCTTCTGGTCCATCTGCCGCTGCGCGATCGGCACCGTCGCCGTCACGCTGTTCCAGAGGCCCATGCGCCCGAGCCACATGAGCACCGGGTTCTTCTTGAGCACGCGGTCGAGCCAGGTGACGTTGTTGACCTGGACGGAGGAAGTGGTCAGCTTGCAATTTCCTGTGGCTTACCACCGTAAGAAAAAAGGACCGGAAACTCACAATGGTAAAGTAGCGCAAGAAGGTCGTCCGCGCGTTGATGATACCGATGTGGTCGTACCCGGCTTCCAACAGACCGTACCCCTTGCCCATGGTCAACGCGCTGACCACGTCCAGGGCGAAGAATTTGGTCCACTCGGACATGTCGCAGACGCCGTCGGGCCCAGGCCGGCCCGCAAACCTCTGGTCCAGCTGGGTGAGGAATGTGGTGACCGTCTCGGTCACGTAGGGCTCGTAGTTGACCAGCGTGCTCATGGCGAACGCGTTGGCCACCGACCGCCGCAGCTTGCCGTGGTAGATGCGGTCGGTGGTCGAGAAGATGTTGGGCACGGCCACGCCGCGCGATACGCCCTGGCCGACCTTGTAGAAGTCGGACTGTGGGAGATTTTTGCCGTGTTAGAGATAGATAGACTGGTCATTGACAGGATGTAAGGGCCAGCATCTCGGCGCTCACCTTGGAGAAATGGGTCATGTAGATGTCCTTGATGGCATCCGGGTCGTTGAACAGCAGCGTGTTGGGGCCGACGCGGATGATCTTGCCGTACTTGACCACGCTGGGGTAGGCACAGCGGTCTGTGTACCACACCCACTGCCACAACCGCCAGAAATTGGTGAAGGAGGCGATGAAGGGCCCGTTGTACTTGTTGAGGCCCTTTTTGTAGCGGAAGCTTGCTGCCCACGCGCAGACGAGGACGGCGGCGAGAGACACCCACCCCCACGGTGGGATGTGAGATATTGAGTCGGTGGCGAGCATCTTGTTTCTGTCGAATTAGGGGGTTGGAAGAGTGGTGGTGGCGGTGATAATCGTGGGCGGCTCAGATGACTGACTCTCTCTCTGTGCTGGGGAATCACACCAGACCCCGTTTCGAGATACCAAGCTTCTTAAGAATAAAGGCTTGACCGGTCGCTTCTCCAATCGTGCCCGTCCCGTCCATGGCTCTCTCGGCCAAGTTCCGCATCTGGGAGTCTCCTCCCTTGGTCCCACGGGGTTTCTGGATGAGAATGCGTCGAGGGGAGGTCGGGAAGTCGAACGGGGAAAGGCCGGGGCGGGTGTTTTGAGGGAGCACTGACGGAGTACAGTAAGGCCCGATTCGAGGCTATTCTGGATTAGAATTGGGCTCGGGGGGTAGCGAAAGAGTAATGCAAAAGAGTAATGGTGGGGAAAGGGAATGTTGATGGAAGTTGATATGGTCGGTGGAAAAGATGTCTCCAGGTGGGAAAATGGTCACTACCATTGATTTATATGATAGACACAAGAAACCGCATTGATCAGGTCTCTATCCCTCTACATGCCTCGAGCCATGCCCTCCAGAACAGCCCGTCGCTATGCAAGCCCAATGCTTTCCTTCGCAGCCGCCCAGTCTGCTTCCAAGTTCGACTTCCACACCCACGCCATGCGGTCCTTGACTTTGTCCCGCACCACGGGGAGACACTCTTCAAACGTCTTCCCTTCAAAGTCGGGGCCGTGCATGTCGTAGACCTCCGCCGCCTGCCGTGATGTGATCTGGGCTTTCTGGGCCCGTGGTACTCGCGCCGCCTGGTACAGATTCATATACGTTGCGAGTCCAGCACCTGGGCTCTTTAGGTAGTCCCGCACGGCAAAGCCGAGCATGTTGGCATCTTCGATGGAGAGCCCTGCTCCAGAGCCTAGGAGGGGGCATTAGATATCGAGGAATGGGTTCTATTGAAATAGGGACAAACGAACCTTGCATTGGCAACATTGCGTGCGCCGCATCACCGCTCAGAACGACCTTACCATCCATATAGCACCACTGAGACAAGATCTCGCGGTCGTTGATCTTCCATTCGCTGATGATGGGCGGCATGGCCTGGATGATCCGCTGCACCGTCGGATTCCACCCGGCATATTCCTTCTCGATGGCCTCTCGTGGTGCTTCGCTTCTCCAGCTCTCCTTGAGCCCGCCAAGCTCGCTCTCAGGCTTGGAAACAAACGCGACGACGTTCATGAGCCGGTTTTGCGACATGGGGAATGCCAGGAAGTGCTTGTTGGGCGCCAGCCATGAGAGCGTCCACGACGAATACGGCCAGTCGTCAGACACTGCAGATAGAGGGATTGTGCCTCTGAAGGCTATCCGGCCCGAGTACACGGGCTTGTCCACAGCAAAGTGGGAGCGAACGGTGCTGTGAATGCCGTCGCAGCCAATGACCAGATTCGCCGACTCCTCTGTGCCATCGGCAAAGCGAAGGGTCACCGTGGAGCCATTGTCCTGCCGAAACATCAGACACTGCGAGAGAAGCATATCGTGGAGCGAAGAAGCCCAGGTTCATACCTCGAGGCCGACAAGTCTCTTGTTCGTCTTCAGCGTGGCACAGTTCCGTCTCTGGATCTCGCTGTACAAGACCTCCAGAAACTCGGCGCGATGCACCCACAACTGTCTTACCTCCTCGGCGCCCCCATTGTCAAAGGCCAGTGCGTCCACAATCAGCTCGTCCGTGTCCCAGCGGCGATTGCTCCGGTGCACATTGTTTCGATGGCCTGAGACGGCATTCGCCGCCGGCCACACCCCAAGCTTCTGCAGCACACGGCCGGCAGAGACACCTATACCGACGCCGGCACCAATCTCGCTGTATTCAGGGGCTTGCTCATAGACTGTAATGTTGCTCGCTGGCAGGTCAGGACTATAAGTCGCAAGGCTGAGCGCCGTTGTCAGCCCGCCAATTCCACCCCCGACGACGGCCACGCGGAACTGGGAGGGGTCAATCGCCCCAGCAGACGAGTGTTCTCCGTTTGCAGCAGGCATGAGGGAGGAATATTGCAATGCGCTGCTGGAGAGTTTGATTTGGTCAACAGGCAGGTCAGCCAGTATTTACCTTCTCGGTTGTTGGCACGTGATGTTCGTGGTTGTCTCGTGCTCACGATTGTGGAGGAGATGTCGAAAGTCTCGGCCCGCTGTCAGCGTCAATGCCTCTCCAAAGATATCTGCATATCCTCGCTCTTCACGGCTCGGTCCCGTCGGCTTAACGAAGGCCATATTGACTGTATTTGGCATTGGTGGGGTCGACAGAGGAGGAGGAGTTGTCCATGTCAGAACGACGGGGATAGCACGGGAGAGGAGACGATTCTGGGTGTCTGCATATCTGCGTCTGCGTGCCACCGTAGGCTTTTTATCATCTTCTTGGAACTGAGGATGGTTGTTATACTAACATCAGTCTCGAGAGCGGAAAATACATCTCGTTCATCCATCCCTCTTGAGTACAATGAGACCCGCTCGATCTGAGGTCTCGCAGTGTGTCCGCCTTCGAGATAACCTGTCAATTCGACGAAATGCTTTGGGGCAGTCCGGACAACGGTCAGCAATTGCACAGAGAGGCTGACAGAAAAGCGATTGTGGTATTCTCGTTTGAATGAATAGGTCGCTATCGTGACAGATGATGCTTTCGAGCCCCTGCTCGTGGGTTGACGCTCTTGGGTCACTTACAGTCGCCATGATGTCGCATAAGATCTATCGAGATTGGTAAGGGGTCAGCAGCTCAGAGCCTCACCTCAAGGCTCCATTTCTAGTAGTGGGTAATAGACCGATCTCATCTTGAACAGGGTTGCAGACCATATCCCCCTTTTACCAGGTTTGTCAACCATAGTCCAGCCCCTTATTAGGACACCCATCTCCTCTCGTATCAACAGAGACAGCAGCTCGACAGTAGCGAGACATTGCGGCTTTCTATTGGCCACCCCGCGAATCGGCCGACTTCATCACCTGATTTAGGGCGAGCATCCCACGTCCAACCTCGACGATTGCTGACTTGGACGTCCTCTTCGGTCATAACGCCTGACCAGGGACACAATCAAATACGACATTGGCAAACCCTTGGCCGCGCGGTCAGAAGAAATGATCCAATAAGTCGTGGCGAAGTTGGGCAAGACAGGCGCCTTGATCTAGAGATACGAGGGATTTCCCCTCAGCAAGCTTACCACTAAACGACGATAGTGGCTGTTTGGGTGACACAAAAACTTGCCCTAGTCATTGGATCCACGTGGTAGGCTCTGAGATTGAAGAGCGGAGAACCCGCACCTATACGAGGCCGCCCATATGGTTAGGCCTGTCAGCCTGGGGAAATATAAGAGCCTGTACATGTCGCAGAAGTCTCGATTGTCAAGATACAGAACCTTTCTCCAGACACATCACTGCAGTCCCGTATATCCATCGTCATCATGGGATCCCTCCCAGCAGTTGTCGATTTTGATGCCCCGAGCGACAAGGTGTTGAGCCCATCTTTCCTGGCTCACGTCGTCTTGCGCACCGGAAAGTTGAAGGAGATGGTGGATTTCTATACGACGTAAGTTTTCCCATCCACGCTCTTAGTTGCATAATCTGCTTCGATGCCGACAAGAAACCAGCTTCCTCGGGGCCCATGTCACCCACGGGAACGATTTCCTTTGTTTCATCACCTACGACCACGAGCACCACCGCATCGCCCTGGTTCAGCTTCCGGAGACTGGGCCAAAAGTCAATGCCAGCGCGGGATTGCACCACATTGCCTTCACTTTCGCAAGCTTGTCGGATCTCCTGCTGTCGTATCGCCAGCGCAAGGCCAAGGGTTTCCTGCCGGCTTGGTGCGTCAACCATGGCCCAACAATCTCGATCTACTACAAGGACCCGGACGGAAACATGCTGGAGACTCAAGTGGATTGTTTTGACACGCCCGCTGAGGCCACTGAGTACATGATGGGCAAGGAATTCGCGGAGAATCCGATCGGGGTGGATTTCGACCCAGAAGACTTCATCGATAGGATCAGGCGAGGAGAGCCAGAAGCCAATCTGAAGCGCAGACCGGATATTGGCCCCAGAGGGCCGCCTAATCTTGACGATGCGTGAGCACTCACGTGGAGGATGGAAGTCAATGGCAGAGAAGGCCATCCGCAAGTCATGAATGTTTTCTGGTGGTTCGATTTGGGAAGGGACTTGACCAGAATTCCTCGACCCTTCCACGATTGTCATTTTCACATGTCAATTACCTTTCAACATCAAGTACTTGCTCTTCGTGTATACCTTGGGATCACGTATCCTCTCCCACATATGAGCATTCTGGCAGCTTGTCCTTTTCGTCTGCAAAACCCACGGCTTGTGGGTGCCATGCTTGTAGCCCTACTATCACGAGCTTCTGCCAGCATAGATCGGTGACAAGCCCCTTTCTTTTTCGAGGTCGCATAGATACGAGTGGTTAGTATTCGCTTGTGAGCAACAAGAATTGTATCTTCGCTGCAGAATGGTTCTGCGACCACACTTTGACTTCGTACATGGGGCGCGGGATAGCGAGCAACATCCTCTCAAAAGAGCAAAGGGCCTTGAGTTGCTTACTGCCGCTTATAGACAAGATATGGTTGCTGTACGTCGTTGATGATATGAGGTGAGAAATTGGCAGGGACGATGAACCTCCGCGTCAACTGTGGGCACCAAATGGCCATTACGTCATTACACGTGACATCAAGACCATTGAAAACCACGTGGTGCGAGGTCACGTTACCAGCACTTTTGAGACTTCGCCTCTTTGGCTTCTTCACTCAACTACTATATTTCTGTCAACGCGACTCATCTCTGTCCTGAAGACCTCGACGCGACGCTGTACGTGCTACAACACGAACTGCCAATGACGATCCAACAGTCAACGTCGCCACCGACGCCTGAGGAGAGAGACCAGGTCGGATAGTCCCTTCCCCTCGGTTACTGCGGCCCCCAAGCCTGGCACCATGCCTGAGCGTGAGGAAAAGGCTTCTTTCGCCATCGCCACCAACCACTACCGTCATCTACTACCAGTGGATATGCATCAGTGAACGGGATGCAGAAGCTTGTTCTCAAACATGAAGCTACCCGCAGCCTGGCTCTCAAAAATACATGTACAACTCTATAATACGGTGGTTTACCCACCGAAACTCCCTAGATATCCCCTGGAACAGATTATTCTTTACGATATTTTCGTATCGTGGACCACCGGCAGCCCGTCTTCTGAGCTATAGCTGCAATATAGTACATCAGATGCAATTACGCCCATTGGAATACATTTCCAGGTCAGGCTGCATGACGCATTCCTAAAGACGCCTTGCGCCCACGCGGAGCTCGCTGCCGGTCGTCCAAAGTGATCATCAGTCTTCCACGAGATCTCCAACTGTCATGGCAGGATATTGTCCGGTGGCTTGGAATGGGGTCTAGCGATCGACCGAAAAAGACATCACCACAAAATGCCGATCAATCGCCCACCACCGCGAAGATCCCTCTTTGGGCTAGTCTATACAGCTGATGATGTGTACAGACACTCCATCTTGTGGGAGAAAAGCGCCTACCCGCCTCCACAAACCGATACAAGTTTTTCTGGGGGTTGAACTGCAAATAAGCTTGAAACGAAGCGAGTGACCTGCCGTTTGTGATCGCTGATTTCGAGGCATCATGTTGCCAGATTCTGCCGTGTATCCTCCGCTGATGCATTGTTGATCCAGGGTACTCTTCGAGAATGTTTATGTAACATGGTCCATCTCCCTGGTGTCCCTGGCCACGAAGCCTTCTGCACCAAGTCCCTTCGGTTGCAAGGAAGATTTCTCTTTCATTGGCGGAAACGGTACCTCCTTCCAGACCAAATTTGATCGTCTGCAAATTTCCCAACCTACAGCCTCCGTGGTGTGGGTTTAAGGGGACGAATATGGGAGATATAAACCAGCTTCTTCTGCCTTCCCGCTCTACTGCTGTCTTCTACCTGAGTTCTCGAACCTTGCCTTTGGTCCAGGAGTGGTAGGTAGCATATTCCTCGCTATGGCTCTTATCAAGTTCCCCAAGATATACAATACCTACTTTGTGGCCTTCATAGCCACGGTGGGAGGGATGTTGTTTGGTTTTGATATCTCCTCCATGTCAGCGATCATTGGCACAAAACAGTACAATGACTTTGTAAGTTCCTGGCCTATCTTTCGGAAACAAGATGGCTCATAATCAAAAGTTCAACAAACCAGCAGGTGTTACTCAAGGCGCGATTGGTTCCGCATTGGCAGTACGTTCTCCTTCGTGACGTTCCATCAAGGTCGAGACGAGCTAACAGGTGTTTGCAGGCTGGATCGGTGGTAGGATCCATCATTGCGGGTCCTGTGTCGAACAAAATTGGAAGAAGAGATTCGATCATGTTTGCCTGTCTTTTCTGGCTTTGTGGTACGGCAGTACAGGTAAGGACCGAGAACGCTCTAAGTTTCTACGGCTTATTGTGGTAACAAGACACTAATCTGTTTTGTTGAAAATGACAGACGGGAACTTCGGGCATCGGCTCTCTTATTGCTGGACGAGTTCTGAACGGGATCACTGTCGGCATTACCAGCTCGCAAGTGCCTGTCTATCTCGCAGAAATCAGCCGAAAGGAAAAACGCGGCGCCCTCATCATCATCCAGCAACTTGCTATAGGTGAGTTTGGGTTTACCTTGAGATGTACTTTGCTGACGACCGTTGAGAATGGGGTATCTTGATCATGTACTTTATCGGATACGGGTGCAGCTTTATCGACGGAGCAGCCAGTTTCCGAACGGCATGGGGAATCCAATTTGTGCCCTGCGTCTTCCTGATGTGTGGACTGCCGTTCCTGCCTCGCTCTCCTCGTTGGCTGGCGAAAGTCGACAGAATTGATGAAGCCATCAGAACTCTTGCAAAAATTCAAGCCAAGGGAGACATCACCGACCCTCTCGTCGTCGCCGAGTGGGAGGATATCACCACAACCCTTGCTGCAGAACGGCTCGCCCCTGCAGGCTGGCGCAAGTTTGTACTCAACGGAATGTGGAAACGAACCCTTGCAGGCTTTACAGTCCAAATGTGGCAGCAGAACTCAGGTGCGAACTTGAAGATAGTGGAAGGTGGCTTCACAAGGCTGATCTTGATTCAGGTGCGAATGTCATGACGTACTACGTGGTGTATATCTTTATGATGTAAGTCGAAATCTTGTTCTGGAGGTTTGAAGCCAGGGAGGACGCTTTGAGGAGAAAACCCCGGTCTGAAGAGATCAGGGTACGGTTTCCAGGTGAATGTTTGGCTAACAGCCTTGACCAGGGCCGGGCTTACTGGGAACATCAACTTGATCGCTTCTGGTGTGCAGTATGCCCTGTTTATCGTCTTTACAACTGTCATGTTCTTCTACATTGACAGGACTGGCCGCAGACCACTGCTCGTCTATGGAGCTCTCGCCATGGGTGCGTGTCATTTCGTGGTTGGTGGTATACTGTCTGCTGGAGAGAGTGTACCCGGCGGCGTTGGTGGCAATCCCAACGGTGAGCTCTCCCTCCGCTCAACTGGTCGTCTCGCACTCCAGAAGTGCGCCGTACCGCCTCCAGGATGGATACTGACAAAGAATCAGTGGTCATCAAAGTCACGGGCGCAAAGGCTAACACAGTCATCGCCTTTTCCTACCTCTTGATCATCATCTACGCGCTGACCCTCGCACCGGTCTGCTGGGTGTACGCCGCCGAAGTCTGGAGTCTGGAAACCCGAGCCACCGGAATGGGCATTGCGGCTCTGGGTAACTGGCTCTTTAACTTCGCTCTCGGCCTCTACATTCCGCCTGGATTCCAAAATATCAAGTGGGGCTTGTTTATTGTCTTTGGGTGTCTGTGCATTCTCGGTGCGATCCAATTCTACTTCACATATCCTGAGACATGCAACAAGTCGCTGGAGGAGATTGAGGAGATGTTCTCGCACGGCGGACCCAGGCCGTGGCATACCAGACCTGGCCAGTCCAGACTTGACAGAATGGTGGAGACAGCGCGCGAAAAGCACTACACGGTGGAAGATGTTAAACGAGACTTGAAGAGTGGTTCGATTGACCATGATGGCCATGTCGAAGTTGCCGCAGGGAAGACGGAGGAGGAAAAGGTCAAAGGGTGAACTTGAGGCTGAACACTTCCCCCACAAGTTTCCTGCGACTGAGCGAGCTGAGATACTAGTTGAATGGGTTTAGTTACAAGGGAAGGGAGCCCGTCTGCGTGGACATATGGCCTTTCGGGCGCAGATTGCACTGTTAGATCAACACTTCTCTCCATAGTCTCTAATACAGCAAATTGATATATCCATATATACGAACACAATCAGTCTCAACACTATCCTTCCCCCGCTTGGCCATTATGTACCGGAAGGTTGATCTTGCGCCATGATCAGCATTCCCCAGACGTAGAGCGTCCATCCAGCCAAATGGCCCCCTTCTCTTGCCTCCCCGCGCGTGGCAATGACCAACTAGTTGCATCGTGGCTTGCGGGGTTGAACAGGGGGAACACACGAGGATTGTGGGCGGCAATCAGTGCCATCCATCGACCACGGAAAAGCCGCTGCCCACCGGGCGCCGTCAACCGTCAATCGTCAACCTCTTCGTCTCTATCTTTCTTCTTTATCCAGCTACAACCAGGGAACGACAATGAGCCACAATGACCGCTACCAAGTCCCCATGGTAGACAATGGGCTCGACCAAGGTTGTCCGCCGCCGAACTCCTGCCTCAGCGCCGTGTCCCGAGTGCGGTCGCGCCTTTTCTCGCAACGACAGCTTGAGTCGCCATCTCAAAACACACCTGAACCACGCAGAAGAGCGGCCGTTCCACCGAATCATCAACGAAAAGTTCCGCGCATGCAATCAATGCCGCAAGTCCAAGATCCGCTGCACGGGGACCAACCCCTGCACCCGCTGTGAACAGCTTCAGGAACAATGTTCTTATGACCAAAGCCGTGGGGATGACAGGGCGTCGTGGGCGCATCCTCCTCCAGCCATGTCCGTCTCGGAGGAACCGCGAGAGAATGCTTCAGCTCCCTCGCCGTCGCCACCACCATCCTCAGGCGGACAACAGCCACGGGGCCGAGTGGCCGTCCAAGAATCGGAAGATCTCTCGCTGGGTGCTGCTAAGACCCCAGACGACCGATTGGCGCTGCCGATTTCCTCGCCAGAGAACACTGCGGCGATGCTTCACCTTGCGCTGGCTTCGAATCCCGAGACTCGATCGGTGGATTTCGACGGCGGCAAGGACTTCTCAGTCATCCCATCGACATACGTCTCTCCGACGTTTCACATATTGGATCCTTATAGTTATAGATTGCCCTCTATAGCTGATTCCCGCGAGGCGCCTACACCGAGCAGCCAGGCGTTTGCGCAATGCAAATACCCTGTTCTGCAGTACCTGTCGCCATTCCTGGATAGGGATTTTGGATCTGGTCTTGCCTGCGACCTCCTGGACACCTACTTCTCGAGCGCCTTTCTCAGTCGCATGCATCCCACATGCCACCACATCCACAACTTCATCTTGCGCCGGATCGACGTCCTCGACCCTTCTCAGCCCCGTCAAACTCATCCGGCGCTCTTGGGCAGCATGCTGTTTGTGGCTGCCTTCAGCGACAAAGCTCTGGGCTTGTTTAGTGGGCCCGAGGAGAAGGATCGAGTCTGCAAGTATTTGAGTCTGCTCACGTATCGACTGCTTAATCCCGCCAGATATGAGCCGTTGTTGAGACAGGAAGACTTGGGGTTGCCTCCCATCTTTGGCTCGGAATCGGGATGGAGCAATGATGACCTCCTTCGAGCTTTGGACATCCCGAACGATACCTTCCCTGAGTCCTGGGGCATGGACTATATTATCGCGTTTATCCATGTTTCCTCGGTGATTTCAGGGAGTGAGAAGAAGGCGGCAAGCATCAGATGGTAAGTCAATACTCGGACTATCGGCGATGGCATGACCATTTCTGACTCCCCACCAGGTGGAGTGTGGCTTTCAACCTGGCGAGAGATTTGAAGTTGAATGAGGAGGTGCAGTCCACCATAATGCCATACGATGCAGGGAATGGATCAACCAGCCTGAATTGCAAGTGTTCCCTGAGTCAGCACGCTGAGGGAGACTTCATCAACGAAGTCCAGCGAGAGGAGCGTCGCCGGACGTGGTGGCTCTTGTTCCTGATGGACCGACATCTGGCATTGTGTTACAATAGGCCGCTCGCACTGTTGGAAGCCGAATGCAGAGATCTGCTGCTGCCGCTCGACGATGTCACCTGGCAATCCGGTGCGCAGCCACACAGCCACGGTACTCGTGCTGAAGGGCCTCGATGCATGTTACTACCTTCCGGGACTGGACGCTCACATGGGCCTCCCAAGATCTTTTCGGGAGTGGGCCTCTTCGAATTCTTCTTGCCGTTGATGGTCCACTGTGGTACGCTCCTGGATTGGAACCGGTCCCGCCTCCATCCCGTTCTTTCGGGGGCGTCGATCTGGAGTTCACAAGAACGTCAAATCCTGCGTGAGCTTGATCACTACCAAGCGACTTTGGATCGGGTGACCGCGAGAATATACGCCGAGAACGACTCCGAGAAAGATTCCGGGTGGAAGCCGTCTTCCGCCGCGGTGGCAGAAGAGTCTGAAGCAACGCACATTGCTAAGACTGTTGCTGGGTACGCGAGCCACATTGTGAGCGTTCTCAGGATCCTGGTGGGTTCAAAGTGGGATCCAGTTTGTCTCTTTGAGGACGCCGATTTGTAAGTCCACCTGGTGTTTGTTGGCGGCGAAGAGTCACATCATGAACCCTTTTTCCTTTGCCTACCTGGATACAGAGCTGACGGAATGTTACAGCTGGACCTCTTCACTGGGCTTCAAAGACTCCATGTCGCACACAATGGCTGCCTCTGAGTGCGTTACCCAGATTCTGGAATGTGACCCGGACATCAGTTTCATGCCGTACTTCTTTGGTATCCAACTCCTCCACGGCAGCCTTCTTCTCCTGCTGGTCGCGTACCGTCTACAGGCAGATTCTGGGAATGCGATCCTGGCTGCCTGCGAGGCAGTCATCAGAGCGACAGAAGCATGTTTCGTCACTCTTCCAACGGACTATCAGCGCCAGTTCCGCAAGTAAGCACAATCTGTTTCCCTCCGACCGAGCCTAGTCGATGCTGACGAGCAGTCCAGTGTGATGCGATCAGCCATAGCCCTTGCCAAGGGCAGGAGGAGCAATCCACGGGACACAGAAAAGCAATTGACCTTCGTTTTAGCCAGATACAGGTGGTCCAGAAATGGAGCCGGCCTGGCTCGTTGAGCATTGCCTTTGGTCCGGTCACATTGTGGTGACTGAACTCGGTCCTCTGCTTGCTTTTGTTCGCCGTCTGTGGTCGCTGGTTCTAGCTTGCGAAATGGCGTAGTAGGGAACAGTGAAAGCAGCCTGCACATTATGGGACGACGCCGTTGCCGTTCTCAAAGGTCGTATGTTGCAAGGCTGAGGATGACAGCGAAAGATGTCCCACAGACGCATGTTCCAGACACATCAGTGTGGACGCGTGAGGCTCTTCCCAGCCTAGCCAACCAAGGCGCCTCCAAATTAGCATAAAGCAACCGGGCCAGGTGTCTGAATCTGGGAGCTCGACTGCATTGTATTGAAATAGTCGCTGCCACAGGCGCAGTCACGCACCAACAGATCTCCCGCAGGGCTCAATCGTCAATTTGCGAATGCCCCCTGCGACGGCGAGGTTAGACAGGAGACTGCTCGGCAAGCAACTATTTGACGACATGGCACAGATACGGCTGAGCCTGGAAGCAAGCCCAAACGCCTTGTTCGCAATCAGGCCAGCGCTTTATTGGCCGAGACTCCCTTGGCAGTGTCTCCCAGCCTGCTCAGCCTTACTATTCCGAGCACCGTGGCGCCAGTAGTGGATCCAGGATAGAACAGTCGTTGGTGTTGGCCCCTTTCCGCCAATTTGGGAATACGAGGAGAGGCCGTCTACACACGGGATGGAAGTCTGGCAAATGTCCTGGCACATCCCTAAAAGCTCCTGACCGCCAGCGCTGCTCAGATCTTTGTCGCGAACCACCTGCAAACGCCGTCCGGGATATGACGATCCGGCAATATGTCGTCCCTCGCCAGGAAGTCGATGATATTCATGAGGGATGTGTATAACCTGGCGGCAAACCCAGGAGACTTGCTGCTTTCGACGACGACATCGACATCGTCGCAAGGCTACCAACCACCTCAAGGTCTCTCGAGTCAGTTCAACCCGGCGTATGCTCGTCCATATCCTCTTCCACCAGTCCCTCCCACTCCAGTCTCGCCTCCACAACACCATTATTCATATCCAGGGCCACACAATGCTCAGTCGTATGGTCACTGGTCTGGCCCGCTGGCGCCCATATCGCCGCCGTTACCTCAGACAGCACTGAATGTATACCCCGTGGCCCATCCCGCTCCGAATATACAAGCATCCACAGGCCGGCCTCCTTCGCCGCCGTCACCCATCATGTCTCCATCGATTCCGCAACCGTATGGGAATCAACCCGCTCATGGGCCACAGCGGTATACTGCTGTGCAGGCACCTCCTGCCCGAAGGCCGCCGCATCATCAGCATGCATCGTCATGGCAGAGTCCAACGTCCCACGAGCTCCATTACCAATACCTGTCGGATGGCGCTGTCAGTGCACAGGATCTCGCCGACCTTGGCCCAAATCCAGATGCTACGCCTCATCGAACTTCGTCCGGCAGGCACTCGGTCTTAGACGGTCAATGGGGAACGCCACGAGCAGAGTCCAGTCGATTGCCATTCGGAGGCAATACCGACAGCCAGCACCTTACCTCTGGGTATGTGGGAGCTGCGTCGAGTGTATCGTGTGCCCCAATCCCTGATCAGCACAGTTCTGCAACGCCCGTCAGTGCGATGATTGGCTCAGGCCAATTCGACGCTCTAGGATACCACGAAATGCCAGCTGTGGCCGTCCACAATGTGCCGGTTGGCCGACAGGAGAGTCGTGCCGATGTGCTACCTGGATTACCAGAACTGCCCAACAATCCTGCCCATGCACCTTTGTCGACACGCGCGTCATCGTATCCTGTGAGTGCTGCTCCAGCCGAGCTCGAGGCGTACAGTTGCACCGTCGAAGCCGTCGAACTTCCCACCTCGCCCGTCACGGCCCCCTCAACACTTTCCACAGATGCCTCGTCGTCCCTGAGACAGCGACCTCGGCGTGCCTCGCGCTACCAGCGTCACTACTCCACCGCGGCGGCAGAAGCGGCGTCGATGAGTGAACTCCTTGCGGCAACCAGTGCGGTCGAGTTGGATTCGACGCCCGTGGTCGCGGGTTTCTCAACCATGACAGGCCCAGCAACAAGCACCACCAACGCGCAGCATTCTCCAGGACTAATCAACCCCGTCAACTACACGCATTCGGGCTGTGTGTACCAGGCATATCCTGGACCCGCACCCGCACCATCTACCTTTCTTTCTTCTGGTCCACCTTCACCGCGCCAATCTTCCCATGTGACGAATCCCTCCCCTCGCGCCGGCCACACTCGTACTCGCTCATCGGCTGCTATTGTTGTTCTTGGTGGGCAGCAGAGCCCCTCTCCCGACGTTCACCAGATGCATCGTCACCAGCTGGTCTCATCGCCCGTGAGCATGGCGGACGCGGAGGCGGACAAGCTGGTTCTTACCCGTGCGAGAGCAAGGACTGCGAGTCTGCCAAGCTCAACTCCTGGCTCACGGCAGCCTCCACCATCGCAGTCTGAACCCAAGCCACGACTCCAGTCGCAGGAAGCGGCAAAGCTGCCTTACCCGCTGCATCACGGCACCGGCGCGGTGACGATGCCGCTGCACCAGGACTACGTGAGGTGGAATGGCGGTGGGAGTAGGCGTGCGTCCACGGCTGGGATGTGGAAGTAGCTATGTAGGCAGCTATGTGGCTATGTAGCTATGTAGGTAGCTAGCTAGTTAGGTCGTCCGTGGGATCTAATCACCATACATAACTTAGAGAGACGTCGTCGCCTGGGCCATTGTCCCAGTCCAGTCGCCAGAAAAGAATCCTTCGTAACAGGAAGGCGTTGCTTTAGATGGCCGTATAGTCACCATGTCAATGTTCCGACCCACGAAGCCGGGATGCCTTCTCCATCGCCTAGACGAAAGAACTCCCTGGACTCAGTATGCTTACTCGCTCGCGTGCATGCTATTCGGACCTTTCGTATGCTATCTCAAAAGCTTCGGGTAGACTTTATTGATCCGGGTACATGGGCCACACGGGTAAATTTAGTGCCAATCTACATACCTACATACCCAAACATAATGCCCAGACGCAGACGCAGACGCATATATCAAGAAATCGGCCATTCACAGCGCGGCGTGCTGCCACTCCTCGTCGACCAGCTTCTCGGAGACGCCCAGCTCGGTCTGGCTGCTCATGGCGCTGGAGTTGGTGCTCTGGCGGCGCAGCAGCTCCTCGAGGCGGACGGTCTCGCCGCGATGCAGGGCCTTGATGATGTCCTGCTTCTTGCGGCGGCTGCAGCGCACGCGGGCCTCGTAGAGGGTACAGCGCTTGGAGTCGTCGCACCACCCGCCGGTCCAGAAGCGGTCGCCGGAGCAGGACATGCCGAAGATGTCGAGCCCCAACGCGAGCGAGACCAGCGCGGTGGTCGTGCCGATCAGGCCCAGCGACGAGAGGTGGTGCTTGGCCAGCGGGAGCAGCAGGATCGCCACCGCGATGCACGACCGCACCACCAGCCGCGGGCCCTTGCGCAGCCGCGGGTTCTCCAGCGTCTTGTGCACGTGGCAGTACGACAGCAGCGTCATGGACAGCAGCGCCGCCGCGATCCCTCCGCAGTAGAACCACCGGAGGCCCGCGTCGAGGTCCGCGACCGACTTGGGCTGGTACGATTCGCCCAGGGCCTCGACGTCGGCGTTGGCGCAGTCGTGCGCCAGCACCAGCTTCGACAGCGTCGCCGCCGCGAGGACGTACGACAGCACGAACGGCAGGTGGCACGTGATCCAGACGGTGCTGGACAGCCAGTGCCGCCGGATGGCGTGCACGTGCACCCCCTGGTGGTCGATCTCGAAGTACAGCCACTGGAAGGCGAAGGCCTGGATAAGGCCCAGGATGCCCTTGCCCAGGAACGCGTTGAGGCCGACGCGGGCGCGCGACTGGTACAGGATCGTGAGCACCGAGTACCCGAACACCAGCGACACAAAGGCGTTGGTGCGCTCGGTGCGGTGCTCGATGTTGATCGCCGGGTAGAATTCAAAGTACTTCCGGATGAAGCGCTCCCTGCGGCTGCCTCCCCGCGCGTGCAAATGGCGGGCAGAGGCGCGCGACAGGAACATGCCGAACCCTTGGCCCCACAGGTCGATGACGATGGCGATCCAGATGAGCGCCAGTTGGCCCGGGTAGTCGACGTGGATGCTGCCGATCCAAAACACGATGGCCAGGAGGATGATGAAGGACGTGTACAGGAGCGTCCCCCGGATCAGGGGCACGACGTACGAGAGCCAGGTAAAGTACAGGGCGCCGTAGAAGCGCTCGGCCAGATAGAAGGACATCATCGGGATGTATGTGTCGAACTCTCCGCCGGGGTGTCTCGCCTCGAACGCGTACGAGATGTTGGTGGTGTACGCGAAGAGGAGGATCAGGTACAGCATCACAGACAGCTTTTGGACGACGTCGTCTCGCTCGAACCTTGCGTTGCAGTCAGCCATGGATAATCACGATAACAAAAGGAATGGGTCCAGTTTCGTGGTGATTTTGACTGGGCTCTCTTAAACTCACCAGTTCGAGACGAGGGTCAGGTCGTTCCAGATCTTAAAGGCCATGGTGAAGTTGATGGCGTACACCAAGAACGACTTCCCCGTGGGGTCCTCGGCGGCCTTGTCCCCAATGATGCCGATGATGCCCACGTAGAGCAAGTCGGCGAACAGTTCAAAGGTGCCAACCTCGCCGCTGCGCGCGGACCGCCACAGCAGGCCCTTGTGGAAGTACTGGCGGATGACGGGCCGTTTGAAGAACTTCATGCCCTCGACGACGCGGCTCTGGTGCTTGTCGAGCAAAGTCTGCTCCGAGCTGGACGGCCCCGAGGATTGCGACGGCGTCGACGAGCCGCTGTGGTCGTCCTTGGTGCGGATACGCGCCGTGTAACCAAACTTGCTGAAGTTGGCGTCCAAGGCCACCTATTCCCCTGGGTTAGCGACAAGTTGCCCTTCAGTACTTGAACGGCGAATAAACGTACGCCATGGTGAGTCAATTGGTTGAGTTCGTTGGACAGATGGTCCAAGTCGTCCCTGACCTTCTCGAACTCGTGGAAGACGTCGCCATGAGTCTCCCGCAGCGTGTCGCGTCGGGCCGTGTGATGTGCGTGCAGCTCGCGTACGACAGCGAGGTGTTCCGGGGTGCCAGATATCACGACGTCGAATTCGTCCGGGCCGTGCTGCTGGCTCAGCTCCTTGCGAAGTTTGGCGTGCTCTTCGGGCGTGTGGGCGATGTGGATTTTGCGGCCGTCGGGGTGGATGAAGTGGCGGATCTTCTCTTTGGCATGGTCGACATGCGGGTGTTGGTGTTGGCGTTGATGGTGTTGTGGCTGTGGCTGCTGTTCGGGTGGAGGGCTCTGAATGCCTGACGGACTCTGAGTCCCTGGAGACATGACCGTGGGCGAGGTGATGGCGGAGGCGACTGCAGTCGACTTCTCGCGCAGACTGTCCAACGGGTCCTCATCCAGGAGGCCCATTGTCGCGAGGTTCCCTGACACAACGAGACAGGAGGAGGGAGGATGAGGGCGCGTGCCCTTTCTGGCGTCCTGGTCTCAATTCATATGATTTTTCACGTTGCCACGGCCAAGTCTCTTCCCTTCTTGGCCATGCGGCTTGTGCTGTGATGAGCTCAGCGAATTGTAGAGACAAGAAGAGGTTTGTCAGCTGCATTAGCTGAATCGGTCAATCTGGGAGTAACCGAGTACGTGAAACCGTGTTGCCACGTCGAAGGTTGGAGATGGGCCACGATGGTGACAGCGGCCCAGAATATTAGGCCCGCAGCTTGTTGCTTGAAGCCCCCCCTCAGGCTGCGACCGCCGCCCGGAAAAATAAAGGGCCCGGCCACTACTTCTTGCTGGTGGGTGCCCCCCAGCTTACGGGCACCATTGGCACCCACTAGCACTACGGGCAACCACTGGAGCCACTGGGAACCTCTGGGAGCTCCTGGTAAGCAACTACTGGTAAAGCTACAGCTGCTACTGGTTGCTCCTCGTCGCCAATCCGCCCGCAGTTCGGCGCGTGCCATGACCTGCCACCTCCAACCCTCCGCTTAATTCGCTGTCAGGGGATTCACTTCCCTAAATTCTGACAGCTACATGCGAGTATTCACTTCCACGTCTCATGAGTTAACCTGTGAATGGCCCCGATCTGGTGACGGGAATGTTATGAACAGACCTAATGCCAGCTACTCGAGAACATATCTCACGCGAGAGAACTACCGCGGCGCAACACTGCTGCGATCTATTCGAGGAGAAGAGTCTCGTCGACAACTACCGAGCTCAATGATGAAGACCGACGTGCGGGAAGATGAGAGTCTCATCTACGCGCCACCTGATTCCAGCTCCTCGGACGAGGATGACCAGCTGGCCCGCAAACCTCCCACTCAGTCCAAAAGCAAGACTCCGAAGCCCCCCAGCCCATCCACGAAACGAGCTGCGAGCACAGCTGCCTCAAACAGACCGAAACGGCAGAAGCTCAAGGATGAACCTGCGCTTGACACGCTAAAGGCCCTTGAAGATTCCACTCTTAGCGATCCATTCCCCGGTTGGACCTCGTCGGGCTCGCAGAAGAGAAAACCCTCCAAGAACTATGCAAATCGCAAATTCTTTCAAAAGCTGGAGCCCATCGAGAGCATGACTGAGCCAGGTGCAAAAGGGACCGGGTTCGTGTCTTATGCTGAAGTGGAAGAGCATGAAGAGAAGGCCTCCAAAACAACATTCATACGCGTTGCCGAAGTACCTGCTCTACCCGTTGCGAAGGGAAAGACCAAGGCAGGCCAGAAAATGACTATCCCGAGCCTTCCGACCGGGGCATCGGAGTCTAAAAGAGCGGAGATTCAAATACCAGAATTGCTCGACTTTTCATCGTCGGGCGGCACAGACCACCTTGCCTCTTTTGATGTGGATTCACCTCGAGGGGAAGGCCGTGAAAGATCGGGGTCGACGTCCTCGCTGTCTTCCGTGGACGACATGTTCCTGCTCGTGCACAATGACGAGTTCAAGGTGGAACCTGAACCACGATCGGCTGGAGTGTGCTGCCCGGTCTGTCAAAGGCCTGTCCGAGACACCATGTCGGTATTTGTGCCGGACAACCTTCGGACGATGCCATTTCAACAACAGCAAAAGTTTTGTTCTCAACATCGACTTGCGGACGCACGAGGGCAATGGGAAGATCGGGGCTACCCCAAGTTGGACTGGGAGAAGCTGGAAACTTTTCGAATACCGAAGAAAACCCAAGAGCTGGGGCGGGTGATCAGTCGAGAAAGCTCCAGTTACTATCTGGATCAGCTGGATGCGAAAATCAAGGCGGCCAAGGGCAACCGCAGGACTATTCGGAACTATCTCAATGAAGGCTTGATCGACATTGCGAAGCCGGGTTACTACGGCCCCAAAGGTGCCCGAATCATAGTGCAAGCAATCACAGAGTCCCTCTCCAAGACTCTCAACAAGGCATTACAGTCGGACCCGGCACTGCGAGCGGCCGGCGTGGGTGCATATGTGAGTGCAGTGTTGGTGCCCGAGCTGACCTTGCAGCTTGTGATGGAAGACATGAAATTGCCGACAGCCAAGGAAGGCAGGAAGGTGCTGGACGAGAGCACTGATATTGGAGTCCTGTTGAATCCGGACGACGACCATGTGGAACGGGAACACGATGGAGAGAATGACTGAGGGAGCCTTGAGATGTCGAAAGGTGTTTATTTTGAACTTATGTCGACGATGAGCGTTGCAGATGCAAGGCGCCAGTGTAATGATGGTTGTCGCAGCGGGATCAGGTTCTTGCGACATGAACAGCGAGAAGAACAGGCACCTGAGTAGAGGTGCCATTAATATCTACCAGAACGATCCTCCATGTACCGCATATGGGCGTATGCAAGCGGGTGTTTTCACGCCCTCAACTTCGAGGACGTATATAGCCAGTGCCATGCACAGCTAACTTTTCCCCATGCTCCTATACAAAGTCCCATGCAATGCATCCCCCTCGCTCCGTCATACTGCCTCGAAAAGTCTTACGTCCTCCCCTGTACAGAGCGCGCTACAGTACCGAGTCCTTCGTGCATAATTCCTCCGTCTGTGCGTGGCCCGAACAGGGAAACGGGGCTGTCTCGCTGTGGCGGCGACAGCCCGTCGCTGATTATTCAGACCTCCGTTCCTTACCTACGGAGGACAGAACCAGAAACAACAACAACAAATCGTTCCTTTCTCTCTCTTTTTTTTCTCTTTTCATCTCTGTTTACGGACGAGTCTCCTTTGGACTCAAAAAGTCGCATTTGGTATTGATTGGCATTCGCATTGGCGTGGACGTTTGGAGCAATCTCACGTCCATCTTCCCTTTGCACCGAGTTCACCCTGTACACGTACGTACAGGGAATGTCTTGTTAAGCAACACACACACACACACACACACACACACACACACACACACACACAGGCGGTACCGGTACTGATCCCGATCCCGATCCCGATTCTCGACGCGCCCAGGGTTTCGCTTCGGGACTACGTTTCTTGGACTCGCTTGGGAAGAGAGGCCAAGACGCCCGTGTATTTGTGCTCTTCATTGCTCGAGGCACAAGCGACCACGTACGGGCCATCGAGCGCGGATCGCGTCGGACTTGAAAACCCATCTCTGAGTGCGTGGAGTCTGGGTGGGAGAAGGAGCGGGGACAAGAGGGAAAAACAGAGAGGAAAGGGCGCTTGAAGAAAGAAGTGAGCGGAGGAGGATTTGGTTGATGTTGAGCTGCTGGGATTCTCGAGTGACAAAGGCTGGAGTACGGGGACAGAGCCAGTGATTCTCGATCCACGAGCGGCCGAAATCCGAAGCTGAAGCTGGCGCCGCAATACAGCAGATTCCCATCCTCAAAAGTCCCTGGACCGCGTCGTCCCCAAACATCCGCAGTCTTTTCGAGGCAGCTAGGGCTAGATCACCACACACTCAGCGTCCATGACTGATTCAGCCCACGCAACACAACCGCATCAAATCCAGCCCACCACGGAGGAACAGCAGTTCAAGGCTCCCTCGCCTCCTCCATCCCCAACCTTCCACCCCAGCCGCACCCTCCCCGACCGCTTCCCTTCCACCACCGCCTACGAAATGTCCACCACCGCTACTAGGCAGACGCTCAACCCGAACTCTCTCGCATGCCGCAGGCGCCGCGGCGGCTCTTTGAGCGCCCCCTTCGCCGGTCGTTTGGGCGGCAACCAAGAATTCACCGTCGACCGCTCCGATCCGCAGAATGAGGAGTTGCTGAAAAAGGTCCCCGACGCGGCACCTAATCTGAGCTTGCAGGAGAGTTTCGATCTTCGAGGTTTCCGGGAGGCCGAGCTGTGGAAGGCAGCGCTGATCGAGTTTGTTGGTAAGCGTTCCCTGTGGTGGTCTATGGGCGAGACGAAGCCATACTGGTTGGGATGATGCTGACAACGGCTGTTGGCTCCAGGCACCTTGATCTTCGTCTGGGCCTCAGCGTGGAACAGTCTCTCCCCAAACACCCCTCCACCGTTGCCCTCCGAGACATCCGGCCCCTTCGGCCGTTCGTACTTCCTGGGTCCTCTCGTCGCCGCTCCAATAAATGCAATCCTCCTTGCACTCCTAATCTTCTCCTTCGGTGCCGTTTCCGGAGCTCATATGAATCCCCTGATCACGATCGGGACATTTTTTGCGAGGTTAACCACCTTTCCCCGTCTGGTGTTGTACCTGGCGGCGCAGATCTCGGCTGGTGCGCTTGCCGGGCTGCTGTTAAGAGCGGCGGCAAATACCAGAGAATTCAAGGTCGGGGGATGTTATCTCTTCGAGGATATGGGGACTCCTGTAACGAGTGCGTTCACCGTCGAAGTAGTCGCTGACTTGCTGCTGCTTGTACTCGCATTCGGAGTCGGTCTGGATCCCCGTCAGCGCGAGATTTTTGGCCCAGCCCTGGGACCAATCTTTGTTGGGCTGGCCGTGGGAAGTATGGCGCTGTGTACAGCATTCACACTGCCCGCATACGGCGGTGCTGGCATGAATCCAGCGAGGTGTTTCGGTGTGTTTGTGGGCAGCCGCTTCCCAGGCTGGCACTGGGTGCACTGGGTGGCGCCTCTTGTGGCCAGCATTTTCCATGGCATGGTGTATTTCCTGGTCCCGCCGGGTGAGCCCAATAGGGCGAATGCACACAAGATCGGGAGAGTCACGCCAAAAACCGAGCCCCAGGAACAGGAGGATGGAAAGGAGAGCGTGTAGAGTCTCATGATGGGCTTCTGCTTTCGCAGTTTTGAGATAATCGTAATGGCAGACTGTCACTCGGCGACCATGGGTGATCGTGTCAAGCACCCATCATGACTCTTCTCTTGGGCGCCTTTTTCTTGCCGCCTCCCTTGACAAATTGGACAGCCTTATGACTTCGTTCCTCCAGGCCGGTGCCCTCGCCTCTGTGGCCTTCTATCCAACAGTTGGTACAGTAGAGATCTCCGTCACAGCCGATGCACTGGAGCGTAGCGTCATCGTTGCAGATGATGCACCATGTATCAATTTCCTCGTCGGTGAAGCCTATCTTGGGCTTTGACGCAGCAGATGATGACTTGGTAGATTTCATGCCGGTGGGGACTGCTGGTAGGGACAAGCCTGCAAAACGAGAGGCTAGGTCGTCGTCTTCATTTGACTGTTCTGTGGAGGCTACCGGGTCTGGCAGTTTTGAAGGTGTGGTTGGAAGGTCGAAGGTAGAAACATCCCGTCCTGGGCTCGGGCTTGCATACCGTGGATCGCTTGGTGCCACACCGTCTTCATCCTCTGGCAGACTCCTGTGTTCATCCTGTGAATCTGCAGTTTCAAGATTGGCCTCATCTAGAATCCTTGCCAGCAGTTCGTCTGCCTCCTGGTCCAAAGTGTCTTTCGACCTGGTGCCTACCGCGGCGACTGGACTCTCCTCTGCTTCCGGTCCAGGTTGAAAAACCGAGACATCAATCGCCGGGAGCTTTGTAGAAATATAATCATCTCCTGCCTTTTCAGCCTGATCTTCTCGTAATGGTTCACTTTCTGTTTGTGACGCATCTGCCAGCGCAGACTTTGCAGTCCGCAGCAGATCTGCGACCTGTTCCTCTTCACTCTGTGTGACTTCCCACGCATCTGAAGGCCCTAAATCTGCCAGGAGTTCCTCCACTGTTTTCTCATCTTCAGTTTTCTGATCTTGAGACTGTTCTGCCGAAGTGGCAGGGTCTTTGAATTGAGAGGAAGGGCTGCCTCCAAGAGATTTCCATCTCGTCAGAAGGTCGGAATGGAGAGCGCGAGCCGGGCTAGGGTCAAGCGAAATAGGAGAGCCTTTCCCGAGAGGGGTTCGAAAGCTAGGACGCATCAGCCCAATATCAAAGGTTTGCGAAGTAGTGAATTTACTTTGTCTGTTCAAAAGATACCGTCGACGTTTTCAGCGCATTTAGCCGCGCGAGTAGATCTCTGTCTGCATTTGACTTTGACTCATCAGACATCACGTCTGTGTTTGTTGTGTCATACAATGCTCATCTTGGAAACGGTTGTAAGAGCCACAAGACGACCAAGAAGCTTGGTCACAAGCGTGGACATTCACGTTTTGCGTCAGCGGTCAATTCCGCCTGACGTAGTCGAATTGCACTTCTCATAATCATCCGCATCATGATCTCGCATCGGTTATCAAAGATTACCTAGGAGTGCCATCGCACTTTGAAATGCCTCGAGCACCTTTGCATCTGAAAACAATGTAAGCTGAGCACTGTGTGATAAGTGTGTGTGACTCACGGTGGGCTTGCTTCTGAGCCAATAGTTTCTCCGAGTTCTGAGCAAGAGCAATCCGTGTGCGAAGTCTGCACCTATAGTTAGATTGCATCTCCCCAGTGACAGCCCGTTGAAATACCTCTTGATGGCCCTATCAGATTCATGGTCGTTTGAAACTTGCATATACAGCGCGAATTGCTGCAAACGGTTAGCCCTCCCTCGGTACCCAAGTGAAGTAGCTGCCTACCATAAAGCGGGCATTAAATTCATCCATGATTTCCCTTTCGGCGGCGATGCAAGGCTGGACCTCCCTTTTATACCGCGCTTCAAGATCGTCCCAATCCATTGGATCCAAGTCGACCGAAGTGTCCCTCTCGTTCAGTGCTCGCTCGAACTCTTGAAATTCGAGCTCCAATTGCTGCTGATAATCGTGGATCTCCTTGACAAGACTATTGCGTCGGGGCAATGGATCGGGAGCTGCATCGCTTTCTCTGGCGGTTGGCTGAACCAGTGGTTTCTCGCTGGCATGAGGCCATCCTTGATGCTCATCAGGGTTGTTCCCAGGATGGAACGCTTGAGACTCGGGCATTGCTGGGAGCGTAACAGATCTCTGGAATCTAGTGCTTGTAGGACTCGATTTCGGCGCTTCAACCGGCTGATAGATCTCCTCGTTCGTACGCTTTCGAGCCACGCTGCCTTGTCTGGACCTGGACCTGTGCGGTAGTGGTGAGGAGTGAATTGGGGTGGCCGCGTCTGTATTCATCTCTGGAGGAGGCGTTTGTTTCCCCTCGTTCGTAATCGGGGAATAAACAGCACCAGTCTCAGCGCGATTCACTGCGTCCATCTTGGCTAAACTGATTGCACACTAGAACGTCAATGAAGATTCAACGGTGAACAAAACCTCACAGCACTTTTCACTTTGTCTATCCTCGGTTAAACCTCGGCACACGCGTAAATTGTGAGTTATCCTTCTTCGGGGTTAGCGTTCATCGCCAAATCACGTGATAATATATGTTCTACGTCATGCCGCAGCTGAGACGGTCCAGGCCTAGCCTGAGCCTCAGATCGCTTCGAGACAGGTGAGTCGTGCCTAATTCAGTTCCCGTGCATCTCTTTGACAATCGGATGTCGCCTTGATGACAATGTCAGCGTTGTCGCGATAATCGTGCTCGATGCACCCTCGTCACGGGACAAGCCTCATTCTAACATCATGATTGCAGATTTCTTGCCAGCGAAACCGCGCCACCGCCGAAATCGCTGGATGCGGAGGTTAAAGACGACGAGACCACTGAATATGAAATCGAGATCCCCTTGACTGCTACTGACTCTTCTACCGACTCTACCTACGTCAGCGTAGAAACTGTCAAGATGGAGTGTCCTGTCTGTCGCAAACACCTCACCGAAAGCACGACCGTTAATTGCGCAAATTGTGTGAACAACCTGCTCTACAACTGCCGCTTCGACCTTGCCAGAGTCCTGCTCGAGAAAGAGTCCCTGGGAAAGAAAGTCGAGGCCATTGTTGGTCCAGAGCCTGAGAAACCCCTTGATGAAGAGACTGCGAGACTCAGAAAGGCCTGGCAGAAACAGCAGGAAAAGATCGAAGAGCAGCGGGCCAAGGAGCAAGAAGAAGATATGCGGCGCGAACTCGTCATCAAGCAGAAGGAACTGCAAGAGAAGAGAGACCACGCGCAGGCTTTGAGAAAGAATCTAGAGGAACGAAGAGCCAATCTCGCCGCCGCAAAACAAGCCCAGGCCAGGAACCAGAAGAAGAAGCTGGAGGAGCTCAAAGAGAACGGGGAGAAGCTGAAAGCCCAGTATGACGCCTTTCATGAGAAGATTGTCGACACTCGAGCCATTCTCTGCCGCGAAGCCGCCAGTCTGTTGAGGCTTCATCACTCCAGGAGGAAGACCAAAGACGGTAAAATCAAGGATCGCCACTTTATTGCTGGTCTCTTATTGCCAGACTTGAAAGAGATCAACAGTCAGTCCTCGAGCACCCATCCCCCAATTCCCCACTAACTAGTCGTATAGACATGCGATGCACTGAACTCACTGCGGCACTTGGGAATGTCACTCGACTCATTTTCCTCTGCTCCTTCTACCTTGGTATCAGACTCCCTGCTGAGATCACACTGCCTCACCGAGACTACCCACTCGCAACCATCAACCCTCCGCTTACCTCGTACCTTGGACAACGCATCACCTTCCCCGGCAGTGGGTCGAGTCTCTCTGCGCCCGGCAGTCCTACCGCTTCCCGAATGGATCTCAGCTCGTCTCCCAAACCTCGTCCACTTTACATTGGCTCTGATGACTACAACGAATCTGTTGCTCAGTTTGCCAAAAAGGAACCCCTGGCGTTCAGCTACTTCATCGAAGGTGTCTCTCTCCTAGCTTGGGATGTCGCATGGCTTTCCCGCACTCAAGGCTTCGTTGCAGGTACCGAAACGTGGGAGGATGCCTGTGACATTGGTCGCATCTTATTTCAAATGATCCTGGCTCCTGCACAATCCACCGCGCTGACTCGAGTTCTCGCCCAACGCAACACCCACAACCGTCAGCGCCGAGCCCAGAGCACATCATCGCCAGTCATCGAAGACAAGGACAACGCGTTCCCAGCACGTCTTGGCTCATATTCCCACAACTCAGCTCACACATTCCTTGGATCTGCCGCTGCAGCCGGAGATAACCCATCCCGCCACTGGCGCCTGAACCGATATCCAATGATCTCTGACCCCTTGAAGAAGCATCTCATCGCAGAAATGAACAACGCTGAATGGGAACTGTTAGATCAACAAGAATGGAACGATGGGGGAGAGAAGATGGATGAGGCCGTCTTCATCAAGACGAGACCGATGGACGGGAAGGAATATGATGATGCAAGAAGCATCATAACGCCCGGTGGAGAGGAGGACGCCGCCCGCGGCAAGGGCAAGAGCGGCTGGACCAAACTCAAGAACCGAGAAAAGGAATAGAAAGGGCGGCAGCAGGGACACGAGCAACGAACAATGACGCAATTGCATGGGGCTTGGGGGGATACTTGGCCCAGCATGAGGCTGGGAAATTGGCGTTGGAGGCTGTCTGTGGTTCGATGTAGAACGAGCGCATCATGCGCATGCCGTGCTGGCGACAGCCAGCACAATAAACACGAATGATACCCCATTTCAAACCAACCGTCTTCGCCCTCTCAGCGAACTGTCAAGTCAGGGAGTTCCTCCTCTCAAAGTAGTCCAAGATAGTGCGACGAGAGCGACGAGCAACGGTAAGGTACCGTGCAATGGTCCCAGACAAGGACAGCGGCATACTCGTCATCCGCATCAGGCCGAGTGTCCAGACAAGGCTGGGTTCGGAATGTGAGCACAGGCCAGGCCCCGGCCGTCCACGAGGCTGAGGAATGCAACGGCAACGAATCAACGAGCAAACAAACAGACGGCGGCGTATTCCACCCGGATGTGCTTAGAGCTCATGTGGTCTCGATCTGGTCTTCCTCCTCTTTATCCGTTGCTTTCGTTCACGGCGCCTCGATCATTCAATGGTATCCAGCCGTTTGTACAATGGCACAGAGAGTGTTCGGGATTGTTCTTTGTTCCCTCGTGGCGGACACTTTAATTCGCGACGCTGGCATGGGATCCTTTCGTGCTGCCTCACCTCCTCTCCCCCCAGCCATCCATCCACTCGTCCCAAGTCCCGAGTCATAGGAGATCACGCATACACGCACACACACACACAGCTTGTCACTCAGACCTTCCCCGGGCCCCGTGATCGATCCGTGCTCGCGCCCCCGCCAAGTACCAGCCATTGCAAATCCATCGCCAAGCGCAAGCGAGAGGTGCTGCAAACAGTAAGTAGATCAGACGGGGCGCACAAGTGAACGCGCTGTTTGCGCATCACTGAGAACTGTGACGCGAAACAACTGAAGAACATTTTCTGTGTCCCCTTCTCTTCCACACTTACCATAGGAACCTTCCGCATCCTTTTCCCTCGCTTGCACACTCAAGACTCGTGACGACACAACAGCAACATTTCCGAGTGCTTGTGAACTGGAAGACTATCAATATACTGAAGCAAGACCCACCTTTTGAGACCGTCGACCCGGTAAGACACGACACCATCCCCAACCAGCAAGTCCCCTCTTCAGAACATTCAAGATGAAGTGTGGCGGTAGCGTCGGTGCTTTAATCGCCGTTGCGAGCACAGTTCTCGCGCAAGACAACAACTGCTACGAGGAAAAAGGTAACTGGTACTGCGATTCGGTCCAGGCGATCTCGTACTCGAATTTCGGCATCGCAGGCCAGTACCAGAAGGTATCGTACATGGGATCGAATGGGGAATGTGATTTCGCCGCACAGAGCTACCAAGGAGGAATGGCGCCGATGGACGGAGAGGTAAGAAACAACCAAGCATCCTGGGGGACTGGATTATCAACTTACCCATGTTATTTGATAGGTGTCCTGGCATTTCCGTGGGCCCATCCAGTTGAAGCAGTTCGCTTTTTACACTCCCGGCTCCGATAACACAAAGCGATCGCTGCATCCCAACCCGCATCAGCGGCCATACCCGCACAAACACCTGCACAATCAGAAGAGTCATGGTGCCAGTGAATCCGGTGGTGGGGGTCATGTGGAGAACAAGCGTGGTGTTGGAGACTGGGTCACAGCCACTATCAATGGACAAGTTGTGTCATGGATCAATCAGTACGCTGGGCCGGGCGCTGCAGCTGCAGCTGCAACGCCTGCTCCTGGAAACGACGGTGATAGTGGCCAGAGATTGGCACCTGGATCAGCAAGTCCTGCGTACACTGCTCCTCCACCCCAAGCGAGTATAAATGCAGGCTCAGGCCAGTGGGGAAGGCAGGCCTATTACATGGCTGGACAAGGTGCTGCCGAGGGACTTGTCTTCTTGAACCATCACGGCGGTCAAGGATCGGGCGTGTTTGACACGTGAGTAGTGTACTTCGATCTCTTCGATCGATGTTGCGATACTGATAATTTCACAGTGTCTGGGGGATGTCGCTGTCGTACGCATCAGCAGATAACAGTGCCGGCTCTTCGTCTCCAGTCACCTTGGCAGATACCTTGATACCAGACGACAGCGAGTTCGTCATCATGAGCGACAAGCCATGCTCGGATGGCGGATGTGGAACAGTGCGAGACGGAACGGTTGCCTACCGTAAGTCCATTCATTTCTTGCCTGCTCGGTGTGAAGCTGCATCTAACAAATATCACAGATGGTTTTGACGGCGCTTCCAAGCTCTTCCTGCTTGAGTTCAGCATGCCCTTGTCCGGCAACACAGGCTTCAACGGCGACATGCCCGCAGCGTGGATCTTGAACGCTCAAATTCCCCGCACAGTTCAATACGGCAATTGCTCCTGCTGGAGTTCCGGTTGCGGCGAGTTCGATGTCTTCGAAGTTCTGGACTCTGGCAATCAGAAGTGCAAGTCGACCTGGCACGGGCTGAAAGCAAAAGGCGACTCGAATTGGTTCCAACGACCAATCAGCGGAACAAAGAAGGCTGCAGTATTGCTCGATGGTAGTTCAGGCACTGCGCATATTGTAATTTTGCCTGATAACACGAACTTTGACAAGAGTATCTCGGAGGGGACTGTGGCTGGGTTTGTCAACTCGATCCAAGATCCGAAGTTGAACATTCAGGTTGCTTTGGATAGTTGAGATGGCGACAGCTTCAGAAGTTGGCACCCCAGACGCACTTGATATGTTGTTAACAAGGGTGGCTATGGTCAGTTCTTTTCTGCTGGCTGCACTTAAGGCCATCGGGAGGCAGTGAGGAGATAAGGGAGTCGGTACAAGATCTCCCGGTTATGGTTAGCACTGATCTCGGGACGTGTAGACCTAGGTATCTGAGGGTATAGAATTGTATATATGGGAAGAATGTATTTCCCAAGTAGTAGTCAGTGAGGAAGACGAGAGACAAGATGATCACGATGATTTGACAAAGTGCATTTTCTGCTATCTCCTCCTCCGAATAGGGTGCAGCTTAGAGCGCAGTTCCGCACTTCACATCCCGGCGAGCCACATACTGACCAGACGTTTCTTAATCACCTTCTCGTTCCCACTTCTACTCGTCAATAATACCAATCGACCCGAATGTTTTTGGCGACAGAAGAGGGTGATCCTAAACAGAGCTACTTGAACGAACCCAGCACCTGCAGAACGAAAACTCGCCACTAGGCTTGTTGGCGCCGGCCATACCACAACTCCCTCGTCAACCACTTGAGTCGAGTCATTGTAGCGCTCTTCAAGATGCCCCGCCCTGCAGTCAGAGACAAGGATGCGCGGGGAGGTTGGCTAGACTCACCTTGACGAACGGTCGCAGAGGCCTCCGTTGATCCCCCTTGACGTATCGCCGAGTACGCCTGTTGCAACCGCGGCCAGAGCTCGGGCAGACCAACTGCAAGTTCCTCGTCTCTCGCTGATAAAATCAGTTGATCGATGGCCTTGCTGTGACCACGGGACCTTTTCCGTATCGGACCGGTCTGCCGTCGCCCTTTTGTGGACAATTTAAGCTGTGCATGGGTATCATATGCAACCGACGGGCCCTTGACCAAGGGATAGACGTTCCGGTGGAATGTCGCCCTCGCCCCAGCCAAGGCGTTCTGCAGGGTCAGTGAAAGAGTCTTTCCTATACTCCGTACCCCTACTCTCTTCTCCACGTGGGGTCCAGCTCCTTCCCCACGCAATACTCCATTTACCGTCTAGGGTATGGAGTAAGTCGAGATGGTGGAAAGCTTTCCGACGGAGTGGGAGGTGAGTATCCGGGGCCGCGATGACAGCCGGCCTGAGCACCTCGATAAAACTCGAGTCCACGTTTGTCGACGACAATAGCTTGGAGATGTTCACATGTCCGAGTTCTCACGACAATGAATGGAGCAACATATCTCCCACGTCCTCCAGCCCACGAGGCCTCCAATACCAGCTCGGCGTAGCAACGGCCGAAGCAGGACTACATCCCGGCGGAGCTTCTGGCCTTTGAGTTCCACAAAGCCTTCCAACCCCGCAATCTTCCACCGTTGTTTGGGGGATGCTGGAGACCATCTACCAGGGCAGACGTCGAGTTCACTCTCTCATTCGACCACTAGACAAGCAAGCCAAGCAATTCAAGCCAATTTCTGAATACGAAATGCAACAGCGGAATTCCGTCGTCAATCCAAGCAGCCACCAAGGCTCGGACGTCATTGCCTTCCCTGGACTCGCTGGTCCACCATCATACATATCATCATATAGTCGAACTGGTCTCCGAGTCCAAGAAGCGATGGAGAAGATCGTTGCCACTCCTCGTTTTCCTCTAAGAACATTTCCTTCCTCCAATTTTCATCCTTTGCATTGTCCCATTCAGCCAATTTTGCCCGTACGGACACTTTTGCCAAAGCGAGGCTTTGAAGTGATAGCACACGACCAATTCTCAGCATCCTCCGGCGACTGGAGTGGGAAATATTATGGCCGACAACATCGACAACAAGGGTATATCGGCTCACAATGAAATTGAGAGCCTGAACCTGCCCCCTACTTCACACAAATTCAGGTTCTCCGAAAAGTCCAAGCACCAGGATGGCGATGTTGCCTTGAAGCTGTTCACCAATGCCGATGACCTGCATGTCCCAATTGATGAGGCAGAAGAAAAGAAACTGATTCGAAAAGTCGACTTCTTGATCCTTCCACTAATCGCCGTGAACTATGCCTTTTTCTACATCGACAAGACGACACTGTCATATGCGGCCATATTTGGTATCCGCGATGACCTTAATCTCCATGGAACCCAATACAGCTGGCTCAGCAGTAAGTTGGTGTGATACGCACGGATGCACATTTCGCTAAGGGGCTTCAGGTCTTTTCTACTTCGGCTTCCTGGCATGGGCCTTTCCGACCAATTTCTTGATGCAGAGGCTTCCATTGGGCAAATACCTCGGCTTCAAGTACGTCGAGTTCTCTTCTCGTACCGTGCGGTCCCCTTCATGCAACTGACAGTGGATAGTATATTCATGTGGGGGTTCTTTCTCATGCTGCAGGCTGCCTGTAACAGCTTCGCTACCCTCGGCGTCCTGAGAGCCCTCGCCGGCGCTGCTGAAGCCTGCTCGGATCCTTCATTCATGCTCATTACCTGCATGTGGTATACACGACGGGAGCAGCCACTGCGCATTGGACTATGGTACACGGCAAATGGTCTCGGCATCGCACTTGGTGGACTCCTTGGCTATGCTATTGGCCACATCAGAGGCGCATTGGCATCATGGAGGTATGAGTTCATCATCATCGGAGCGCTATGCTGCGTGTGGGGAATAGTCATTGCAATCTTCATGCCTGACAGTCCCGTCACGGCCAAATTCTTGAATGACCGCGAAAAGAGGATTGCCGTTGAACGACTCATGGGTAATCAAACTGGTGTGGAATGCAAGGTCTTAAAGGCAAGTAAAGCCCATGTCGCACGTAAGACGCTCGGCTAATGTGATTCTGCAACATAGCCCTACCAGATCTGGGAAGCCTTCACGGACATCAAGCTTTACCTGTTCTTTATCCTCGGTGTTGTTGGAAACATACCAAACGGTGGTATTTCAAATTTTGGCACCCTCATTATCAAAGGTGATTCATCTTGGCCTTTTCACTGAGATTGAAAGCTGATATGCTGTACAGGCTTTGGCTTTTCAACGCTCGTTACCACGCTGATGCAGATTCCCTATGGTGTCTTCATTATTCTGTCAATTCTGACGTGTATGTTAGCCATTTCCTCGGCACTTCCGGGCAAAGTGCTTCATTCCCAGCCAAAGATCTTCTGTGGCCTGGATTTCTGCTTCAACCTGTTCTTGAAATTGATGCTGATCCAATGTACCTCTTCCAGGTGTATTCTTAAACAATCGCTTCCCCAACAACAACCGCTGCAAGTTTATCTTGCTATTCCTGTGCCCCAACATCGCAGGCGCATTCGGCCTTTGCTTTGTTAACGAAAAACACCACGTCGGCCGCTACTTCTGCTATCTCCTGACTGGGCCATACAACGCGGCCTTTGTGATGATTTTGTCTCTCCAAATTGCAAACACTGCGGGCCATACCAAGGTATGTTGTTGACATACCCTCACTGTGTCCCATTGGACAACATGGCCTTCGATTTCCTTCGATTTTTCTTTTCTTTTGGTCTGCTTGACTGACAGAAGCATGCAGAAAGTCGTCACCAACGCAGTTCTGTTCTTGGGATATTGTACCGGAAAGTAAGTATTTCCTTCCCGAAAAACCCGAGCTATTCGGGCGTGTGCCCCAAATCACGCGCAGGTTGTCGAGCAATATGGCTGACTGCATCATTTTTGAATCCAACAGTATCGCCGGCCCGTTCTTCTACAAGACAGATCAAGCGCCCGAGTACACACTGGGCATTTGGAGCATGATTGTCAGGTATGCATGGCCCGACCCACTCCTTCGCTTTTCAATCCATATGCCCAGGCACCTTACTTATGCATATGAATAGCCATCTCCTCGAAGTCTGCGTCATCATCACCTTCTGGATGTTGATGAAGTACGAAAACGCCCGCCGCGATAAGATTCAAGGCCACCAGGAACGGGACCTCGACGCCACCGCGTTCGGAGACTTGACGGACCGGGAGAACTTGAACTTTCGGTACATCTACTGAGGGATGAAGGTTGCGAAGCAGGCAGAGGACGAAGGAGCAAGAAATTGAAATGAGGAAAGACAAATAGAAGTGTCAGCAATAGCCACCCTTCAAAAAGGTGAAGGAAGAAGTAGCGAACAATACACGAGATTGGATCACATTCACGACCAAGGGAGAGCGTGGTGCGACAGCAATCCTACGGCACAATTGCCCTATCATCCGTGGTAGTAACCAACCACTGCCTTCTCTGTCCGTGTTTTCGAACGTAACGTATCGTGCCTCTCGATATGGGGCGAAGCCCGTTACTCCAAACCCCAAGGAAGCCCAGACTTTTCTGCCGAGGAAACATCCTCCTCCATGACACGACAGATTAACGTTACACACCATGTCATTTGATGTTCGTCGCTTATGGGATGTTCCCCGCTTCCCCAGGTTCCGCGCGCCACCAGCCTCTGGAGTCTGGACAGCCTGCGAGCCCAGGTGGGTGGAGGGGTAACATGCCAGGAAGCTGGTGCTGGACCAGCGGCCCGAGGTTGAAGTCGCGCGACTCGTCAAGGCGCCGTGGTGGTGGCCGTGGCTGCTGGAAATGGATAGCCGTCAGTGCACGTCCAATATAACGTTATTCCCTGTCGCAAACGCCGTCCTCACCCTCATCGGCCGTTCTCCCATAAAGCGCATGGGCAGCGTTCGCTAGCTAGCCAGCAAAGGAGTCCCGTCTCGCCAGCCTAAGCTCCTTGCACCATGGCAGGCCTCCCCAATCGTCCCTCTGATTTCGATGCGGCGCACACGGAGAAAGAGAGCATTCCCAACGGCGTCACTGATGGCGCCAGCAGCTCCCTCGCCAACGGGCAACCCACCGATAACATCCACAATATCAGCACCGATGTTTTGATCGTGGGCGGTGGGTTTGGGGGCATCTATGGGCTGTACCAGCTTCGCAAAATGGGGTTGCGGGTGAAGCTGTTCGAAGCTGGCTCCGACTTTGGCGGCACCTGGTATTGGAACCGATACCCAGGGGCGCGCGTCGACAGCGAGACACCCTACTACAGCCTCTCCATCCCCGAGACGTACAAGAACTGGCATTTCACGGAACGCTTCCCCGGTCACCAGGAGCTGCGGCGCTACTTCAAGCACATCGACCGAACCCTGGACCTGAGCAAGGACGCATACTTCAACACCGTGGTCGTCGAAGCCAAGTTCTCGACAGAGACTGACGAATGGCACGTTCGCACCGACGACGGCGGCCTCGCAAAGGCCAAATACCTCGTGCTGGCGACGGGGTCGTCCTACAAGAAGCACTACCCGGACTTCAAGAACATGGACAAGTTCAAGGGCCGCCTCATCCACTCGGCCCTGTATCCCGAAGAGGGCATCGACGTGACGGGCAAAAAGGTCGGCGTGATCGGGTCAGGCGCAACGGGGGTGCAAATCGTCCAGGAGCTCGCACGCGAGGACTGCCAATTGACCGCCTTCGTGCGCACCCCGAACCTGGCTCTGCCGATGCACCAACGCAAGCTCACAAAGGAGGAGCAAGACAACGCAAAGTCCTTCTACCAGGCCTACTTCCAGGCCGCGAAGCAGTGCCTGAGCGGCTTCCCGTACAACCCGGCGACCAAGACCTTCTTCGAAGCCACCCCCGAGGAGCGGCTCGAGTACTGGGAGGAGCTGTGGCAACGGGGCGGCTTCAGCTTTCTGATCTCCAACTACCGCGAGTTCCTGACCAACAAGGACGTGAACCGCGAATTCTACCAGTTCTGGGCCCAGAAGGTGCGCGCGCGGATGAAGGACCCGTTCAAGCGGGACGTGATGGCGCCGCTGACCCAGGGCCACTGGTTCGGCACGAAACGGCCCTCGCTGGAGCAGGACTACTACGAGATGATCGACCGCGACAACGTGACGCTGGTGGACCTGACGGCCACGCCGATCGTCGAGTTCACCGAGACGGGCATCCAGACCACCGACAAGCTGCACGAGTTCGACATCGTCATCCTCGCGACGGGCTACGACTCGGTGACGGGTAGTTTGATGGACATTGGCCTGGTCGACACCGACGGCGTGTCCCTAGGCGACAAGTGGAAGGACGGCACGTACACCTACCTCGGCCTGGCCATCAACAAGCTGCCCAACATGTTCATGGTGTATTCGCCGCAGGCGCCCACGAGCCTGTCCAACGGCCCGCCCATCATCGAGATGCAGATCGACTGGATCTGCGAGGCGATCCGGAAGATGAAGGCGGAGGGCATCCGGTATGTGGACGCCAAGCAGGAGGCGGCCGAGAAGTGGCGCGAGGACATCCAGAAGATGAATGCCATGACGCTGTATCCGGAGACGAACAGTTGGTACATGTGAGTGACTCTGCCCTTGTCCCTTCTCCCGATACCCAGGCTTCCTGTCAATCAACCTCGTGAAAAAGGAGCGAGGTCTTGCACTGTCCAGTGCATTTCGAGACGCCAATCCAACACCCAATATCGGGCTATTCAACTGCTTCTCCCTCTAACTTAGCATGCCTTGCTGACCTGCCAAACCATCACCAGGGGCGCCAACATCCCCGGAAAGCCTCGCGAACAACTCATCTACCTCGCCGGGCTGGACGTGTACGACCGGGCGACGAAAGAAGCGCTAAAGACATGGGACGGGTTCGAGGTGGTCAAGAATAGAGTTGTGCAACTGAGGCAGAAGACAGAGAGTGAGTGAACCAGAGAGTCAGGGAGTGAATGATAGGGTGAGTGAGCGATGACGAAGAGATTGCGAGGTGGTCTACGACTGACCTGGCTTTTTCAGGGGAAGATGCCATGTATGGAAAGGAGGGGAGGGGGGAGGGAGGTCGTCCGGTCTTACGTTGGGGGCGCTCAATCAGTGAGATAGAGAAATGGGATTGATTGATTGCTTCAAGATCGCGCTGGAGATTGATTCAGACCACCTTCGTCCCCATATGCCTGTGCTGTGCCTGTGGAATCAACAACCAGACCAGACCATGCCTGCCTCCTCCCTTCCTCCCTACCTATCCCTTGACCTGCCTGGACGTCCCGCCAATGTCCAGTGTCCAGAGTCCAGCGTCCGCATCTCGAATCCAAGCCTGGCGTCGACGCGATATATTCCAATGGTTTCTAGGGTCTAAAGGCAAGGCCCAACGCCGCTCCTCCACTGCTAGACGGTCTATGAGCTGTGCCAAACATTCTATGCATCGCGTCGTTGGACCACACCACCACCACCACCACCACCACCACCAACCACGCTGATATGAAGGCCAAAGGTATGAAAATGGGAAATGAGCACCGTTCAGGGTTGAACGGTGCACGGCGCACCAGGACGCCGGATTTCTCGGACCGGCACATCATGACCTTGCATTTTCGTCCCAAGTCGTGGTCCTCTTCGCGGGCTGTTTGGGGTCGTCGTGCGCCAGAGAAGATACAACGGGTGAGGCATTGGAGAGAGGGATCCGTCCCCCTGCGTGGTAAAACCTTTGCATACACAAAAACAAGAGCCAAGCAATCCCCTCACCTCGCGTGGCCATTCTGCTGGGTCCCTTCGGGCTCTTGCAAGCCGAACTCCTTCCTGATGGCCGCGCCGACCCTGCTGATGGCTTCGACAATCTTCTCGGCCGGGGCCGCCGCAAAGGTCGTGCGGCAGAACAGCTCGGTGTCGCTGCCGCGCTGGGCCCGGAACCACGAGCCCTTGGCGATGAGGACCGACTGGTCGGCCGCCGCGAGGAAGACGGCGTCCTCGATCTCCACCAAGGTCGCGTAGTCGACCTGCCCCACAGAACCGCACCGGGACTTGTACAGCGGATGCTTGGTCACGTCGATGTTGATCCAGTGGAACATGCCCGCCTTGGGCGGGACCCAGCTGCATATCTGGGTGGGGAGGTGCTGTTCGCACGCGTTCACAATGATGTCCCGGCGCCGCGTGTACTCGGCGCGGATGAACATGAGCCACTCCAGAAACCCCCGGTGGCCCCAGTTCTCCTCGAGCAGGTGGTACAGGTGCACCATGGCGAAGCCCGCGGGGTTCTGCGCGCTGACCTCGTTGTGCCGGATGAAGCGTTCAATCACCTGCTTCGAGCCTGTCACCCACCCGCACCGGCTGCCCGGGGCGATGATCTTGGAGAAGGAGTCGAGGCGGAGGACGCGGCCCGAGGTGTCGAGCGAGAGGAACGACGGGACGAGGTTTTTGAGAAAGTCTGCCACGGGCACCGGTTCGAACGGTTTCGGCACGTTGTGCGTCTGGCCCGAGACAAAGGGCTCCATCTGGAGAAAATAGTAAGGCTCGTCTTCGAGGATGTAGAGGTCGTGTTTCTCCGCCACCGCGTAGATTTGTTTCCGGCGCTCCAGCGATTGGGTGCTCGCCGTCGGATTTTGTCCCGTCGGTACCGTGTAGACGAGAAACGGCTTCGGGGCTCTCCTCGCACTTTCATCCCAGGTGGACAGAATGTGGTCCAGGTCGTCCGGAAGCATCCCATCCGCGTCCATCTTGATCCCCAGCATTTTGCACCCCAGCGGAGCCACTGTTTCAATGGCCGTGCTGAACGTATACTCCTCGGTGATGACGTAGTGGCCTTTCTCCGCGAACATCCGGAGCGCCATCTCCAGCGCTGAGGTGCTGCCGGCCGTCATGCAGATATCCCAGTCCGCGTACGGCGGATCGTGGACGATTTCCGTGTGCTCGGTGACGAAGCGGACCAGCGCGCCCGGGCCCATCGACTGGCCGTAATTGAGCGCGATCGAGAGATCGAGGAGCGATTTCCCCTGCCGGGCGTCGTGCTTGCCGGACGAGAAGATGCGCCCCGACGCGTGTGTCTCGGCTTCCGAGAATTCAGGCGAGACGGGGAGTTTTGCGCTGAGCTCCTCAAAGGGGAAATAGTCGCTAAAGATTTGGGGAATCAACAACCAGAGCAGCAGACGTACAAAGAAGAAGGAAAAAAAACTACCGCAAGAACCCCTCCAAAAAAAAAAACTTACCTCGAAGGTAATCCGCCGCAGAGGCTGATGGTATCGGGCCGGAAATACTTCATGGCACCCTTCAACGAGGAAGCTTGTCGCGCCTTGCTCTCGGCAGAGAGACGGTGATCCCATCGCTTGGCCGCTGGCTTTTTGAAGCACCGTTTACTTTTGAACATGTCCGCACTCGAAAAGGCAGCCACCGTCGTTGGAGGAGGTCCCGTCTTCTGGCGATGGGGCAGCACATGGTCGATGGTAAAGACCGCATGTGTTTCGCCGTTGGCGAGCACAGGGTCGTTCAGCACGAAGGACGACGTGTCTGTGACCGCCTCAGGCTCGGCGTGAGGAGCCATAGTGAGCTGTTTGGTCAAGTGTCGTTTGATCTCTGGATGTGCAATGAGCGAGACTCGAAGACACTGTGTTCACCGACAGTTGGCGAGGCGGGTTACGGGTACAAATAGCAAATAACGAGAGACGACGTAAATGATAGAGTAGGATAGGAAGAAGGAGCAGTGATCCTGTGACGTCCAAACATTTAAGTATTACATACGACGAACACAGGGAGTGGATGGACGGGAGCGATATTAGGTAAATGAAAGGAACAAGGGGGACTCGACGAGGTCCAGATTTTGTTGCCCGGGTGGACAAGGGATGCCCGGTCAAAGGAAATGTGCGCTTGAACCAGCTTATCGTCGGCCCACTCGCGTGAGGTCCAAGTCTGGCCAATCACAGCACCGCATATACGGCCCGCCTATCGACTCGCTCCTCGTGACTATCCCTTTTCGGGAAGGCCTGTCTCCGCCGCCATTCCGCTTTCCGCCCTATTGTCACTCAAGGGCGTACTCGTGCATAGGTACACCTGGTACATCGAAAGAGCCACAGTCACATTGGCAAGGCTAGCTATAATGTCGTCGTAGCGTTGTTGAGGGCCTTTGCTCTCTCGATATCGGCCAACCATCAGTCGATAGTCCTTGTGCGTGGCACTCCCCAAGGCATCCGGAACCCCTGGCCTGCTGTGGCAATCCTCCTGGATAAGCTGATTTGTTCAGGTCAGTTCCTGTCAGAGCATTGCGCGTCTGCGATGATGGTCTGCACGTATACTCTCGAGACATGATTCATTCATTCGCTCCTGTCGATCTCCTTATCCAACCCAATCTGCAGCCCTTTCGTAGCCCTCCCGTTTCTGGTCACTTCCCCCCGCCAGGTTTTCCGATTGCGGTCAATCTTCATTTAAGCTCGGATGCGTTCTGTGTTCTTCCATGGTCAGACAGCCCGCCCCTTTTCTTACAGTATCCTTCCATGCTCGGCACCTGTTCTCATGTACAGTTGACGTGTTTAGTAACGAATAGACCTCCGCTCTTCTTTCCATCCCTTTTCGCCGTTCCCGTCCATCTTACCCGACCATCACCGTCTATCTGGCCGTGCCCGAGGAACTGGCAGATAGTACACACCTGTCCGCTGTTGCCCCATGGCTCTCTTGACTTGCGCGGACGTACTCTCCCGCCGACTCAGAAGTTGTCGCCGGCGACGCCATTGTGGCCGGTGGACACGGCGCTGGGATAGCCGTACGGACCGGTCGCGTCGTGATCGTTTGCGTTCATCCCGTGTCCCTGATTCAATAGTTCGGTGGCATTGTCGGATTGCCCGCCTGGGTAGCCGGGGGGGCCTGCCGCGGCATTGCCCTGGACATTGCCGGGCCCGATGCCACCGCCATACCCGCCACTGCTGGTAGGTCTGTTCTGGTTCTCGCCCCTTGTGGATTGGGTCTCATCCCAATCAGTTCAATTGTTCAGATTGATTTCCTCGTCGAGCTGACAAAGGAGAGGGAGACAAGACACAAAACTTACTTCGCGATACTTGGACAGATAGATTTTGAGTGCTTCCGCATAGTTCTCGAAGCCCAATGAAGTCATGGCGAACAGGATATCCTCCCCATTGACCGTCTTGCGCTTCTCCTGTTGACACTTCTCGGACGCTGTGCAACGTTAGCCAGAGATTCCCGCCACAGCGGGAAAAAGGGGGGCAATGATATAAAGTAGAAGGAAGGAGCTGGCATACCTTCGCTGGTGATGAACGAGATGAACTCGCTCACGCATTCTTGCATGCATTCTTTCGCTTCTTTGGCGATTTTGGCATTGTCGGGCAGGGCGGTCTTCATAATTCGGGCCACTGGTGCGAAATTTCGGATGTTAGCATCTGACATTGCTGACATAGAGGAAGACGACGACGATGTTGATCGGCCGCCATGATGCTTGGAGGAGGATGACAATGGTTTGCGCTCATGCTCAGAGGAACTGGAAGGCATATTGGGGATCTTGTTTCGTCGAATGCGACGTTGACAGCGGTCTCTGAGTGGTCCAGATGCCGCACCAGTCAGCGCTGAGGAGAGCTGGGACGCAAATCATGGCTTGAGGAGGAGAGAAGCAGCAACGAATGAGACGGTGCTGGCTAAAGAGCAGCTGCAGCGTCGCACATTCGGATTCGCACAGAGCCCAGGAGCAGCGTTGCTGGCGCGCGCAAAGATGCATGGCTTGTTACGCAAGGGTCGAACAAATCAAATGCCAACACTCCAGCCTGCGCGTCTGGTGACACCGTCCCCTCTCTCCAGCGAAAAAAAATTGTGTGTGTGTGGACTTCAAAATATCAGGACAAAAACAAAGAGGGTTTGCACCGACCATTTGCAATGGGAAGCCATCGGTCCTGTTCCTTGACTTCAAAGTCCAAACCGGCACCTTGAGCTCCTTCTTGTTCGCGATCCATATGCTCCTGCTCTTCACCAGAATGTGCGTTTTGTTCGACATCGGGTTCCTTGGGTGGGGAGGCCGACATGATGTAGTCCTGTCCTCTGGAGGATAGCCGCAGCGGCCGAATTGCAAGGCGAAGATTGTCTGGCTGGCGGTGATGACCACGTCACACTGGGGCGACACCAATGCAGAATGTCTAATGCTGGCCTGCGTCACTCCCGGCGCAAGAGGTCAGACGATCCCTTCTCCTGCTCTGTTTGTGCCCAAAATGATTCCCAGTCGGCACGCTTCCCAGGGCTGACGGGGAACCGGGGGGGCTTTTGGGATGGGGGATGCGTTGTCGTGCAGGCGGACCGTCAACTGGGGAGACTTGGGGAGTTTTCGGGAGAAGCGTCGAATGGCTGTGGCGGGATGTGAGGCGGTCTACGCACGAATGACGGAGCGTGGAAGGACAGGAGGGTTTAGTCGCAGCTGGAGCGAGACCCGATCGCTGGGACCTTGGGGAACCAGGCCAGCAGGATCGCGAGGCGAGGCGATGCGACACGCGAGAATGCGCCGCGCGGTGGCTGCGCCGTGATGCTATGCGACTGTGATGCTATGCCCTGCGCGACTTTGAGGGCCCGGGACGGACAGCTGCAGATGAGACGCTTGGGTCGCCGGTTGCTGCAGGTCTAAATTGTTGGTCAGTCAATCGGTCAGTCCGCTGGGATCGGGGCTCATTAGCGATACTAGCATTGGTAGACTAGTATCGACATTCTAGGACAGACATCTAATGGACCAGAAAGGGCAGCACCAGATTCAGACGTACAATGGATGGAATGCGCGAGGCAAGGCGGGAGCAGACAGATGGACGAACGAATGAGTGTTGATGTTTTGCCGATGGGAGCGGGCGACGATTGGAGGGAGTCGGATCGCTGTGAGAATTAAGGATCCTATAGTAGAATGGTCAAGGGGCGCGCTGCAGGTGCCAACACGACAAGAGGATGGACAAGGTTGAAAGACGATGGATAGTTGGTGGACGAAAGAGACGTCGATGATGGTTGGATGGATTTTGGTTGGGATAGACAAGATGGTGAAGGTGGAGAGACCGGCCAGAAGGAGGAGCATCATTGCCAGCAGCGCAGCCAGCTACGAGTACAGCTTGGTGGGGTGGAGGGAGTAGAGCTGCGCCCGGCAAAACAGGGAGGGGGGAGCTGAGGAGCTGGGCGGGAGGACAAGGAGAAAACATGGTCGAGGTCCCGGTTGCTAGGGCTGGTGGGCTGGCTAGTGGGTGGGCAACGCTAGTAGGGGCTTTGCTGCGTGCTTTTTGGGTGCCCCTCGGGGGCCTCTCTGGTGCCTGTACTACACACCTCCAAGTCGAGTACCTTAAGCACCGCAACTAGTCCCCGAGGGGGCCCTACCTGCACAGCTGCCCCCGCCCAAGCCCACGTAGCCTGCCAAATCCCCTACGAGTACTCGGTACTCGATACTCGTTGCCCAGTCCATCCTCAGCCTCGACAACAGAAGAAAACATTGTTCTCGCCCTCCCTCACTCCGTCTCTCTGTCCACCACCGTCTGCTCTCGCTTAGACTGCATGACATCTCTCGCCTGCCATCTGCAAGCCATCAGCTTCATCTGAACCGTCCCCCTGGTACGCTTTCAAATCGCCTTGAACTGCCTGGCCGGCCTTCGTTTTCCACATTCCATTTCGGTATCATGCCCAAGCCACCGCAGACGCCTTGACAACTATCAACAATTTGCTACCCGAGGCTGTCACCGCCTTATCACGGTTCTTGACACCGCATCTGTTGACTTCTTGGGGTTTCCCCGACCCATAGCCCACCTATACGCGCCAAATTAAGACACCAGGCGCAGCAAACCCGAGCCTACCTCGTACAGTCACTGCTCTTCCCGAGGGACCCGAAGTCGCGGTGAAGCCACCGCATCTCCTTCCATGGGCCCTGTGCAAGAATAAGACCCCAGTAATCTCGTTTCCCAGTCGGGACCGAGCCCTTTTTCACCTGGTCTATCACCATGAGGCCGTCAAAGTCGAGGAGCGTTGGCGTCTGCTTCATTTCCCATGAGGTGTGACGGTCACCAACCAGCTGCAAGAGATGCCGTATCACATGAAAGGATCATGACGCACTCGCCTCACCAATCATACGCTTCGACACAGCGCTGGACCAGCAATTCGGATCTCAGCCTCACTAACGAGCCTAACGAGCCTAACGAGCAAGAACCTTTGCTGAGCCCGCGTGCCCGCGCATAAGCGCCCTACCTCCTCGTGCGGCCCCAGGACCCTGGCTTTCAATGGCCCGTGACGTTGGCAATCCTAGCACGTTGTTGTCCAAGCGATCCCACCATGGCAACACATCCAGCAATAACCCAGCTCCACAGAGCCCAGCTTGATCGTTGACTGAGTGACTGGAACCAGTTGCCCACTCCCGGTGCTCCGATCAAACTTCCGTCCAGCGAGATCGGATATAGTTGCAGATATAGGACCAGAGGGATAGTCACATGGTAGGGTGGGGAGCCCGCCTCACGTTGGGCATGCACGCATACTCGTAGACATGGGTCGTGCGCTAGGCCTCCGCCTGGTCACAGACCGTCACATATGGTGCAAAGTTGCTAGCCCACGTGCTGACCTGAGGTGTGTTTTCAGTCTCCAGTTGTTGTTGCCTGTCGCCGAAGCAAAGGACACACGGTACCGAGTACTTTGTACTGTTCACTTTCACCAGAAATATTGTGGTAGGACTTGTGGATTTACGCTCGAACCCCTCGAAATCATCAATAACGGAATATCGACGACTCCTTAGACATGCAATTGCCTGGTCTTTAGAGGTGGGTAAATATTATCTTGTAGAATTGTCCTTTCGGCTGTTTTATAGCTGTAAAGTAGGGCCCCATTATCATCGCTGTCGGCGTCCTGGAGAAATAATAGGACGTTCCCGATCGCCTTCTCCTATTGTTGCAGCCAGTCGCACGGGGTATACACCTTGTTTCCTGGGGAGAGTCTCAAGGAGCATTGGGTCATGGCACCGCTCATCCCACAGTGATTCTTAGCGATCAAGCTGGAGCAATTCCGGCATCGATAACAGCAGGAGTTTCCAAAGGCTCAACATCGGATGTATATTCCTGCAACGCGTCGCAAGTGCGGACCTGGGGCCAAGGATAATATCCTGAGAGACGGCCATAAATTGGAGACCGTTTGAGCGATAGAGAGCAAGACGAGTAAAGTATAGAGGAAATGATTGTAATACCCAAGCTACTCGAAGGCATTGAGGGCAACTCCAAGGACGGATAGCAGGTATTTGAGTTTCAAAAGAACGGACAGAGAGCTGTCCGGTTGCAGGACAGTACAAGTTTATATAGATAGCCAAGAGCCAGGAGAACGTTCCGTCATTGAAACAAACGTGAAAGGGGTATCTCTTCAAAACAACAAAGAAAGCAGTATGCATGCCGACCCTGATGGAGCCATGCAACATATCCCAATTGCTCCCAAAGCAAAATCCGAGCCTCCAAATTGAAGGAGTCTTGCCAGATCATAAAGGAAAATCCGTCAGCTTTACCTCCACGTATTTCGGTCAAGAATTCGGGTGGTCCGATTAGAACTCCTCAGAGCAAAGAGCGCTCATTCCCCAGGGTGACTTGCGCCAAAGGATCGCGGAGTGTACCGCGTTGGTTGGTCGATTGGCTCATAAGTAATCTCCCGCGTGCTGATTCTTCCACTTCGCGCGCGTGGTTCAAGGTTAATGTCCTCATGCGGGTAGCGACCATCATACTCCAAAGACGGCCCTCGATTCTGAGCAGGGTGGTAATCATTACCACCAAGTCGATAATCCCTAGAGGTAGCACGGACACGGTCGTCGTGTTCGACGTGGCGATCTAGAAAATATTGTCTGTTGTTCAAGTAATGTACGCCACCAATTTCCCCACGTTGGTGATATCGATCTGGAAAATCGTCCGGTCGAATTGCATACCTCTCCATGCTTGGTTCCGATACTTCTATATATCGTCTTCCGTCTGGACCGTAGAAATATGGAGCGTCGTAGGAAGGCACATTGTAGGTGGGAACCGCGTCTCGCATACCCTCATTTTGACCATCGTAGCGGGTTTGGAGTGTTCGTCCGGAACTCTCCCCGTATATGCCACCATGAGCCAGTTCCCGGCTTATCTCATGGTCGCGATCTGATGGAGCCAAAGGGTTATAGCGGAATTGTGCTGGAGGGTCATCAGCCCACAAAGCAGGCCGTTCGAGCTCTCTGATGGGCAGAGCAGGTCTGTGTCGGGAAGTAGGAGAGACACGGCCCATAGGGCGGCTGTCTAAGGCCTGCCAGTTTTCGTGCTGCTGAGAATAAACATCAGCCGAGTGTAGTCCTGGCACGCTGCGAGGTTGCTGTAGGCCAATTGCAGGCACGGTTGCGGCAACGTCCTTTGAGCTATCCGTGCTCTCTTCAACCATGGGGCTGAAGTTGTTGAGGAAATTCTCCACAGCTGCGTCGGTTGCGGCCTGATGAGTTTCAACTCTCGACGTCTCGATCTCGCTGGTTGGCGCTCTTGACTCTGATGCTACTTCCCGCCGTAGAGAGATGCGACTGGTGGCTTTGCTACCCATCCCGGTCTCAGATGCTTCATCCACTGAGGTACCGCCGTCTCTTTGTAAAGAGTCTCCGTACGAGAACCTCGAAGAGCCGTCTCCATACGAATAGATCATGGAACCGTGGGAAACCGGGCCTTCTCGCTTCCAGCCTTCCCAACCACGTCCAGTGTCGAAATGATGGAGGTGTTCCTCCCGTCGGGTTGCGGGTCTGCTTGAATGACTCCTGTCCATTTCGTCGCTAGCCTTACCCCCAGTAAATGTCCCCTGGTAGTATTGAACATTTGAGTTGTCTGGGTGTGCAAATGCCCGGGGATGATAACGGGCGCCATATTCATCTTCATTGGTATATCGAGAAACTTCGGACCTGGCAATGGAGGAGCCAGCAACGCTCCCCCTAATACCACCTTTTTCAAGCGCTGGAGGGAGGCGCCCGCCATTGAGCGAGTCCGTTCTCATTGATCCTGAATACGTGTTTTGGCTGGTGCGTCGTGATGGGTCAGCGAACCACTGTGATGACGGGTCAGGTTGGGAATATGTTGTTGGACCTTTAGGTCCACCTTCGACAGACGAGGGTGGACCACGGGAGGGGAAGCTTTGGCGGGCTTGCTGCGGTGGTAGTGTACGAGACATACTGCCGGAGACATCCAGAGCCCATAGGACGTTCGGATGTGGATCAAAAGGGGGCTCGAGGGGCCAATCGGCCTTCCAGTACACGATGCTGTTGCCGCTGCTGAGAGAGTCCGTATGTTTCGCAGCAAAGTGCTGGATGACCGGTTCGAATGCGAATAGCTTTTGGTTGGTATCACACACATGGCAAAGGAAAAGGGCTTTTCCAAAGCTCTCCGTGTAAGGCCTCACAAATTCTTCATAGACCCATTTCATGTCCTCAAGTCTTAATTTCCTGCAGGCAAGGGACGCCTGATCCTGTGGAAATGCGGTCCCTTTCAGTTCGAGCATTCGATCTTCTTGGGCAACCACCTCGTCGAAGCGTTGTCGCACATGACAGAGAACTTCTGCAGCGAACTTGCTTGCAGTCGCCCTTGTGACCGCACGACCATCCGACCACGTCTGATGGATGAAATCTTGGGCATATTTCTGTAGTTTATCTCTTGCAGGGACCTTCAATTCAAACCACATGTGGCTTGCATTTGCCTGGGCAACACGCTGCTCTTCTTCCAGTTGCTGACGCTTTTGGAGTTGTATGGTCGGGTCCCTCAGTGCAAATCTGCTCTCTCGGTGTTCTGCATCGGTACGTTGAGCCAGAAGACGAGGTTTCAACATCTCCCATGCCTTATCATTGAGTGGACGCGAGATCAAGATCGCAGCCTGAAACGCATCCATGTACGTTAGCGTTGACGGCATTATTGGGGGATCGAGGGCAAGGCAGCGTCTCTCAATGTCTTTTCGGCGTTCAGCCCTTGTCTCTTTTGCCTCCTTCAAACTACGCTCCGTTTTTTGACGTGGAGGACGCACTGGCGTTTGGCCAGGCGGCCCTGGATGGGCAAGTGCACTGACAGCTCCAAGGGGCTGATGACCGGGGGCCGCAGAGAAGTGTGCCAAGGGCCATCCTTGGGTTTGATTGGATGCGTGCCGAGAATCTGTGTGGGGTACACATTAGTTTTGCTGTAGACAAGGACATCCCAAGACACTTCGACTGGAAGGGATGAGACTATCGAAAAGAACAATCAACTGCTTACCCTCAGATATGCCAGGAGTGGAAAGTCCCGAAACTACATTTCCAGAGGAGGGTGTTCCAATAGCAGAGTTCCCAGAAGTTTGTTGCACATTGTCAAATATTTGCATGAGGTCTGCTTGGCTCGTAACGCTCATTGACGGAGTAAGGACCCTGTTTCCGTTTTGACCGATTACAGTGGGCGCCCTGGAAAAGCCACCTTGGATTTCCCATTGCTCAAAACGGGCGGCGTCGGCGTTACTTTGCTGTCCAACAGTCTCGAGGCCTTTATACCATTCTGCCACTGCAGCGGCTCCCAAAGCCTTTACATCATGGAACTCGGATTGAAGTTCTTCGAATTGAGGACGGAAATAGTATTTGACCAGCTCGAGGTGTGGTGGCGGTGGCTTTTGCTGGATCACTGCGGATGGAATATAATTCAGCTCCTGTGTCAGAATCGCGAAAGGCAAACCGGGCCTCAATGCCGAATAAGTAGAGACAATCAATTCCGCATCCTACCGGAGATCAGACACTGCATCAGATGCGAAGTAAAGGACCTCACCTTTATTAGCCTGGGCTGCAGACAACGGCCACAAGTCCTGACTCTGAATGGCCAGATAGACCGAACGCCATGCAGACCAGGCCCGGCATCCCAGGGCTCAGGAACCGACGGTCGCTGCAGTTGAGCGGTTCTCTTCCCACAGAATTGGCATGTGCGACCTCGAACGAGTCTCCACATTTCCAGCTCTGTCATTTTATCCATCGGCTTTGGAAACCCCTGGAGGAACGATCTGCGTGATGCGGCCCAGACAAGGTCCTGACTCCGCATGGTCAGATGCATGGAGTGGCTAGATGCAGATTTTTGTGGCAGTAGGCATGCGGGATCAAGAAGTGAACGAAAGGCGCGGTTGACACAGATCAACCGTCCAAGAGAAATGGGATCAACAAAAGCGAAAATGTGCTGCAGGATCTCGCAAGGTAGCTCCGCCAGCTTCAAAGGCTGGCGCAAAGAGGCTGTCTTGGGGCCTGCAGGAGAGCTAAGGCCCGGCGTTCCGAATGAGAGCTTTGGCCGTTTACTCCTCTCGGTATCGGCGCCAGAGGAAATGGCTGTCGCAGGACGCCTCTCAGCCATGGGTCCGTACTCAAGCTCGAGGGCAGAAAGATCTGCAAGATATGAAGGTCTGGGTCTCTTTCGCGAGCCTGTTGAAGGAGCGAAAGTTGATCCATCGTTGAAGTCCATGGCATATGGTTGTGGAGATCATTTGAAGAAGAAAAATAGGAAATGCTCAACAGATGAAGTCTGTTTGAGAAACGAAAATGTCAGCGCCAGGAGCCGGTAGCCAAGTGTGCTAGCCAGTCTGGGTCTGATGAAGAGAGAAAGAAAAACATTTCGAGCAGAGCAATTGCTTTGCTCGAACACAGGTAGCGATAGTGTCGTGGTCGTGACGAGCACGACTTTGCAGGACTCGTCTTGCCACAATCTTTTCCTTGTCGGTCCTGTAGTAGTCGGCACAACAGGAAACAGGATTCCTAGAGATATGCGGGTCGGTAACCGGTCCCTCCAATGTTCAGAAGCACTTTTTGTCGACCAAAGCCGGAGGCGTCCGTGGCTGATGTGGTATCGAGGGTATTCGGATTGGATGAGGAGCAACCAAGGTCGGGCTGTTCAGTACCGGTTCGCGGCAGGGAGGGGTTTTGCCACTGAAAGGCTGTAGAGGTCAAGTGGGTATACAAAGAAAGACCCTAGGTACAAGGAAATGAGAATTGACGATCCCCTGTCGTCGCGTTTGACCTGGGCGCTGGATAGGAATGTGGTGGGTATGAGGAGAGGGCGCAGTTGCGAAGAGAGAGGAGAGGAGAACGGGAAGTGCAGCCTGCAGAGCGGAGCCCGATCACATGATGCCCATTCGTATTTAGTGTCTTGGCATATGCCATCATCAAGCTGCGAAGCTGAGGGACCATCTCGCTCCCCGTACTCCAACTCCCAATGGCACTAACCGACCAGGCAGAGTAAGCTGCCCTTTCAATTCTCCATCTTGATTGTCCACCCTTCTCATTCCAGGATCCTGTAGGCTACTGCGAAAACTACAGTATATTGCTTTCCCCTGATATCCGACCTAAACTCCCCGTACCATTCGCAGTTCCATTCAAAGCGACGGGAAAGCAGACACAACTCACAAGGCAGCCTGGTCTATTTTGACCACACTGACCCTCCCTCCTTCTCTCGGTAGCCATGGCTTCTCTCAATACCTCAACAAACGGACCTTCGATCTCCAAGAGCTATCAGTCAATTGTCAGCGCCCCTTCTCCAACCGGTCCGGCCGCAGCCTCGCCCACGTACGGTCAATGGGCTGTCTTCTCAGTTTCAGCACCTCTTGCGAATGCCTTTCAGCAGGACTCGGGAAATAAAGAGAGCGTGTTGAAGGTACAAAGCACGGGGGAAGGTGAACTCGTCGACCTGATTGACGAATTCTCTGATGGCCGCATTCAATTTGCTTTTCTCAAGGTCAAGGACTCCAACACAGGTCTTCCTAAAAGTGCCCTCATCGCCTGGTGTGGTGAAGGTGTCCCCGAACGAACTAAAGGCTATTTCACAAGCCACCTGACTACAGTTGCGAAATTGTTGCATGGTTACCATGTCCAGATTACTGCGAGATCAGACCGTGACCTCACCCCGGACAGTATCATCCAGAAAGTCGCGGATGCCTCGGGCTCGAAATACTCTTCAAGCACCTCTGCCGCGGCTGCCCCTCCTCCGGTTGCTGCAACCAAGCCCACCATTGCCTCGAAACCTGTCTTTACGCCTACCCAGAGTACTGGAGTTTCGGCTGGGTATAATCCTGTAGCGCGCAATCTACCCAAAAGAGATGCTAATGTGGATGAGGATGGTTGGGGTGCAGACGCTCCTCCGGTCACAAGAACACAGCTGGAGAAAGTAGCGCCAGCTTATCAGCCTACAAAGGTCAATATGAGAGACCTCAGTTCACAAAAGCCGGCCCCATCGCCCTTCACGGGCAGCGAGGCGGACGATCGGCCTGGAGTCGTCCGAGGTGCATATCAGCCCGTCGGCAAGGTTGACATTGCGGCCATTCGACGTCAAGCCCAGGTATCAGGCTCCTTAAAGGACGACAGACCGGAACCCGTCAAGGGTGCTTATGAGCCTGTCGGCAAGGTTGACATCGCGGCCATTCGCGCAAAAGCGCAGAGACCCGAAGACTCAAGTGGCTTTTCACGGCTGCCTCCTGTCTCAAGCACATCGACCGGACCTTCTGAAGAACCGGAAATGCCCACTCGTTCGCTGGCAGAGAGGTCGGCGGCCTTTTCCCAAGGGCCTGAGCGGTTGACATCCCTCCCGAAACCTAAAGTGGCTAACAAGTTTGGTGGCGGCTCGACTTTCACTGGGACCAAAGCACCACTTCCCGGTGGTTTCGAGGCAAAGCCTGTTGCACCAACTGCCCCTGTGGGCGCGGCGAGTAGGACATTCGCTGACCAAGGTGGGAAGACGCCCGCGCAGCTGTGGGCTGAGAAGAAGGCCCGTGAAAGAGGTATGAGCGGCTCGGGTGAACCTCCAGTATCGCCTTCTGGTTATACCGGGCAGCCACCTATCGCCGCGCAAAAGAGCGGTGACGGCGGCTGGAAGAGTGGTTACACAGGCAAGACGTGGGCTCCCGTGCAAACTACGCATACTGGCCGCAGCAGTATTGGTCAACAAGTGACGGGCGAAGGTATAAGGGCGGTCGAGGAAGAGGAGGCTCCAACTTCTCCAGTTGGCGGAATCAGCTCGATCCGAGATCGCTTCAGCGGAGCGCCACCGATGGGAGCTCCGGCAACCTTTGACCGAGCGCCACCCCCTGCTCCGGAGCCAGATACAAGCAGCAAGCCCAATCGTGGCATTCCAATCCCGGGCCTACCACTGTCGCAATCTAGGGAGGAAGAGTCCGCACCAGCACTACCTCCTCCACCCGCACAACCTCGAAGTCCCACACCCGAGGAGGAGCCGGAGCCGCCAAGTGGCTCTCCTATTCGCGTGGCCATACCAGTCAGCGCCTCAGCGGATGTTGCCGATGCTCACGAGGAGCAACTATCTCCTCCACCTGTGTTGCCAGCAACTTCTATGGCGCGGGCCATTCCCACCCCAGCGGCAAGAGAAGAGGACGATGAACCAGCTCGAGGCCCTGACCTGGGCAGAACTGCGGCAGTGGCTGCGGCAGCCACTACTTTGGGAACCGTGGCCGTCGAGTCTGCTCCGGCACCGGGGCCTGCAGCTGGAGGGGAACGTGCTCGGGCTGAGTATGACTACGAGGCAGCCGAGGATAATGAAGTATCACTGCGTGAAGGTATGACTCTTCAGTTTTCTGATAGACAGTACCGAGGCTGACTGTTCTAGGTGAAATGGTGACCGACATCCAACGAATTGACCCAGATTGGTGGCTGGTCAAGAACGAGGCGGGACAGGTAAGTCTGCCCTTCCAAAGACGCGGGTAGCGATACTGATGAGTATGCAGACCGGACTAGTACCCAGCAATTATCTCACGCTGCTGGATGACGATGCTGGCGGTGCAGCTGCCCCTACCCCAGCGGCTGCTCCTGTCGCCGCGGCAGAGCCAATTCCTCCCGCATCGGCTCCGGCAGCTGCTGAGGCCCATGGGGCGACAGCAACTGCGCTCTACGACTATGAGGCTGGAGAGGACAACGAGTTGTCATTCCCGGAGAACGCGATCATCACCAATGTGGTAAGCGTGGGCTTGACGACCGTGGCCATTTGAGTCTCTGCTAATGATGGATCTCTTAGTCATTTCCTGACGACGACTGGTGGCATGGCGAGTACAACGGTCACACTGGACTTTTCCCTGCCAACTATACGAAACTGAACGACTGAGTGCGAGGAACGCACCGGGGGACTCGGCATTCCAACCATAGACAATTCTCCGTAGAACGGAACCAAAAAAAAAAGGATTTTTCTAGCCATGTACGCAGTCTGCGTCTGCCACATGCAGCTCAGATCAAATGACGCAAGAGAAAGATTTTTATACCAGCATCAGTGTGAAAAGATCGTGCATGGTTGGTAGACGGCCGAAAGAGGGGCGGAGGGACGAAGCAGAGGAGAGATGGTTGGTTCTTGGTGGCTCCAAAAAGTTGATCCCTTGGTGGAAGATGTCAAAGGCGGTGACCGAGAAGAGTTTAGAAGCATGCAGTGTCGCTGCAGGCTTTCCCAATTCTGCCGCATCTAACGCCTCTTGTTTCCCCAGACAAAATTTTCATGGTGATCCAAGGGCGAAAGAAAAAAAAAAGTGACTCGTTCACGCAACAGGGAGAAATTTTTTCAAGGCGGTCGCATGGATCGAATGGCGGGCGAATGTAGAAGAGAGACCTGGCGAGCTCCCTAAGACCCAGTCATTAGTACTTCGTAGTCAAGGGGGAAGATCGCAGTCTGCTGCGCCTAACACATCCTCACTCACCTCAGTCCATCTTGTCTTGTCCAGATCGACAGAGAGAGGACGGGCAGAGAGGGAAAACTCTTATCTTTTGATCCCCCACTGACGTCTGAGGATCCAAGTTGCTTGTTTGCAGCTTATCCATTGGCTCCCGCAATCTGAAAGCCTCGCGCAGTCGGCCGCACTTTTTTTTACTGCCCAGTGTTCGGGGGCTTGGGAATCCATTTCCAGCGCTGCAGTTTTGAGCTTCTTTTCCTTGACAAATCTATACACAGTGACTGCTTCAGAGTCCTCAGTTACAGAACTATCCTGAGCTGGTTCCGTGCAGCGACTGAGTGGAACACTCGTTCTATCTCGCCTGCCAGCAATCACCCATTGGCTCGACCGCCATGGCCTCGACCGCGCGAGCTCTTCGCCAGGCCAGCGGCATTCTGCTGCGCGACTGCGCTCCTGTCCCCCGACTCTCTGCACGACCGTTTTCTACTCGAGCGCCCTCACTCGCTGTTCGACAGCATCTGGTCAACTCCAAAACTCCCTCATGGCAGCAAGTCAAGAGATTCACAAGGTCTACAAAACGACGAGCCCTAGTCCAAGAGGCACCCCGCCCAGAGGCTTACTTGGAAAGCGGTGCCATCGAGTATGGGAAGAATCTGGTCGACGTCAAGAAGGTCATAGTCATTGGAAGTGGTGGTTTGAGCATAGGACAGGCTGGAGAGTTTGACTATTCTGGTACGTACTTGCAGGACAGACAGTTATGACTCAGTCCTATGCAAAATTCTTCCAGGCCCTATTTGCCAAGTGGCATGTGGTGGCAGCAGTCCTGGATCACAAGCTCACAGCTACTATAGGGTCCCAAGCGCTGAAAGCACTCAAAGAAGCTGGCGTTAAATCCATCCTCATTAATCCTAATATTGCGACCATTCAAACCGATCACAAGCTCGCCGACGAGGTCTACTACCTTCCAGTCACTCCTGAATATGTCACCTACGTTATCGAGAGAGAGAAACCGGATGGCATTCTGCTCACGTTTGGTGGCCAGACAGGCCTCAATTTGGGTGTCCAAATGAACAAGATGGGCATATTTGATCGATATGGCGTCAAGGTGCTCGGAACCAGCATCAAGACTCTCGAGACCAGCGAAGACCGGGACTTGTTTGCCAAAGCTCTTAACGAGATTAATATCCCCATTGCTCAGTCCATCGCCGTTGGCACTGTCGAGGAAGCCCTTGACGCTGCCGAGAAGGTCGGATACCCCATCATCGTTCGCTCAGCCTATGCACTTGGTGGTCTGGGATCAGGTTTTGCCAACAACCCCGAGGAGCTCAGCAATTTGTCTTCCCGATCGCTCTCTCTATCACCTCAGATCTTGGTCGAGAAGTCTTTGAAAGGCTGGAAGGAAGTCGAGTATGAAGTGGTCCGCGATGCTGAGGACAATTGTATTACTGTCTGCAACATGGAAAACTTTGACCCCCTTGGCATTCACACCGGAGACAGCATCGTGGTCGCCCCGAGCCAGACCCTAAGTGATGAAGAGTATCACATGCTACGGACAGCGGCCATCAAGATCGTCCGCCATCTAGGAGTGGTTGGTGAATGTAACGTTCAATACGCACTCCAACCCGACGGTCTCGACTACCGTGTCATTGAAGTCAACGCTCGTCTTTCCCGCTCATCAGCGCTCGCATCCAAAGCAACCGGCTATCCTCTGGCTTATACAGCTGCAAAGATCGGCCTGGGTCACACCCTTCCGGAGCTGCCCAACGCCGTCACCAAGACAACCACCGCCAACTTCGAGCCGAGTTTGGACTATATCGTGGTCAAGATTCCTCGTTGGGATCTGTCAAAGTTCCAGCACGTGAAGCGTGACATTGGAAGTGCCATGAAATCTGTAGGAGAAGTTATGGCCATCGGTCGCACATTTGAAGAGTCGTTTCAGAAAGCGATCCGGCAGGTCGATCCCCGGTACGTGGGATTCCAAGGCGACAAGTTTGACAATCTGGACGACGTCCTTCGCAATCCCACTGACCGAAGGTGGCTGGCCGTTGGGCAAGCCATGATCCACGAGAACTACTCGGTGGACAAGATTCATGACCTGACCAAGATTGATAAGTGGTTCCTCCACAAGCTGCAGAACCTCAAAGACACAATGACAGAAATCCAAGAGATCGGCTCTCTGAACGGCATCAAGCACGAGCTGATGTTGAAGGCGAAGAAGCAAGGATTTTCCGACAAGCAGATCGCCATGTACGTCAAGTCTACCGAAGGAGAAGTCCGAGTTCGTCGACAGAAATTCGGCATTCGACCTTGGGTGAAGAAGATTGATACGCTTGCAGCCGAGTTTCCTGCCGACACCAACTATTTGTACACCACATACAACGCCTCGTCTCACGACGTCACATTTGAAGACAAAGGGACCATCATTCTTGGATCTGGCGTTTACCGAATTGGATCGTCTGTTGAATTCGATTGGTGCGCCGTGAATGCCACACTGTCTCTTCGCAGTATGGGCCAGAAGACAGTGATGATCAACGTAAGTGAACTTTTCCCTCTCTTTTTTTTACAACAGGCATATACTGATGTTTTTTACGTAAAAAAGTACAATCCGGAGACTTACAGCACCGATTTTGACACCGCGGACAAGCTTTACTTCGAAGAGCTGTCGTACGAACGAGTCATGGATATCTACGAGCTCGAGAGTGCTTCGGGCGTTGTCGTCAGCGTGGGTGGCCAGCTTCCGCAAAACATAGCGTTGCGGCTACAGGAAGAAGGGAAAGCACACGTGCTCGGCACCAACCCAGTCGACATTGACAGAGCCGAAGACCGTCATAAGTTCTCGCAGATTCTGGACTCGATTGGTGTGGATCAACCAGCATGGAAAGAGTTGACCTCTGTGGCAGATGCCGAGTCTTTCGCTGACTCGGTGGGTTATCCTGTCCTCGTGCGCCCGTCGTATGTTCTTTCCGGAGCCGCCATGTCCGTCATCTATACGCACGAAGAGCTGAAAGATAAACTGGAATCGGCGTCGGCGGTTTCCCCCGACCATCCGGTTGTGATTACAAAGTTTATCGAAGGCGCTCAGGAAATTGACGTTGACGCTGTGGCATCAAAAGGAGAGTTGATTCTGCACGCTGTATCTGAACACGTCGAAGCCGCAGGTGTCCACTCTGGAGATGCCACTCTGGTTCTCCCACCAGCCAATCTTGACGAGAATGTGATGGCTCGTGTCAAGGAGATTGCGCAGAAAGTCGCCAAAGCTTGGAACATCACTGGGCCTTTCAACATGCAAATCATCAAGGCTGATGCACCCGGTGAAGAACCTGCGCTCAAGGTCATTGAGTGCAATCTTCGTGCTTCGCGGTCGTTCCCTTTTGTCAGCAAAGTGCTCGGGACCAACTTTATTGACGTTGCAACCAAAGCATTGGTGGGTCAGAATGTCCCCGAGCCTCGAGATCTCATGGCCGAAAAGCGCGATTACCTGGCCACCAAAGTTCCGCAATTTTCCTGGACTCGGTTGGCGGGAGCTGATCCTTTCCTGGGCGTTGAGATGAGCAGCACCGGTGAGATTGCGTGCTTTGGGAAAGACTTGATCGAGGCGTATTGGGCATCGCTCCAGTCAACCATGAACTTCCGGATGCCTGAACCTGGAGAGGGAATCCTGCTTGGTGGATCCACTGAGCTTCCGGAACTTCCCAAGATTGTGGAATATCTTCAACCATTGGGTTACAAGTTCTATGCCGCGAGCCAGGACGTGAAGGATCATTTGGAGAAGTCTGGCGCAACGATTGAGGTGATTGAGTTCCCTACGACGGACAAGAACGCGCTTCGACAGGTGTTTCAGAAGTACGATATCAGGGGAGTCTTCAACCTGGCAAAGACTCGAGGTAAGACACTGGTGGACGAAGATTATGTGATGAGAAGGAACGCTGTGGACTTTGGTGTCCCTCTGTTCATGGAGCCCAAGGTATGACCAACCGTTCCATTGCTATTGTGGGGACATGACTAACTCCAACCTATAGACTGCATTGCTGTTTGCTCAGTGCATGAATGCGAAACTTCCTCGACAGGAAGGAATTCCTCCTGAGGTCAAGAGCTGGAGCGAATTTGCTGGTTCGAAGATGATGTAATAAAGGCGGCCAAAACATCCACCATACAAGGGCGAAGGAGGCTCGTTGGGTTTGACGTGACCGCAATGGGATATTCTGGGTAGCTATTGTGAAAGAGCCAAAAGTCTAACAACAGACGCAAAAGTTTTCTAGACTACAGAGGATGGCGCCTGAGAAGGGTGGCTATTGGAAGGGGTTCTCGGGAGGGGAAAAGGACTGTCCCGTGGCGGCTAAGTCTTTAGGCGGGCAAGCAGATTTTGCGATCTGCTGGAGGCAAAAACAAGTGGGCCAGATGAGCATGTGCGCGTGTACTGCTACTTGGTATACAGCCGGGAGATGACTCTAGAGTAGGTTTTGGCTGACTAGGTAGCATCAAGGAGTTCCTGTGCTGTGTCCCTGTCGGTTAAAGCGGACTCGAGTGGCTGTGGGCGGAATCCCGCCCGACCCCGGCGCCCCGGAAGTCTTGGCAGTTCAATAGCCGTCGTGCAGAGCCGAGAAGACCCAGGAGCGGGAAGGCGTCCAAGGTGTTGCCCGTGCTTGTTTCATCTTCCCGGACGACACGCCTTTCATGTCCATCGCATGCACCCCGCGACTCCTACTCGACCCAGAAACTCTGACGCGCGGGCAAACAAATGCGGCATTGAGATCAACGCCCTCAGCTACCGACTGTGCCTGCCGTCGCAGACCAGCCTTATGGTATGGCTTCTGTTGCTGAGCCAGATGTCTTCGATACGTGCACTCAGGGCCTCCGGCTTCCTCAGCACGGGACACCTTTTCATTATCATTTCTGATGCTGACGGTACAGTCGACGTATATAATCCCCCTTGATGGTTGGGAAACAGTTGGTTTATGCATTCTGCTCCGACGAAAAGGTGAATTGAGAGAACCTGCACCCGTTTTCCATCCTTGGGATTCCAATTTTTCCTTGCTACATAACCCGCTTCAGACACATCTCCTCCGCCCCCTCAAAGTTCCTTATTTCTCTTTTATCGTTTGAAACGGCATCACAGCCCCAGAAGCAAGCATGGTCTACAACGTCCCCGCCGAGGAAACCGAGCCTGTCATCACGTCCCACATCAACGGCACCACCGAGGAGATCCTTGCCAGATACTGCATTACCGAGCTCTGCAAGGGCTGGCCCGTCTACCGCGATGCCTCCGAGTGGAAGAACTACCGCAGCTTGTTTGCCAAGGAGGGAGCTTACGTGTGGACCAGTAAGTCACCTTAACCACAACATCGAGCATCTTCTCTGCTTAAAGAGAGGTGCATGTGATCAACGTCATTAGGAAAAGTCATAGACTAACGACGAGGTCTTTTTGCTTTGGTACAGCCTGGTCCGGCGGCCTCCCGATTGAGGAATTCATCGAGGTCTCGATCAAGGGCCGCGCCAACGGCGACTTCATCATGCACCGCGAAAACGGCACCCTCGCCAACGTCAACCTCGCCCAGGGCCGCGGCGTGGGCAAGATGAAGGCCACCATCACGCAACGGTTCACCATCCAGGGCATCCCCGTCGACGTCGAGTGCGACTGCCGCTTCATCTTCTTCTGCAAGATCGAAGAGGGCGCAAGCGGCCGCGAGTGGAAGGCCCAGTACGTCAAGCTCTTTTACGAGAAGGACAAGATGATCCCCGTCGACGGCAAGACCGTGCCGCACTTCCCCCGCGAGGAACTGGACAAGTACACCGAGGGCTACCGGTACCTCGCCGTGGCGCAGAGCTCGCTGGGCCACCCGATCCTGAACGACCTGCCGAACGCGGGGAACCAGGGCTTCTTCGACATGTACAAGGCCATGGCTGACTGGCTGCAAGGCGAAGAGATCAATTTGTTCTGGGAGAAGAAGTAGATGGCTTGGGCCATTGTCGACCCCAAAGGCGTACGCGCGTGACATTATTTACAACAGCCGTGCTCGAAGCCGCAAGAAGTTTGAATGAGCATTTTGGGGAGTCAGCATGCAAAGTAGTGTAGCATTTTGTAACAGATACAAAGCAATAGACAACGTGGATCTTTCCAAGGAGAAAGAAGAGGGAAATGGCCATACATGAATCATGCCAGAATCATATCACTATCCACGATCCCTCACTATTGCTTAAGTTCGGTGCCGTCCAAGCCTCACTAGAGAGAACGAGGGTTTTGGCTAGTGCTTGCACTGGCCAGTCCCCATCTTCCAATTCATCATGGCTTCCTTTTCTGCCTGCCGGCCATACCCAGTGATGACATGGCATGGTCATGATCGCGATCGTATATTACACTCACCGCTATCACAGCCATTACAGCTCGCCATACAGGTCGAACGGAATGCTGCTCAGCCAGGACATGTCGCCGCCCAGATCGAGGTTGAGGTCAAAGTCGAGATTGAAGTTGGCTGACGAGGACAGGTCCGCGACGGCAGCGGCGGTCCCGAACAGACCGCTGCCACTGGAACCGCCGCTGCTAAGCATGAACGGCACCGACGCTGGCGGCGGCGGCGGCGGCGGCGGCGGCGCGGACGTTGACATTGGACCCAGCGCGGGTCCTTTGCCGTGGTCTGTGGCGGAGCTGCTCGATAGCGTTGGTGCGCAGGTGCCGTGAGGTGCGGAGGCGTTGGCGTTTGTGTTGAGGTTGACGCTGCTGACGATGCTACCGGCAAGAGGACCAGCGGGACCGGCGGTAGTTGTTGTTGTACTGCTTCTATTGGTTTGATGGTGACTGGAATTCGTCCAAGCCCCGGAGCTGCCGTTGATGGTAGAGGGGTAGGTATCACCACCGTCGGCATTCGGTGGGAGACTTGGCCGTCGCACATTACCATCATGGTTGTTACCGCCGCGCTGTGTCTGCTCCACGGCCGTCGCCCTGGGCTGATTCTGTGTCTGGGCCTGAGCTCCGTTGTGGCGTGGAGGGAGCTGATCGAACAGCAACGCAATGGCTGCGGCGCACCGTTTGGCGTGTTTGCCGAAGCTGCCATACCTCTGAAGTGCGGCCGTCGCCGTACGAGCAGCGCTTATGATCACCTCCTCGCCGCCCACTTCGGCTTCGACGATTGGATTGAGCCTAGCGGCGACAAGGACCGTTGCCGCGGTGTACAGGTAGAAGATACTGTACCACCATGCGGGCAGTAGATCGTCGAGCAGCTCCAGGCGGCATTCTGCATGGATCCTGCCGAACAAGTCGACAGTGTTCAGCGCGCTTTGCACGCACATAACCGAACACTGCAGCGCGAGCTTGCGCGCGAGGGTATCCTCGCTGCTGAGGGGTTCTTCGTCGTGCTGGCTCGTCGTGCAGAAGCGAGATAGGACCGGCCGGAAGAGTAGTGTCCGAATATGGCAGTATCGGAGGTAAAGCACCTTGGCCTGGCGGGCATGAATCATGTTCGTGGGCTCGGACGAGTGCGGGGAATATCGAAGGTGTATTGGCAGACGTCGTCTCCAGATCCAGTATTTGCTGTCCATTTCCAGCACAGTTCCAGCCCCTTTTGCGCCTGGACTGCCGCCAAAATAGCGAATGTAGCTGTCCTCCGGGTCTGTCATCTCTGCTGATGTCGGGCTGTAGAGCGCCACCAGCGTCTCGCTCATGGTTTCGTACAGCTGGAGAGATTCGATGAAGAAGTGAAGATCAGGAGAAGACGGCTGGAACACATAGAGGTCTCTATGGCATGAGCATTCGCTGGAGCCGGCATGAGGATGAGGCCTAGGCACTGAAGCTGCAGCTTGGGGAGTGATGATTCCGGGACGCCCGAAGGTCATGGACAGCGTTCGGTCCATGAGAACACAGCCGTGCCAGACCTTACGGAGGAAGTCATTGGGCTTGCCGTTGGAAGGCCGGGCACTGGTGGCTGGTAGATCGAGCCCAAGGCTTTGAGCGATCCTGGTAGCCAGGCCCGCGAAGAGCCAGCACTGCTGCGGCTCGCTGGTGCTCTGGAGGTACTGTGCGAGGAGAAGAAGGCACTGAACAGTGTGCACGGAGCGGTGTTGCAGAAACTCGAGGTCAAAATGTACCAAAGCGCGTTTGTAAAAGACTTCACCAGAATTGACGCGATCCGGAGGGCGGATAGATGAGTCCAAAATGCAGGCAATTGCGAAGATGGCGTTGAGAAGACATATGAAGCAGACCTCATCGTCCATTGTCGGGTTTCCAGTCCAGAGAGTCTGGTACTTGCCCATGAAATCATCCTTGTCAACGAAAGGATACAGGGGATCAACGATCCTCCAATATACCTCCAGCAGGCGGTCTGCCTGTTGTCTAGGAGGAAGGACATAATCGGGGGTTTTGAACCGTCTTTGTCGATGCGATCCGGTCGCCACCGGTGACACTGTAGAGTATGCTTGTTGGGCGGAATCGGGAGTCAGCTGCTGATCCAGGGCGGCTTTAATGCGGTTCATGAAGCTCGCAGCGCTCGAGTCGCCAACCACGCCCGCTTCACCGGGTTCGCCTTCTTCCATCAGCCCCATCATTGCATTTGCGCCGCTGTCATGGTTTCGATCTGACGTCGATTGAGGCGTCGAGGGTTGGTCGGTGCTCTCTGGGCGATTCGACCGTCGACCCGACCTTTCTAATTCATCGATCCGGGACTGCAGGCGCATAATCTCCAGTTTGGAGGCGCCGATACTGCGCGTCTTTCTCAAGCCCCATTCACAATGAGCTGCTACGCCGTATCTTCGCTCGCAAGGTCGGCACAACGGTTTCCGTCCATCGCACTTGATCTTTTTCTCCCTGCATTGATCGCACGCTGCAGCGACCTTCTGTCTCTTTGCAGGCCTTTCGTTGCCATGGATGGCCTCTGATTCGTATTCCTGGAACGGCGAAATTGATGAAAGTCCTGAGCTTTCCGCGGACATGTTCATTGCCTGGTCTTCCTCCAGCGCTAGAAGCTCAATGCGTTGGTAGTCGATTCATCATCTGGTCTCTCTTCATGCTGAGTTGGTGACAGTCTGCTTTTCGAACCAACGAAGCCGATCGGCTGAGAGGTTGTGAGGGAACGAAGAGGCGGGGATGCAAGGCTGACAACGGCGGATCAATCGGAGTCCGGGGCCAGAGATTATCCGAGCCCGATCGACAAGGCTGACCATGAAGGGGTCGGCGAGGTCGGCTCCTAAAAGCGGCAGCGTCCATGACAAGCCGCACGTGAGTTCGCGATTTTCAATGATGACGGCGACTAAGAAGTTGCCCGCCAACAAGCTTCGTCAATCCAGTTCGGTCCAGCATGAGTGCTCTGGACGACTCGACACCCATACGCCGGAGAATCAAGCAGGACGAAAACGACCGTCATGAGCACCAGCAGCATGTCCAGAATGGAGCAGCGACTACTCCTGCTCGGAACCCTGCATCCTCGACATCCATCACCGCATCGACATCCATAGGTACACTGCCGTCCATCCTCCAAATCTGGGCTCCGACCCTCATGCTTATATTTGGCGGCTGCTGCTCCAATGTCTACACCCTCGAATCTATCATCCATGCTTCTCCTTCGTCCGGATCTCTCATTACCGCATTTCAATTCCTCCTCGTCGCCCTATTCACATTACCACGTCATTTCTCCCCTCGCCGCGGCCTGCGCAATCTCTACTTGAAAGAGCGAAACATCCCAATCCGGAAATGGGTCGTCTACACCGCCTACTTCCTGAGTATCAATATTCTGAATAACAAGGCGTTCAAGTACCGGATCAGTATCCCCTTGCATATTATTCTGAGGAGTGCTGGGCCCGTCACCACCATGCTTGCCGGGAGGATTTGGAAGGGACGCCGGTATCCTACGCAGAAAATTGTGGCCGTGATGCTACTTTTCGGTGGGGTGGTGTTGGCGGCCTTTTCAGATACATGGTCCAAGCAGGTGGATATCGGCGCAGCAGTCGAAGAGCTGGATGATTACCGCTCGACAGCGGAGCACCTTGAGCCGGCGTCTACGACGTCCGCGGGTTCAGTGTTTTCGTCTCAAACCCCCGGTTTCGTGCTTCTTGCGTCCGCACTCATCCTGTCAGCGTGTATGGGCCTCTACACCGACGACATGTATGCCACCCACGGTCGGTCCGGGGAGATCACAGCGGAGACGCTCTTCTACAGCCACACCATGTCGTTGCCATACTTCGCCAGTCAAATCCGACCACTCTTTTTCGAATTCGTGAATCTCCTGGCCGTTCCAGGCCATGACATCAACGACCCGTCAAAGACGGAGGCACCCATATCTTCGTCTTCCTGGCTGGATGGCCCCTCCTCCGCCCTTCCCCGCCCGCTCGTGCTACTCTTGCTCAACGCCGCGACGCAACTCCTCTGCATAATAGGCGTCAACCGGCTCTCGGCACAGTCGTCCTCCCTCACGGTCTCCATCGTCCTCAACATCAGGAAACTCGTCAGCCTTGTCTTGAGCATCTGGCTGTTCGGGAATCAACTCCCTATCGGCGTGGTCATGGGCGCGGTGATCGTCTTCGTGGGCGGAGGACTGTACGCTCTGCCTGGGCCGAGAGGAGGGAAGCCAATGGACAAGGAGAAGATAAGGAAGAAGACGTAATGACCTCGGCTTCTTGCGCACAATACGACGAGAAGACGAGAAAACGTGTACAATATGATCATGAATTGGGTAGACGAAGTCCCTCGCCCCGCATTGGAGACTTCGAGCCCAGGAACCGGACGGAAACCGAGGGTACCTACTGTAAATATGTAGGTCCATGTATAGACTAGAGATAGATTTCAACGGCGCACGGGTAATGCCTCCCTTGTGACCCTGTACCTCGTCCATCTCATCCCGCCTTTCCTCGACGCACCACCAACTCTCTAGCCGGTCTGTCATGTGTGGTAGGCAGGTCAGCACAACAGTCAAAAACCTGTTCTGCATTCGATGTCGGCATCGGCAAGCACAGCGACTTTGACATTGGGTTTCACGGGTCATTTCCGCACGACAATTCCACGTCCGTCTTTGCGCAATGGGCAAAAGCGAGAGAGGAAACTGATGAGGTGTCCGAAAGGGACTCTTGACTCAAGGCGAGAGCCCAGAACTCACGTCGAGTTGCTGATAAAAGAAGCCAGCAGCGCACCACTTCATGAAAAGAGCTCGAGCTGAGCGCAAGCCTGGCTGCTGTTTGACGCCGATTATGCTCCTTTCTGCTCTTTTGATTCTTTGCATATACATCACATCTTGATTCAAACAAGCCATCCAATTTTTGTCCGAATGAGGGACCGCCTTTCTTTTCGCATCCTCCCTCCGGTCTGCCTATAATCCCCAACATATACACCCTGCATGCCCGTCATCCTTTGATCCTCAGAAGATCATACCTGCGCCTTCCGGCCCCAGCTCCCCTCCCCAAACCGCTGTCCGACACCGGCCATATCCGCCATAACCTCATTGAAAGCCTCGGCCACCTTCTCTTTCACCTTGTTTCTGTCCCACTCACTTCTCGTCCTCCAGATCGTATCCATCAACACGCTGTTCACTTGCTCAAGTTGTTCCACGGACAGACCGCTAGTTTGATCCGTGATCTCGGTGTGCAGGTTATGAAGCGCATGCTGTTCGACTTGGATCAAATTGGGTCGAGAAGGTGGCGGCGGTGACGTTGGATGTGGTGGTGACAAAGAAGGATTGAGTAGGTCATCAATACGGCTGGTGTTGGAATGCCGGTGAGACTGCGCCTCGATTGGAGGAGGCATGGTTATGGAATGCTGTGAGCCGAAGTCTTGGTCCGGCCCTTGCGAAGAAGAGGGACGGCCGCTGCCGGCAGGTTGTGATTGCGAGTTTTGTCCTATCGCCATGTTCAATGTTAGATTCACGCAGATTTACCAGGGTCGGAGCGGAAACCGGAACGGTACCCGGTTTAAGAATTGGCCAGTGTCTAATGGAAAAGGAGTGCACTTACCTTGCGTGGATGGGATCTGGCTACCCCCAGCAGACCGCCTCTCTTCGAATGGATAAAGGTCAGGGCCCGAGTCTTGGTGAACCTCCTGCTGCGTGTCATTGGATGACGTCTTTTTGTCGTTGGGTGATTGGGTTGTGCTAGCATCATTCTGGAATTCCCCTGGATGGCTCCCTTGAGGCATAGGGGTGAAGGCTCCCGTCTGGGAGGGTGGTGCTGACAATCCCGATTCCTTCATGAGCTGTTGCGAGGGCGCGGTGTATGCATGCCACGGCCTTGTTTGGGCAGAGGCACGGGCACCAAAAGAGCTCGTCGTGTGCGTCTGCTGCGTCTCGTTGCTCTTGTTGTTAGAAGATGGATGCGAGTCCGCACCTCCCATGGGTGTGTCACCTTCCACATCCACATCGTGGCCATTTGCGTGGGACCCATTTGTCAGCTGTTCTGAATTGTTGTGACTGGGGTGGATGCCGTTCGTTACAATTGATTCGGTTGAGTTGGCCTGAGCGGATGTCGCAGCAAGCCGCTGAGCAAAGTCGTTGCGGCGTTGCATGGGTTCGCCCAGCAGGATTGGGCCTGTGTCATTTGTGGTCGTTGTTCCCGAACCCTGAGCGATATTGGTAACATTGGGTGGCGGGGGCATTTTGTTTTGCTCGGCTTTCTCCAATGCCTCTCTTTCTCTTTCTAGTTCTCGTTGGTAAACACGTTCGCACTCCGCGGTGAGTGCAGGTTCACCGAATTCCAGGGATCCAATATCGACTTCGACGTTGGCTAACAGCTCATTCGCCTTCAGCAGTCGGTCCTCGTCACCAATCGTCTTTGCATCCTTTGCCAGGCGCTTGATGTCGGCCAGAAAGTCTTTCGGTCGCTTGTAATATCCATTGCTCAGACGCTTCTCGATGGTCACCGAGTCCAGATTGTAATAGAAATTTCCATTGGCCTGATCTATGAGGCCCGGCACACCGTGGGCGTCCTTTCCGATCTCGAAAGGCCGGTAAGAAGCTCTGGCTAGAATTTCAGTGTGCAAATCAGATGTCACAGTACCTGGATCAGCTTCGTCGTAGAGGTAGCGAATGTGGCTTTCATCAATCACGCCCGTCCGGAACTTTTTGTATTTCGTCCTGATCTGATCCATGATAGGCTGCAATCGAATCTTGAGCATGTTCAGAGTTTGACGGTCACGCTTCTTTTGTGCCTTGAGCTCCTCCTTGGTTAATGCATTCTTTCGCCTCTCTGGCTCAGGCGGTGCCACCGCAAGCTTCTCCAGTTCACGTTTCTTTCGGTTCTCTGGATCCGGGAAATCATCTGGTGCCGTGCTGATGTACTCTTTGATACTGCGGAAGAACTCGGACCTTTCTGCATGATCAGGTTCCCTCAGCTGGAACTGGTTCTTCTTCGAGTATCCGAAGAATTCGCGTCGCATGTTATCCTCCATGTCATCATAGTCGCCCTCTGCAAATCCAAGTAACAGAACAGGGTCGGTGGGTTTGATAGATCTCAAAAGGCCCACGAAAGTAGAAATTACCGTCTGACCAACTGTGTTGTACCACTCCTGCACATTGGGGATGTAGATGACGCTTGGTTTGTGCATTTTGATTTCAGAAAATAGTCTGATGATCGTGGCCTCGGGGGAACTCGCTGTATCGCTAAACAGCGTTGGGACATCAAAGGCCTGGACGTGGAGCCCTTCAAAGTGATTGAGCAGAGCAGAAGCGACATATTGTTGCCCCATGCCCATCTTGCCATGGATCAGCAATCGAGGACGAAAGACTCTGGTGGTCTCGAATGTTTGTTGCATTTTCTCTCGACCGAAACTGTGACCGTTCGCAGCGTCTTCGTATTGAGCCTCTTGCAGAGCGGTCAGTCTCTTCCGTTGCGGAAGTATTTCTGCCAGAAGTTGGCTGATCTGATCCAGTTGGTGCCGCAGCAGTGGCGCGACACTAGGCGGTAGGGGAGCAGCGCCGGACGACGCCGATCGCTCTGAAGAAGGCGTCATCTTTTTGAGAGATATCATAAAGTCCTTGGGCGTGACTTCTATCTTCCTTGGGTCAATGGCGAGCTTCTCGTTCGAGTTGTAAATCTGAGGGTAGTGGCGCTGGACTGCATTGAGCGCAGCTTCAGTACACAGGGCACGCAAGTCCGCGCCGCCATAACCCTTTGTCAATTCTGCCAGCTCATCCTTGATGGCTTCGGGCAGAGGGGGATCCCAGCCCTTCGTGTGAATGTTAATGATGGATCTTCTGGCTTCGGTGCCCGGTAAGGGGAAGTAGAACTCTCGATCAAATCTACCAGGTCGTCGTAGTGCCGGATCAATGGAATCAGGCCGATTGGTAGCACCGATAACAATAACCTGGCCTCGCCCATCCATCCCATCCATCAGCGCGAGCAGCGTTGAAACAATGGAAGCGTGAATCTGTTCTTGTTTGCTTGACCGTACAGGAGCGAGACCGTCGATCTCATCAAAAAATATGATGCTGGGTTGATTCTTCCGGGCTTCTTCGAAGAGTAGCCGCAATTGTCTTTCAGCTTCGCCAACCCACTTGCTTAGAGCATCGGCGCCTTTGCGCATATAGAACGTGACTTTCTTGCCCTGAGAGCTGACACTGGTGGCCAGTGCCCGCGCGAGAAGAGTCTTTCCTGTCCCAGGCGGGCCGTGGAAAAGGACCCCACGCGGAGGAGTAATCTTGAATCGCATGAAGATTTCGGGATAAAGCAAAGGCAAAGCGACCATCTCCTTCAACTGATCGATATGCCCTTGCAGACCGCCTACGTTGTCGAAAGTCACGTTTTGGTCAACTCCAAGCGGGTCAGCATCTGCTAAGGCCTGCTTGTCCTTGATCTTGCCGAGATTGGCCGGGGTGCCAGCTGCAGCCTGGGCCGGATCTGCATTGTGAGTTTGAGGGAAGAGGTTGAAGCCACCACCAGTCGTTGGTGTCATCCCTACTGTACCGCCCAAGGGCTTGGGCTGTTTCATCGTCTCATCGTCACTGCTGTCGGAATCAACGCCGCCTTGAGCCCTTTGAGGGCCTCCTCCCAGCACCGGTGGCAGGCCGCCACCCCCGCCGAATGGGCCGTAAGTGTTGAACAGGCTCCGGTTCCAACCGCCACCGCCGGTCTTTCGAGCTCGTGCAGAAGGGGATGGGGCAGCTGCTTCCTCCTCCTCCTCGAGCGGAGCGAGATTCCTGAGGAGGTCATAGTTGGGCTTTTTCCCGCCTCGTCGCCCGCGAGGCTCATAGATAATTTCTTCTTCCCTAGGACGTCTTGACTTCCTGCCGTCACGCTTCAACTCTGCGACCTCTGCAGCTAGATCGTCGTCGCTCACTTCGGACCGTTGGCGAGATGCTGCTTGGCTACGGAGGCGTCGAGACCTCCGACCTTGGTTTTCGCTCTCGTAGTCGTCATCATCGCCATTCTTTTTGCGGGGCGATGCGTTAGACTCGCTGGAACTTGACAGGTCGTCTTGGTTGGCGGCTTCATCTTCAGGATGGAAATCACTGCTCTCGTCCGGAGCTTTTCGTCGACGACTGCCCGAGGCTCCTGATTGGGCTCCATCTCCAAGAGGCCGTCCGCGCAGTCGCTTGGGCGAGTTCTGCGGTTCAAACTCAGGCGACTCTACTTTTCTCTTTGAGGAGCCACGGGTCAATCTGCCCCGCGCTGGTCTCACTTCATCCTCTTCCTCATCTTCTTCCTCTTCCTCGTCCGCGTTCTCAGCTTCGACTGTGATCTCTTCCTGCGTGGCAGCGGGTTCCGGATTGAAGTCCCCATCACTCTCACCGCCTTCAGCTTCGGCAATGGTCACAATATCCGAGATAACTCGTGGCAGCGGTTCCGCTGCATGTTCTTCCATGGTTTGAGGTTCGCTTTCCAGAAGCTCATATTGTGATGCCTGTATTTCAAGTTCTTCTTCGACCTCCTCTTCTTTGGGTTGCGATTGTGACTCTTCGTCGATTGTACTTTTCGAGGGGTATTTGAGGCCCTTTCCGCCTTTCATTGCTCTTGGTGGGATGCCTTCAGGGTCTCGGGAACCTTCGCGCACGACCTCGACGTGGTTGCCAGAATCGGTCAACTTCACCAGAGACTCTTCAGGGTCGTGAGAAAGGCGACTGCTCCTTCGGGAAGATGCAGGATGGGGTACAGACGAAGCTGTGGGTTGGTTGACACCGTAACTTCCGCTCCTGTTTCGCAAACTTCTCGTCGGACGCGCAGGGGTAGTCTTGAGGGTGATGATCAACTTTTTTCGGGGGGGCGTCTTGGCTCGGCGATGCGGATGGTCTTCTTCTGAGGAGTTGGCAAGTTCGTCTTCCTCGTCCTCGGAACTTTCTTCGTATTTGTTTGCCGCTTTTTTGGCAGCCCTCCGAACAGGTCGGCCTATTGCGTTTGTCTCGATGTCTTCATCCTCCTCATCAGAAAATGAATCTTCCTCATCCGACACGACCTCGTCCGAGTCACTGTCGACATCGGAGCCTTTGTATCCTCTTCTTCGCTTCTTGCGGGCGGGAGCGCCTCGCCGCCTAGACTTCGAAGGCCGGGACTTCGAGGGCCCGGCTGCGCGGTCATCATAATCCTCATCATCCGAATCTTCGTAATTAACAACTTCTTCGAGGGTCCTCTTGCTGCCGCGACCTGCAGGCATGGTTGCGGCTCACTTGCAGAGGCCCTTTGACGGGTGTGTCGGGGTGCGCGGAGGAGTACCTCAGCAGGCTATGTCTCGGCGGCTGCTGCAGCCCAGGGGGATCCCCCAGATCGACTCCAATAATTGCTTCTGCTTCAGAATCACTCGGGAAAGGACCAAGGGCGATTGAATTATGGGTGGTGAATGACTGTGCACTGAGGGACCGCAGCGCGTCTGTCAGCAACCGGGTGGATGTCGCGATCCAATGGAGGAATCCAACGGGAGACAGGACAAATGGTATCACAGTGACGCCACTGTCATAACTGCGACGGCATAGGATGCATCCACGTCTGCAGAGACTGTGGGCGATGATATTTTGATGGATGGCGGGAGAGTCCAAACCTTTCACATCCGACTTTGGGGGGTTCGCAGTTTCGCAGGGGCGCAGGCGTGTTTGGGGCTAGCGCAGGCAGAGCTGAGAGCCACTCGCCGCGCCAAGACCCGCCAAGACCTCCACTTTTTAAGGCTGTAGCCAATGACAGCTGTTATTCCCACTAACACCAACAGGCAGGAGATCTCGTCGCGAGCAGCTCTTGAGAAGCATCAAATACCAACATGTCTCAACCACCAACCTTTCGTGCGCCAGGAGCCCCGAAAACGTGCGGAGCTGGTACCGGAGGGGTATGCGACACTATCCCTAGGCTTTTTACCAGCTCTCGAGACCGCCACCGCCCGTATCACGCGTGGAAGAAATTGTAGGAACATTCTATTCCGCCCAAGCAGCAGCTGCAAAGATCGACGTCAGATCTCGGTTGTGCCTCGCCAGAACCTCCCTGTCGGTTGCATTGGCGCCCGCCCAGGGCAACGTACTTTTGCATGTCACGTGATGGGACAACGTTCTCGAGTGCTTTTCAACTTTCACTTGTTTTGATCGATAACCATAGTTCATTGTCATGCTTGCTAATGCTTGTTCATTCTAATGATACATATCTCGCTGGGGTCATTTGGTCATCTCTTCGGGGGACTGCACCACGCCATCTTCACCTTCAGCGTCATCGGTCGTCACAGCGTCATCCTCTCCTTCCGTCACTCCGTCGTCGTGCCAGAGCACGGAAGCCTGTCGTGAAAGTTCCTCGAGCATACTGCTCTGCCTCCGCCCTGGTGAAAGGGTAAGTTTGAGATGTTTGTCCTCCGTGGACGACACATTATCTTCGGTGCCGGGTCGCTTTCTGGCGCGTAGGAGAGCTTCTTGCGCCTGTTGCTCAAGCACAGGGTTAGGAACACGCGCCCCGTCATCAATCGGTCCTCCCATCCGCAAGCCCTCCAATATGACCCTTTCAACCTTCAAGCGATTGGTGATAAAGCGAATCTTCGGCCAGCAGCTGCGTTGACCGACGATCAGCATTCGATCCAACCGTTGGGGGCTGGGGTCGCTGAGGATATTCCAGAAGTCGCTGGCGACTGTCTTGGGCCAGATGGTAACAGTGCCTGAGAATCGTTGTAGCCAAATCTCACTCCAATCCTGTCCCATCGGCCGAGGCAGCAGTTCAAGGTGGCGCAGAATCTTCAGATATTTCTGTAGATCGAGCTTGACCGAGGTCTCAATGGTAGAGCCAAGGAATCCTCCGCGCCAGCCTCGGCCCTTGCGATGTGTCACTGGCCGACCTGGCGAGCCTCGAGGTGAGAAGAAGAACAAGTTGATGTGGGGGTTGACCTGAGAAACAATGGAGAAGTTGACATTGAAGTGGATGTTCAACGCTTTCAATGGAATGTCTGTACGCAAGCTTCCATCTTTCCATTTGTTGCCAAACGAGTAGGGGACTAGTGTCCCGTCGCTCGTCTTCCGCATGAGCACGATCGGGTTGAGGATTCCAGGAACAGCCGCAGACGCAAGTACTGCGGACCAGATTACGCAGTCGGGGCTCGTGATGTGGTTATTCAAGATTGTCGGGGAATGAGGATCGGAGGGTACACAGGAGACGTTGAGGATGCGGCCAGTTCTCTGGTATGCTTCTCGAAAAGTCAATGAGCCCCCGCAAAACCAGCTGCATTGCATTGCCCAGTCCAGAGAATCAAATCTCGCACCAGTACGCCACCATCTGCGAATCCACGTGGTAAATCCTTCGTGACAGGCCCTGATGCGATATGCCAGTGCCGGTACCAGGAGTTTCTTTAACTCCTCATCCGTTCTGGTGGCTACCAATGCCGCCACCAGAGCGCCGCCAGACGTACCGGTGATGATTTCGGGAAGCTGACCCGTATCGAGCAGGGCTTTGATGACTCCAAAATGGTAATATGCAAAGGTCGCTCCACCAGAGAGGCAAAGCGCCGTGCGCCCGTAGTTCAGCTCAAGATGCCGGAAGAAGGACACCTTTTCTTTATCGGGAATGTGTCTATTCTCAAGAACGAATCGAAGGCTTTGCTCAACTTGATCGACGAATATCTGAATCAGATCTTTGGTGCCAATATACGTCTCACTGTAAAGATGAGGATTCTCAACACCAACGAAATTGTTCTTGACGCAACTTTCGAGCAATGACTTCAATTCATCCAGAGCCACGAGACCACCATTTCCGCCACGAACTCTTTCAGACTCAGCTATGGCCTTTTGATGAAGCTCAGCTAGTTGGGCCGTGACCTTTCTCACCGTTTGGTGGTTGTAATACGAGTATGGGTCGGAGCGCTTCCACTCTTCATTCCCAAGGTACTGGTCGAGACGGTGGGCTGCTTCCTGCCATTCGTCGTAATTGGTCGCCCGATGAAGTTGCCTGCGCAATCTCTCGCGTTCCCCGGTCCATGAAAACACGTGCTCGTAGGCGTAGATGTAGAGGCGGGTCAAGTTGTAAATGATGAAGAGAAACACTATCCACCCACAGACGATGAGTAACAACGGATAGTACAGGATCGTATAGACGAAGCCTTCGCGAGTTTCATCCTTGGAACGCGGCGCCGCTTTCCGTCGAACTCGACTTCTTTTCACACGCTGCCGCACTGGACCCCAATCATTCAAAGCCGTCACGGGCTCGGTGCTGGGGGCAGTCAGGGCTTCTGCGAAACTCTGGAGATCTTCACGTCGGATAAAGTCGGTCTCGTAATCCGGTAATTCGTGGGGATCATAAGTGCCAGCAGAGATCCGCGTGGACGCGACGGCATCATTCTTCCTGGGGTTGGATGTCATTGTTCTGACATTGTGAGGGTGACAATCTTAGCGAGAGTACATTGCAGAATCACGGAGACCGCAACTACTCCATGGGAAAGGGAAGATCGAGAATAAAACAAGGGAGGGCGGAATGGTGGAGAGATGATGTTAGGGTGGTCCCACTATGATGATGATGTCTTCTGTGGTTGGGGTCGTCAGCGTCCGTCGGCGTCGAGGCTCGGAAGATGGCTTGGCAAAGCGCCACTTCAACGGGTGACTGCCAAGAGAGCGCCACACTTTCTCCAGCCACAGCACACTAGCGCCAAACTGAACAAGGCTCGGAGACGGTTCGGGGCCTAACCCGCTTTTTATCTCAGGGGCCCTGTGGCCAGCCTCAATATCAGCTCAGCCTCGCCCTAAGCGAGCGCCACTTACAACAGGCATGCTGGAGACACGGGCTTGCGCCGGTTCCCATGTATGAACGAAGTTTCGCTCTGGGAGGGCTTATCCGCTACTCAGTGAAGGCGAGCTCTACGCCCAGCAAAAGCTAGTCTGACACATTTGTCTGACTCTCCCTGGTAAGATACCTGCCACTTGGTTTGCTTTCAGGGTTGAGCTGGATGTCTATCAATCTATGTAGAGACGAAGTTGTCAATTGTGACCCTCATCAGACATCTCCTGCGAATTTTGGTCCTGTACATTCAACGAAGACAATCGACTGCGGGAGAATGCCATCTTATCAAGCGTTTCTCCAACTGCTTATGCGAGCACATGGTTGATAGACACCTCGGTACCCTAGTAGGAGGGAAGTAGGACCCTATTTCGGGAACCGATCAGATGTGTGGGATCTCATCAGATAATGAGGTGCTTCAGTCCAAATCTGGCATCCCTGTACACATGTGGAAACGAGGTCCTCTGATGATGATCAAGATTGCCGTCGAACCGAAGCGACGAGCCGTGATTAGCTGCACGATGCCGGACAATGGAGATCTGAGAGCATATGAGGGTCGTGCTGATGTTGGAGATATCCCAAACAACTATCCAACAAGCTCAGCTGGAAAACATAGCCTGTGGGCGATGGTACCACTGTATCTTTCAGTTTAAGTCCGGATCGCATGCGATTGTTGGGTATCTAGAGCTATGTTGAACGTCGCCTCAAACCAATGATACATACATGCTGATGTGTTCCGGTACTACTGTTGACATACCACGCTCAAGACACATTGACATGTCATCAATCCTTGTGATCAGCTCGGACGTCGTAAGGGATGTGCCTCCGTATTGAAAACATATTCGTCCAGACTGATCAAGTCCGGCTCGCTAAAGATCAAATAGAAATACTTCAGTGTCTCGGCCAGCCAGAAGCTCTCCATTCGATCATCCTTAGGAGGCAAGCCGTCAACGCCAGTGAGAGTAATATCAGAGAGTGCAGCATTGGCGAATTCAGTCGTAGTAATATTCCGAATCGACTGGAACATTTGCCACGCCTTCTCCTGGTACAGCGGGTCGCCTGTGATGCGATGCAAAATGAAAACGCTTTCAATCGCTTCAGGCCGGAGTATATAGCGACGATCATCAATGTCGACAAAACAGGGAGGAAGGCGCTTTTGAACGATGATATCATCAATGTTACTGTTTGCTGAGACAGAGCCAGCACGCTCGAGGACAGCAGCGTCATATCTCGCTTGATCCCAGGCACAGTTGGCTTTGGAAGGGCACGGTAACAGATGTACGATCTCAGGCATGACGCCCGTAGGCATGTTTTCGTAAGCCCATATACATCCATCCGTGAGCTGTCTACCGATCTCGACATGCTCGGGAATGGAGAAGAGGCGGCCACCTAGAGCAAACATGCCGCCAGCAAAGCACGTTAGATGCTGGGTTCTTGGCTCTTGTACAATGCCGGTATCATCTGCTCTGGCGTCTCCGCCGAATAGAATATCTGCGCCTGTCGGAGTTGATGGCCGGAATAATAGGTATTCGATCGAGGCAGCTGTTGACTGTTCGTATAGCTTCTTGTACGTAGGTGCAAGACCTCCAAGAAGAGCGTATTCTTTAGCAAAGTACTCGTACAACGAGTCGGACATGCCGCCCAGAGTAAAGGACCCATCAACAGTCATATCCTGGTTTCGCGGATTAATAACGACAGGCCAGAGACCCGGAATCTTTGTCTTGGCTTGCTGCTGATCGAAAAGCGTGGTAATTCTGTCGATAGCATCGTACCATCTCTGGTCGCCGGTGAGCTGACTGAGGCGGGTAAACTCTAGTGACAATGAACCCAGTTCGGAGACCAGCATAAAATCCGGCGCCACTTGCTTTTCGATGCCACCAGCAGCCTTCTTCCAGTCCCACCGAGTAATTGGCATGTGATTGGGAGTATCGAAGGCAGCTAGCACCATCTCCCCGACTTCAATCGCTTTGGTCAATAACAGTCCCTCGCCACTCAGATCATAAGCAGCCAAAAAACCTCCGAGATAGCGGATCGTAGTCTCGAAAATGTTGATCGTATCGTCGGTAGAAGTCGAGAAGTCGATATTGGCAGTGGCTAAAGCAGCTTCGTTGAATTCGTCTTTTAATCCCATGATCCAGAGTGTGTCAAGCGCATCTACTAGAGACGCCGCCCAACCACCGAACGTATCACGACCACCGCCAGAAATTGGTGACAATTCGTCACGCATCCAAGCCCTTGCATGATATGAAGTCCAACATCTTTCGAAAGCCTGCTTGACTTCTTGCTGGCGGCTCAGCCGCACCTCCACATCCTGGACAGGCACAGGGGTGAATTGATGCTGCACCAACGGTAGCAGCTTCGGCTTGCCCGTAGGAACGTGATTCAGGCGTTGAAGGGGGTAATGTGTTTGTCGGCTGTTCCAGGAAGAGTTTGGTGCTGGTACCGTGGGCTTCGGGGGGGAGAACGTGGCCTGTGGTGAACCTTCACTCGTAGGGGTTGACTGTGGGAGGAGCAATGTAGCGCGGTCATGTAGCTGATATAACAGGAGTAAGGCCGTGCATGAGAGCGCGACAAAAATCAGAACTCGGCGCGGGGGAAGGAGAATCATATTCAAGAATCCGTGCCTGTCAGGTAAGTGGTCAACTGCAAATGAGTAGCCGGGATGTGTCATTGAAAGGTGAGAGCTGCGCCGCCAAAGACAAAGAGAGTCCCGGAGTGATCCTCAGGTTGGAAATGGGCAGTCTCGACATGGGAGACGTTCTCGACCCTGTTGCCTTTCTTCGACAACCTGTCACCCAGACCTATTCTTCACTTCTTCTTGATGAATAAAAAAGGTCGGAAACGGTTTCAAGACTGCACTTCCATGATCTTGATCCAGGTGTCCCCTGATGAAGCGGGCTCATTTGACTCACCCACAGCGGCAAGTGAAACCATATAATGAAAACTGTTACATCTATGCGGAGTCGACCACTGTGAGGTTCAAATTACACGCCGAGATGTTCAGCCTCGTCCATGATATTCGACTTGGTTAGGGAGACGCAAGAGAATCTTTTGGGGCGAAATAAAGAGTGACGATGTGGCCAAAAGACATGATCGCGCATATCATCACATGTAGGCCGTAAGCTGTCGAAAATATATGTCTGTTTGGCGACGTCCTGCCCTGTACGATGCCCAAGGCGAAGATATGACCTGTAGAGCATGTGCTGAAGGACGCAAGAGTTATGTCTGCGGATGGAAAAGGAAAATCCCCCTGAGCTGAGCTCAGAGGATGGTTCGCTTTCGTCAGCCTTGCCGTAGTCTAGATAGGCAAACCGAGGAGGCCCAAGCATTTCTGCCCTCGGACTCAGCCTCGGAAGCGAAGCTATCGAACTAGCCTTGGCATCTGGAGAGAAAGAAGCCAACCTCTATAACGATCCTACGCAAGATACTCGGTACAAGTCTTCAGGCCGTACATTACAAAACACCACGTCGCACATTGGCGTAGTCACAAGGCTGCAGGTAGCACAGAGAGCAGAAGGATCAAATGTGCAGCCGGACTATCTGGAGGGGTATTGTTTTGGTGCCTTCCATAATATTTGGATCCAAGTACGCGCTCTGGCCTGTCGAATGGTGTTATCGGGGGGGGGGGGGGGGCAAGACCTCGAGGCTCTACTAACTACCTACCTAGATGTACCGAGTACCTCGTACTGTACCTCGTATATGGGAATATCTTGGCCAGCATCACGCAGGGTTGCTTCACCACGTCAGATCCGGCTCATGTACCCACAGTAACCATCCAATCTCCCTCCCCACGCGTTCATAACGCGCTCATTTGCGCACACCGCTTTTCTGCCCCTCCTCCTATGGCATTGAGAAGCAAAATTGTCTTTGCATTCGACCTCTGGTAATCAAACGAGAGAGAGGTTAGGCTTTTGATCAACAAATAACTGGTCAGATGATGAGCAGTCTTCGGATCTCCAATGCAGACCTCAGCTTGCCAGTGCTGCAGACGTGCATAATTCTTCACCTCTCACGAGTTGCCAGTGGGTAATTGTCGGGAATTGACATCATACAGCGTCTCCAGCCCCTCCATCGGAAGTTTGGGACCAAGGGAGCAGGCGGGCCAGCGCTCAGATGCTACCGAGTCCTCCGCATTCCTCATGGCGGTTGGCCAAGCAGCCCATCTTCCCACACCCATCGCTGCACAATTTTCAGGGAATGGGCAGGGACATCTCCGCTGGTCTGGCCAAATGACTTGTTAGGCAGGGAGGCCCATTTTGTGCCGAGCGGAACCAAAAGTGGCAGCGCTGCAGAGATCGTCGAGCATTTTCCGAGAGCAGAACTCTCATTTGTGCAAAGCGCAAAAACCACCCTTCGGTCGAACGCTGGGCGGTCCTCTGACGCTGTGGGGGTTAGTGTCAATCGAGGGCAACTTGTAGCCTTGAACAGCTTTGGAAGTGATGCAAGATGTCGTGGGCGTGCAACCTGAATCCACCAGAGCTCTGCCGCTAACATAGCCCCCCATGCATCTATTGCTCTGTGCCTAGGCGACCTCGGTGCCGTCTCGCACTGGACGATATCTCTTAGCTTTCCACTGAGGGATGTTGCAGTCAGAGAGGATGATGATTCCATGCTTCTATCATGCCTGACAATGTCGCCCTCCAAAGACGGATTTTGTCGTTGTCTTTAAGGGAATCGCTGCTTCGCCACTCCTCACTGTTAGCACCGCCAGTCAAGTTATCTCGCCGGTGTTTTCGAGCCGTTTTACCTGTGCTGCAAGAACGCCAGTAAAGTTTCTCGAGTGGGCGAGATAAGTTTCTTCTCTTTTCTTTTTTCTCTTTTTTCCCACGTTTGGCTCTGTCGGTGCTGTTGCGGCTGGAGCAAGGATACCAAGCATGTGAAAATCCTTGCTTACTCGTTCCCTTTCAGGTGCAGCTCCAACTTGGGAGCAAGAGTCCCATTGGTTGCTCGCTTCAAATCACTCACAGACTGTCTTGCTTTGCAGTAAAAAATAGCGAGCTAATAGGCACTTGGAGCAAGTCTGCTGGGCTAGTCTGGAGGGCCCCAACCAAGCTAAGAATGGCGTCGATTCGGTATCGACGGAGGCGAATTTCTCTGGAGGCATTTTCCCTTCGATGCACTGACACCGAACTGGGAGACAGGCTTCGATCTTGGCTAGTTGGAGCTCACGGCAGCCGGACTCCGACCTCAGGAAGTGATATTCAGGTAGGATGAAATCATGTGTGCTGAAGCACCCTTTGGTTGACCAATAGTGTAACGATTCCTATGGCTGCGATCTTCCTGTGACACCGCATAATTTGTTTGACGCTGAATGCTTCCCGGTCGACCGCACTACATCCCACACTTGGGGAGCCAAGTGGCGGGAAGGCGAGAGCCAGCCCTCTGCAAGCGATTTGCGGCCAACACACGGGCACTATTATTCGCCCCAGAGGATGACTTAGAAGCAGATCTCCCTATCATACAACAATTGGTGAGAGAACGCCCCTCCCCCCGGGATTCGCTAGCAGAAGCAGCTGCAGTTGTTCTCTGTAGGTGACAGGTTTCCGGGGTTTCTGCACGCAAAATGGAATGCTCAACTGCCGGTCGGTTTGCTGAGACTGCACCGGTGCAAATCAAGCAGTTTGATCTGTTGGGAAATGGTTGCTGGCGTCGAGGCCACCACTTTCTCAGCATCGGTCATGAGGTCCTCCGAAGCTGCAGCTGATTTACACGCTAGCAATGTGACCACGGACCAATGCGCCCTAAGAATTGCAGCGCAAAGGGAAGCATTCTTGCCTAGCGGGCCTCTTACCACCCTCAGATTGTGTCAAAGGCGAACTTGTGGTGAGTGAAAAATATTCCCGCTCGAGCTCGTGCAGCATTCTGTGTCACACGGCTCATGCATCAGCATTGGTCAATCGGTCGAGACCGCGACATGGCACAGCCTGAAGTTGTCATTGTAGAGTAGCGGTCAAAAGCCTGGCCCTGTCGTCGACCGAGCACAGACGCAGAAGGGCTGGTCATGCAGCTGGGCGTCCGTGATATGTGAATGCCGAAGGCAAGGACAGAAGCAGACACGAATGCAGGTGGTAGCCATCGGATTTTCGAAGCCAGAGTTGCCATCTCGTTTCGGTTGGCGTTATCATCGTCAGCTCGCAGCAGGCCCGTCGAATGAAGACTTACAGAGCCTGATCAGGCTACATTGTGTGCTTGTTTCGAGGTATCAGGCCAGTCAAACAGAAGCAAACTTTCCCCAGTGCGCTTTGGCCCTCGCTGGTGCATCGAAGCGCCTAATCGTAGTCTCCCAAGGCGAGACGACAACAGTGCCCACCTGTTGGGCTGGCCCTTCGCAGATGGAGTGGAACTGCCCTGGCGGCGCAGGTAACTCCAAGTCGCTTTGACTGGATAACTTGGAAAGTCTGGGAGCGACAATCAATAAAGTTTAGCCTCGAAGATTTGACAGAACCTTTCCAGCACTCTTGTCCGTTCGCGTGTCGAGTGGCATGAGGGGCGCGGTCAGCGGTTGTGTGATTGTGTACCTCTTCCCGCCTATGATTAGACGCTCTCTCAGAACGATGCTGTGGGAAGCAAGCGAGGGCCGAGCCTGTCCGGCCGGCCATCGACGGATCTCATTGCGACATACTGTGTACAGGACATGGTATGGTGTCTGGAAGCTGAGAGTTTATTTTTTTATGGATTACGATGTCAATCACGAGAATGAGGACACTGGAGGGTGTGCCGCTTCGGATTTCGGGCGGGTAAGGGTGGGCAGGAAGAGGATATCATCGTCGCTCTCGTGATACGAAAACTGTTAGGGGGGTCCCAGAAGGAGCACATTTGTGGATAGGGATATGTCGTCGGTATACCCGTCGTGGAAACGGTATAGACACGCTGCAGGGAGATCAACGTCGATCCTGTTGCCTCAAATGCTCTAATTAGAGGAGTGTCCAGAGCGTGAGGACTACCTCACCTTCAGATTGATCACCTTGGGTGCCACTGGGGTCATCCTGAGGACGTAGTTAGCACTCAGTCATTTGTCCTCGTCGTCTTAGCTTGGTATGCACAGGCAATCCAGGGAACTAGTCACTTGAGCAAGCGGACTACCGTGGGGACATATCGAGGGTTTGGAGGGGCGCGCGTGTTTTGTTATAGGAAGCGTGGCGGAATCCCCTACAGCCCACCAAGACTCTTGATGATATGCATCTGATCCCGCTGCCTCTAACTGACCCGGGCATTATAGTTAGCTCCTGCCCACCCCCCGGCTCCAGTCACCCACCCAGGCCCCTGCATCTGATCTGTTCTAGTTAAAGGTGCCCATTGCGCAGCTGCCCACCTGCCCGCCGTCCCCCTCCACCCTAGCCCAAGGCCAATCTAACTCAGTTGTTACCTTTTGATAGCAAAACTCTGCACGCTCCATCTCCTCCAGTTCCATCCTGCATCCCACTCCCGCCATCCTGCGCATCCCTACACAAACTCCAGACACAGTTGAACTCAACTTGTCACCGCCATTGTTCAATACCCTGGGCTCTTGCACATCACACCTGGCCGTGGCAGAAGGCTGGTTCTTGCCTTTCTCTTCCGTGCTGGTGTTTTCTTTTCTCACACACACCCTCATATCCCCCTCTCAGCCTCATTCATCCCACGGCTCACCTCACTGCTGACCCGTCAAGGCCGTCACTTGCCCGCCTGCGATTGTCACGCAACCACTTGTGCTTACACAACAGTTGGTCGAACGTCCCAATTCACCCTCATATACACAGCGTTCTGCCTCAATTTCTCTCGGGTGAATCAGAATCTTGTCTCACTGGGCAATCACGCGTGAAGAGAGGCACAGGCACAGCTGCAATCTTCCTTACCGGCTGCGGACAATCTTTTCAGCCTGGTCACGTTGGCAGGGCATTGCAGCCGGGACCTTTTACACGCCACATGCCACCATGATTTCTTCGCGGAATCCTCGTACGTTCTCGTCCTTGCAAAATCCAGCCCATCAATGAGCCTGGAATTGACTTGGCAAGCAGCTCCCGGGTCGCACGTTTTGATCCTTCACGCTCCTTTACCTTGAAAATTTGTTTATCCTGAACCTTTTCTACAAGCCCGTCTCGAACTCTCGAGTTCGACGAAGCAGGAGATGGACCGCCTGCAAACAGAAGATGGGCATCATTTCATACGGGTGAGTGTGTTTTGTGGTTTTTCTTATCGCACGGCATCCACAACTATGCGCACAGGTGTAGGCATCACATAGATTGCAGATGCCATCTGCGCCCCTCGTTTCGAGCACCCTTTACTGATTCAACGCGACGTGTTCTATAGTCTCTGGCGCAGTTTATCCGCCAACATGAGAAAGCTCTCGCGAACAGCCTGCAGATGTCTGTTCACAGACGGCAGGCCTCCCTCAATAATAACTCGACAAATAGCTCTGCCCCGACCTCAGGTACTTCTTCCTCGAGTACAAATACCTCCGCCAGCGCTCTAGCTGCAGCATTTTCATTTGCTGGCCTCTACTTTCGATCCCACGCCGCAAAAGCGGCCCTGTTGACGCTGACTCCCCATCATCTCTTTTACCTCCTATCTCGTATGGAAGAGCTGGATATAGCTGTTGGCCCGATGAACATACGTCTAGAGAGTCTCACCAATGAGCCTACACCCTCGAACTACGTGTCCTTCCTGCAAACTCACAAACCAGCCAAAGGCCGCAGTGACAAAGATTCCATACATTCTGTGTCCAGCATGCGCAGTGTCATGTCGGGGATGAGCTCGTTTTGGTCATCAATTGGCCTCGGAGGGAGCACATCCAAAAGCGAGAAGGCCAAAGCCCTCACACAGGCGGATCTAACCTACCTCTATTCTGCATTTACCAAGCTTCCTTCTTTACGCCTCACTACTGATCACCGTGCGAGGCTGATCAAGGGATACGAGGAATTTCCGTTCGATACTGCTGTTCCGTTGTTTGCTTTCAAAAACCTTCAACAGCTGGACATAGTGGATCTCGATTTCCGCCAATTCTTCGGATGGGATCGAATATCGGAGCAGCTGACGCTGCTCACCGTGAAGCGAGCCAACGTCAGTGATCCGACCGAGCTGCTCACAAACATAGTTTTGGATGACGCTGAAAAGCGTCGAAGGCGGTCCACTAAGGGCGGACGTGGGTCTCCCACCATGTCTGCCTCCTGGACTGTACCGTCAACTCCACGAGCTGAATACGCACAGTCGCATTCCGATCCGGGCTCCCCAGCACATGGAAGTTTGGATAATGAAGACTCGATGGAGCCAGGGTCCAAAACGAAGCCACTCTCAGGAAGCGTATCTCCTAAACGGCCGAGCGCCTCTCGGCCTGCCAGCTCGTATAGGCATATTCGGACTTACTCCTCGACGGTGAGAAGGACGGGTTCTGGCAGCTCCTACTCAAGCGAGTACTCGATCCAGCCACACCGTAGCGAAAGCAGCACCAATGTGCTGAGCTTAAATGTTCTACCCCCCTCGAAATGGCAGAGGCTGAAGTATCTATCCCTGGCAGACAACTCCATGACCACTATCTCAGCACAAAGTCTGGCGCCTGTAGCCAGCACTCTTCGATCTCTCAATCTCTCCTCTAACCTCTTCAACGAGATCCCGGATAGCTTGGCATCTTTGACGAGGCTCGTTTCTCTTGATCTGTCGAATTGCATGATTGGTTCTCTCCAGTCACTGTCGAGATCACCTCTACCCGCTATTCTCACAATTAACCTCAAAGGTAACCGCTTACGTTCGTTGGCTGGCGTTGAGAGGTTGCTGTCTTTGGAACAATTGAACGTCCAGGACAATCAGCTTTCAGACCCTATGGAGATGGCGAGGCTCACGGGCATACCGAATCTAAAGCGGATTTGGGTCAAGCGAAATCCATTTACCAAGACGCATTCTGAATACCGGGTAACGACATTCAATTTGTTCCGAAAGACACCTGGGTATGTCGATGACATTATTATTGATGAGTCGGGGCCAGGTTATTCGGAGCGCAAGCACTTGTCGGATCGAGTCCCCGAGGTTGAGCGAGAGCTTTCGCAACCGTCCATCCGGATTGCTGAGCATCCCGTAGTGGTTCAACAGTCCGATCCGGCTCAGCCTAGCTCCAACGAGTCTCCGGAAATTGTGCTTAACACGACGCGCCGGAAAAAAGCCCCTCGAAGACGGATAGTCGATTTGGCACACGATGAAACTTTTGCCCGAGTTCCTGATGAGGACTTGGCGGCGACGATCACTCCGAGTGCCAGTATTGTGCATCGCGAGGACATACCAGCACTCAGCGCTCCGGTCATACCAACACCGGCAGAAGCAGTGGTGGACGATATTTTTGACGGGTCGACGGAGGCACCGTCTGTTGGCTCTAGCGAGCCAGCCCAACAACACGATGACTACCGATCGAAAGTGGAGGCACTGCGGCAAGAATTTGGCAGCAACTGGCTGAGTGCCTTGGGCGACCAAAATTGGCACAACAGCCATCATTTTGAAGTGTTGCAAGGGCAAAGCCTGAGCCATGATGCATTGCATCGGTCAGGACACCAGGTCATTGTTTCTGGCGGTGGGCGGACACTGGGATAAGTCCGCCTCCCAGACATGTGTGATTTCACTGCGTATCTGCGGAAATTTCTTGTTTGACATTCTTACTAGAGGCCATTCGTTGTCTCAGCCATGAGGCCGTGGGTTTTTTGTGTTTGGTCTGCATTGATATACCCATTCGTTGCGATTTTGCCGAAAGAATTGGTGGTATGTATAGCTGGATGGGGGAAACCAGTCGTCAATTCTGTTGCTTATTGCGCGGGCTGCATGTTGCATTCTACTCCGGTGTGTTGTTTGCAGCATAGCGATGGCGTTTTGGGTTCCACTGCGAAGAGCATTTGTTACAGACTGCTTTTATCAATGTCTGCATGATTGCATGAAAGCACGAGACCACGGGACTGGGTTGGAAGTTTAGTCTATTTTTGCAATGGAGAGTTGACTGCGTGATCGTGATTGAGGGAGCCGCCAAACCGAGTAAGGGCTCCAAGTACTGTCACTCGTGGCGACTGCCTCATTCCTCTCCCCTCCCCTGGTGTTGTTCTCGAGTCTCCCTCTCTTTTCCTCACTCAAACTGTATGCTCGCAGAATGGACGCCCAACTGTCTTTTCTCATTGCGCTCGTGCTCCTTCTCTTCCTCTTGGCATTCCTTGTGCTTCTCCTCGCTGTATTAGACAACAACTCAACCAGGGGAAAAAGAAGAGTTGAGAAGAGGGGCTGTTTTCTTTGTCTCGCAACCAAAACTAAACAATGAATGACCAGGGTAGTGCTGTCGTAATAGGAGCGAAAGAGGTGTGTGTAGGAGGTAGGGTGTATGTGGTGTCAGACAGAGGGTTAGGTATGTAGTAGGTGTGGATGGTAGTTGCCAGGCCTAGCAACGAGGAGGGTTGGTGCCAAGAGAGGATACCGCCTTGCCGCCTGCCAGGATTTGAGAAAATAGACGAATCCCGCCTTCCACCCACTGATCCCTCCCATTTCCATCCCTCCATCCACCGACCACTCATCCAGCCCATCTTATCCCATAACCACCGCAAACCTGCACTGCGTTTTCTCATCCGACCGCAGTCCACCTCACCTTTCGCCTGTATCAATCGCCCTGCGATCAGTATTCGATTCATTCCATCCTCATTCTTCAGAGCACTGCGAACCCACCCTTCCTCGCTGACATTGACCCACTGTCTGCAAAAAGAAAAATCGTACGGTGTCAACTTGTGCCCTGCTCACGAATCCAACTGCGTTGCCCGCTCTGCGCCGAGAATACCCTCCTCAGCCCTGCCTCATTGTGCCACAGATCCCTCTAACATCCGCCACGATAACAACACCTCTCTTTGCTGAAGGTCCTTGTCCCCTGCGATCCTCATCCCGCCCTCTTCAAGTCCAATTGGGACTCCTCTCGCTGAGCCCGTTTGTTGGCTGCCTCGGGGTCGAAAATTCAATTTTGGTACATACCCTCCCCCCCCCGGTTTAGTCCCTTGCGTCAGCTGCCACTCACCACCTACCAGAAATTCATCCCAGACTGACAGAAATTATTCTTTAGCAGACTAGCATTACCATCTGCACGTCCTTCGATACATCGATTTCCTTGAATTTTCCCTCTTCCGACCGCACCTGGTCGCCGCCCGCCCTTCCCTTCCACCCCCTTGCCCCGCCCGCGGCGATCCCACCATGGCCGACCAAAATGAGGTGGACCTCGATTCTGTCATCGATCGCCTGTTAGAGGTCAGAGGAAGTAGACCAGGGAAGCAGGTTCAGCTGCTCGAAGCTGAAATTCGCTATCTGTGCACAAAGGCACGAGAAATCTTCATCTCCCAGCCGATATTGCTCGAGCTGGAAGCCCCCATCAAGGTACGATTTGCTCCTCTCGTGAATAACAATCCTCGCCGCGTGCAGGCCTCGGACTGACAATCACTGTCGTAGATTTGTGGCGATATCCACGGTCAATACTACGATCTTCTTCGCCTGTTCGAGTACGGCGGTTTCCCTCCCGAAGCGAACTACCTCTTCCTCGGGGATTACGTGGATCGAGGCAAGCAATCCCTTGAGACCATCTGTTTGCTTCTGGCCTACAAGATCAAATACCCTGAAAACTTCTTCATTCTGCGTGGCAACCACGAGTGTGCCTCCATCAACCGTATCTATGGCTTCTACGATGAGTGCAAACGTCGATACAACATCAAGCTATGGAAGACATTTACGGACTGCTTCAACTGCTTGCCTATTGCTGCGATCATTGACGAGAAGATCTTCACCATGCATGGAGGTTTGAGTCCAGATCTGAACTCGATGGAGCAAATACGCCGTGTCATGCGACCAACAGACGTGAGTATTCCTCCTCCCTGGCAAAGTCACCGCCCTTCACTTTGTGCTATATGTACTGAACCTGCTAACGCATGACAGATTCCCGACTGCGGCCTTCTTTGCGATTTGCTCTGGTCAGACCCGGACAAGGATATCACAGGCTGGAGCGAGAATGACCGTGGCGTCTCCTTCACCTTTGGACCCGATGTCGTGTCACGGTTCCTACAAAAACATGACATGGACCTTATCTGTCGTGCACATCAAGTGGTGGAAGACGGTTACGAGTTCTTCTCCAAGCGACAACTGGTCACCCTATTCAGCGCTCCAAACTACTGTGGCGAGTTTGACAATGCTGGTGCCATGATGAGCGTAGATGAAAGTCTACTTTGCTCCTTCCAGGTATGGCGCAAATGACTTGAACTCCTCTTACCAAACCCCGACCTGTCCTTACTGACTCTCATCTTTACCAGATTCTCAAACCTGCCGAGAAGAAACAAAAGTACGTGTATGGCTCTAAGAGCCCAAGCGGGTCCACTCCTCCGTCTCGCAAATTCAAAACCTAGTCCCTTCGACTCGGGCTGATTCGATCTCATTGATAGCAGGTTTGGAAGAAGATAGGGTCACCTTCTGGCTTCCCCCTCGATTCGGTCTTGCACTCGACCAGTGTCCTTTCCCTCCGGTTCCGAAGCATGCGACCAACCGCCACCACTTAATATTTTCCACGCTCCCATGGACATCTCATCTTTTTTGGACCTGCGAAAGACTTCACACTTGCTCATTTTCATCAATACGTTGACTAGCCTCCGACTTGTCAATTTTCGAGGTCGGACGCCAGTCCCCAGTATCAACAGTGGACAAAACCAGTCATCACCACAACGCGGCGGCAATGTATCGGGTCGATTCGAGGTTCAAGGGCGAGTTGATCTACTACTTTTTCATGGGCTTACAATGGAAATGGGATTACGGATCGTGACGTTTCGTGGAATGGGGTTGTGGTGCATGAGACGTGGAGAATTGCATTTTTGACCACCAGAACTTGACCTCCTGTTCGCTGTGTCCGTGCAGATATGTGTTGTCTGTGCGAAAGAAGGAAAAGAGATGTTGCTGGAGCGCAGGGCGCAAGGCGAGACTACTTTCCCCCATTCCAAATGTACCACGCAAATGACGGGTTTTGCTTTCATGCCTTTTCGATGCGGTGACGAAGGATGGACAAGAGACGCCCATGGAATGATTGAATGCACGGTGCAGAACAAGAATAAAGCAGATCATACCACACGACACAACGCAGAGCAGTTATGCATCAAGTTAGCAGTTGAATCCGCTCCCTCTGTATCAAGATGACTTCAAATAGTAGTATACTGCCGGCGCCTTGATTTTGCTGTCTGCTAGTATTGTACAAAATAGAAAATGTCTTGTTATCAACCAAGAATAGAAGAACACGGCAAGGTGAGCCAAGCGCACACTATAGCATTCGATTGAATGTCGCTCGGTCACCCAACATTTCTGTTCCGTGTCTCATCGTGGCTCGAGCCCAGGCTTTCAACTACACATGTACGCCACGGGGATCAACAACATGCTGAGCAAGCAACTTAGAAGTCAAAACCGTCGCGGTCCTGGCCAGCGGGTCAGAGGAGAAGGGTAGAGAGAAGAGGCAAAAGCGAGAGGAGACGTGAAGAGAGCATTACACGAGCGACTGTGCATCCATCTGCGGCGGTGCATATATGCATGCATACATATAGATCGTTGAAGGGCCGAGACCGTGGATATATATACCTAGTATGCTAGGGACATCACACGCCTTTTTTCCCTTCAGTGTGATCTGGATGGATACATACTGATCTCCTCGAACAGACCTCAGACTTACGTTTTAGGTGTCCAGATAGGTAGATACCATAGATATCAAGTGGCGTCGAGTCTGGACGGCATGTACTCGGTACATCTGTCTCTCTCTCTCCCCCCCCCCTTTCTGCGAGTGGTTTGGAGGGTGCTCTCAACCCATCAGTTTGACACGGCTTGTATTTTCATTCCTCGATCTAACAATTGGGGGTTTCTGTCTCTTTGTCGCTCTCGCTTGTCTCTTTCTTGGATTTCTTGAGAATTTGGGCGGGCCCCGTTCTGTTTACTTTTGGATTCTTTGGGTTGGATTTTCCCATCTCGCGCGCTCTCTCTCCCCCCCCTCTCTCTGTGGGTCGTTCATCCTCGTCTCATGTGGGCCTTTTTTTTTTCTTTCTCCCTTTCCTCTTCGGGGTTTCTATTCTGTCTCTTTTATTCCGTTGGATTCCCTATCAGCAGCTAGCTAGCGCAGTGGAAGGAAATCAAGGGCTGGTATCGTCTCGCGGCATGGTGCTTGACGGCGTTGAAATGGTCGGGATCTTGATGCAAAAGGGGAATTGTGGCTTGTCGGATTGATTCCTGTCTGCTGCTCGAGGGGTCTTGAATGCGTTGATGCGTCATGAATGCAGGGATGGATGCATGGATGGGTCTGATGAATTGGACTTGATTGATTGCCTGCCTGCCTGCCTGACGAACGGTGACAAAGGACTATGGGGATTGTGGCTCGACAGATGAAATGTATCGGTCGCTGGAGACTGTCGAAATCGCCTCTTTTCTGTCATTATGCATCATCTGCTCTGCAATCTTTCAAACATATTGCGCCAGCCATCTGATCCCCTCTCCGTAACCCTGCCTCATGACAACACTGCACATAAACACCTCAATCGGCCTGATCCCCTCGAGCGGCACCTTGCCCTTCCCCGTGGTCTGGTACAGACCCAACTGGTGTCTCAATTCGTCCTCTGACACGGCATCCGGGTGATCGATTTTGTTGCCCAATATCAGGAACGGCGTCTTTGCGAGGTCTTCCATGGCCAGGAGGGCGTCGAGTTCGGCTTTGGCTTCAGGCAGACGTTCGTGGTCCTTTGCGTCAACGAGGAAGACGATGCCCGATACTTCGGGGAAGTAGTCGCGCCAAAGCCGGCGTGCTGTTCAAGATTCAGTCCACCCGTCTGCGACGCCATAGCTTCTGGGAAATGTTGCCCAACGTACCTTGCTGGTGACCTCCTAGATCAAAAGTTGTGAATCTGTTGTTGCCAATAGCGAGTTCTTCGGAGGCTGTGCCAGAGATTGTGAGTATATGACACTGGATTGGGGCTCAAACGTCAGGGGAGTACGTACTAGGATGTAACGTTGGTTGGAGGATCGCGACTCGGTCATTCTGTCAAATAGCACGCATCGTCAGCATTGGAGTCCCATATGCTCGAACGTTGTCCAAAACTTGAGTTCTTCGAAAGTCGTGATCAAGCCAATGTTGCATGATGTCCTGGCACCACCCGATCTCTTCTCATCCAGCTCCGCACCACATGAATTCCAAAGATTGCTGCTCCGGTGTCTTCTCACCTTCAACATGTGTAATAATGTCGTCTTTCCCGCATTGTCGAGACCGAGGAAGAGGAGTTTGGCATGCTTGTTGAGGAGGCCTAGAGAGGCGAGGATATCGTAGACTAGAGTGATAAAGCGATCAGGTCAGTCTGTCCTCTGCACAAGCGCAGGAATTCCGCTGCACATACACCAATTGATGATCCACATATTCGCAGTTGTGAGGACGTGGAGGATTTCTTTGCGAAAAAGCAATCACAGAACGGACGAGGAGGGCAGACAACGAGATTAAGAAATGATGGAGGCACTCGGCCAGATCTCACGGCAGTAGTGAGGTGATGGGGTGCCACCGTATGAAAAGTTCCTAAAAGAGAAAGAATCCCAAATAATACTCGGGGTTAGTCTTCCGTTGAGGCATTTCACGTGATGACGTCCACGTGACCATCACTGCTCACGAGATCGAGCAAGTCGGGAGAATGGCCTGAGGACTTACTGTCAGGACCTGATGAACAGAAAGGAGAAAGACAAATACAAGAATACTGCTTTGTGCATATCACGCTCTACAATCGAGTCTGCCACTCGAGAGAGCTATTCTGATATCTGGGGACCATGCTGATGGTCATGTCATATATTTACAACGCAAAGATTCGCCTCCCGCGACAGACGCCAGTGCTATGCATAAAGGCCCTCTGAATCCCAAAACCGTCATCGTGTGAAAAATGGTATGCAGGCTGTGTAATGACCCATGTCGCTCCCACCCAGACCCGTCATAAAGTTCGTCATACTCGAGCGCAAACAGGCATCGATATATGTTCAAAGAGGCTCAAGTAAGCCCGAGTAGAAGTGGTCGACAAATAAAACAGTATATGTGTAAAGGTTTGTAAAGGGAATCAAAGTGAAAGCACCAGCTGGGTCTGCTGTCCGATGCCGTAGCCTTTGGTCCGCTCAGCACATTCGAGACCAAGCTCCTTCATCCTTTCCGCTCCACGACCCGGAACCGGTTTGCGTTCAGCTTGTTCCTTGGCCGCTTTACGACAATGCTGGCGCCAATATTTTTCTTTGCGCTTCTGGCGTTTCTTTTCAAGCCCGGCGACAATGTCGACTGGCCCACGAACGTGCATGTCCGGACGTGGCGGCTCTTCAACAGCCGGTGTGACAGCTCCCGATGCAATATTGGAGATGGAAGGACTGCCAATATGGAAGTTTTTGAAGAATGGATTAGGAGTGTCTGGAAGCGACGCTGTCCGCTCCATTGTCGGGCGTTGAGCGAGTCCTCTTGGATTCCGATTGATCCTGGTCGGGATACCGGCGTTGGTCGGCGAGCCTCGAGGGGAACGCAACTTAGCTAACGGGAAAGGTGACCTGAGTCTGGTGGGAGAATGCCCAAACAATTTCCGGGGCGGCGGTGACCGTGCAACCGCGTGCCTAGGAGGTGGCGAGCGGAGAGTGCAGCGACCGACTCTTCCGCCGAACGCAGTACGAGGTGGAGAGGGCGAATGAGCAATCGGCATGGTGAACGACGGCTTCCGGCGTCCACGATGCTCCTCGTCAAAATCGGCAAATCCATCCTTCAGCCACCGTGGACCGTCCGAACTTTCCTGCGACTCGTCGAGCTCTTCTTCGTCGCTGTTTTCTTCGTTGTCTTCCGGATCAGTCGTTGGGAAGCTGGGATCAATATCCTGTGGGATGGGGATGTGCTTCTCTCGCTTCTTCTGCTCGCGGCAAGAGATATACGCGGCCTCCAAGGGACGATCCTCATCAAGCGTTCCACAAACAAAGTCGGTGCTATCGGGCAGCTCCGGTGTGCCAGGTCTCATCCTCGACACCTTCAAGGCATTGTTGCGACGTCTTCCAGCTTGCTTCATCATTGAATGGATGGGCGGCGTGCTGGACCGGATCAAGGACTCGACAGAACTGGCCTCAGACTGTCGTCGTGCGCTAAAATGACTGATGTTCAGATGCTCGCTGTTCGTGGCCACACCGGTGTTGGAAGGCGCCCAGAATCTATACTCAGAGCCGCCATCGCTTTCTTCATCAGAGCTGGCAAATCCTCCTTCGTCGTCCGATTCATTGCCACCGTCGGAGCCGTCATCGGATGGGGCGAAGTCGTCTTCATTGTCATTGTACTCATCCTCAGATGCGTTCTCAAGCTCCTCCTGTTCTCGTTCCTCTTCCTCCGCCTCCTCTTCCGCTTCGCGACCGATTTGCCGGATGCGGTTTTCCTTTTTCATGCAATCATCAAGGGTGAGCTTCTCCTTATGAACCTCGGGCTTGTCCACCCATGAGTCGGTCTCATCCTGAGATGCGGCGAATTCATGAAAGGTCGCCTTCGGAGAGGGTGGGGTAGGTCTCGCTTTCTCGGGACTAACTACCCTGGCCGTATCGGTAGAGTGACCGGTGAGGTCGACAGAATCCGAAGTGGACTTGCGCCGGAAGGGGGCGGGAGATGGGCGACGTGTGATCTTTGATTCAGCTCGTAACTTGGCGGGAGAGCTTTTTGGCTCGTTTGTGCTTGTTCGCGAGGGGCAAGCAAAGGTGATTGCACACTTCCGCTTGGGAGCCTCAGGTTGCTCGGTCAATGGCTTTTGCTTGCTCACTTTCACGCTGTCTTTGCTCTTCTCGGAATCTGTGCCTCCGCAAGCAAACATGATGCAACGTTTTCGGCCCAGTGTCTTCTCAACCGCTGCTTCGCCGACTTCTGCCACTGCTACCCTTTCGTCCTTCGTTATCGGGGCAATGACCACTTTGGGACTTGTTTTCTTGAGATTGAGGAGTGGGCCGAAACGTCCCGACGGGGGTGGTGGACTGGGTGTCGCTGACCGCGACTGGCTGGTGTCCCCGTCACTCGTCAACTCCGCGGTCGAGGGCATGCTCGCCGTGCTGTGAGAGGACGTCGTTGACAATCCACGATCGGCCAATTTATGCGTATCATCTTCGTGATTGGACTCTGCCCGGATGGCACGAGTCAGGAGAGACTCGCGGCGAGTGTTCGGAGGAGCGTTGGATCGGTGGTAGAGAGCCTCTCGCGTGGGGACGATGGTCAGTGGGGATACCTGGTCGTCCGGCGGTTCGTCGGCGTCCGCACTGAGCTCGTCGTCACCGAGGGGAAGTGTGGGGGCGTTTGATAGATTAAACATCTTGAGTAGACTCTGCATGGCTGAATTTCTTCGGGTGGCGTCCATCTGGTGCTTCTGGTGATGTGCCATCTGGACTGCAGCCAGGACAGACAAAGGTAATGTAGAGGAATGAAGGAGATTGCAGGAAGTTTTCCCACAGCCCAACACAGATGGCGATCGAGTTCAGGCAAGAACGCTACCAACACCAGTGGCCGGCTGGCACTGTTTTGCTGGCGGGAAAAAGATATTGATTTGGCCCACAGGGACCGCCGCTGTTATAAATTGGACTTCGACATTTTGTGATTTATAACAAGTCAATTCCTCTGAACACCAGCAGAGTGGTAAGGCGTGAACAGAAGAGTCTTCGCGTGGTAGGTAGTCAGTCAAGACTGCGGCGCGGCAGGTGGCGCTTCTGCGGTGACTGCGGTGTCTGGGGGTTTTGCGAGGGCGGAACTTCGAGAAATGGGGAACTGAAGGGCGTGAGTAGAGATGCGGGTATATGAATTCGAAATGAGAATAGATTGCTTACGAGAGGAGAATGGTCAAGAGACCGAAGATGCTGGATGAGAGGAGCAGTAGGAAGAAGACGGATGTAGGATGGCGAAGGCGGAAAGTGGCAGTAGGCAGTAGTAATCGCAGGTGGTGTGCTTCTGCGCTGGGGGGTAGGGAGCAGTCGGGAAGCGGGAGTGGAGAGGGAAGAAAATTTGGAGAGGAAGAGTGAATAGAGGGCGACGGTGAAGAGGAAATGGGTGAAAGATGAGGGAAAAAATGCGGGCAGCCGGAATAGCAGCAAGCGAGAGAGAAGAGAGAGAGGGTGAGAGGAGGGATGGAGGGATGGCACCAATTATGGCACCAATGGTACCCGGATGGGCTGGTTTGATGGCGAGAAAGAGAAATTTGGAGAAAGAAGGAAAAAGATTTGTGAGCAGAGGCAGCGAGTGAAGTACCTGGTCTCTAAGAGACACACACAAACAAAAACCCAGCCAGACTTGCAGCCGCCAGCCAGAAGATGCCAGGCCAGACGGGACCCAGAAGGGCACCAGAGAAGAGGAGGGGGGTGCCACTGGGGGAGACCAGCCAGTCAACAGTCAACGGATTTCAGCTATTAGGTGTGTTGTTTGGACGGATTCCAGTTGGGCTGTTCATTGTTGGGTTCCCCCTAGGTACCAAGGTCACCCCGCTAGGTACTTGTTCCTAGGCACCCCAAGTAGGTATGGAGGGCCCCCTAGGTTGCAATTTTAACTTGTTCCTCCTTACTGGTGCCTCTGGCTGCGTACCTCTGAGTACCAAGTAAACGCCGCAGGCATGTGGCTCCCGCCCAACTACTGAAAAGCCCTTCACTAGCCAGCTGTATCCCAGGCCTTGGAAAAAAAAAAAAACCAACAAAATCCCACCCACACAGCCCACTACCCACCGACCATCAAGCACCGACCACCGCACCGCTAATTCTGAAACGGCAACTCGTCGAGATCTCGGACTTGGGGCCCTCTGTTGATCAATCCTCCCAGCGGCAAAGGCGCCCCAAGCTAGCCTACCTCTCCATCATCCTGCACTCGAAACCGCCCACTTGACCTCACTTCCACACGGGATCTCCAACCAGCAAAATGGCCTTCGCTTTCTATTTGGCTTTTCGCCTCCCGAGTTATCCACTTGGTGGTCCCTGCTGCCTTGTGCGCTGGTGAAATTGCGCCCCTCCACAACTGGGTATCGATCGGTGTAATCGCAATACTAATGCAAAGAGCAAGAGAGGGAGACATTGACCAAAACTACTGCAGGGTACTTGATCAAGGCCTTGTGCCTGCCTCATGGCTTGAGATCGATGAACCAGCAACAAGCCCTGGTACACCGCCTTACACTCGGTACACGCAGAGACACGCTTTGTTGCCTGTATAGGCTCCGAATCCGATGTGCTAATTTTATATGCTTTGTGTACCTCAGACCCCTTGTTGATCTCACCACATGGACAGCCGGTGTGCTGGGAGACGGTGCGTCTCACGAGTCAGGAGGCAGAAACAAAGCACTGGTGTCCCTTCGATCGGCATGCCCATCTGTCGCCACGGTCAGATCATCTTTGCAGTGACATTCAACACAGTGACAATTGGCAAAATTGCCAAGGGGGCCATTTCCGGGTGTGCCTTTGCGATGGGGCACTTCCCGTGGACCCTTAGGGTTCGTGACTTGTTCCTGGGTCTTGCAGGCATCATGACCGGGAATTTTCGCTGTCTTGACGCAATATGACAGAATGCATATTGAACGCTGGCGCGTCATCTGAACGCTTATCCAACGGGAACGCGTTGTCATTTCCAGGCCTTTATTTGTTTGGTACTGTGATCAAACCTTTTTCGCCCACCCATGAACTGCCGTGGGTCAAACGGCGCCTGCCCTCCCGAAATCAGGTTCTGGGACGGGCTACATCATTGAAGAGCTTAACTTGGCACCGCTTCACGTCGTTTTCATTACTACCAACCCGCTTGCTTGGCTTTGTGAATGAATCCAATGGCAAACCAGGCGGTGGCTCAGTATGTCGCATCTCGCTTGTCCATCAGTCAGTCTCACTCATGAGAGAAAGATGAGTGATCCGTTGCATGTGGAGAGGATTCGAAACCAAGCATTACTTGGTATACAAAGTATATGCGGTTTCGGTGTCTTAATACAACATCGAACTTGGTTCCTGATATTGTACCAACTGAGACCTGGCGTTTCAACGCGCGTCATCTTTAGCTCTTCCCTGCATTTGCGCTTGATTTCTCTGTCCCCCTCCAACCAGGCTGAACGCCGTCCTGTTCCGTCAGCTGACATGACGTCAACCTCCAAGCCTCCCAAAAGATACGCACACTCATCCTCGCGCTTGTACTCGGTGCTTATAGGCACCTGGAAAAAATCCCACAGGATGCTGAATCACGACTCTGGGAAGATTGCCCAGGGATCCTGGCATGCTCACAGGGGAAACTGATTGTCTTGTTGCCCATTTCGCGGGCCGCACGGCGCGATGTGGTCTTACCGTGACAGACACGGATACAGTCCACCAAGCGCCACAGCGTATTCCTCCAATCTCTTCCCTCCCGCGAGACCAACAAACATGACATGATACTCTGACAGTGCACTGCTACATCCGGCATATTGCTGATTCTTTCCCCCACTGCTCACCAGGGAGAGCTGCATAGGTGCGATGGAGATGTTGGACTATAGAGCCAGTCAAACGCAGGCACTACCGTGTGCTACGCTCGGCAGCTTGCCCCAATGCATCAATTGCAGAGATCTCTTCACCTGACGCACACACCCACAGCGGTCCGCATTCGCATGAAACCAGGGGCCCCTTCTGCGATGTCCGAGGGTGAACAGGCGCTCTGTGCTACTTTGCTCCTTGCAAGAATGATTCTAGAAGCATTTGCACCGGTGACACCGAGTATAAGCCAGCTGAAGCACAAGGCAACCTTGGCCACCTGGCTGACCACGAGCCTTCTGACAGTCGGCGATGCATGCTTTCTCAGCATCAGCAATGTGGCATTGAATGCACTTGCACGTACTCGTACCTTGCTCTCTTCTGAGAGAGCTCTACAAAGCTATCGTGCAGCTATGCAAGGAGTTTATTCATCCACAGTGTGGGGAAAGCACAGTAGCTGCATGCCCAAGCGAACATCCTCCACACTATGAAATCGGTAAACGAGGTTGCAAGAGCTAGGTGAATAATACGAGACCACGACTGCAGATGCAAAGAACCGCGGGATATCACAACAATTCACAGTACCAAATACAAATTGTCAGTGGCCTGGGCGGGTTCTGGATCTCAACATACGACATATGAATGGGCGAGATGGCAGCGCACAGACAGTGGGGCACGGGGTGGGTCTAGACCCGCAGCTCCGCACGAGAGCGGACTTTTTACTATGAGGCATTTTCGAAGAGCCAATAGGAGCGATGGCCAAATCGGGTCTAAATGGGGACTAAAAGAAGGCTAATGCAACAACCACTTTGAGAGAAAAGCAGACGGCAACTTGTGACCACCAACGTCCGCCACTCATCGACCGAGGTTGCTTTTCCTACCCCTCACTGCACACATTCCATTTCCTTTGTGCGAAGATGAAAACAAACAGCGAGTCGTGTTCATGGTTCCTTGCGATTTGCAGTGTTGGCCACTGGAGCTGACTGGTTGCGTTGAGAGGCAGACCGGGATTGACCGATGTACCTGGTGGCCTCAACTGTACGCCGTCCGGATGAGATGTACACAGTTACTGCTTGTCGACGAAGCTGCGACCGGCGCCTAATGCCCCCCCAATGGAAGGCGAGCACTGCATTCGGTATGCTGTATTCCCCGATTGAGTAACCTCTGGCTCGACTTCATTCTCCAGCAAGACCGTAAAATGGCATCAAAAGGTCAACGACCTGCGTCCGACAGATCGTATTTCGTCTTCCGAGTTTCACACTCTTTCTTTCTGGAATTTTGACCGACTATCTCTCTGCAGCGCCATGAGTACCCCGTGCACCTGAGGACCGGATCAATGGAGCGCCAATGATCCCCTGCACTGTGAGGTTACGTATTGTCCCCCATCGGAAGGTCAGGTAGAAGTTTCGTCTGGCATTGCTCACGAGATCACGGTTTGCCGCATGCAGGCGGGTGTTTGCGAAACGAACGGTTCAGTGCCCAGAAACCATCACAAACCAACCGAGTAAACCTACGTGATACTTCTGTCAAGTGTGGCTCGCAGCGGGCAAGGGGCTCTGACTGTATCACATGAGACCTGTCGCTCTCTCACCGCACTTTCTCCTGGATGTCGAGCCTTCTGAGGGCTCCATGCTCCATATCCATGTACCAAGAACTTCGGCCCGGGCTAAAGTGCTCCGATGCTGCACCAGGGGAGTTCCTCCCCAGTCTCTTGGCCTTTTGCATATTCTGAGTAGGATCCGAAAAGATCGGCCGTCGATGAAACGTAAGGGAGCATCAAGTCCCAGCATCAGCCAGCAAGAAGCTTGGTGGCGACGATCTTGAAGCTAGTTCCAAAACAGCCAAGTCAATCTGATTAGATAATAATTGGGGATCCAGAATATCAAAATGGGATCTTGGCGCTGAGGAATTACTGCCCCTTTCACCTTTGTCCAACACTTCCAGCCATGTCCTATGTTGATTGTAGCAGTGCCGCCCTGATGGAGAAGGGCGTTACCCATTGAGCACCGAAGTATTGAAGCCTCTGTGGAGCTTTGGGAAGTATTTTCGAGAAGACCTCGTTTTGGTCGTTCCGGTCTTCCCTCCCGTCCTCATCCGATCAGCTTGGTCTCGCCCCGGATTGAAAGCGTCGTCATCCCTTAATACCAAGTCGCCTGCATTGAGATTGATATTGAGACTCGTTCCCATAACAGAAACTACCAAGCCTTGGGGACTGATGCAGATCACAGTCCAAGATGCCTACAAATCTATAGCGCGGACTTGGCACGGGGTTCGATCGACAGCCGCGTAGACGAGGCTGTCTTGGAGCCTTGGCCCCGAGGACCTCAACTCCTCCTTTCAACCACGGAATTTACTGACCCATCCAGCCTGGACATACAATATCGAGGCCCCTCCAACTTCTGAACATATCTCACCAGCCGCTAGAATTTTTACTGTCCGAATTTTACCAGAGTCCTCGGGAGATCCCGTCAACCCATACAACAGATCACTTGAGACAACTCCCATCGAAAATCCAAACATACCCGAAGAGGATCTTCCCGGTATTGAAACAGCTGTGAGGAAAGCAGACTGTCATCTACGTCACACCTCGACCATGTCTTCTTCTCTGGGACCATTCATACAGCCACCAGAATCGGAAGACGACGACCCCATCATCCACCCCTCCCTGCAGCGGTATATTCACGGACTTCCGGATTCCCACACCAACTACGCACGCTTCTTCTCCGCCCTGCTCATCCCGCAACAGTCGCACGAGCAGTTCTTTGTCGACTTGAAGCAGTTCCGCGAGCAGGGCCCCATAGTTTATCTCCTGGCGCCGGGCACTTCTGGGAACTACCGCGCCGTCTCGCAGAACTTTGTCCGGTCACGTTTCGCGCACCCGTGGTGTCGCGTGCAGAGTGATTTCGGCAAGGGGTGGCGTGGCGCCAGCTGGTTGGGAAGCTCCGGTGCCCGGGTCGACGAGCGGGTGAGGAAGGAAGAGGAACGGCTGCATAAGCTGCTCGTCCCGATTTGGATCGCGATGAGGCGGAGAATGTTTCCTGGCGAGGAAGTGGTCAAGGAGTGGATCGAGAAAGAAGACGAGCGGGAAAGAGCTGCAGCAGAGGAGAAGAAGAAGAAGATCAAGGCCGAGAATGCGGAATCCAAGTCGGCGTCGCCTGAAGCCTTGAATCGTGGTCTCCCGTCAGGCCCGCCGCCCGGCTACTCTGAACTCGGCTTTGCTACTAAGTCTACGAAGCCTTCGACGACGCAACCGGGCACTATGGATCCCAACGGAGCAGCGTCCGCCTCCAAGCTGTTCCTGGGCGTGGCCGTCACGGGATTCATCATGAGCGACAAGCGCATCCAGAAGTATGTCGAGAAAAAGCTGTTTAAGAAGTGACGCTCCTGCGCGGCAGCACGAGTTGAGAAACGACACTAGGAAGAGGCGCAGCTATCGGCCTACATCGCTTCGGCCGTGCATCAACCGGGCAATTAAACTCGATGTGCAGGACAAGCAGCAGTGTAATGCTGTCTCCTCGAAGCCCCGTCCTCGTCCGTCCTGAGCGAAGAATGACAACACGACATCGATCTGGGTAGTTCGGCCCACCTATTGCCCATGTGCAGTTGGCATCACTCGCACGGTTTGGGCGTGCACGAATCTCACGCACCGACGGCCCAGCACTGCGCCTAGGCGTGGATCAAATGGGACAGTAAAGCCGCCATGATGTCCATTGCGCTCTTACGGCTGTTGCCTGTCTTTAGCCCGAGGGCACATCACATGTCTTTCAGACCTTTGCCTGAAGTTGATATGTGATGGCGTTTCTGAACCACGATGGGGAGCCACTTTCGAGCATGCCACCACGCGGCGTACCGTGTCGATAAGGACTTGCCGCTCCTTTCCTCCTCTGCCTCGAGACTTGCCCTGGTCGTTGATTGTTCCGTTCTGCGTCCTGAATAGAATGGAGGAACCGAAAAGGGCTCACCTGGAGGATATGAAGCCCATATAGAGGTGTAACAATATTCATGGTTGTAAAAACAGGTTCTTGAGATGGTTCAAGGTCGTAGTCCTGGTATGGTTTTCATGGTCTTCTCAGAAGACTGCCCGCGCTGCATCGTAGCATAGTAATACATACAATTCCCATGGCCTTTCCCTCATCAAATACCTCTTGGGCGTTTCCATAAGTCCAAACACTGGTGATGTCTGAGTCCCATATTTCCGTCGGAGCCGGCATGGATCCGAAGCACAACGGCTTTGTCGAAGTCGGACAAATGTTTATTGTTCGCGTGATAATTCCCCAAACGCTCGAGATATGCCGATGGCCGATGGCCGAGCAACAGCGCTTGCCAAACCAGACATGGTCTGTGATCAACAGCCACCTGCAAAACCAACAGTAAAGGCTCATTTAATCGTCACCGGCCTGTCCACAAGGTCTTGATTCTTCTCCGGCGTTATGGTCACGGCAGACGAACCGGAAGACTCGTCCTGGACGGGCACGATCTCGTCCTCGGCCGCGCGACTCACGGCAAACCGACTCTTTCGCCGAATCACATAGCCATATTTGTAGAACACGTACGGCAGCGGGGCGAGCACGGCACTCAACGCCGCCAGAATGGTCAACGTCCAATGCACGCCCAGGTTCTTGTAGAAAGGCACTCCCGCGACCGTCATGCCGCCCGCGATGATGTATCGAGCCAGCGTGGCGAACGTCAGCGCGCTCGCGGCGTACATCTCGTAACTGTCGATGATGTACATGTAGCAGCTGATGAAGATCATGATGGTGCCGTAGCCGGAGAGGACCGAGGCGAGGATCGGCGACCAGATCGAGACGCTGGGGTACGCCGTCCAGCCCATCCACAGCAGCGAGACGGGGATCGCGGGGGCGCCGCCGAGCATGGCGAACCACAGGCGGATTTCGGGGTCGAACTGCTTCTGGCCCCGCGCTTCGGCGGCCGCCTGGGCCCGTTGGGTCATCGTGTACATCCACGGCAGCCAGGCGCCGCCGAAGCAGACGCCGACGGCGATTCCCAGGAAGATCGTGTTCGACATCCCCTGGGAAAGGCCGTACGTCTCCCGGAAGATAAAGTCGTATCCGTCAAAGAACGTGAAGAGGATGATGTACAGAACCGACATGTACAGCGTGATTAAGAAAATCACCGGCTCGGTAAAGGCCATGATAAACGGTCTGGGGAGGGCAACCCTCAGCCGCGTCGAGAGCGGGATGCGCTCAATCTCGTGCTCGGCATAGTAGCGCTTGTCGCCGGTGATCCTGCGCAGGTGCCTCGCCTTCCAACTCAGCAACAGCGGCGGAAAGGTCTCTGGCTGGAAGAAAAACGCCGAAAGCAGGACGACCGCGGCGGTGAACAACGCGATCCACTCAGCCCACCTCCACGTGTGAAGGTAGGGCGACCCGGGCACCCAGGCGGCCATGACAGGACCGAGCGGCGGACCGAGAAACCCTCCGAAGGCGAAGAGAGGAAACACGTACGTCTTCTCGATGGGGGTGAACATGTCCGACACCGACCCCCCCGCGCAGACGAGAGGAGACGCCCCGCTGAAGCCCGCCAGGAATCGAAAGACGATCTGGGCGCCGATGTTGGGCGCCAGGGCCGACGCCATCAGCCAAATGCACATGAAAATGAGGGAGACCATATATGTGCCGCTCCGGCCCAGGACCTCGGAGAACGGGCCGCAGATGAGTGCCCCGGCGCCGAAACCGATCAGGAAGATGCCAACGGCCAGTGTCTCTGTGACTTCGCTCACGCCCAGGTCTCTCGCGGCTTGGGGCAAAACGGCTGCGTCAATCGGGGCCGCAGCGCCGACCATGAAGGCGATCGAGGAGATGATGAATGTAGCAGAGAGGCGACGAAAAAGAGACCAGTTGCGGGGGTTCAGCGGGTCGTCTGGCCCGTCCCATTCGACGATGAGTATCGACTCTCCATTGACAACTCTGGTCTTCTGCCGGGACAAGCATGGCAGGTTGCGTGCAGACACGCCGTCGGCGGACTCGAGCTGCCTCTGGATCGTGCGCCCTATCCGACGGTACTGGAGGTAGGTTTCCATCGCGAGGCTTGATGTCAATCTGGGCAAGTGTAGGGCGACCGAAAACTTTTAGGCCGAAAACATGAGAAGCTGGTTGAAACCATGGGATTTATTCGAATTCGCCATATGTCGTGGAGAAGCACCAAAAACGGACATATGCGGCTACTTCAAGGCCGGCGGAATTGAGAAATGCATTACGAAAGCAGAGCCGGTAAGGTTTCTACACAAGGTAAGTCCCAATGGAATGGTTTTTGGAGGGAGAAAAACTTGAGCGGAAAATCTGGAAGTGGAGGTCATTTAGATAGTAGCCCTTGAAATTGCATGCTCCCAGCCGCCGGGACTCGCGTCCGCAAAGAAAGGGATTTGATAAGGGTGGATTCCAATATGGCGACTTCAGTACTTAGCCGCAGGGCTGGAGGGTCATAATTGCCTGTGATAATGGGGTTGGAATGGGTGGCGCGTTCCGGGGAGAGACAAGTTGACGTCTGCAGTGCCTCCAAGTATATGTGAGTTTCATCACCGCAACCCAGTAAGGGTAATTGAGAGCGAGAAGGCGGGCAAGAGATCACGGCGAGTATGCCGGTTGTGTGCCGGTACCCGGGCTTCCTGGGTAGTTGGTCGTTCCAGTCATGACCAGACTTTCTGCCTTTGACTGCAGATGCGAGATCAATGGTAAATACATCCAAGTTCATTCATTAGCATCGTTGACGTTTAATACATCTTACTCGTAGAGGATATAAGGCATCTTAGAAGCGCACAAGGGCCTTGGGGGAGTGCGAGCAGTTGTTACTCGTCTTGGCACGGTGGGACAATGCGGGACCAGGGCAGCGCATCGAGCCCGCCATGAAGGCCGAGGATTCATGCTTTGATCTCCTCGTCCGAGGCGCAAAAAGCATGGCTTCACATCCAAGGTGCTCTTAGAACACATTGCATGATGATGTTGGAGGTGTCACGATGCTTCTGGAAGAGTTAGCCCTGAAGTTGCGTGCTGGCTACAGAGGATTTGTTTGTGGCGGATGAGGCGGCAAGTGGGCGGGAGTAGCAGGCAAGGCTGAGGAAATACGGGGCACATCAGCGGCACGGCGATATCTGATGGCCGGCCACAGCTGAGGCTGCGTGTTCTAAAGCCTCGGTGTGGGATGGGTGGTGGCTCGCACAGGAGCATGAGTTTCATCCTCAGCGCCGTGGTCACTGATACTTGTATGAGACGCGCGGCTGGCCGACCCGAATCACCTCTCCTCAAACACTAGACTCGGTGACCACCATGGCGCCATTTTCGAGACTGATCTGCTTTGAAGCGGAGCAGGGAACAGCAAAGTACTTTGCAGACTTGGGGGTTGAAGCTGCAGCGATCCCAGAACCAGGAACTTCCATCCAGGCTTACTCTTCGTTCGACGATCTTGTTGCAGGCAAAGGCAAAGTGACCACGACGGTGGGCAGGGTAATGAGCCTCCCGACCATCTCATGAACTAGAAATCGCATTCACCCTGTGACTTGCTGACCAGCTGGACGATATATCAGCTTCTCCCTCCACTTCCGCGGAAAGACCAGCCTATATACTCTGTGGGATTGAACTACAGAAGCCATGCGAAGGAAGCAAAAGTACAGATGACCCCAGATTCTTGAGCTCGAAAGCGCAGTGGCTGACCCCGGCGTCTATATTGCAGCTCAACATTCCTGCCAACCCACCGTTATGGACAAAGCCTGCAGCAGCGCTCGCAGCTCCGGATGAGGACATCCACATGAGCAGATACTCCGCTTCCAATTTCCCCGACTGGGAGGTAAGCCCCCAGTCTTATGAATCAAAGGTGTTGATGCCGAACGGGGTGGCTGACCGAGGGCTTTCTGCCCTCGTTAGGGAGAATTGGTCTTCGTCACGTCCAAAGAATGCCGCGACGTGTCTCCCAAAGAAGCAGAATCCTACATTCTCGGCTACACCATTGGCAACGATCTCTCGTGCCGGGTGTTTCAACTGCCCGCGCAGAACGGAGGGCAATTTTTCTACGCAAAGGCGTTTGACAAGTTTGCGCCCATCGGTCCCGTTCTCATCAGTCCCGACATCTTCCAGCAGAGTCCGGAGGTGAAGATTGTCACCAAGGTCAATGGCGAGGTCATGCAGGACGCGGATGTCAAGAAGGACATGGTGTTCTCGCCTGCACAGGTTTTGAGCTTCATGAGCCAGAGTGAGTGTCCACCCAGCCATCGGGAAGGAAGCGAAATCCGTATCTGTTTCGAACCAACACTATCCCTTCCGAGAAATATACAGCGCAGCGAACTAACCACCTCCGAACTGCAGGTACCACCATTCCAGCATACACAGCAGTCATGACCGGAACCCCCGCGGGTGTCGGTGCGTTCAAAGCCCCGAGACGGTTCTTGAGCCACGACGACGTGGTAGACATCCAAATCACCGGAATCGGAGTGCTGAGGAACAAGATCCTCTTCCCAGAGGGAAAGCAAGCCGTATTGTGAGTCAATGTGAGATGAACCACGAAACTCCCGCCCTCCGAGGTTGCAGCTGCTTGTCGAGACGGATTGCTGATCAGCCGGCCCCCCTGCTTGGTGTGTCTGCAGGCTGACATTCATACGCGTTCTGTTCTCGATGATCTATCATTCGCTGAGCAGGTTCTTGTGAGAAGGAAGCCCGATGGTATAGAGACATGCTGGTTTGGATTTGCCGGGATTGAGGCACTCAGAGTGGAAATTCGAGATAGATGAGATCCACGAGTTAGCTGAATGTATGCCTACAACATAGACAAGACGTATTTTGGTGTTGTTCAGACTCTGGAAGTGTCACATCTCGCAAGCTTCGCTGCAGTGTATGTGTGTAGGTGTGGTCGAGATGCCCCGTATTTTGTCAGCCTTGCGGAGGGAACTTGGAGTGTTGCAATGTGATATGATGGCTTCTGCCGAGGCTGTTGGGCAATGGTCGTTCACGCGATCAACCACTTGTTGTCGCGGTTGAATATCACTCCGACTTCGACGATGAGAGCTGTCGTCGTTCGCTAGAATTCCTCTCCGGCAGTCTCTGGGGAGGCTTATTCCACCGTCCAAGTCAAAACGAATCCCAATGCGGGGCTGAGGCGGGACCGACACACAACTTGCCTCCCCGTCTTTCCAGAATCTGCCGTACCGACGCACCAAGAGGCACATCGGGGCCCAGGGCACGGCATTGTCCTCTCGCCCGACCGCCTAACCATGATGCCGAGCAATGTGAGCAGATACGTCAGCTGGGGAGGGCGAAACCATGGCATATATGGCGAGAAAGAATGATAGATATTGAGGGCGAAGAAGCCTTTTGAGGCACTCATCAGTCCACACGCCCTACGCTTTCCACACCTCTCCTGGTAAAACAGACCTCTCAAACCAGCCCAAGGCAAAAGAATGGTCAACGCCCTTGACGTACTGTCCTACCTTCCTCAATTCCTCCGTGAGCGCGTCACCCCAAACATGCCCATCGCCGAGGTGAAGAACGACCCGTCCAAGGTCCAACTGGTCCGCCTGGGCCACGTCTACTTTGAGCACCCGGACCTGACCAAGTTCGCCAAGTTCGCAAAGGACTTTGGGTTCGTCGAGGAGAAGAGGGACAGGGATACCATTTACTTCCGTGGCTATGGCCGAGACCCGTACATCTATGTGGCGACCAAGTCCAAGTCGGGGCAACCCAAGTTCATGGGCCCGGCGTTTGTCGCCCGGGACGAGACCGAGTTTGACAAGGCCGTAAAACTGCCCGGGGCGACGGTCAAGACTCTTGACGGCGCCCCCGGTGGCGGCCGGCTTGTCACCATCGCGCGGCCGAACGGCACGTTCATGCACGTCGTGTACGGCCAGCAGGAGCGCGCCCTCGACGCAAACCAGGGCGAACCCACGGCGACGCACGACTCGCAGGGCCCGTTCAACACGCCGTTCGAGAAGAAGCGGCTCGGCCAGTTCCAGCGGTACCACGAGGGGCCGGCCCTCGTCCACAAGCTGGGCCACTTTGGCTACGTGTGCAAGGAGTTCGACCAGGAACTCGACTTCTACACGGCCAACTTCAACTTCGTGCACAGCGACATCCTGTGGCACCCGCAGTTCTCCAACATCGACGTGCTGACCTTCATGCACCTCGACCTCGGACCGGAATGGGTCGACCACCACATCATGTTCATGCAGCGCGCGCCCCCCGAGGTCAAGGAGACGTACATCCACCACAGCTCGTACGAGGTGTCGGACTTCGACACCCAGCTGCTCGGCCACCAGTGGCTGGCTAAGAACAAGTGGAAGAACGTCTGGGGCGTCGGCCGGCACATCCTGGGCAGCCAGATCTTCGACTACTGGCAGGACACCAGCGGGTTCAAGATCGAGCACTACGCCGACGGCGATGTCATCAATGAAGATTCTCCCACCAGGAGGGAGGTTGCTGGCCCAGTGTCCGTCTGGGGCCCAGAGTTTCCCAAGGACTTTGGCGAGGATGGGACGAAGTTGCCGCCGTCTTGATGGTAAAGAAGGGGGAATGTGTTTCGTTTCTGTGCGCGTTGATATTTTCTGGAAGTCAGGTAATAAACTGTGGATCGGTACAAGTGCAAAAATAGTATGAATGAACAACAAAACACATCATAACACGGATTGATGACCGTAACTTCGTAAATTGTCTTCTCGTACTAAAGAGCCGTGCTTCAGTAAACGAAGAGAAACTGCCGCAGCATCAAAACGGCTGGAGCACAACGCACCCGTAACTGACATCAGTATCGACCTGCCGATTCTCAGAGAAGAAGAATCCTACGTGGACAAGACACCTCCATGTGCCCAGAGGACTGTGAATCTGGTTGATGAGTGAGTGGCGGGTGAATGCAGAGAACATTTTCGTCGCCGTAGTCCTCGAGTCGCGATAGCCTCAATTTTGCCCTTCACAGGCCATCGGCTGGCGAAGGAATCCGTCTCCGCCCTGGACAATATGATTCAACTGTCTGGTGCAGCTCAACAGCGGTTAGGAGAAACAGAACTATAAGGCTCCAATCAGTCAGTGATTGTACCGCTCGAATGAGCGTCTCTTTCCCTTTACCATTCTTTGTCCCATTCCCGATGTAGTCTGTCACACAGATTGCGAACAGCGGAATTCCCAATGTTCCAGTACATCACATAAAATATTTCTCACCGCTATTCGAAAGACCAGCTGAAGTTGCCTGTCTGCCAGGCAAGTCGCTTAACTTCGCTTTGGGACATATCGATCTGAAAAGGAGGACAACCCACATGAAAGGGAAAGGGGCCAGGGGCTATCTTGCCAGTCGGCGGAGCGGTAGTGTTGCAGCAATGCACTGATTTTCCAAGCACATCCATTTAGATCCACAACGCAAATAGAAAGAGTAGTGTCTGAACTACCTCATTATGCGTCCTGGGTGGATCAGCTCATGCGTTTTAGCCACTGGTTCAAGGTCTTTGAAATTCGAAAGGTGCCCAGTCGAAGGTTTGACGGCGATAGACGAATCCATGAAGTCAGGCTTCTGAAGAGGCAGGAGCTTGCAACCGCGTGCGATGCGCCTCGAGGCCCTCATGCCTGGTATATTACTTGCAGTCTTCACATTCTTCCTTCGTCCCTTGTTGGTCCGGGTTGACATTGGCGTCTGGCTTAGGCTCAAGTTTGCCGGCCTCTGCTGCTTGGGCTTGCTGGGAGCTCCCTTTTTTCAAGCTCCGATCAATATGGCCCAGATCTCTACCGGGCTCGATAATATTTCGAACTCGGTTCTTCAGTTCTTTGGTCTCTGGAAAGCCGCCTTCGGTCTTGCGGTCCCACACCACTGTCTCGGTCGCTTGCATTAATGGCTCCGTTGACCCTGCCGATGCAGTAGTTCCATTCAAAGAAGTTTTGTCGGCATGGGTTGTTGTGACTGTGACTGTGAACAGTCCCCCAGTGGATGGAATCAAAGCAATTTCCCCGATGCTAGTGCCGAACGTCTGGAGCAACTCTTGAGCATACTACGTGAAAACTGTCAGTACGCATGAAGCAAAGCTTAGAAAAGTCTTGTTGTAGAAAGTCCCATTTCAACGGCACGTCGAGAGTTACATCACCAAGCCAACGTTGATACACTCACATAAGCAGCCCTCAAGTTCCATTTACACTGCGTGCAGAATGCGATCGCGATACGGGGCACTTTCACCACTGAGGAAGTCTCGCTTGCCATGTTTTCTTGGTGGTGGGAAGCGTAGCGGGACCTGCAGCGGGATTCTTGACCGTGTTTCAAGCGGATGGAGTCTATGCAGAGATCAGGGGCCAGAGGTCAGGTTTCTGCAGGAGATAGGAATTTGAGAGTAGTTTCAAAGCCACCTGCAGGAAACTGGGCGAAGTACGAGGTCGGAGTATAAATGGTGGGTAGCTCGTGTGCAAAGAAAAGTCGCAGTACGGGGATGGTTGATGCCGGCTTCGTTGAGATGGCAGGACGTTTGACATCCAGAGGAAAACCCACTGAGCGACGTAATAGGCGGAGCTGACACTGATGGCAGTCAATGTATGGAGCAGAAGAGGATCATCATTGCCTGCTTACCTGCCTAACGTACCTCTCGTAGATACCCCGTATTGTTCGGGGAATTCCCCAGCAACTGTTGACGGAGTACCGAGGGTGGCTCCGTTTGTCACGTACAATTAGGGGCCAACAAGGGGCCGTCAGGGGGGCACCGTTCAGGGCCGCAGGCTTTCAGTGCCCTCGAATGCTTGCTGACCTACTGCCTAGGTACCTAGGCATCTAAGCCCAACCGGAACACCCCTCGCCCTTTCACCCGATACGCACCCAATTCCCAGTAACTCGGTTGCAAGGTGCGCGGCCCTTTTTAGTCAAAAAGGCCTCCGACCCTAGTGCCTGCGGGACATGCGTGTTGTTGGCTCTTACTGACTCGTTATCGGGACGTGGTCTCTAAGCGAAGAAGAAAAGGGAAGGTCGCCTGTACCTCCGAAGTAAGGGGTTATCCTTGCGCACGTTGTTTGGGCGCGGCGGTGTGCCCTGCTGCTAGGGGCAAGGGATCCCAGTGTAGGCGGGAAATTTCCCAATCTTGCACACCCACATTGGGCTTGGATGGCCACGGGTTTCCATGGACGTGAGCATTGAGCCGTGCTGCAGGAAGCCATGGTCGCCCGAAATATCAGTCACGGGGAGTTGGAAAGTGACTGAGGGACGGATTGAGCGTGGTCGATTCAACGGGCAAGAAACAGGCTCTTGGAGGTGCGGTACCGAGGATAGACACTATGGCCCAAACGTGGTTATGGGAAATCAATTGGAATTGGAATGCATTCAGGTAGCCTCCTACATATCCTCACAAGAGAAATCATTGCCGAAGTCTCGACAGGATGAAGAGAAGCTGAATAGGTGACCAAGTACAAGGCGGAGCGCAACGTACATCAATACCCCCTGCTACCTCTCCCGTTGATTGATGGTTGGCATGAAAACCTGTTGCAATGTTGCGTGACTCTGACAATTGTGTGAACGCCTTTCTGCGCCGAATGCTTTTTGACTCGATCAATATCATACCACACCCCTCTTTGAGTGCTCCATTGTGTCCTTTTGTGACCCAATCCGAACAGCTTCAACAGAACTTTGATTACATGACGATACAACAACCTTCACTACCTCCACTCTGTGGATTGTATGGATCTTCTTTCCTGTCCACCTGTCCCCAGACTGAAGGCACCATGTAGTCTCGTGTTTGGTTGCAGTAGTTGATCAGGCTGCGTGGTAAAGATGGTCAGTGGACAGATCGCGTTGTTTGAACCACGCAGAGCTGCTTGTGCAACGTACCTCATAGATGCTTCAGCGACCTTGACACGAGGTCTGTCGAGATCTTCCTTGAGACGCGAGTTCAGTTCTTGAAGCCGCCTAAGTTTAAGATCTGCCATGCTTTGTTTTTTGGACTTGGCATCACCCCCATCCCGCACCGCATATGCAGCTGGCATATTGGATTCTTGCAAGAAAAGTATTCGTAGCGGTCGAAGAGGAAGGCGTGGTAGTCGAGGACGCAGGTGACGTCGAACTCGTTGGCAAGTGCAGGGCGGTCGAAATAGCCGGCAGGGATTGCGGTGTGGTTCTTGACAGGGAGATTTTGAGTGACTCGACGAAGGGCGGGAATGGGAGTTGCGCGACGGACGGTTGGGCGTGGGGCTTCTGGCTCTGCTACCTTCTCCTCTGCGACTTGCTTCTCCTTTGCTTCTTGGGGGGCGTAGACTTTGTCGTAGTGTTCTTCCCACTGTGCCTGCAAGTTGTCGATGGCACGGATCTCTTTGAATTGCAAGTGGCTAGATTCGGTGCTTGCGCGATCGAGGCGAAGCTGGGTAGGATGAAGGCCTCGATGGATAACTTCTTTGTGCTCTGCAAATAGGGTGGAATTAATAGGGATTGATTAGCAGGGGGGAACTCAAACTACTACCTTCCGAAAGAAGAGGAGCCATCTTGTTTTGGGGTAAGCGTGATAAGTTCGGTGATGCAAATGTGCAGTTTGCGAAGTGCGTTTGTTTGGAGGTTTGGGTTCACGTGATGGAGAAAATACGGTGACGCATTGGAGTGCATTTTATACCCTGGCACGTGTCGCCGGAGAAACATTGGTCCGGCAGATTCAGTGCCAAGCTGCACAACACAGGGCAGTGTGATTTCGAACACTTTTGCCCATCGTCACTAAGGATCCTGTCGGCAATCAGTCACAGTCACAAGTTCATCTCTAGGACAGACTCATCGGCCATCTGGAGAGAGTCTTGAGAGATATCATTCATTTGGTCATCTCTTCCCATCTCTCTTGTGACTCAAGCAGCCGACCCTCAAGATGCCTCCACCACCCCATATCAGGCCTGAGAATGTGCTCAGAGTAAGGCGAAAATCCCTTCACGTCCATCCTGCCGCGCACAAATGACTGACAGACGCTTTCAGCGAGCGCAAGAGCTCATTGCCGTCGACCAAACCCAAGCGGCTCTCAACGTCCTCCATGAACATGTCACCTCCAAACGTTCCCGGAATAGCCCCATCTCCTCCTTGGAGCCGGTTATGCTCCTTTTCGTCGAGTTGTGTGTCGATCTAAGAAAGGGCAAATCCGCAAAAGATGGACTGTACCAGTACAAGAACATTGCACAAAACACGAACGTGGGAACGATCGAGGTATGATAGTTTAGACACACAGCGCTTTCTGTTAACACGTGCTGACGGGTCGCAGTTGGTCTTGAAAAAATTCATTGAGCTCGCCGAACAAAAAGTTCAGGAGGCTCAAGCCAAGGCTGACCAGGTTCAATCGTCGCTTGAGTCGGCGGCGAGTGCCACAGCCCTCAATGTCGAAGACCTCGAGGCCACCGAAACTCCGGAAACCATCCTCCTCGCTACTGTCTCCGGTGAACAATCCAAAGATCGAACGGATCGAGCAATTGTTACGCCATGGCTCAAGTTCCTCTGGGAGACGTATCGCACAGTCTTGGAGATCCTGAAGAACAATGCTCGTCTGGAGGTTATGTATCAGAGCACTGCTCATCAAGCCTTCGATTTCTGTCTCAAGTATACGCGAAAGACTGAATTCCGTCGGCTGTGTGAACTCCTACGAAACCATGTGCAGAATGCTGCCAAATACTCCTCCCAAATGCACGCCATCAATTTAAATGAACCCGACACTCTACAGCGTCATCTCGAAACACGTTTTCGACAGTTGAATGTGGCAGATGAGCTTGAATTATGGCAGGAGGCTTTCCGCAGCGTCGAAGATATCCATATGCTTCTTACACTTTCCAAGCGACCGGCGAAGAATGTCATGATGGCCAATTATTACGAGAAGCTCACCAAGATCTTTCTTGTCAGTGACAACTTTTTGTTCCATGCAGCAGCGTGGAACAAGTACTACAACCTACTCCGACAGTCCGCAGCTGCCATCGCATCTGGCCAGTCTCCAAAGCGCGATAACCCAGCTGTCACGGAGGATTCTTTGACCAAGGCCGCCTCCTTTGTACTGCTTTCTGCGTTGGCTATTCCCGTTATCAGCACGTCTCGTTCGCGAGGTGCGTTGGTCGATGTGGATGAGGCACGGAAGAACAAGAACAATCGCTTGACCAACCTTCTCAGCATGCCATTTGCGCCAACAAGGGCAGGACTCTTCAAGGACGCACTCAGCAAGGGCTTGCTCAAGCGTGTTCGACCGGAGATTCGGGACCTCTACAATATCCTTGAGGTCGATTTCCATCCTCTCTCGATTTGCAAGAAGATCTCGCCTATTCTGGCTCAGATCGGAGCTGATCCCGAAATGGAGAAATATGTTCTTCCTCTCCAGCAAGTCATCCTTACCCGCCTCTTCCAGCAACTCTCACAAGTCTACGAATCAGTGGAGTTGAGTTTTGTGACGCGGCTCGCTCAGTTCCCTGCGCCATTTGAGGTGACTCCCGCAATGATCGAGAAGTTCATCATGAATGGTTGCAAAAAGGGCGATCTGTCCATCAGACTTGACCATATTTCTGGTATCTTGGCCTTCGACTCCGATGTCTTCTCCTCTGCGAAGGCTCTCCATCCGGGCAGCGCGGCAGGATCGGCAGAGAGCGAAGTTGGTTCAGTCCAAAGACTTCAGAATACTCCAGCCGAGATTGCTCGATCGCAGCTTACAAGACTGGCAAAGACTTTGCATGTGACATGCATGTATGTCGACCCATCGTACAACCAGGCTCGTTTGGCGGCGAGAGAAACCGCTCTTGCTCGCGCTGAGGCTGGAGCCGAACAAGAGCACCAGGAGACTCTCGAGAGGCGTGTCGTCATCGAGAAGAAAAAGGAAGCGGCTTCAGAGGCTTTCCAGAAGAGACAGAGAGAGGAAGAAACTCGTCGTCGCATTCGTGCTCAACAGCAGGCAGAGGCTGAATCTCAGCGCCTGCGCGATGAGACAAGAGCTCGTGAGCTCAAGCGTGTGAAGGATGAGCAAGCCCGCATTCGACGTCAGGAAATAGAAAAACAGCTAGCCGAACTGCAAAGTGGCATGAAGATCGATCTCCAAGACGTGAACATTGACGAACTGGATTCGAACCAAATCCGTTATCTCAAGTTGTCACAACTCGAGAAAGACAAGAAAGAAAAGGACGAACGCATCCGCATCACGGCCAAGCGTCTCGATCATCTCGAGCGTGCATTCCGCCGGGAGGAGCTCAAGTACCAACAGTCGGATTATGAAAAGCAGCGGGAGGAAGACATGAAGATCTACGAGCAAAACAAAGAGCTCATGCTGAAGGAAGCACAGGAAAAGCATAAGGAAGGTCTGGCTCTGAAGCATCGTCTCAGCAGACTCGTCAAAGAGTATGACACCTTCAAGGGCCAAATCACGGAGCGTCGTGCTGCTGAGTTTGAGAGGCTTCGTAAGCGAGCCGAGCGGGAGTTTGAGGAAGAGAAGCGCAAACGGATCAAGGCTTACCACGAGGAGAAGGCCAGACAGCGTGCAGCCCAAGAAGCCGAAGAGCGTCGCATTCGCGAGGAGGAAGAGCGTAGACAGCGCGAGGACGAGGAGAAAGCGAAGGCCGAGGAAGAAAAGAAACGAGTTGCCGCCGAGCGACGAGCTCAGGCGGAGGCCGCTCGACTCGAACGCGAAGAAGCCGCGAGAAAACAGATGCAACGTGAGGAAGAAGCTGCAGCGAGGAGAGCGGCTCGAAAAGCCGAACAAGGAGCGCCGGTGCCGGCGCCGGCGCCGTTCTCTCGCGGAGGACCGAGAGAAGCCCCTCCCATGGAAGCCCGGACCGAGTCCCAAGAAGGCCCACGAACCGCACCTCGTCTTCAACTGGCCGGTAAAGCCGGCGGCGGCTGGCGCGAACGACAAGCCGCAAAAGAAGCTTCCATCCCTGGTGGTCCTGGACCGGTTCCTGCAGAGGCTTCCGCTCCGTCTCAGGCTGCGCCTTCAGTTCAAGAACCACCAGCCCGTCGCCAAGGTGGATATGTTCCTCCACATCTTCGTGAAAGCGGATCTGCTCGATCTGGGCCAGATCATCCACCTGCTCGTGACTATCACCACCCGCCTGCTCGCGACCATCATCCACCTGCGCGCAATGCGTCCGCGTCTCCCGCTAACGGCGCACAAGGCGGACGTTATGTGCCGATGCACATGAGGGATGGAGGCCGCAGCTTGTCAAGAGAAGGGGCGGGTTCTCCAGCACAGGGCAGTGGTGACGAAGCAGCACAGAGAAAGCCTGCGTCGGGGGGGCCAGGAAGGTACGTGCCTCCAAGTATGCGCAGTCGCCAGCAGTGAAGGGCCAAGGGTTGGACCGAGCTTGGTGGAGGCAGCTAGGGAAGAATGAGGTCGCGGAGATGGTGGCGGTTGTTCATTCTTGCCTAAAAGTTAGGTACCTGTAATTTAAGTCTCCCGGCATTGAGTTAGTCAGTCGTTTGCATCCAAATTGAGACGGCCACATAGTTGTATTAGCGGCGCAATCAAGACGGAGGCGCAAGGCCAATTCCCATAGCAACTAGGGGTGTGTTCATTCTGGCTCGACAGGCCTCTTAACTGCCTTTTCCATTGATGTGGTATTATTGTTCGCTGTCCACTCTCGGCCTTCCATTTGCTTGCTATTGCTTCTCCCCCTATGAAACAGAAGTAGTATCTGGAGGAGCTGGGGGTGTGACCTCCAACACGACCCTTCCCACTCCCGCATCCTTGATTTCCATGACAACCCGCGTGCTCCCACCAAGCGCGTCCATCTCCCTGACGAACTCGTCCACTCCGCCCCCAACGCCGAAGTAGACTCTCTTTGCAGCGACCCAGGCTTTGGGCGGGAGTGCCTTCGCCAGCCCCGTTCGGGTCTCGGGACGACGGGAGTGGGGAGACAAGAGGGCGCGGACGGTTTCCGAGAATGCCCTGATCGAGGATGGCGAGTAGATTGTTTCGGAAGCGAGGATCAGCAGGTTCGTTGCGGGCCGGTGTTGCTGGCCTGTCCCTCCTGATCCTCGCGGTGACGATGGGTTGATGAGGTCGAGGAATTCCGGGCCCCATCCCCCCGATATGAAATCGATCGATATGCGATCGGAGGCCATGTCCTGGATGGTGCGGTTCACAAAGGGCTCGCCTCCCAGTTCTTCGAGGTCGAGGTCTCCGTCCCGGCCACCCTCGTCGAGAGACGGGGCCAGTTTCCCCGAAGCAAAGAGGTAGTTGAGGAGCGCGTTGGGCGCGGTGGCCAGTCGGAGCACGTCGGCGTTGTAGTCGCACAACGTCAACCTCAGGCTCCCGCCACCGCGCGCCGGGTGGTGACTTTTCCTCCGCTCGAGGAACTTTTGCATGAGCGCCAAACTTGGCACGGCGCTTCCCGCGCCGAGTTCGACGACCTCCCAATCCTCCTCCAGAGCCGAGGGGGTGCGGTCGCGATCGAAGAGGTCTGGGTCCGAGCCGACGAGGGAGGCTAGGTCAAGCGCGCATTCCCACGTCTTGAAGCCTCCTTCGTAGATGCCTGACGAGAGGTCGCCGCTTTCCAGGCCCGAGAGGAGCGTTTTGGCGACATCCTCTTCTTCGGCGGAGGGGTTCGCTTCGGTCATGAGCTGGGCGCGGATGTCAAACACCGAGCGCCGGAAGAGCGTGGTCTCGGCGCCGTTGTCGTTGGTTTTGGTGTCGTGGAAGCCATGGTCCGTCGACTGGGGTATATGCAGCTTGCTGTACGATATCTGGGATGGCAATGATGCTAACTGGGAAGATTCGATGGTCATGAGACTTTGTCTTGGTCTTGTTCATGGAGAAAGGCAGCTTGGTCCTTTTTTTTTGGCAAAGGGAGGCCATACTAGAATCCACATCTCGCAGACCAGAGAGAACTTACCAATTCTGCCAGCGAATGGCTCTGTGGCTGGATGGTAGCATGCGGAGGAGACTTTCCTGGCTCGGATAACGTATACTCGGAGATCTTGCTGGCGAGGGCCTCGTGCTCTTGGGACTCTCCGTCGTCCTCGATATCATCACCGCTGAAGCCGAAGGAGAAAGACATGGACGTTCATCTGCCAGACTGTCTGTGTTCTGGACACACCCGGCACTGTGACCTCCCGGGAACCAAGTACGAATAGAACGTTCAAAGTCTGCAGTGGAAGCCAGAAGTGGAAGAGAGTGGGGGCCCTCGTCTTGGCGTCCAAAAGCCAGGCAAATCGTTGTTGAAATGACAGGCAGCCTAATCAGGACTAGCGGTATTGAGAGGCATTAAGAGTGGCGGAACCTCACGGTCTATAAATCAGATATATAGCACTCGAGCGCACCTCGACCCTCACCCTACATTCGCCGCTTTTAGACTCTATTCACCATCCATGGTTGTTCGACGAATGGTGTCGTTGTGGGTGTCTCGTATTTGCCCTGTGCGAAAAGAAAAAGACACCTGGTTTCGAGATCAAAGATGGCGACCAGCTAGTCGGCGGGAAGTGCTCGGGTCGCAATCTTGTCGTCTGTGGCGGAAACAATGATTATTTGAAAACGATGTCGTACGAAAGAGAAAGTGCTAGCATACTGTGCCATGGATTATCCATTTCTATGACGATGTATGAAATGAAGGAGCATAATCATTAACCGGAAACTCCAAAGCAACTCCCTCATCCTCATGAACTCATCTTTTTTGTTCGCCGGCCAACAAGCCTGTAGCACAGGTTCAGATCTGCAAATCCTTTCAGTCGACTGACTGACCGCCGCTCCTTTCCTCACACCCTCACTGAATTTCCGTAGTCAGCCTTCATCAACTGCCTGGGGAATCCGCTGATGCTGCACCAGGCCGACTCCCAACGAGCGTTTTCGAGGTTGAGTTCAATATTGATCAGAGTACTATCATTCTCCACCATGATTGTTTGCTCAGGGAATTGAAAGCCCCAGCGTTCATGTTGGCTGGCCGGCACGGAAGTGGCAAATGGTATGCGCACTATCGAGTCAGTAGACTTCCCGCGCGGTGCATCGGTCGACTCGTGGAATATGCGCACGCGAAAGACCGCGGCTTCGGGGTCATGTGAGTATTTTTTGATGAAGTTTCCCAGATCGTCCAACTTCGGATCCGTGTCCCTGATCCGGCAGGCAATGGTGCCTGACAAGGCGGTGAGATGGGACCCTGGAGGGCGTGAAGCGTCTTTCGTCTTCTGGAAGAAGAACATGTGTGCGACTAGAATGCATGCGACCTCGACGATCTGATCGCGCATTGGACCTTGGGTGCTGTGGCGTTTTACTGCATTGTACATCTCGTCCACACGAGCCACGTCGTCCATCTTTGGCGGTGCAAACCCTAGGTCCGGATTGATTCGATGCATTCGCGGTCGTAGGCCAACCGTTTGTTGCGACTTCGTCTGATCCCATCGCGTATCGGTTCCCAAACTTAGTTTCACTTGGTTCTCTACTGTGTTGTAGAGGAACTTGAGGAAAGATTCGTCTTTTTGAGCGCCATCTTCTTCTTGCGGTATGCAGTCGTCTCTCACGCGGCCGGTTCCGAGGGACAACATCGAGTCTATGAGCGGCTTGTCTCCACAATGCTCCGCCAGCAGTTTCCATTCTTCAAGAGCTATTTCGACGGGGTTATTGTGAAATAGACAACCGTCGAGCCACAGTTCTCGTGGCCTGCCACTGAAAGCATAAGGCTTGAAGTAACCTGGTGCCGCCGACGTACATCTCGCGCTCACAGGAGTTAGCATGAAATCTTTATAGGCATAAATCGTGTTCGACCTACGCTTCCCAGGTGAGACACTCGTCATCTTTGGATTGAGGTCGCCACCTCTGGTATTTCTTGTCTGGATGTGGTCGTGCATTGTAGTTTGCAAAAAGATATGTTCCGCTGGATTTCATTTTCGAAACAACAGCCACTTTAGGCATGTGCTGGAGTTGACATTGTTCTCGCTGGTCAAACAGAATGTTCTCTGGGCCGAACGATTCTTTCAGCGCCGTTTCCAGACCTCCGGTCCTGTATATGCTGTGGGACCAAGCGAGCTGCAAGTATTTGAAGTATTTCACGTCGTGACCTGGGCGGGGTGTGAAAGCCTTCTTCACAAACTTTAGGAAGTTCTCGGTGCACTTTCTAGCACTCCACATATTGTGCCCAAGGGCAAGCGCCATGATGCCTCCCGTACTTGGCAAAGATTAGAGCAGAACTCCAGGACAAGATAAAACCTACCTTGTACCGACCACGAGGTCGAAGAAGTAAAAGGCAGGTACTCCGATCAATTCCTCGATTGCTTCTAGGATCGCACACTCGACTATCCCGCGTACTCCACCCCTGCGACATTGGTCAGTAAGAAAACGAGGAATAAGATGATGAGAAATGCGCACCCATCGAGGACCAAGACACTCATCCCACTGAAAGGTGGACTCAGTTCTGGGAGCCGCTGTTCTTCTCCCTTTTCAAACTCATGGCCTAGGGGACAACTGCGCAGAGAGACATGTCTGTCCTTTTGAACACTCCCGAAATCCCTGACACAGTTCCGACACAACACATGGTCACACTTCAGGACGAATTCGGGTGCATGGCTCAGACACCCCAAGCAAATGGAACGGATGATGTATCTTTCCGATCCTCCTACTTGGTCGTAAAACATCGGAAGAGCCTTTGTATGTTTCTTGATCACCTCACTTAAAAAGGTTTCGGGTCTTGAAGAATTGTCTGAATTCTCCAGTCTCTTCAAGACTTGTTGGTCCCATTTAAAATCCTTGCAATCAAACTTATTCTCCCAGACACCCTGCCAATCGTTTTGTTGCATCGCTGCTGCTTTACCCTTGCGACGGTGGTAGCCCGCATGGCTCTTTCTCGACAAGACGCATGAACGATCTCGAGAGGGTAAAGGGTATTCGGCGTGACACGGAAGCCGCAGGTCGCAGTATTCTTCGATCGCATCGTGACAGGCCTGCGCGTATGATTTGGTGTCCTTGTGGCGAGGCTCCTGATCCGTGATCTTGCCGAACCACACGTTCGGAAGGCCTGAAAGACAAGACATTAGTAACTTGTAACGTTCAGCACCTGGTATGCAGACCCACCAATACGTCCTTGACGTGCAGCGTCGAGCATTAAGCATGAAGCGATGAATGGTGTGAGCTTCTCGAAGAGAGGCTTCGGCTGGTCGTGGTATTTGCATTGTTCTTCTACTTCAATCGCAAGCGTCGTAATATATTCCGACAAAGTTGCTGGAGTCGGGCGATGTTTGAGCGAAGCCTTCACAAAGTCAAAGGGTTCCTCCAGGCTCTCTGAGAAATGCGTCAGGGCAAGGTCGAGGTAAAGGCCGAGTTCATCAGCGTTCAGCAGCATTTGACGCCTCAATTTATCATCGTACGATGCTTGACAGGCTCTTGTGATCAGCTCCTGCAGGAGTATGCGCTGCTTGTTGAGTAGCTCGTATCGTCCCTTGTGCGGCAATCGGATCACATCCACGCTCGCATAGTAGCGTCTCAATAAATCCTGCATCGTAGCAATGTGATAGTACTCGTCCCTAGCATTCCAATACTTCAGGTAACGTTGAAATGTAGCGTTCTTCCCAATTTGTGCTTGCGCGGAATTCAGTAGCTTCGCTGTGGCATTTTCAGGACTCCATTGGTCGGCAGGGGTCGAGTTGTCGGATTTATTGAGGGCTATTATCATGCGAGGTTGACTGGGACGATTGATTGTCCCTTCGTATAACCCATGTGCCCAGGTCAACATTTGCTCAACCACTGCCTCCAGCGTTCTGTCCTTCGAGTAAGCATTTCACCCCTTCAGGCCCCAGAGGGAACTCACTTCGGATTGTTAAGCACAAAAACAATGACATCGGAAAACGCATACAAGATCTTGGGATACATTTCCGAGACAGCAAAACCGCGGCGGCTGGTGGGATCTCGATGTCCCTCACCAGATGTATCTTTGACAGCCCATTTAAGCCTTCTTTTGAAACTTGCTGTCAGTTTCTTCGTCAGGCGATGTACATGACCGCTGGTCCTGGGACCTGTCGAAGTTCCTTCCAGGCGCCGGCCTCCTTCATCTACGGCGAGCTGGGCGATTGGAAGTGCCTCTCCACCATCGAAGCCTTCGCAGTCGGCATACAGAAGAGGCCGCTCACTGGTACACAGCTCAGAATCTGCGTACAGGTGAACATCTGCTGACGTTGGAGTGTCAGACTCGCTCCGACCGATGATGGGTGAGGCAACCTCTGCGCCTTCCCCTGAATTGTCTGAGGATTTGAGATCCAGAAGTAATTTAATCAACGTGCTCTTTCCGGCATCTAACGCTTGTTAGCACAGCATAGGATCGCAGCGAGTGGATGAACAACTTGTCACGCCCATGAATGACACCAGCTGAGGGAACCGTTGTTGCCCAGCCAGTTGTGCAGTCTCCAACATTATCGTTGCATATCTCCCGTATTCGGCCAAGATCGAGTCATCCGTATCCTCTCTGTCGAGACCGAACCAAGTTGTCTCCTCGTCCTCAACATGTTTCAAATTCTGCTCCTCCTCGTTTTCTGGCTCGCGCAGGCACGCTTGGAGAGCGGCTACCATTGACGGGTCGGTTTTGTCATGTGGGAAGCCAGAAGGACTCAGGATGCCTTTCTTGTGGGCGGTAAGCTTGTCCCAACAAGTCAGACATTGATAATAATTGCACCCAGCACAGAAGACGATGCCAGCTGCTTCGAATTTCGCTTCACATTCTACGCACGTAAAGTAAGAGGGAGGTATAGCCGGCCTCATGCAGATTTTTTTCGTCGCTGCAGCAGGAGAATACGACGTGCGCCAGGGAAATAATTGACAGAAGCAATGTATGCACGAGATATCAGTCGCTGATCTAGGAGAGAGCATAGAGTAAGTAGACGGAGGCATTCTTCTTCGCTCACCAGGCTGGGACGATCCTCCATGAAAGTCCCAGCCTCAAATGCGGTTCCGGACCCAGGTTGCACAGCAAGGCGATGCAGGTGTGAGACAGGTACAATGCATCAACACGTCCGCATAGTGAAATAACGGTGGAGGTCAGCCTGTACATAAATCTCCTTTGTAGGTGAGGCTGAACCGGACGCAGGCTACCGATGCTGTGAACTTGATAAAGGTATCTTTGCCGACCAAGAGTCCCCATGATTCGGAGTCACAACTTCAACATAGGTCAGGCTCGGTTTCACAGATCGTACGGTGCAATTGAAAATTTTCAAGCGGTCCGAATAGTATTTCTCCAAGATTGGACAATAAATGGCAGATGCCGCAATGCCTTGGATAAGGGCGCCAGGCCTGGTAGGGCTAAGGCAGGTTAGCGAGAAATGCCCGGTCGACCGCGATCCTTGTCAGAGAAAACTGGTCAGGATGCAAACTGGGTGGGAGCTGAAGAGTGCAGCCTGGATGAGAATCGGCAAAATTTGTCAATTTGTCTCAGACCCTCATGCTGGACTGCGCTTGCAGTACTCGTAACCTGCTTGTTCATCTTCGGAGCTCCTTGCCAAAGCCAACGAGGCGGTTAAACTGCGTTCTCTATAAACATTTCTAGAAGAGATAGACAAACGTAGACACAAACTAAACGGACACCCCTATAGCTAAGGCGCAGACCTGGCAGAGTTATGTATCGGACGATTGGAAGCCGTCAAATGCTTAGATGAACGTGCTGTTGAGCACGGAGCGGGTGTATAACCAGGAATCTGGACGTTTTGAAGGCCTTCCGATCAGATCAGGAATTCAGAGGGAGATGTTCGTCTTATGCCTGGGGAAGTTGATACATTGATGAGCAGTTTGGTTTGGGCTGGCCAAGCATTGATGTTAAGAATTCGGCCCACCTGCCGCACCTGGCTGCCCCCCATCTGCGACGACGAGGTCAAGATTCGAAGCTGAAGGGCGGTTCGAGTCGTCTCATTCTAGGGCATTTGTGGACTTCGAGAGTGCCCTCGAGGATTTGACCTACATGACCGCACTCGAGGCAATCTATCTGAACCTCACTGTTTCCGTTCCATCAGCGCTGCGATTTTAGGTCTCTTGTCCTCCCACTCATCCCATACGATTGAATAGACAGCGGTGTGCCTTCCCGGCTGTTCCTCTTGCGTACCATTTCTTGTTCGAAGAGCTTCCGCGGAGAGTGCAACTTTGCCGTGCGGGAACACACGATCCCACCTCGCGATGCCTTCGAACTCGAACCCGATCCGCGAAGCAGTCTTTCGAGATACCGCGTTCCCCGCGTGGGTTTGCCATACAACGCGTCGCAGGCCCAGACCGCCGGCGGAGGGCGGATCGAGCGTCCAAAAGAGGAGGAGGCCTATCGCGTTCGTCGCCACGTGGGTGCGCTGGAAGGCTGGGAAGATCATGACGCCGACTTCAGTGACCGCATTGACCGGGTTCGTGGCAAACAAGGACACCACGCCGGCGAACTTCGCGCTCGTATCCCCCGCTCCAGGAGTGGCGGCCTTGTCCATGACTGCGAACAGACAGTCTGCCGGCGAGGAGCGTATAGCCTCGTAGGCCTCTCTCATGAAGTCCTCCTCGTTGTTTATGACTGGGAAGGGAATGTACGTAAACATTTCCGGGTAGGTCTTGATCATCTCAACGAAAGGTGTTGTATGGACACTGGGCTGCTGCCGAGTCAGGCTCCCCCGTTCAAGCAAATGGCTTTGATATTGCTTTTCCGTAGCGTAGATGTGCGTACATACCTCGAATGGCACGAGAGCGACGAGATCATTCTCCAGCTGTCGCTGCTCATAGTGGAAAGTCTTGTCGCCCATGATTCCTGGCACTGGCTTGACCACCTCAAGCCGCCCGTTTCTCTCGATTAGGCCTTTTGAGCTGTGCAAAGCCAACGGTTGAGTGAGAGATTATCTATGCGAGTCCCACCTGTCGACAGTGTAACGTTGGGCAAGCAAAGGACTTTCGTACATACCTAGGTACCTAATCCCTCCCCAGACCCGCCCGCAAGCCGAGCCTCAGCGCCAGACTCGGTACCTTATCACCCCGTTCGCGCCATCAACTCGTACAATGGATCGACCGACGACGGGATGCATGGCACCGTGATTGCTGCTACGACGATGGAGCAAAAAGCCAATGGTCACGACCAGAACACGGCAAGTTCCACCATGCTGGGTTGCATAGGATTCCATAGAATATCCTTACGAGGGACGCAAAGAGCGCCGAAGCGGCGCGACGCCTCGTTCCGGACGACAATGGGCATGATACGTCAATTCTCTTGGACTACCGAAGTTACATATCCTAGAACATACACCGAGACACTATGGGCGAACTTGCGTTGGTGAGGAGTGGAGGGCTCGGTCGAGATATCTTGAGACTTACTACGCCAGCCTGACAGGCATTTGCGCTCTCCCTCAACCTCAGGTCCATTCCGACTCCTTCTTCTCCAGCCTCACATCCATCAGAGCACATGCCACCCGACACATCAGCTCGGGCTTCTGGTCCACCTCCTCCCATAGGGCCTGCACATCGTTGCCGAGACCAATGTGCTCGGCTGTCTTCAGACTCCTCGGGTCGACCCAGGGAGCGAGGCAAGTCCACACATGCTGCGCAGTGGTGAAGAAGATGTCGATCCCGACATCCCCGATCCCCTTGATCTTCTGGAGCTCTGCTCGGATCTTGCTCCGGTCTTCGGACGTGGTTTTCAAGATTGTGTTGAGATCGCCCTCTGCGTGAGCATCAGTCAGGACAGCACAAAGGTTGTACACAGGGAGTCTGAACGGGGTTTATGATGCCTCAAGCTTACCGTACTTCTCCTCCACTAACTCGGCCAGCTGTCCCATGAAAGTCGCTGTCTTCTCTCTGCTCGCGACCATTCAGATTGGATTTTCCGAGTCAATGCAAAAGGCTGAGCGACGATTGTACCAACTTACCGATAATGTGTGTATCCGCCCTCGGTGAGCACCTCGGTCCTCTCCTCCCAGCTACTTTTCTTCAAGACATCCAGGTTGTGATACCCTGCCTTGATGACGAGAGCGGTGGTTTTCGCTGCAATGCGATGTGAGACTCGAGTCGAAGAGAGTATAGCATTCAAAAGCAGTGCCAATATGGTATCGGGAGTTGCCTTGTCCGGGTGTTCCAGGTCCGTGTCGGAAAGAGGAAGCCCGCCAAAGTGCTGGAGAAGTTTCTCGATTTTCTGGCCGTGGGCCCCGGTGCGCTTCTTCTGCTCTCCCCTGGATTTCCGGGTCGACTTTTTGTGGTCTTTCCCACCGTCCGCGAGTGCGCCCTTCGCGGTAGCTGCGTCTCCTTTTCCAACTTGGCCGGTCTTTCGCTGTTTTGTTTGAGGCTCGGTGGGGTTCGCCCTGGGAGCCTCGTCGCGGGATCTTTTGGTACCCGTCTTTTTTCCGTCGGCCACTGCAGTCTCTTGGCCTTGCGCCTTACCCTTCGCCCGAGTGGTCACCATCGTGCTCTGGCTGACGCGATCTGACTTATGTCGAGGTCGTCGCGGTGCGAGGTCCGGGTGCATGTGAAGAAGTCGTTGACGTACTGGTGAAATTGGAGCAGGGATGATGTCACAGGGTGTCTGATCATCATCCGCCTTCTATTTCCTACAAGTATTGTAAAGACACGGATGTACCTGTTTCGAACACGCCACCTATGCGATCAGACACCGGATCATGGATGCGGGGAAGCGGAAGGTCTCACACGTCCACTTCTTCCCCAGGTGGAATTGGGTTCCAAGGTGTCAAAGAGGACAAGGCGTCCAGTTGCGTCTCAGCATGAAGTTGATCTCAGCCGGAGAGACAATCCGGAAGGGTGTTTCGTGGGGCTTCGTTCAGTCCCGTCCTAAGATTTACCGACAGACACTTCAAGACGCTAATTAGAGGACCGTTTGACTTACACCATCAGTCCCCAGTATTGCCCTATCCGACATACGTCGGTATGTAGGGGTACACGGTGCAGCGGACAGGGCTGGTCCGGGGGAACATCCTGGACACGGTACCTTTACCTGCGCCAGGCTGGGGAGTGCCAGGGGTAACGGCTTGTGTGATTGGCTGTATTGTCATCTGCCAAGTTCAAAAACTCTCCGATTGGACGACTGGACCAGAAGCGGAAAGACTGACAGCGAGATCTGGCACGTCGACGATTCCCACAGCCTTTTCGACACCCCATTTCCCTTCGTTTCGATATCTTGCAGAATTCTTGACGTCAACACTCGTCAGGGGATTCCATGTTGGCTTCACAGGAGGGCGTGGAGCCCGCCGGCATATTCCATCTCGAGAAAACAAGTACTGCTTCTCCTGCATAATGCTCTCGATGGTTCGGAATTGCGCTCCGCAGCTCCACCATGATGTTGAGAACGGTCACTTCTCCCCGATCCCCCAAAGACCTCACCAATATCAGGGCGAAGGGACCATTATAGAGCAGTGACGGAAAAGAGACCAAAGTCATGACGTCAGGATTGAGAACCAGCAGATGAAGCAAGTCTATAAAGCAGACCGACTTCTTCTCCCCGAGCATCTTGAAAATTCTCGCAAGCATCCATCACCCACAAAAAGCCAGACTCCAGAAGGACCCCCCTTTACCAATACTTGGAACTGTCTCAAGAAACCCCAATAATACTCCAACAAAAAAGGGATGACTGACAACCAAAACCCCGGAAACTTCGCCAACCGCCCCAAGGAAGAGGTCCAGGAGATCGCCTCCAAGGGCGGTCAAGCCAGCCACAACAGCGGCTTCGCCGGCATGGATCCCGACGAGCAGGTAAGATTAGGTTATTTACCTCTCTTCCCTTATCATCCGCGGCCGTCCAAGCCGTGGCACAGCCACATATGCAGTTTTACTCGATTTTTGGGAGACAATCCTCCGCTAACCGTGGCGTCTGGCGCCTTTTCTCGCAGCGAGACATCGCCTCCCAGGGTGGTCAAGCGTCCGGCGGCTCCTTTGAGAAGGGCAGCGAGCGCGCCGCGGAGGCTGGTCGCAAGGGCGGATCGGCCACTGGCTCGTCCTAGATTCTACAGCGCTCGCGGATAAACGGCGAGGCGAGGCGGGTTAGGGCTCGGAGTCGGTCGCAGCGGTGGCGGACGGAGAAGCCTGTACTTCTGTAACAACACAATCCTCGGGGGAACGACTAGGTACTCCAACAGTGTGAGGTTACAACGGTTATGCACGCAAAGGACGGGCCGTGGATTGGGACACACCAGCTCGAAAGAATCACGATGTGCTAATATGGAGTCAAGACTCAACGACTAAAACTCATCGATCAGATAGTGCTGGTTTGTAACAATGTACAACAACTCTGAATTTGATTATAAACCCCTGTTGCGTCAACTGACTTGACGTCTGCATAGATCCTTGGTAGCGCCGTAAATTTGTGACTGGCAGTGATCATAGATCGCTTGATTGTCGGCTCTGTAAGCCAGAAGTCTTCAAACCTGGCGTATATATCCACCCAAAAATCACATAATAACGGCATCTCCTAAGCATAGCAAATTGAAGATGAAGACTCATGATTCTGCGTAGGCGCTTTTTGCCCTCAACTTCTTCCCATACCACCTGAAAAACAAAGGTGCAGGTGCCAGGAGCAGTCCGATGCACCCCAGGAGAGTCATCGTCCAGTGCACCCCTATGCCTGTGTACATGGGCCTGGCGGCCATGACCATCGTTCCTGCAATGAGATACCGCGCCATCGTGATGCTGGCAAGTGCTACAGCACTGTGTTTTGTGTAGCTGTCGACAATGTACTCGTAGCTGCTCACATAGACGGCGGTCGCCACAATGCCAAAGCAAAAACAAGCCGCAAGCCCCGACCACAGTGAAATGCTAGAGTAATTGGTCCAACCCAGCCAGAACAAGGAGATGGGCATCAATGGTGCCGTGACAATCGCTGGCCACAGCCTGTACTCAGGCTTGATCCAAGCTTGCCTCACATAGTTTGTGTGGACTCGTGAGAGGTGGAAGAGTGCTGGCGCAAACAGGGTAAAGCATGTGGATCCGGCAGCGATGGATGCGAAGCACGAGCCTGTCAGCCCATCGGATAGGTCGTATGTCTTTTTGAATATGTAGTCGAATCCAGATAAGAAAGTGAACATGAGAATATAGACGAGTATTAGGTAACCACCCAGGACCGCAACCACGGGCTCGCTCGAGAAATAGACAACCGGCATTGGGAGAGTCTCGCGTAAACGTTTGAGAAGCGATGCTTTTTCAGCATGTCCAGACACGTACCTGGAAGATCCGGACACACGGCGAAGATGTCTGGCTTTCCAGTCCAGCAGAACCGGTAGGTATGTCTCGGGAAGGAAGAGGAAAGCAATAATGAAGGCGAAGCCGGAAATGATGAGTGTGACCCAGTCAGTCCAATGCCAACTGAGGTTGCGATCTTGAACCAGCCATCCACCCGCGACTGGTGCAAGCATAGGAGCTTTGCATCTGAGTTAGCAGACAAGTCAAGAGACATATGAACAGGAAGGATTCCCTACCAGCAACGTTGGCCCATGCAATAACAGGGAAAGCGAAGGCTCGCTTGACCGGGCGGAACTGATCACTCACACTGGCGCCATTGATGCCTAGGGTGGCACTGGCGAAGACGCCCACGAAGTATCGGCAAACAATCCGTCCACCCAGGTTCGAAGTCAACGCTGTACCCAGCACAAAGCATAGATAACAAACGGTCGCTCCCAGGTATGTCGGGTTTCTTCCGACGGTCTCGGAAAGAGGGCCGCAGAAGAGGCATCCGGATCCAATCCCCAGCAGGTACAGGGCTTGAGAGAGATTCGCTGCCACCTTGCTCACACCGTACTCTTGACTCATCCGCGAGTTTGCCATGGAGTCTGCAGCGCTTGCCCATCCTTGGGAGAATATAAGGAGACACAGGACAGCGATATTCTTACACCGTGCGAAGAGCGGCCAGTTGTGAGGGTCGATAGGGTCATCGTCTCCCGTGATATCGACCACGATCTTGCCATTGCCGCTGGTGCTGCCGCCCTCTGACCCCGGCCGTTCCTCAGAAGACTCCTCTTCAAGGGCGCCATTGGATCCCCTTAAAATTCTCCGTTCAGAGGCAGCCTCAACATCTCGGAAAGCACTCTTTCTGTCATGATCTTGCTTATGTCCCTTCTCTTTCCATTCGTGCTCGACCTGCTTTCCGATCCGTTGGTATTGCACTAGGGACCACATTGATCGCCGTCGCTGGTGAGGTATGTCATAGGTCTGGCATGTCAGTCCACATAATAGTCAATACAAAGGATAGAAGATAGAAGTCACATCTATATTGTCAATGAATGCATGTGCAGGGAAATATTTGGCTCACTGCCGGAGATTTGTGCTGTGATATTTTGCAGTGGGGTGTCGCGTGAGGTGTTTCCCTCTTTGTACATTTTGGCCAAGCGACGCTGAGACTGTCCTCGCCGAATACGGGGATCTTCAGACCAAGAATCTTGCATGTGACGTCAAATTACCGCGGATTGAGTGGAGGTAGAGCAGAGGAGCAGCAGGATGGATGAGACTGATTGGAGTTTGGAAGCCCGGGCGTGGTCCGGCATCCTCTCGCTTTTCTTTTTCTCTTCGTTTTCTCGCGTTCCTCCTTTTCCATTGGGAAGCTGACATCACGGTGGAAGCATCTTAAAGAGCGCCATCTGATGATCTTTGACATTCTGGCATTGAACAGATAACGCTGACTCCTCGTGTCGTCGCGGTACATCAGGACGGTCGAGTTGTTCGAGTGCATTGGAGGATTGGGTCACTGGGATAAATGCCGGGGGCGTCCGTCGCCGCAATGGAAGGGCAAGAGACTGGCACGTGAAGGTGAAAGAAAGATGCAGAGTGGAAGTTGGATCACGTTACTGAGAAACGGCAGCCCTACAGCCTTGACTTCTTTCGGGTTTCCAATTCCATCCTGAGACCCAACTACTTGTACACAAACCACCTGCATGCCTCAATATCCAATCCCCACCGCAAATGACCAGTTTCCCAGGACTCGCTTCCGATTGCGACCACTCGTACCTCTCTACAAGCGAACCCATGGTTGTGTGTTCACGCCCAGAAAAGGGCTATGCTCGCTACCGTCGTGGCGCAGCAATCGAACCACATGATCCCCAGGCCCTTGTATACAATGAGCGCGTTGGTCTAGAATGCTTAAGAAGGATGGCGCAAACGTTATCTTCCACCCTCACAATTGTATCGATTGCCAACTGCCCCCCCCCCCCCCCAAACCAAATTTCTAGCCGCAATCCCTCGCGGCGCAATCGAGGCTTTCCATGTATCGCAAAGCATCAGGCGGGATGGGTTTCTCCTTCAATCGATTCATGACCAATGCCTTCCCCAACTTCGCAAACGACAATCCTGAGCGAGATGCCGATCTCACCATGAACGAGAAAGATATCTTGTGGACACATCAAATTTCAGGGGCAGAGGCCGCGCAAAGGTCACCCATGACATTGGACACCGAAAGCGCATTGAATGCAGGCATAACTCGTAAGGCTCACCTATATCAACCAGAGCAACCCAAGGAGGAGAAGGTATACAAGGGAATCTTCACGTACTAACGGAAACCATCAAATCAGCAAGCGGTAAAATATCCGCGCGCATTCACAAGGAACTGGTCAAGAACGGCATCATTAACTCCAACGCCCCCCTCGGCATCGACACCACAAGAATCACTCCGAAATTCGCACATCAGCTGGCTTTCATAAGCGTCGCGGCCCAGCGCAAAGTGATCGGTATGCTCTTTTTCTGGGAGGAAGAAGCCATCCGATGGAGATTGTTGGAGCAGGAGCAGGCCGAGATCGAGACCGCGATGGGTGTCGAGGGGGTCAGCGAAGAGACGAAGAAGGAGTTGAGAATCCGGCTGGAGAGTGTGAAGATGAGGAAAAGCATGAGCCCTAGTCAGAGGCCGACGATGCAGGATGCAGGTCATCAGGAGGCTTCAGGCCCGCCGCAGTACTCGTAGCGAGTTCTCGCAAAGGAGGACAGCTCGATAGGGGTTGAGCTTGGGCTTTACTTGCCACTCGCGTGAGGAAGCGCTTTATCTATTGATTGGACCTCTTAGTGCGTGTCCTCCAGCTCTGGGTCTTTGCCATGGGGGATATGCTACGTCGCGAAAATCGTGGACATCTTTCTCAACGTTGATATTTTGACAAAAGGCCGTCACAAGGGGCGTTCTTCGCCCCCAGATACAGTAAGTGCGGATGGGGTACAAAGGGAGACGATCGTCATGGAGGCAGCTTAGCTATAATATTCGGATTTCAATGCTCGTCCAACAAGTCAGACCTTATATCTAATGCATGCAGTTCTAATAGCGTACGCTTTCCTCGCCTCTGTGGAACGGCTTTTGCTCCATACAGGCAAACTCGCCATGACAGTGGCCCTCAGGCGAACTCTACGGTATTACGCAGTGTCCCGATCTTCGATATCTGCACCTCCATCTTGGTGCCCGGGGTGAGATATCTCGGAGGCTTCATGCCCGAACCGACGCCTGCGCAGCCACGTGGACTAGGTCAGCAGATCCAGAACGAATGCATTGTGGAGGAGCGGGCAGAGGATGGGAAAACCGCTGTGCATCAGCGTGCGCGAGACTGACCTCCTGGCGTTCCCGTCATGATGACGCTCCCCTTCTGCAGGGTCGTTCCCTGACTCAGATAGGAGATGATGTAGGGGCAATCGAAGAGCAGGTCGGACACGCTTTCGCTCTGTCGTGTTTCGCCGTCGACGATGGTCTTCAAGTGCAGCTCCGCGGGGTTCCCGACCAGGTCGGGAGCCACGAGACACGGGCCCAGGGGCGCAAAGGTGTCGAAGCCCTTGGAAAAGCCCCATTGAGGCACCCTGCCCGCCAGCTCCGGGTCTCGTTGGAGTTTCCGCGACGAGACATCGTTGCCGGCTGTATAGGCACCTACGTAGTCCAAGGCTTGCTCGACGGGGACGTCTTTGGCATCGCGGCCAATGACGATACACTGAAGGGGGAGAGCACGGTTAACAGAGGCCCCGTCGATAACGCCAGTGCGGAGCGATCTTACCAGTTCTCCCTCGTAATCGGCCTGGTCGTCCTGGGCGAGCTTCGGTATTACCACCGGAGCATCATGATCCTGGACTGTGGTGTTCGGCTTGAAGAAAATGAAAGGAAATGGTGGAGGTTGTCGACCGGCTTCCTTGACTATAGCGACCACGCCGTCAGCATGCACTCCAGAGTCACTAATGCTTGCATGAATCCCCGTGGCGGAGCGTTCAAGAGCCGATCGAGAGTCGGGTGGTTGGAGACATCAAAACGTACTGTGCTTTGCATAATTCAGCCCGACACATCGCAGAATCGGCACCTCCTCTCGAGCCAATGGACCAAGGAGTTTCTTCACCGTGACAATCTCATCCGTCACTTTGGTCTTGCCAGTCGTATCGAAAATGTCGTCTCCCACGATGACTTTGGCCTTCAACTGGTCGGACTCGGTGACATTGCCCAGGTCGAAATCCTCGCTGGGCAAGACTGGCTCGCCGCGCAGAACTCGGCCGTCGGTAGCGACGAACCGGATGAGTCTAGTCCAGGGTAACTTCATCTTAGAACAGCTTGCCTTGGGAGGATACCGTCGAAGTGGTTGGTCTGGTTCACGGGCAAGATGGGGTCGAGTTTCATGGCCGTTGATATTGCCAACGAGACAGCCATGTGGGGTATGTTGGACGGAGGGAAGTGGAGGGAAGTACGGGGAAAGAACGGAATGGCGTGCCCAAGCTGACTCTTCCCAGCACAATGGACGATAATGAGACGGAGCTTCTCGGCCAAAGATGCGACGCTTGCTGGAGAACTGCAAGCGGTCAAAGGAACTCGAGGTTTCATCGAGAGAGGTGGTTCATTGTTCAGTCTAGTGCTACTTCCTATGTTCCCGGTCTACAGGCTGAGGGTGTGTCTCTCAGCCAGCCATCATAGCAGTCAAACCTGGCTCAACCCCGACGAGATCGGCAAATAGGTCGAGACTGTTGTCCGTCCAATACTGGTGCATGCTCATGTCAAAAGCTGCGAAAGGATCGTCTTGACCCAGAGGCGGCAGGAGGCCGTTCGTTGTGATGCTCCCATCCAGGGCGCCTTGAGACTGCAAAGAGAGGCTGTTCTGGCTACTTATCTGGGTCGCATCGCTCTGCTGACCAGAGGACAAAGCTGACAAGATAGCCGGGCCATGTTCGGGATTGAACTGTACGAGTGTCATGCATATCTGCACGAGCTTCAAGAGAGTCTTCCTGATTCTCTTCGCGGATTTGGTGCCCTCGCCGAACCGCTTGAGGGTCTCCATCGCCCGCCGGAGTCGTGTAATCATTTCGACAATTTTGGCCGAGTCCAAGGAGTCGGTGGAGGCCATCGGTGGACTATTTGCAGTCCGCGCGTTCAAGGGGGTAATTTCTAGCAAGATGCAACTGAATATCACGAGGGCCGCATTGAAAGCTTCAGAGATATGATCAGCATTGAACCTGAGTCGGTGATCAAAACACGGTTCTTACTGTAATAGGAAGTGAACCACCATGCCCCGAGCAAGGCGGGTGGTTTGCTCGTCTTGTGGACAATCTCGACGATTTCCATCGCGGCTTGCTGGCAGATTTTGACGCTTCGCTCTCCGAGGTCGTTGAAAAATGGATCTTCCTGCTCGATTTGTTCGCCAGGTACTTTCACCCGAGCTCTCTGACGTAGAAAGGCACTTAAGATGGGTCTATGCAGTAAAATCCGCGTATTGAGATATCTGAGCGTGATGATAACGCTCAACCTGTCGAAGACAGGATCCCAAGCGGAGAGTGAGATTGTATCAGGATCAAGAGTATCCCATGGCCGCCGCTGCAGCTGAGGGAACAAGTTGTGTTTCCAGGCTGCCAGTTTCTGTTCGAGAACGACGGTCCTTTCCAGCATTGTGGGGACGGTCAGTCCAGGATCAATGTCCACATTACCGCCATAGAGCTCGGAAATTATGTCTCCTAAGATATAGTATAGTTGTCTGCCAGCAGTCAATCAACAGTGCATTAAAAGGCGCAGGCAAAGCTCACATTGTAGCAGTGAAAAGGCAAACTGTGTCTGGCGGATCCAAGCTGCTCATCGAAGTCGCTGAGTTTCCCAGCATTGACAGTCGCTCCAAATTCTGGTTCATCGGGAGATCCAATTTTACTATAGAGTTGGGCATCATACAGGGGCGGCCAAAGGTCATGCTTAGTGTCCTGGAGCCAGTGAGATGTTTGTTCCTGGTGCTGTTTGATGCGTGGAAGCTCACCTGTCCAAGATCATACACCCAAACCATGTCCGCTTGCGTATCTCGGCTTCCACCAAGTTCAGTCCTGAAGAAGCCGTCTGCGAGTGTAAGCCCAATTGGATCGCCGCGCGGACTGCGAGGCCATGTAGGTTCCAGGCCTGATCAGATCGTTGCGTGCCTTGACGATACTGTGCCATCAAAAGCAAGCATTGGACTGCTGCCAGTTAGTGGTATTATCCGGCAGGGGTGTCTCGCAAATGTATTTTTTTTTTGGCTGCAATCGACTCGAGAGATGCAGAAGAAATTGTCTCAACATATACTCACCCGTCTCTAAGCTAGCTGATTTCATCTCAATCTCGGCCGACAGGGCCTGTGCCCTTTCTATGAATATTTCTGACTCGGCCGCATTCTTTTCGGCCGACTGATCAGGTTTGGCGCTGATATAGGTTGCAAACGCAAAGATGGCGTTTACGAGGCATAGCCAAGAGCGGCTCACTGCGCTGAAGCGGTTTCGCCGGGCAGCAGAGTATGTACGGAGGATATCTTGCTCGCGAATGTAGGGGAACAGCATTCCTGTATCAGAAAAGAAGAGCCTGATGAGGTGCAGAGCGCGCGATTCCGGGGGGAGCGACCGGATATTGATGTGGTGTCGAGCGATAGGGCTGGTCTCTGAGAGAGTCGTAGTAACAGGTGAGGCTACTCTGGAGACGATGGGCTGATTAATCCCACTTTCCGAATGTCGAGACTGCCCTATTGACTTCAAGGTAGCTGAAGTCGCGTCCGATATATGGCGGAGCAATGCTATGTTCGAAGATGGACCAAAAAACCTCGATTCCGTCTCTTCCGGGTCGGTGATGGCGGCCATGCCATCAACAGAGTCCTCGGCATTCTGTTGCAGGGAGTCATCCTCGTCGAGAATGGCAACGTCTTCATCGTCGTTCGGCACCTGTCGTGGCTCCTGAATGGTGGTACTTGCTTCTTGACTCGGCCTGTGTTGCTCGTGGCTCGGTGGGTTCAACTGCTCGGAACCCTCCGACGAGGGGTGGTTTCGATTTACAAGCAACCTGAGCGTATCTTCGATAGCCCGCAGCCTCTCATCATAGCCTGGCTGTAACTGTGGCGGTCTGACATTACCCGCGGCAGGTTGTTGATATATGCACTCGAAGCCGAGTTCGACGCAGAGACTGCAAGAAGGTCTAGCGCCATTGCAGCGTGATTTGCGATTCCTGCAGGATGTGCAAGCTAGCGCTATACGCCGCCGTTTGTATGAAGGCGGTGGTGTCGTTTGGTCCGCATCCTGTAATTCGCTTTGGGAGCTCTTCCGGACTTGGGCATCCGACATGGCGTCCCCTCCTTGGGCTTCCCTTGTCCAGGCAATGTGGTATGATTCGTCACGTGTGCTTCAGGACCGTCACCAGAGGCAAGGCATATCTGGGGTGCAGGAGTGCAAACAGAAGGGGTATATCGGGGAAGAAGCTGGCTTTTTGTATGTTTGTGGAGATTTGATGGCAAGGCTGTGCACGACTGCTTACACCTGAATTTTCGCTACCCACAGGTACCGTATACAGCACGGCATCCTTTCAATAGAGGCAGCTGAATATTCGAAGAACCATTCTCGAGCGTTGATTGAATAACCGCCGTCTCCCGCTCTCTGCGACTCCGGGGATTAGGAGCTTTCGACAGCTTCATTGATGCCAAGGCTGCGTGTCCGATGCATACCCGGCGCTGAGGGGACATCAATAGCTTTTGTCTGACAGCATGAATTGCTGGCCAAAAGCCCCTAGTGATCCATTTATCGCTTGTCTGACATCCGAGTTTCAAGCCTTCCTCCACCATCCCCTCCTCATTTCCTCGTCGCTCTCTACGTCCCTCGCTGACACCGTCTTCCAATGATCGGCGTATGCTGTGCGTGCCACGTTCTTCTGTGCCCTACCAATCGTCTATGATGTCTATGAGCGAGCCCTTTAATCCTGAGAGGAAGGTACCCTGGACACCAAAACAACGCCCGGTGGCAATGGCACTCCTTTTCTGCAGACAATGAACGCCGTGGATAATTTGGCCAAGTGCGCAATTCTCTGATGATGACACCGATTATCATCAGAGGCAGCTCTGATGGTAGCAACCTGATACATTGCGCTAGAGATCTACTTGTATCTCGTTTTGACCTCCTCAAGTGTCAATATTTGCTTCCGCACCTCTGTTTTCAAGCCCCTTTGTCGCCATCCATTCAGCTTCTGTGGATACACTGGAACGATCCCATCGACCTGAGCGTCATGGGCGAGTACCACAAATACACTCGGGTTTGAGTGCAACGCCTGGGTTTTGTGGATTGTTTTCCTTGCGCTGACCGGATCTTTGTGAAACCCAGGCTGTCCATTTGGTCCCACATCGACACTGATATCGCGAGACGGATGTTCGAGCAGACCCCTATGGTGACAGCAATCGCCCCCCATAGCAACCCATTCATCCTCACCAGTTCGTGCTAGGGCCATCTGATGTCCAGGCATATGACCCGGCGCATCAAGTACAAAGAAAGACCCATCACCGAAGATATCTACCCCTTCGTCGAAGGTGAATGAAGTTGGCACGGTGCCTTCACTAAGTCGGCTGTATTGCGATCTCTGCAGCTCAGTGAATCCCTGATGAGCAAGCACTGAGCCATCAAAGGGCGAGCCATCGATGGCTGGGTAACCCGGATGGATGCAGTCTCGCGTTCCTGGTCCGACGACTATCTTAGATCGAGGGAAGCGCCCAACATCCCCACTGTGGTCGAAATGCATATGACTCAACACCACCATGTCGATGAGCTCTGGCTTTACTGGCCCATCCGAAAGCAAGTCGTGTGCATCTTTTGGGACGTAGGGCTCAATTGCACTATAGTCCTCCCTGATCACCCTGGGATTGTTGTCAAGATCCTGCGAATGCCGATTTAGCATGTTTACAGAAGGACTCTAACCGCGGAATTCTGGAAAAGGACTGACCTTGCGCATGCCGAGATCAAACAACACATTCTGGCCTGAAGGATGTTGAATGAGAAAACTATAGTCTGGAGACAGATGGCGGACTTTCAAGTCTCCGTCCGCAAAGATCCAGCGGTCTGGGAGCCAGAGGTATCCAGTTGGAAGGACATATACGTCCACTGTCTGAGGCACAGCCATTTCAAGGGGTCAGGTTATCGACCTGTGACAATGTCTGCTCTTGGTCCCCATGAAGTGGACATTTGAGGGGCTCTCTCATATCTATTCACGACCGCCGTGGGGAAGTTTGATGTCCAGGATGGGCAAACTCAAGTCCGAGGGTAACCTTGCCAATCCGGCTTCCCTTCGGCTTTAGGACTCCTCAATTCTCCGCTTCCGATGCACACCCTCTTTCTCTTGCAAAGGGTGTGCATTTGTTGATATTAGCAAAGCGTCAATGGTTTGGAGATTCTTAATATCCTCTAGGTCAAGACTTCACCAGATTCTCGATACCCCCTTGGACACCGACCGAGTCCGCTTTGATCCACTCCCATATCTCGACCTCTACTACTCTCACACACCACGCACTGCATGGAGCGAATCGATACGCACTCTCACGTTGTGCCTGAGGTGTGGCGCAAGTTTTGTTGCCAGTATGGGTTCGACAGGCCGGACGGTATGCCTGCCATCCCTGTAGGTACGCTACTCTCCATACAACATGCCTAAGCTGATTCATGTTCAAGGCTTGGACACCAGAGGCGCACATTGACCTTATGGACAAATTGGGCATCTCCAAATCCATACTCAGCATTACATCTCCTGGGACACATCTGAGGCCACATGACGACGAATTAGGTCGAACTATCACTCGGGAATCGAATGATGAAATAGCCCGGATCTGTCGATTACATCCCAACAAGTTCGCTTTTTTCGCATCCTTACCACTCCCAGATGTCACCGGCTCCGTTGAGGAAATTGATCGTGCTCTAGATAGCTTGGGGGCGGTGGGATTTGCTCTTATGACCAATGCACACGGATACTATTTGGGCGATGCCCATCTTGAGAAGGTCTTTGCGAAGCTGAATGAGAGGAAAGCAACGGTATTCATGCATCCGACCTCATGCCACTCGCAGAAGCTACCGGAAGCCGAAAGACCACTCTCACAGTATCCAGCACCGATGCTCGAATTCTTCTTCGACACTACACGAGCAGTTGTCAATTTGATTTTGTCTGGCACTGTGGCGCGTTACCCCAATATCACTTATCTGGTCTCACATTGTGGCGGCGCCCTGCCGCCCTTGGTTGAGAGATTCTCGTCGTTTGCAACAAGAGTTTTAGGAGGCAATGAGGCTATAGATTCATCGCAGGTGAAGGAACTGTTCAAGTCGAGGTTCTATTTCGACTTGGCTGGGTTTCCGTTTCCGGACCAGATCCACGGGCTCCTGCGCACGGCAGATGCTTCCAGGTTGCTGTATGGCAGTGATTATCCCTACACACCAGCTTCAGCGTTGACAGGAATGTCGACGCGAATGGACGAGGAGCTGAACAATTTGTTCGATGAGAGGGTGGTCCGTGAGATCTACTCGGGCAACGCAAAAAGACTCCTGAAAATCTAAAAGATAGCACAACTCCGCAGACAATGAGTGATATGGTTCTGGGTCCAGTCCACGCGCAACTCCAGATTGTGTTTCCGTCTCTTCAATGGGTTCCTGGGTGCGAGTTCTAAGTGGGCAGCAACCAGCCCTCGCATAACGTCGGGGATTAATCACCGGGTCGCGCACGCTGTTTTGCGGGCAAGCGGCCGCACCAAAATCGAGACCGCCTCGTATAAGTCCAGCCTTGTGTGCCGAGCCCCTATCTCCGCCCGACCTGGGATGGTCGAGACCAAAGCCGGGGCAACTATGTGTGTATACCAACAGGTCCGAAATTTCCCCAGAGTTGGAAAAAGCATCTTTCGCGAGTCATGGTTATATCCCCTTCGCAGCCAGTGCTCCGCTCGACAATAACGACATCCTTGCCATTCAGGACCGCCTGGTATAAAGGGGCTCCCCGAGCTGTTTGAAACGCGCGAAGCCTCCAGTGAAAGGTATCTTCTGATCATTCATAATGCTCGCTGTCAGCAAATCCGTCGACATGCATATCGAGAACACGATCGCGGAGGTCGAAAACAAGAACCAGGAGTTAGGTCAAGATAACTTGATCGATGCTCACGACCCCCACGATCCTCTATCCTGGAGTACCTCGCGGAAGCTTACCATTCTCCTCGTTGTCGGCCTCTGGATCTTGTTGGGAACCTCGAACATGATCATCATTGCTCCGGCCCTCCAGACCATCCCAGTGGAGTTTCATTCGTCCTTCAACACTTCGACTTACCTCGTCGGCGGCCCACTTTTGGCTTACGGCATTTCTTCATTTCTCTGGGTGCCCCTGGGTAACAGATACGGGATCAGACTCGTCTTCGTCCTCGGTTCTCTGGCTGCAGCCTGCATGGATTGTTGGGCCGCCAAGGCGACTTCGTTCGGGAGTCTTGTGGCTGCTAGGACCCTCGCTTCGATGTTCTATGCACCCCCAGAAACACTAGCCCCTCAGCTGGTTGGCGATGTCTTCCAGTTCAAGGACAGAGCGAAGGCCATGACATGGATAGGCATCTTGCAGGCTAGTGGCTTTTCTGGCGGGCCTCTGATCGGAGCCTTCATCATTCAAAATCCGTCAGTGCACTTGCTTCATCCCGGTGGATAGATGCTGAACCAAAGTGACAGAGCCCTTGGCTGGCGATGGATCGAATGGATCCTAGCCATTATCACATTCGGTGCTGCAGTTTTGATGATCCTTCTCCTGCCGGAGACCCAGTACACGAGGCACAGTGTGGAAACAACAGCCCTGACAAGGTCATGGAAAGATGACTTGCGGTTCTGGCCCGTCAGCGGCGGAGGGAGACCAAAAGATCACAGGTCTGGCGGAATGCAGGGCTTGAAGCAGTGAAATTGTTGGCTAACGTCCACCACAGTTTTCTCCACGGACTTGCGACCATACTTCCATATTTTGGACATCCGGTCATCATTCTCAATACTGCCTTCTTTTCTCTGACGCTGCTGGTCACTAGCTACACATTGGTATTGTCTTCTCCCTTCAACCATGCCCCGCGCCGCTGACGGCGTATAGACCACACAATCCATCACTTATCTGACCGTCTATCCATTCTCAATTGGGAACTCCGGCTTGACCTTCATTGCGCCCTTGATCGGTACCTGGATGGCGATGCTGTTCTGCGGTGTGCTGGCAGATCGAATGTTCCTTCGGTTGACCAAGAGAGAAGGACGAAAGCCAAAGCCGGAGCGGCGGCTACCTCTGCTTATAGTGACCGGTGTGGTTGGAATTGGCGGCTCCCTCCTGTTCGGCATTTGTACTCAGGAGAAATGCCACTGGATTGCGCCTCTATTTGGGTCATGCTTCGGTATGTACGCTGACGTTGCCCTGACCTCCAAACAACACTCATGGGAACTTGAACGCTGACAAGTGTTCTCTTTCAGTAAGCTTCTGCTTCATCTCCTCCCTCAGCATCTCGTTCGCATATCTACTGGACGTATACGAGGCGAAAATGGATACTGTCATGGTCATCGACAATGGGATGAAAAACCTGGCCGCGTTCGGCATCAGCTACGCGATTGTCCCTTGGAATACAAGTGCTGGCTATACAATTCCATTTGTTGTCATGGCCGTGATACTCCTTGTGGCGCATCTGTTCATGGCTGTGGTGTACTTCAAGGGTGAGGCGATGAGGAGGTGGAGTGCGCAGCATTTTGAGTCGGCGAGGACAACGCATCATGGAGATGCGTTCTAAACGAAGAGGGCGATACCATACATTTACAGGTCTAGCGAGCACCGACATGAGAGAAAGAATTTTGCGAGAGAGCTTTACTTGTCAGTATTTGACAGGAATCCCCCATATGTATCCTTCTCCGGGACCTTGTCAGGCTGCGACCTACAAGGGCATGTTCAGGAGGCCAGCCTTGTGAGGCCCATTCGGGGGCCCAGTTTAGGTGCCTCGCATGGGGAAAGTGGGTAGGGTGGGCAGGGGCATTGTCAGACGATTCAAATGGCACATGTAGAGCCTAAGATGGGGCTCCGAATCCGCCAGATCTCGTAGAAATGAATTTCAAATGACAACCATCTTCTTCCAGCAGCTTCCGGGCAACATTGACCCATCGACAACTGCCTACTCCAAGCAATGGCCACATTCTGTCCTCCATCATTCCTACGTCTTGCGCAGCCCGATTCAGGAATGTCTTTCTCCGAACGCGCCATACCTCCGAGCCCAAATTAAGTAGCCAACTTCCCCGTAACGCCCCAGAGTCCGCCCGAACTCCTGGAGATAAAATATCGGGTAGCGGTGGAGACAGGGAAGGGGACAGAGGTGGCGGGTAAGCGTCGGAGAGCGTTGAGGCCGCCGTTATCGCTGCCCACCATTTTCCATCCTCCCCCACAAGCCCACAAAAGCTGCCCACAACGGTGCCCGCACAACGAGATCTATTCTTGGCAAAAGAGGCAAGGCTGAGGGACAGCAGGAAGCATTTCGGCAAGTCGTATTGGTGGGTCTCGTCAACGCCTGCTGATGATACGAGGGTCGACGGTCCGGGCTGAATGTTATAATTCAGTGTACGCCTCCAGTGCATAGCGCTCGTCCTATTCTTGCGTTTGCACTCCAAGTCAAACCGAACACACGCTGACAGAGGAGACTGAGAGAAAGAGGAGGACATTGTGGGACCTAAAATGGCATCGACAATACCCAAGACGCAGACTGCCGCATGGCTCGAAAAGGCCCAGCCTGGTGCGCGGCTCCAGATCAGGAATGATATCGAGGTTCCATCCCCCAAGGAAGGCGAAGTGCTCGTGAAGCTGGAATATACGGGCTTCTGGTGAGCAGCATCCCTTTGTCGCCCTTTGACACCGGGCTGCATTGCGACGGACTCTTACTTTTGCAAAGTCATTCAGATGTGCACAGCATATACGGCGAAACGCCGATGAGCACTGACATCGCTGGCCACGAAGGCGTAGGCCGTGTGGTTGAGCGTAAGCGCCCCCTGCGCGTGTGGGTATCGATGTTGACCTTATATAGTTGGACCCAACGTTCCAGGAGAGATGATGAATGCCAGGCTGGGAATCAAGTCAGTGCATCCCTGTCTTTGTGTACGTTTCAAGGCGGCAAGATGCAAGCTGACAACGGGACATCGTCCCTGCAAAGGTGGCAGTACAGCACATGCGACGCCTGCGAAATATGTGCCGTCAATCCCACGGCGTGTCCGACTCAGATCAACTCGGGACGGGTAAGCCTTTCACTGAAACAGGAGTGTACCTTGATTGGACCGCTAATGCTGATTTGATCTGGTGCTAGAACACAAGAGGCACTTTCCAACGTAAGGCGCCTTCTAAGCCTAGGAAGAGGTCCCAGGACTAACTGGGGAAAGAGTATATCGTTACTCCTGTGAAGCATGCCACCAGGATCCCGCCGGGCTTGAAGTCTGAAATTGCTGCTCCGTTGCTTTGCGGTAGGTTTCGACAGCTCTTTCTGTGGACCTTGTCTGACTTGCAATGAACCAGCCGGTTTGACCATGTATTCTGCCCTCGCAAAAGCAAGGCTGCGGCCGGGGGACTGGGTCGTGATACCGGGTGCAGGAGGTGGATTGGGACATCTGTAAGTCCTTGCTTGTCGCATAACCTGATCCGGGCGCCGCCGGTAACCTCCTGCAGTGGCGTCCAGATCGCTGCCAAACGCGGGTATAAAGTGATCGCCATCGACGCAGGAGAGTCAAAGAGGGAAACGTGTATGAAACTCGGAGCAGCTGTATTCCTCGATTTCACGAAGGATCCTGTGAGTATCCTTCTCCATGAGTCCTGGAGCATTGTACTCATCACATGGACAGATTGAAGAGGAGGTAAAGCGTCTCACCAACGGCTTCGGAGCGCACGCCACCATCGTCACAGTTGGAAGCGACGCTGCGTATGAGCAGGCATTGAAGCTGCTCCGAAATCTTGGAACCCTGGTGTGTATCGGACTGCCCAAGTCGGGCCTGGGCTTGCCAATCTCCCCGTTCATGATGTGTGTTAGAAGTGAGTTCCCGACCGCCACCCCCAAATCCAAACCCTTTGTCGCTCAACACATGTGTTCTGACTCACGGCCCAGGTCTTACCATAGTGGGCTCCTCCGTTGGCACTGCGCAGGAGATGGATGAGCTGCTCGAGATGGCTGTCAAAGGAGACGTGAAGCCCGAGATCTCCGTGTTCGAATTCAACGAGATCAACAATATTATGGAGAAGCTTGCGAGGTTCGAGATCGGAGGGAGGGTCGTCCTGAGGCTCCCTGAGTGAAGCAAACCACCAAGGAGTCCTCTTTGTGAACACTCAAAGCACATGATCCTCGACTCAGATGGGGCCGTTGAAGAGGTCTGGTAGAAAGAAATTTACTCATATATTACTTTTCTTTCCCCAATTTCTGTCACACAAAGACCCCCTTAGCTCGACAAGGGCGAAGACCGATTCCTTCTGATTCGAACCTCCTCCCTCCTCCTCCTCCTCCTCCTCCTCCTCCTCCTCCTCCTCCTCCTTCGATGTCAGCAAATCCAGGTCTTGTCAGGGTAAACTAACACTCGGTTAGCAGCAGCAGGACCTCGATCCGAACCGATACAACCTTAAAGAATTTGTAGTATAACCGGCCGAGAAAAACCAACCCGCAAGGGCGAGTTTCTCTTATCGCAAACCAGCGTTCCGTGGGTTGAGCTGCTTTGTGATAAGTTTTTGCGTTTTTGTGCAATTTCCTCGGGTGTCTTTTTTTTTGCTCCCTTCCGCGATATTCGTCAGAGGATTGTGGGATCTGGCGCCCTTCACTCCCCCAACTGTCATATCCCCAGCTGTTCTGGGCAAGTCAGCCGCAAGGCTGAGATTCGGGATAGCCGAGCGCGCCAAGGCTTGGAAATCAATATCAAGAAGGTCGGGCGCCTCATGGTCACACGCTAGCAGTTTGGCGATGCTCGAATGAGCAGACAGATTGCACTTTGACTTTGCACTTTCTGGCAGAACAAACACCACTCGAGACACAAGGCCGGGCGCGTTGTCGTGCAAAGCAGCAATACGAAGCCCCCTTGTTGAGCTGCCAGCCTTTGTCTTTCCTCTTCTGGCCTAGCCCCGTCCCGATTCGGATTCTGCCCCTGGACACAGCATTCAATCTTTTGATCTCGTCTACCAACGTCTAGTCGACCATGTTGGCCCATGTGTCAGCCAAGCTTTATCATGGGTCTCCTGGGTCTCCCGGGGCTCCCCTTGTAACAGCCTCTGCGCTATACGAGCTTCGAGCCCAGGTGTTTCGCTGGCAGATGGCCGTCTGGCACATGGCGCCCTCGCTTCAAACCGCACCCATGGAGCCCCCTGATTCTGCATGCATCGTGGTCCAGAACGAGAGGGGTCCAGAACCGGCCTAGCAAGGCCGTCGGTGCTGGACGCTGTTGAGCCTCCCCCAGCCCAGCAGCCCTTTGAGAGGGATGAGTCCTCCAGCCCGGCTGGACTGCGCCGGTCATCTTCTCATCCTCCATTCAATGCCTCAGTTGTAAGTCGCACGGCCGCGAGAAGCTGACTTTGTACCCTGCCAAAAAGAACACCAAAAAAAAACACAAAGCAGCTGCTCTGGACTTTTGGTTGGCCTTTTTTCCTTCGATGGATCTATCTCTACTCTCCCTCGCGTGGTGGTGCTCTCTGCTTTTCCAACCGGGCGCGGCGCAAACGAGCAACCCCAAGCCGCAGGAAATCTACACGCTCACGGCCTTCCAAGAGCAGCAGATATGCGTGCAGTCCTGCTTTACGTACGGGTACGGCTGCACGACCGACCTGGTGGGCCAGGCGATCGGCTGCTCGATCGACGCGTGCGACTTCACGTCGACCGGTTTCGGCGCCCTGGACAGCTGCTACTGCCGCGGTGATCTGCAGCTCGCGGCCGAGAGCTTCCTGACGTCGTGCATCCAGGAGTCGTGCACCGTGGGCGACACGTCGGTCAACGTCGCCGCCGCCGTGTCCATCTACGGCGGCTACTGCACTTCGCTCGGCTACACGGCCCTCCCGGCCAACAACGTGGCCGAGACGACGGCGCCCAACAGCAACCCCACGACGAACAACAACAACAACGGGGCTGCGTCGTCGACGGGCTCGACCACGGACATCTTCGCCACCAGCCCCACGAGCGACGGCAGCGGCGGTTCCTCATCGTCCTCCTCCGGAGGCACCTCCTCCTCCTCCTCTTCCTCGAATACCACGACGTACATCGTGCTCGGCGTGGTGGGCAGCGTCGCGCTCATCCTCCTGGCGCTCGCGGCGCTGTGGTTCAAGAAGTACCGAGAGCTGAAGCGCACGCAGCCGCAGTTCCGCTACGGCGCCGGCGCCGGCGCGCCCATGCACTACGGCTACAATGGCGGCGGGGGCAGCGGCGGCATGGGCCAGCCCCTGCGCCCGCTGGGCTCCGAGGTCTCCTCCCACCCCTTCTACCGCCAGGACGACATCTACCCGGACGACTCGGTGTCGACCATCCACGTGGCCCCCGCGTACCCGCACCCGCTGGAGCCGAGCCTTGTCTCGACCCAGATGCGTTGAGGACCAAAAGAAAGAAAGAAAAAGAATACGTTGGGGTTGGTTTGGCAGCACGAGGAAATGATGGACACGAGATGAATATTTTGGTTTTCTTGTTTGCGCAAAAGGGGATTTTTTTTTGTCCTGCGAGGTCTCGACGGGCAGGCAGGAATGGATGAGGTGTGCAAGAGCAGGCCACGCGGAGTTTTCAATAGGGCAAGGTGTGACAAAGCTCGGGAAAGCGATGGTCGTTGGATATGTACGAGATATGTATGGAGTTCACGGCTTGTTGGCAAAACAAAAAGGGGAGGCGCAGAATGGAGGGTTTGGTTGGTAGTTGGATAACCTGCCCCTTCCGGTGTGGGCAATCATTGACATACATACATACATGCTATTGATCATCATGAGTACAAATATTCGGCCCAAGTAAAAACATGAATCCCCTTCCCGCCGAAAGAATCGATCAACATCTTCCCGTGATGCCCATACCTCACGCCCGCGCTCCACGCGATAACGCCTGGCTGTACTCCCGCGCCATGACTTCGTAGACGGCCAAGTCCATGTCCTCGAAGCTCTGGAGCTCGCTCAACGCGACCGAGAGATCCTCGGACGCCCGGTCGCGCCTCGAGCCCAGCGCCTCGCCCTGCAGACTGCCCGTCTCGGCCATCAGGCAGACCTCCCGCGCGTGCACGCACGCCATGTAGAACCGCATCTGGGTGACGCGCTGGTCGTTCTGCGAGCGGAGGGCGTGCTCCATGGCGAAGGTGCCGTGCTTCTCGGCCTCGCGCACGTACGCCAGGCGCTCCGTCTCAGTGAAGGCGAGGAGGTGGCTGAGGCGCAGCGACGTGGACATCAGCTTCTGGTAGACGCGGGCAAACTCCTTGGCCTTGGGCGGCGGGGTCTGCGAATTCATCCCCCGGAGCGCGCGCGTGAAGTCCTCCTGCGCGCTGAGGAGGTCCTCCTTGTTGACCATGCTGGGGGCCTTTCGTCGGTTGGCGTCGCCCCTCTCGACCAGTTCGGCTGCACATAATGGTCAGTCTCGACTCGAAAATACCTGTTGGAGTTTGGTGGTAGAGGGGGGGCGGGGGGGGCGCCTTATCACGGACATATTTCGCTCGTGGTGCCCAGCATCTTGGGGCGGTCGCGGTCCCGCTGCTCGCTCTTCTCTCGCAACTCCTGGAGCTTCGTCTGCTCCAGGCAAAAGGCCCGATCGGGCTCATCTAAGGTGGTAGAGAGATCAGCTCTCTGCGGGCGAATTGAGAACCCCGAAATTCTCCCACTCACATACATCGTTTCTGTCTCAGGTTCTGCACGCACGCCCTGACCTTGCGCTTCACGCCATGACCGTCCAGGTAGAGGCGGGTGCCGGCGTCGATGACGGCCTCTTGCTTGTACTCGGCCAGGCGGACGCTGTGCAGGCCCTCCTCGACGTTGAACCGGAAATAGCGGGTGTCGAGGTGCTCCCGCCATCGGCCGGTGAATTCGTTGTCCGTGGCCTTGGTTTCCGTGGCGACCTTCTCGATGCTGTGCGCCACCGACCTCAACGAGCTGTTCTTGATCGTCGTGAAGTCCGCATGGCCCGTCCCGACCGAAATGAAGCATTTCACAATCGGCTGCAGGCGGCCCGTGTCTTCGCACCAGATGTCCGCCGCCTCCTCCTCCACCTGGTTGACCGGGTTGTTGGCCCCGATGGCCCCGTCGACGTAGCTGCACGCTCCGATCTGCACGGGGTCGAAGAATGACGGCGCCGCCGAGGTGGCCAGAGCCGCTTCCCAGATCCTGGGGTTGTCTTCATCCTGTCTCCCTTGCACGTTGTAGCTCTTCAGCCGTCTGATGTGGTTCCCCTCCTGGGATTTAGCACAGACGAAACTGGCCGCAAAGAAATTAGTACTCGGGCAGGAAAAGGTGGAGGGAAATTGTCGCATGCTCACACTTTGCACTTTCCGGCAGCTTCGGGGTTTTCTTCGTCCAGAAGAAGGTCGTCTTCCTTGAACCCTTTGCTCCTCAGAACTTCCTTGACGGCCGTCTCCAGCGTCTTGGACGAGAACCGGGCCTTGACGTTGCCGGTGATGGACACGAAAAATGCATTCCTCTTGTTCTTGAAGACCTTTTTCATCATGACTTTGTACTCCTTGATGCATTCGTCCACGTCCATCTCCAGTCGACCTAACATGATGGCAATGATTCTGGAACATCGAGTTAGTCTGATTGGGGTCCGACGCCTCTCGATCTTGGTTCAAACATCCTCACCCTCCCGTGCTCGTACCGCCGATCAGGTCAAATATGTCGCAAGGTTTCACTCTGGCGAGTCCAACGGCTTGTCGCTCAAAGTTCAGCCTCGTCATGAGGCCTTTGAGGATGTACAGGCTCGAAAGCCCTCGGACCCCCCCGCCATCAAGAGACAAGAGGCAGAGACCGGTTGTGTCGAGGTCCCTGGTCTCCTCAATGCCGGCAACCTCGGAGGCTGGGTGAGATGCTAGCGCCATGGATAGAGACGAAGAGAACACAGAATCAGCATAACAACTGGCAACGAGGCTTTTGTACTGCCGTCGTGGCAATACTGAACGCTCACGAACATACTTTTCGGGCTAACAGCTGCCAAGTCGTGCACTGCAACTGGACGGGTCTCGCTCAGGGGCTCGTTCGTCTAGGAAGCGCTCGATCCAGCCTTGACCGCAATGAGGCTGACATCTCGCGGACCAATCACATGCGCCGAAGCGGCAGGGCCAAATACAACGGACTCAGCTTTGACCCCTGAGCATTAGTTACACAAGACAATCTCGCTAACCGCACGCAAGGGGAGGGTTTGTCCCCTGGGCCGTGGTGCTCGTATTTTAGGCATGCATCTTCACCAAAACTCCATGGCGCCACGGCCAGGTGCCGATGTCGCCGCAAAGGTCTAGAAGCATCGGAAGAGAAAACATCTGTCCCAATGATTAATAGCATGGCAAACCCTGACTCCGCCCCCCAGTCAGAAGAAAAATTCCTGGTAATCCCCTCTGTCTAAAGTGCCTTCACATCCCCATTTACCAGCTTGGCTTTAGGGGTCCTGTTTTCCCAAGCCTTCCGGACTTCCCATTCGGCGTCGTAGCCATAGCACCATCGCTGCGTGGTCGGATCGCTCCACTGATTCGGGCTTGATACGAACTGTTTGCCTTCGACTTCGGGCCGCATCGCCTCGTCTCGGGCCCTCTGCAGCGGACCGTCGGCAAAGTGCCACAGCTTGCCGTTGATCAGACTGGCCTCCTGCATTTGGCTTGACCGTTTGATGCGCACGGCTTCCCACACTTCCAAAGCTTCCGGTAGTTCCTTGGTGCTGCCGACGAGGTCAATTGCCTCGGCAAGGGCTGCAGCGTCTTCGACGGCCATGGCGGCTCCCTCAGACATGTAGGGGACCATGGCGTGGGCGGCGTCGCCCATGATCGTGAGCTTGCTGGACGGCGCAACCCAGCGACTGAGCGCCGACCCGCTGACGAGTGGCCACTTCAGGGTTGACCGAATCATGTTGATGATCTTGGTCAGTCGAGGGTCCCAGCCGTCAAAGTGAGCTCGCATATCGGACATGACCTTGTCGGGGCTTTGCTGGTTCCAGGTGGCTGGGTCTGTGCGGTCGGGATGCGACAGGACCATGTTGAAGGATTTGCCTCCCGCAATTGTGTAGGTCATGACGTGTCTCATATCTCCAATCCACAAATTCAGGCCCGGCTTTGCCAGCAGCTCAACAAGCTCCGGATGGGCTTTCATCTCCTCCACATCCACCGTCGCTCGATAAGCCGCGAATCCGGTTCTCAACGGCGGCTGGTCCACACCACCCAGCACTTTGGTTCGGCCAATTGACTTGACGCCGTCTGAACAGATGACAAGGTCCGCCGTGAATGACTCCCCATGTTCGGTGGTTATTGAAGGAGCATCTTCGTCATAGTCGATGACCTTGGAGTTTATCCGGACCTCGACGCCCAGTTGCAGCGCCAATTGATACATGGCATCGTGGAAGTGTGCACGGTGCACGACGTAGTACGGAGCATCAAAATTGTCCTGAAACTCGGGGACCAGCTTAGTGAGTCCAATGACGGCGCCGTTCTCCCATCGTCGGAACTTGATGTCCTCTGGCTCCACGATCTTGGACGCCAAAAATGGTTGTAGACCCCATTTCAGGAGCAACCGACTTGAGTTGGAGGGGATCTGAATGCCAGCACCGACCTAGAGCGATCGTTCAGTCTCACATCACAGCAAAGTTTCCGTCGAAGATGCAATCGTACCTCACCAAGTTCCGGAGCCTGTTCAAAGACGGTGACCTTGTGGCCCTTTCTAGCCAGACTGATGGCAGCAGCCAACCCACCAAGTCCGGCACCAACAATGATGGTGTTCAGCCGGACTCGGGAGAAGTCGTCCTGGTTGAGCAAATTCGAAGTCCTCATTGCCTTGTGCCGCTTCTGCTCTTCTTTTTGCAGCTTGAGGAGAAAGTCAAGACTTCCAGTCGGATATGAGGCCACCTGTTTCAAAGCATGAGACGCCGTATACTCGGAATGAATAGTTTACTTACGTCTGGAATCTTGATGAAGTCTTCTTTCAGTGGTGTAGCCCCATTGACTGGTCTGGTCTCGCCATTCACCATGACACCGGAATGTATCTCGACCATTTTGAGAGGATCTGGTTTGGCTGGCGTGAGTAGAAGAAATGGGATAGAAAAGGACTTGTCTTTGTTGATCTGATCCCCGGGGAGCCCAGTCCACGTTGCTTTTAGTGAACGGGAAGAAGTTGGGCCAAAAGACACTTGGGACTTTGTACAAATCGCGTCCCACTGCCTTGAGCCGTGCCGAGCTGATCGGACTCGACTGAGACAACACCTGAGCCACCTACCGATGTTAACCCACCGTGATCGTACCGCAGCGGGCGGGAAGCTTAAGTCAACATCCGTGATGGTGAGCAGAGGACAGGCTGACGGAGGGATTCCGTCCGGGTGTGTATCGGAAAAGGCCTGGATGGTGGCTTCCTTTGTACGAGCATCTCCACCAGCGTCCATCGACACCTCCCCTCAGCATTGCCATGTTCGGTCGGTCAACGACTCTCCCAGCTAACCGACTGACGCGTAGTTGATTCGGTCTCGGCATTCTGGATGCTTACCCTTTATTAAGTAGTGGGTTAGCCTATATCTTGACCAACGTCGCAAGTAAGTCTTGTTGTCCAAAGCATTGCCAATAACCCAACGACCACCACAAGATATACCTATACCGATATAACTATACAAATACTCTCATAAACTTCAAAATGGCCACCACAACCGGAACAGTGACCGAGACTCTCCCTCCGATATGGGGACAGAAGGCAGACCCGGCCGAGGAGTTGGTCGAGAATGCTCTCAAGGTCAACACCAAGCCTCTCTGGACGCAGATGGCACGGTTGAACCCTCCAGAGCCCAATCCTAAGTGTGTGCCGTTCATTTGGCGGTACGACGAGGTCAGGCCGAGTCTCCTCAGGGCGGGAGAAATAGTCACAGAGCAGCAAGCTGAGAGACGGGTGCTGATGTTGGTCAATCCCGCCAGAGGTATGGTCCTTTGCCCCCGTGAAAGCAGGCATACTTTTCGTCCAGAAAAGAGGACGACACGATGGAATGCTTATGCTAACTTTCCCCCGCCTGTCACAGATGCCCCTTACACCACAGACACCTTGTACGCGGGACTGCAGCTGGTCATGCCCAACGAGACAGCCCGCGCGCACCGCCACACGGCCTTCGCCATGCGCTTCATCATCGAGGGCCAGGGCGGCTTCACGGCGGTACACGGCAAGCGCATCACCATGCAGCGCGGCGACGTCATCCTCACACCCACATGGAACTGGCACGACCATGGCAAGGACGGTTCGGGACCCATGATCTGGCTCGACGGCCTGGATCTGCCCAACTTCATCCACTTCCCCGTGCATTTCGTCGAGCACTTCAACCAGCCGCGATACCCGGCCGAGGACGTGGACTCGAACACGAGCCCGATCGTGTTCCCATGGAAGGCGATGCAGAAGAAGCTCGACGAGAAGAAGGGCGACTGGGCCGAGGAGGATTATCTGAAGGAGGACGGAAGGCCAGGTAAGAAATCATGTCCTTCTCTCTCTCTTCTCTCTTCACCTCCAGTACGCAGAAGACCATCATAGCAACTGACATTCGTTCGGGGCCGACCACAGTCTCAAAGATCCTCGGCGGTGCTGCGGAACGTCTGAATGCAGGCTGCACATCGCCCGCCGTGAGAGAGACGGCGTCGTCCGTCTACCACGTGGTCCAGGGCCAGGGATACAGCGACATCAACGGGCAAAAATTCCACTGGAAGCAGGGCGACACCTTCTGCGTGCCCGCCTGGAACAAGTACCAGCACACCGCGGCCGAAGGATCAGAGCCAGTCTACCTGTACAGGTTTCACGACAAGCCCATGTTGAAGTCACTTGGGTTTTATCGTGTAGAAGGGGTCGATGTGGAGAGTTTGGTATCTGATTAAATGTGCAGCCGTCCTTGGATATGTAGACGGATATTGCTGAACGTTGTACCGCACTATAGTAAACTGGAATAGGTGTATCTGATCATTTGCTGGTCATTAGTGGATGTCATTAAGCAGTATTGCTTGACCCAAGTTCCTGTCTTTGGCTCACAGGGTCAGGCTGAAGACTATTATCAGCCTTGCGTCCGTCCCGAGATAAAGTACAATGGGCACTCCACAGGAGCTGCTGGCGACAATTGTCGCAGTTGATACCTTGATGACCAAAGAAGCAGATAAAATCCATCAAGTACAGTATGCAGCGGGCCACGCGTGTGTCTTCCTGTAATGCAAAACTCCGCCAACACCAATGCTAACTTATCAATAAGGCTAGATGAGTTCCAATGTCATGTCACAAGTCAGATATCACATGGGTTTGCTTGTCTCCAACTCACTTCTTCTTCCCTGCAAGACTCATAAGCCTCCGACGTCGTTCCTCTTTCTCTCGCTTCAATTGATTTTCCAAAGCCATCTCTCGAGCATCTTCTTCCCGCGCAGCCCTGAGAGCCTTCTGCTCTTCTTCGTACACATCAAACGCCCCTGCTTCCATATCAGACGAAACATCAGATCCATAATCTTCTTCGTCCTCTCCATATCCCCCCATGTCATCTGACCCGTCTTCTTCGTCGGTGCCGAGGTATTCATCATATTTGCGGCCACGCTTGGCTGAAAGTTTCGATCGACCAGAGGCAGTGCCCATGGTTCCTTTATAGGCGGACGAAGAGGGGGCATGTAATGGCGGTCGTGAGGCTTTGGGTCCTTTGGGATGATCCGTCTTCTTCGCGGGGCTAGCGCTTCGAGACTTATCCTGCTGTTTACCACTATTTGCCAGTCGGCCGCCACTGGATTTCTCCTTCACACCCTTTGCCTTTTCCTCTTCTTGACGTCTCCTCTCAGCTAACCTGGAAGGCTTCTCTCGATTGGTTGCCTGATGCTTGATTAAGCCAACTTGACTTTGTTGCGTTCTCTCCACCTGCGCTTGTTTTGCTCGAGCTATCAAATCCGCATAGGAACCCTTCGCGGGACCTTTGGCTGTTGCGGTGGTCGGAGTGGTTGGCGCAGAGCTAGGTTTTGGGGAAGTCACCTGAGCATCGAGTTTCGGTCTGGGCATAGGAAGAGTTTTTCCATCGTTTCCATTGGACGGTTTGGGAGCGTTGAGAGGAGGGGCAACAAGGCGTTTCGGGATCGTGCTGGTCAAGCCAGGCGTAGGATTCGGTTTGATGAGCTTCTCAGGTGGTCTTGCTGAACTATCGTCGGCCTTCCGCTTTGTGCCATTCAAAGGCGAAGGGGCTACCGGCAATCCGGCCCGGGGACCTGGCTTGCTGACGTCGAGGTTCGGTCGGTGCGCATTTGCGCTGAGTGGCCTTGCTGGCGGCTTTGGTGGTGCGGGAGATTTGTCGCTACCGATCGAATTGACGATATCGCTGAAGAGGCTCATTTTGGAAATGCAGAGCGGGCGAGTGAGAGGATTCTGAAGGTAGTCAAGTCAGAAGATTCGAGGTCGGGTTTTTATGCATGATTCTCGTCTTTGCCCGCTGCCGGCCGGCCGCAATCACCGTGCAATATGGTCCATACAGATGAAAAGACAACAACAGATGCAAAGTTCTCAAAAAGATGTAGTCGATGAGTGACTCAGAGAAGGGAAAAAAAGCAGAGGTGAGAGATGGAAAGAAATAGGTGAAGTCGGTCCAGGTCCCCGCCTCCAGGTGGCCACTTCCCAGTTGCCGATTCTTTGACCCCGTCGAGACACGCGACTGGTCCGCATCCGGACCCGGCTAACTTTCCTAATGCGATTTTCGTCATGAATTTCGCCGGTCGCACAACCACCAGGCCGTGGTCGATTTCCCTGCGACTTTCCACGAACGAACAAATACCAGAACTCGAAGTGCCAGTCTCCGCTCAATTCAGCGGTTAAATCGATTGTCTCTCCTGTTCGCCAATCCTCCATTCTCCGTGAGTTGCTCCAGGTCTCCATCCCTGTCGAGGACTAACATTTTGTGGGAAGAAATAAATTCAAAATGAAGCACCTTGCAGCTTACCTCCTCCTTGGCCTCGCCGGCAACACCGACCCCTCCGAAGACGACATCAAGAGTGTTCTCTCTTCTGTCGGTATCGATGCCGATGAGGAACGTCTCTCCAAGTTGCTCGAAGAGTTGAAGGGCAAGGACATCAATGAGGTAACCTGGGATTGTTCCTAATGAACCTGCAGAGACACTGACACTGTTATAGCTGATCGCCGAAGGCTCAACGAAACTTGCCTCTGTCCCAACTGGCGGTGCTGGTGGCGCTGCTGCTCCTGCTGCCGGTGGTGCGGCGGCTGGCGGCGCTGCTGCCGCTGAGGAAGAGAAGCCTGCCGAGAAAGAAGAGGAGAAGGAAGAGTCTGACGAAGACATGGGCTTTGGTCTGTTCGACTAAGCGGCAAATCGTAAAAATGCAATGGGAATTGACTACGCACAATCTACGACCAAACCACGGGGGATGCGTGGTCGCTGGAGGATGACGGTCGCGCTTACATACAGCGCTGTTGAACCATCTGCGGGCGCACGATCTACATGCGCAAAGCCAAGTCGACCAATGCCACCGCGGCGAGCAATGCGAAAATGGGACATGGCTACCTCAGGACTTTGACCTGTTTTCCGTCCAGGTGTAGAACGAGGCAACTTTCAATACATCCAATTGATCCGACATCACCCAAAATACCCTTTGATGCTCTTTAAACCCTTATATCATTAAATTGTGGTAGTACAGTAGACCCCAAGACTGAACCGTCGAGAGATGCAAGCCCTAGCCCATGCGGTATAATTGATGCCAAGAGTTTCGGTCACGTGGAACACTTTGCCCTAAATTTTCGCGGCGACCCTCCACTTCGCACCCGGGCTCTTGGCTGCAATCGTCTCTACAATTATCATTGCCAACTGCAACAACTCCTCGCTTTTCGACAGTCTCCATCGAAAAGCGAACGCGCAGTACCCCCTTCGACCGCAATCATGGCCGACACCGAATACGTACGTTCTACAACGACCTGCCAATAATCACTTGGATGATGGGTTGCTAATTGATCTTGTTGGACAGAATGCCGAGGAGGCCGCCGAGCTCAAGAAGAAGAGAACGTTCAGAAAGTTTTCCTACAGAGGCATTGATCTCGACCAGTACGTTTTCCTCCTGGAGACATCATCCGCCCATCATTTGGAGAGAGAGAGAGAGAGAGAGAGAGAGAGAGACAGGCAGAGTGAACAAAGGCAGAATGAGAAGGGGGCTAACGGACATTACTCTCTTTTTGCAGACTGCTCGACATCCCCTCCAACGAGCTGCTCACAATCCTCCACGCCCGCGCCCGCCGCCGATTCAACCGCGGCCTGAAGCGCCGCCCGATGGGCCTGATCAAGAAGCTGCGCAAGGCCAAGCAGAACGCCAAACCCAACGAGAAGCCCGACCTGGTCAAGACCCATCTGCGGGACATGATCATCGTGCCCGAGATGATTGGCAGCGTCATCGGCATCTACAGCGGCAAGGAGTTCAACCAGGTGGAAATCAAGCCCGAGATGGTCGGCCACTACTTGGGCGAGTTCTCGATCAGTTACAAGCCCGTCAAGCACGGTCGACCCGGTATCGGTGCCACGCACTCTTCGCGGTTCATTCCGTTGAAGTAGGTGCTGGACCTTGGGGAGAGAAGAGGGTATTGGGGGAAAGCCATTGCTACGTGGGAGATGTTTTCGCACGCCTGAAATGCTGGGGAGTCAGCGATGGATTTTCGTCACCCGGATTGCATGGGATCACGGTAGACAGGGTGCTGATGAAAGAAAAGGGGATTGCGAGGATCGAATGGTTCGAGGCATCTTTTGCATGACCCAATAGTCGAAAGCGGCAAAAATGAAACGACGGCTCCTGACATGAACCCTCCAGAGTGGAGGTGACGCCGTATTTGAACAAGATTTAGATGTGCACCCTCGCAACTGTGTCATCATTTTGCCCAGCAAGAATGCCCTCTTTTAACGCCTCGCTATGTGAATATCAAGCAGATACATTACTGTGTCAATAGTGGTACAATCTGGTCTTTGCCGACCCCTCATTCTTCAGTCAGTGATGACGAGTCTTCCTGCTCTTTCGCATCATCCTCCATCGTAGAGCTGGCAGCGGGTGGGATCGCGACCACGAGTTCCTCGCTCGAAGCAGTGGACTGAGATCTCACCTCGTTCGTGCCCTGTATCTCCGGGTCTTCCTCGATTAATTGTTCGATCTCACGGTGCCTCTTGTGAGCGCGACTCGTTTCCTCCTCGTCCTCCTGTTCTTCTTGTTCCACCGGCGTCTCGTCCTTTGACGCCTGACCCTCGGAGGCAGAATCCGAGTCTGGGACGTCGTCGGCCGTGTCGGTACACGAAGGGTGATCGGAAGCCTCTTCCTCGTGCTGGGCTTCCGCGGAGGACTCGGACAGGTTCAGCAGACCGTTCAACTCCCCTTCGACCTCGCTGACCCCGTTCATGGGTTGCAGAATCTCGCTATTAGCCCTCTGCAAGATGTTTTCCCTGCTCAGCGGCGTACCTCGCTCAGCAACGACGATGGCTTCCCGATGCCGCCGTCTCAAATGCTCTTCTTCCTGACTTCTCTCAGCCGACCTGAGTCTTGCGGCGGCCCGCGTAGTCGTCGATCGTGCAGGCTCGTCCCAAAGGGTCATGTTGTCTCCAGCAAGGGCAGGGTCTCCGAGAATCACCCCTGCCGTGGACTCGCCATTGACCATTCTCACATCGTTGTCTTCGTCGGCATCTTCGTCCTCGTCCTGCCAGCCGGGATATCCCCAGCCCTGGTTCCACGATCCCTGATCGCTGCGACCTGTAAACATATTCTCTTTGTAACTGCTTGCGCTCAAGCCCCATTCACGCATCTGTCTTCTCGCACGGGGATACTGCATCACCGCCAGGATAACGTCCCCCATGACAGGATCATCCGAAAGCCAAGCCATACGGTCAAACAACCTCGCCACATCTTCTCGATGGAAATTGAACATGTAGTTCTCCGGCTCCCCACAGGGGAAGGGGTAATTCGTCAGCCATTTGCTGACCAACCCGGCGTCCAAGGCGGCGTCCATGATGGACGGATACTTAATGTCACGCCGCGAGAGGCCGTGCACCACAATGGTGAAGATCTCGAGCAACTGCGCTTCTTGCGAGGGGCGGCGAGCAGGGCGGATAGGCGATGGTGGCAGCGGCGGTTTCTTCTCTCTAGTCTGGAAGGGCGACTCGCCGTTGCTCGCTTGCTTGACATTGACTTCATGCTGGGGCAGCACGTTGATCAGACCATGAACAATGGCCTTGACGGCCTTGGGGTCTCGGAAGTGGCCGCAGATGGTCTCGCTGAGGGCCGAGTGGGTGAGGAGCATGTGTAGAGCATTAATGGCATTCTCGCGCCGGCTGTCGTCCTCGCTGGCCAGATCGCGCAACAAGAGGTCCCTGGTCCGGGTTCTCACGGTGCGGCTGGCGACGATCTTGATGGCGGAGGTGCGCAGATCATAGCTATACCCGTCTGCGAGGGTGCGCAACGTCTCGAGCTTGAGCGAGTTTTCGGAATCCTTTTGGAGGCGCTTGGCTGGGGGTGGTGGATCGGGCGGTGGCGCCCTCGCTGCGTCTTTGACTCTTTTGAGAAGAACGGGGACCGTCACGCAGGCTGTTCCCAAGCCTACAACCAGGACGGTTAACAAGAAGCGATTCGAGCTGAAGAACGACATGGCTGGTGATACATTGAGGAAGATTCAAGGATGAACGAGGAACCTCCGAACGTGTCGAGGCAAGGCTGAAGTCCCTCGCCCGGCTCATGTTCGGCGAATTATCCAGCCAGCAAAATGGACAAGGGCATGATACACGGGTCATGTTACAGCAGAATAACACAGAGTAAGCGGCCGACGAAGTGATATTAATTGGTTATACATCTGTCATGAGCACTGGGCCACCTATGCTCAGTCATGATCTATCTCCGTCGTGCCCGGGCAGCCTTCCATCTTTTCGTCTGGGTATCTGTATTTGCACCAGAAGCAATAGTTCCACCTCTCTCGAAGATATGCCACGAGCTTTGCCAGCTTCTCCGGCACCTCGAGGGCCTCGAACTCATTGAGCTCTTCGTCTTCCTCGTCGAGATCGACGTCGACCTCTTCCACTTCCGCTTTCCTCCCCATTGCCATTTGATCCTCTTTTTCTTCATCCGGATCAATGTAATCAGGCCGCCTCGACAGCGACTGATAGAGGTCATACCTCATCCTTCGATCACGTTCATTTATGGCCCTCTGTTTGACGAGAGTGCGCCACAAGACATCCACGCTCTTCAGCGGCTTCGACCTCCGTGGTTCTGCGGTATCGGCGGACTGCTCTGCCTCGTCCTCCTCGTCCAGCCTCTCGCAAACCTTCATCGCCGCCCAGATTTGACCTTCCATTTTCTTCTCCTCGCGCTCTTTCTGCTGCCTTTCCCGGAATTCGCCGGCCTCGACCTTGCGCTTCTTGTCTGCTTCTTGCTGCGCCTCCACCTCCTCTCTAAACTTGCGCTTCTTTTCCGCGTCGGCCCCGATCCCGGACCGGGAGTCTCGCATTTCCAGGCCGATCGGCTCGAGCAGACGGTCATCTTTCCCCCCATCGGTAGTGGGCCGGGATGCGCCCAGGGCGTTCCCGGGCTTGTAGCCGAGCGCTGCCATCATCTTGAATCCCTTGTTGCTTGTATCCAGTGTGGTCGTGCTCAGCGCCGAGTCCCGCTTCTTCCGTTCTTCCTGCGCGAGTTCAGCCTTGGACTTGGGTCGGCCTTTGATCTCGGCCTCGCGGGCGAGACGCTTTTTCCGCTGTGTCAGGGTTTCGTTCTTCTGGGAGGACGCCGTGTCTTCGAAGGTCATGTTCATGTAGTCGTCCTCGTCATCGCTCGTGGCCTCGGGGACGGGCGGTGAGCCCATCTTGAGATCTGGGATAGCAAATTGTGCGATTTCGACGCAGTGAGGCGGCGAAGCAGATCTGCGCACGGTCAATATCCTACGCGAAAATTGATCTGCTGTAACGAATCCCTTGAGCTGTGGATGCAGAAGGCGCGAGAACCCTACCGGGAGAGGAAATAGAGATAGGTAAAAATAAAAATGCCGCTGTCCGAATGCTTCTTACCGTCGGGATCCTGAATCATTCAAGGCTCAACTGCGCAAGTTGGGAGAAACTGCCTGCACAGCTGCAGGGTATGGAGAGGATCTGCTGTTGTCGCAGGCAATGCGAGAATGGAGGTTAGACGTCATAATCACGTGCACAAAACCCTTAGTTTATATTCCAAACCCCTCCAAATTTGGTCTTGAAATTGTCCCGAAAATGGCCTCACTCTCTGGACGCTTTTATCAATGATGTGAGTTTTGACCACCACCAGTTGCAGAGTTGGCGCTCAACGCTAACTATTCTCAAGCCTGTGACGCAGTGGTTAGCGTGTCGTTCTTATATTGTATGCTCCTGTAGCATCCATTATGACTTCTTTCGAGGAATGCGAAAGTCGCGAGTTCAAGTCTCGCCAGGATCACTCTCTTTTTGCAGATTGTTCAGATATTCTCATGGGGTAATCTGCCACAATGCAGTCGTGGACTCCCGAAAAATATTTATATTTCTACCAGGATTTGATGTTATGCCAACCCACTACCACTACCCAGAAGTTCCAAGCCCGTCAACACAGACTCCCTTTTGTTTTCATCCCCTTCCACCTCATAATCCAGCAACAGCATGGGAAAAGAACTGTCGCAAGGCCGATCCAAGCGCCCAGAATGCCAAAATTCAACCCAAGTTGATCATGGGTGTCGAACAACAGCGTCCGGCTTGCATAGACGACCTGCCTCAATGGCCATGCGTATCCCCACTTGAAGAACCCAGGCGCCAATTCTAGTGCGTAAAACCCAGTTGATACGTTAGTGATGACCCAGAAGATGAGCCACAGTGCCGTCCAAGGTTGGCCAACTACCATTGCCACGTTCTCGCACGCAAGACCTAAAGCAGTCATGCCTAGCCAATTCAGCATCCAATAGACGACAAAGGTAGCGCGGCCGAAATGATTGGCGTTGTTGGCTACATTGGTCTGGAGCCAGCTGCTCTGGCCAGGCGGCGGCCTCTCTGAGAAAGGTATTTGGAATGCCAGGCTCACGAGACTGTAGCAGAAGGAAAGGAAGAAGTAGGCTGTGACCGTCGAGAGGTAGCGCCAGATGACCAGGTATATGAAATTCAACGGTGGATGGATGTTCGAGGGTTGCTCGAGGACAAATTTCATGTGTGTTGAGACCAAAAATCCGAAAGAGAAGGCAATGATTATGAGGTAAATGAGGCCAATGCTAACTGCAGGAATCGCTGTTGGAGGATCTAAAGAGGATGTCAATGGCTGTAATGAATGATGGGCTTCAGAAGAAATGTGGGCTCACCAGATGGTCGCAAGTTGAATATACTGAAGCCAACGCCGGGAGATAAAGCTTGAGGAGCATTACAGTATATGCCTTTTGCGAGCGTGTCGTTTTTGAGCACAGACTGCGTCCAGTTGCGGCCGAAAGCAAAGCTGATATCCGAGGCAAGACGAGTCAACACCGGTGTGATATATTGGTTATAGGATTCGATATCTCGGGCCTGGTTGACGACAACCGCTCCGGCACCAAACGGGTCGTAGGATGTGTTTCCGTTCTCAACAGCTAGTCTCAACAGCGCGGTAGCATTGTTGTTGACGATGATCGCTCCCCAGTATTTCTCTTCGTGGACTGCTAGGCGTACTGCAACAGGATCGTACCCGAATGTTCGAGGATCCAGGAACTCGTAGCCCAACGGATATCTCTGTGAGACACGTTCGTGTACGATTGCGGCTTGAACGAAACGTCCGACAATTGGCTCGACGGTCTCGTAAGGAGGCGACGTTGCGTCAAAGTCAACCACAGCGATAGTGGCAGAGCGAAGGTTCTCGCGCACCCTGAAAAGGACTCCCCAGTATATTGAGAGGACTCCAAGGACGAAGCCGCAAAGCAGGGTGACTGATCAAAGTTAGCGAACGGCAGTTAACATGAATGTCGGAGAAACACACGGGTCCACGAATACTTCAGAAAAACAGCTCTCCGGGTCTGCGAAAGGCAAGGGTCAAAGAAGCCGGCCGTCGACGTAGGGCGAAGACTATAGATCTCCTCGGGGTCTTTTGAAGGTTGGCCATGTTCTTCGTCCTTTTCTGCCAGAGTGCTGCTGGACTGGTCGCTCCTGTCAATGCTCTTGTTGAGACTAGGAAATCGCGTGATGGAGGCAGAGCAATGAACAGTGCCATCTGGACAGCGCACATTGTGGTCAGCTGGAGCATCGTCGGATGCCTGCTTTTGCTCTGAGGCACTGTCACCGTCTCCCGGGTTTGATTGTGGAAATAGATCCAGCTCTTTTCTCTGCTGTCCAGTGTCCTGTCGCATTGTACCCTTCATGGCTCCCTGAATGCAATGGACACGTAGAACTCAAGAGGCGAGCTGCTGATCATATCGACCATCGGGGAGAGGTAAGCCAGTGATATGAGGAAAGAGCCATCCTCAGTCATCTTGAAGGTGGAATGTCCACACCGCCATTGATTCCTCCAAGCCCTGGTTCATCTCAAGGAAAGTCCGTAGCTCAAGTTCGCGGTTTTGTTGTTGTCTTTTCCTGGCATATTTCACGCCATTAATAGGAAAGGGAGTGGCCCTCAATTCCGTGCATCAATCCATTATCACGATGAGATGCTGCCGAGAGTATAATTCCCTCGAAGCGGCTCCTTGCGTCCCGCTTGGCATGACGATCCATACCTGTCGATGAATATTTACCATAAAGCATCTGGTGTTGGCGTGTTAATCGAGTGCGCAATGGCAGCGTGGACGCACCCCTTTTGTAGTCCGCCGAGACAGCACGGACTCGTGCATCTGAAACCGGATGTCGGCGATACAAACATATCATGATTTGCGACATTCAGAGATTGACTGGAAGACGTTCATATATTCGGGTTGGCATGGCGTCGAAAAGGTCTTCTTTTTCGGCCAATGGGTGGAGGAGGCGACTATTATCAATGACTACCGGTAGGCTTCACGACAAGGTTGATATCAAGCCAATCCAGGTTCCAATCGAAAGCTTACCGGTATTGTAGGCTAAAGACTGTTTGCGAGCTAATTGTGGTGTCTTCAAACACAGCCGACGAAAGGCAAACGGGCTTATCAAGCTATCGCGCTTTTCCTTGCGAATCGCCGAGCAATATAGAGAAAAGACACTGATTTGCCATCTCCGGGCTCCCTAGAATTTCCCCTTTCTCTTCCTCCTCTCCCTCTCATAAGCTTTTGCTTCATGTCCTTCCTCCCCTTGAATCTCTGCCACCAACCTTTTGTACTTCCTTTCGTACTCTTCATCTCTCCTCTTCTTCTCCTGCAACTGTTGTCTTGCGATGAAGTTGGCGTCCTTCCGAAGTTCTCTCATTGCTCCCTTCCTCTCCTTCTTATGCTCAGCTTTCAATTTGGAGAGCTCAGCGCGTTGGCGGTCTGGGTCATAGTGACGGTCGGGGTTGTAATTCTCGATAAACGAAGGCAGGGAGGCTTTTATGGCGAGTGGGCGATGGTTGTGTAGGAGAAGGGGACGTCGTGATTTGACCGACGCCGACTGAAGGGCGAGAAGGGCGGAGAGACTGGTGTTGTTTAGCGTGAGGCTTTGTGGAGGTAACGTTTTGCGTTGATGGGACAAGTGTGTAAGTGCGTAGACGAAAGGCTGAACAAGTTCAGGGAATGCGGACTTGTGGCTCCAGAGTGAGGCAGCTTGCGTGGTTAGGCGGATAAAGGCATCCAGAAGAGAAGCGCTTTGTGAAGGCTCATCCTGCTGGCTTCGATTCAAGATGAAATCTTTGAACGATAGCTTGACCGAAGCAGTCGCAGGAGTCGATCTCACCCGCAGCGGGGTCGCGGGCAATCTGATGGGGACATTCAACGAATTACCATCCTTATCTTGTTCCGGTAGTGGTACTGGTGAAAGGGTGGCCAAAGCGTTGGTAATATAAGTGACGACTTCCGGAACATATCGTTTTGCGAGCCGCTGGTATCGAAGGGCAAGCGAACAACAGTAAGCCCCTATACTGAGGTCCTTTAGAGATTGTATCGAGCTTTGCCCGAGGTACCGTCCAATGGTGAGAGTGGCAGGCGTTACTACAGAGTGGAAATGATCTGAAGTTGGGAAGATGGTCGAGACACCCGTGAGAATAACAAGATCCCCAGGAGACAGCTGGAGCGGTCTCTCGTCCGCAATGTTTTGGAGATGTCTGCGGAAAGCGGCGCCAACAGATTCCGGCGACGATTTTGCCATTGAATGTAGGTGTCGAAGGAGGCTCTCGAGAACGGAAAATGGGACGTTGCTGTCTGTGTCCCCAAGGAACGCAATGTGTAGGGTCAGCACGTCAGCGAACGTGTCAAGCTTTTGCTGATTGCCCTCGGCGAGACCTTTGTGGTAGAGTGCGCGTATTCTTTGCACGATCGTGGGCAAGTCGGCGACTTCAGAGTCCTTAACCACTTCCAGAAAAGCCTCATGCGTCTGAGGGCACGGAAAAGTGTAAGCTAGGTTGTTGCTGGCTGGAGTCTTTGTGACTGTTTTCGGTGTACTCAAAGACTCTCGTGGCAAGACCAGCCCGTTGATGAAATCGTCATCACCATCGTCCTCGACGTCGTTTTCGGACTCGGATTCCTCGGAGTCTTGTTCGCTTGCCATCTCAGGGTCTGACTCCGAAGCAATTAGGTCGTCATCAAGAAGGAATTCGTCTTCGTCTTCAACATCGAGTTCTTTCCTCGGCAGGGTATCGAACTCAGGAGCACTCAGACCAAATACTTCTGCGTCATCAACATCGGCATCGGCATCGTCATCCGGCCCTAGCTCCTCTTCCTCTTCCTCTTCATCTTCTGAGCTTTCTGCTTCGCCCTTCATCCTGCGAATCCTCTTGCGCTCAAGCTCTTCGAGTCTAGCAGCCTCCTCAGCAGCTCTCTCTTCGTCAGTTTTGGTCCGTACACTGGGTTTCGAACGAGCCTCCAATTTCAATTGTCGAAGATTGGACTCGTATTCCTTTTCTGCCTCTTCTCTGCTCTTCCCTGCCAGCATTGCAGCGCGAGAAGGATCCATGTGCGGCTCAGCATTTGAAGTTGACGTAGGTAGAATTTCCTTCTCCGGCACCTTTTGCCCTCGAACCGCCTCGTAGAACTCGGCCATGCCTTTGTCCAGCTCCGCCCGAAGATCGTCGTCGTCTGCCTTTGCAGCTTGACGCTCGGCTTTGTACATTTTTGACTTTGCAATGATCTCTTTCATGACCTCATTCTTCGTCTTTTTCCTCTGGGGAAGATCTTGGTCATCCTCGTCTTCGGGATCGACGTCGTCGGTCTCGGCGAGGCGCAGCTTTTTCCGAGGCCTGTCATCCTGGTCAAAATCTCCGTCTACACTATCCGAGCCATTCGCATCGGGCTCATCGAAATCATCTTCGACAACGTCCCCAAAGTCAAGTGATCTTCCACCATGCGTGAGCGTCATCTCCTCCTCGCTATCGTCCTCAAGGTTGAACATAGAACTCTTCTTCATCTTGCGCTCGTTCTGACGGGCAAATCGCTCGGCTGCTCTTTCCTCGGGAGTCATCGTAGGGTCATTCTCCCCGAACCGTCGATCAAGCAGCCCGCCCACCTTGTTGCGGCTTTGCATCTCTTTCAATAACGTCTCTCGCCGCCGTTCTTCGCCCAAGCCGCGGGTGACGCCCGGCCGGCCAATGAGGGGTTTGGCATTCTTGCCATTCACAAACTCATATTTTGCTTTTCGGGCAGGTGCCTTGACCTCGAAGGGATTGAATCGTTCGCGAATGCCCTCGAGTGCGGCATTACGCTGTGCCCGCTTCTGCGCATCTTTGGAGGTCAGTTTTCGCTGTTTCTTGGACTTCTGGGGACCAAGGACGCCGCTCTCATGCAGGGACGCTTTCAACTGCTTGAGCTGCGACGGCGCCATTTCCGATTTGCCTGGAGAAGGTTACGCACTGGGCCTCATGAGATCGAGTTGCCGCAGTCAAAAAAGTTTCGATCTTTAAATTGCGGGGAAGGTGTGCCGAGCGACAAGGCTGAGTTACCCACCTCTCCGAGGCTCTCCTACAATCAGCCCTCTCTGCATCAAACGACGATACTTAGCATACGGAACGTCTGGTCGGCTATACTTCCCCGTGATACTCTCAGTCCGTTAACTGCGATAAGAGAGCAGTACCACGGTCGATCTATCTTCTCTACTTGTCATCTATAAAGACCCTTTTCTACCGTGCAGGCATTGCTGCTATTGATTGCCCAACCACTCAATAGCCTCTAGCGTACTTCTCTATCTTCACCTTCCCTGATATTATAATGACATGAACAGTGCTCAGACAGTTTCCGACCTAGATCGTCGGACGAACCCTCCGCGAAAAGCACTTGCGACGGATCTGCAAAGAACCCGATGTAGTGCCACTGGTGCATGAGATCGATGTGTTGCGTCGTTCGTCTATTTCGTCTTCTGGGCCCTCGAATCACGGTAGTAGCGCTCCACGACATCTAATCCCGTCATCTTCTTCAGTGCCGAGTCGAGCATCCCCACAGGCAAAAAGGACGCCAGCCATACTTGGAACGCATTGCCTCCGCGCCATATATGCGCAGGAGGGTTTCGCTTCGACAAGTCCCGGACAACCTTCGAAGCCCACTCATCCGCCGGCATTTCAGTGATGTCGATGTCCGTCCGCATAAATTTCTCAACCTGTTCTCTCCCAGGCAGATAGAGCGAGTCTTCGGGTAGTCTCAAACTGCCTTCTGCGGGGCCTCCTGACGACGAAGCATTGGCAAAGAAATTCGACTTCACAGTGCCAGTCTTCAAATCAACAACTTTGATATTGAAGGGTTGTAGCTCCTGTCGTAACACCTCGGTCAAGGACGCGAGGGCCGCCTTGGTGGCACTGTAGGGGCCTTGAAGAGGCACGGGCATGACGCCGGCGCATGAAGTATTATTCACGATCAAGGCGCCATCCTTGGCATTTCGTAGCAGAGGGAAGAAGAGCTGAGTAACTCGGAGGGCGGATGTAGTATTCAATTCAAACAGCCCGGAGACTTCAGATATCGAGGCGTCCATCAGTGGAGTGCTGTAGCCTTTTCCTGCATTGTTGACTAGTACGTCGAGCGAATTGTCTGTCAATTGGGAAGTGGCCTGAACTGCTGCTTTGACCGAGTCTTCTGAGAGGACGTCAAGCTGTAGAGTGTCGATACCCATGGCCTTGAGAGAGGCCATTTTCGCGGGGTTTCGGGCGGTTGCAATGACACGGTCGCCATTTTTGTGAAAGGCGATGGCGAGGGCAGCTCCGAGGCCGCCGTCGGAGCACCCAGTGATGAGAACGGTACGGGACATCCCGAGTCCTGACACTCTTTTTTGTTTGGGATTCTGGAGAGGTTCAGAAGTTGGCTGGATAATGTGGTTGTTGAAGTGGGAATGGGCTACTTATTATGCGAATCCGGCGTCGGAACTTCTGCCTTACCGGCCAAGGAGATCCATAATTTAAATCTATGGGGACCAGCTTTGTACAAGAACCTGGAAGCTTGTGGCCGTCTTGTGCTCGCCCTCGCTATGTAAGTAGCGAGGCTGAAAGCTCCAGGAGGTCAAGAAACATGCAAGGACTAGAAAAGGACTGGTCAGTTCTGTTTCCCCGATCCGACTTCTCCTATCATAGTCAATTCGGGGACGCTGAGGGAAGAAGCAGCATTTCGCCTCATGGCACAACGACACTATCGTTCGCGCCAATGATCGATGCTTCCTGCATGAGCCCTCGATTTCTTTTCCACCGAAATTATCCAGCATCAGACGAATAATGGTGCGTGGTGACCTTCCGGTCGCTGGTGTGTCTACACGAGGTAGTGACAGTCTTGTGGCATCAAATTGGTTCACCATTGAATAAGAACGAGACTGGCTCAGAGAACCTTAGGGAAACCGTTACCTGGCCCGTGGCGCTGGATACGGGACTCAGCAAGCCGACTGCGAGTACGAGTTGGTTGCCTCTCCGTGCTTCTTTTTCAGATCGACCTGGGCGGATGGCCATGGAGAACCATTTGCCAAGATTTTCCGCCCGTTATCGATAAGGGTCCCTCGCCCGACTAGTTTTCAAAGTTGAACGAGTGTCCTCTTCGCAGATGACTTGTGTGTCGTTTCAATCCAACCTCCCCGACACTGCCAATACCCTCTACCCCCAGCTTGCGGAAGTCCATGTAGGACTGCTCTCTACCTGCCTCGACTCGCTCTGATCCACCTTGTTTGCACGGCCGAACCTAAGAGCCACAAAACGAAGCCTTCAATTCATGAACACAACCTAAAGAGGAACCACCACGCCCGCCCCTTACCATAACGCTGCACATACTCCGCGGTCACACACGAGGTTGAGCCAAGATGAAGTTCCTCACACTCTCCCTGCTCATCCCCATCGCCTACCTCTCCATCCTGATCGGCAGCATGGCCACCTTCTCCCACCTCTACCGCCAAAGACAAGTGAAGAAGAAACTGCGGCTGGCGCCGTACTTCCCCCCGCACACGACCCGCAACATCTACCTGTCCCTGCTCCACGTGCAAGACGACGGGAACACAAAGGTGCCCGACTCGGTGCTGCGCGCGGCGCTCCTGGCCCGGGCGTGCGACGACATCCGCCGCATCATGGAGGTGCGGATGCGGAAGCCCGCGCTGGCGGCGCTGCTGCAGCGGGGCGTGGTCGGCGACGAGATCTTCCAGCGGCTGCAGCGCGCGGAGCAGGAGCTCGAGCTCGAGCTGAAGGACGTGGTCGCCGAGGCCAACGCGCTGAGCGGGTCCGGGGGTCCGAACGGCACGCCGGGCACCTGGGGCCACTCGATCTTCCAGAGCGCCAACGAGATGGTGCAGAACCAGATCCTGCGCGACAAACTGGACGCCATCAAGAAGACCCTGCCGGAGGAGAAGGAGAGGTGGGAGAAGCAGCGGGAGACCGCCAGGCGGGAGCTGCTGGGCGGCGACGACGCAGGAGCAGCAGCGGCGGCGGCGCCAGCGAGCGACAAACCTGCTACCGTCCCCACTCCGACCGCTGCAGCAAAGACGGCCCCCAAAGCCGCCACGGCAAGCAGCGATGAGGATGGTGTCATTGTGGAAACACCCGCCGCGGAAGTGTCGACCGGTGGCAAGCAGAAAAAGAAGAAAGGCAAGAAATGAGCCGGGGAAAGCCATGCCATTGTACGATATTGATTTTCTTTTCCCCCCTCTACACGCTTTTTGTCGTTTGCTTGAAAGTTTGGAGTCTACAAAGGGGGAAGGGGGTTGCATTAGCAGGAATGAATCGAGGCATTTTCCGCGTTCCAAAACCCAAAAAAGAACGCTCTCTTTTCAGGAGAACAGGCGAAGGGTCTCTCTGGTTGGAGGGGGCTCATGCTCTCTATACGCGCTATGATACAGATTACGTAGATGTCAACAGTATATATCCGATGGGAGATGGTTGATCCGTCTTCTAAACCTGACCTGACCCGGCTCTCCCGCGTCAGAATGATCATATTGTTGTTGCTGTTGTTGTTACAAGGAGACCTCCACGTCGCTCCAGTCACGCTGCACCAGCGCCTCAGAAGGGACCGATGTCCTCATCTGCTCCGCAACCCGCAGGATCTCTTGCGCCACGTCTGCCATGGCCGCGCCTTTCATTCTCTTCTCCATGACGAGGCAGAGAAAAGCAGAGAGGACCTCGAGCCTGAGCTCCCGAGCAGGCTGACTTTCAATCTGCTCCACCGCCTCCGGGTCGACGTCCTTCTCTTGCACCATTTTATCACCAATCGCGACCACGATCTCCGTGAGAGTCTTTACCGCGCTCTGGTACTGGAGGTTCTTCTTCATCCGCAGGCCGCGAGCGCGGGGCGAGAGTGGCACGAAGTCGGATGCGAAAGAGCGAGCCACCTGCATGATGATCAGTCGGCTGATTTCCTCGTGCGGGAACATGTTGAAAGACTCCCGGAGGCCATGGAGCGCGCAGAGCGTGCCCTGAGGGTCGGAAGAGAGGCAGAAACAGCGGATGACCTGTTCGTACAGTTCAGAAGAGAAATCTGCTTGGGCAGCATGTTTCTTCTTGGCGTCAAGCCCGCCGAACCATTCTTGCATCTCCGCGAAGAGCATTCGCGCTTGAGGAAACCCTCCCTGGTGCCGGTGAGGGAATGCATAACAATTCTTGGCTGTGTCCCAGAGTGCCGCGAACGTCTCGAGGTCAGGGGATATTGATCGCTTCAAGGTCGAATATTTGCTCCAGACATCTGAGATCTGTCCAGATCGAAGTGAAGCATACAACCAATGGTTCATGATGAACGAATTCGGTTTGATCTGAGCCGAACCAGTCATGACGTCGGTAAGATGACCGGCATTGGCCAGATCTGAGCGGCGAGTGTAGTGTTGGAGCAAGATGGAAAATGTCTCAACTGTTGCAGCTGGCGCCCCCCGCTTAAGAAAGGAAGGGGCTCGGCGGCCCTCGATCGTGGAGGCGAAGTTTGCAGTACCAGTATCGTCTGCCTTCAAAAGCCGCTTTTGAACTAACTCGACTCGGGATTGTATCATTGCCCATGCAGTATCCTCGGCTCTTTCGCGGGCAGTTGGCGAGCCTTGACGAAACCAAGCTGCTATGAGGCCATTCAAAGGTCCAGCATCGGGTTTGATGCCACGCTCATACATGAGGTCAACGACGAGAGCAGCCTCGTTTGTTCTCCCCTCACCAAGGAGCCATTTAATCCATGCTGCGAAGAAATATTTGTTGTGAAAACTGCGAGGAAAGAGGGCCAACGAAGAGAGTCCGATCTGGCTGACGAGGTCTTCACTCGGTGACTGAGACTGGCTCGCGTCTTTGCTAAGCTCCCTGAAAACCCTTAACGAGTCGGTTGGCGACTTGGCCGTAAGCATGAACATATCTTTGAAGACGGACAGGGCAAGATCAGTACGGCCAGCGTCAAGCAGAGCACTGCTAACTCGGCCCAGAACGTCTAACGTCTTCTTTTGGTCTTCTCTGCCCTCGAGCCTCTTCCGCAGCTCCAGATAGCAAAACCACGTTCTGGAGGCAGCAGAGGGGCTTTGGCTTTTCGCCCAGGCAGAAATGACCATGACAAGGACTTCGGGATCGATCATTGTCGTGTGGTCGTAGCATTCGAATGCTAAACGCTGCGCCTTCTGCGGCTTCCCAAGTTGCACATAGAGCCGGACACCGGTGATCCAGAACAGCTCAGCAAGATCCTCTTTGATGCCCAACCTGGGCCTCTGTGCCTCCCAGGCCTCTGCAGCAGCGGCTATGTTCCCAGTAGCCTGGAGGGCATCAATGTATTCAATCCACTCCTTGTCCTCGAGTGGCACGTCTGCTTTCATCATATCCTTGCCCAACATTTGAAGATGTCTGGGCCTGTAATAGATCGTGCTCTGTGACTTCCAGAGGAAATGCCAGACATCCTCAGGCAGGATCAGGGCAAAGTTGGAAACGTGTTGCTGGCACCGTAGATACCACTTCCACAGGGTAAAGTATGCCTTCTCGTCGTCCTTCTCTTGTGCGGATTCCAATGCCGTGTTGAACCGCTTGACGTATATCTTGTCTCTGACAGGGATGCTCAGGGTGACCTTGAGGGCCGACTTCGGCGTCGTGGTTTGTTTCCTCCCCTCCTCCTCTTTTGCCAACTCATCCAAATCTTCCTCGGAGACCAGATCCAGGTCCTCGGGAGGCATGACACCCTCTTCTTCTAGTGCTTTCAGCAGTTCCTGCCTTTCATTGACGGGGAAAGATCGCATAAACTCGCTGTTGGGTCCGAAAGGGCCTTCTCGCATGACCGCGAGTTCGCGATCAAGTTTGTCCAACTCAGCCTTCAGAGCATGCGTTTCATCGTCGACGAGATCGCGGACCGGAAGTCGGGTGGACAAATCCTCACCCTGCTGTTCGAATTCATGGATGTCTGCCTGCGCCAAGGACGCAGTTGACGGTTTGCGCGCATGAAGAGGGCGCGAGCGGGCGGTTTGGCGATAGTGTCGGGCTGGTTGGAGATGTTGGAGGCAGAGTTGATGCCCCGCGAAGCTCGGAGACAGGCAGAACTGTTGGTGCCATCTTCGAGACAGCTGGCAGATGCTGCGCATAGAGAAATTGACGGGTCTCTATTTGCACAATAGTCAGACGCTCGAAGAAGAGTGTTGGTGCCATTGATGGACTGCGGCGAGGAAAAAGTCGCCCAAATGGACCGAGTTTGGCCGAAGATCAACCGCGCATCTCAGCCTCGTCGCTTCACCAGCCTTCTGACCGTTTCCCTTTGGAGACTGATGACCGTCCTGGTTGCGGCCTCTCAGCCTCTACCTCCGCTTCAGCTGCACTAGTAAAGTGCATCTCACTCTGGACTCTGACCATTATTGACCAAGATGAATGACCCACCTCTCAGCCTTCCCATCAGCCATTGATCTCCGGGTATGTCCACCAATGGTTCCGCCATGGCAGGGCTGTCCTCCTCTGCAACACCGACTGCTCCTCGTGAACCTCTGAGGCGTGTCGTCGATGAAGTCTAGAAAGCGACATTGCCATGGTTCTGACAGTGGTCTCCAGTTTGCTGGACCAAAGACACTACAATCTACGTGATCAACATCTCATCAATATCCCAACCCGGATAATTCTCACTCTCTTGCCAGGAATATACCCCTTTCCATTCCCATGACAATCCCCCATTGAGGCTGGCGCAAATCGCCGCAATCAACCCAAAGTCCTCTCCTCGCTGGCTGCTGCTGACGGCCGCGGAGATACCATCTTCAGCCACTGCTCTGACAAGCCTTACGCGGGCTCCATGGTCCAGTAACTCTGCCATTGTAAGCCAGGCCAGTGCGTCGTCCGGGTGCGCATATATCATCTCGGCTGCTTCGAGGTCCAATTCATCATCCTGCCATGCCTCGGGAACGGGTGTCAACTCGCAGCACAGGTCCTTGTTACTCTCTAGAAGCGAGCGGTCAGCCTCCACGACACGCCATTTTCCACGCAAGCCATCGTCCGTGATGTTGACAAAAAGGCTACCCTCTCCATCATATGACGGAAACCTCACACTATACTCTTGACTCCTACCGTCGTCAAGTCCAACTGACCGTCTGATTGGCCGAATATACGGCGTGCTGGGTGCCCAACCAAGGCCTTTCATCGTGCCGACACGTGGAGCGCTTGATAATATATATCCACTTCTGACTCTCGTCTGCTTCTGCCAGAGACCAGCCGCCTCCCTTTTGACAGGTGCATTGATCAGCAAAGTCCAACAAATTATCACATCTTCAGGCCAGGACGTGTGGCGTTGACTGAGAAGATAGCCTGCTTCTTCAACGCTCTTCCTCGAGGCTGGGTCTGAATGAGGGATCAGATGTTGCGCACTCCCAAGCAGGACGCCGATGTCGATCGCACCGCGCTCGTGTAACATGGCAAGAGCATAACGGAGATTTATTACTTCATCATTCTTGCAGAGCAGCCAGATCGCACGACTGCCACGGATCCCTTCCAATAACGTCCAGCCACGGACAGTCCAATCACTCACCAATAGTGTTGAGATCAGCGTCTCAATTTGTGCAATGCTGGGCTCTGGCAGAGTCACGTCGACTGATTGGACATCCATGTCGATGATCAGGGTTACCTTGGCCGCAGCGAAGATTTCGTTGATGCTGTCGATGGCCTGGCGTCTTAGGGTGGTCTCGCTGGGAATACCTGCAGCGTCAATCCAATATGTGTCGCACCCAAATTGACGGGCCAAACGGCAATATCGTTGATGTAGACAGGTGTTGATGCCTGTCTCGGGACGGCCGCCTTGACCGTGGCTCCAGACGTGAGAAATTGCTAGAGTCTGAGAAGAAACAGGAGAATAGTCCAGATATGCAGAATTTTCGACAGCCGAAATCGCGGCTGGCTTTCGGCACTCGTAGTATGAAGGTGGATTCCACACAATTCTCGAACAATGCTTATTACAGCCAGGGGAGTGTGCTGACTGCGCGGCGGCCTCTGCAGCAGTAAACCTCTGGCACGTCTCTGGCTCACCACCTTCACAGGTGTGAGTCGAATCGTTAATGCATCGCCCATGTCGCCCACGGAATTGAGCATCGAACCTTGAAATCATCCGGCGAAAGTCCAGCCCGACAGATGTACGACTGGTTCTGAGAAGCTCAAAAGCCCAGTTGCAGAGATAGTCGGTGCATTTGCCGCGATACGTATCTCTAGACAGAGATTCGAGCTCGTGTATACCTCGAACGGCCAGGAAAGTGTTCCAAGTCGACGAGTATCCATGAGCAAGTTGAACTCCGATCACATAATAGAAGTGCAGCATTACGGAACGCTGCCATGCCGACCAGAGAAAAACCTTGACGATCGCCATCGCCTGTTCATGGTCATCGTGCTCATGAGGAAACAGGGCATTCTTCAAAGCGCGGCCTTCGGTTGAGTCGTCCTCGAATGGAGCTTGGACCCCGAAAGATACGGCGTCACACATGCTCTGATATTCGTCAAACAACTCGGAGAGCAGATTCACATATTCGAGCGAGTTTTGAGCAAGTTGCAGATCCGGGGCGGAGCCTTGATTTGCGAATACAGCTGCTAGAATCATGGAATTGCTGTCAATGTGGGTGGTCACGTACAGATTGTCCCAGGCGAGATCTTGTAACTTGGACAGTAAGTTGAGAATGGAGGCAGCATCTTCTGAGCTCTGCGCCTGGAAGTGGGATCGCGCTTCTGGCACAATATACTTTGTTGACCATCTACCGTCTTTGATACTGTCCCACAGGGTCGTGCCTTGCGCCCGCCTTATACCGTTGTTCAGAGGCAGTGAGAAACTGCGCTGAGGGACTCCTGGTAGACGGGCGAGCAGCTTTTCCGACTTGGAACGCATATCATGGAGATCGGCGCCGGCCTTGCGAGAGGAATCCTTGATAAAGCCGCAAGGACGCGGCAGAAGGACTGAGAGCTGCTGATCGAGTTTCTCAAAGTGTTCTGTGGGGTGGTGTGCGCCTGTCAGGAGTGGCGTGCAAGATAGCCTCAATCGCCATAATCTCAGATCTGTGTCTTGAATCCGGGCCAAAGGGCATTGAAGCAAGTCACCCGCGTTGACACCGTAGATGCCCTCAAAGGCTTCCTCCATCGAATGACGAACTGTAGGGCCTCGTTGCCTGTTCATCACATCCGGGACATGAGTGAATGAGTGAAGCCAGACCGAAGACAAGCCTCTGATTGCCTATGAGCGTATTGGCGGTTAGGTCTGAAAGGTTGCTTGGTGTTCGCTGCCTGATCAGGCTGAACAACGACCTCGTGGTTGAGAGGCCAGGGGCAGGTCTGACGGCGACGCAGTTGCGATCCAGAACACTTAACCTAGCCTTAGCCTGTGATTACGCTCTCGCCGAAGCGCGCTGTGAATGGAAGGGCGGTGATACACCTTTCATACAGGAAGTGAGAGATGTTGAGGGAGACGCAGAACATTGATGTCTTGGCCCTTGGCGAGGCAACCAGGTAGATCTTTCATTCGCGCCCACTTTTCGCAGGAGACCCAACCATATATGCACTCATCAGAGGATATACAAGTCTGTGAACCGAGATACAAGCCTGACATGTGTCCAGCTTCGGGCCCGGTGGCGGGCCACCGGCAATGATCCCAGCAATTCAAGCGAAAGTAGGCGACAGCCTTGCGCTTGGACTGCCAGCAGTCGCCTCACAAACACCTTGCAGAACCATATATCAACCCGACGACGTTGTTTACTCAGCAACACCTAGGGTGATTTGAGTGACAATTCAAGCATCATTGTAGATAGGCATGATGTAGTTCCACGCAGTTTCAAGGACTTCTCACAGAGACTACAGCTCGACGACATAAAGGGAGTCGTATGGGCAGATTCGATATGTATTTATTCCTATCGGGCTGCTATGAAACATCTCAGGATTCCGAGATCTACACCTCTGTTTTGTGAGGGTAATAATTTCCTATCAAGGTCCAATTAAGATTCCGAGCCCAAGCAACTCCAGGGCAGCGTGCTGGGGTGTATGAAGGGGGAGGGTCCTGCTCCAGGACCTGCCAGACGCTGCTTCAACTGCTAGACATCTGCTCCAGCTAAGCCTCTGTGGGCTTGACCAATCCTCACCCCCTCTGCTGCTGCCTCAGATTCAATACTCTTAACATTCTCGCTTCCCGGGTATGTACCACGATGCGCAAAGAGTTCCGAACTGCTTTTCATATCTGCGCAACACCGTGTTCGTCCTTCGGAGTTTGTCCGCAGACCCAGCTCAACACCTTCGGCTCAGTCCCAGAGAGATCTGCGACAAACAGCATCCGGACTGGCGCGCCTCGGGTGGCGCGCCTCGTGCATCCCAGGCCAATCTCTGTGACGTAGTGTCGTCGTGTCGGAGCGAGTGCCCCTTCGATCGTCTCTTGAGAAGTGATCCGTATGACCTGCCGGAGAAGCGTCGGCGTGCCTTAAACTCGGCAACATCAACTTTCACGCCCTTGTCTTGCTCTTTCCCCAAGATGGAGAGGTCGAGCCTATTCCTCTTGATCCGACTTGATTGGTGATGTGCTGGCAGGGGAGGGACTACGGACGAAGCTTAGAGGAATGTCGCTGAAGTAACCCGGGTTTGTGGCTTCCTCCATCTTCTCGGCGGATCGAATAATCCCCCAAAGTTCCCCCGAAATGACAATAGTCCGATCACGGATGGATTTGGGCAGCAATTCAGCAAGGGTCATGTGATCCACTGACATGACGAGACCAGCACCATTACCGTGCTCTCCTTTAATATTTCGAATCGTCTGTGCCCAAGAGTTGGTGAATCACACATCAACGAGGATAGTAGTAGTCGTATAACGTACCTGAGAAGTACTCTCGACTTCTAATACCGTCAACGGGCCGTTGGAAGTGAACATAGGTATCGAAAGCGTCAGATCCACGGCCTGCGAGTCTCGATGGAGCTTCAAAGTCACGACATAACGAATGTTCCCACTTCCAGCCTGGATATACCGAAATGCTTTCTTGTTCAAACTCTTGATTGACTGTGAATCGCCGACCTCTAGTACTAGGATTGGCAGTTTTATGTCTTCGCAAATAATCTGATTGTCAGGGATAAATATGCTTCCTCGCCCATCTTTAATCGCTGCCGATGACCATATTGAGAACGGACTTGGAGCTTGATGCAGAGACCATAGCTGTTGAAGTCTTTGTGGGAGGACAAGGATCAATTGCGTATGGACAAACTCATGTTTGTGAGAAGGAAAAGCCATTCGTAGCGTGAATGTTTGTGTGTCAACAAAGTAGTCGTATCCGTACGGTATGTCAGCCTCCAATTCAAGTGAAGATCCCTCACATCGTATACCTTGCGGCTTTCCAGTCTTCTTCAGCCAGATAATTGTCAAGTCGCCCAAAGTCATGTGGGCTCAGGTGGTACTTCCGGACGCTCGAAACGCCGGCACAATGGTCCTGAAGGTCACGGACAAGGTTTTGCAGTTCAGGATTGTCTTTGTGTAGGTCTTCTGCAGCTTCATCTTTTTGGCATGGGTAAGAAGTATCACCGACATGGGAACGCCGAGAACTGCAGTTAAGCTGTGATCGCAGGAAGCGGCTCTCCACTGACGCTGGTGGGCGACAACAAGGGTTCTTCCGAAGCCACCTCCATGGTGCACAGCTATCGTGGAAGAAGATAACATGAATTGACGGAGGGGTCGAACTTAGGATCATGAAAACGGACTTATTAACAAAGGCACATGTAACAAGTCGGGAAAAACTACGGCTATACTCTCTGAGCCAATCACGCCAATTATGACTTGGCCAAGCTCCACTGCACTAAACTATATTCGTATACTGCGATTTCCGTACTAACCTAGCTAGCATCCGCGATCAAGCAAGGGTTCCGCCAGAGGTATGGCTGTCATATTGCTGATTCACCCTTCAGACTTGGCAAGCTGTCGTTTCACTCCTTAATTACATTTCGAAGTTTCTGCTTGAACCTCTGCTCGAGATTCTGATCAAGTAGCCTCGACGGGTCTCCGAAGTCTGAGATCGATAGCCTGCCGACTAATGAGATTCAACTTTGCTTCTTCTTAAATGATTGCCTCTCCATGACGATGGATCCGAGCAGAGTTAGAATACTCAGGGCCAGTGGCATGTACAATATTTGCACTACAGCCTCGTTGTATCCATTCAACACAGCATTGAGCTTTTCACTGCCAATTATCGACCGAATATCGGAGAGACCAACGTGAGAGAGTGCAGTTGTATCGATGGTGGGAGATGATTCGTTGAAATCAGCGATCAAAACGCTTGTGGAAGAGAGTGGCGGATGTGCAAATCCAGAGGGCCGAATCCATGCCAGATCCGAAGACGATCACAGCACCAGCAATGGAGACATCCTTGGTGTCCATGAACGTTTGAACTGTGAGCTGTAGTCCTTGTACACCGAGACCGAGGGCCACGCCAAGGTAGCCTATCAAAGCAACAACTTTGCCAACGCAGCCCTGAAAGTCGATTGCGGTTAGAAGGCCTGACGCGATGGGTGCGAGAATGTTAGTAGCGAACATAACTGCTGGGCCCAACCTGAATTAGCAATGAGGGACAGATGGAAGGAAGTAGGACAGGAATCATACGAAAATGGTAGCCGATCCAGATGATGCCCATCCCGGAAGCAACAAGGGCAATACTGAACCCAATAATCATGGGGAGCCCCAACAATCCCGACTTGGCCGCCTTGAAGCCCCGAACTCCCTGAAAGTAGATTGAGAGGTAGTACTCGGTCACGGAGAGCACTCCATTGCAGCAGACTGCGTACCAAACGCCGGAAATTATACTACGTTGCTTGACAATTCTAGGAGGTAGGGTCGCCTTGTCGCCCAGGCGATGTTGCAAATAGCCAAAGGCCGGCATCAGACAGCCGGCAAGCACGAAGAAGATAACGACAATGGGACTATTCCAGCGGTATTTGGTGCCGCCCCATTGGAGAGCCAGCGACAGAACAGCGATGGCGGGCACAGCAAGTAGAGTGTTGAAAAGATCCAATTGCTTGAACTTTTCTCGAAGCGCCAGCTCAGAGGTAGGATTCGATGGGTGGACGTCGAAACCGTAGGCCATGAATATACCAAATAATGCCCAAGGGGATGTTGATGCCAAAGCATGCCCGCCACGTAAAGCGGTCTACCAGAAGGCCGCCGATCATAGGAGCAGACACCAAGCCCAGTGATTGGCAAACGCCCACTATGCCACCCATCAAGGCTTGCTTACAGAGGGGGAAAAGACATTTGAGGGGCTTTAGAAAGCAACCGCCGATGGCGCTCACTCTGAAACCTGCTACAGCTCGACCACGGACCGCATGGTGTCTGGGCTCGGTGGAATGAGCAGGCTGGACAATGTCGCCGTGCGTTGTTTGTGAGGCTGCCATCCTCATGCACAAATATATGGTGCTTAGCTATTGGGAAGGACTGGGTTGAATTTGCCGTTCTGGTGGCGACGAGGGCGCCTGACGCAGTATTCCAGCTTGTAGCACCAGTTTTCCCCTTCACCGAGACCATTCCCAAACATTGCAAACTGTCGAGCTTCACTTCTACTCCGAGTATAACTGCGGAGCTAATGTAAGTCGCGGGGCCAAGTGCGTCAGCCAATCATCATGCTATGTGGTCTCCCATTTATTCTGTCAGACACAAATCATTTTCATTCACGAACGCGCCTCAATCGCAGCGCGTCGCGGCTTGATCTTGCAAGGTGCGCTGGACCAGACCAGGTCGGAAGGCTGTTGAGTCCATGATCCCCCAGATGGACGACGCAACCCACACGGTAAGCCGAAGACAGACACGTTTACGAACACCGGTTAATATATGGGTAGACCTGCTACATCTTCAAGCCTCCGAATCCAGACAACGAAGAGATCGATCCGAGACCGCAAAAAAAGAGGCGGAAGTCGAGCAAAGTCGCGCCGAAGGCTGCCCCAGAGGAGTACTCGTGGCCACTGTTGCTGGCCGGACAAGAAATCCAGGATGCCGCCACACTGCGGAAAAGCGAGTTCGAGACAGTCTGGGCCAAACAGCAGCAGAAAATCGGCAGCATTGTCGATGTGGTAGACGAAGGGTTCGTCGGTCCGGTTCTAAGATTTGCGCGCGCCCAGGACGCAGATGGTCTTCGGAACCGCAAGAGACTGAAGACTGCGTTGCTTGCCATGGGTCCAAATGGCAATCATCATCACGACCTTCACAAGGCATGGAAGAGCACAAAGCCATCGAACGGGGATGACAGCCCGGAGTTACTCGTCACCCTTCAGCCGGCCCACTGCCCCAACATTCAAACTGCGTTGAAGAACGTCGTTAGATCCGGGATATCTGGACGGCAAGGAACGGAGAGGTACACAGAATTCCTGGCGGAGCACAAGGCCCTGGTCCCCATGTCGTTCGACCTGGAGCTGCTCCACCGGTACGTCCAACGCCATGACATCGAGCGAGTCGTGATATCCGTCATGGACGCCGAAGGATTCGACACGTCTGTCCTCTCGGAACTGGTCTCGACTTTCCACTCCTGGTCAGACCGAATTCCAACCGTTCTTGTGATCGGCATATCGACAACGGTTGAGCTCTTCGAATCTCGACTATCTCGATTGACTGTTTCATTGCTCGATGCTCGAATCTTTGAAACGAGCCCGGAGTTTAACGCGGAGGATCGCTTCTTTACCTTGTACGCGGCAATACAGCATGCTCCAGATGCGGACGTGTTTCTTGGTCCGTCGGTCGTCGGCGTGCTGGCCGCATTGGCGGAGGACCAAGGCACCACACCGGCGACCTTCGCCCGGGCCCTCAAATACGCTCATATGTCTCATTTCTTCGCAAATCCACTCTCGGTCTTGTCCCTCGAATCCGGCACGAAGTCGCCATGGAGCCCGGCACTGTGCCGGGCCATCCGCAACCTCGCCAGCTTCAGGTCTCACTGCGAAGCGCTAGCCAAGGGCGACAAGGATGAGCGGGAGGCCGTCCGCCGTCTGCTCGCGTCCGACGATGAACTGCATGGGGCGGCCGTCCAAGCAATCGAGTCCGGGAAACGAGTACTGCGCTCAAGTCTCTCTGCAGTCTCCACGCTGAGATACATCTACCACGGCGCGCTCAAACTGGAAGCGTTTACTACGTGGGAGAGCGAGACGCATCTCCTGCAGTCTCTACCTGACCTGGCCCGATCAGAAATCTTCGAGGCCATCGAAGACAGACTTCTAAGTCTTCCACCTGGGTCACCGCTTGTCCGAATATTCGAGAACGCTGCCCCGGAACTGAAGGATCTGCAAGACTACCAGCGGTCCTCCGCACAAGGATCAGAGCCAGCGCCCGATCCGGAGTCAGGACCAGATGCCGATGCTCACCATTCTGAAGCGGGAAAGCTCATCACCGTCCTGCGCGGGTACCTCCAGAGCCGAACGTCCTCCCCGTCCCTGTCGTCGCCATCTTCCGACCGTCTCAATCCCTTCCGCCAATTCATGGCCGAGGCGTACACCATGACCCAAAAGTCCCCGCTCTCGCAGACCACCCACCCCCGTCCGCGCCACTGCGTCGAGCGCGCCCTGACCCGGCCCGCGGACTACCTAGGCTGCACATGCTGCGCGTCGCACGGCGTGCGCGGGGTCGCGGCCGACGGGGGCGAGGCAGGGGACAAGGCGCGCCTCCCGCCCACGAGCCTGTTGCTGAGCATGCTCAACGAGGCGGGCGCGGTGGTCAACGTGCGGGACCTGTGGGACGCGTTTCGAGACACGGTCCCATCACACCGCCACGCCGATCCCCTGTATCCCAATGGAGACGAGGACCCGGACCCGGACCCGAACGCGGGCGCAGGTCAACTTGACAAGCAGCAGGACAACGACGACGACGATAATGATGAGAAGAACCACGAGAACAAGGACGACAAGAGCGGTGAGATGGAGAGGCAGACTCTGGCCCTGTTCTACCGCGCGCTGGCCGACCTGCGGCTCCTGGGCCTGATCCGACCGAGCAAGCGGAAACCCGGAGTGGAATGCATCGCGAAGACGGCGTGGATGGGCCTCTGAAACCAGAGGATCGTACATCTTGTATACATGTAGACAAACAGAGAAGACGGACAGTGAAAAGAAAAAAAGCCCCCCAAGGACACAGCTCTCTGTTTGTTCATACAAGGTGCTTTTCATAAGGAGAACATTCAATCCGACCTAGGTATCATTGAATATGTGAAAAAATCACCCGCGATCTAAGGAAATAACTATTGCCGGATTGGGGCTCTCGGATCTGCTCCAAAGGGAAGACCGGTCCTTCTCAGAGCCCGATGCGACTGGTATCTGCGGCGGCGGAGCGCCTTCGTTCAATCATGGTCCATCCGTGTCTCTCGTACGTTAATCCAACATCCCATATCGTAAATGCACATGAAATCCCCCCGCCCCCGGTTGGGGGGGGGGGGGGGGGGATCAGGAAACCCATAACATGAAACGCAAATTCCAAACCCACGTCCACACCCGACAGCAACGCCGACGCCAATGCAAACAACAAATTCCCTGGCCCAGCTTGAACCGTCTCCAGTCGCAGTGGGCTGGGACCATCACAACAGATTGCCCAATGTACCCAATGCCACATGCCTCCCATGTATACACCACCCAGTAAACATACCGGATTCGCTGCAATTCCAATTTCCGCTCCGTTACGGACTCATGATACGATCCGAGTCACAGACAAACGACAAACCAAAGCATCCACGACCCTTACCCACCCAGCAACGCTGTCGTGTGTACAGTAAGCTTTTAGCATGATTGTGACACAGCTCATAGACATCAAAACATTAGAACAAACAAGAGGTATGGTAAACAATAATGTAAGAAAAGCTGACATGGTCCAACCGTCGTGATCATCACACCGTACAAGACGGGGAGAAAGCCCGTCAGACTCTCAAGACACATCCTTGCGAGCACCTAAGGTACAGTTGACGCAGAACACTTGATTACATTCTGGATCCATACAGCGGTCGCTTAGGCCATAGGCATTGGACCCACCGCACTGGCAGCAGATGATGAATGTGGCACTGCGCAGATGAAGGCGGCGGTGAGAGCTCGAGTTTCGGTTTTGACCTTGGCCCTGATTTTGGGTCGTCGTGGGCATATCAGGTGCTTGAGGCAGTAGCTTCGTGCCTTGCATGTGGCCCATACTTGATGAGTCCTGCTGAGTGCTGGAAGGTCTAACCGGTTGCGTTGAGAAAGGTTGGTGTACTGGCGAGAAGCCGCTTTGCTGATCAGGAGAGGGCTGAGTCGCCTCGGAAGGTGGCTGCGAGGCATCCAAGACATCGTCTTCTTCTTCTGCGACGCCTTCACGCAGCCTCCTCTCCTCAGATAGTTCCCCCTTGGTCTTTCCATTGCCCGTAAGCTCAATCCAGTCCTTGCTGGATTTCTGTTCCTTTATAAAGTGATCAGCAATATGACTGAAGCGGAACGTGATGGCATCAACGTCAGTCTTGGTGTGTACGACGATGATCTTGCAGAAACCACACCAAAACCGGCCCTGGTGATTGCGCGCGATTCGGCGCTGCTTGGCGTGGTCTTCAGGTAGTGAGACCGAATGAGCTTCCCGCATATGCTTGATATAGTTGGACGGATCGTGATAAAGAACCTTGAGACACCTCTCACAATGCCAACACTCTTGTTGCTCGTGTTGGTTCTGTTCGTGCCTTTTCCAGTCGTCTTTGCTGCCAAAGAGCTTGGTACATCTGTCGGCGACACAACCATACGGCTTCCAGTGACGTTTCATGTGCTTGTTCAGCTCACTTTGCCTTTGCATCACTTTTGTACATCCCCCATACTGACAAGGAAACTGCGCCGGCTTTGTCGGGGGCAATCGGAAACTGCCTGGCAGCTCGGCATCGGTAGTCCTCGAAACCTGCCCGACAGATGAGGCAGTGTAACTCGTCATGACGTCGCTGCCGCGTAAGGACACTCGAAATTGATTCAGAAATTCCTCATCATTTCCCCCATTGGAGCGATGTAAATCTAAAAATGAGCGGATTTCTTCCTCAATTGCCTTCGGGAGCTTAGACTTGAGCGCGTTCTCGGGTTGGATGATGTTCACCTGGTAGCTTTGGTGCGGCGAAGGCCCTGGGCCGTTATCGGTGGCGGCGGGGTTGGTAATGCTTCCAACAAAGCCAAGAAATTCTTCCTGTGAGCCTCTCAGATCTGGTACGGCGTGAGGCAGTTCCTGGGGGGAGATGAAGTCCGCCATTCGATCCGGGTCGAGGTCCGGGACCGCAATTGTATTTGGCCTTTTCGATCTCCCGAGCTGTCCATAGCCGAATGCAAAGTTCGATCTCATTGTATCGGTAGCAGTGTCAAAGGATTTCCGAGGTGGACGTGTCGAAAACTGGTAGTTGACTCTTTGATTGGTAACGTTGGGAGGGAGTTGTGATAGATCCTGATAGCGAGAATATTCGGCTTGTGACCATGCCCTTTGCATGTAGGCTGTGGGAGACGAAAGGTCGCTGGTATCCAGGTTCGGGAGGCCTCGCTGTTGCTGCAGGCTGCGGGCGTGGGCTGCCACAGACATGGGTCGACTCTGATTTTGTTGCGACCTGGTATGAGCTGGACCCAAGGCCCGAGTGAGATCTTGGTCGACGACCTGACCACTGTGACTTAGCGAGCGAGCGGGCATCATTGGGTTGAAAAGTGGGCTCGGATCGGGATAGTTGTTGTCGGAAACGGGAAATTGTCCTTGTCCGGAAAGCAACGAATGCGACGAACGTGCGCGGACTGACGCTGGAAGCGAGGCCGTCTCGTCAGCTTGTGCTTGCTGAGGTTGCTGCTCATACCATTCGTTGGACCTAGTCGAAGTCAGTGTCAAGAATGTGCAACTGCTGGCAGATGCGTACTGGCGGAGCAGAACTTCCACCATACTCGCTCCGTGCATCTTTTTGAGATGCTGCTTGAAGTTGTCCAAACGAGGCCATTCCTTTCCCGCTTTGTTGCAGCCATCAGCAAAACACTTGTAGGATCTGCTTTTCCGCTTATTGATGTTGTGCACGGCTTTCAGATGTCGGTCAAGGTCATTTATAGTTGCAAACCCTCTGGCGTTTCGAGGGCAGTCCGAAAAGGAACACGTGTGCTCGCGTTTGTGACGAGCGCTGTGTTTCCTGCCACGAAACTGGTCAACATAGCATATCAAAACAGTGACGCAGCCGACTTACTTCAGGTCGGACCTCGTCTTGCCCGCATATCCACATTCCGAACACTCCAGCTCTCCACTCCTCAGCTGTGATCGGTGAGTTGCCGATCGTCCGGACTCTGGAGGGGCCGGGTCCAAGGTGCGAGGGGCAATGGTTGAAGAATTGGCAAGGGCAAAGGCCTGCGACAGGGGAAAGGGTATAGGGGGTATCGGTGTCGTGCTCTCGTCCATTTCTGTCAGCTCTTCCGTCACTGAGTCGACTTCATGCTGAGATCTCCTGGATCGGGTTTCGTAGCCCGAGTCTCCTAAAGATTTCTGTGCGCTAGCAGAAGAGTACGCACGATCTTGAATGGGGGTTCTCAGATGTCGAGAAGGCAGTCCAGGTTCATCCGAGTTCAAAGTTCCTGGCAGCAATGAAGGAGTTCCTTCAGTGGCAGCCAGATGCGTCCATGGTCCGGTAGCGCTTTGGTGACTGGTAACACCGTCGATGTCAACAGAAGACGAGTCCACAAAGCGAGGAGGAAACGATGAGCCAGGAGAAGAAATGGAATACTGGGAGTCGCCTTGCATATGTTGGAATGGATAGGGGTCAAAAGAGCCAGCGTAATCCGGGAATGGGGCATCAGAGGACGGATAGAAGCTTCTAGGGACGTGGTCACTGGGAGAGGACATGGCGGATAAAGGAGTCTGCAGCCCTGTCAAGACAGAATCCGTTGAGTAGGCTGAGTGTAGGGCAGATGCAGACGCAGATGCACCGCCCTCGTCTGGTATCGAGACAAACGCCTGGTGCAATGAGTCAGAGACCACCTGAGCGACAGGGCGGTGAGGCAGTGCTGGATATACATTTGATCTTGCCGGCCACGCGGGTTTGGAGACCGATTGACGCGGTCGAGATTTCTTTTCCGACATGGTGGGCAACGGAGGTAGAGGTCGTTAATATATCTGAACGCCGGAGGTTAGCTCAGCCCTCGGCAGAGATACCCAAGGGATGTCTCAACACAACATCAACAAAGAAAGTGAGGCAAAGGCTTCCTTTCCTTGGCCACCAGGGCTTGGGGGATGCTTACTGTTTTGGTTCGACTCGACCCGCGCAGATTCCGGGGTATGGAAGAGCTCAAGTACAGAGTGAGCAAGCGAGGCCACACGAACAAGAGGGAACAGAGCCAGCAATGGTCAAGAGGCTCAATGATGGCTCGAGAACACCGCCTGGTTTGACTGAGACTCTGCAAGAACGCCTATGGCATTGCTGATGAATGACTGAGGGTGGCGTAGCCAATCAAAATGAGCAAGGCGGTAGGTTGGGATGCAGCCTAGGTAGCCTAGTCTCTTTTGGCCCGACTTGACCAAAAAATGAGGCGACTGAAGGAGACCAAATCTCCATGCTAGGGGGGGGGGACCATATATCAATATATGAAGAACCAGAGAGGCACAGACGAGAGGAGAAGGAGGGAAACGATGGGAACGATGGGCGAGGGAGAGAGTTTGCACCGACGTGGGACTTGGGAGACTCGGAAGAGATTGGGGGCGGTGCAGCGATGAAGGAGGGACTCACGGGCTGGACAACGGAGCCACGAGCCTGATCAACCCAACATGCCGGGATCACAGCAGCTAACGGAATGGTGGAAGTGGTCGAGGAGTCATTCCTGCATCCGAATGATACAAAAGCATCCAGAACACGGGGACTTTGTAGAAGAGCGCGAGCAAAGACGCAGGGGAGCAACCGGTGTGTAGCAGGCAGAAGTTGGCGCAGGATGAACAGTTGAGTGAGAGTTGGCTGTATGAGTGTTTTGGCGTGAGTAGGGCGGCTGGCAGCGGTAGGGGACTGACTGACTGATTTGGGTACGAGGGCAAGAAGGGCAGAGGAGGGCGGGAGGGTGGGGGATGAATGAGCTGGTGGAAAGATGGGAAGAAGGTGGCCGCGGGTAACAAATGACGCTGCATGACGGAGACCAACGCACACAAGAAACCCGGCCATGCGTGTGACTGGCTCGTGACCGGCTCGTGACCGGCTCGTGACCGCCAGGACTCAACTACGCTGACCGGTCAGACAGGGCTTTGGTCGCTAGTCGGCAACAGAATCCAATAGGAAGGGGGCATGGCGCTTGGCGGGATGCGAGTGTGCCTTGGTCTTGACCACTTTAGGCTTAGTGGCTGCCTGTTGCTGCCAGGGACTTTTGGTTACATGTATTGGCCGTACTTGTATCCTTGATTAATTACCTACCGAGTACAGCATACGGAACACCTCAGCAGGTATTATCCTCGAAGCATGGGGCGCAACGGTTCCCCATACAACATTTGTACCGTGCATACGAGGAAGGTACACAACTACCGCCGACTCCTACCTACTTATCTACCTATCTAACAAGTAGGTATATACCCAAGTACGGAGTCCCGCGGTCTGTATCGTGTCGCCGGTATGCAGCCGAGCACCCAGAAGTACTCGTAAACTCCGTGGTGGCTATGCATGCCAAATACCTCGTACAGGCTTCAGCGAGAACGCCAACGTTATTGCTATATTTCCCGCCTCGTAACTTTGATAGTTACCACCACCCCACCAACGTTCACAACCGTCAACCAACGTCCCGCCCAGCTGCTCTTCTACTCTGTGACTGGCTCATTGCGTCCTGCAGGTCCCGAAAAGTCCATTACTTTCCAAACTCCAAAAGTTCCAGAAATCAATCCAAGTTGCATACTCCAAAGTGGTCCGGATCAGTCCCATCATCGCATTCATCACACTAGCCCGCTTGTCATGCCAATCATAACCCAGAAGTCCACTCCTGGGACTCAGAAACATCATATGGGTATCTAGAATACAACCGTAACCTCCTGGCAAAGGTTGGAACTACGTCCAAAGCCGTCCACAAATCCCTCTACTCCAAAGCGATTCTCTGCAGAAGGGCGCGCGGGCGGGCCCCCTGCTCGGCACCCCTCGCCGCCTCACTCTGGCAAAAGTCAACCCGATAACAATCTCCAACTTCATCATGCAAAATGCATGTCTGGTCGGGTCTCCCCAGTTCCCGGGGCCCCGTACACATACGGTTGCGCCGTGTGTGTGTTCAACCCTGTCTGCAGGCCTAGCCCTGCTCGACCTTCAAATCCCATTGCGCTGGCATGTCCACCTCGTGGTTGATTCGGCAACATCGATGAGGCATATTGCCCCATGGCATACCCCGGCATCGATTGTGGGTGCGAGTGCGCGCTCACGTACATGTTTTGCATCGATGCTTGCGTATACATGGCCCCTGTAGAGTCGTAGAACGAGTTTTCATACCCTTGACCCATTGGTTGAGATCGGGGCGTCACCATCGCATTTTGGGGCGACAGGCTATGTTGATGCTGCGTTTCCATTTGACCTGACCCCATGAAGACGGGAGACTGATGGCCGTAGGTCGCCGTAGCAGCGTAGCCACCACTCATCATCTGGCCTTGGGCTGTCGGTGTCAACGCATGTGGACTATAGTATCCTTGATCGAGAGGGTAGCCGCTGTTTTGTGAATGTACATGCATCGAAGCCGGTGACTGTCCGGCCGACGAGGTTTGGTAAGCGGATGTGGCACTGACGGGATAGGGCGAGAGGTTGCTCCCATCCACATTGTTCATCGTCCCAGGGATGGCGCCAAACGACGACGCCATCATGGGTGGTTGATCAATCGGGCTGACGATGCTGTCGGGCGAGACTTCTGCCATGCTCACCAGCTGCAGAACTGGCATCGCGATCTGTTCCATGTGCTTGCCCATGTGCACCGACAGCTTCTTGAATGTCGAGCAAACGTTGCCACAGAAGCGACACGGTTCATCCCGAGGCTTCTTGTCCGTCTCGAATCGACACCTGTCCACCATCTGCCACACTTCGCTATCCTCTTGAAAGCCGCTATTGACCGCCTTGTTCTTACTGCTGCCCGAACCCCGCTTGACTTTGGGCTCGGTCATCTTGTGCTCCCGCACCAGGTGCTGGACAAAGTTGTCTTTGCGGAAACAAATGTGATTGCATTCCTGAAGGCAACATTGCCACCACTCCAGGTGCCGGTGCCGCTCATTCTCGTGACGGACCCAGTCTGCCTTACGCTTGAACGATTTCGACTCGGCGCAATTGGGAAAGGTACAGGAGAAAGGCTGGATGTCTTCATGCACGTGCTTGGTCCAATCGGACGGTTTGTGAAACTTCTTGACCTTGAAGCAGAGATTACATTCGAATTCTGCCGGGAGTCGTGGAACTGGGGGCAATGGAATGCCCGGCGGAAACAATGCCGGCGTGACCACCCCGTCCGTGAATGTAGACTCGTCCAGCTCATCGTCGGCAGGGTTACTGATCTGAAACTGGGTCAGCGTCGTATCTGGATCCTTGGAGCTGACCCGTGGCGCGAGAGCTTTCGCCTCGCCACCTAGATCAAAGCAAAAATTGCCTGAAGGGCATTTGTGCGCCACGTGGACGGATCGAGTGTGCTTGATCTTGGTTTCAACAAGTTTTTTGTAGCGTCGAATCTGCTCTTGGCCAATCCGTTCAATCAGATATGCGTCAAGCCGAGGATTCAGTTTTCGGGCATGATCTCTGAATCCTTCAATCGTCGGCCTGATGTCTTCCGCACGGATCTCAAGATCCATCCTGATGGCTACTTCATCTGTTTCGTCCTCATCGTCGTCTGCCGGAACGTCTTCATTATCTATGACTTGGGCGGCCAGGATGGGTTCGCGCTCATGCATTGGGGACGCGAGAGTTGGAATCGGCGGTCCGCCGTGCTTGGTCAATAGATCGGCCAGTCCGAGGTTGGACGACGACTTTGCATTCTTGGTCACGTCACTCTTACTACGCTGCTTCTTCAGCGTCTGTTGTGGGCGTGTTGGCTTGGAAGCATCGTGATCTTGGGCAACCGAATTTCCACGCCCAACAGCTGCGAGCTGACCAGTCATAGCAAGCAGGGCACTGCCCGTATTGAGAGGAGGTGACTTGGGCTTGCCGAAACTCGGCATCCTCTGAGGTTTGATGCTTCCCACAGAGCTTCGGTGAGAATGTCCTCGTGGCGCCTGCTCATTGTCCTCCGCCGATGGCTCTTCTTTTATATTGCTGCTACTGCGCCGAGGAAATATACCCCGAGCCTTGTTGAAGAGACTACTCGTTCGTTCCCGGCCTTTTTTCGAAAGAGAGAGATGTCGGATCTGACTACCCTCGACGATTGAGTTGATTTCGCTCTCGCTGAGACGTCGTCGCGTTCCCCACGTGGCAGCCCTAGAGGCAGTCTCCCACTTTGCTGCATCTTCGTTGAACTTGTAGGCGGCTGCGTTTGACGTATTGGGTTGACCTCTTGTGCTGACAATAGGACCCCGGACAGGATCTTGCCACGGGCCTCGCCTGATGAATTGAGTAGGCAGCGGCTCCTGCATTTCGGATGGGGTTTCATCATCAAGGGGAGGGAAAGCAGATTGATCAGTTGATGCTCGGCCGTCAAGAGCACGTGGCGAAAGGCGCGGTGAGCCTGCTACCCGATAATGCTCGATGGCCTGCTCGGTGTGTGCTTCGATTAACGACGACTGCACCGACACGTCGTCATAATACTCGTCGTCCGAATCAACATCAACGAGAACTCCTGGGCCGGGGATATGCTCGTCTGAGTATACAGGGCCAAGGGCATCTACACGGCCCTCCGTGGTGGGAGCTCGCAGCCTTGTCCCTTGAGATGTCCGGCGAGGAACCGTAGCTCCAGATTCATCTTCGGGTCCACTGATACCCTTGCTTGTGGCAAGCCATTCTTGAACTTCGGCGTTTTTTTCTTCGAGCTGGCGCTGCTCCTGAAGTTCTTTCACTGAGTGCACCGTTTCGTTGTTCCTTGACTGTGGTTCCAACCCGTGGCGTTGGATTGGCGTGACACGTAAATTATCCGTAGCGTTAGCATCGGGGGGCATCAGATGTGATGGAGACACTTCAACATCCTCTGTCCCTGCTCCATCAGGACCAGCTTCGTCATCGTCATCATCAGAAGATTCACTCTCGCGACCGCGCTTGGCAGATGTAGGTAAGAGGTTCTGTTGAGTCTCAGACTTCTCGCCGGAAGCTTCATAATCGGATACCATGACCACGGGACTGAGTGCCCGTATGTGTGACGTGGGCTGCCAGGCGTTCACTTTGTTATTAGGAGAAGGGGTGTGGTTTGAGGTCGTATCCACTTTGAGGGTTTGAGAAATTCCTCTCTTGTGGGGAGCGCTCAAACGGTCCATTGATTGATTTTGTTGCTGGCTGGCAGTTTGAGTGTGAGGAGGAAAAGGAAGGGGTGACCGAACTGAGGAGTTCCTGGAACTCCTTAGCTCTTCTCCAGAGACGAATTTCGGCAGCGGCTCCTCGGCGTGTTGAAAGTAACTTTGGAGATCTGAGCTCGCTGTCACTTCCTGCACGGCCTCAAAATCGTTCAACCCGTAAGAATCAACTATGTGAAGTTGTGTGGGGTCCTGCGACAAGAACTGTTGCTCCCAAATTTGTTCTTGCGGAGTAGTATGTTCGCTTAGAGGGTTTTCAGAAGATGCTTCTGTTGTCAAGAAATCGTCAAAGGAGGACTCGCGGTAAGAAGTATCTTCGTCAAGGTTGTAAATGTCAGCGGAAGGTGGCAGGGACCCAGGACTCGACACCGCGGGGAGATTGTACTGGGTATTAACCGGCCAGAATTCCGGGTCGCTACCCACTTCCTGTATCACTTGTGAAGGGTTTGACGTTATACTCGCATTATGGTGATGACTCCTGGACATAGAAGCATTCGCTCTGTGTTGCTGAGGTTGTACCTGCCGCGGTCGGTGGAACGCTGGAGTCGCCAGTAGCGGAGATTGCTGTCCGGGCCTTTGGACACTGTAAGGGTTCGGGTAGGAGTGCGACATTTCGTCGTGAATTTGCAGCGGGCGATAAAGAGATCAAGATGTGTCCCTCCTATTGTGCTCGGTTCGCAAGTGGGGAAGATTTGATAGGGCCAGGGTGATCAGGGCGTCGGAGGCATGGTAGGCGGACGGTCCGCCTGTTGTGAGGCTGTGAAGGATATCGTGATGTACCGCAAGGATGGAATATGCAGAAGGGTTCGACCCAGGAGGGCGATCCAAAAGGTCTCAAGATGAAGTTGCTCCGGTCGGAGAGTAGAAGATGAGCCGCAGCAGACTGCGCCTGCCGTCGATCTCGGTGCTGCTGTGGATATACGGCTCTGTTACAGGCGCCACGGTATGTCGAGAGGAGGGTAATAGAGGAGAGTGAGTCGAAATCAAGGATACACTAGATAGAAGAGGGAAATCCTCGAGAAGGACACGGGGGATCTGTGGCACCCACTCCTCGTGTCTCCTGATGTGGTCGGACGGAATCTTGAGAGATGTGACTGGTTGCGCAGAGCGAGGGTGGACAGGGCTGTGGGAAGAGGCTCGAAGAGTAGCCACCAGCAAGAAGCAACGAGGGATAGCGCTGGGGGCAGGCAGATCGAGGGGCAGACTTTCGAGCTTCTGTGTGAGCAGTGGTTCGCGACCCAAGCATCGACTACTCCAGGAAGGAGACAGCCTGATGAGTACAATCGGAAGTCGGCCGGTGCCAAAGGCGCGCTGGCGCGTGGTGGGATGAGGGACTTGGGACCCAGGGGAGGTTCCAAAGCAGAGTAGTCGAAGGAGGCTTTGACCAAAAGTCAAGCAGATGAGAGCAATTGAGGAACGTTGGTGGTGACGGTTGGTTGTAGAGCGAGCGATGGTGGTGGAGGTGTTTTCTTGTCTCGCGCAGGCGGAGGAGTAAGGTGGAGATGGAGATGCAAAGCCCACCAGGGCCTTCCCTGGATGGACGGCGAGCAGTGAGCACAGCCATGGATGGTCGGCTGTTGGAGGTTTGGATGCACGGGTGGCACTACTTTTTCAGCTGCCGCATTAGAGGTGTCGAGGCGCCCAGGGTTGATTCGACGAAAGCCCAGTGAGCCCAATCGAACGGGCATGGTTTGCTGCAAGGACCCACGATATCGTTCCACACAAGACCCTGACAAGCCACAAGCCGGTCCCCCAAGCTGGTCTCCCAAGCCGGTGAGCTCAGTAGTCGTGGCAGCCGTTGAGCAATTGACTCCGTCCCGACCACGAGTTTTGTTCATGCTGCCGCCGCGTGATAAGGGCGACCCGGAGCGGTTATCATATCATACACTGGCTCAGACGCTCATCCCAACCCCAACCCCGAATCGAAGAGCAAACGGGAAAAGTAGCTGGAGAGATATGACGATATCGAGTATACAAGTAGGTACCTATGATGCAAGGAACCATCCACCAGGCCACACTCTCTCGCTACCTGGGCCACCTGCAAAGCTTCAGGCACCATGGAGCCCCAAGGACCCAGCAGCCAACAGCCCGCAGCCCGCAGCCCGCAGCCCAGCACAGCCCGGAATCAGCCTTACGAGCCCACAAACCAGTGAGCAGCCAGCACTGCCCTTTGGTCTTCGCTACCGGGATCATTAGAGTCGATCTCACTAGCCCGGGGCAGAATCATGGGCAGACACTCCTCCCTTTTCCCCTGCAACTTGTCCAATCGCTGACAACCCCTCTCCAAGCTGCTACTCATGCGTCCTTCAAGCATCGCGCATTCGGTGGGCCTCACGCAGGGGTGACCGCAAAAGAACCACAATCCGCTTCGGGCCATATTCACCACCGAGTAACACATGTAGCGGCTAGTTTTGTACAAGGCCTCAATTGTACAATGACTCCTGCTTCACCCGTGTCCTTCATTGCCTGCCATCAGCTCCTGACGCCTTGCAATGACCAGGGGCGAGTCATGACACAGTGCAGTCCCCTGAAGGTAGATGCAACCTGCCATCGGTGGACTCGTCCGTACCCCAGAGTCCCGCCAGTTGTCGTCGTCGACAGTCCTGACTCCTTCCCTGAAGATATGCGGTCGGATCCAAAGAGTGACATCACTTGGACTCGATGTTCCCACCATCTGGAGCAGTCTTGGAGGCATGCTGGATCGGATAGCCGTCCATTCGACCCGCACTTGTCGCCAGAGCTGAACTGCTGCTTTGGCAATGGACCGGATGGCTTTTATTAACACTGGCACGCGCTCGGCCAGTGTCATAGATTGTATCTTGTCGACGATCTCCTTGCTGACAGAGGTGGCAACTGTACTCGCCGCCTTGCGACCATAGGAACCGGAATAGAGGGCCCGCATTGAGATTGCTCTCCATATTGCTTCGCGATGCACGCTCTTCGCACTGATCATTTCCGATACCGTTGACAAGCACATCTGCATGGCGGAGCCGTCGTACTCATCATACGATGCTGTGAACAAGAATGGCTGAAATATCCTCTGATGTAGCACGGTGAATATCTGATTCTGAATGAGAAGGGAACGGAGGCCCCGAGCTGGCGTCGTCATGCCTGCAATATCAGGAAGGTTGCTCAATTGAACCACTCGCGCCAGAGCATCATTCAAGTACGGCTGGTCCTGAAAGAATTGCTCCGAGACTTTTTCCACCGACAACGCTAGCGACTCGAAAGCACTCACACTACATTTACGTGTCAGCGGCGTGCGCCCGAAGTAGACCTGTAGAAGAATGAGAACGGTGTTTTGCAGGGCTGTCATAGACCACACTCACAAGAATTCGTCACTCTTTCCTCTCCCAGCACCTATGTGGCCAAGGCTTCGCAGAATGCGCTCCATCCGCTCACTTTCTCGTTGCCATTGAGCCTGCTTGTCTCTCAAACTGATCATGGATTCCGCCAACTCTGCATGGTGCTGACTGGTCATTTCATGTGTGGTTTGGAGCACCTGCTGGGCTTGCTGCGCCGTCGCCAGTTCAGTCCTCAAGCTGTCATTGGCGTTGCGCTCCTGTTCGAGGTCTTCCTTAAGCTCATCGACTGTAGATCGGAAGGTATTCACCTCACCCTGAAGTTGCGCCTCGCGTTGCTTATGCTTGGTGATCGTCTCTGATAATCGTCCTTCGGCTGCTTTTCGCAACTGTCCAATCTCCTTTTGATGTCCTTCCCGCATTGCGGTGATTTCGTCTTTGTGTTTTCCCATAGCCTGAGCCAGCTTCTGTGACAAGGCCGCAATCTCTTGCTTATGCTGCTCTGCCATCTCCTGCGCCGCTTTACTCCTCACTTCCATTTCATTTCTGTGAAACTGCGAAGAGTCAGCTAGCTCTTTGGATTTGACAGCCAAAGAATGTTCGTGCTCGGAGATGATTGCGCGCGCAGACTCCAGATCTCTCCGTTGCTGTGAATGCTTGGTTATCATCCCTGCCAAATCAAGCTGAAGTTTTGAAAGGCCGGCTTTGTGTTCATTCAGTAACTTGGCATGAACATCCTCTCTTTCTGCCGTTTGCCTTTCGTGTGCTTGCGTCAAGTCTGCCTGTGAGCGTTCATACTGAGTTCGTTCGTCATCAAGCTGCTCTTTGAGCGCTTCCAGCCGGTCCTCCAGGTCAACCTTTTCTGCAGTCAGGTGCTCATTCAAAGCCCGACTGTTCTCGACCTCATTCTCCAAGGACTCGCATTTCCTTGTGAGATTCGTATTTTCCTCATTTGCTCTAGCCAACTCCTGAGATGAAGCCTCAAGGAGCAAGATCCTCTCAGCCTGTTCCGTGATCTCACTCTTCAGTTTCAGATTTTCGCGCGCCTGCTCCCCTATGATGCGTTCGTATTCTTCCTTGGAAGCGCTCAGTTCAATTCTCAGCTTCGCAATTTCTTCATTGTGCTGTGATTCTGCTTGTTTTACGAGAAGATCTTTTTCGGATAGAAGCCCTTGACTTTCTTGATAGTAGTGCAGCAAGCGGTTGATGTCAGGCAGAACGCTGGAGACTTTCTCAAGCAGTTTTGTCCGCTCGTCATCAGGTCCTGCAGATCCAGATCGAGACATAGTATCAGGATGTAGGAACGGCACAGGAGGGGAAGTGAAAGGTGGCGGATAGAATGCGAGTTGCAAATTAGGGTTAGCTATCAGCGGATGAGGATAGGGGTATGGAAAGGGTGGTGGGAATGGAACACCCTGTGGTGGCGGACTACCGGCAGGATGCTGGAGAAAGGGTGACAGTGGGGGTGATGCTAAGGGCGAGCGACCGTGGGCCGGGTACGCATGAGGATAGGTTCCCTCAGCTGTCAACGTAGGGCTCGGCACGAAAGGCATATCTCCCTCTGCCGACTCCGCGAGATGGTGGCCAAACGCAGGTTGTATGAAAACTACCGGGCCCTGCGGAGTCGGGGCGACCAGTGGGTCATGAGGATATGATACTGGCGTTATGCCCATCGGCGCAGTTGTGGTTTCGTGTAAAGACGATTTTGACGTTCTTGGGGATGCGAGGGCTGTGTCCTCGCGCAGTGACGACTTCGACCCCTTTGTCGATGGCTCTACAACGTCAATAGGGTAGGGAGATGACATGGACATATTGGGGGACGATGATGTATTCGGGGGAGGAATGATATCCTGAGGCTCTTCGGAAACTGTTGGCTGCATCGACGCAAGAGATCTCGTCGACTGGCTTTTTGGACCAAGACCTTGTAAAGTTTGCAGAAACTCCGTATTCCTTGTGAAAGATCCAACAAGCTCTCCTGCCTCTGGGACAGCGGTCATCGGGGGTTTCGTAGGTGATAGAGGACGTGCATGTGCTATAGATGTATCCGATCCGTCGTGGGTTTCTTGAATAATATGTGGTTTCGCCTTAGTCGGCGAAATCGGGGTACGAACCGCGTCATCCTCCATCCTCGACGAGATACTCTTGTCGGATCTCAAGGAGACGGTTGAATGTCTAGATGAAGCCACCAGGGGATCCGACCACTTTGAGTCGAGCGTCCTTTGGCGGTGGAAATATATAGCCGGCGAGTTTGAGCGGCTGTTTCTTGGGATAGAGACCTCATCAAGCGTCCTCGACAGGGTCTTGGATAGTTTTGCAGACGCCGAACTTGAGGCCCGGCTTCGAGTCTGCTTCTCTGAAGTATCGCTGAAGCTCCCAGGCCTGCCTCGAGGCCTAGCATTTGTCTGATATGCCGACGTCGACATTGTGCTGAAATGAGAGAATAAATAGGAAAATAACAGAGGCTTTTACGGTCACCCTATTTCAGGAAGCGAGTCCAAAAGTACCCATGACCTAAAATTCTTTTCTCTCTCTTCCAGATGTTCAGGGCGTCCAGTGATGTACAGACAACAAATACTGGTACATTATTGATACAAGAACGGAAAGAGCCGTCAACGAAAGTCTAGGGAAATGAAACTCAGAAGATCACGGCAAAGGAAAAGGTCATTTGAGTCATAAACACTTAGCTATGGCAAGAAAGGTCGGCATCATGGGCAGTGCTCGTCCCAAGACTGGGCGGCAACGGTTGCAGGATGTGAGCTTGCTGCCCGACCAAAGTGACGACAGTCAGTCAGAAGCACTCCACATAATCAACAGGACTGCATGAACCAAAGTGCCCTGCCTACTGGACGCGGAGCGTTGATAGGATGCTGGACTGCTGAAGTGAACATCGTGTCAGGGTACGATTGGTGTGGGAAGTGGGAGGATGTTGAGATTGGATGTGCGAGGGCCGGATAAATGGACGGGCCGAGCTTTCTTGGCGTCATGGTAGCTTGGGCGTATAACCGCAGTTTGATGGCGGATTGAGCATGAAGTAAAGTACATTGCAGAACTGTTCCTCGTGACCCCTTTTCTGTTGCTGCAGCATACACAATCATGTCTTTTGTCTCTCGAGGGGCGAGAGCTGCAGCTCGTCCCTTGAGGCGTGCAATCCAACAACATCCGCAACGCAGATTTGCTGGACACGAAGCTGGCCACGGCCACGGAGATGCACATCATCATTCTTCTGGGGAGAGCGCTCTCCACGTCGCAGGTGGATCGGGAAATGAAGGATTTGGCGTGAGCAGGAAATCCCCTACAGGAATGCGAAGGGGCCATTGCAAAGACTGACACTTCCCACGGGGGAACAGAGGGGCTTCTACATTGCTATTGGCTCCGTACCTTTCGCAATACTCGTCTACTCGATCGCCAGCTCTCCCGGAGACAATGCTCTCACCCGCCTTGTGCGGGAATATGATGCCGGCAAAGAGGTGTTGTTGAGAAAGGATGCGATACACACGACCATGATGGAACAGGCCGCGGCTGACAGGCAATTGTTTGCTGCAACGCCGACTGATCCTGCGGGACCTCCTCTTCGAAACCCAGAGTATGTTGACCTGTTCGCATCCAGACCCCGTATACGTATCAATGTCACTGACCGGGGTTTCTAGGTCTTTCAACTTCGGCTCACCCTGGAACGTGTCTGCTGGACAAGGCACCGCAGATCTCTCTGCGTTGGCAAAGTACTATGAGGGAAGGCACAAAGAGGTGGAACAAGAGAGGGTAGAGAGGCTCAAGAAACAAAAGGGCTCAGTTTACGACTTGTAGGCACCCGGGATTACTAGAGAGGTTTTGGCCGTGGCATTGTATATAGGGAAATGACCTACTCGAGCCTGACGTGGCTGTTTCAAGTCCCATGGGCATACAAGAGTGACCGATGAAAACATCATCATTTGACTGTTCTCTTTTGTCTTTACACTGACTGCGAGTTTCTGTCTGCGCTTCTACAGATATGTTTTTGATTCAAGCTTTCCATGGGAGCTCATCCTTGAGCAACCGTCAGAAGCCCTTCAGAGATTCTGTTTCGGCGCTTGGGTTTGGCTAGGCTCCCCAATGAGAGTCAGAAACGATTGATGCACCTCTTCGGTCAGATCGCTCGCCTGCAGACTCCTCTGGTTCTTCACGAAAGCTCTCCGCGAACACTCTCTCGTGATGGCGCTTCCGCCAAAGGCCGCTAACAAGAGCGTTTCCTCTCGGCTCATCTCGTCGCCAATGTCCCAGAGCTTCTCATGATAAGCTTCTCGCCATGCAAGCAACGTCCCTAATGAGCCCGTCAAGGTATCACCCTGTCCACCAGACCGCTTCAGGCCACCCTGGAACTCGGAGACAGTGGTATCAATTCCTTGTGATATGTAGTCGACTGGGCCCTTCTGAATAATGCAGACCCCTCCGAGTATCTTTGAAAGTTCCTGGCATGCCTTCTCTGGATCGCGAGTGTTCTGATCCATCCCCACCGACTTCGCCAGGCGGCCAAACTCGACTACATTGGGAGTAAGAATGCATTCCTTATGTCCTCTGATCAAGTCCGGATCCGTCTGAACTAACAGGAGGGCATCCGCATCTAGCACCATAGGAACAGGGGGGTTATGCTTCCTGGCTGCGGCAATGACAGCCTTGACCTGCCTTTGCGTCACGACATCTCTTCCCAGACCGGGCCCAATAACCAGCACATGCAACCTAGGCAACATATCTAAGATTGGTTTGGCGAGCTCTTCTCCCGAAGGATCCTGCTCTTTCTGTGCCTGAGATATGGACGCCGTCGACCGGAGGATCGGGGAGACCATCAGATTGGGCGAGTACGACTTGATCGTCGGGGCCGCCGAAGGTTCGCAGAAGACGTAGGACATGTCACAGCCCAGCCGTGCAGAGGCCATGGCGGAGAAGTATGGTGCACCCGTGTAGTCCGCACTGCCGCCGATGACGGCAACGCGACCAAGCTGGCCTTTGTGGAATCGCTCCAGCATCGGAGGCACCAGCTTGTGGACTTTGCCCAGCATTGCACGCGCCGCGGCGGACATGTTGATCGCGGAGGTGCTGGGATCTTCCGAATTCGGACTCATCTGGTAAGAGGGATGTTACGAGGGAGATGGGACTGGATGGCGCTTGAATCTGCTTCGAAGATATGCGAAAGCAGATGGATGGATCTCGTTGCCCAGCGTCGCAGGCGGAAGGGGTTATGGCAACCGAGTGAATTCAACTGCGATGAATTAATCGCATGTTTTCGCAATTGCCAGATGGAGTGATGTCACGCAAAGCACATGCGTCACGATCAATGAGGGACGGATGCAGCCTCCGAAGCGAGCAATGGACCTGGCCAGGTTTGCTAATTCTTGTTTCTATGCCCACGAGGTCAATGGCCCAAGGAGCAGGGACTACTTGTTAAAATCCCCTTGCTGGGGACGTACTCGAGGAGTAGACAAGAAACTGCCTGCCTGCGTGGCGTGTACGGAACTAACTGGTGGGCTTCGGAGTAAACACTACCGAGGCTTTAAGCTCCGTGGTCAGCCTCGTCCTGTTGCGATCAGGATCTCCTCAGAAAACGGTTGTAAATCATTCCAATACGCATATCTACATGTTTTCTGGTCCAGATCTATATTGCGTGAATAATAATGGCCTCCTTGTCTGTCTGGCACGGCTCCTCTCCGTCACTTCTTGTCCTTCAAGGCGCGCCTTGCTCGTGTCAAGCTGCTCCAGCTACCTCAATGTAATGGCTCGCAAGGCTCACAATCTGTTCCTCAAAATCCTTAAACTTGATGCCTAAAGCCTCTTCGGTCTTGCTTGCGTCAAATGGCATGGGCAATGAAGACTGGCTGCCACCGAGAGGGATCACGCCTTTCTCCACAGCCGCGGTGAAATGCGTCTTGACAATGTCGATGGCATCGTCCCACTTGACGCCGTTCACGTCGTAGTTGACCCCAAAGTTGTGGTTTCCTTGGACCTTAGGATCTAATGAGGCAATATGCACATAGGCAACGTCGTCAACGTGACATGTGGCTCCCGGCATTCCATTCGGATTGTGCATTCCCAAAAGCGGAACGAGCGCAATGGCATTCGAGCCAGCGTTGACGGCGGCTGGAGTGGTCGCAAGCTCGTTCTTGCCAATGACAAAGGTAGGCATGATGTTGATCACAGAGAAATGGGGATTGTCTTGGCTGATGAAATCTCGGGTGCGGTTATAGGCGAGTTTCTTGCTGGCCACGTAGGCTGCGAAGGTGTGAGGATATGGTCCCTCGGGATCTGGCTCGACGTTATCGGCCGTGTACACTCGCGAGTCTGGAGGTGACACCGCCGCCACGGAGGAGGTGATGACGACTCGTTTGATCGCTGGCTCTTTCAGAGCCGACCGGAGAATGCTCAGCGTACCCCTGATGGCAGGTTGAATGATGTTGGCCTCGTCGTCGTCGGAAGGTCGCGCCAGAGGTGATGCAAGGTGGACAATGTAGTCCACTCCCTTGACAGCCTCGTCAAAAGCACCGTCCTTCTCGATGTTGGGCACAATGACGAACGAAAGTTGCCCAAGGTATGGTTGTGTGGACTTAGCAGCCTTGATCTCAGCAACTTTGCTTTCAGAGCGAACCGCAGCCCGAACTCTGTAGCCTTTGGAAAGTGCCTCGACCAGGGTACGATAACCAATATGGCCTGAGCTCCCGGTCAGAAGTATGAGTTCGGCAGCCATCTGGGCAATTCTGTCTCTGGAAACAACGTGGTAACAAAGAATTGAGGATGGCAGTATCGAGTTGTCTTGAGTCTGTCTTTAGAGGCGACTTGAGATTTCAAGGAAGAATTCAGAGCACACATTGTCAGTCCTTTATAGTGTGACCAGTGGTCAGCATAGACCCTGGCCTCAACTCTTCGATAGTCACTAATATCTCCGATGTATCCAAAAACGGTGCACGCAAGCAATTCCCCCATGGACAAGCTGCATTGAGTAATCATCATATTTGTCGAGGTTCTAGGGTCTTCGTTGCGTGTTTTGCGAGTCTGCGGCCAGGAGAAAGCGCTGAGTTAGGATAGGTGACCCGATGCCCAGCCAATGGTCCAGCCAGCAGTCGGCAAAGCAGGAGAATAGCGACGGATCTCAAATTGATCTTGGCCTTCGCCTTCGCCTGGGCTGGCTGTGGATTGATGCATATTGATGATCCGTTTTACCTGTTTGCGGCCGGAAGAGGCTCGACGCCAGCTTCAATGTTTACTCATCACGGACGAGGAGGGAGCTGCTGGTTAATACCGGGAAGGCTGCGACGAATGGCAAGCACAGATTCTTTGAGATGTTTGATGGCAGCGTTTTGTCAGCACCAAGCAAGATCCCAACTCACGCACAATCCCTCACCTCGTACTCGGTACTCTTCACCATTCTCCCAGTTTGCTGCGGTAGATGAATCAGCCACCTCCGGCTCAAAAGTCAGTGACCTGTGTGCGGAGCAGATCAGCCAATCAGCGCTTACGTTTACCAAACCGCAGTTGATTTATCGGAGGCCCCCCCAAGCTCATGTCTCGCTGTCATTCACCCACGACCCCACGACTGCCACCACTTTCGCCTGCAAATCGCTGACCTTTCGCCTTCGCCTTTGCGAGCTTCTCACATCATTGATTGGCCCCTTCGTCTTTTCGGAATACTCAACAAACAAGGTACAAGGTGCCGAGGGACTCGCTTGTTCCCGTCGCTGGGGCCACAGCCACTGAAAGGGTTTCCTCCGTGCTTTTCTGACGACACGCCTCCCTCCGGGTTCTCTATTACGTCTGTCGATCACGATGATTCAGCAATGGGAGATAGCACGGCTGAGGGCTTTTCACGCAGCCCATTTCTCCAGTCAATTGATCCCAGACCTGATTAGTTGTCCACAAGACCCTGTCGGCCAGACCGAGTCCAGCCACGATGTCGACATGGGCGATGGTAACCACGACGACGGTGATCTCGGTTATTATGAGGATGGCGTCAAAAGGACGTTAACAGATGAACAGATCAAGATGTTCCGCCATTCCGAAATCCAGCGACTGCTGAGTGAGAGAAAGATAGCCAGGGCAAAGGAAGAGGCGAAAATGAAGACGAAAGAAAGCAGCGGCAGCAGCAACAACAACAACAACGGCCGTGAACCGAGGAAACGGCGATTCGAAGACGAGCCATCAACGACCCATCTGAACGTCGACACTTTGATGTACGATGAAAGCCCAGATGCACAGGCAGCATCAGCATCAGTGGAAAAGAAATTCTTGTGGCCAATCCTTGGACAGGATTCAAAGTGACACCTTCCAGTGTCATGCTCTCTTCTTTCCTCAATGCTCGTGGTATACCCCTAGGAGGGCAACGAAGCTCCACATAATAGGTCAGAATGACAAATGTGGAACAGAACTGGGTAAGTAAACAATGCTTTTGATCTATTCATACCATAGGTGATGAGCTTTGTATCATCCTTAGTCTGAGGTGGGTATCGGAAGCAGTCTCGGCCTTGCTTGATGATCGCTTTCGATATTGAAGCCCACTTTTGCTGAATCAATCTTCTCTCTGATCGTGGTTTCCCGTGCGGCAAGGTTCATGAATACAATCTCAGACCACCACTAATTGTCCCACTACAGAATGCCTTCTTATTCTTTGCAACGACAAACCCTCTTGGGCGACTGAGAAATCGTGCCATCAAGCTCGGGAGGTGCTTTGCGCTTGTGGTCTTTGCTGCTGTTGCCAGAGTCCCTGCATTCCGTTTGTTCCTCCGGTTCATGTGACTGCTCTGGCCCAATCAACCCCGGGCCATCGCTTGTTTGGGTTTCGAAGGACACGGTTAGCTGTGAAGTAGCATCAAGGACCTGTCTGCCGATCGGCGATGGGACAATGCCGAGGAGGTCTTGCTCCATTGAAGCTGCACGGTTGGGTGGCATGTTTTCTTCTGACTCTTCGCTGCTTATGTTGTCGTTGTTGCCATTACTGTCGAGGTGCTCAGGCCGGGGGGCGTCACCAGCGTCGGCGCCGCTTGGCTCAACTGAAGTACCTCTCGAGCACACTGTGGACAACTGTTAATCTCAAGAGCCAAAAGAATGGACAAACTTGCACTCACCACGGGACCAGTCCTCCTGATGGTTGCGGTCATTGGCTGTTGGAGACTGGGGAGAGTCCTCCCAATCTCCGTCACTCGCATTCGTTGGGTGGTCGGTCATGGCGGGCGCCGCAGAAGGTGTATAAGAAAGAGATGTCTATTTGCTGCGAACCTGAAAGTCTGAAGGAAGCCCTCCTGCGGATGGCCTACCCATCTTATATGCCATCCAAGAACGAAAGCTTAATTTACCCAGGTCTTCCAACCTCTCTCTTCGAACAAGAACCCGCCGGAAGGATTTTGAAAACGAACCAACAATTTCCCTTCATTTGATGATTGTGCACACCGCTACACTGCGACATGATAAGAGGTGGCCGGGTCACACTGATGAGCAGGGAGAAAATGGCAGCAGGGCTTGGTGTTTCAGGGGCTCGGCTCGCGCTACTGCATCTTCCGCCGCCTCACATGCAAGGGTCAATCACAACGAGTCAGAAGTGATCTGCTGGGCTACTTGCACCATGGCCTCTGTTAAAATGAAGACATTCGGGTCAGAGACCAGCTTCTCGGGCATCCAAGGATCCATTTTGTCGTTCACACTACCAGCGGACCTTGATGAGGCTGGAATTACGTCCCGCATCTTGTGGAGACCAGAGCGGACGGCTCCATACCTCACAGCAGGTTTGTGGTCTACCACCTCAGCCTTTCGCTTGCAACCATCTTCGGCATCAAGCGGTCCTTCGAATATCTCCAGGTCGCTGGATGCGACAGAGTTCCAGGGACACGTGTCATCCCCGGCTGAGCTGCAAGAAACCGCATCCCCGATCAAATAAGAAATCTGCAAGAGGAGGCATGCCGCATACGGAACGACTGGAGGAACCACTTCGTCGCCTTTTTCTGTCAAGGATGTAATGCTCTCTGCGTTGTTCTTCCACGCCACCTAGGCGTACTAGCGCAACATTCTCCCCGAGAACCTAGCTAGGCCCGTTGGTAGACTTTTTGAGACTTTTGTGATGAAAATGGTGGGTTCGACGCTTTCCTTTCGTCAGGGGTGATGGGTGACGGCCCCATCGGTAAGGACGCCGTGGCTTTGCTCCCCTCGACAACCCAGGGTTCCTTCGGATGATCGAGAATATTCCACGCCGAATTACTGTAAGGCTCCAAGCAGGATCTTCTTGCGATGTTGCTGTGGTTGCGGAATAGGTTACTGTGTGGCTAAGCGGTCGGGGCTGGCTTTGGCCATGGCCTCAACGGGTCATGCGCCACGACCTCGTTTTCATCATGAAATACGACATCGTTGCTATGTCAGTTGAGTCCTGGATGGGCCATGGCGGCATCACATTACCCTGGCTCTCGGCATTGAAAGGGTCAGAGGCGGTGAATGGGACGATTAACGAATGCGGCCCACGGCCAGCGCAACAAAGGGCGACCGGGAGCCTGTGAGCATAGAAGCATCCCTTGAGAACCGGTGTGCAGCCGTTCGCTGCTAGTCCAACACCCTTCAATCCGCGTCATCACCAAGCGACGGCGGGACGGTCCGTGGGCATCACTAAATCTATCTCTCTCTCTCTCTCGGCTCGATAAGGAAGCATGACAAGACGCGGAAGAATGCGACACGTTAGCTTTATGGAAGGAAATGTGGTGATCATAACCATCACCAATTGGTATTCTTGGGCCCTAGATGGCTCTTCTGGCTCTATCCTATGTACCCGCATCGCTGTCGTCTGGTGCATGGTTTCTGAGTAATGGTGGTCTCTTCCTCTTCGCAAAAACGAACTGTGGATATTGCGCAGACGCCGACCCAGGGGAATGCATAGCGAGTCATTGCTGGGCCAAAGGGGTTGTTTCCCACAGCACAGACCGCTTAAAGCCTTCGCTGCCTGCGTTGCTAGGGATAGCAGCAGGCCTCGTCTGCATATCACACTGATCTCCTGCCGGTGGAAATTTGGCAGAGCTCGCTGCTTCGAGGGCGGCTGTTCCCTTGCGGACCGACACGAGGAGGACCTCACACTGGATGGTATTTTTCCGTGCCCTGTCACTGCTCGTGGAACTCTGGGTCGCGCCAACCTTCCCAGGTATCTCCCGCTTTGTTTTTCAACCTCCCTCCAACGACCCTCACAGCCGCCTAGCGCAGCGCCCGCAGCGCCCGAGGCCATCGGGATTGCATGGCCCATGTCCCGCCACGCAGTAGGCAAGGACTCTTCTTCGAATCTCTGTGCCGGGCTGAGGCAGACTGCGACATAGCCCTGCTCGTTGTCGACTTCCCGCATCCCCGAAACCGAAGACTTTTCCTCCCGCGACCTAGGGGCAAGTGCTTCGTTCCCAAGTCCCATGGCCGCGGAAGGACAACGACCGCCTTTTGGGCAGGCAAACACCCCCTGGAGACACATCAGAATGTCTAGCTGCTTCCCTCGGACTATCCACGACTTGAGAAGTCAGGAACTAGAGCCCCCCCCCAGCTGAGTCTCGTGTCCTTGAGGTGTTTCCCCTTCGCTTGATGCGTGATTCCAAGTCGCAGATTCTTACAATGGTCTTGAAAATAGTTACAGAACCTCCTTGCCTTTGACTACGAGAATCGCCGTATGCTTTGAACTCTGGAGGCATCCAATCTATCCTCTTTCGAAGTCTGATCTACCCCTTTCCTACCACAAGGATATTGCATCTTGGAGCAGAGTCTGCAGACTCCACCTTTCCTAGTGTTCACTTCACTCTAAGGCTTATTTGCACCGTTGCCGCCATCCTGCCACAACTGAACAAAAAAAATGCACATGATGCTACAAGATCGAACCCCCTATCAAGATTTGAAATCCTGTGTAATACCCAGAAAAAAGAAGGATAAAAAAGGTAGATAAGGAGGATAGGATTGATCTCACACCGGATCCCGGATTCGAACCAGGGGCGACTGTGTTTCTCACATCAAAAGTCAGAAGATCTTGAGTATGAGAGACAGTTATGTTGTTGATTTTGGGGGTTTGAATTGTGGTTAAAGAATGTGGGAGTTCTGCCCGTATACCCAGTTTCGGGATGGGGTTTGTTGTTGTTGTTGTTGTCAAACTGGTGGTTTTCAGAACTTCACTGAACCAGCACACCTTTGTCCTTGTCCTTGTCTCTGGGGGACTTCGGTGCTCCACTGCCTCTTCATGCATGGTTCCGAAGATGCTCGAAATCATGAGGTCGATGAGGGTAAGCATTCTTCCGCAGTTTACACAGCAGGTCGGTCTCCAAGATAACACGTTCAGCTGATCCAATCCTACGAGGCTACGACTACACTACACTATTAACTGGGAACGCACCCTCCCTGCAGCTGGGAGAGACAACTAATTTATCCAGCGAACGATGATGTCCTCTGCCTTCTTGTCTGTGCCAATTCACAACAAATCGATCACCATCTCTCTCAATTTCCCACTCGAATGTGAACACTTTCGAAATCTCAAATCAACATACTGAGGAAGGCGTCGGGCAAAAGAGCATGGAATCAGTCGCTGAGGACTTTTATTCAGAAACAAACCTCACCACGTAACTGCGGTGCTTTGTGGACGGTCAAAACACCAGTGACTTTGCTGGCATGGGATATCTACAGTCCCGACAAACGTATACGAAACCATGGACCCTCCCTTTCCTGGAGATGACAAGGCTGTAATTCCAGACCAGCCGCTCCTTTTTTTGATACAGACTTCGAGCTAGTCTCCCCAAGGAGCTAACTCCACAGCCCCATATGCACTAAATCCATGGCTCTCTAGGATAGGATCCGTGGTGTCCAGCCGTGACAGCTGCATGCCTAATTAGAGGATTTGCTGTCCGACTGAGCGGCCTCGGGAAAGCAGTCTCAGGAGCAAGGGTTAGTCCACAGCCGAGGCAACAGCTCGTGCGCTCTGAGACGTGCGTATCCTCTGCACCAGGGGCTGGAAAACTGCTCGCGTGGCTTTCACAGAAGCATTCATCTCTCAATGGGCCAAACCCACTTTCTTCTGCATCCAGAGTCGAGACCAGGGCCCAGGCTTCGCGCCCAGAATGCCGCGGATGCATGCGCTCCCCTAGAAAGGACCTCCAAATCAACAACCTCAGGAATGGCAAGTTTCGTCAGATATTGGGCATCCAACACGTCAATTTCAGCGAATGAGTGAATTCGGGCCTTCCTTTCTTGTGATAGGCATTAGCATTGTGGGCCACTAACAACGAAACAAAGTGCACGCTCAAAAGCACGGCGAGATTCAGGGCTCTTCAGCATCGAATTATTGACAATGTCGAAGACCGAGGTGATGTGGCCCCCCTTCATTCCTGTCTCCTTGACTCGTTTCACCGTGTGCGTGTGTGTTTGTTTGTTTGTTGTCTTGCTTGGTTTGTTGGGCGGTTCAATCGACATCTGAATGCCGCCTGAAAGGGCATTGGACGCAAAAAGTCATGCAAGGCTACAAGTGTTTCACACAAGGCTGAATCTTCCGCCCCAAGGGGAGGTTGGCCCTGTGCCACTTCAGGCAAGGCAGGCGAATGACTTGCAGACAACGGCTCGATACGGTAAAGCACGCAAGGCCGCTAGAGGGGGGCATCGAAATAGTCGCTCTGTCCGTAGCTCTCAGTGGCTTATCCAGCGATCTGACAAGAGAAAAAAAGGGGGCGTCAGCCGCATGCCCCCTCTACCCTTACCTTACCTTGGCCACGCTTGTTCCCTCTCCGCTCCGCTTGCCACACCACAGGTCTTGGGGAGGGCTCACGGGGTCTCGCAGGCCCCTGGGCTTTTTCGCCACAAGACTTGTCAGATCCGCGCGGCTTCGGTACCTGCAGAAGCCCACAGGTCCAGCCAGGTACCCGAGGGGGTGGATGGGCGGTTCCTGGTGCCTGGGCGGGAGCAGGAAGCGGAGCCTCGCTCGGGATGATCGGGGCTGGCCGTATGCTCCAGACTGTCATCGTGAAGCCGGATCCCCCTTTGCTGATGCCTTGGCTGGTGGCGCGAGGCTCTCTATACCTCCTTACTCACTCACCTCCCCGTTGTTTGCGGAGGGCATGTCCGTGGAACGGGGCGTCAGAGATAGGTAGTCAGTCGGCGCCTTGTCTCGACGGGGCTATTTGCTGGGAAGCCTACGTTGGTGGGTTGTCTGCTGCTGCTGCTGAGAGGAGGAGCAGGATCTGCGAGATTCGACGGCCATTGTCATCCCCTCCGTACCATCCGTGTGCTATACAAGGCATCATGCCCTTCATCATACTGCGAGTCTGCTCCTACTGCGGTTGAGACTGTTGTCGTACATGTAGCATGAGTTCATTCATGCGTTCATTCGTTCACTCATCACCATCCATCCATCCATCCATCCATCCATCCACGCTCGCTCCGAGGACGACCACGACAAGGACTCTACGACTCGACCCGTCTTACGACCGAGCATCGACAGAATCCTCCTTGTCTACCGAGTGAGTATCTCTATAGATACCAGCTCTCTAAGCGGTTTGATAGATTTTGTAGAAAAAGACTCTGGATGTTTTGCAATTGTATCCATTTCTGCATAATGTACCTCCGTCGATATCATCGACCATCAGGGAAAGTGAGGGAGGGGGAACCGACCACCACCACGAAGGTAACGAAGGGAAGAAAAGAAAAGAATTGGTAGCTAGTAATTTCAGGTTTGCCTGAGCCATAGGCCGTGGTTTTTTGGAGACAAAAGCTACAAATAGCACAGAAGTCGAGAGAGGACTGACTTTGCTGGGACGGGAAGATGCTGGCTCTGAGACAAATAGACAGATTGCGAGGACAAGTTCCAAACGGACCCCTTGCCGAGTCGGTCGGTGTCTGGCTTTTTGTGGTTTGGTTTTCCCAGTGTTTTTTTGGATCTCTTTCTTCTTCAGTGCGTGTGCTGTGGAAGGCATACATATGTCATGTTTTGTTCCGGTTGGGATGGATATTCCATAGTGAGTTTTTTGGTTCATCCACACAACACAATCCCATTTGTAGCTTGCACGAACCCATTAGCTCAGATTATGAAATTAACAGAGAAGATGATTTCTTCTGTGCAGTGCGACACCATCCTCCGCCCCATTTTCAGTGCCAGACGCGAATTATCTTCATATCCCCTGGACTTCAACACTCTACATCTATTCCTCTGCGCAAAAGTTAGTCATGACTTCTTTCGTGGTCAAAAGGGATCGGCTTAGAACTCACCTTCTTCCTCTCCAGTGGCCTTGCTGCCCAACACCCATTTCGACTTGCCGTGGACATCGGTCTCGTGCTCCAGAGCAACACGGCTAAGGTGGGAAATGATGTTCTCCATGGTGGTATCGGCGTGGCTGCGGGTAGCACGGCCGAGGTTGTCAATCCATTTCAAGCTGGTCAGAACGTAGTAGACGATAGCAACCACAATAGTGACACCAATCGAGTAGCCCCAGATGACGACCACAGTGACGATCGAAGTATCGCGGCTGTAGCTGTTCTGAGTGAAGTGGTCGGTGGGGATGGTGAAGAGTTCGTCCTTGCCACCAGCGAGCCAGCCAAAGACACAGAACAGGGTGGAGAGAACGTCGACACCAAAGATAGCTCCAACCAGCTTCCAAGATGGCCAGGTCTGTCCGCCGCGAGTGACGAAGATGAGCCAGTTCTCAACCAGTGAGACTTGAAGGAAGAGCATGAGTTGGACATTGCCGAAGTTCTGGACGAGACCACCGGAGGGTAGGTAGAAAGAACCTCGGATAATCCAGGTAGACACAGCCAGAAGGAAGCCAAGGAAGACCGAAATAACCCAGATCTTAGGCAACTGCCACTCAACAGGTCGCTGTTCGTAGTGAGCATTGTCGTAGGCGACAGCAATGGTAGCCAAATCGGCGAACAGGGCCAAGAAGACGACCAAGTCGGTTCGGATGGTCTCGTTGATGATGATCATGGAGGTGGTCAAGTACAGTTCCAAGTGCAAGCAAAGAGCGATACGGTATTGGACGTAGGCCTTCATTCTCTGGAAAATCTGACGGGCGACCTTGATGGCATCGACGATGGTGCTGAGACCAGGGGCCAAGAAAACGATATCGGCAGCGGCTTGGGCAGCTTCAGTGGCACCTTCGACAGCGATACCGCAGTCGGACTTCTTCAGCGACGGAGCATCGTTGACACCATCACCAGTCATGGCAGTCAAATGGCCACGTTGCTGCAGCATCTCGACGACCTGGTACTTGTGCTCAGGGAAGACTTCGGCGAAACCATCCGCTTTCTCGACAAGATCGTACTGGGTAGAACCGGCAACACCGCCAGCAATGAGACGCTGAGAATTGTACACCTTGGTACCAAGAGCGAGAAGCTTGCAGGTTTCCTTGGCGATGGCAATGGCGTCACCAGTCAACATCTTGACGCTGAGGCCGAGGTTTTGGGCTTCCAAGATGGTGTGGGCGGTATCTTCACGAGGGGGGTCGAACATGGGCAACATGCCAATGACTTTCCAGGGCTCATCGCCACGCTTGGAGGCAACACCAAGAGATCGGAAACCACGACGGGCAAAGTCGGCCGCAGTGTCACGGTAGTGCTTAGCAGTAGCCTCGTCGCATTCGGCAATGGACAGAACAGCTTTGGGCGCACCCTTGCAGAAAGACCATTTCTCACCCTTGAGTGTGCAGATGGTGGTAATACGCTTGGAGACAGGGTCGAAAGGTGTGAATTTCTCAGTCTTCCAGCCTTGTTGCAGAATCTCACGCGCCTTGGGGTATCTCTTGAGGGTCAAGATGGTGATCTTGTCGATGGGATCAAGAGCCTTCAGGTTGTGAGAGGAGGCAAGCGCGGCAGAGGCCATCAGCCAGTTGACATCTTCACCCTCGGCGACGTAGGGTTCACGGATGGTCAGTTGGTTGGCAGTCAAAGTACCAGTCTTATCGGAGCAGAGCACATCGACACCCTAGGGATTCGTTAGCTGCACGGAAACGCACGAATGGGTAGAAAGAGGAGCTTACAGCCAGCGACTCGATGGCAGTGAGTTTCTGCACAATAGCCTTCTGTTTGGCGAGATAAGCAGCTCCGACGGCCAGGGTGGTGGTTGTGACGACGGGCAAACCGACTGGGACACCGATGATAAGAAGGATAAGAGCGTAGTGGAGCAAGTTGACAGAGCTGCGCTCGGGTGTCGCAATGGGAATGTTGTGGAAGAAACCACCAATCCATGCAGCCAGGATGAAGAAGACGACCAAGACGAGCAGAGCAGTACCGATCGAGTCCATGACGGCCTTGAAGTGACCTTGGTCGGTAGCACCCTGGACGAGAGAGGCGGTCTTGCCGACGAAAGAGCCACGAGCAGATTCAGTGACGACAGCGTAGGCCTTGCCTCGCTTGCAACCGGTGGTGTAGTAGCAGATATCACCCATGTACTTGTCGACGGCCAGAGACTCGCCAGTGATGGCAGACTGGTCGGTAGCGACAATGGAGTGACCAATATGGTGCTCCTCGTCATCATCCGAATCGGTGTGATTTTTCGAGTGGTATTGTTCGGGATCGCTGACCATTTCCTTGTATTCCTCGAAGCCAGCCGGGTTGTCATAGTCGCAGATAAGTCGGCATTCACCGGCAACGACGGAACCTTCCTCAAGGATGAGCTAGAGAGAAATGTCAGTTGCAATTCGATCAGAAACGCGTCACAAGAAACTCACAATGTCACCAGGAACAAGTTCGCGAGCTTTGATTTCTTGCATTTGGCCGTCACGGATGACCTCAGCCTTCATGGCGATGTCACCTTTCAAGCTGGCGACAACGTCGGCAGCTTGCTTCTCTTGATACCAACCGACGATGGCGTTCAACATCAAGATACCAATGATGACACCGAAATCAATCCAGTCACGCAGACCAGCAGCGAGAAGGACAGCAAGCTCCATGACTGCAATGGCGTTAGAAATCTGGTGGTCACTGCACATGGGGGAGCAAAAGGCAGGACTGTACCGTAGAGAATGGGGCCTCTGAAGTAGCCGATGAACTTGAGAAACATGTTCTCCTTCTCCGTTGTCAACTCGTTGAAGCCAGTTTTTCTTCTTCGGTTCTCGACCTCAGCAGAGGTCAGACCTGACTTGATGTCGGTGTTGAGCCATTCCTCAGGGACCTCGTAAAGCTCGCCTGGTCCACCAGTAATGCCAAAGATTCTCTTGTAGAAGGGGACCTTCTTCTGTTTTGTGGCATCGCCGACGTCGTCGCCAGAGACTTGAGAGGGGGCTTTGGAGAAACGACGATCTCGGTAGGTGGAAATGTATCGGATGAGGTTGGCGTACTCGCCCTCATCTTTGTCGGGATCCCATCCGTCGGCGAAGGAGATTCTCTCGCGCTTCGGGTCACCGTTCTCGAGGTCCTTGTTTTCCTTTTCCGCCATGGTGGTTCACTGTATGGAGTGGAGAGGTTAGTATGCAGGAAAAGAAAACAAAGAAAGAGGAAGAAAAAAGTGACGACGACAACGAGGTCAGGCGTGAAGACCAAGCTGAAGGAAGGAGAGGAACAGAGACTGGAGCTTGCAGCGTGCAACCCCTCTTTAAAGGTAAAAGCAGTTCACAAGATGCGAGCGAAAAAGAGCAGCAGCTTCTGATGGACCGTAACTCACCTCGACAGGTCCGCACGGATGTGAGTGTTGACTGGAGGGTTTGCAGGGAACCAGGGCTCCACCAGCGATCCGTCAAGCCGTAAAGCTGCGATAGCTCGGACAAGGTCCTAGGCGTGGAACCTGGTTGGCTGCTTAAGCTTTCCCTGAGCTTGAGGTCAGCGAGCATGCCGTGTGAGCCATTTGATAAGGGAAAAGGGAAAAGGCGAGAAGACGCGGTCGGGCGGCGGTAATGAGACCTGTGTGGCCGTACCGGAAAATACGTACAGTGGAAATCTTTTTCGGCAGACAGAAATTTTGGGGGCCCGCTAGCCCAACGGAGGCCACAGACTGAGTTTGGGATTGGGTTTAGATCCTCGCTGGTGAGTGGTGACGGCCACCTAAGCCAGCCGGGGGGTTCAGGATGGAGTTACTCAAAGGCTGCAAGGGTGTGGGATCAACGAAGAGGGGAGGTTGAGATTGGTCCGGCTCGATGAGGACCTGAGAGGAACGAGAAAAAGTCGAGAAAAGGAACCAAAGCAGAAGAATCTCCGCACTTCCTTATCGCAGGGGACCTTGTCGCAGTGGCAGCGAAGCAGTGAAGCAGCAGACACACACGGGAAAGGAAGGCATGCAACAATAATTACTCCGTACTGGTGCTTGAGAGCAGCTCGACTGGAAAAGTTTTGAGCGACAATTAAGCGGGCGCCCGCCTGTAGCTGCGAATTCCGAATAGCCTACCACGGAGCCCTGGTGGGAGGCTCAACCTCTTTACCCCCCCCAAAATGTGACTTTTGTTTTTGTTCCCATTCCAACGTTGTATTGCAAAATTCCCAGGTGTGCCCCGATGATGGGCTCCGAGCGCCCCTACAAGGCCCGGAGCTTGCCCACCACCACCACCACCACCACCAGGCCATTCGTTTTACAACGCTGGGTATCTACCGTTCAGGGCTGCAACCGCTTGCTGGTTAGCACAAACGCCCCCAATGACGTGGGCCATGCAAGGAAGACGCACCAGGCGCAGTCTCTTTTGTTTCTCGACTTCCTCATTGCATCTGCTCCCACCACTCATGAGTTGAAGATTGGTTTCGCACACACTATGACTGCACCTATCACCCCAAGGCATGTAGCTGGGCAGCCACCACAACTAGTTATCTCAACTTGGTAATAGGCGAATAGCTGCCCCCCAGAATCACACATCCCCCGTCTGTTGGACAAAGCCATGTATGAGCATGAGTCAGGATTCAGGGCAGCTCGTCTCCAATTGACCAGCACGATTACCTGAGCTGATTGCAATCTCGCTCCTGCTGCTCTTCTGCTTCTGGCGGAGACGGTGGGTTATTTGATCCCACACTGACCCCCGGGGTAGAGGCTGCAGCTCTATGCCCGCCGAACTTGGGGGATGTAGACGCGTACACAAGTTTCGCAGGACTCGTACTGCTTCCATTATTGAGTTGAAGCCAGCAAAATACCACCCGAGTATGAAGCTGACTTTTGCTGGTTTCCCTGCCTGCCTGCCGCAGAGGGTGTTCTTTCGCGGGGAGACAGCGGTTGACACTTACTGGGGCTGAAGTCCTCGTCATGAGCAGCGAGGCCCTGGTGCAGTGCAATGCCTGGAACTACCACTACACATCATTGTCTATTTGGAGCGATGCCATACGAGGCACACTCATCACCTGGGTTCTGTAGGTGTGATGTTGTCTCACTTTCAATAGCCACCAGGGTCAGGGATATCAATGGTCCTCGCCTCCTAGTTGGGATCGTCCGCCCTGGAATTTTATTTTTCTCTATTCTCTGAACGTTGGGTTCAATCCTTCAATGCTGCCGCGTTGATCGTCGAGTTTGGCGGACATTTCGGCAGCGCCAACGAGGATAATCGGGGATGATGGCATCTCGCAGTCCAAGTTCGCCATCTAGCATCTTCGCAAGCCCATCGACGATGCTGCAACTTGCATGAACAAGAATCCTTCCGGCCATCCTGGGGGATGACTGAAAAGGGCCGTGATTGTGGCTTGCCCTCAAACTTGGTTCGGTGTCACCACTGTCGCTTACCATCTCAAACAGCCGTCTCTCCCAGTTGCCGGTTTCTCCCTCCCTGCCGGGGCGCAAGCACGAAGAAAGAATGCCTCAGTCCGGAAATATGGCCTGGCCCAGTGGCCCCCAGTGGCCCTGGTGGCCCACGCTGACTTCATTACGTCGCATCCTTTCTTTTGGTCGTCACCGGCCCAGTAGGAAGCTGCGGCATTGGCCGGCAGCAGACAGGAGGGTCCGCCTCCCAATCTAGCTCGCAACGGCTAGGTGGGCATCGATCTCGCCGTCGTGGTCATTTGAAGGCTTTGTGGCCGTTCCATCGGTATTGCCGTGTAACGCCAATTTATCATTACGTTCAAACGACGACACAAGCCCATTGAACATTTTTTGGAGGGCAAACAAACATCGGCCCCAGCTCGATGGTTTTCTCCGACATGGGCACCCCCAGCTCGCGGCAGAACTTAATGACCCATGACGCTCACTCACCTCGCTGCCCTCACAGGCGGTTCGGCGCTTTGTGCGGAAAGCCACGCAGGCCTTTGCATTGGGGTTTCCGCTTGCCGTCATCGAATTTGCTCCTCGTGCGTCCTGCACGTCCCCAAAGCAGCAGCCATGCTATCCATTCCACAGATATCCGGCCGTGCCTAACTCGGCGATTATTCATCGCTTTCGCCGCAGTATTGGTCTACACGTCGCGCCTCATTTGTGCAAGCGTGGAGGCTTCGCTCGACGAGATCCAGATCCAGAATAAGCCTGTTCGTTTTGCCCTGGGATGCCCCCCGACGCCGCGAGATGCGCTTCCTTCTTTTGTGAGATTCAAAACAAAGTCCAGGCCCACAGTTTGATTGACAGCTTGAGGTAAGGAATTTCCACTACTGGCGCCAGGCGAGGGACAAGCGCTGGCTGCAGAGCGAGGTTTGGACCTAGTCGGGCCCCTAGATTGGATGCCGACCTCCTCCTATCACGGGCCATCAGGCTCTTCCCATGTGAACGGGGCTGCAGTGCCGGCCAATCCACTGGGCCCCGAAAAATTATTATCGACATGTTTGGGGACAATTGTAAACAACAGCAAATGACCGCAGAAATTGCGCCGACTAGGATCCTGCGAGTCGCGACGCTCCAATTCCCAAATAATGGAGGCTCCCATTACCTTTAGTTCGACCCTCCTCCAGCCCTGTTGCAATAAGTCCACTTGGCTTGCGCGGTGGTTAGTGGTTGATCACAGTTGATAAGTCCCATATCTGTCTTCGTTTCCTCTCTGCAGGTCGCGCTTGTTGGGTTGTCCCTGTCGGAGCCTCGGGGCGCGTGTTTCAGTGGAGAGAAGAGCTCCCAAAATTGTCTACGTTGAGATTTCCCTCACTCTTCTACGGAATATTGCACATGGAGCCCACTAAAGCTACCCATCAATAGCGCAATTGGGGGGGGGGGGGGACAAAAACCGCTGATTGTACTCGGTACAAGAGAGCTCGGTGTGCATTTTGCGCCGACGCGACGACATGGAGTTCCATTTGAGGCATTTTCGGTCTGTTGGACAACTGGCAAAAGGTCGGCCATCTCATGCAAACGACGAACACCTAATTGTGGCTCTCGCATCCACTGAGAAAAATTGGGCGTTGTGGACTGCGCCGTTTCAGAATTGTTGATGGGTGCAACATCCGGCAAGGCTTCCGACCGCCACGGCCGTACCCCCCGGCGTTTCTGGCTAGGCGACCGCATAGGCTACCCTACCGGCACCGATTTTTGAGGCATTTTCAGAACTCGATGCAGGCCTGGGGTTGAATGAAAGGGTAGGATTCGCAACACACTGTGACTTGGTCAACTTGGTCAAGTGCCTCACACTCGGACGCAATGCTGCGTATTTGTCTGCGCGTCGGTCTTGTCGTGAGACCTGAGACGGGCGCAAACTTCAGCAAGTCTCGAGGGCTCCCCAAGTTGCGCTGGGCGCGAGCACCTCGCCATGGGCGATAGCAGCAAACATCAAAGTGGCCGACCGTCGGTGCGCCCAATGCTGTGGCCAGCCAACCCTTCCCTGCAACGCGAACTTCGTCTCCAAATTCTCCCCCATCCACCGCAGTTTCAAAAGGCTTTGCCTGCGGGCGTCTCCGGACATGCCCGCACCCCCAAAGGAAGGAAAAAAAGGAATTTTGTTCTCGCATGCTCACAATCGGGTTGGGTCGCATTGCAGCGCTGATTTACGAAACACATCGGTACTTGGACCACCATTACGGTGAGCAATAGACAGGGGACGGCAGCATTACTGGGCAAGTCAAGCCGACGTCTTCTATCCAGAAAATGGACAGCGCATCGCGGCGATTGTTGTGCACCAAGACGCAATACCAAGACTCAACCGCACCTGCCTCCCGCCATCAAACAATGGTCTGAGTGACACCAGGCCTGATGCGCAATTGTCTTTCAGCTACGGAGTCTATTGAACGTTCAAGAAGCCTTCTCCCATGGAAAGATCACCGAGTTGGATGATGCTGGCGCTGTTGCCCTCAGGCGTTAGCTCAGATGACGTTGTTGGACGTCGACAAGAGAGCAAGGGTAGCTTCAATGGAAAGTTTGGCTCTTCACACCACCTCTCGAGTTAGCATCGTGAATGCTTGCCACCGAGTCGCTAGGTGAGTATTGAATGTGGTAAGATTTTCCACCCCGCATCTGCTAGACAGCTCAAGCGGAGAAGGCCCGAAAAGACGATGATGCCATTGACCGCCCAAGCAAGCCAGTTGCACGGCGAGGGACTGCCATCAATCTTGAGGACTAGCACTTCGGTTGCATTCGTTGTGGTGCATGGATGCAGGATAAGAGGCGGACGGCGAGAACGATCAACGGACTGCAGGGAGCAGCTGGTGGCAGAGAGTTTGGGATTTGCATCACCATGTGTCCACAAGTTACCCATGAAGAAGCCGTGTCGGGGAGCGACGAGCGCAGGGCAGACAGTCGATCGATCGAATGATGGTCGGGTAGAATTGCCGACAGACTCTCAACGTCGACTGATGCACTTTTGTCAAATGCGCATCGTTTGGTGTCGGCTAACTTGGAAGATAAAACGGTCCCAGTCCCTGACGCCGAGTCCAAAGAGGAAGGACGTCACGTGCTAAATATGGGTTCGCGGACAACAACAACGTCGAGGCGAAATTTGCGGTAGGTGTAGACCAGTGTTGTCCATCAAATTCATTCACAGGGGCTCAGGGAATGGCAACAACAATTTCGCGGACTACTGAAGAGGAACATGAGCGGTGAGTGACGGCGCCGCACAAGGTGCAGGATTGCATTGTGAGGTTGTCACACTGGAAACCCGTCAGCGCCAACTTGCTGGAGACAGCTTGAGTTGCGGCGGGACATATGAACGGGCATGAGCGGCGGGAAATGAAGAGATCGAAAGGGAGGTATTGATCAGATGGTTCTGGTCACGATTTCATTGCGATATCCCTTGCGCCTATATTGCGCTTGAACGCCTGCTCTTGTCCTTAGGAGACAGGACTGAAAGATGAATGAATGGTGCAATGGGTCGGGCTGAGGGCAGGAGCTGCACACAACCACCTCGAGGCACGTTGAGAACAGACTGTATCAGACCCAATCTCCAACATCAGCGCGTGCCTTCCTCAGATGCTTTTGTTGAGCCTCGACAACGCGTTCCTTCTCTCTCAACAACTGGCGATTGTGACGTGTCTGGTTGCTGGTTCCTTCCTCGCAATCAAACCGCTGCTCAACCTCTTCAACATTCCTCTTCTCTCACTTTCACATTACTCCTTTCTTCTCACACGAGCTTCGCCTTTACTCTCTCACTTCTTCATTCCCCCTCTCCACACGTGCCAACAGCAACATCTCGCTTCTTGCTTCATCTTATTCTAATCCCAAGTCCACGATAACCTCCGTGCTCTTTTCTTCCAATCTTCCGTCTCACGATGTGGCGATACACTGTCGTCTTCCTGGCTATGGCCCTCCCTGGTCTCTCCAACATGGTTGCCCTGTCATCTTCGCAGTCAACGAGCCTCTCTTCCAATTGCACTCTCACGTACATTGCTTCTCAACCTCCTCAGATCGGACCTACCAGCACAGTCTACCAGGCAATCATGACAACCTTCCGATATGTGAGTCACCTCTCTGTCTGAAGGGTCCCAAGAGGAAAACTGACGAGAGTAGGCTGTGGATTGCAATGTCTGCACTGTCACCAATATCCCAAGCGTTCAAGCTCAGGTGAGACTCAGCTCATTGTCCATGTTGATCCAATGCTGAACTTTTGCAGGGCCCCTACACTACCAGATCAACCAGCTCAATGCTTACGGTCACCGAGATTCAATGTATTCCTCAAGGCACAGCCAGCACCCGAGGTAATCATGCGGCCCACGGCGACATTGCCGCCACCGCTCCTCAAACCGCTAGCTGGGACCAAATGGAAGACCTCAAGAAATCACACATCCACCGTCGTTCTGATCAAGCCACAGAAGCGGCCCTTGCGGACCTGGCCAGTAGCTTCGCCAATGCTCTTCCTCCTGATGTCTCCCTGCTCTCTGGTGGTCTGAGGGACGAGTTTACCGACATTGCATCCGCCATGTTTGCAATCAGCATTTGTGACTCAGGCATGGATCTTCACGCGGCGTGTGAACAACTGAACACCGATCTGGTTGCATACCAACTGTACCAGTCGTGGTACGCCCCCAACAATGTCAAGTCGATTGTTTGCTTCTGTGCTTCGTACGGCTACGACTTTGACACCACTCGTCAACAGCTGTATGCTAGCCTTTACGCTGCTCTCATTGGCATTCTGGCTGCTGCTGATATCACCACCGACCGGGGTCAAATTTGTGACACTCTCAGCCTCTTCAATCGGACAGGTCCTTCCTTGGGTATCGACATTCAACAATATCATGACCTCGTCTGCAGCAACATCCCCTCTCCTACACCAACTACGCCCCTCTGGTACGGGCCAACAACCATCATTCCATATGTCACCAACAACATGACTACCTGGAGCACTCCGACTACCTGGGGCACTCCGACTTCCTGGGCTCCCAATACGACTATCTCAGGAACTGGCAGCCCGAGCTGGACCGGAGTCAACAACCGCACTACATGGGGCCCGCCCGTCTCGTACACTGGCACCATTGGTAGTGACTGGTCCATCACCATCAACACCCAAACCAACTGGACAGAATCACAACCCACAGGAACCGGTGCAGCCTCTGACACCATGACTGCGGGATCCAACGACACCTTGATTGCTGCACGTACGCCACGAGGGCCCAACGCCATGCCGTTCTATCCCGCCATCACCACCCCGACACCGCATTCTGGACTCTTCAAGCGATACTAACTGCAGACTATGGGCTGTGGTGATCGTGCGCAAAGAGACGCAAGTCAGAGTGTGACCCACAGTCGCACTAATCAAGGACATGAAGAAACGAAAGATGGATTGAAAATGGCGTGACAGACAAGATGGAGTCGTCACTGAAAACAACAGACACACTGAAAACATTGTATGATAGAGCTTTCCGAGGGAAAATGCGCTGTACAGATCGTAGCACTCCGTATGCTAGTGTTGATAATGCAATAATACAGATCTTGTTGCCAATATCTCCTTTCCTAACTTCTTCGTCCATTGCCACCTGTGGTCACCAACTTCAAGCAGAAACTTCTCGAGCCGGCAATCATCTGCCGACACAATGCATGGTATTCAAGTCAGGGAAGGGAAGGTGATATTGACTGCTGGGCAGTAAGAGAACTCTTGTAAGAACTCTGCTTCCGTCGCGAAGCGAATTGTCCAGTGGCGGTGTTGGATATTATCGCACCGAGAAACGAACACCTACATCGGCGCGGTGGCGAGGAGAGGGGAATAGTGATCGGGATTCTGGTGGAAGAACGGACAAGACGAGGGCGGAGCAAAGAAGATGGCCGGTAGCCTTGGTTCATGACGTTGGGCAATGAAATGATTCTTTATCAAACTTTTCCCCAGAGTCTCGTGCGTGTATCTAAACCTCTAGAAGTCTAACATATTTCCAATTGATACATTCCATTCCGTCGTATCTGCATGCAGATCATCCCTCATGGCCCATGTACCTCATGCACAGGCACCAGTTGGCGTCGACCGCGACATGTCGTCCACCCGGGGCCCGTGTCTCTCGCTCAGGTTGCGTCCATCATATTGCACACGGAAGAAAGCAAAAGAAAGCATAGAAAAATCTGGCTATCATCTGTCGGATAGCCTCGAAGAAGTCATGATGATCGTGAACAGTGACTCCATCGACACCAGACACCGACGCTAGAACGCTGACAGTAACAACGACATGCTGGAGTATACTTGTAAGTATGTGCGTGACCGAGATGAAGTAAAGTGACTCATAGACTGGCACTGTGACATGGAGCGCATATAACCTCGCAGCGACCAGGTTTCGCACATGGTGCAACAGGTGGCTCACGAAATCCCAACTCGGCTAACAGGGCTCATGGATGAGCGACTGGTATTCAGATCCGCGAGAGCCCGTTGCTGACCAGTTTGATGAGATGCCATGCACGACATCTTCTCGGGACTGGACACTGCCATCCGTATCCGAAGATCCGGGAGAAGGCTGACCACCAAATCGGGCCACGAGGCTCGGAACGCGGAGAGAGTGGCAACTTTCCAACTTTTTTTTTTCTCACCTCGGCTCCTAGAATAAAGCGAGAATCCGGTATCAATCGCCACAATGGGCTGATTCATATATAGATCCTTCCTGCGGGAGCTGTCCAAGTCAGATCACATCGGCAAAACGACACTCCTCCTAGGCTGTCTTTGGATGATTGGATCGTCGGGATGAAGCGAGCTCATCGAACTGAAGGGACCAACTCCGTCTCTGTCTTGGAAAACGCGGTTCAAGCTCATGGCGGCTTTCGTATAAAGGACATCAATGGCCTTCTGGTCGCGGAAGGGGTTTGGTGACTTGTCCCAGGCATGAGGCACGCGAGGTATCGTCTTGTGGTCGATTCGCTTGCCCAGATTGTCGAGCCTGTCGGCGAATAATTGACCTTCACGCAGGAGCATGTCCCACTCACATAACCACATCTGAATATCGCGAGGCAGGCCTTCCCGAATCATTTCGTCGGGTGCCAGTGCCGGAGAGGCGTAAGGGCTACAGTGGTCGCCGTGCATGTCCGGTGCGGGCAGGTAGGAAAAGTCGAACAAGTCGGTGAAAGTCTTGGAAAGGCATTTCTTGGGATTTAGGGACTCCCTGATTTTGCGTGATCGGGACATGGTCCAATCCAGCAGCGGATACCAAGCAATGATAGAGCGGATTTGGAGGGGGGTTCCTGTCCTTGGGCGAACTAGGTTCGAAGTGGACAGCACTGAGCCCGAGGGTACAGGAGTGAGAAAATTGTGAAATTCGTGGTGCTGATCGTCGTGGTCGGTCATGTACGCACCGTACGTATCGGTGGTGTCGGCGCTATGCGAGGTTACGGGTCTGGAACGGAACTTCTCCAGCCCATTCATCTTGCGATGATATGCGAGGCGCAAAGGAGCCGAGAAGGCCAGGTTCGCGCCTGCAGAGAACCCGGACAGTGCAATGTTGGTTTGGTCGATATGCAGTTCCTCTGCGTTTTCGGCGATGAAGACAAGTGCTTCGACACAATCGTCGACAGGTGTGGGGAAAGGGTGCTCGGGAGCACGTCGATAGTTGACGCTGACGAAGATACAGTTTGTATGTTGAAGAACGACCCGAGCCCAATATTGGTCATCTTGTGCATCACCCAAGCAGAACCCACCGCCATGAAAGTTGACGACCACAGGAAACCGGTGCGATGGATCCCTCTGCAAGATCTCGTCGTATGTCGGAGGGAGATAGAAATAGAGCTCGATCGGGTCGGTCTCTGTCTCAATGCCCCATTTGAAGGCGGGTTTCGCAGGACGAGGCCAGGCCCAGCTATGAAAGTACATGCCTAGCATTTCCAGGCCTCTCCACCACTTTGCCTTGATTGTCAGCCATCTCCTAGATGGGATATCCTTCGCAGACAAATGGTGAGACATGGATCGAGGTCTCATGGAAAACTGACGCTCCTCCTCTTCATTGGAAAAAGTATTAGAGAACACTTCGCTGAGCATGTGCCCCGGTGGCTCGAGGGTGTGGCCATTTTCAGCCGCGCTGGCGTCGGTGAAGGTTATTGCATGACTCTTGGGCGAAGCAAAGTCCTGGGCCTCAACGTTGGTTGCCGGAGACTCTGCTTCTGGTTCTGACTCGGCTTGAGGTTTGGTTTCGTTCATGGGTATCTCTTCACCCGGTGGCGTCATATTGAGGTGGGAGGGCGAGGGCGTCCGAGGCATGGTGGCGAGGTGAGCGCGGAGCAGTTTTTTCGTCGAACAGGAGCATCGAAGAGCAAGAAGGGACACTGGTATAATGTAGAGCACAGAAGTGTCGGGTTTGAAATTCCAGATCCTGCACTCATCAAATGTTGGACCGGAAAACTCAAAAAGGGCTCATCGATAGAGGAAGGGTAATAAGAAAGCGCAGGGAACTCGTAGGTGACTTGATGGCGGCGCAGTAATGTTAGGCCGGTAACCTGAATTGCGTTTAAGTCGCGAGGTGTGCTTGCAAATGGCTGGTTGGGGAAGTCGATGCGTATATCGGGGGCTTGATTCGTTGTTGCGACCTGATGGTGGCAGGGCCGTTGCGAGGGAGGCTTGCAGCGTGATAGAGGGATGATGAAATGCTCGAACCAGGCGTCTTGCTTGCGAATCCAGAAGGTTTCATTCAGGTCCCCTAGGCCAATCTGCTTATCGGGGCTCTATCATGACGCGTGGTGTCATTGTGGCTGTGGGCTTCGGCTGGTTGCAGTCTGGAACCCCCCAACACGTCTGGGTCGCGAGAGCGCTTGGGTGATGCCAAACAGGAGATCGTGGGTGCCAGGGGTCGAAATCACGGGCCTATAGCACCACTTAGAGGGTGCCCGGGAAAATTCCAGGCGAATAATAATGAAGAGGCCCAGTGCCCCAGAGAAGCCGTTTTATGCGATCGGGGGGAGGAACCTCCCTTAACTAAAAATTGCCTCAAGACAACGTCTCAGGTCCTCGGTAACCACCAAGGGAGAAGGACTACCAGTATAACAGGACAGTGTTACTCAGTACAGGATGGGACTGTCAATATCCAGTCTCCATGACGACCCGGCTGCACGACAAGGGGCCAATACCTAGGTAAGCTCCAGACGACTACTCGTATCACTCTTGATATTCGGGTTCGCAGTTCCAGCAAGGCTGTACCTCGTACCTACCTACCTAAATGTTACCGACCCTCCCTCCGGCACTGCGTCGGCGTCCGGCGCCAGATGTGGTGGATGCTTCGTATCATTGTTGTTTTCGTCCTGTGTATGGATATGCTATGGCTGCCCCTTTCTTCAGATGGATCCTCAACAGTGGTTCCTGGCGACTGACTGATCCATTCCCCTGGTGGCTCCAGCCACCTCACCCAGGGGGCCTTGTGCATTCTGGGACCGAGTAAGCCGGTCCCCAATATCGGGCGCGATTATCTCTGCGACAACAGAGTAAGAGTTGCGAGAAGATCGGTCAACAAATGCCACATATGGTTTTCAAGGCCAACAGACTACCTCGTAGAGAGTAAAGCTTTTCTTGTTCCGCCTTGTTTTAACTCGCTTCTGTATGTGGTGCGATTTCCGAGGGGCAAGGATTCTCTGTGCGAGACACATATATCCAACCTCTCCTGCACGGCTGTATTCCTCCTCTTACTTTCCCTGCTGCCCCCTTTCCCAGGGCAAGGCCATCTCAGGTTCATACGAGGACCCAACCCCCACAAGCAAGGTTTCAGGCGTCTCAGTGCTCGGTAATCACAAAGGAAAGAGAGGAGGGGGCTCGGACAGCGGTGTCACGTGGTCGGGCCCGAGACAGAAAATGTCTTCACAGTGAGGCTCGCCGTCTCTAGCACTGCCGTCGGTTGAGCTCGTTCTCACTGGGCCCCTTTTCATCTCGTCCAAGATGGCGCTGCAAACAAAATCGGGCTCAAAGGGCGCCTCTCAGTCATTTGCAGGCCAAGAAGCGGTGACAGTGGGAGCAGACTTACCTCAGCAAGAACCCGATGAAGAAAATGGCTGGCCGACCGCGAAACGATGTCGGGAGTTGCTACTTGATCACAGGCAACGCTAATGCTGCAACGATTGGGTGTTTGGGCAACCCCGCCTTACTCATCAATGCTACAGCTGATTGCTGCTTAAACCCGCAGGCATCACGGTGACAGAGAAGCCAGTGCCAGTGGATGCAATATCCACCTGGGAACCGAAGAAAATACAGCAGAAGGGCGACCCAGAGGTGAGAAAGAAGAAAAGGCCTAGTAGCCTCTGACGCATCATTGGCCCCTCCTCGGCGAACCGTTCGACTTCCGTCCAACAACAAGGTTCCGGTCCTGCCGCTCATATTCTTGCCTACCTCTTCCTGCCTCTCTTGATCTCTTGCCAGTCCCTGCTCCTGCAAGCTGCTGCGGAAGGTTGATTGCTTGCAAGCTTTCCTATTGTGTGCTTATCGCTGCAGCACAGCGAACAGCGAACAGCGCCCAAGCGACTCCAGCAATTGGCGACGAAACACCTGCCAATCTTATCGCATTTCATACATTTCCCTTGTTCCCCTCCTGCCCTCCTCTCTCCTCCCGCAGCCCCTCCCGCCGCAAGCCAACCTCCCCTCTGGCGGGAAACGACAAACCGGTGAACCCCTACCAGACTGAGCATTGACGCTGAAAACTCCTCTCTGGAGTAGAATCACATATCGCCGCACTTTCGGCATCGCTCAATTGATTCTGCTGTGTCCGCAGCTTGGAGTGGTCTGCGCACCGCGGCAAAGCCATTCACCGGGCGCAGTTCCAGGACTGCTCACTCAGGGTCAACGTAATCAAGGCTCCATTTCAAGAGCCTTGTCTCCCAAAACCGGGTTGGACCAGCCCATCCAAGAATATCTCAGGACCAAAAATCAGCTCGACTTCTGCAGACGTCTGGACTTCATCTGCAGACCCCTCCTCCTTTTGTAGGCAGAAGGAAATCTCCTACCCCCCCCCCCCCCCAACCGCCATCATGTCGGTCCTTCGCAAACTCTCCAAACACGTCCACGCCAATGGAAGCGAGACTCCCAAAGACAAGAGCGAGGGTCACATCTCCCCCATCTCCTCGCAGAGCCCTGGGCCTCACCGTCGATCCCTCGCCCAGTTTCTCCATTTGGGCGAGAGATCAGACTACACCTCCAGCGACAATGAGTCCGAGATGAGCGACTTTGACAGCGATGGCTTGAGCAAGAACGCGCAAAAAAGAGCCCTTGCAAAACAAAGAAAACATGAACATCGTTCTAAACTGAGTCTGGAAAATCGTGACGACTCTGAGGAGCGCATCAAGAAAAGGCTCGAAGATGCCGCCAAAACCGAGACGGAAGAAATGAAGGCTCGGTATGGCGAGCTTCCATTGATGCAGTCGACGACTAGTCACACTCAAAACCGTCTCGACTTAAGCACAGTCACCGAAGAGATGGATGGCCAAGAAGTCGTCTTCCGCTGCAGACTGCACCATGTGCGGAACATGGGTGCTAAACTGGTTTTCCTGATCTTTAGACAACAGATCTCCACTATCCAAGGTGTCCTCGTGGAGGAACCTGGTAAGGTCTCGGCTATCATGATCCATTGGGCTGAGCATCTGCGCACTGGCAATATCATGCTCGTGAAAGGTGTGCTTCAAAAGCCGCAGATACCTGTCAAGTCTGCTTCCATCCACAACGTAGAAGTCAAGGTGACCGACTTGCACATCATCGTTAAACGGGCAGAGCCTGGTATGTTCCTTGGTCAAACGTTTCCAATGACCGGTTGCTAATTGTGCTACTAGTCCCCTTCTCTGTTCAGGAGGCAGAGTTGACCATTCTCGACGATGACCAAAAAGTCGATGGCCGCCAGAGTCAAATTCCTGACCGTGTAAGACTGGCTAACCGGATCATGGATCTGCGAACCGCCACTTCCCAGTCCATCTTCCGTATTCAAGCCGCGGTGGGAAATCTTTTCAGGACTTCCCTGGACGAGCAACGCTTTGTGGAAATCCACACACCCAAACTCCAAGGTGCGGCAACGGAGTCCGGTGCATCGGTGTTCAAGGTCAACTATTTCGGCCGTCCTGCCTTCCTTGCCCAGTCTCCTCAGTTGGCTAAACAGATGGCTATCGCATCTGACTTTGAGCGAGTTTACGAAATTGGCGCTGTCTTCAGAGCAGAAAATTCCAACACTCACCGTCATTTGACCGAGTATACTGGTCTCGATTTGGAGATGGCCATCGAGGAAAACTATCATGAGATGATGGACATCATCGATAATACCCTCAAAAGCATTTTCAAGGGCATTTACACAACGTACCGCAAAGAAGTCGAACTTGTCAAAGAGCAGTTCCCGAGCGAGGATCTCATCTGGTTGGATGAAACGCCTAGAATCCCGTTCAAAGACGCGGTCCAGCTTCTCACCGACTCGGGTTGGTTGAATGAAGATGGCGAGCCGATCTCGCCGCTTGAAGATCTCGCCACTAGGGACGAGATCCGTCTCGGTGAGCTTATGAAGGAGAAGTACAAGACCGACTATTATATCTTGGACAAGTTCCCTCGATCTGCTCGTCCTTTCTATACCATGCCTGATCCAAATGACGACCGCTACACCAACTCTTTCGATGTGTTCGTCCGTGGACAAGAGATCATTTCTGGTGGCCAACGTATCCACGAGTCCAAGTTTCTCGAAGACAATATGCGCATGGTCGGCATCGATCCTGACGACATGGCTGAGTACATGGAAGGTTTCAAATGGGGAGCTCCCCCCCACGCTGGTTGCGGTGTCGGTCTTGAGCGTATTGTCATGCTTATCCTCAAGCTCGGCAACATTCGCTTGGCCTCATTATTCCACAGAGACCCCAAGTCATTCCCAGCCAAACCGGCTGTCGAGAAACTTCGACATCCCGAAGCGGACACGTTGAACCCTGTCTGGAAACAAGAACGTGGGCGGGAAGTGGCAGTGCAAGACCGCAAGATGCCTGACCTTTACGACCTTATTGCAAACTACGGTGATGCAACCTCTACATCTTGGGGCGACGATCGCTACCAGATCTGGCGTCATGCGGATACTGGTGCTGCAGTGTGCTACGTGCCCGAGGGCCACTACGCCATTCTCCCAGGCGACCCGCTCTGCCATCCAAGCCAGTATTACCGCGTCGTCGTCTCTTTCCTCCAATGGCTCAAGCGAGAGACACGTTTGAAACCCCTGTGGTTGTTGATCAGCCCGGAATTGGAGGAAGTCCTTGGTGAGAGACTAGGTTGGAAAACACTCTCTTGCGTCGCCGAAGAGCGTGTTGATCCCCACAAGAAGACCGCGGAGTCTGACCCAGAGGTTGCAAGGAAGATTCGCAGAGCTCAGAACGATGGCGTCAAGATCATTGACCTTGATCCTAAAGAGCCTGTTCCTGAGAGCATCAAAGAACGTGCGAACGCCCGGGTTAAGGACTGGTTGTCAAACCGGAAAGGAACCCAGATCCATCTGTCCAACATCGATCTGTTCCGAGATGAGAGGCACAGGCGCTATTTCATCGCCGAAGACAAAGATGGCGTCCTCTGCGGCATCGCGGTCATGTGTGAGATTGCCCCTCGTAAAGGCTGGCAGGCCAAGTACACCTTGGACTTCCCCGGAGCCCCATCCGGAACAATTGAGTACATCACCACCCATGCTCTCAACGCTGCTGCCAACGCTGGGGTGAACAGCGTCACGTTTGGTGGCGGTGCTGCAACTCACTTGACGCCGGGCCACCATATGAGCGGTGCCAAGGTGAAGATGTTGCAGGCTACGTATGATGCCATTGTCAAACAATTCAACCTAGCCAGAAAGTCCGAATTCCGAGAGAAGATGGGTGCTGTGGCGGATCCCATCTGGATTGCCTATCCCCCACATGGTCTTGGTTCTAGAGGCATCAAAGCCATCATGCGGTAAGTATTTCCACCTTCCTTTTTGCGCCGAAAACCAGGTTCCGGGGCCCAGATGAGCTAACCTAACATGATAAATAGATTCTTCCAGGACGATCCTTAGAAAGGTGCAGGTTGTCCACGCCTGAAATCATTTTCCACGATCCGGTTATCGCGAGCAAAGACATCAGTAATGAGACGAGTCAACTGTTTTCTCGCAGGCATCCCATGCAGTTGGTACATTGGATAACGCAGGCCAAGCGCAAAGAATTGACCTTAGCTACGTCTTCATGGGCTTTTTGACCCAAGTATGCAGAACAAAGACGGTCGAGTGACTACAAGCACAGCAGAGGGAAGGCTAGTCTCGGGAGCTGATCTGTGGACGAAATTTGGGCAGTTCGGAATATTGATGGATTCAAGTATCATGGCTGTCAGCTTTTGTTTTCCCATAATGTTCGTTGGATGCTTTCAGATACCACGTAGCACAGCAAAGCAAGTACCTTGCATACAGGTCCCCAACATAACCCTTCCCCGGATTAGTGGAATAGATTGGCACATCACTAGGCTCCTAAAGACTTCAGCTGGTCTTGACTTGCCTGTGATTCATGGTCGAGTTCCCTCATGTCCTCTTGAAAGACATTTAGACGTCCATCCATGCTCAAGAAAGAGCATGAACCTGGAGTGGGAGCTTCTGTAGGGAGTGGAATAGCAATCCCAAACTTGCCCCTCTTGACGATTGCGTTGCAAGTTTCTATACATTGAAGTGCCTCTGTCTGACAATCCCGCTGCAAAGGTACATACCACGCACTACAGCGAAGGAAAGTATGCCTTGGATCAAATGTATGATGTTGTCCTTCTCACCATGGACACACCCACGGCCTTCTGTCCTCAAGTCGTCTCCGCAGTCCATACTGCCGTTGCTCATGTACATCCATCAACCCTAGTCAAGGTATGGTAAGAAAAGAAGACCACGCAGCATATCTTTGCGCTCAAACAAGAAGATCGTTATCGTAAGCTCCAGGCAGCTCGACTGGACATGGTTCATTCCCCTTGCGTCTTACCCAATCCCGTTGCCCTATCTGTTTTCATGCAGGCTCCAAGTACCAATGCACACATCCCCTTCCCTCAACTCCCTGCGTGTTGGAAATCTTCGGTCATGAAGTGTCTTTCATCCGTCCACACATGCTACACGTCCACCACTGATTTTCCATCCACGTTCCACAGCGGCCACAGGTCCATCCTAGGGGATTGGTCTGAGCCTTTTCCTTGGCCGCTGCTTCGAAACGGGCGATGTTATCGGCGGCGCCGAGGCGTGGGGCAAGGACCGAGGAAGGATGGTTGGGACGGGCATTATATGCGCGGGACCCCGAGGCGGGAGGCTTGGATGAGCGAGGCAGGGAGGTGTTGGCTTGAGATCTGGGTCCGGGGTACGAGCTGTTGGCGGATGCTGATGGCAAGGGCGAGGTGGGGATAGGCTGCGCGTAGATGGCTGGTCGCTCTGTCTCGCAGGCTCCGCACAGCAGGTAGTTGATCGGGTTGATGAGGGTGCAGACATCGCAGGTCCAGGTTTCTTCATCTTGAGGCAGTTCTGGCGGCGGGTGGTGGAGAGGTGGGGTGTTCGGTTTCGCTTTTGGCTTTGTCTCGGGTTCATACTCCTTGCCCGACTGTGCCTGCTGCTGCAGTTGCCGCTCAATCTGAAGTTGTTCTTCCCGCAGGGATCTCGTGTCAACAGGCGGGAAGATGCTGTTGCCCTTCTGGACGCCTCCGGTGGGATTGTCCTGGCTGGGAGGGATGTATCCCGCGCCGACCATCTGCGCCTCTTCTTCTTGAATCATGTCAATGTATGCCTGCATCAATGCCGCCTCATCTTCGTCCGCTTTGTCCGCCTTGGTGGTGGTGACCTTCTCCTTTTTGATAGCCTCTTGTTGCATTATCTTCCGACCCATATCAGGAATGGCACTGCCACAGCCGCGGCTGATGCGATTGCGTTTCTCGGCAGCTGCGGCAATTATCTCCCGAGCATTCTGGCCTCGCAAGATCCCCTGACCGCCGACTTTCCCCCCGCTGCCCTGCGAAAGGACGGATACCTGCCGACGTCTCTCCGCCGCTGCACGGGCTTGTCGTTGAAGCTCAGCTCTGGGTATGCCCCGACCACCCAGCCGGGTTCCTTTCCCGAGGAATCCTTCGCCAGTATAACCCTTGCGAAGGAGCGTTTCGTGCTCGTCGCGAAGTTTGTCCCAGAGGGCATGGAAAGCCTGATCATGTGGACCGTGGACAATGTGAGATAACTCATGCAGCATGGTATCCACCACATTCTCGAACGGTAGGAATTGCGTATCATCTCCGGGGTAGCGCAGCCGGAGGTAGATCTTCTCGCCGCGATTAACGTTCAGACCCAGCAGTCCGTGGTCCTCGGGAAAGAATTCGCATAGCATTCCGACACGCCAATTGCGGATTCGCATGATGGGCTTCACTATCGAGGCGGTCTTCTTCAGGATGTGGAGAGCTTCATTTGCGCGAGATTTCGTAGAAAGATGCTGGAATTGGTCGACCAGGGGGTCGAGTTCTGTTCCGCGTGCGTACGACATCTCCTGGCTAGATGGATGATTGCTGAAGGAGAGGCTAATGGCAAAAGCCCGAAATTTGAAAATCAGAGAGATGGAGAGGAGTCACTCTCCACGCCGGGACTTGCTTGCAACTCAGTAGTGAGAGAATGCCACTACTCGCACACAACTGCCGGCGCTCCTTGTTCGTGACAACGACCTAGTGAATGCGAAGTGGATCAGTGAGAAATCAAGGAGAACAAACGGAATGAAAAGCAAGAATGTAGCACGCTGTCAGGTACTCCTCAAGACGCCGCCGGAACATGCCAGAAGAAAACTGTTTGATCTTCAAGTTCTGAGGGAGACAAAGGATGGATTCGTAATGTATCTCAGCCTGATGGCGACAGGAATGTCCACGTGATCCAATATGGCATGGGACGTCCCTCCTCTGCGATTGGTCTGCGTTGGACTGCCATTCTTCCCCGCGCCGCCAGCGTGGACTCGGTGTTGTACCTGACGGCCTACGCTCGATGGTCGAGCTGTTCCCTGGCCAAAGCACCAGCAACTTCAAATACAGCTTGATGACAGAGGAATCCCACTATCTAGTCTGATAATGACAAGTGACGACCAGCAATTCCTGGACCTGGTAAGGTTTCCTTATCACCCGGCATCATTCTGCGACATGATCACTGACCACTCCTCAGCTTGCGTCCATCCCACAGGACATGGCCCACTACGGCAGTCGCATAGCAGACTATGTCGACAAGCACGCCAATGCCATTGCCAACGATATCCGCGACGCCATCGACCGAGCAAGCTGGATTCCCGACTCCCTCCGGCCTCCGCGTCAACCGGGCGGCGGAGGCCAAGGTCCATTTTCGGCCCGTCTACCTCCCCCGCCTCAAGGGATCCTCCAGAAGACGACTGCTTGGGTTTCCAGGAACCGGACCACGATTGCCATAGTTGTGGCGTTCACAGGCACAACCCTATACCTCATCCACCGCAGGAAGAAAGCACATGCGAGAAAGAGACGGGCGAAGAAACTACCCAATGGCGCCAAAAAGGAGATTGTCATACTCGCTGGCTCGACCTTCCACGACGCACTGACGCGCTCATTGGCACTCGACCTTGAACGCAGAGGCTACGTGGTCTATATCACCGTCTCCTCGACCGAAGAAGATTCCCTGGTACAACAAGAAGCAAAAGCTGACCTCCGTCCGCTCTGGATTGATTTAACATCTACCGTCCCTAACCCTGCGGTCGACGTGCATCCGAATCTGGAATCCATCCGTGATCTCCTCATAAAGTCATCTCGATCTTCATCACCCAGCAGGAGCTCGCACCGCTCAGGCTCCTCCATGGGGAACATGACGTTGGCCGGCCTCATCGTCTTCCCCGGCTGCTCAGGATACAGCGAAGGACCACTAGCATTGCTCCCACCTTCCGATATAGTGGATACAGTCAACACCCGCCTCGTCTCGCCTCTCTTGACAGTCCAGCAATTCCTTCCCCTACTGGCAAACCACAGTCCCGACCCGAAGGCCCCTTCATCAATCATAATTGCATACCCGTCGATTCCGCACAGCCTTTCCCCACCACGTCAAATCCCAGAATGCCTTGTTACATCATCCCTCTCAGCGCTTGCAGCCTCACTAAGGCGAGAAATCACGGCAGCAAATGCAAACATCACTGTTTCAGAACTGAAGCTTGGGAACTTCGATATGGGCTCCGTCACTTCCTGGTCAAGAACAACGCCCACTCAGTCGACGCTCAATCCCGGTCCGTCGTCAGCGCTTACGCATAGCAGCTCTCACTGGCACTCGTCGCAACGTGCTGCTCATCAACGCAAATCACTCGGCCAAAGGAGCTTCATCCGTGGCTCCTCAGCGAGAGAGTTTCACAACGCGGTCTTCGATGCACTTGCTCCGCCGCAGACATATAGACCATTCGGGTACGCTTCCCTAGAATTCACTTCAAACACAAGACCAAACGTCATTTTTGTCGGCAGTGGTGCCAGGCTTTATGACTATGTAGGCAAGTTAATGCCTGGCGGACTGGTTGGGTTGATGATGGGATGGAATCGAAAAAGGACAGCTTCACGGTCTGAGGATGAGATGTCCAAGTCCATGAGACTTGATGCAAGTGGTAGCGCGAGCGGAAGTGGAGTCGGGACTCCTGCTGGCGCTGGCAGCTCATCCGTGGCAGGACATCCGCTGTCGGCCTCGGGCTCAGCTTCGGCGTCCGCGTCGGGATGGGGGTTCCAGTCGTTGAGCAGTGAGAGCGGCATCTGGGAGAAGGTATGAACAGGATGGATATGATCCAGTTGTACCAGAGGGATGCATGAGTGTTGATTTTCGTTCATGTCCTTGGGATTTGGCTATTGGGTCTTTGTCTCTCGCCTGCAACCCAGGAGGAAGCAAAGGCGGGACTTGACGTCTTCACTCACTCACTGATTCATTCATTCATTCACTGACTCAGTGACTTGCCTCCTTCGGTACATACACTGTCAGTCATCAATTCCCTTCTCAGTCTTAGAACGTTAACATTCCAACTCGCTTCAATTTTCCGTCTTGATCGGACGATGACCATATTAGTGAATGACCAGAAAGAAAACCGAAGAGAAAATGCCACCATCTCCAAGTCACCAGAGACTGCCCAGGGCCAAGAATGTCTCCCGTCCTCATGGGTTCTGGCTCTGACAGAACTTCAAGTCCTCCCTGCCCGTACGATCAGTCATCGCTTGCAAATGCCAGTGCTCATAATGTTAAGGCCAATGCCAACATCAATTATGCCGTCATATTCGTCATCAACTTCGTAGTCTTGTCCATGTCCATACCGAATTCCACATTCCCCCTGAAACTTCCCCAATTCCCGTTGCGTCGTGGTGTGAGACTGTGGAAGAAACCAATCCGTTGTGCACCTCTCCATTGCAGAACACGGGGAGCAATGACGTCCAGCGGGATACTCTCGGGACGCTTGCGAGGCTGTCCTCCTCCCTCCAGTTCACGCCTCTGTCTGCTTCAACGGACTCGTAACCCGCTCTCCGCTTCCTGGTCTTTGTGCTTTTCCCATTTGCGCCAGGAGCGAACGAATACCCTCCCAACTTCCAAGAAGTATTGCACACGAAGCGGAGGAGAGGACACTCATCCAAGACCGCCGGGCAAAGGCGTCCGCCCCTGAAGATCATGGTCGAGTCTCCATTCGTCCAATGGCGCCCAGATGCCCCGGTACTCCCTCCGGAGCTGTGCGAGCTCTTCTTCCTTTCCAGATTTCCAAAGAATGGTCTCGTACTGATTTAACATATCCAAAATGGCCGAATGAGGGAAGCCCCCAATCCGCAAAGCACCATCGACTGCCAAGCGATAAAACTGCTCGCTTTTTGGTAGTTGTCCCTTTCCAAGATACATCCATCCCAGGAAATGACAAGCAAGGGTACTGTCGGTGTTGCCGTTCTGCTTGCCAGTAGCGACAACGCTGCCGCTGATTATCTGCATGAGGAATTGCTCGACCGCTGAGTAGTCTTTTTCGTCTACTGCCAACCGGACCGTCATTTCTACCAATCTTGTGCGCACCGGAGTCAGAACAAAAGGATCGGGCTGAACAGCCTTCCACAGACGCCGACACAAGCGAGATGCCATGTCACGTTGCCCGGCCGCTTCGAAAAGGTCAATTATGGCTAGCTGCATCCCTGCGGAGTCCATGGCGTTGCGAACTGTTTTCGTTTGGTCAAGCAGGAGTTCTGCATACCGCCTCAAGCACGAAGCAAAATGCTCTGGGTCAACCTCTAGAAGGATGGTCGCGAAATTGGCTATGGGATGCGACATTCCCAAGGTTGTCTTCGCTAACGAAGCGAAGAATTTGAGGACGGACTCTACTACCTTCTCGTACTTCCTGGGGAAAAGTCGACGGTATCCGGACAAGGTAATGATTTCTGGCAGCAACTGGAATGGTTGGGCCTGCAGGAGAGCATAAAAGTCAGAACAACTCAGATTTATAAGGCAAAATGCCACGGAGTCGCCTCTGTGAAGAAGACCAATGCTACTCCTCAGTCCGTCGAATACTTTCTGAAGTCGCAAAGTGTACCCATATTGAACCTTGATCTGGTTTTGTGCCTGATACCACGAATGATATGATTGGGCATATCTCAGTAATGACTCAACGGTCTGAGTCTGGTGGCCGACTTGAAGCTGAAGGTGCTGCGGTGTAGGTGTATGCCCAAACCGCCCCAGCCGCTTACGCGCGTTTGTGCTGGAGGCTGGGGAAGGTCGAGGAGCAAGGATGACACGGTTCCGCTTTTGCATGACAGGGCGCCATAATCGACGTTCCTTGAGAGACGTGCCGTTCACCTGCAACGTCAAGTTGCCACAGGTGTCGGATGGTGCTTCGCGCAGTTGTTTGATGGCCTCTAGCTTCTGCGTTTGGGTGTAGTTCTTTCGCACTCCCCAGTCCCGTAGACGTTTCTTGTACATTTGCTCGCTGTCGATGTCAGCTAAGTTTGCAGCTCAGCTGCCTTCCGTGACCTACGTGGCATCAAAATTATGTTGCTCCTTCATCCTCTGTCGCACTTCTTCGAGACTGAGCTGCTGACGAATATACAGATCTTGGATGATTGACTTGAGGCCCTCCCAGATCATCTGTGATATCACTGGCCTCCTCAGACGCGGAGGTAATGGAAGTCGACTGTGCAGTTGGTCTGACGCTGGAGCAACATCTTCCAGGGAATCTTGGTCGTTGACACCGGAGTTCAGTGGCTCGACGGATGGGCCTGCGGAACAAGTATCGGTAGTGCCGGAGTCAACTTCAAAGGCTCCAAAGTCTTCGTACATGTGGACGTCGGATTGAGAGATCAGAGCCATGATCTCAGCCTGATGAACCCACCAATTCTCGGGTGATGGCGGCGGCAGCAGGTGGACATCCACTGTCAGGAAGATTGATTGAGAAGGGGGACAGCCTCCAACACAAACACAAGGTGCGTGGTCGACATAAGTACATCGACCGGGCACCTGACACGGAGCCCATTGTTTCAATTGTGTAGGACTTTTGCTAGGGGCGTGAGTTTCAGAGCGAGGTCGCCTAGGAGTAGGTGGCTGTACACATATTCTGGCCCCCAACATGAGCTGGCACTGGAACCATGGCGCAGATTGGCTGCTGCATTCAACGCCACAAGAACTTTTGAACCTCTGCAAAGGTGCAGCCAATCACAAGGATGGGTACTACTCCGACGTCTCTTGTATGCATGACCGACTAGACAGAACAACAGGCAATGTCCGGACTTATGCATAAGATACAAAATCAAAGCAACTGTTGCCCGCGCCCTGTCCCTGTTTCCTTGCTACCCTGCGCAACCGAATGGCGGAAACCACCTCCTCCATCTCTGGCCCAGGGTCAACCACCGCAGCTTCGTCCAGCCTCATCTGAAGCACAGACTAAACCGCGATCTTCTTGCTCGTGAAAGGCGCCAATTTTGCCTGAAAGACCCTAAGTACGATCTCTTATGCACGCCTCGAAGGTCTCCTGCGACAGTCTCTTCACTTGTTTCCGTTGCTCCTCTTCCGATGTTCTTCCTGGTCCGGGGACATTCGGCTCGCCGCTCCTTAACTGTTGCCAGCCTGTTATTGAATGCTCAAGGTCCCCATGACTCTGGAGTGTTGAAGAAGAGGAGCCAAGGGCTCTTGCAGTGCATTGCTAAGAGCGATGACTGGCTTTTGTCACTGCGAGTGGATTGCGGTGAACCTGTGCTGTTTCAGGTCCCTCGATTCGGGCTTGGGAGGAAGCTGCGCTTGAAGTTCCTGGAATCTCTTAACGCTAGTCTGTCCTCTTGAGAGATTGCCCGGGCCAGTGATGCATGCTTGTAACGAGGCCATGACTGGATATCTCGGCGGGGTCCAAGAAATTGTGTGTCGAGGCGGGTGGTGGTGAATTCCACAGCAATCGCAAGCCTCTGGTTCTTCATCTTTTCAGCATTTCGTATGCACTGGGTGACCATGTATCAGTTCAATTCCTTTTTTGCCCAGACATGTATTCCCTCTCGTAAGATGTCACTATGCTGGCCACAGAGGCGATGGTATAAGTACTGCTCTAGAACTCGTTGACCGTGGCACATGTGTTTGGTCATCGCTGAGAGAGAGATCCTCTCAGCCAATTGCTCTCACCGTGATTCCAGCATTCGTCAAACGTTTGATTTCGAGTGGCCCTCAACAGGGCATCATGGCGTCCAGGTACATGATTTCGGCTGTGCCGCGCGGCTCAGGCCTGACTGTAGGACACAAAGAATCGCAACTTGTGCCCATGGAACACCAGCCACAGGTGGCCGCTTTCTTCATCCACAGTGTAGACTATCCCCAGGGTCAGATATTTCACATGTTCAAGCCGGAAGATATCTCGTTCGCCCCTCCCGTGGTGATCAGAAGACCTCCCCTGGCCGAAGCGCGGCAGGTCTCTCTGCAGATGGTGGTGCCTTGTGTCTTCTTTGTCCAATATCCCTGTCGACAGAAATGCCGCAGCCTCGGGATCTGCGTGCACTACCAGTTCGTGGTCGGCTGTCGAAAGTGCCCCGATGGCCTGCGGTGTTCGACTTGTGTACAGAGCCATGTCGAAGAGGTATGTAACGTTTCCCACCTCCAAGGCTCAGTCGGGATGATCTCAGGCATTCTTTCTCTCCTGGCTAACCCAGTTTGAAAAACGGCCACAGGCCATTCAAGCAAACCGCAAATGCCCTCTCCATCAGGACCCGGCGCAGGCGAATCCCATCAACAACCGACCCGAGGACTTCTTGGCCACTGACGGCCAGAAAGAGGTCTGCGACCAAGTATTGCGGCGATCGCTCGCCTGTCAATGGGACGACATCCCCGCGACCCCGACCCCGACCAGGAGGGCCGAGGAAGAGCACCGGGGGGTTCACCGTGGTGGCTTCTACCGCGAAAGCACACCCAAGGACATGCGGGACGTCAGAATGTTGGAAACGCTGGATGAAGACGAGGCGATGGCAGAGGACCACCCAGTCCAGACGGGTATGGCCACCGAAGTTTCAGCTTTTTTTCATGATCCGAACGAAATGCAACTCAATATTCCCCAGTGGTTGCAATAGGGCCCGGTGTGGGTGTGCACTGTAGGCTGCAGCCACGGCTCTCAGAGAGACAAATCCTTTCGATCATGTTATTATTGAGGGAGCTGGGTGGATGAATACATCCTACATACTGGAGCAGAGTAATTGGCCATAAGAAACTGATGCCGCTGGGGCAGCTGTAGTTCCAGAACATGAACCTGGATAGCATTCAACATCATTTTCCCAAGATCCTTTCCAAGCTGTCCATGTCTGCCGCGAAGCCGAAGAATACCTCTCTTATTGAACCACCAGGTGCCATGCTGGGAACCGCTCTTAAACCGTTATTCGTGGACTGATCAACCGACCAACCGACCCCCTGCGATGTATTGACTGAATGAATGACCGGTAGCCGAGGAGGAGACTGACGGAGGGAGTGGTCGATAGGGCCGGTAGAAGACTTAATACACAGACAGACCTAGGGTAGAAAGTGGTTAACATAAAGGAAACAAGCGACACTTCATGTGGCGCGGCTCTCTTTCACGCTCGCACTCTCACTCTCACTCTCCCTCTTGCTCAAGCCAACCAAAGAAAGAGACATCGTTCGATGCGCAGCAACACACACAGAGAGAGAGACGATCTCGTGGTGCGGGATGCAGGCGAATAAACAGCGTTCGCATGCGGGCTTGCAGATAGGGAGGTGTCGGGATTGCAGAGCAAGTAAGTACATCACCGTCCCCATCAGTCAGGAGAGTCGGGCAGTTGGATAGACGAATGATGACCCTAACGAACATTGCTCATTAGGTGCTCGTGCCTCCTCCCTCGTTCCACCGTTTCTTGTTGCTCGATACTCGATCCTTGTACCCGCGACACTTCAAGACTCTGGCGTGTTTCTTCATTCTCCAGGCGGCCGGACATGTTGGGCCAAACAATCATCGCGTTCATGGGGGAAAAAAAGGGCGAGAGGCGAGCCGGAAGGGAACAGAAGAAGACCTGTATCCACGCACACGTACAATGAAGGCCAGCGAGCAAACAATGCCTGGTCAGCCCATCGTATTTGCTTCAGCGTTTTCGAGGAAAGGGGGGCTATGGGTATACGGTCCTCTACTGTTGACCGGCAAGAAGTATACCAATAAAAAAGCCAGTTCGAACAATACGAGTTGATCTACACAAGAACCCTAGACAAGACAGCCTCCCCCTGAGAAAGTACAATGTCTACAGGCCAGCATCAGGAGCATGTTGCTGAACCAATACGGTGCACTGTGGCATTCATCGACAACAATATTTCCCCTGACAACCCCCAAGTGGTAACCCGCAAAGCCAACTCACACAGTCTCACAGCAATTTCTTTCCGCAGTCGGTACTCTCTGTACTCCTTACTATGGGGCAATCGACGTCGACGAGGGTCAGATTGTTCGCAGCTCCTAGATCAGGAGCCGAGGCAATCTTTTTCCTCTTTTGTGTCGACCCGTCTACTACGAATCAGTATTGCAGACAACGGCGCGTCTCGGGTCAAAGGTTAAATGGTCGTCCTCATGGAGTCTCTCGTCTCAACTATGCTTTACCTAGGCGGTGTGCCCTACTCGTACCTGATAGACTGCCACGTCGCTGCAAGTCGTCAGAAGGGCTATGTCGTCGGTGTCGACGCGCTTTCAGGAGCCCCACGTCAATGTGATCTTCATACACGCACGTTGTGCTTTACCCCATTCCGGGCGCTTCAGTTTCGGGATGTAATGCACCGGAAAGGCTATGTCATTGCACGGTTGAATTGGAAGGGGTTTGGTGGAGCTTTTCGGTTTGACGTCTTACCCAGTCCTCGGTTGTCTGGAAAAAGAGAGGGATTCGCAACCTTAAGCGGTGCGGTCAAGAATTGTGTACGACGGGCCTTGGTAGCATTGGAGACAGATAGAATGGACCCTAAGAGCTGTGACTGTGATTTTTAGAGGTCTGCTTAGATTAGTGCATGCTGTGGGCGTAGACCAGTTCAGCATCATGATGGAATGGTGCATCATCAGTCCGCGGGTCGTAGGTGAGATTACATCGTTGCCAAGGGAGGAGGAGGAGGTAGGATGGCCGGATGCCCAATTGTGTCGATGGGAAGCCTCTGGCGGCGTTGGACGCCAACAGGGTCAAGCCTAGTCGAATGGAATGCCGTCAAGGAGGATTCTGTCAACCATCAGAAGCGGGAGTGGGATTGCAGGCCGAGGTGGGCAGCGGCGCACAGCTGGTCAGTGGTTTGGCAGCGAGGTGGCCCGGTGGTCTGTGCTTTCGGAAAAAGATGAGATGGAGGGTGAGTGGAGGCGGCTGGGAGGTCAGAGGCCGGGCAATCAGGGCCGCTGCACAGCGCCACTGACGCCAATGGCTCAGGCTAGCTGCTCCACTTGGAGGTTTGCGACCGATGCCAGTGATACCGCGGGGTTCGGGCGGTTTGGTTGAACGAGGAGGTGCTGTGGAATGCCACAAGCAGCGAGACACGATCCCGCCTGAAGTCAGAGGTGAGACAGATGCGAAAACGACGATAGGGGGTGGTTGCTGCGAAGAGGGCAAACTCTGACGAGAGATGGTGTCGAGAATCCAAAGCCCAGTCAATTGACGTCGAAACAGACTTGGGCTGCGATGATGTCATAGGCTTGCCACGGGCCCTGAAACCCATTTCAGGCGACACGTGATGCAGGGGTGGTATTCAGCAGAAGCAGAGGTTGCAGCTCCAGCATCTGAGGGGGGCTGTGTCAACAGCAGGGATCCGGTACAGCAATCTACTGCCACGGGGCAGAGTTGCCCAAGACTGCTGTGCAGGGCAAGAAAACATCCCAATTCGTGATTGATAGCGTCTTCTGCATTGGATATCTAGCTTCCTAATGCTGTTGGCTTGCTTCTGTCTCGCTAGCCCCAACTCTTTCCGAATAGTCTGCATGCCTGCATACGCACACAGCTGCGCCAACACTCAAGAGGCCCGCATTGCACACCGCTTGCGCTGCTTCAAACAGCTCTCCAAGAGCCCGAAGGACTCTCACCACCACACCCTTAGGCTGAATTACTCGAGCGCTTCCTCATTTCGGTAGATTAGGACACTTCAAGGCCGCCGCAAAGACACTTTGAGTCCACTCTGACGGACTAAAAAGAGTTCCTGCTTTCCGAATCGAAACCAATAATCCCACACATTGGTCCTTGATCATCGAGGCGCGCTTGTAGACAAACAAAAACAAGTATCTTTCGTAGAAAAAGCCATCATCTCTGGGTATCAGGTCATCATAATAAACGGTGTAAGTTTGCAGTAAACGAAGGTCGTGAATCGAAAGGTCATGGCATGGTCTTGATGCCAGTTGCCATATAGCCGCCTGCCCGGGCTTTTGAAATCCTGTCCCTTCTATCACCCGTTCCTTTTGGTTGTTGTACACTGGCATCGCGCGGCTCCATCGCGCGACGCTCGATAGTAATGTACATGGAGCAAGGGAAAAAGCAAACAACGAACTTGGTCAGGCGTGCCAAGATCATTATCAGCAAGGGGTTGGCGAATATCGCATTTTCTTGGATTTGGGGTCTTGGATACTGGGACGCATCATTTACTCCTCGATGTCCGAATGGCTGGCACTCGAGAGGGAGTCACCCTTGTGCACTTTCTTGTGTCGGCGCAAGTTGGAGACAACTGAGAAATGGCGTCCACAGCCCTCCACATCGCAGGCGAAGGGTTTTTCGCCCGTGTGGCTGTACATGTGTGTCTGCAGGGAGCTGGGCCGGGTAAATCGTTTGTCGCAGATCTTGCATTTGTGCTTCTTCTGGGTGTTGGCGGCCATCTTGGACGAAAATTGGCTCATCATTGATTGAGGTGCCGGGGGTCCAAGGGGAGGTCCCAACAGCTGGTTCGGGCGAGGCAGCGTCCGGGAAGCCGCCATGGATTCATAACCAGCGTCGGAGGCTGCGGAGCTGTAATCGGTGGCAGAATCGGTCACAGAGCCTACCGAGCTGGGCGCGTAGTAAGCATAGCCTCGACCAGATTCGTTCGAGATGGACGAATGGGCCGAAGAAGCTTGCGGAAATCCGTAGGAATCTGGCGGCGCTCTCTGGGCTCGAGCCTCGTAGATGTTGCGGGGGGTCAGATCTTGCAGATTTTGGTGGCTCAGCGCCAACATGCCCCGGGAGGCATCAAGTTCGCCAAAACTGGCATTTGCGGCACGAGAACTATCAACCCTGTACCGTGCGATTAGGACCATGTCTAGAATTGAGATTCCCAGAGTGGAACTTACGTGTCGGAGAGTTTCCTGTGTTGCTGTTGTTGCTGTTGCTGTTGCTGCTGGTGCATAGACTGTGCGTAGCTGAGGGAAGAGTACGATGGCGCATACGACGCAGAGGTCGCCGCCGGCGAAGAATAGGCTTGTTCGCCGTAGTTGGGGCGCGGCATGTCTTGAGGGTAACTTAGCAAATCCGTGCCAGAAAATCCAGTGCTGGAGTAGGCGCTACCTTGAGCCATTGAGCCAGTAACTGGAGGCATATGGGAGTAAGGCATGGAGATGCCAGATCTCGCACCGTCGGTCTTGGACAGAGCCGGAAAGGAAGAACTGGAGGTGCTGGTCTGATGAGACCACGGATCGCTAAATTGCGGCGTGGCGTGAATGTTGGGATACATATGATCGTATGTGATGCCGCCGTAGTGTCGACCTTGGTTGTCAATGACCATCGTCATGGAGCCGGTGTTTGCAAGAGCAAGTGCCACGAAGGTGAAGCGCGGTGATTTTAAGACCAAAGAGAGGCTTTGTTATGTGTTGCTATCGCAACAACGAATGCGTCAGTCACCAAGGTAGGCCCAGTTTTGAATCTGGTTCCTGAGGGAGAAGATGTGGAAGACGATCCAACTTTCCCAGAGGGGATCGGCGACTGTTATGTAGCTTCTTGTGTGGAGAACCTGGAGGTGGCCCGACTACCAATGGCAGGCCCCCAGTCGATCGATGTTGATCTTTTGCTGGAGTGGTCGATAGTAGCAGGGAGCAATGCCTCCTTGATGGTAATAGCTGTGAGTATGCTCGTCGCGGTTGAGTAGTTCTCCAACCAATTCGGCGAGCGGCAGATCGACAGGATTGGCTGAGGTAAAAAGAGCTGTGATGTCGAGAGGCGGTAACTGATGTCTCTTCAACCACACACAAGTTCGTCCCGGGCGGTAAAACTGGGTATTGGATAGATCTTCCGGTTCGGCGAAACAAAGTGTTGCAGTAGGTTAGATTGGATATCTCCTTTTGTTTTCCTTTGATGTCGACGCGGTTGTTGAGAAGTAGGGAGGGCGGATGTCGTCTTGTCTCAGGTTGCGGAATGTTAAGAGCAGATGAGATCTTTTGAGGTTTCAGAGAACAAGGTTGTCTCGCGCAAAGGGTGGGGAAAAGTCAGGGTAGATAAGTTGTTTTGGAAGCACCGAAGTTGACCGTAGCTTTTCGTTGAGCACAGGTTACGTCGGTGGAGGTGTGACCCTTTCTCTTTCGCACCGCTGGCTAGCAGTTCTTGGGCAACTGGCATCATCACAATTGTCGGTTTACCCTTGACCCTTCGCCCTCTCCCCTCGCCCTTGTTGTGCTTGGGCTCGTTTCTTGAATGCAGGGTGCTTAGCTCGAAGGCTTGTTGGATGGCGTTTCCAGTGGAGAATCCGAAAGCCAAATTGACTGGCGGAGGGAACCCTGGCAAGCCAGCCCGGAGGTTGGATGAAATCAGTGGGGTGGATTGAAGGGATGGGGAGGGGGGGAGGCACCTTGCTTGGCTTCAAGGAAAGTTGAAGATGAGAAGCAGGACACTTGGAGCGACAGGGATCCGGGGCTCTTGAGCAGAGTGGCCTAAAAGGGTGGGAATGAGGGCAATCGGCCTCTTGGGCTTGATCAGTTGCGTGTGTCGGTCGTGTTTGATTGGACCAAATCGGCTGTCTCGAATAGGATGGACTGTGTGGGCGACCAGCCCTGGTCCTAGTGAAGGCAAAGACCCTGTCCTTGCCCTAGAGATGAGGCTTAGGACGACAACAGAGACCAGGGTTATGACGATCGATGCAGGTGGGTGGGTAGCTAAACCAAAGCAGACGAGTGGATCAGTATCTTCATGCCAGATTGGAAGATGGTGGCTTGTTTTTGCCAGCCCAAAATTCCTGTCGTGGAGGAAGACAAGGATGCTGGCTTGATGATAGGAATGCCCGTGGTGTCATCGAAGCAACACAAAGGACCCAAAAGCTTACAGTCTTGTCAGAATTAAGGAGAGAAGCAGGCCAACAAGAAGAAATTATCCCCAAAGGTTATTGGTTACCATGGTCGACCAAAGCCTTTCAGCGATACATACAATCAACAAAACAACATGGATGAAGATTGCGATTCATCTTGTCTCTTGCCACGAAAGGACAGCTGCTGAGACTGTGAGCAGGATTCCCTCCACCCGCTCCTCTTCCTCCACCACTACTTTCAAACCACCAGTCACCCAACTAGGTACTCGAGCCCTCCCCCCAAGGGTGCGAATCGGTAGAATGCCTGTGGTGCCCAGTGGATATCCGGTTGACAGCGCTAGAGAGGCCTTGAAGCTTGGGGGTCAAAGAGCCGGGTGGCGTCTGTGCTGCAGCCATCCCGTTGCTTTTAGTGCTCTTAGGCGGGCCCTTCCCCCCCTTTAGTGCTTGGGTGCTTGGGTGCTTGGGCTTGATGCCCGGAGGCAAGCCTGGGAGGCGAAAAAAGGCTGGCCATGTCAATGCCCTCGTTGATTGACGGAAAGTGGCCGGACTGGAGATGGCACAAAAGCAGTCTAGCATGCTGCCACTACTGCACTCCGTTGGACTTCGGAGTATTCCTTGATGCGTCGTAGACTAGTGTGAGAGCAGCTGGCTGTACCTAGCTATCGATGGCGAGGTGAGGAGAAGGCGAAGGTAGCTCTGGGCCTGATGCTACTCATACTTGGAGGAGCCGAGCAGAGACAAAAGAAACGCGCAGTGGTCGAGGGTTAGGGACTGCAGGGCCGAGTACCGAGGAGTAACGACCAGAGAAGAACTTCCAACGGAGTACTGCGCACCGCCGACCTACCTGCAGAGACTTTGCTTTTTTGCTGGTCTAGTTTCATTGAAATGCGGTGTGCCCAGTTCTGCCAGTCCAGAGGTGAAAATTCATAATAGGTCAAAGCATCTTCCGTCCAAGCCAAACCCAAACAAGGACTCAACAGGTTCCCAGTTCTTCGTACTACCTAGTACCCTACCGAAGCGCCCACCAACCCCCCTTTCCCCCCTCCTTCTCTTCCCTTACGGGTGTCCTCCTAGGTGCCCCCCGTTCATGCAAGATGCAGCAACCTCGCAGGGCAGCGGCAGGCGGAACCTCACCACAGTTCCTCGTATCTCTAGCCGGTGGCTTGCTCTTGCAACCAATGTCCATTCGTCAAGCCAGTACTCAGAACAGAAGGAGTGCGATAGGGAACCCCTAGGTCCAAGTCAGGAAAGAAACCGCAAACGCCCCCTCAAGCCCTTTTCCCTTACAAGTGTTAGTTCCAGGTCGGATTGTTGCTTTGACCAACCTCAGCAAACAGATCCCCGTTGTCAACCGTTGGTCATTCCTACCTACGTCCCCGTTGACCAGAGTCTAATTCGCCTGAGCGTGATGCGACTTTCCTTTGTGATGGCATTTCTCATTCGAGTGCCCAGCACAACCGCCCCTCTCCCCCCCCCCCCCCCCCAAAAACCTTGAGCCCACCAACCCCTTTAATTGTCCAATGGACTCCGTGCCCTCCAATCTTGTCGACTGCAGGGATCTGATCGCAGTATCCCCTGTGCCCGTGCTCCCTCCCTCCTTTACGAGCGCCACTGACGCTATCTGTGATGCAGCTCCCCCTCTTAGGTGTCCCCCATCGACTCCCCTGCTCCGACGCCCTCTCCGCCTTTTCGTGCTAAGTCTTTGTGCAGGAGCTTGTCGGGGCAGAGAAAGAACCAATAGAACTACGCTGGTGTCATTGCTATCACTCCTTGACCTACCTTTGGCGGGTCACTCTTCCAGTACCCGGACATCCCTGTAGATTAACCCAAGTTCGGTTTGACGTCTTGGGTTCCCCATACTAAATACTGATACCATGTCCGTTGGCACGGAGTACCTGTATATCCACAAGTGTCGCCGCCCTGACCTGTGCAAAGTGCCTGCGAGACCTTGTGCCGATTGCCGGGTGCCATTGGGGATTGTACCTCCATCCTGGACCAATACTGCGCCTGCATCGATAGAACCCCTCGAGGCAAGTCAGTGCTCACAAGGACTGTGCATTTGATAATGAGGGGGCAATTCCCTGTCGTTAGCCTCGCCTCGTCTCAGATTGATAGCGAATGCATGCAATTCTCGGAGAATAGTTTGAACTCCATTTTGCTGATCTGTCTCTCTGCCGAAGGGCTTCGGCGGCAGATGGACTTCACGTGAAGCAGCTGGATGCTTGTCCACGCTGATCCCGCCGCCTAGCTTCAGTTTTCTATACTCCTATGCAATCTTGGAATGCGTCAGTGACGCTCGCGGGCACTCTCTGTGTCACGCTGGGCGTGTCTACATCGTCACCACGCCAAGGGACCCAGCGCTCCTAAATTGACTGTGGAGTCAGCATATCCAAGTAGCGTCGCCCCAAGTTCCAAATGCTTCATTTCAAGATACAGCGAGGGTGCTACATCCCTGTATCCGCAGGGATCAAAATGTTGATGCGGCGCGTTGTTGTACCCAACTGGTGCGTCCAGTCGGATTCGTCGCCACCTTCTGGACCCCAGATCTCAGGTGTTGCTCAGCCTCCTCCTTCTGGAACAACCGCCTAATAGCTGGCCAAGTTTCACAGATGCTGGTCCTCGCCGCTGCAGTCCCTGCAGACACGCAGACACCTACCACCTCTTCATACGTAAAACAGTGTCTGGGTGCCGACGCAGGGTCCACGAAACCTGGCATCACGGTGGCCTTTCGCGCACGAAGGATGACGTCTTCCGGGGCGGTTGACCAGTATTGTGTCCCAGTCCCTTGATTTAGCGGTCGTCTGTTTTTTTTTTTTGGCCCAATTTCTTCTGCCTCTTGCTTTGACCAGTGGTCAGGTAAGGCCCTCTGTACTCCCTGGTCTAGTGCTCTCTCCCTTTTTCCAAAGATTGCGCCTATCCATCGCGCTTTCAAATGTTCTCGCTCCGCAATAATGGTCGGCGCTAGAGTATAACTTCTCCACTACCTTGGCCGGAGATTTCCTGGATTCTGTTGATGAGGCGTCGGCAAGGACCAGTGGGACCAAAACATGAAACGCAGCCATTGCCTCCTAGATGGCTGGGCTGTCAGGACGCCGAGTCCACTTGCGGCAATCACGACAGCCGGACAGCGGGTGGCGCTCGTCTCTGACCGAGTCAGAAGCCCTGCGTCCACATCCTAGCAACTTCTTTCTCTCAACGTCATACAGCCTATTCTGGAGGTGGTGGGAGGAGACGTGTCATTGGTTCAGTGTAGGCCGAATTGGTGAGGCATCAGGCTTTACTCCGTAGTCAAGTCCCTGTGGCAGGCGAGGAAGGGTCTTTGAGATCAGTGTCACGATCAAAAGCACGAATGGTACACTGACCTCAGGGATGATGATGCAATAATACGGGGCCTGCTCAGAACCTGTTTTTGGAGGGTCTCCCATCACGCAGCATCCCAGAGTTGGGATTATCGGGCGACAACAGAGTTGACAAGCGCAAGAGCCGAAGAGAGCGGTGGGGCCAAACATCGCCAGCAGTACCGCGTATTCTGTCTGGGATCACAGAGAAGCTGTCCGAGCTCCGGAATCTACGAGTAAGGATTCCCGGGGTGGAAGGCGGTTCAATGTGTGATTGGAACCTGGATGTGGTGATAGAATCTGCGGTTGTCAGCGTCAACAAGCCACACTGTTCTTTCGGTCATAGTTTCAGAGGGTGGCCCGTGTCTGATGCCGCTGTTTGGTTGCAGGACCGACTTTGGGGATTAAACCTCGATTTTCTTTTTGGCTGTGAATCCTCATTTTGCGCTGGATGGGAACCGCTAGAGCTTACCAGAGTCTACAAAGAGACTTTTGAAAGGTGCAGGCAGGCTGCCCCCTAGACCCAGAGGGACCCCGCCCAACCCATCTCCGCTCCAGAAATCCACCTAGGTCCTAGGTACCTTCCAAGTGGCCCCGGTTCTTGGTTGTCCATCCCCTCTAGCTACGTCCCAAGCCCTAAAACTTTGACGTTCGGGGAGGCTACTAGGCGAACCAGCGACCCAAGAGGGCATAGCCCTCACCCCGAAATGGACTTGGGCTTGCAGAGGGTGCAGAAAACAGCGGTCAGATGTCGCCCCCTTTCGTTCTCGGTCTCTGCTCTAGGATCCGAGCCACAAGCGCATAGCGAAATTTGTTGACACTCGCTGTCGCCAGTCCACCTTTCCGCTTCCGAGGGTGACTGCTTGTGCGCCCTTGAACTGGCCGGCAAGCCTTGCTCTGTTGTGATGGGCCTGGCTTCTTAGAGTTGACAACCAAGCAGCCATCGCAGATCTAGCAGGCGCCACATCTTGTCTGCATTGCGCGTCAGTCAACACCGACCGAGTTTCAACTACGCGCAGATACTCGGACCATCACAGGTGCTTCCTGCAGGATCAAATTTCGGTAGCAAATCTTTTCATCACGTTTTACGTACTCTGCAAAAGGCCATCTCAGAAACTAGCTCGATGCTTTGACCATCGGCCTGCGCGGTGAGCAATGACCTCCTTGTTCGCAGGTCCGGGAGTTCAAGGAGGAAAACAACCGAGCGTCGATGCGCCATCTTCTCGCTTTCTCTAGTGTCCCAAGCGCTTACGAGATTTATTTTCCGTCTTCTAGTTCATCTGGGCGTCGGAATCAATGGCGACAATCCTCCTTGACCAGGGTGTCAAATTGAGCCACTGCTTTCGATCGTGCCGTGTACCTATGGAGCATAACTAGAGCCTTGCGGCACGTCTCATGAAGCGAGCCTGACGAGGAACCCGCAATTTGGGAGAAGAACGTCCGATGGAAGGAAATCAACAATTGCCCAAAGGGTTCAAGTAGACGAGTTCGCCGAACGCCTTAGGTCCCCGAAGCAGAACTGCAAGCTCCAGAGGACCAACCCTTGGCCCAAAGGGGTGCATACAAGGGATGCCAGCAAGCCTAGACTTCTGCCAATGCCGGCTATTCTATCCGCCAGCAGTCCACTATGATTGAACAGGCTTCTGCCCAGGCTCCCGGTGTAGGGATGGGAGTGGCATGTGAGGTGGAAGCTGCAAACTACCAATACTCAGAGCAAAGATATCCAATCCACCCATTTCAGTGAGATGTCGATGAAACGACTGATCTTCAGATGATAGGCGATCGCAACACGTGCCGGACCCTCGCAATATTTCTGCGGGAGATGGACATCGAGCAACAATTGCACGACTTTGCGGACCGAGGCTGATCTGGCGATCATGATCGACGAGGCTCTTACCCATCGGCCCACAAGTATGACAAGGCTGAAAGCATCCAAAGACGTCCACAAGGAGGGCACGTTCGACAACGGTCTACAGATCTCTGCTCGATGTGACAAGAAATCAGGGAACCCCGCCCTAACGTATCCTCTTGAGCTTTTCGGTCTGGAAATGAAGTCGATCGTCGAACCGGTCGCTCTACGGTATGGTCAGCGAAGTTCATGAACGCGGGAACAAAAGAACAAACGCACCTTCTCCGCAATGTTTGTGATTAGTGTATTCTGGGCTTCAACTTCTTCTCCTGTGGCACGAGCGAGGAGATTAAGACGTTTGGCTGCCCCAGTGAGCTCGTCGAGGTTCCGGTCAATCTCGTTCTCCATCGCCTCATCCTCGCTGTCGGCCTCGAATTGGTACTTGGCCCTTTCAGCCAGACTCGTCTTTGTCGCGCTCCCGGCTGAAGCATCGTCCAGCCCCTTGAAATTTTGATTCATCCGTTGAGTGCTCCTGAAAGCGGCCTCTCGAGTAGCTTCACGCGCCTCTCTCTCTGCATGATGGCGTTCCATGATTTGTTCATCTCGGCGCGCACGTCGATCGTTGGCAGTGAAAGGATTGTTGACGTGGACTGCGAACATGCTGCGGTTCAACGTCTTGAGCTCTTTTGTCTTGTCCTCGGCGATGTTGATATAATTATTTCCGAGGTCAAGATTCCGATCCGTGTTATGCATTCTCTCGCCTTGTGCACCGAGTCTGGCCAGGGTATTTCGCCCCATCTCTTCAGCTTGAGCAGCAATTCGAAGCGCGTTTCTCGTTGATGCCACATCTTGCTGCTTCATGAACTTGATGTCTTGTTTCACAGCATTGATATCCTCTTCCTCCTCTTCTTCTGCGGTGAGTTGACGATCGCCATATGCTCCGTAGGTACGGTCACCAGCATCACCGCCAGAATTATATTCATAGTCAGGAGGGCCACTTGTTTGGTTTTGCTGCTTTTGTTCAAGCCGTTCTCGTGCTCCGCCGAACAACTCGTCCCGATTGTTGTCGTTCTCGTAGACGTTAGAGGAACCCAACCCTCCATAGCCACCCTGCCGTGAGGTGCCACTGGTCTGTTGGACGCTTGCATATGGGTTGCCGCCAGGTGCACCGCCGCCATAGCCATTCTGATTCCCGAATTTGTCTGAGCCGTATCCACTACCACCTCCATAACCACCTTGGGCAGGACCATATTTATTGTCTCCGCCAAAACTGCCAGATGATGCACCACCGTACGCATTATCCCTTCCGTATGGCGGCCGCTGTTGACCTGGACCAGGCAAGCCGTTGAAATTGCCAGGGCCTGGAGGGCCTCCTTGGCCTGCAGGAGGCATAATTCCAGCGCTCATCTTAGCCTTTGTGTAGGGGTCTGGAGGAACAGCTGGCTGTGCATAAGGGTTTGCGGACGCATAAGGATTCTGGGAAGGAGGAGCTGGAGATTTGCTCTTGGATCTGGAGCCAAACAGAGCGAGTCTGCTGGAATCGTCGTCGTCGTCGCCTCTCCGGAGGCTGAATTTACCCATCTCTGCGAGACCTAGAGCACCATGCAGTGACGAGATACGGGAGGCAAGGGTATGGAGAAATAAATCAGGCGATAAAGAAGTTTAGTCAAGGACAGATATGTTCAGCCTTTGTGAAGCTGATATAGGATCTCGAGCTGAAACAGGCGGACGTGGCAGGATGGGCAGTGCACCCTCACTTCGATTGTAGTCTCGACCCCCAACAGCAGTCAGCCTGCGGTCTAGTTACGGATTTGATCTCACTCCGCCTCAGGGGCTTCTTGACCAATGGAGTGGCGTTGTCGGCCTCGAGGTCTTGGCTAGTTTGTCACCAACTCAAACCCGCCTCCGAGCAAAACGGGGTTTCGTGAAACTCGTTCGGTTTGAATTCGATCCCGGTGAGCAGATCGCGACAGCTTGTTACCAAACATGAGATAAAGCCTACATCCAGAGAGAGGCCTAATGGCCCCCAACATAGACAAAGAAGCGGAGCATCTCCGGAACAAAGCCAGAAAAGAGCTCCTCGGATTGCTTGAAGGCGTGAGTAAGGAGGTACCGTTCAACGTTGCTCGCCTTCGTGCTAATCCAGGATCAGGTCCGCGGCAAGAAGAACTTGGTCATCGGGAAGGATTTGACTGGACTCCTTAGCCTTTTCGTGCAATTCCCAACGCTGAAGGAATATGGAGTGGACAAAGTCTTCGAACTCGAAAATGGCAACACCGACTCGTCACAAAGAAATGTCGTGTACCTGGTCCATGGCGAAAAAGCTAGCTTGGTCCAGGCCGTAGCAGGTGCGTCTTTGAAATGTTTGTTACGTCTTCATCCGGGACTTACAAGGAGACTGCGTGGATTATTTCTTCTGTGCCTTGCTGTCAGTCTAGCTCCCAATATCAACAGGATTCACACCATAATAGCAGCGTCTCCATTTAAAGATCCTCTGCATTCGATGAATATGACAGAGGATAACAGCTCCTGCTGACACCACATAATACAGAGCAAATCAAGAAACTTCAGAAGAATGGCTCGGTCGAACACGAAATATCCGTATGCTGGGTGCCTCGAAGAACTCTAGTGTCGAACAGAATTCTGGAGGATGAGGGCATTCTGGGGGATGTCAATGTCTCGGAACTTCCTATATACTTCCTTCCTTTGGAGGACGACATGCTCTCGCTGGAAATGGAAGAAGCATTTAATGATTTATATCTGGTAGGTTTGCTTGATACGGACAGAGAAGCGCCTGTTTTTTGCTCACAGCAGCACAGCGACGTGATCCTTCTCCTCTGTACCTTGCTTCGAAAGCTCTGATGCAGATTCAACAGCGACATGGTTTGTTTCCTCGGATTTTGGGCAAAGGCGACAATGCCAGACAACTTGCAAACCTCCTACTGCGAGGGAGGAAGGAGCTTGACGCGGACGAAGCTGCGACGCAATATACCAACATGCCGAGTACCTCGATTGAACAGCTGATCATAATTGATCGGGACGTCGATTTTGCCTCGGTCTTATTGACCCAACTGACCTACGAGGGTTTGATTGATGAGCTGGTCGGCATCAAGCACAACCGTGCAGAAGTTGATTCGGCTGTCGTCGGCGCAGCTCCCCAGCAGCGATCGCAAACCGGCTCTTCCTCGACATCTCCGCCTCCAGCCGTTCGCCAGGGTCTCAAGCGTAGGATCCAGCTGGACTCGTCCGACTCGCTGTTTGAACAGCTGCGTTCCTCCAACTTCGCCTTGATCGGACCTCATCTGAACAAAATAGCGAGACGTCTAGAGTCGGACTATGAAGGCCGCCACACTGCTCGCGGTATCAACGAGCTACGGGATTTTGTCAACAAATTGCCAGGCTTTCAACAGGAGCACCAATCCCTAGCCATTCACACCAATCTTGCGGACGATATGAGCAAGCACACTCGCTCCGAGACCTTTAACCGCGAGCTGGAAGTCCAGCAGAATATCGCAGCCGGAACGGACCCAATTTACCAACACGACACTATTGAAGAGCTGATAGCCCGAGATGCGCCCTTGTCTACCATCCTTCGCCTTCTCTGCCTCGAATCAACCATTGCCGGCGGTCTGCGCCCCAAGGACTTAGAGTCATTTCGGCGCCAGATCCTACACGCCTACGGCTTCCAACATCTCCTTACACTCGACAAGTTGCAGACCATGGAACTTCTTCAGCCCCGCTCATCCAGCTCAGCTTTACTCCTTCCAGTCGGCGGCGCCGGGGTCCATTCAGAGAAGGGCACGAAGACAAACTATGGCTATCTGCGCAAAGAACTGAGGTTAATTGTTGATGAGTATAACGAACAGGACCCCGAGGACATCGCATACGTGTATTCTGGCTACGCGCCCCTAAGCATACGCATAGTGCAGTGCATCTTACAGAAACAATATCTTCAAACCCTGCACAAGTCACCTTTACCCCTCACACCCTCTAGCACAGGATGGACGGGCTTTGAAGACATCCTGAAGTCCGCAAGGGGGCCGACTTTCAACATCGCACAAAAACCGGCAGACGAGAAGGCAGCCAAGGCGAAGACTGCACTTGCGGGCACGGGAAATTGGAAGACACTGTTTGTCATGTTTGTGGGAGGTATCACCTTTACGGAAATTGCAGCATTGAGATTCATCGGACGAAAGCTGGCTGAGTCGGGACAGAGGAAGAAGATCGTCATTTGCACCACTGGCATCATTAGTGGGAGGAGTATTATGGAAGGTGTAATTGAGAAATCCAATCTGGGGTCGGGCATTGTCGCGGCCTGAATCACACTCTGAGGCAGCCTCAGATTTTCGGGCTTGAGGCCTTGTCAACGCTGAATTCAGCTTTCACGCCCAGATGGTCAGTGACCCAGCCTGCCTCCATCCCTTCTTCCTTGATCAAAGCCTGCTTGACATTGTCTTCTTCGGCTTCGACCCCCATGCCGAAACGCTCGAATTTCTCGCATTTCAACTGTCCACAGAAGAACAACTTGTCCATTCGACTGCACCCAAACATGTTCCTCTGCCTAGTCGGAGCCATTTGGCCCCAGGTGTATCCTTGATCAGTATCTTCCTTCCCGCCAAGTGACAAATAGGCGTCTTGGAGATTATTGTCCGAATGGAGTGTCTTGTCGAAGTCCTGAATGGCATTCAGATCTCCCCCGAGAACACTGCCGCTTGCCTCTGGGTCATGCATCCATTTGGCGGCGGTTGCGAGTTGGTGAGGTCGCTTTGGCGGATCTGCGATCAACGACTCCAGGTGGGTATTGCAGATGCGGATGATCTGGCCGTTGCCAAAAATCACATCGACGAACAGGCCGTCTCTCTCCATGACTGTCTGCTCGTAATGAACACGGAAGACGGAAGTGATGGGCAAGACCTTTGGAACGAGCGTGCAGGTGCCATAGTGCCCAGATTCCCAGTACTTGTTGTCTATATCGGTCATGTTATAGTTGGCTCGAACCCACGGTAGGGTCTGCAGTAATGCCAGGTCGGTCTCAAGCATTTCCTGCAGCATGATAACGCTGGGGAGCGAGGTGCCCTCCACATGAGATTGCAGGTGCTTGAGAGCAGCTCGCATCCGTTCATCCGTGAAAGGCAGCATGAAGTCGATGTTCCATGACAGGAGCATAAACCCAGAGAACCCTGGCACCTCTGGAGCGTTCTTGGACGGAGCGACTTGCTGCCATGAGGACGTGTCGGGCGAGAAAGAGAAGTAGTGCTGATCGAATCTTTCCTGCCGTTTCCAAGGATGCGACGATTTCTTCTTGGACTCGATGAGTTCGATGATCTTCTTCAATTTAGGGTCCATGCCTGCCCGTCGTGAGGTAGCTTGCTATCTATAACCGTGGAACCTGATGTAGATGTACGGTCTAGGCCGAACAATGATGACCCGGATGATGTTCCCTGCAGCCTTTATACTCCTGTGAAGATCTAGAAACTCGGAAAAACCGGTCATGGACCTCTGTCAGAACTTACTCACCAGCAATATATAATCTTAGAAGAGCTCAGGCAGCCAGCACAGGATGATGGAAAGGTGTTGAAGCGATGGCATTGTCCAGCCGAGGTCTGTGTGAACATGTCAGATGATTGGGTGCGCATGGGGACCAGTCGAATGTGGAATCTCGAGCACTCGCGCGCACCGCACCTCATTCTGCAAGTCAACGTCTCCTCCGCCTCCATCTCCTTGTTCTCCGACTAGAGTGCAGTCCTTCGCCAGGCACGCTCAGACAGGGGTAGAGAAAGTCGCGCCAATCCTCCATCGTCAACATCACCTCGGACTCGTATTCCATCATCAGGCATGACTGCCGAAAACTTCCTTCCACCTCTCGGATGTATCAGAAATGTCAGAGCCGAGTCCTGCTAGTCAAGCCCCAGCCAAACGACCAAGGCCGGTCATCTCCTGCCTGGAGTGCAGACGGAAAAAGCTGCGTTGTTCTCGTTCGCATCCCTGCCAGCAATGTGTCAAGATTGGACGCCCCGGCAAATGCGAATACCAGGTCGGTCAAGAACCCGAGCCAAACATCGAGTATTCAGCGGCCCTGAGCGCACCGAACAAGCGGCAGCGCCTCGAACCCCCTGCTATCATTGAAGGAGGTGGAAGTGACCTGGCGCGGAATGCTCTGTCCGACCAAGGTCCTCCCCCGGTGAGCCACGGTATTATCGAGGATCTCCAGGACAGGGTGTCCAGGCTGGAGAGGGCTTTGCTGGCTCAAAGCACCGGGCGCAATGGCGAGCCAGCTATCAGTCAAAGTTCACCAATCCGTCCTTCCGCAGACGACTTTGTTTGCCCTGAAAAGCCCTTGAACAGGCTCACTCAGATGAGCTCGCAGGTGAGCCTCGTGCAAGAACTACAGCGGATTTGTCCCCCTCGCATTCTCAGTACTGACCCAGATAGTTCAACGATGCTTGTGCGTTCATGGTCAAGCTGCAGAATGATGCAACTACTCCTAAGATGATGGCGCTGCGAAGAAGATTGAAAGACTTGAACTACTCTGCTGAGAAGAATCACACCGCACAACATTCACGGCCTCCACCAGCGTCCTCCATCGGCCGGTCCCCTCTACAGCTGCCGCCGTTCGATGTGTGCGAAAAGCTAGCGATCCTCTACTTCGACAACATGGAACATTGTTTTCGAATCCTGCATTTCCCCGAATTCAGAGATCAGCTACGCGTCTACTTTTCAGAGGGCGAGCACGCTTGCAGGTTTGGTTTTGTTCCGCAGCTGGTCGGTGTCCTGGCAGTCGCCGTCATCCTTGGTACTCATGGAGAATGCGAAGCAGCTCGATCATGCATGGCCATCAAGCCTGACGATGCATTGCAATTCATGAAGAATTTCCTTCGAGACCTACAGAACACTGAGAGATACCGCTTGCCAGCTCTGCAGGTCAAAATGCTTCTTCTCATTTGCGGCTGGCTGAACTTGGATCCAATGGATGATCTTTTTCGACTGAATGGTGAGCTTCTCCGCGATGCCTTGGTCATGAAGATGGACCAAGACCCCATGACTCTGCCGGGGATCAGCGTGTTCGAAGGAGAACTGCGGCGGCGCAACTGGATGACTATTGTTGAATGCGACCTCATGCTGTCAATCCTGTGCAAGATGCCCTGCTTGGTCCCGTCGTACACTTCCAAGCCCCCCAGGAATGTCAACGATGAAGAAATATTCGAGGGCATGCGGAGACTACCTCCATCGCGACCTACGAAGGATTGGACTGATGGTCTGTGCCAATATCTCCTCGCCCAGTCATTTCCACGCCGGGTCGCAGCTTGCAAGCAAATCGACGATGCGGCCCATATCAAGACTGAAGACGTCCTCCAGCACACTCGCTACCTGGAAAAAGTGCTGCAAGACCTTCCTCCGCCATTACGCTTCAATTATACAGGTGATGCAGCGAGCAAGACTCCGCCCCGGCTGATGGCCCGGATGGAACTTGACATCAGCATCAGGCGACCCCTGATGCACCTATATTCGCGCTGCATTCTTTCACCCGACATGGGCGAGCTGGAGCGAGAGGTGAGAGCCGGCTATCTCCAAAGCTGCCTGATGCTCGCAAACTACCAAGACCTTTTCGACCCGCAATACTCGGAGCTCAACGTACCTAGGCCGCAAGGATACTGGGACTTCTTCTACACTTGCTACAGACAGGAACTGGGCCAGGCGATCCTGGGGATCTGTCTCGAGATCAAGAAGCTCGACCCCGCCGCCGAGGCAAACGCTGGTGCGGCCCGCACCACCCAGCCAGCAATGTCGCCGGATGGCGCAAACGACAACAGCGTCGTCAGAGCGCCCTCATATACGCAAAGCAGTCTGATATATGCAGCCAAGGACACGTTGGAGCCGATGACCCGTCGGCTGCCATACCGCGGCTCCAAAGTCAAAGACATTGTCTACTACAACATCATCCTAACATCGCTGTTGCCACAACGTCCTGGCCAGAGCAGGGAAGCGATGATCCTGGAAAGACTCCAGGAGCTAGTACGTGAGTGTCAAGCCGAGCTGGAACGAGCGCACGTCCAGATCATTGCGGCTCCGGCAGACGAGCACGGCGCAGAGCCTACTGTTGATTACACTTCCTACGTGGGGACCAGCTTCGATCCCGTGTGGGAGAGTTTCCCAAAGATCGACATTTTTGAGCGCTTTGATCTAGACGAGCTGTGAGACGTTGCTGATACTTTGAAATATGATTCCACCCCCTCCCCAATCATTCTCTGCCAATTTGGGGGCGAACCCCCAACCCTCTATAGCGTGCCACGAATCGGCTCTTTGTCGACGCTCTCCTTCTTATGCGTCGCCCATGGCGTGATGCGCCTAGAAAGGTTCCACGCACAATAACAGTCATCTAGCAGGCTTGAGTATGCCGGGTGATCTCCTACGACCAAATTTCTCGAAGCTTACTGCGTTGACATAATCAATGGGGCGTCTCACATCTTTTGTATCCATTAGAGTCAGCACCGGCCTGACGCGTGCCCGCTACATAGAGGAACATACTTCAAGGCCCTCCGATGACCGGGTTGGTTTTCGCTGGACGTGCTTCCGGAGTCTGTCAGAGCGCTTCTAGTTTGAGATCACCAGCATGGCGGCCATGTTGTGCTACGAACACTTGACACAAGGCTGATGATCTCCGGAAATCCAGCATTGGTCGTTAGGTAAGTCAAGCTCTTCCTGGGAAGCTGCAACATCGAGGACACGCTTCGAAACCCGGGGGCACTTTTGGTTCCCCGTAGACGCCAAAATGACTTCGAATTTCCACGTCGCCATCATCGGCGCCGGTCTCGCCGGCTTGGGAATGGCGCTTGCTCTCCACGCACACTCAATCCGGTGCACAGTCTACGAACAGACGCCTTCGGCTGGCCGTTTTGCTGGAGCGGTCATGCTGGCGCCCAACAGCCTGCGCATCCTCGACAGGTACGGCGTGTATCCCCAGCTTTGCGAGCAGGGGTTCAATTTCGCGGTCGTCGAGATCAGGGACTCAGAAGGCAATGTGAAAGACAGCGGCTTCTACCTGGGGTCTCGCGAACTGTTTGGGTATGATGCGCTGAGGGTGTATCGGAATGCGATTCTCAAGGTGCTTTCGGCGGCGTGCGCTGAGAGGCAGATCGAGGTTGTCTACGGCAAGAGATTCTCCAAAGTCCTATCCGAGGACGAAGGTGGAGTGGACTTCAGATTCCAGGATGGAACCACGGCTCACGCGGACGTCTTGATCGCCGCGGACGGGATACACAGTAAGATCCGGACGTTGCTGTTTCCGCAGTCCAACCCTGAATACAACGGAGTCCTCGTGGTCTGCGGCGCCGTCAAGGCATCGTCCCTCCAAGGAGCGGGGGCCGGGCACGACGAGGCCACCACCGTTGCCATGCTCGAAGGCCGAAACGGTGTCGGAGCTTTCCTCCTGGGTCCACAGCTTCCCGATGCCAGTGAGCTTCTCGCTGGCACGCAACGTGCCTTTCCTCCTCAGACACGCGAGGAATGGGCCCGCCTCTCCGCGGATCGAGACTTTCACCTCGCATTTCTCCGCGAGGGCTACGGGGGCCGGTTACCCGTCGTCCAGAGCGCGGTGGATAACATCGTGCCCGGAAGCACGTACATCTGGCCGCTGCAGACTTTGTCCCGATTGGAGAGATGGTGGTCGTCGTCGTCCCAAAACGACGATGGTGGCGAGGGAGGTGGCCGGGTGATCTTGATCGGAGATGCGGCGCACGCGATGCCGCCCACGAGTGGCCAGGGCGCGAACCAGGCCTTTGAAGATGGCTGGACGCTCGCTCGAGTCCTCCACGCCGTGTTCAACAGCGCCGCCAACGCTGGAAGCGCGGGCTTAAGGGGCGCGAGCGTCGGCGGGAAGTTATGCGAATCGTTGCGGGAATGGCACCGACGTAGACAAGAGAGGATCGACGAGATCCTCAAGCTGACGCAGCGGATGCATAACTTGCGATTGCCGATCGAAGAACAGCGGAGGTTGAACGACGGCGAGGTGTACAAGTCTCTCCCGAGATCCCAAGCTCAGGTTGAGCGTGGAGCCGACATGGACGGTGCGGGTGAGAAAGCCGTGGTCGAGCAATGGGGGTGGCTGTACTGTCCAGAGGATCTCGTGAACGACTTGAAGATGGAATCGCAATGACGCCGACGAGGGACCCTGCAGGGATGAAGGAAATGCCATCTGCCTAAGATGCGATGAAGACAAGACCGTAGGTTTCGAGCAGGTAAACGGCGTATGGTTCAGGGCGACACAACAGAACATGAACTAGAGCCAAGGGGACAACAGTTTTGGATGTTCAAGGCTCTGATAGTAGAACTAGCTGAGAAGATACCCGAAATAGCCCTTCATGCAATGTTGAAATATGCTGTGGTGACAAAAATCCGTTTCTATGTCTATTGGAATGCCCGGCGCCGCCCGTTTTATGCATGCTTGAACTTTTTGAATATGCCGCAGATTTTGATCGTGCGTCGAAGTCCCCTGAGCTCTAAAGCACGCCACGTGTCGAATCCAAATGCTCATCTTCATGTTAAGTCGTTTCTTTCGGCGTCAGCACAGAGAAAGACTGTTGTGCCGCTTGTTTCCATGTCTTCGTGTTGACTCTCACTAAGCTGAATCAGGTCGACCACGAACCCAATACATATTGGGATGCATAGCCTTTTCGCCTAGCTCCAGGGTGGGGAGGCCTATATATGCCCACGTTGTTGGAAGCTTCTGCCGGCTCTCGATGATTTCCTCAAGCCTTGTTGATGTGCCGTTATGCAGTGAGTGAACGATCCGATGGTCTTTGTCGCTCACCTCTAGGTTATCAGCCGAGATACCTCCGCAACGCCTCGTAGATGCTGAAAATGATCGCTGAACTTGGAGCCGCGCGGAACACCGTGATCCCGCAGCCTCGATAGAATCCCTTGACTCCCTGTTCCCGCCATAAATCTCGGCCCGTCGAAAGAAACGTTAGCCTGGTTTGTCCCGCGATGACATCGGTGCTGGACGTCTGCATGCGGGACTTGATTGTATCGGCCGGATAAAAGACGAAATTGTACGACATCCCTGCCGCTGCCCCTGCAACCATCTGCTGCCACACTTTAACGTCTGATACATGGTTCACAGCAGGGTCCGAGCGGAGGAACAACATTTTAACACCTTCGTAAGAGCCGAACCATGCCGCTGAACCGCCTGTTTCACGGATGAGCGTGCCAAGCTGGCCATGCCAGAAGCCGAGAAGCCCTTGCGAGCGGAAGATTGTGGTTATGAGTTGCATGGGCCCAAGTGGACGAGTCGTTGTGTAACCAAGCTTGGAGGCGAGGTTGGAAGGGGGCAAGGGGACTTGCATCTTGCATTTTATGAGTTCGATGGGCGTGAGGAGGAGGGAGGTGAAGGCTCCTGAGGCGGCGCCGCAGCCAACAAGGTAAGAAAAGGGGAGTTCGATCTTGTCGTGGGGATTTCGATCTCGTTGAGCGCGCAGAGCCGGGGTGGCTCCCACAACAATGTCTTGGGCGATTCGATAGCTGAAGAACAAGGAAGATGTTTCGATTGCAGCACCAAGCAGAGGGGCACTGATCCCTCTATACAGTGACACGAGAGGCCCCTCAGGCGACCGAAACGCAGCGGAGAAGGCATCAAGGGGGCCTTGTAACCTGGGGACTGCGCCAGCCTCGTGTGATTGGGCTTGGAGTCGGACCTTGACCGTGTCAAACGGATATTCCACGAACTTCCCCAGTATCCCAGCTGTTGATCCATAGGCTATGTCCTTAAGCGCTTCCAGGCTCTGGCTTGGAGGGGTGAGCAGGAGCTCTGACTGTTGGTGGGTGGACGTGCTAGGCTTGTGACCATTGCTCTGGTCGAAGCCAGAGACTGACTGCAGCTCATCTTTGAAGGCCGCCATGCAGAGGATAGGTGTGAGGAGCGGAACCAAGGAAGGCTATCGTAATAACATATTGCAATATGTGTGCGAGAGGGGCTCCCTGAAGCGAGGGAAGAGCGGTGTCGGGTGCGAAAATGGAGTGGAGTTTGAAGTGCACGGAAAGACCAGTGAACGGACTGGCTGTAGAACTTGCTCGAGGAAAATTTTATGCCCAGGATCGAGGACAAGACTGCCAATTTATAGCGGGAGGGAACGGCGGCAGCTCAAAGCTGTTCATGAAGTGTTGCATTCATCTTTGCAACCTCGAAATCGAGGGGTCCGCCAGTTGTGTCTTGGGCAGTGGAGTGAAAGGCAAAAAAAGATTTTGCGGGCAAAATTGCGATGATCGGAAACGCCTCAGGTGCCAAAACGCGCAACTGTCTGACAGGTCCAAAACAAGGCTCCAAGAGGCTATTGCCGCCAGCCCTCGGTTTCGTGAGGAAGATTCACAGAGTCAGACAAAGGTATTTCTTACTCAGGGTAACTGTAGATAAGATAAGATAAGAAATATTTTGCCAGCCACCACCAATTGTCATACTTGTTAGTCCTGTCCTGTGTTCATTTCCTTGAAAGGGTTACCTTTATGAGTTTGAGCTTCGAAGAGTCCTATTATAGCTTGTGGACACTGCTAGAGGAGATAATACTGGAAACATGTCCGTCGTTCAGTTATCGCCAGCTGGGACAACAATGCCCACAGCAGAATCTTCTACAGCGAAAGCCGCGACTGAACCTGTCCAAAGGATTGGAATGAGAGTCAATGGTACAGTACATATGCTGAAATATATTCTGTGAAACTCATTGGATGGACAGGCAAGAACTGGCACGCTCCGAAAAAGCCTTTCCGCCCGACGGCCGGGAAAACGACCTATGTCAAACGAAAAGAACAAGAAACGCTTAAACAAGCCACCAAGGCTCGCGAACAAGAAATGAGAGAAGAAAAAGAGGCCGAACGAAGTCGCCGTGTTCAGGCAATCAAGGACAGGCGGAAAGCCAAAGAGGAGAAGGAGCGCTATGACAAGATGGCGGAGAAAATGCACAAGAAATTAGTGGAGAGGAGGAAGCGAAGAGAAAAGAGGAACAAGTTGCTGAAAAGTTGAGGAATTCTTTTTGAGCTGGAATTACAATCGACAATTCAGTCACGACCATCTATCGAAATTGACAGGGTCGCTCATCATCTGGCTCCACACAAGTCATGGATGAAAGGTCAGCAAAACATCCCTGTCATGGTCACGACCGTCCCGATGTCTTGGTCGCGTCTGGGGGCGGACCGGTCACCTTCCAGCGAGATGCAACATCGTCGAGAGCTCGTGCCAGACAGGTGACTGCGATGGGGGATATGCAGGCTCGAGAGACCTTGTGTGGGCCGAGAAAGGCAGTGACAAATGCTCACTGCAAGCCCCGGAGTCGAAAGAGTCGGAAGTCTGCGTCTGCGGTCGAGCATGGAGCAGCACAGTTCGAGACGAGTCATGCGTTGCGAGAAGAGAAACGGCAGGAGTCGCGCCCTTCCCATGACAACCAACATTGTTGTTATCATTTGTCTCCATCACACCCGGTTGCGAAAAGACAATCGATCACAGAATTCCCGATTTTGAGCTTGAGAAGTGGGAAGCTCACCTTCAAAGCCCGCACCTTGTCATCTACAAGGTGAACGAGCTCTTGCCTAGCTTGGTCATCAGGCTCACTAAGGATCCATGCTATACTGATATGAAAGGCATTCGACTTGTCAGTCATTTGACGTATTGTCTTGCTTGTCGACCGGGGCTGAAAGCCTGTGGGAGTGTCGCACCGCTCTTCATAGAGTCGAGGCAGGTCGAATTGCCGAGCAATCGCATTACAGATTGATAGCAACCTGTTCAATTCATCGTCCTCAGGCTTCATGAGCTTCAAAACCAAGAAGAACCTCGTTTTGTCGTGATTTGCTACCCAGTCGAGTCCTGATATATGGACCGTGAATGGCTTGATGCGGCCCTGCCTCACTTTTGATTCGAGGCTGGTCTGGAATTGTTCTCTTTGCTCTGTCTTCAACACGAGGGGGGCAGATAGACTGATGTGAAGTGGTAACTGTGCGCCCAACTCAGAGTGGAGGAAGCTGTGCACATTGATTTTGGAGTCTTCGCGTGCTGATCCCAATGCCAAGCGAGCTCTCTCTATCACCGCATCGAGGGTCGCGAGGCAGCACCTTGATGGATACCACTCGAGATAGATGTGGGTGGGCCAGTTACCTACCGCATGGGGAACCTGACGCGTGCGACCGGCGTGCAAGGAAGGGTCATCGGTAGTCGAGCTTCTTACGTTGGTCGCATAAAGCGAGTGAAACGAACTTGGTAAGGGCGGCGGAGGCAGTTTGGCCCTGCTGGACTCCCGCCCGTCTGGTTCCACGTGCTCAGCCTTCCGTTTCCCACCTCCTTGCTTGATAGACTTTTTCTTTGTGCCTTGATCTTCGTCCTCAGAGCTTGAATCTGAGTAGTCAACAAGGACCATGATCAAGTTTTAGCAATAGAGCTCGAGAAAGGCACATGGCTCAAGGGCCAATGTACCTGCCAAGGCGGGGATCGAAGCTTGATAATAGGATGAGATGTTCGCTGGGTGTGAATAGAGTTGGCGTCCGGCTGGCGTTCGAGCAGGTTGAGATCCTTGGAAATAGTGACGATCAGAGATAAAGGGTCCGCAGGGGTACCAGCGAACGGTGTTGACGCGTGGTAACTTGAAAGAGGGCAGGTGGAAATGATAAGGTGGTGACGAGGACAATGTCTCAGTTGTGCATATTGTCCGCTAGTCGTCTCCGTAGGGGAGAAAATCACAGGTGCAAATCAGAGACTTCGTAGGACCTTCGGGAACGGGATGACCGGAGAGACGGGATCCTCCTGCATAAAGATGTCCTTCTCGGAGCTTCCATACAGAGCTGCTGCAAAGAACGGTGCGGATGGTGATGCAGTGATAGTGGATGTTTGTTACTGGTTCTCTGTAAGATGTCCTGCACAGTAACGAGAGTCGTCGTAGCTACAGCAGAGTAGGTCCCCAAGCTGTCAGGCACCGTTGGAGCCTTAATTTAGTGCATGACGTCGAGGCACAAGCCCAATGACAGGGTGGCTTTGATGCCTAGAGACCCCCAAGCTCGCACCCTGGAGTCCAGACCTGTTGCTTGTTAGCCCCGCTGACCCTGCTGGGGAGGTGGCCCTCCGTTCAGGTTCCTCCCCACCATGACATCGGTAGCAGGGTCTGTTGCCCGCCTGCTCCGTGCTGGTTCCTTCAGGTCCAATTATACCTGGTGTTGCTCAAAGCCCATACGCTGGAAGAATCCCTCTTAACCTTTGCACTTTGTGTAAGCTCAGATAGCAGTTTTCCAATTCCTTTATTCTTCCCGGTTCACCTCGAGACTGCCCGACGAGACTTCTTTCCTGTCCGCGAATCTGCGCATTGTGAGCTTAGACCATGGATACCAGCGACAAAAATTGGGTACGTACCTATCCAGCTTCACCCTTCCAATAGATCAGGAGGGCGCAAGGCTGACTCTCATTCCGCTTCAGGCTACTAAGTACCTGCTTGACCCATTGAACGCTCCAGATCCTTCGCAAGAAGATGGCCCAGGAAACACCTTCCGACCCGGTGCGACGGTCGCTCCAGTCAAGCCATCCCCTCAGTCAAAGCAATTAGTAGGCAGGCGCCTCTCAAAGACAAACCCATACCGCAAGAACTCCCTTTCCAACTCTACCACGACCGAGATCAAGCGCTCTGCTTCACTGAACAGCAATGGTTATTCTCCTATTTCGGGCAACAAGGGACCATACCCTCCGCAGTCGTACCCTTCTCCCCCACCCTCAGCGACTTCTCCAGTCGCGGCCAACCAGTATTCGCATTCTCCTCAATCTCCACGGTCACCCCAAACGCCTCGATCCCCTAACCATAGACAAGAGGCATTCGGGAGTGAAAACCACTCGAGCCCTCACGGCAGTGGTCGTCGCCGACGCGGGAGCTCCCTCTCGGAGCGTTATCCAGGCGATATGTCCCACCGCCCTCTCGATACTCTGACAAAAGAGAAGGCCTCGGCAGATCGCGCGCGTCACGCGACCAGAAAACACCATATTCAACCGGACATCATCGACAACCTTGACATGACCGGTGGAGGCGCATATCACCACGGCGGTCCATACGACGCTACCTTGTTTGCGCGTAACAATTCGTTAAACAGTCCGTTGGCAGCTGTAGCCAGTTCTAATGCGGAAGCTCTGAAAGCAACGCCCAAGGAGAAGATCATGGACTCTGTCAGAGGCCACCGGCCACTCGACGGCGTTGCGGCATACGCTCCAGGAAATATGGATCGCAACGGCAACGTCTACAACTACGAAGAAGGTGACAATATGATGATTGAAGGCGGCCCGGAAGGTGGAGCATATAAACGATGGCCGGGCGTGCAATATGACCCTAGCGACGTCAAAGGCAAAGGCGAACCAAGTTACAGTTTGGAGAAGGCTCTCAAAGAGCACAAGATTTCCGGCGAGGAGCAGAAGGCCACCGGCAACAACGGCATTGAAATGAAAAACCGAAACCGGAGCTCAAGCGGTCCTGTTCCGCCAACCGCAGATCGATCGGGGTGGGACGACGGCGAGGGGCTCGGAAGAAGTGGAAGCATCAGCAAGAGGCTTAGCGGAGGATTGAAGAAAAGGTTCGGGAGTATTAAAAGAAGTCATCGCCGGGAAGACTAATGTTGGCGGGATATCTGTTGTTTAGCTGTCTGGCTTTGGGTAACGAATTACTTTTGGGGCGCCAATGGTCTTGGGATGAGTAGACAGAAGCCATCAAGTTGGATGACGGTTAGGGCTCAGGCAGCACATTGCTCGACAGAAGATACATTGCAACATGTCGTGACTGCGAAGCTTTCTTTTAGCGGATTACAGCACTGGAAATACCACCCATCTTCCTGCATTCTATTCAGCCCTGTGCTATTCCAAGACCGGTTTTTGATTAGTTATCTATTATCCATTTCTATCATATCGTATTCCGTGTTTTGGAAGGTGAGAGCTGCCATCCACGAAAAGCTGATGTGCCTTCTGCCGAGATGACCTCCCACTGCCCCACAGACGTCGGGCAACCGTGCAATATCGTTGTCGTCGCTGATTGCGATTTCATACCCGGGACAACAATGTGCGAAAACGGAAACGCCCTTTGTCGTCGATGGCTGATGATGACAGCCAGCGAAAGTTCTGCCTTCACCCAGCAGAGTCGAAACGCGCGAGATTCCCTGAAGAGAGGTCTGATCTTACATGGATCCCGACTTGTCATCCTTTTCGGATCCATCCCACCATTAGCACCGCGTGATCTTATCCATCATTCACGCACGAAATTGCTTTCACGTCTGGACTTTGGGACCTTGCGCCACGACTTGGGCCAGAGGGGAGGGGTTCGGTCGCGTTGATGAGCGACAGCTCAGGGCGCTTCGCAATCTCAAACAGACGGGCAATTGCTCGAGGATAACGACGCCAGGCGCACATATTTGCTTCTGTATCCAAGCCTGGGCGGGTGAGAATCTGAGGCGAAAGGGCCCGTCTTCAGGCAACGAGGCCGCTCTCAAGAACACTTCCAGTCGAGTGAAATCAATGCAGTGATACCCCCGGACAAGACAAGTTCGCCTCCGCCACCACTTTCACAGAAGTCGTGATAATGTCGATGGAATGCCTGTCGGCTTGTTGCCGAGGGTGGACGGGCAGTGCAGCCTTCGGGCTTGTGACTAGTTCTCGGGCTGAGGGAAGGTCCATCCTCATTGTCCTCCCGCGCTGCCGAGATCTTCCTTCGCATCGTGTCTATCCCAGGACCCGGTCTCGAGGGACCTCACGCGTTCCTCGATCCATTGGATCTTGGCATGGTTCTCTCGCTTTGCGGCCTCTTGCAAGTCAAACGTCTTCTTCAACTGATCGAGCATAAACGGCTCCAGGGTGCTCTTCTTCCCCACTCTGTAGTCATAGACCACGACATCCTCCAAGCACCGAGCCGCCGGCCGCTGGCGGACTTCGGACATGATCAAGACGTCCAGGATCAGGGACTCTGTCGCCTCGTTCGGCCGCGACCGAAGCTTGTGGTAGACGGAAATCCGGTCGGGCCACGTCATGGGGAACTTGAAATCGACCGTGATGCTCTTCAGGATCAAGCCGATGCCCCTCGAGGTCAATAGTTCCTCCCACTGCCTCTTGTGCACGGGGTCAATGTGCCCGCTGTAATTGCGGATCCAATTGCACCGTCCGCTCTCCGCGTACCGGACGTACATCACATTGTTGACGTGGCCCATCGAGTCCTGCTCGCCCCAGACAATGTTCTGCCGGTGCAGGCCCGCTCTCTTCTCCGAGGTCAGGTAGCCCTCGCTGCCCGCGATGAGCTCGCGCCAGTCCCGGGCCAGCATGTGCAGGACTTGGCCGGCTTCGTCGACGAGCCTCGGAGAGAGGCCGAAGGTGATGCATCGTCCGATCCGGGATTTCGTGTCTGAGAGCCAGCGAGGAGAGATCGCGCTCTTGGATTCCTCGGTCTTCGGTCGGGGTGCAGAGGAATAGTATCTGGGCGCGAACGGGGATGGGCTCGAGGAAGCAAGTGCCCGAGAGGCACGCCAGATCGCGCGCTGGGTCGACATGTTAGCAGCACATCATCTATCTATGCGATCCGAACGGAGGTGCAAGGTGCAGCAAGCTTATTGTTGAGATTCGTACGGGGGAAGAAATCGTGCCTCCGAGCAACCTCGGCGACTTCACCGTCCGCCAATGACGGTGGACAAGGCTGAGTTCATTCCGATTCAAAGCATCCCGGTGAGGAATGGTCACGAAAAGGGGCCAAAGGTCGCCCTCCACAAATTAGAAGTTGTTGAACCCGGTAACCTGCCAAAAAGATTCGGAGAGGGACATAAAGTTGCGAGGGATAAGGCTGAAGGAAGACAAGAGGAGGCGATTAGAACAGAATGGCCTCGTTTGCCCATTTTGATCTGCTTCAGAAGACTCGCAATTACCCAGGGAAGATTTCAAAAAGGAAGGTGAAAACTCCCTGCACTGCTGGCGATCAGCACATATACAGGATATCTTACATAGGAAGCCTCGTGCCTTTTCAGGGTGGGAGGTTTCGTCAAGAATAGAGATTATCTTTCTATTTTACAGTCGTACACGTGGAGTATCGACACCATCTAGAGACGGACGTCAGAGTTGAAGGGATGAGCCCCATTCTGACCAAAGGTCTCCCCAATCTGCACAGTCGATCTCCATTTAGCTCGTAGCCGTCTCCTGCTCGTGGCTAAACCTCTCTTTCAGCCTTTCGCCGCCAAAACCGTCTGCCTGCGTATTGAGAAGTAGAATTGTAGCAGGTCGTACTAAAACAGGTACATCCAAGCCCCACAGCCATGACCCAGCTTGGTCGTATTAGATTGTCAAAGACAAGCTGAGGAGAGGAACAGCGCTCCTCGATATGATGCACAGCCCAACCCGTACATTTGTCTTCCAATATACATTCCATGTGAACAGTTGACCATCTTTCTTGGTAGATAAATGGTCCAGCGACTTTCTTGGGTAGTCAGGGTAATGATAACCCCATATCCCGAGTTGGCGATCGCAGCTCCACCTGGAAATAATAGATACCCCGACTCTCGGGTCGGTCTCGCTCAAATTTCGACTTTAGGAGCATGCAGTAGCCCGTGGGGAGTGTTGTTTTTGCTTTGCGCAAGCTGATGCACAGCAAGGGCGATAATAGGGGCTTGGCTTGGATTACGGAGCGCGGAAGACTTCCACCAGAAGCCGTTCTAGTTATTTTCGACGGGAGGGTCGTTCCTGGGAGCCCTGTTCGCGGAAGAGTAGGAGAAATCAACTCTCAGTCTCCGACCGTAAATCTCCTTCTCTTGCAGCAACTTCATCGCTTCCATGGCACTCTTGACGTCAATGAAGTCGGCATGCGCGAATCCCCTCGGTTGGCCAGTGCGTCGATCAATAGCGACACGAACATCGATGACATTTCTAATGCCGCGGAACAAGTTCGTGAGATCACGATCCGTCATCTCGAAGGACATGTTCCCAATGAAAAGAGTCTTAGAAGGAGGGTTGAGAGGCTTGCGCTCGACGTTCTGGTTGTCAAGCACGCCGCTCGGCCGCGCAGCGTACTGTACCGTGATCCGACGACCTTCGAAGAGCGACATGTTGAGACCCTCCATAGCCGCATCTGCGGCCTCCTGTGTTGAGAAGTCGACATAACCGAATCTTAAAGCGATATTAGCAAGGTTTGATCGGCTGGAGATCAGGAGAAACTAACCCTTTACTCAAGCCACGACTGTCCCGCACAATCCTGCACTTGGTCACAGTTCCAAAGCGCGCGAACTCTTTGACGAGGTCGGTTTCGGTGACATCAAAGAACAAATTGCCGATGTACAGTGTGGGCTTGCGGTCGAACATGCCAGCATGGCTCAGGGTGGCTGACTGCGAAGGTGCAGCTTTTGAATCAGCTGTTAATCTTTCACCTGTCTCAGCAGCGGGCAATGCCTCCTCTGTTGCTTCGGTTGCATTGGCGGTTTCCGCAACTCCTGGCGCAGGCCCGGTCTTAGCAGCAAGCTTTTCATTAATGACGGCAGCCGGAAGAGATTCATCTGTGGCTTCGGTAATGTTCGCAGGCTCTGCAGCTTGGGGAGCAGATTTTGTGCTGGCAGCTTGGGTTTGAGCCGCATTCTCGGCTTCTTCTGGTGTTGTAGGCTCGACTTCAGTTATGGGAGACTTGCCCTCCTTTCCTTGGGCTTCATTCGTGGCCCATCTTCGTTGAGGATAGGATGCGGTGGATCTACCGATTAACCGGGACGTAGGAGAGCTGAGAGAAGAGTATGTTCGCGAAGAGGGGGCAAGGGAAGGTCGAGAAGTGAGAAAGCGCGATGCGCAACGGCGTAGGGCATACCTGGGCATTCATCAGTAGGCCGCCTTACGTTGAATAGTAGCAAATGCTTACATATCGACAACTGAAGGCGAGTAGGATTGAACAAAGACGCAGAGAAGTAGAATCAGCTATACGGGAATGGTACCAAAGAACGCAGAGAGATGCAAGTCTTCTGCAGCATGCAGGACCATTGGAGAGAAAAAGTTGAATCCGGTTTAGTCTCTTGGCACCCTCCATGTCTCCGACTCGAGTGCGAGCCTTGCGGGTTAAATACCCGTTTTGCGATGCCATTAGTTGACCACACCGCATCCATTCTAGACATGGCGCTGGTGGCACCCATCCCAAGAATCGCAACTGCGGCCTACCGAAAAAGTAGCATCATGTATCTCTCACGTCCTAGCTTTCGGCCGAAATAGAGACAGCACCACCAGAATATCTGACCTCCCACTCAAAAGGAATCGAAATCGGTCCCTGCCATCAAACCCAACATCCTACCCTGAAATTTCCGTCCAACTTCCTGCCACTTGACCTGTATCCCCGCAACAAGAACAGGCCATGGCATTGACATCCCCAGCTCGGGGTCGCCATCGACTTCCGGTATTGAAACGCGATCTCCCAGGCTGCTAGTCCACGATACTAGTTCTGCAAACATGGGGCCAAAGTCTGTGACCAGGCGTTCTTCGGATGTTTGCCCGGCTTCGATGTTCAGATCCAGCAGTGTCAAGATCAAGTGAAGAATCGGAGGGAGAATAATTGGGTCGTGTGCTAACGAAGGAAGAGTATGGAGCGTAGTCAGCATTAAAAGGGATTCGTTGGTCAACGCGGGGAGTTGTAAAGCGTTCGGACCTATAGCGGAAATGAGGATTATAAGTGTTTGCAGGCTTAGCTTCACCAATGAAGGGTGCAGGAGGGTCGAATCTGCTAGATAAGGTGATGTGACTAGTGAGGTGAGGAGAAGCGTCAGTCTCGAACAAAGCGGTAGGTACAGGGCTTCCGCAAGAAGCTTGTGCAGGTCCTTTGGGATGCGTTTCGAGCGGGCCTCGAGCTTCGCGGCTGTTTTGGCGGCGACTTTCATCCGAGAAGAAAAGGTACGGACCTTGAGAACGTCCGGTCCGGTGAGCTTGTCGGCCGCTTGCAGGGCCATTGGCTGGAGCGTGTGATAAGACAGATTCTTTGAAATGGTGTCGACAGGTGCCGATGAGGAATATAGGGGCTCAAGACGAGGTGGTAACCGATTCGAAGGAAACGGTGGATCGTTTGGGTGTTCAGTCGCAGAGATTCTGCCGACATCATCATCGAAACCTGCCAGCTCTCTAGCCCCCAGAGATACCGCTGTCAACAGCGACGCACGGGTGGACAGCGAGAAGTCCCCTTCGAAGTATGTGCTTACAATCCAGGGTCCCATTACCCCAGGTTTCGAGACCAGACATGCGATCATGGCCTCCTGTCTTGATCGCTGCATATCTTCCCTTGACATGCCTTCCTGGACATTGACAAGAGATGAAGCCAACTGGAAGACATTGGCTGACAATTCATCCCCAAAGTTCGCCTTTCGACGAATCAAAGACGGAGCAGTCTTGAGTGCAAGCTCTACCACAGGGGGATCATTGTCAGCGTTGAGCTGCTTAATGAGAGACGTGATGTAGACTGGAGGAGCTGGTTTGTTCCGGTTGACCAGTGTAGGATCTTCGTCTGAGTCGGAAGGGTCGCTATCCGGTCGTGGATAAGGACGTAGATCGTCCTCTTCCTCCGCAGCCGAAGGTCGTCCGTCCGAATCTGAAAGTTCTTCAATGGCCACAATCTTAGAGGCTTGAGGTCGTGGTTCTGTTGACACTCGTTTGCGGGGACTAATTCTCGGTGGCTTCTGCAAAGGACGTTTCTTCAAGGGCTCGACTATTTTCTTCGGCAGTTGTTCCAAACTCCCAACTGCGTCTTGAATGTTGACCAGGCCCATCCATTGCTCTGCCTCCTCCCCTTCCATCTCCTCGACGCCAAAGTTCATGACTTTGTCCGGTGGATCTACTAGCTTCGAGACTGCGACTGCGACTATCATCCCTAAAAGCCGGGCGCGAGGAACCGATGCAGCAAGCCGGTTCGAGACGGCCCGAACGAAAGTGCTGGAACCCGATAAATTTTTTACTGAGCGATGATCCAAACGACTGAGATATCCGAATGCCAGCAGGATGGTTTGAGCGGTCGCTAAAAGCGCCCAAGCATATGTAAGCACAGGCTCTGCCACCTAGAAGCAGTATCAAACAAAGGGTGAGCGGAATCTGTAGAATTCACTTACACTCCTGCTGGAGAATAGCATCGCGCTGGATCTGTAGCTTATTCCCGAAGTTCTCTAGGCTTCTTTCGAGGACTTGCTCGAGCTTGCCTGGTAGAAGTTAGCCCTCTGCAAAAGATTGTGAGACAGTGGCTTACCCTGACTCGCTGCTAGAGTCGCGATGACAGCTCTACGAGCGTTGAGACCGACACCAGCATATTCCCCGTTTGTGCTCGTCAACCAATGGATAACATGTGCTTCCAGCAGAGGATTGTTTTGCACGAGTCCATTGATCATGGCTGCCACTCCTCCGACGGCGGAGGTCCTCGTAACCAATAACTCCTTGGGTCCCACGGTATCTGCTCCGCTTTCGAAAAACCTCCGCGCAAGGTCTCGTAGGATGGTATCAAAGAGGACTTTTTGATCGTAGGCTGAAAGGCCATGGATTAACATGTGCATTGGGGTCCACAACGCTCGTTTCCCAAGAAGAAGTGAATTGTAGAGCTCTTTGGTTAATGTATCTATGATCTAGTCAGTAATTCGTGTCTAGAAACGCTCGCGCAAGTCCTACCTCGATACCCGAGATTAAGCCCACGCTTCAGCACTTGGCACAGGAGGCTCATCTGTTGAGGCTCGGTATGCGGTATTGTGTTGAGGCTTGTTGCGGCAGCCGCAATATTGCGTCCAAGCCATCTTGTGTATTCATTTCCGTCTCCAAGCCATTTCTCAGTCTCTCCTAATCCATTCAGATCCCGATTTGTGGCGAAGACTTGCGACATGGTTGTGAGGATCTTGCTGCCTGCAAGCAGAGAAGTCGCTTCTTGCCAGAAGACACGGCGCTTTGTATCCGTGGGAAAAGTCTTCATAGCCTGGGACAGAAATTTTGATACAACCATATTGCCGGCAAGGATTGACGATAGAACAAAAATTGTATCTTCCACTAGCGACCTATCTTGACCGGCGTTGGTGGAAGAAAGACGTCTGATTTGCATCAAGAGTGCACCGAGTCCGGCAACGCTCGTAAGAGATGATAGTAGTTCCGTCCTGAGCTGCATGTCTGTCCTCGAAAGCGTGGATTGTCGCAAATGAAGCCACTGGTCGGGAATGGTGACAGTAACAAGTGCGTTGATTATTTGGGAGGCCCTGGGACCCGGGACGTGGATATTGAAATCATGCCTTCCCTCAATACCGTACTGAAGATACTGTAGAACCGCTGCCAGGTCTTCACTGTTTGGTTGATTTTTCAGAATCTCAAGCGCATCATCAGGGAGCGAGGCAGGTGGCGTTTTGTCCAGATAGCTCTTCTGAAGGAACGCCGCGGAGTCGTGACGCTTATGATTCGTCTGTTGCGCCTCTGCAGACGTCGAACTTATTGACATGTCAACCGACGGTCGAAGACTGAATGTGTCGCTTGCGCCATCAGTGGCTTCTGTGGTAATGTCGAGAACAGATATCTTGGATTTGGCACCGAGGGGGCGCTCTGCTGGCACTGGATCCTTCAGCGACAACGTCTCGAACCTGTCGATATTATTTTCCACCTTGCGGGTGGTCTTGATGGGCTCCAATAGGCCGTCCATGTCTGCAGTCGCATACTGATGCGGTGACTGGAGGTGTTGCGCTGCAGTACGTGCACTTTAGGGTTGAAAGAGTACGGGGAGTAAGTCAAGATATTGAGGATGTTGAGGCCCGGCTTGGAGCCTTGCATATGCCAAGATATTTTCCTCCTGTGTACACATACACTAGTCCCTTGGCCGGCTTGATTGGCCTTTCTCTTCCTCAGAGTAAAGCCTGATATTCAATCCCAGGCTCAATAACGATGCAATGTATTACGGCAAGCGTCCGGATGGGGCTAACCAGTGATTTACTACAACAGCATGTTATTGGCGACGTCTCCGATCACAGAGATCTGAAAGGAACGCTAGTAATGGGTAGACTTGAAGTGGTCGTTGGACATTGTTGCAGTCGTAACGTCATTCAGTATTGCTGAACCGAGCCACTGTTCTGCGAGTTTTAGAGATATCTACCCGAAACGATCAGGATTCCTGCATTTACAAAAGCATTCCGCCGGGTTCAGGACCTCCTTGAAGGCAAACGATGCATGTTGTAAAGCCAGTACAAGCCCCTCCATCGAGTTCCATCCATATCGTTATGCGTCGCGAACTAACTAAACGAGGTTGTGGTGGTGGTGGTGGTGGTGGTCGTCGTCGTCGTCGTCGTGGTTGAAGGAGGAGGAGCGACCTGGGAGTTGATGAGTGGGATGTATAAAGGGAGCTAGAAAGAGGAGAATCAGCAAAACTGAGTGAGAAGGCTGCCTACCGTAGGATGACTCTCAATGCACTGGCAGAAGGTGTAGATGATGCTTCCAGCCGTCTTCAGAAAGCTTGACCACTGGGCTGCTTTTGCGTCCTGGGTCGTTGTAGTCGTGTGAGGGGTAGTTGTGGTTGTGTGAGAAGTAGTAGATGTCGTGTGGCGTTTGTCGAGCATGACGCCTCCGTATTCCGCAGCGGGCGTGGCTCGCGCAAATCTAAACTTCTTCTTGGAAATAAAGGTGGTTGAAACAGTTACTAGGATATCATCAGTTCCCAGATCAGCAGTAAAGAGCTTCAGAGGATGTTACCCGTTGTTGGGGGATAATGGGCTGAGCAGTAACTCTGTGCGGGAGGGTAAGCGCTGAGAGGTGACAATAGTTCATAAATCCCTGATTTGCAGACATTGCTCGCAGCACTGGAGATAGAGGCTATAGCCATACAAAGAAGGATGATGAACTTCATGGTGATGGGGACACGAAGGATATGCAGCTTGGACTGGTGGGCGAACAGGGATTAATGATCCAAGTTCAGTCGAGGAGGTCCGGTGCTTTTGTATCCAAAACTCATTTTGAGCGCCATTCTCCATAAATCTAGACCATCCAGCTACCGTACCGAGGGGCCAGGAGGTCTAGCGACGAGGCCATCAGGACTGCTCAGAAGGAAGCCCACAGTATCCAGAAGATATTTGGTCGACGAGGCTGCTCCTTTCAGCTCGTTCTCTTGACGCCTTCACGGTCTGGCCTGGATGAGAGACCTTGACAGACAGTAACGGAAGAACTTTGCGGTTCCAGGGGAAATGTCTTCGGTTGTTTGAGCTCAGGGTCACCTTAAGCGGGTTGCACGCTGGAGTAGAGTCTAAATGCCCACCTGCCATGTCTGGAGCAAGCCTGTCTTCGCGTATGCGTCTGCCGCTGTCTAGAAGACAGGATCTGCGTGGTTAAAACAGAACGGGAAAGAACGAGGGGGACCGAGAGGTGGTGAAAAGCCTGAGATGGGTTCGTGCTAACCCTACCTGGCCATCGAGGTTGTATGCATGTATATGCAGATTGAACTGGAGGACCATGCGCCGGTCAAAGCAGACTAGCTCAGAAAATGTACCGCTTTCTCTATCATCTGTGTTGTGAAATTGGTTGAGGCTTTTTTTGTGGCGTCAGCTGAATCTTGGGAGGCAAAAGAATCCAAGATCAAGCAGACCAGCTCTCTGTGTTAGACGAGGCTTGTAATTTAGCCACAAACGGGTAGAGCGAGTCCCCCACGGCGACCCATTGCGGTTCTGGGCCCTCAACACCCTGGTTTGGGCTCTTCCGAAAACTCATCTTGAAGAATGCGGTCTCGCTCGTTTAGCATGTTCCTCCGCTGCTCTTCTGTCGTAGCGTAAAGTCTCTGACCCTTTGCGTCCTTTTTAGGTTGTCCCGGACATGCCTCTAGAGCGCCATTGTGAAATCCAGGCTCAAGAAGTCACAACCAAATGCCTGGGCAGGCAGGATTATAGATGGCGACATTGGGAGGGTCCGAGAGACGAGTTGTTGCCTTGTGCTCCGTGCCAAAATCCTCACGGCTGAGCAGTGGTTCTAGTAAAGAGCCTGCTCAGTCCAAACGCGGTGACACTGTATACGCGTTGCAATAATCTCAAGCGGAGGATCGATTCGGAAGAGGGTCATGGCCACTAAAACCCCAATAGAACGGCGGAAGAGGCGTGACTGTGTTTCGCATTCTTGTGGCAGAATATAAGACCAAGGGCAGTTGGCACAGAGCGTTGTGAAAGGGGAGTGTAGGATGGCGATATTAAGGCGGCCCGGCAAGCAGCACCAGCAGCGCCTAATCGGCCTTGGGCATCATTGAGTCAGTGACATAACCGCCTCGCCGCCAAGCTCTGCGGTACATAGAGAATCGAAGTCCAGAAGCCTCTCAAATCTTGCACCAGCAACTCTCCAAGCACAACTTCCTAGGCGCCATTCCACAAGGCTTGATGCGATATATCAATGCACAGGCTGGCGGTAGAGGCTTGACCTGCTGTGGCCGCCAGCCAATCTGTGTGCGACAAGTGACTGCAGAGAAGGCTTCATTTGCACCACTACCTACATATCTGATTGCTTCTCCATCACCAGCTACAATCTTATTCCGGAGACGTCAAGGACATTTTGACCTTGAATAATCCCTGTCAAGAGACGGCTGTATAAGTGAACGGACCGCTCAGTCCTAGCTTCAATATGTCAATACCTATCTCGTCGCTGCTCACAAATGGCACTCCCGCGCCTCAACGCGATCGATGGTAAGACGCCTCAAAGCCAGTGCACAGTGTCCGTCTAACAGCAATATCCAAGGACCTACCTTGACCGCATCTTATCGACTACTTCACCGTATGCCGGAGAGGAATTTGTCCCTGGAGAAGATACAATCAATGCCTTAGAATCATCACGGGTCCTCGTGATCGGCGCCGGCGGGCTAGGATGTGAGATCCTGAAGGACCTCGCACTGTCCGGCTTCAAGGACATCCACGTCATCGACATGGATACCATCGATGTCTCCAACTTGAACCGTCAGTTCCTTTTCCGGCAATCCGACGTGGGTAAATCGAAAGCCGAAGTCGCGGCGGCATTCGTGGAGAGGCGTGTCCCCGGCGTCAGGATCACCCCCTACAACGGTAAGATCCAGGACAAAGACGAAGAATACTACATGCAGTTCAAGCTAGTCATCTGTGGCCTTGACAGCATTGAAGCTCGGCGCTGGATAAATGCCACGCTAGTCGACATGGTCGACATGGAAAACCCTGAGTCGCTCAAACCTCTGATCGATGGCGGCACCGAAGGCTTCAAAGGCCAAGCGCGCGTGATTCTCCCCAGCCTGACTTCGTGCATTGAGTGCCAACTATCCATGCATGCTCCACGTGCCGCCGTGCCTTTGTGCACACTCGCCACCATCCCGCGCCAACCTCAACACTGTATAGAGTGGGCGCACATCATCGCCTGGGAAGAACAACGCAAGGGCGAAATCCTCGACACCGATGACCCCGAACACATCTCCTGGTTGTACACGACCGCGCTGAAACGGGCCAATGAATTCAATATTCCCGGGGTAACCTACTCGATGACCCAGGGCGTGGTGAAGAACATCATCCCCGCAATCGCGTCCACGAATGCCATTATCGCGGCGAGTTGTTGCAATGAGGCCTTGAAGATCGCGACGGGATGCGCGCCGTTTCTGGAAAACTACATGATGTACACGGGCGACTCCAACGAGGGAGGCCTCTACACATACACCTTTGGGGCGGAAAAGAAGGACGATTGTCCTGTGTGCGGGAACCTCGCGCAAACGCTAATTATTGATCCCGAGTGGACGCTGGAAGACTTCCTTGCAAGTCTAGCTGAGAGGGCCGAAGCGCAGCTGAAAAAGCCGAGCATCAGGACAGAGGCGAAGACGCTGTATGTCCAGGCTCCGAAGAGCTTGGAGGAGCAGACAAGGCCCAACCTGGGGAAGAGAATTAGGGACTTGATCAGCGACGGCGAGGAAGTAGGCGTCAGTGATGCAGCGTTTATGATAAGCTTCAAGTTTCGGCTGGTGTTCAAGAAGTGAAATGGAAGACAGAAAAGGGTCCAGCCTGCTCGTGAAATACTTCAAGGAACGGATAGAGCGCATGACTCATGAAGAAAGAAACATCCATCACTCTCCTGCAGCACGTTGCGATGCATAGACAAGCAAAGCACTTTTTTGATTTCGCAATCCGAGGTATCTAAGAAGACCTGCATTGAACACCCTGCAATGCATAGAAACGCCTAGAGATGCAGCCATGATCATATCACATCTGAGTATCCTGGACTTCGATCACTTCTGTGGTTGGTTATTTCCCGATTTCGTCCAAAGCATTCAACAGTCTCTGTGCCTTCTTCTTGAGGGTGTCAACACTCTCCAAGAATAGAACATCGCTCGGAAACTGGCCCGTGCTCTCGACGTTGAAAATGAAATGATCCTGAACTCTGCCCAACTTGACTTTTCCCTTGAACTCTTCGTGCCGCAGGCATTCTCTCGACACGGTGTCGCGCATGGGGTCTTTGACGACGGCCTTCTCGTCGCCCTCACGGTTGTGGTAGGCTGATTCGTCCGACGCCGCGTCCGAGGGCGTCACACGTTCGAGGTCGATCACACCTGGGGGGAAGCACTTTTGAAACTTTCGGGCGTCCGCGCCGAGAATGGGTTTTGTGATGGTTATGGTCGGCAGGAGGCGGTATGTGGCAGTCGCAACAGGTGAAAATTTGGCGTGATCACCACCCTTGGACATGTGTGCGTGCATGACCAAGTCGATTTCTTGACCCGGCCGTAGCTTGGCGATCAATATATCTGGACTGACGGCTTGTATCGGCTCTTTTGCGAAAAGCACTTGCTGTATGCCTTCGGGCGCGAATGTAATGTGCCGTGAATACACGCTGCTGTTGATGTATTTTTCTTCCGGCTCTGTGGCATTTCGGTTCGCGTTTGGTCGTCGTTCACATTTGACCTTCAGCTTCAGCACGACCGTATTCCTGTCCGTCAGACCGGTGCCTTTGGTACCACTGTCGGGATGCGGCTCAACGAAAACTTTAAGTTTTTTGAAGCCTTCAAGGTTTCCCTTTAATGGGACCAATCCTAGCCGATGGGCGAGAACTTCATCCGCTATCACAGAGGTGTTGTTCTGAACATAGACCTTTTCAATCGCTAGAGTGTTGACGTCGGCGAGGAGGATGCGGCGGAAAGCGTTGGCGACAGAGGCGTCAACCCCGACGAGGGAGAAAGTGGCTTCATGTGTTTGGTTCTGGTGGAAGAGGATTTTCAGGTTGTTCTCGAATCTGTCGAGGGACCAAGCGTTGTCTTCGCCCGCATGATGACCAGGAAAGTCGGTCGAAGTGATATTAGTGACGGTCTCGGCGTTGATGCCGACGGTCTGCAAGGGGAAGAAGTCAGTATTTGTGATGGCTTCACAAACAGCCGCAACCTACCTTCCGCCTATCAAGGCTGTCTTGTGAGGGTTGTATCGGAGCCATGAAGACTTGGAATGGTTGACTGCGGCATGGTCTTCAAGTTTCAAAAAAGAGAATCAAAAAGTTTCTCCAAATATCGACTTACATAAGCAGGTGGAGGGACGTAATATCCACCAATCATAGCCTAGGAAAGCTCGACGTATTGTCGAAGCTATCCAGGTCGCTTGTCATTGACTTCTGACTTCAGTGGCCAAGGGCACACTTGAAAGCCGCCTCTACTTCGCTTGATGCGGCCAACCTCGAAGCATCAACTCGAAGACAATTGCGCCTTCTTTCTTTTGGCCTCGTGCCAAAAAGGACCAGCATGACTATGGCGGCCTCATTTGTGCGAGCCGCGAGCCGGCACGCACACACTTCCAAACGACTTTGCCTCACACCCAGTCGTCAACTCCCCTCGAGACAGAGACAGTCGCTCTTCTTCTCCCGTTCGATCTCGTCGACTGCCCCTCGAAGAGCAGATCCTAGTACCACCGGGCCCGTCTCCGCTCCCAACCCTGAAACTCCTGGCGGTCCCTTAGCCACCACTATCTCTCCCACGGATTCCACCTTTACCAAACACGTCCAGCAAGACACCAACTTGGTCAATAAAACCCCCGACATGAATTTGGGTGATGAATACGAGACAAGGAAGATCCGTCATTATACCGTAAACTTTGGCCCACAACATCCCGCTGCACACGGTGTGTTGCGTCTGATTCTCGAGCTCAATGGCGAAGAAATTGTCAGGGCAGATCCCCATGTCGGGCTGCTGCATCGAGGCACGGAAAAGTTGATTGAGTACAAGACATACCTCCAGGCTCTGCCATATTTCGACCGATTCGACTATGTCTCAATGATGACCAACGAGCAATGTTTCTCCCTTGCCGTTGAGAAGTTGCTCAATATCGACATTCCCGAGCGAGCCAAATACATTCGGACCTTGTTTGGGGAGATTACCAGGATATTGAACCACTTGATGTCGATTCTGTCGCACGCTATGGATGTCGGTGCTCTGACTCCTTTCCTCTGGGGTTTCGAGGAGCGAGAGAAGCTTATGGTATGCCAGGACGATAATAGTCTTACTACTAGCTAACAGATAATAGGAATTCTACGAGCGTGTCTCAGGTGCACGATTGCATGCTGCTTATGTTCGTCCTGGCGGTGTCAAGGCAGATATTCCCCTTGGATTACTGGACGATATCTATGCCTGGGCAACTCAATTCGGTGATCGCATTGACGAGACTGAGGAGCTCTTGACAGACAACCGCATCTGGATCGGCAGAACAAAGGGTGTTGGCGTCGTTTCCGCTGCTGATGCCCTCAACTACTCATTCTCTGGTGTCATGTTGCGAGGCTCCGGCATTCCCTGGGACATTCGGAAGAGTCAGCCGTATGACGCCTATGATAAAGTCGAATTCGATGTGCCGGTGGGTCAAAACGGCGACTGTTATGATCGATACCTGTGCCGAATGGAAGAGTTCCGACAGTCTTTGCGCATTATTCACCAATGCTTGAATCAGATGCCCCCGGGTCCCGTGAAAGTGGAGGATTACAAAATCGCGCCACCTCCGCGAGCAGCAATGAAGGAGAACATGGAAGCTCTTATTCACCACTTTTTGCTCTTCACCAAGGGCTACACTGTTCCTCCAGGGGATACCTACAGCGCAATTGAAGCTCCCAAGGGCGAAATGGGCGTCTATCTCGTCAGCGATGGAAGCGAACGTCCATACCGATGCAAAGTGCGAGCCCCTGGGTTTGCCCACCTGGGTTGTTTCGATCAGATCAGCCGTGGTCATTTACTGGCGGATGCAGTCGCCATAATTGGCACTATGGATCTCGTATTCGGAGAAGTGGACCGATGAGTAGGACAGAACACGTCGTTTGCGAGGTGAATATCGACGGTAGAAGGGTTTTGGGAGGCGGAGGTAGGATTCTGAAGCCAGGTGAGGCCGGGGGTTGATGGTGAGACCCAAGGCTGGGAGCCCTGTCCTGAAGAACAGGCTAGGCCTTCCAACTGGGTCTGAGCGATGCATTCTGTGTATATACTGTGCTAGCCGCATCCCATTTGTGTCCAAATTCCTCCGTCCTTGAGTGTGACCGTCGCACAAGCATTCTTTTGATGTTTGTAGGTCACGTGGTTGATGTAGAAAAGTTGCATGGACCACGTGATCGAATGCCTAGCGCACCAATCACAGACTGTCTGCGTCTCCCGAACCAATTAGACGAACCCCTGTCAACAATAAGTAGCACAGTCTGACAAAAAGAGGGTTTCCTTAACAGTGGTTACTCTGACTTCTTCACTCCGAGATACTAGTCATTCACAAAGATATGTGCTCTGTTGTTATATACAGTAATATCCCTATCCTCAATTAATGATATCAGCTATTTGATCTGGCGGGTGCCTCGTCGTTATCTCGAGAGTGCGCCAGATTGTGCGGTTTTTTGCTCCAGGGGCTTACTTGTAGGGTGTATTCCAAAACATTTTCCATGACAGCGTACGGAGTACTAGGTAGAGGAGCTCGTATAGACCAAAGATGCACTTTTCAGCCCACGGGACTCTAGCTACCGGATTGGTGAGTGATTTAGGCCTGAACCCTGCAGCCGCCGCCACAGCTTGACCTAGTAGTGAACCTCAGCTGGGAGCTTGAATCCTCCCTTCCTGGGCTCGTGGCCCCTCTTGCAGCTCCTCCCTCTTGTGCTCCGCCACGAAATGGCCCCCAGAGGGTTCCAGGAAAGTAGTGACTCCTGCCAGCGATCCTGCAACTTCCTCGCCCTTTTCACTACTTGTTTCCTTCTGACTCGGATCAAGTGTCTGCACGAATCTTCTACTCAGCACTGACCGCTCCGTACTTCTGTCCTACGTTCCCCGTGGTGCTGTGTTCGACCAACCTCAATCGCTGTCAGCCGCGACAGGCCTACCCCGCAGCCGTTCAAAGACTACGACGTGCGGCTGGATTCACATCGCGAGACAGAATAAGACCTGAAGGAATACCAATTTTCCCTCCTCCGACGCTCATTGCAAAGATCCTGCCCTCTTTCTCGGTGGCTCAAGTCTCAGAGGAGTTTTAAGACCGTCTGCGCAGGCGCTGGCCTGAACTATTGCAACCATGAGTGCATGTGAGTCCCGCATGGCCACTGAACAACACCCCAGTGCCTTTGTCCTCAACAGTTGTGAATGTTTCTGCGTGGCCCATGTTCTGGCTTTGTCACTGGACACCCTGGCTTCTGCAGAACTCCCCTCTCCTCTACAAATATTTCAATTCTCGAAGTTCACCGGGGCTGATTCTTCAATCAACAGTCAGTGGTATGATGAACAAGCTGCAAGGCCAGCCCGACAGCTACGATAAGAAAGCAAAGTACCGTTTTGGAAAGACGCTGGGAGCGGGCACATATGGAATCGTCCGCGAGGCCGAAGTCGGTGGAGACAAGGTTGCAGTCAAGATTATCCTCAAAAAGAGTGTCAAGGGCAATGAGCAGATGGTATACGACGAGTTGCAGATGCTGCAGACCCTAAGCCACCCTCACATCGTTCGGTTCGTGGACTGGTTCGAATCGAGAGTGAGACTTGCTCTGTCATGGAATAAATATGTGGAGAGACTGACAAGGGACAGGACAAGTTCTACATTGTGACCCAACTAGCTACTGGTGGAGAGTTGTTCGACCGCATTTGTGACAAGGGCAAGTTTACGGAGAAAGACGCCTCGCAGACCATTAAGCAAGTCCTCGAGGCGGTTGACTATCTTCATGAACGAAACATTGTCCACCGAGGTAAGAAGAAATCATTTTTTTCGGTTTCAATGCTTTCTAATCAACGCCCGTAGATCTCAAGCCAGAGAACCTTCTCTACCTCACCAAAGATCCTGATTCCCAACTTGTTCTTGCCGACTTTGGTATCGCCAAGACACTGGAAGGCCCTGGTGCCGTCCTGACCTCTATGGCGGGATCCTTCGGCTATGCGGCGCCTGAAGTGATGCTCAAGCAAGGCCATGGCAAGGCTGTTGACATGTGGTCAATGGGAGTCATCACTTATACGTTGCTTTGCGGCTATTCTCCTTTCCGTTCCGAGAACCTTGCAGATCTCGTGGATGAATGCAAGAGTGGTCGAATCATATTCCACGAGCGGTACTGGAAAGATGTCAGCAAGGACGCGAAAGAATTCATCTTGACGCTATTGCAACCAGAGCCCAAGCGGCGTGCAACGAGTAAAGAGGCTCTCAAGCATATCTGGCTGACCGGTGAAACGGCCTCGGATCATGATCTCTTGCCAGAAATCCGGTCTTACCTGGCGAAGATGAAGCTGAAGCGTGGTATCGAGCTTGTCAAACTAGCCAACCGAATCGACGCCCTCAAGATGCAGGACGAAGAAGAACCTGGCTCACCAGATGCAAACGACATACCCGCCAATGCACAGAATGCTGCCGGGCTGGCCGTCAAGAATCACGTCAGGGGAGTTTCTCCTGGACGAGGTCTTGCCACCAACGAAACTGGCGAGAAGAGACCATTGAGCAATGCTGCCAAGAGTGCCATCTTCCGAGAAGTGGTTCTGGCAAAAGTAAGAGAGATGAAGGACAAGGAAAAGACGGACAAGCTCGTTGCAGATATCACGAAGGAGCATGAGAGGAGAAAGAGTTTCTCTGGTGCACGGTCTTGACGAAGATGGCGATATTGGCAGGAGGAGATTCTTGAGCGGGATGATCAACCACGCTGGCTGCGACCAGATTGGTACTGTATCGACAGGTTGGAACGACATTGCTATTCACGGTGGCGCCACAATACCCTATTGTCAGTGGTGGTGATGATGATGGCTGTGAGGATGTTATTCATGCGTGACGATCAGTCCGCTTTGTTTTTTGGTGGCCGAAAGCCGCTTTTTGAGCTGCAAGTTGAACGATCCAGAGTGACTGCAGGGGCGAACCGTCAAAATCCATTGTGCTCACAAGGCATCATGTCAATATTTCGTATTCGGACCGCTGGCTGTAAAAAGTATCATACCCATCCACCCAATGAACCTAACAACGATCTTCATCGGGCTGAGATACGCCGAGTTGTGACCAAGGCGTAAAGGGCGTATAATGTATTGTAACATTCTCCTCACCCCAAGAATATATGTATCTAGTTATGTTACCCTGTTGAGGCAAGGGACATAGGCTTTCTGCAGGAAGCTCTATTCTAAAGCTGCATTTCCTGTCTGGCAGCAACTCGTCGAATTGTCTGTTTCTGCTCCGTTCCCTGACATCCAGAAACGTCATTGTGCCTTCGCCATATCATATATTGTTCACGACGAGGGCCATTTCTTCTTCTAAGTTTCATTCTTCTCTTGACTCGGCATCCATTCTCTCTCTAGAAATCTGCGCTTCCACCCTGCGGAGGTTCTAACGAGGATGGAGTCGTTCTTCCGAGACCGGGTGTATGCCATTTCGGGCGGTGCCAGTGGAATAGGTCTGGCGACTGCCAAACTCTTGCTGAAATATGGCGCCAGAGTCTCCGTGGGGGACATCAATGTCCCCGATAGTCTCCTTGCGGACCTCGCGAGGGAGATCCCCCACACGGGGACCGCCGAAGCCCAGGCAGAAGAAGCACCCGAGAAGAAGTCTATTCTTCTACGAAAGGTCGACGTGCGGTCTCGCGACGACGTCGAGTCGTGGATCACCGAGACGGTGGAGCGGTTCGGGAGGCTGGACGGGGCGGCGAACCTCGCGGGCACGATTCCCAAGGACCACAACATCGGCGGGATTGAAGACGTCGACGACGAGCAGTGGCATTTTGTCTTCGACGTCAACGTGCACGGCATGATGAACTGTATGCGGGCGCAGCTGAAATTTATCGGCAAAGACGGACGACATGGAGGGGGAGCCGTCGTCAACGCGGGCAGTGGGCTGAGTCTTCAAGGGCGGGAGTATACGACGGCATACACGGCGAGTAAACACGCAGTGTTGGGCATGACGAGGTGTGTGGCCAAGGAGGTGGGCAAGAGAGGAGTTCGGGTCAACTGTGTCGCGCCGTGAGTTATGGTTCCCCATTCCCTTTCACCCCTTTCCCCCCGATGCCACCCACATTGGAGGCACTACCGCCCTTACGCCCATGAAGGTGGAAGAGAGCATCGCGCTGACTCCGAGTCACAATTTGCATATTTTTTACAGGGGCTTCACAGACACGCCGCTGATGAAGCAATCCATGGCGATATCCGAGGGTTCGGAGTCAGCAGAGGATTTCTCGTCCACCGCTCTCGGCAGGATGGCACAGCCGGTCGAGATCGCGGACACGATCGTCTACCTGTTGAGTGACAAGGCGAGTTTCGTGACGGGAGCCTGTATTTCGGTCGACGGAGGTTGGTTTTGTTGATACGTCAGAGAAGGTGAAGGAGATCTTCCTTTTTCCCGCGCTCGTTACTTCCGTAGCTGCAAAGGGGTGATGAGGGACGTTACAGCAGCCTGAAAGCCAAGTCGCGTTCTGTATGTTCGAGACGGCACAGATTTAATGACATATGTATGTACACACATTCTGCGGAAAATAGGTGGCCTCTTTTTTTTTCCCTCGGTATTCTCCCCTTTGTATTTCCTTGCTCTTTACTCATCAAAGGACCATTTGTCTTCCCCCTGGTTTCTTTCATGATTGGCGTTCCTTTGCTGCTGCTGCTGCAGCAGCAGCATCATAATCATCATCATCGATGGAGACAGACGATCATCGCGGTGTCAGCCTGACCATGAGCTCGTCGACAAAGAAAACCATGGAACGGAATGCCCCGAGTCGTTGGTTGGGGTTTATCAGTTCGATCTGTTTGGAAGGAGGAATCAGTCAGTCAGGGTCAGGGGCGGCAAAGCTGCGGGTCCGATGTCGCCATAATATATGGAAAGAAACCAGAATGGATGATGTGAGATATGAGAAAGCCCCAAATGAAAAGAGAAGAATAAGAGACAAGCGGAGAAGACGGGGGATAGATTTAATGAAGATACTCACATCAAACCGGTTCAACAGCTCGGGAATAAACTTCTTCATCTCAATCCACGCAATATGCTGTCCGATGCACTTTCTCCTCCCGGCGGAGAAGGACAAATTGGCTCGTTCCATTCTCGAGAGCTGTGCCTCGTCAACCTCGATCCACCGCTCAGGCCTGAACTCATCGACTCTGTCGCCCCAGACTGACGGGTCGCGATTCAGCGCTGTCATGTTGATCGCCACCACACAACCAGGGGGGACATAGACGCCAGAAATCTCGACACCGGGCCCGTCAGCGGGCACCTCGCGCTCAATCGGGTCGAGGATAAGCGGACTCATGCGACCGGCTTCCTTGATGCAGGCTTCCAGGTACCGGAGTTTCGAGACTGACTGCCATGAGGGCGGAGAGGCGAGCTTGGCATCTTCGATCTCAGCCCTCAACCGGGCCAAGCTCCGTGGATTGGTGAGGAGGTAATATAGGGTGAGGTTAATGGATGCCGCGGTGGTTTCGGCGCCCGCATGGATCGTCGAAATGAGTAGGCCGATAATGGTTGATCTGTCAAAGGTGACGGGATCGCGTTCACTTGCCTGTAGATACCGGTCAAGAAGGTCGGAATGAGTTCCCAACCCGCCCTTTTCTAGCCTAGTCTCGAGGCGTTCTATGGCAAGTTTACCAAGCAGGGATGTTCCACTCGTGCCCCTAGACGCAAAGCGGTTCTTATAAATGAGCTTTTCAAGTTTGGGTAGGGATTGCCAATTATGCCAGTGGTCAAAGCGCTGACGGGAGCCCGCTAGGGTGTTTCCTAGATCGGACTGTTTCTCCATAAAGCCTTGATCGTCGCTGAAGGCAATGTTACAGATGGTGTCGAAAGCGAAGAAGATGATCCATCTGGCAATGTTCACTTCCGGATCGGTATTGGCAAGCCGACTCATCAGGCTCCTGATATTGCAGTCGACATGATATTCGTAATCGAGGATGGCCGTGGTCGTGAAGGCTCCAATAACCTGCTTCTTTATCGCGGAGACGCGGGCTTCGTTTCGCTCTGTCACGAAGGAGCTTATCAACTTCCCATTGACTGCTTGGAAGGCGACCTCGTATGATTCTGCCTGTGAGAAAGAAAAAAGGCTTCAGCCCAGCGGGAACTTGCCTAATCCTGAGGCGCGAGACGTACCTTCGAGAATGCATTCCTGGTATTGAAGACAGTTCCCACAGCCGAGATGTCGCTGAACAATACTCTGTTCGGGCCGTACCTCACAACAGGGCCATACTGCCTGTCCAACGCCAAAGCGATGGCATCAAAGTATTCGTTGTTCCAGAACTTCCTGGCTAACCAAAAGTTGGTGAATTTTGCCGCAAAGGGGCCGGGGACGTGTCTCAACCTCCAGTACTGTAGGATGGACTGGAAAAGGAGGGACGCGAAAGCGACACCCACCAGTATCAGGGGAATTGTGATGGGAAACACGACGGAATACATTATGTTCATGGACTGGACCAGAGATGAAAGTTCTTTTGCAACATGGAGCTCTACGATATCGCGGGCATGGCAGTCTCATTTATCTGGCCATTCACCCATTCCAGCTTACCTTACCTTTGGACTTTTGGTGATTCGGCTGCCTTACCTCGACTGATTGAGTAGGTTCGAACCTTTGGAGGCCTGACGGAAGATCTCTCTGGGGAGTGAGTGATATGATGCCATTGGCTCCTATTCCACGCTTTCTCGCACCGGTGCGTATAGAGGCCACCTGTGGACTGGTGGACAGCAGAGGCTCGAGTGAGATTGTTACGCTCGTTTGCCTTCCCCCATCTAGAAGGTGGTTTGCGCCTCCTTGGGGAAAAAGCTTTTGTGACCCGCAGTGGCGCACAGCTAGCGGGCAGCTGCTAGCAGCCAGTTCAGAGCGGCAGTCTCATGGACTTTGAAGGGCACATTGGCATATGTCTTGAGGAATTTCGTTGAAGTTGAGCTGACATTGAGCGAGCTGCTATACGCGGGTACGCGTTAGGCCCTGAATGTTAGGGGCATCCATGTCAGCCCGACAAGCCAAGGACCGGTATAGTCAGATCCTTCTCTGTGTATCATGTGTGGCCTTTCTCTGGCGGGTCATGTTGGCCAGGGATTTGGGACTCGGTATTTTCGCGAAGGAGATCCGTCTGATTATCTGATGAGTAAAGGAAAGGGTTTGGCGATACGCGGGGTTCCAACGAGGACTGGCGCTTCTAGCGAGCTCTGAACTTGTCAACACAGGCCACTCAATCGGGTTTTGGTCTATACCCCGTGGGCAATACCCGACAGTGGGAGTATTTCAATGCGGCACGGGCGACATCTCAACTGCAAGTGAGAAGAAATCCAAGTTCCGTGGTTCCTCCGGTTGTCGGCTAAAGTGGGTGGCGTCGAGCGCAGTCTCGGTATGTTTTGCTCCGGAAAATCACTTTTTCCGTTGCCGTTCCAGGCTTGTCTGCGCCAGTCTGTGCTGGTGCCTCCAATTGCCTCCAGTGCCTCGGTTGCCGCGAGCAGCAAACTGCGGCCATCCAGTTGCCTCCGCCAAACCACGTCCCCAGTACTCCGTATTCCGTCCCAGTATTATTAAACCTGTTCGTCACCATCAGTGTCATCCTTCAAAAACGTGACTTGCCCGGCAGTGCCCAAAGAAAGCAACACGCTCCATCTGTTTCTCCCTCTCTCGCCCTTCTCATCTCTCATCTATCGTCGACCATGTCTTTTCTGGGGGGTGCCGAGTGTTCAACTGCGGGCAACCCGCTTACCCAATTCAAAAACCATGTCCAGAGTGACAACACTCTCCAACGGGACCGGCTTGTCGGCCGGGCCCAGCCTGGACTGGAAGAGAGCATGCGGTCTCGAATGACACCGAATGGCTCTGATCAGGTATTGAGGTCAAGGCCACACGGGGAAAGACGCAGCTAACCGTGGAGTAGATGATGAACGACTTCATGCAACAATCCGGGATGCCCCAGCCCTTTGCCATGGAGCAACTACGACACGACCTCCCCAGTCTTCAAGGAATCACAAGGCGATCACCCTCCCCCGGCTGGGCCGCAGAGTTTGACCCAGGTGAACAAGCAAGGATGGAGGCTGCTTTTGCAAGCCCAAGACTCAATGGTCAGAGTCAACCAAGATTTTCGCCACAGGAATTTGCTCGCTTCCAACAAGCCCAAGCACAGCGAACCGCAAGCCCCATTATGCAAACTCCCTCCATGATGAACAGCTATCAGAGCCCTATGGGCATGGGATACATGGGCGGCATGAATCTCGGGATGAATTTTGGATCACTACATATGCAACAACAACAACCTGAACAAACTACAGACAAGGGGAAGGGTCGCATGGTTGAGCTGGATGATGCCAACTGGGAAGCCCAGTTCAAAGAACTCGAGTCGCAGCACGACAACCTCTCAGAACAAGCCAATGAGGCGATACAGAGAGAACTCGAGGAAATTGACAGGTCAGTGGAATCTCCCGCAGAGGGATTTGAGGATTTCGAGAGAGTATGGCACGGAATCCAAGCTGAACATGCATCCAGAGAAATGGCCGAAGATGTTGCCAAAGACGAGCCTTTCACTGCAGAGGACCTTGCTGCCTGGGAAAACTTCGACTCCACCATGGGACTCAATACGCATCACCCTTTCGAGCGAGAGCCAATGCTCGGAGATTATATGTTTGAATCACAGAACCCCTACCTAGAAAACAATTCTGCGTCTAGGTCAGCTTTCGAACAAGGGAAAGAGATCCTCGAGTCACACGGCAACTTGTCTCTTGCAGCGTTGGCATTTGAGGCTGCCGTGCAACAAGATCCCAACCATGTCGAAGCATGGGTTTTACTTGGCGCCGCTCAGGCCCAAAACGAGAAGGAATCACCGGCCATCCGTGCTCTGGAAAAAGCATTAGAGCTTGACCCCAACAATCTTGACGCTCTGATGGCCTTGGCTGTTTCTTATACCAACGAAGGATATGACAGCACGGCCTACAGGACACTAGAACGCTGGCTCAGCGTGAAATACCCTCAAATCCACCCCCCTGAGAATTTATCGAGTCCGACCGAACATGGCTTTACTGACAGAGCAATCCTACACGAAAGAGTTGTAGATCTCTTCATCAAGGCTGCTCAGCTATCGCCTTCTGGAGAGCAAATGGATCCAGATGTGCAGGTTGGACTGGGTGTTCTTTTCTACGGCAATGAGGATTTCGAAAAGGCGGTCGACTGCTTCAAGGCTGCGCTTGCGTCGACAGAAAGCGGGATGGTCAACCGAGAACGAGAAGTGCACCTGCTGTGGAATCGGCTAGGCGCGACGCTGGCCAACTCTGGTCGATCCGAGGACGCAATCACTGCATACTGCAAAGCCCTGGAGGTCAACCCCAATTTTGTTCGAGCACGATATAATCTGGGCGTTTCATGCATTAACATTGGCTGCTACCCTGAGGCAGCTGGGCATTTATTGGGAGCTTTGAATCTACACCGAGCTGTGAGTGAGCAAGGTCTAGACAAAGCCCGGGAAATAGTTGGCGACGGCAGTGGCGGGATCTCAGATGCCGAGTTGGAAAGGATGATACATCAAAACGAGAGCACAAATCTCTACGACACTCTCAGAAGAGCATTTACTGGCATGGGAAGACGGGATCTGACTGAGAGGGTTGGCGTTGGCATGAACCTGGACCATTTCAGAAGCGAGTTTGAGTTCTGAAACTGTGAAAAAAGAAATGCGATAGAATGAAGCCATGAACCCTTCCCAATGCTCTTTTCTTCCTCCCTCCAGGTGTGACACCTCGCCGCCTTCCTCTCGCCGGCCTTGTGAAACACCGGGAACAAGGCCTCCGCCTAGGCTTGTTAACGGAGCTGTTCACAATATTTAGACATCCCTGACGTCTATTGCCAAGTGCTTTGGTACCTCCAACTTCGCTTAATGGACCGAAACTCTCCATTCTGTCACCTCAAGTATGCCAGCCTCACCTGCCGTTGTCGCCAGCCTTGTTCTAGGCTAGAGCGGTGGCTTGCGAGTCGTCGTGTGTACTAAGCCGAAACCAGCGCCCTGCAGGCAGCGACGACTTCTTTCAACAACCCCAGCTGGTCGACGCCTGATGGCATTCCTCCAAAGCTCTGCCATCATATACACACGGACAATCCATGTTTGCAGCGCGGCGCCAGTCGCTCCTTGACAAAGTCGAGTGGAGACCCGAGCATCATGGGGGGCGCTATTTCATCGAAACAACTGATGAACCAGGCAGGCTTCGACACGGGCATCTCATGGACGAAGAGATCCGTGACTGGGTTCTAGCAAATGTGAGTCTCTCTGCTCGCACAAGCAGCCCGTTTGACCTGACGTAGTAAAGTCTTGTTCAGCGGAGTCTCCTCCACCAAAAACGAAATCAGGCGGCTTTCGGCTCCTACTGTGCGACTTACCAAGACTGCAAGATGAAATATCACAGGTTCGAACGCCCCATATGAGCAGGGATTCATTCCTCATCACGGAAGAAGCTTTCCTGCTTCCCGGTGCGACGCTCCAGGCATTGTTTGACCTGGAGGGCGTGTATTCGCGATTCACAGAGTGCGACACCGCTACTGGCAAGGTCAAGTATCTTAGGATCCTCATTCAAGGACGCCGGAAACTTGGGGTGGCACATTGCACATTGTCTCTGTGTCACAACAGTGACACAGGATGGACTTATGGCTTACTCTGTGGCGAGGGAGTCATCGAACCAGTCGAAATCATGAACTCTAGACCTCTCATGCCTGGTTTACTGAACTTACTGAACCCATGTCTCCCTCTCAAATCCGATCCTCTCCTTATCCCTACCATGCTGCTAAAGATATACACCGAACGTATCCAGCTCTTCTTAAGGAAGCAGATCTTTCAGTTGGATGAGCTAGAGGACGCGATCGGGGTGACTCGTCCCGGCCGAGTTACAAAATCTCGTTCGCTTAAGAACTGGCCCAACGATATCGACATAAAAAAAATGACGGTCGGACTACATTCGACTGCCTGCGAACTCTACTACTTGAACCGAACCTGTCTCTGGACTCACGACTGCCTTGAATTCCTTCACACATTGGCTGCAGAGTGTTCTGACTACATTAACAGACACCCGGCAAGATTCCTCGAAATACGGCAGGGAATTGAATTTGAGACCACGAGGATGAAATGGATAGCCGGTACTCTCGACACGAGCAAAGAAAGAGTGGAGGCACAGCTTAGCGTTTTGTATTCTGCAACAAGTCAGAGAGAAAACGCGATCGCCCTCAACTACAGCCGAATGGCGCAAGAGCAGAACGAAATCTCCCTCCGAGATGTGCACATGAACACCCGCATTGCCACGTCGACTAAACAGGACAGCATTGCGATGACAACCTTCACCTTCATCGCAGCTCTCTTCCTGCCGGGGACATACGTCGCGTCGCTCTTCAGCATGAGTATGTTCGATTGGCTGCCTTCGGAAGGGAATGGTAGCGGTTCACCAAGGGTGTCGGCCGACTTCTACATATATTGGTGCATCACAATCCCATTGACGCTGTTGGTCATGGCAGGATGGTACTTGTGGTATAGAAGGGCGGATCAAGCTTGGAAGAAGGAGACTGGATACAGCCTGAATGACAATACTGGTGCAAATAGGCCCATAGAGGTGGAAGTAAAGGCCGATCGATAACGTGCCAGTGCTAGGGACGAGGCTCGCAGGTAAAGGGGAGCCGGGTACTCCCGTCCTACATGCTTGAATTATTCCCTGCGTTGGATTCTATTGCTGGTGTGGAAGCAGGTGGGAAGTTGAGGGATGGTCAAACAAGTGGACGAAAGCTGGACGAAAGTCGGAGGTGTGAGGGAGGAAACTATTAGCACACCCCTACATGAAGTTCAGGTTCCTTTGCCAGCGCAATTCAAGATATTCAAGAGTTGATGTGCAAACGGCAAGTAAAGGAGAGAAAGGAGGGTTAAAAGCGGCGTGGCGTGGGTGGCTAGCACGTGAGCATGGCGCAACCCGCCGCGTCTGCTCATCCGCCAGTGGTCGGGGATCGAACTTGGAAACAACTGCGTCCAACCTCTACATGGCCTTCTGACGGAACTGTCTTTCCAGAGTTTAGAGCTTACCATCGTCGACGTCTTGCCCTACCGTCTGTCGCGCACGAGATTCAAATTGTCCTTCAGCGCCTTCATCGGATTCAGTCAAAGGGAACTCGGGTGCCTGCGCTGCGGGGGATTGGCCTGAGCTCAACATGGATGACCATGGCGAGTTCGACAGCGTCTCGTGGCAGCGAGAAGATACCGCGGAAGGGGAGTCATCAGCTCCATTCCACGGCAGTTTGCCAGATAGATCCGCAAGCGGGCCGCGAAGCGACAGCGTATCCAGCGAACCCCAAGTAGGTGAACATGCGGACGACGTCGACTTGGCTGGCATAGGTCGCGACGGTATCTTGGAAGTTACTGTTGATACCCCGCTCAAAGAGAATGATGGCACAAAGGATGCATATGTTTCGTATCTGGTCACCACTCATGTACGTCTGTCGTATGCTTCCGACAAACCCTTCAAGCTGACTTTCTTCCATAGACAGACTTCAAGTCCTTCCAAAGAACCGACTTCTCTGTCCGGCGACGTTTCACAGACTTTGTCTTCCTCCGGCAGACGTTGCACCGAGACTATCAAGCCTGTGCAATCCCTCCCCTGCCCGAGAAGAATAACATGGCCTACGTTCGAGGAGACCGGTTTAGTACGGAGTTCACCCAGCGACGGGCGTGGTCGTTACATCGCTTTCTCAAGAGGTGCACTCTGCACCCAGTGTTACGGAGAGCTCCCATATTAATATTGTTTCTGGAGACGGGAGACTGGAATGCACAGATGCGACTGAGACCATCACGAAGCAACACGTTGGGTGAAGGCGGCGCGGGGAACACATCTGCTCCGTCGGGATTCTTCGATAACGTCGCAGATACCATGTTAAACGCCTTCACCAAAGTCCACAAACCCGACAAGCGATTTATCGAAGTGACTGAACGTGCCAACAAACTCGATGAGGACTTATCGCATGTCGAGAAAATCATTGCCCGCGTCGCCCGCAGAGAAGGTGACCTTGAAACCGACTATGCCGACCTTGCCAACAATATGCGCAGACTGACCCCCTTAGAACCGGCAATCGAAGCCCCGCTGCAAACCTTCGCCGGGTGCGTGGAGGAAACGTCGAGAGGTTGGAAACAACTAAAGGACCACACAGATCAGAACTATCTGGGAAGTCTCAGAGATATGGAAGCATACATCAACTCCGTCAAATCGCTCCTGAAAACGCGCGAGCAAAAACAGCTCGATTTCGAAGGACTCACAGAATACCTACAAAAAGCCACTTCAGAACGTGACTTACTGGCCTCGACTAATCCTTATTCACATGGCAGCAACCTGAACCCGGCAAACTTCATCCGCAACAAAGTCGAAGACATGCGCGGGGTTGACCATGAAACCGCCCGCCGCGAACGCTACCGCAAACTGGAACTCAAGATTGCAGAGCTGAACCGAGAGGTGGAGAGTGCAGAAGGCACAAGCGAAATGTTCGACGAGCAGGTCGTTCGCGAGGTTGCGGACTTTGAAAGGATCAAAGGAGTGGAATTTCGGGACAGCCTGGGAGCCCTAGCAACCCAGCATATGGAGTTTTACCAAAATGTCATCTCGACATGGGAAAGGTTCCTGGTCGACATGGACGCTGACAAGCACATACACAAAGACAAGGGCAGGGCGGCTGCATAGTGCCCCTGAATCGAGCTGTAGGCGTGAAAAGCCTGGAACGGACATTTGATCTGCTACGGGGGTTAATGCGCTTGCTAAACAGGCGGTGTACCCTCAACCACGAGTACTAATGAAAGCGCCAATGCCAATGGTGCGTGCCACTGCTCAATCTCCATGCTCCTCTTCAAGTCTACCTAGGTAGATTCTTGCTGGAGGCTTGCTTTCGCACTCTATTTGACTATCGAATGGTTGGCGAGAGAAGTAAAATGGAACACATTGGGAACTCTATGGTGCTTGAAGCTCAGCTCAGCTCCTTCGGCTACGGCGGCTGAGTCTTCTTGTAGATTTATATCTGGGCGAACTTCGATCTAGTCTACTCCAATGTGTGTAAACTAGAAGGACTTCTGTTTCTCAGAAATGGAGGTGGTTCACTCAAGGTGGCAGGGTGCCTGCCAACGGATAAACCCCGGATAAACCTCGCGTCTTTTGTACACCCAAAAGTTGCGTCTCTACGAAATGTATCTATTCCCTGCAAAGATCTAAAAGACGCCTCCAAGAACGAGCATAATGTCTGTCAGCAAGAAGTATGCTGGGCTGCCGGATCTGGTAAACTCTCCTAGTTCTCTACGCTCGACATTCCCCCTAATTCAGCTAACCATCGTTGCCTGCAGGACGCTGCCCCGGAGGTATATGAAACGCCAGAACTCGCAGACGATGTCTCCACGTTGCCAACGGGGACGGTACGCACAATCTCACCCTCCCCGTCCGATGATGACGAATCCCGCCCCGGTCTTGACCTCCATCCACTCGACCGTGAGGGTGCCCGGCGGAGGTTTGAACCCTCGGTAGTTGACGCCAGGGATGTCGACTTCTCAGACTCGATTGGTGGCGCCAGACGCGCATATCGGACGCGCAGTTCGCGCCGGAGAAAACGGTGGCTTCAAGGCAACGGAATAGAGGATGGTGGCGATCTGAGTGACAGCGAGGAGGAGACGCTGGCCACAAGATTGGCGAGGTTGAAGAGAGAGGCCGAGGAGGTCCGGCTGGAACTGGAGAGGAGGGAGAAAGAGAAAGAGAAAGAGCAAGAGAAGGATGAGGACGGGGAGTTCAAGGATAGCCTAGAGGAGCAGCAACAACACCACCAAGGAGCTGGCGGCGCGGGTGCTGAGGATGAAGACGTGGACGTGGATGGCGTGCGAGAACTCAGTCGAGTGTTGGACGGTTTGAGCATCAAAGCCAAACTGAGGACCGGCACCTCCGCCGAGGACGAATTCTTGTCAAGACTGACGTCGAGTTCACTCCACGGCGAGCAGCGGCATCAGCAGAAAGAGACCGGCACGATATCCTCGAACACAACAGCAATGCAAGCAGCACCGGCCACCCTCTCTGCGGTGGCAGCCTTCTCCGATCGACTCACCGCCCTGGAATCCGCCCTAGGTGTCTCCTCTACAAGTGCAGCTTCCCGGACTGGAGCGATCCTACCTACGCTGGCAAGCTTGTCCACACAGGTCACCACCTTATCCGCCACACTCGCACCACAATCAACCTCGTCAGGGGAAACCCTGTCTGCATCTGCATCTCAAACCAGCACGGCCCTCCTGGAGACCGTTTCTGCCAAACTCAAGACCCTCATCGCCGAGTCCGACCGACTGGCCGCTTCCCGCAAACAAGCCCTCGCCTCACTGGCCGACCTCCACGACAAACGGATGCAACAACTGGTCTCCGCGACCGTGCATTCAAACACTCGCCCCCGCATCCGCGGGCTCTCCACCACGAGCACTTCCGCCGTCGCCCACGCGCACGCCGCCGAGAACAAACAAGGGGAGATCCCCGCCGACGTCGGCCCCGGGGACGAATCTCTCCAGATCCAGAGCAAGCTCTTCTTGGACGAGCAGTCGTCCAAGATCACCGCGCTGTACAACGTCCTCCCCACCATCCAGAACCTGCAACCTCTCTTACCTGTCGTGCTGGAGCGGCTGAGGACATTGAGCGTGATCCACAACGGCGCGGCGCAGGCCAAGGGGTTGGTGGACGAGTTGGAAAGCCGGCAGGGGGAGATGAAGGAGGAGATTGCAAGGTGGAGAGAGGCAGTCGAGACGGTGGAGAAGGGCATGGGGGAGTTGGAGAGCGTGATGAAGGAGAACGTCGAGGTCCTCGGGGGCAGAGTAAGAGAGGTGGAGGCTCGGATCGAGAGGTTAGAGGGCACCAGGTGATCAGGAAGGCTGTAAGGAAACCAAGTTTTGGGGGGAAATTGAAGAGATTTCATCTCCGTCTTCGTGGCATAATGCCGCCCTACGCCCTCTTCAGAATATATAACCGGTTCTCCAGCCCCCAGTGCACCCACCACCCTTTCGTCCAACTTCCTCGCTTTCCCAGCACATGCTGCAATCCATACCCTTCCCTGAGCACATCGTGCACGACTCCGTACAACATTTTCATCTTCTTCCCATAAATCGCTTCCACAAGCCTGGAGAGCCCGTCAACTTCTCTCCTCTCCTCCTTGTCCCCCAGCACAAGCAATCCCCTCCCGACGTCCGGTGTCAGGACCTGCGGGGGTCCCAGCGAAGGCACTTTGTCCACGACGTCCCACCGCCCAATGACCCGACCCGGATCCTCGACGACGACGTAGTCAAACTGCGCCCAGAACATGGGGGAGAGGAATTCCGTCTCATTGTCCGATTTGTCGTAGACCCACCTCGTGCGCTGGGTGGACACCAAGGGCGGCTTGTCCCCGGAGGGCGAGCCAGGCAGGTAGAAGACGGGCCTGCCGTGGCCTGACGAGTTGGTGAAGGAGGGCGTGGAGAGGAAATGCGTCACGCCCGTCTGTAACGCGAGGTTTGTCAGGTGGACGCGCACGGTGGGTCGGGGTGGGTAGTTGAGGGAAACGGAGTGCAGGGCCGATAGCGCGTGAGCGCCGGGGTAGGTCTGCGCGGATAGCGGGAGGAGGAACAGGTGAGAGACAAGGGCGGTGCAGGTTGTGGTCAGGACTATGAAGAGTGTGAAGATGTAGTAGATCGGATAGCGGCCGCTCTGAGTGTAGATGTACGCTGCGACTCTGGCAACCGCTGCTGTCAAGGGAGGCACGACAGGGAAGAGGAAGCGTGTCTCTTTGTGCGCAAGGCAGGAGTATAAGCACACGTAGCCCAGCGAGGGAGCTATGAGGTCCAGATTCGAGGTTGCGATACTGCGGTAGGTGAAGCCGATAGGGATCAGGCCCAACACGAAGGGATTCATCAGCAGCCGCGGCAGGGCGTTGGTAAAGTACCAATACCAGGGACTCGTGCCCCAGGCAGAGGCACCGAGGCTGTCCTTCTGTGGGAAGACATTGGACAAGAACGCCACGAGCTCGGGCCAGAGGGGGTTCGGCGACTGCCAGAAGAAGGTGTCGACAGAGACGGTCAATAAAAGACCTGTGACGGCCGCGGTGAGGATGGCAGGCACCAAGACCCTGCGGATCAGGGAGAGAGCCGCCGAGATCTTGAGCCCCGGGCGAAGAAGCATGTAGAGGCACTGGCAGCCCAGAAGAAGGCCAAGCTCAGAGCGGAAAATGACGGCGGCCAGGGTGAGGAGGTACAGCGCGAGTTTGTTACGTTTGACGAGTGATTCTGTAGTTGACGGCGTGACGGGGAGGAGGAGCGAGAGCGCAAATGTGCCTGGATGTCTTGTTCTTAGCTAGTCTCGAGCTGATACTGAGCAACCGCGGGCACATACTCATCCCAAAAGCGAACATATTGGGCAGGGTCCGCGACGAGTAATACCAGACGTGAAACTGACTCGCTTGGTGAATGGTGTACCACGCCGCGGCAGTTTTCCCATATGCTCGCCTCACCCCTGATGCATAGTAGATGAGCGCAGCCGCATTGAAGAGGCCGAGGATAGAGCGGACTGGATTGTCCAGGAGTCAGCAAAGAACGAAAGGGCGGTTCGATCCAGGATGTGTCCGTATCTCACCAAGTAACTGTTGCTGTGCGCCATCGAGATTTCCAAGCCACACAACCGGCTTCGCTACAGCTGCCAGGACCACGGCACCGATGAACGTCCGGGGCACGGCGCCAGGAAAGGTCATATGGTCATACAGGGCCTTGAATCTGAGATTCGAGTTCTGGGTGGGCACACCATATTGGAGGATGTCGTGGACGGCTTGAATATTGAAGGATTCCTCGACTTTGGTATATGGGGAAATGTACAGGTGGCACAAGACCAGTAAGGGGAACAACAGGTAGCATGATTGCCAGAGCTCGAGGCGGCTCATTCTTTGCTCAGTAGCTAATGCTCAATTGCAGCATCAATATAGGCTCGAACAGGAAAGGACGATTAAACATGGACGATAGTGATGGAAAGGGTCAGCGTTCACAAGGTTTCAGGATAGGTATCGCGTTAGTTTCAGCCTTGTCCCCACAGCCTCGTGATACTATTTTCACCACAACATCCTAGAGATAATAATAATAGTTCGACAATGGGTGAGAGAAAAAAAAAAAAAAAAACCGATACAGGGATCGAACAGTACCTCCTCTACCACTACCTTCGTCTCAAACAGCAAAAAGTTTAGTGGACCCGATCAAGTCTCATATTACCTTTCCCACTCGAACCTCGCAGGTGTTGCGGCTCCTGTCCTCACCCCGGTGGTGAGCGTTATCGAGCAATCTTACAACAGCCGCTTCAACGGTTCTATGACCTACTTCGCAAGTTGATCTTGCTTTTTCGGATTTTGACGTGGCGAGACCTTACTGCTGAGCAGCGGCCACGTCTGGAAAGGCCCCTCCCACCAAACCCACTAAACTTTGGCCTATATCCCATTGACGAAGTTCGCAGTTATTATAGGTCTCTTTACCGCTGTGTGAACTTCTGGGATATGTTGCACAGATTTCTGGACCTTTAATTGATATGGTAGCAATTTTCTGATTGGTTTGTGGCTGCCTGGACAATAGTGAATCTGTGGCAGTTAGTGGAGACAGGTGAGGCAGAAACATTGATCGTGAGTGAATGTAAATGTTCATTTGATTGACGGGTCAGTCCTGCCACTTGCCATCCTTCAAGAACTCATAGCTTCTCCTGCGGCTCTCTCGGGAGGTGAATCTCCTCTAGCTGTTTGCCGGCAATGTCGAAGGGCAGGCAAGAAACAGTGGTGGCTATAAACCTCGCTGGCTCAGTCTTCGAGGCGTTGTGCCATCGATGCATGGTCCCTCGCTGGACGATATGATCTCCCGGTCTCAACAAGACCTTTTCTCCGCCGTCCAGCTCATGCTCAATTTCTCCGATCACGCAGACGGAGAAATCAATGGACACGGTCCGGTGCATGACGCTCGTTCCTCCCGGCGCCAGATCCACGATGAGAAGATTCACGCCTGCTGGTGTGACAATGCTTGGAGACGTCCAGCTGGTCGGTCCCTCTTTGCCTAGGTATGCTTTCACGTCCTCGTCGTTCTCCAGTTTAGCCGGAACCGACGACACGGAAAACGACCGTGCAAGGCCACCCACGTCGGGAACGGGAAAGTATTGCTGTGGAGGCGTGTCAAGATAGACGCTCTTGCCGTTGGCATCGTGAGTCGCTATGTACCGTTTAACAGGTGGTAGGGTGGTGACAGATTGAGCCATTTCAGCCATGTTGGTTTGATGTAACGGATAATGTGCGGAGATCGGTGCAATGGTGCTCTGACAAGTTTTGATACCTTGGAGGATTGGGAGGGTGTGAGGTGTGACATGCACACCCACACACCTTATATAGACTGGCCATCCCTGTTGCGTTCCTTTTTGTCTGAGTCAGTTGATAGATGAGGCAGTTCCAACCCCGCCTCTGCGCGCTATCTGATATCGAATGGTATGAGTGGTGCGGAGAGGAAACCTCCCTACATGGAGATATCCTCGGCACCCCAAAAAGGATATCAACCCGCAATACATCATGGAATCCGTTGTGCAAGAACTCGATCACAGAGGTACCTCTGGAGCAAATTCATGAACAGGAATCAGATACGGCCACCGAGGGTAACGGTGAAGCATTGCGTACGTCGACGATATGAGAAGTGGGTTTCCGAAAATGGTTTCCTCACAAGGCTGGGCGAAAAGCTGATATGTCCTGATAAGGGCATCCCATGTCCTGAGTTGCGAGCTGAAGGGCGTCTCCAGCTCCGGCCAGTCGCCTCCAGTTCATGCTGGATCTCATCGTGGTTGAATTGAGAGAGATAGACGGCGGCCAGTCGCTAAAAAAAAAACACCCCATAGCTGCCCTGAATTGTGCCAAATAGGTGGGCTCACAGGATCGGATGCTCGGCCTGACATTGTTCCGCGCCGATCTGGCTTTGGTGGCTTCAACACCCAGACACATCGACCTTGACCTTTGGCTCACGCAGATCCCATACTCGCCTTTGTGACTTTGAAGAATCTCGCCTGGATCCCTGGTGTTCCTCTTGCACCTAGGACGTTCGCACCCTACTGATTGCGCCAAAATGCTCAGTCTCTTTGGCTTCGGGCCGTTCATCTATGGTGAGTGCCCTGGCAGCCCACATGAAATATACCAATCCGACACCATGCCCTTTACCCTACAAGTAATGCTGTGAGACTAACAACCCACCTTTCACCTCAGCAAGTTGTCTCCTCCTCAACGCCATCGCTATTCTCTCTGAAGACCGCTTCCTCGCTCGAAGTATGTCCTACGCACGCCCCACCCAAGCTGCATTCTCATCCCTTCTGCCGTTGATTTTGTCTCGCGTTGCAATTCCTTGGTGGATGTCAAGATGGAGGAAACCAAGTGGCTAACATATAACCTGGGGGCAAACAGTTGGCTGGGGCAAAACCTCTCTGAACGATCCTTCTACTGGCGCCGCGTTCGGTGCTCCGGCTCAAGACCCGGAAAGCTTTCGCAGTAAAGGCATCAACCTGATTTCGAGTGTCCGGACGCTATGTCGAGGTTAGTACCCTCCAAATATGGCTGGCCTGGCACTTTGTATGAGTGTAGCAGCGAAAACTTCGTGCCGGGCATGAACAGGACGTGTGCTAACGGGCCCTCCGCGTTCGGGGGAGAAACAGTGCCGCTGATACTGGTGAATTCTTTGATCATTATCTATGAAATTATGCTTGGATGACATCAAGTCCAACCACAACATCGACGAGCACTGTTTAAGATCGTTTACCCATCGACACACGGACCACGAGAGAGCAGAACAGCAATTTCTGGACACTTACACGCCGATCGGTCATACTCAGTGGCTCCGACCCCTTCGAGGACGCCTTCTCTGCAGCCGTCCTCGAATGATCCACCCGAAGATATCAGCATGCGTATATCCGTCGCCAGCGAGGAAGAAAACTCCAAAATTCGAGGGGTAGAGGCGCCACATATTGTCCACTGATAGACGATAATGACAACCCAACTCGCACGAGCTGTGCCACAGAACAAGGTTCAGCCCACCAGTAGGGCTTTCGAACTGCCTAAGGCTCGAAAGCACCGGTCTATTACTTCACGAGCCACCACGCGGGGAGTGACTCGACCGGGCATGATTTGATAGAAATCGAACAAGTCTTCAGGGCACCGGCCCTGCGCTCCACCACCTTTTTTTTGCATGAGGCTCAACTGCTCCAGAGACGGGTGTGGAGCATTCCCATATCATGCTTTAGGGAGGCAAAACGTGACATGCAAACCAGTGGTGCCATGCGAGGGTCCTCGTCTGGACAGTAGAGCAGGGCGCATCTTCAGGCGTGAGGCAATCTCTACTTTTTGGAACACGAGATCCATCGAAAGAGGCGAGGAGCCTTGAATCCTTTCTTCTCCAAGGCCAGCATTGTCGCCAACATGGATAGGTTCGATAGTGCTCTTGGTGGAAGCCCGGGGGAATGCCAATCAAATGTCATCCTGGCTACCGCCTCCAGGAGGAATACAGGGCAAGGGAAGACGAATATCAGAGATGTTCCTTATTCGAACGATCCACAGAGCCATTGGTTCTCGCAAGAATTTATATTCATAATCGTCTCTGTTTTCCTTTCACCTGTATGCGGTTTTTTGATTTTGCTCCTCTTCAGACTTTGCAAATGTGTTTCACGTTTCATTACACCAATCACTATGCACTTCCGCTTTGCCACGAGCGAAAACGGCAAGACAAATAATTCTCCATGCACGTCGGGAGAAATCCCATCTTCACCTCGAGGGCCGGCGGTGCCCTTCATCCCTCCGTTATACGGGGGGACCAAGCATGTCCAACACAAGGGTATGTGAAGCGACGTGCCCATGCACAGTACAGTCAACCCGATCCCGAACTGAGCCTTCAGCAATAGCTGCCTCCTGATTTCTTCCACATTCCACAGTACCCGACATTGCCTGGGAGCACTGAAGACCAGCGTTTTTTGACGTACTCACTGTGCCGCCAATGACTGTATCTGAACCGCAAGCGAAATAGACAAACCGCCTGGCATGGATCGAAGGTCAATCTCTGCTCCTCCGTTGTAAATTGCTCGCGAGCTGACTCTCCGTTCGACATCTCAGCTCCTGAAAAGAGTAATGGTGAAACATGGGTGGAAGGAAGTCATGCAGGCAATGAAGGCGCCATGTAAATGCCGTCATCTCTTTGTGAAGTTTCGTAATCCAGTCATAAATTCGAGAGCGTGCGAACCGCACGCGTAGGTCGTCCGGCTGACAACGGACACACATAGCAAAGATTTTGTGCTGCCTGGAGTATAACTCCCTTGTAGACCAACCATGACAATACGCCCAAACAATCATTTCGCTTCGTCGGCTTCTAATGATCCGTTAAAAGATGTATGTGCAATGCAAACTCGGGTCGAAGATGGTCCACTCGTAGATGTGTTAATACCTGCGTCTTCGTCATGATAATACGCCGAACGACTTCTTTCGAATGCTAAATCGGTTTCTCTTCTCTTTCTCCTTCTCTTTTTCCGGAGACTCCGTGCTCTCCGCTGTGTCTGGGGTAACCATATGCTCCTCGGATGGATTCGACGGCGGCTTGTCCCTTTTGGTTAAGGACCCAAATCGTAGACTCTTCGATCGTTTGAACCGATCCAGGCCCGAATGACTACTTCCGTTTGCTTGAACGGTGTGCGCTCGTTCGAGGGCGTTTCGCCTATCTTCTTCGGCCTTCGTAGCCTTACTTGCTTCCATTGCCGCCTTCAGTTCCGCTTCTTGTCTCTTGTGCGCTTCCGTGATTTTGTTGGCCAACTCTTTGCGGCGTTGTCGTTCGGCTTCTTGTCTCTCCTTCTCCGCCTGTTTTTCTGCTGCCTTCCGTGCCTTTTCTTCCTTCGCCTTTTCTTTCTTGCTTTGCACAACGGGGCTGGTCGGTCTAGCGGCAGTGAGAGTAGGAGACTGAGGGGATTCAACATGTCCGTTCGCCTTGAATTGAGGGGGGGCAGTCACAGCATGATCGAGCACAGCGTATTGTGCGGATTCTGCTGGCGACACTGGAGAGCCCATTGGACTGAAGGTTTCGACACGGTGCAACTCTGCCGAGCGTTTGGCATCAACGCTAAGGGGATTGGTTAGATCTTGCGAAGCCCGTCTCTTTCCTTCCATTCTTTGTTCCTTCTGGACAGCTTCAAGTGTTGTCTCTTGATAAAACAGCACGTAGGCACACGCAAGTCCCGGTTTATCTCCAAAAAAGTTGCGGACAAAGTTCTTGTCGACAGGTTCAACCATCTCGTCGTCGAAAAGCAGCCAGCCCCGATCCTGGGTCTTGATGACGGCGACATAGTGACCATGGTACGGACCTCCACCAATATGAACAACCACTGCATAGAGCTCGTAAAGTCGGTCAGGGTCCTCTGCATCGTCCGTGGTGTTGAAGAGTCTTAAATGATAAGGATACACGACTTTGTGGAATAACTTTTGCAAACGCCCGAAATCTTCGGTATACTTAAACCGCTTTAGGTGTAAGGCCAATATTCGTGGAAGTCGCTTGATCTTCATTCGCTTCTCCGCCTCCTGAAGGCCGCCGCAGTTGTCGCAGTGGAATTTGTTTCGCTCGCACAGCATCTCCTCCTCGGAAAATCTTCGTAAGCATGCAGTGACAGATGAGTGTTGCTCCAAGTCGACTGAAAGATCTAGAAAAGGCTCATCACGCTGGGAAACATTTTCGCAAGTCAAACATCTGGTTTCAGAAGTGAGTGTGCCTTCGAAGAGGCCATGAAGCCACTTTGTCGGAGAGTTCGCTGTCGGAACTGGCAATATGGAGGGAAACGATACAGTCGCTGATTCCGTTCTTGACATATCGGCGGGTTCTTCTGGTGCCGGAGGGGGCGCCTCGACTTTCTTCTGCGCAATCAGTTTTCTGTCGTGATCCTCGATATTCTCCACCACGGTGTTGAGGAGAAGGTTGAGGAATTCATGTGCATCTTGATGCATGGCAGAGCGGAACATCTCATTCTCCTTGCGTAGAACCTCAAGGAATCTGTGCCCGCTGACGACCCCCATCCTTGACTGATGCAAGACAATCGCCTCGAATATGTCCTTGAGCGATGTGAAAAGGCTTTCTGGCATATCATAATCCTGCGAGTTATCGTAAGTCATGTTGAGAATGGGGCCCGACAAGATCGCTTGTTTCTTCTTGTACTCTGGCGAGTCTTTATCCTCTGGCTTCTGTTGTTGAGGGGGAGTGCCGGCATTTCGCGCGGATGCAGGCCCAGGCGGCGGCTTCTTCGCCGCCCCATTTTGTTGATTCGGCGGTACCCGAGGCGGAGCGTGCAATTGAGCGTGGGCGACAGCGTCAGGATTGGACCGGCGCGGATATGAAAGGACATGTTCTCGGAAGGGCACAGAATAGTAGAGACACTGCAGGATTGAGTTGCAATAGCTGCGAAAATCAGACCAAGAACCCTCGATGTTGACGGTGTTTCAGCACTGACCAGCTGTTTCCGAACTGCAGAAGATGCTTTGTTAACAACAGAGCGTAAGGGGTTCCAAGCAAGACCCAAGACATACATTTTCCATGCCAAAGAATTTATCACTGCCATCGTTGCGAATTGGACCAGCACTTGCGAGCATGCGCTCAAGAGGGGTAGGTAGAGGCGCATTTGCGTCCTTTCTGGCGGTGGCTGCGCCTACTGCCGGGGCAGACGCATTCTAGGGAGACACCAGGCGATTAGTTACTATTCCACGGCAGTCGACAAACAAAGACAACCACAGAACTTGCGCGAGCCTTCACCAAGGATACCGAAGAGAGATGGAGACTCGATTCATCTGGTTTCCTGACTCACCTGGCTCTTGAGCTTTCCAAAGAAGGAAGTCATGGTTGACGCGCCTCATCTGCAGACACCCGAATACATGGGCTGAGAAGCTAGAGTGCACTCAGGCTGGAGAGGAGCGCATCGGGAGCAGGAGGACGATAGCAAAGCAAGCGGGAGAATGCGAGGATGGTAGGGAGGAGATAGGATGGTGCAGGAGACAGCAAAGCGGTAGTTCTCAACATCAGCTTTGAAATCGGTAGGCTTTTGAGACGGTGGTAGTGGAAGTAATATGGTAGCAGTACGAGTAGTACTCCCCTGCTTGGTAGGCAGCGAGCTAGCAACGATCAACCAGGAGTAACAAATGGGTGGGATCCTATCCCGTCTTCTGGTGACTAGGTGCAGACAGGGTCCCGACTCGTGGTTTGTGGCGGGGTGGGCATGGCAAGCGCAGCAGCCAAAAGCGACGAAGTTCTGGCTCCTGGGGGGGCCGGTCATAGCGAGCGCGTTGGATCCTGGTTGCATGCATGGCTTCACGCCGAGGCGCCTCTGATGCTCGCCGCCTGGAATAGTGGCAATTGGTGAGAATTCGGCTGCGCACCACCAGCTAAAAGGAACCCGCCCCTCCATCACCAAAGCCCGTCAAACCCCCTGGGGGCCAGCGTCACCCACAGACTCAAGCCCAAGTGGTCACTCGGCGACGATCGCCGGCCACAATGATCGCCTGCTGTGTCTCAAAGAGCCCTGCGATTCATATTGTCGCACTCGAGACCCTCGCTGGTAGTGCATTACTGTAAACAATGTCAAACAGATCAACGCCCAGGTCAAGAGATCACAGGGAAGAGGCTGCACCCTTGTCTCCTCCGCGAGTGTTTGGCTTGGGCTCTCCCTGCAACAATGGGAAGTCTCCGTTTCGCCCAAACGGCGTGCGCCTCGCTAGGCCACTTCTAGGGTATCCAGCTCAACTGCCGCATGTGCCTGGTGTCTGCAGGAGCAAACGTTCTAGCGCCCACCGTTGACCTCCCGCAGCCATTCTCCATCGCCGATAGCTAATGGGGGTTACAGATCGCTTGGGGAACGGAGGACTTATCGAGAAGGCCGAACACGCGATGCCACCAAGGGAAGCACCAAATGCGGTGACTTTACTCTGTCCTACCCAGGTCTCGTTCATCGCCCATCACGCCAGTGATTCGGTATCGAGCTTCCCTCCCTCATTGACCTTTTCTGTCACCTGCGATCGCCGGCGGTTAATGTGGAAATCGGCAAAGTCGGACCACGCCATAAGCTAGCTCTCCATGCGTTCAAACTTCCCGCTTTCTTGTTAGAGGCTGAGCACGGGAGCCCTTTAGAATTTGCCTGATATCCAGGGATGACGCTTCCTCGGCGGCCACGACCTTTTGCTATTCCACCCCTCCAAACATTCTCGACAAGTGCTGATTCACAAGAAGAAACCCAAGGAGCAGGTGATTTAGCAGCCTCCACAAAGAATGTTCGAAGGCTTCGCTGCAGAATTCCACGTGGCCAAGCAGAGCTGATTAGGTTCAAGCCAGGTGGACTCTGCAACTTCGACCGCCGGATCTTAGATTTATTAACCATCAACCAGCCAGGCACTCTGACGTTCAAGTCCGCCACAAACTGTGATCGGCACCTTTGGCGACATTGCCCGCACGGACGCCCGTCTCTCGCTTGGTCGATGTCAGCTCAGCAATGCCATTCGCAGTGAGACCTCGGAACTTTTGGTCTCATGACGGTGCCTGGGAGCCCCCCCGACCCTTGTCGACCATTTTGCCGGCCAAACGAACCCCTTAGACAAACCCATCGAATACGAGGAGAAGCTCGTTCCCTTCCTTCGTGCCTCACTCTTAGCCCTATTGGGCAATTCTCTGGGGTAATGGGCATTCGCTACATGACACGATAGTCTGAGGGCGAGTCTGCGTCAGTGGAATGGTGGCTTTTGAAAAGGAAGAAAAGAAGATTAGTTAGTGGCTAGCCCATGTCAAAAACAAATGGCACAGTCTCGCGAGAAGAGGGTTCTCTAATAGTGGTTACCCTAAGTTATTCGCTCCAAGATACTAATCATTTATAAAGACATGTACTCTATTATTATGCTGAATGATACCCCTATCCTCAATTGACGATATCAGCTGTTTGATCTGGCAGTTGCCTCGTCGTTATCTCGAGAGTGCGTCAGACTCTGCCATTTTTTACTTCCACAGGCTTGGTGGATACTACCTGCAGGGGTTTGCATACGGAGAGACAGACTCCGCTACGGAGTTGCCAACATCAAAGGAATTTCAAAGCATTCAAAAGTCACTTTATCCAAGGCGACTTCTTACTCTGGGAGGCCGAGATACATTAAATGTAGGTTCAAGACTGGAAACACCCGCAGATTAATCCCGCAATCGTAGAATCTCCGTTAGGAACTCCTCGAAGCTCAGGCTGACATACCCATCCCGGTCATCGTCGTACTTCTTAAAGACGTCAGTCATCCTTTTCAGACTGATGCACGATTGTACAAATAGATCAAAGCTCATGCCTTGATTCTGGATGGGACTTCGATCGTTGAAGGTGTGGTAGAGAATGTTGACGAACGGCGCGGACAACCGATATCCAAACGCCGTCAGAGCCTTGGAGAACTCTGCCAACGATATTCGGCCGCTCCTGTCCTCATCGAATTTCTCGAACAGAGTGCGCCAGGCGGCGAGAAAGCGCCAAAGGTTTTCAAACTCTTGATAGGTAATCGTCGGCCCTTGGGGCTGGTTTGGAGGTGAGTTGGTGAACATGCGCATCAACGAAGAGATAGTTCGGCTATCGAAAGGAGTGAAGTCAGCATTCACCAAGGCCGAACCCAGCTCCGTTGTTGTGAGCGATCCAGTGCCTGATGCATTTGCAGCACGGAAAAGAGGCTGCAGGTCAACTGTGTCAGGATCTTGAGGTGCAGGCGTCCTGGGTGGATATTGGTGTGTTTCATGCGAACTTCGTCGCGCACCGGCAGGATCAACCGGGGGACGAGATGTGTAGCCATAGCTCGTTGGAGGGGGCGATTGTAAGCGCGAAAACTGGTTGTCACCGTAAGGTTGATTGTGTATAGGGCGTTGTTGCGGACTTATTTGAGCAGGAGGTGGTCGATAGGAATTCTGGGGAATGCCCGCAGGGGAGGGACGACGGCCACCAGCTGGCGCAGGGTGTTGAGAGATTGGGTTCAAAGGAGCCTGCTTTTGGCCAGGACGGAGTGGGATACGATTTGCTTCGAGTTGACTGAGAGCTTGCGCAGCCTGCTCGGGCTCTGCGTGACTGTCATGAACAAGTAGGTAGTCAGTGAGTATGTCCCTTTTTCCATGGGGGGAGTGAAGCGGGGGAGGGGTGTGTGGCCGTACGCAGGCAAGGCATCGGGATTGAATGCTTTGTTGTATGCCATGAGAGATGTATATGAGTAGGATAACAATATTATGTCAGGTGAGAGGAAGGTGAAGTTCACGCGCTGTTTGAGAGAGACAGCGGTCCGTATTTGGCCATCGTGAGGCTGACTGAAGAGTCGACGCTGGTACACTGATTGTTTGCATGGTGACGATTTCTCGGGGCTCGGGACGAGAGCTGAAGAGGGCGCAGGCAAAAGGTGGCTTTTTGGGGGGCTGGCTTCTGGGCGCAGTCCCCCCAAGCCTATCCCCGAGCACTTGGTAGCCTCACCTCGGCAGCCAAAAGTAAAGACTCGACTGGCTGGCTGGGCGGCTTATCGCAAGGCTGCAAATACGGCCGCAACCTGGCATGTTTGAGATCCGAATGCCGTGGTGACGGAAGTTTAGGAATTCCCACTCGTCATATCAATATGAAGAAGTCAATGCCCGTTGACGATACGAAAATGCCTTTAACCCTCGCATCAGGCCCGTGACTAACTCATGACTAACATCATTCTTCACTCGCGATAGGCGTCGCTCCGTTCTCCCGCTATCTTGCCTGGTCTTTCCGCGTCCGCTCGGGATGGTGACATCCCCCTTAGTTAGTCGGCGTCTTTCCCGCCTGCTCTGTCCGAGTACAGTGATGGCACGAACCAGGACGTGGTGCGAGCAAGCTTGAATTACCCATCTGCCAGCTCATTCCGGTGAGACTCGACTCAGCAAGCTTGAATTAGTGTGCATGAGATCTGCCAGCTGGCTTCAGGCGGCGGGAGAGATCCGTAGCCACCCTTGCACCTCCAACTAATGGCCTGAATCTTAGCCTCTCCAGGCTGTTCTTTTGTAGGGCCTGGTTAAGCTGCTTAACTAATTAGTGGCGGCGCTGGTGGCCCGGAGCCCCCCTTGGGGGCGCGTGGCTCTGCGTCTTCCTCCTCGCCTGTCCCACTAAGGCAGCCTCGATTAAGCAGCGGAAGACGCCTGTGATCCTCCCGAAAGCAACCATTGATGCAAAAGAATTCATCATCCATGGCTCTCTTTTCCATCTACAGACGGCCTTCTCCTTAGTCGAGTTAGTCCATATATCTCTTGCACCTCCTTTCTGCTCTGCTTACATATATGCTCCTGTGGGCTTGACACCAACGGTCACTGTACTTTTATCACACCGTAAACCAAGTCTTCAATCCTTTTTTTGACCGACGCTGCAGTCCTATCTCCTCCTCTGACACCCAGGTCATAGTCGTTTCAGCAGCCGCATAAGTCAGCCTTCCAGCATGAGTCCAATTCACACCCAAGACTTCTGGCTCTTTGGCTATGGGTGAGCTTGACCATCTCTCACCAGATGCATCATCATGACCTCGACCGACTGATTCAACGCCCCAAATCGGTAGGAGCCTGATATGGAAACCTCCCCCACACTTCGGTAGGACTCGAGCGCCGCCTCAGCGTCAGTGAACACCAGAGCTCATGGGAACTAGACCAGCGGATTCCAGGGTATATCAAAGGTTATGTTCGGCGCTTTTGGCAGGTAGGAGGCATAGCGACGGCCTAGGACAAGTCAACCACTGGCTAACAACGTTTGTGACCTAGGCAAGGTAAGTGTCTCTTGCAGACCCGTCAACTCATGACGTTGAGTAAACATACCAGCGAGGACCATCGCGGGACTCCTGACGCCCCGGGAAGGGTAGTCACGTTGATTGAGAGATCCTTTTGGGAAACGCTCGACGACCCTGTACGACATACGCCTCAGTTCTTGGCTTAACGCCTCCTTCGTGTGTGACTGACACCCATCAGCAACGCCATACGGAAGGAGACGTCGTGTGGGGTGTCGCCTATCATATCATACCCTCGAGAGTGAAAGAAGTCCAAGAGTACCTGGATATTCGCGAAATGTATGCCATCCTGGATGATTCGGAAATTGTTTTGCTGACCCCCGAGCAGAAATGGATACAGCATCCAATACACTCCATTTCACCCAGCCGACACTTTGCTTGCAGATCTGCATTGCCTGGTCTACATCGGTATGCCTGACAACCCTCAGTTCTTGGGTGCTTTGAAGCCGGATGAAGTTGCAGAAACGATCAACGCCAGTATCGGTCCAAGTGGAGAGAATAGAGAATACCTGCTGCATCTTGAACAGGCCCTGAAAGAACTGAGTCCAGACAGCCATGATGAACATATCACAGACCTTGCCCGACGAGTCCGAGCTCTCACCCCACCTCTTAGAATTCCGCGCCGCCCGTTCGCACCTGACAACACCTTGCGAAAAGTCAACAGTACTGAGGAGCAGGAGGAGATAGAGAAGGAAGTATGATTGCTTGTGGTATGGACATTCTTGGATATCTCTGAGGGGTTGTTCTCAATGCTTTCGAGTGGAAGTCAACGGTGCGGTCTCCGACCAACAGCTTGGTTCAATCGGCGGAGGGACTCGGTGGGTATCTTTGCGCAATCAAGTCATTATCCCCGACCTTCTTGGTCTATTGTCGATGTGGCCCCTGCTGGCCATAGGGGTTGTTGCCCCCTTGTTGTTGGCCTCCACCATACGACCCTCCCGGTTGTTGGTATTGCGGATTGTACTGCCCATACTGAGCAGGATACGCTGCACCCCGGCCGAAGCCCTGCGGGTTTGGGTTTCGTGGTTGGGTTCCGGGCTGTTGATAACCACCTGGCGCCATGGGCATTGTGTATCCACCTCTTCCGGCGAAGCCACCACCGCGACTCGGGCCGCCCTGCCTGCTGTCCTGGGCATGATCTACTCGAATCAGACGACCGTCGAATCTGTTCAAGAGGTCAGCTTTTGAAGGGTTGTGGATGCTGCCCTGGCGCCTCACTCGGTGTTGTTCATTCTCTGAAGAGCCTCGTCGGCTTCCGCTTTCGTCGCGAACCGCACAAACCCAAACCCTCTGCTGCGATTTGTGTCGCGGTCTTTGACGACAACCTGGACGACATCAGCCACCCATTCACAAGTCGTCGACGCATTCGGTTACCGCCTCCTCCACCTTGCCGAATTGCTGGAACCCCTCGTATAATGTTTCGTCGGTAGTGTGCCAGGCAAGACCTCTGTTGGAAAGATCATGTCAATTTTCACCTGGAGAGCTGCATTTGTAAGACTTCGGGCACATACCCAATGAAGAGCTTCGCCATAGTGCAGTCGATTGGCCACGGCCAGATATGGTACTGTCGCAAAGTACTTTCGGCCCCCTTCAAAGTAAGCCCGGGAGCGGTCTGAGATACCCAGAACTCACCGCACAAAGCCACGGATATTGAAGAAGAAACAATAGTCAGGTTTGGGTTGTCATGAAGATTTCATTGGTCGAGAATATGCAGCGGTTCATGCAATCTATCAATTAGAGCGTCTGCAGTTCGGCCCCAATCAACGACCGTCTAGCATCGATATCACGATTCCTTGTGCCTTTGGACGCCGGGTGAAACGGTGACAAAGGAAGGTGAGTGGGTTCCGCAGAGCGGGCAAGATGCCCTCACTTAAGATCGGCGGGCTTCTGAGGTTCCACGTGGGAAAAGCAAAGCGCCTCTCCTATATGTTGTCAACAGCTGGGGGAGTACAGCGGCACCCAATTCTCAGAAGGAGCCAGAACTTGTTTCCGCGCAAACGGGGATGTTGGTACCGATTCTCTGTGACGAATACAAACCGCGCACGGGCGCCGTTGACGCGAAGATGACTTCTTGAAAGTTCGATGCACGAAGACTTCCGGATCCAAGCAAACACCAGAGTGGAGTTCACAACCATTACCTCTGGTGCACCGCAAACTCATTATGATAGGGTGATGTCAGGACGGTTGAAAGATCGTTCAATGCTATGGTGGTGTCGAGGCACTGCTGATACGGTGGACTCGAAAGGCAATGGAAGCACGGCTAAGAGTGGGCCTACCCAACTGGAGATCTTCCTGCGCAGCGGAAGCCCTGTTCGGTGGAAAAGTCGTTGGCGCAGGACACTTTTGTTCCCTGGAACTACGATATAGCAGGTCCCTATCACTCGTCACAGGTGCATATCAGCCCTATAGGCAGAAAGCCTATTTGCTTGGACACTACTGGGAGAAGATCTCCAGATACTTCGAGGCAAGGTTGTCTGTGCCGGAGGTCGAGAAACACCACAGCAAGATCAGAATGGCAGGATTTTATGTTCGACTTTCGCAGAAAGCAGCAGGTCCGGAAAATGACTCGTTAGGCGGCGATGGACTGTGGGCAACAGTCAGCACAGATGGTGGAATGGGGGAAGCCCGTCTCAGAAAGGGGCAGGTGATATTGGGGCGCCACCAGCTTGACCGCTGATTGCTCCTAGGCAAGGTAGGGCTGCAACAGGATTGATCGAGCTCGATCAATGGGAACGCCAACGGGGCCATGGCCCTCGTTGCACCATTGGGCGCATTTTACTGGGGGAATTGGACCTCATGTCCTTATCAGGGCTTCCTACTGGCAAACTCGAGCAACGACATACCCCGCCTCCGGATAGGTCTTCAGGCGAGGCGGCCGAGGAGAGGGCAGTCGAGGACAGTTTCGGGTTCCTTGTTGCGACGAGCATTTGCTGGATGGGGTTTGGACGGGTCGACTCTGAGCATTTTGCGGAAGAGGAAACGGTCTAGGTAGAGGTAAGTGGATGCGCCAGAGATCACAGATTGGACTGACTCAGGATGAAGAGATGAAGGTTGGTGCAGGCCTGCGAAGCTAAGGATCCAAACTTTATAGAGGGCATCCATCCGGGTCTGGGAGGGGAGCGAGGAGCCATGAACAGAGATGGAGAAGCGGGCATGCCAACTGAGGGCGGATGGATGGTTGTGTGTGGATGGGGAGTTGAATCTTCATCAGTGCCGCCAGCGCCTTGATCCCGGGCGGGGTGAGAGGTCTGTGTGGTGGGAGCTCGACTCGACGAAAGGCCGCCGCATGAGACTAACCGCCAACATGCTCTAGCGACCCTCGCAACGCCTCAGCAGCCTGCAGCCCGAGTCAAAATTGAGCACAACGCCGACACTAGAGTACCTGGATTCAGCAAGACGAAACTCTCAAAAAGGGAGCAACAGCTTGGCTGCCTTCTTGACACTCGTTTCCCGAACTCCAAGTCTTCTCCGAGGCCTCGACGCTGGACAGCTCCACCATGGGCCATGGCAGCAGGGCCTAGCAGAAAGCACGAAATCCTCCGATATGGACTAACCCGCTCCCTAGGGAACACGTCTATCAACCCACAGCTGCATCTTGGATTCCTCCCCAAGGGAAAAGGCTCCACTACACCTCGACGCCCAGGTTTGGAGCACGTACAAATGTCCTCCCAATGCGACCACAGACTGGAACAGGCATGGAATCCCTCCTCACCGACTTCTCTCCTGCCTGTGCCGCTCTCCGATGACCTATGATTGATTACCTGACCGGACTTCTATTTTCGGGCTCGCGTTTGCCAGTTTGCCACTGACTGTGGCAGAGAACTTGGTCAACAGTTTTGGCACAAGTACCAACGGCGACCTAGCCGAGCACAATGCGCCCGCAGCCGCCCGGCTCTTCTCGGCCTCCTCACGCTGGGATCTCCATGATAGCAGCGACCCCTTGGTACATGTCTTTGTGCATGAAAGAACTGCAAGATGAGAAGGTTATCGCATGTAAGCTCGACTGGGGTCCTGCAGAGATGATCTGCAGTCAGCCCTACGAGTGCCTGTGATCCACATTTGGCCTCCTTTTCGCCCCAGCCTTAACCATCGGTATGTCTCCGATCAGGTGAAAGGGACAGACTCATTCGCCTGTGGGTTTCTCGCAGTGAACCGCGGGTCTTTGCGCCTCTAAAAGCACCTGGCGCCTTCCTCGCAATTCCGTCCAGAATGTAGTGGCCGTGCTTTCCTTGGATGGTCAGCGTCCGTTGCGGCAACACCCTTTGCATATTGCTATACCTGAAGTCAAGGTTCCTGTTTTCGCTTTGGCCACATGCCGTCCCTGAGTGCGCCTCTGTCCAGGAAAATACGGAGACGAGCAGTCACCCTAACCACAGATGTCTTCATTTCGACAACCTGCGCTTTCGATTTCCGAACAGGTGCATCGGTGGTTGTCAAACGTGGAGCAAGGCTCGACTGGCCTCGACCATAAAGACTCATCTCCGAATGTACCCTTTCACAGACTGAAGCGCAAAGGCAAGATTTGAGTGGAGTGAGCTGAGATGCGACGTTGCTGACATGGAGCACAGCAGAAACACAACGGACCCGAGAACCAGTTTCGGAACTGTTGAACTCAGAGCGAGCTGGAGCCACATACGAGGGTCAGCAAAGAAGTGCAGGGGAGAAGGTCCAGGTCAAAAGAAGGTCAGGTAATCAGGCCAAGCTCGGCCCGCCCTCTGACAGCCGAAATCTCATCCAGGGGAATAACAGAACAAAGAGTCGAGAAGATGGCAATGTCGTGGATGCAGGCGAGAAGTATGCCAGGAAGCTAAGGCATAGAACTAAACCAGACAGATACGAATACAAGGGTGCCATGGAAAAGCCTTTGAAGAAGCGGGAGTCTAGGAAAATCGCAAGGAAAAATTCGGCAATGCTGCAGAATCACGATTTTCAGGCCTCAAACGTGGCCAGCGGAAGATTGACCCTCAACCCCAATGCTGGACCAGGGTTTCTTGCCAAAGCAAAATCTTCGGCCGACGCAGGGAAGACGGGATTGCCCGACTTGACCTTCTCAGAAATGGCATTCTTGAAAAGAAAGAGACAGGAGAACGGTGGGCGCTTCCCCAGAATCAAGGAACAGGATCCCAGAAAGAAAAATTGCACGTCGCTACACCATGAGATAGCAGAGTTCTTTTCCCGACCAAGAGGGCTGAGACACGAAGGATCCTGCCTGCGCAATCAGCCTTCGACCGACTCCTGCGTTTCATGGTCAGGCTCCCCAGTACCGAAGCGAATATCGTTAATACACCCACGACTGAGTTCGGTTGCACGGTCAGACAAGTCAGAAAGTATCCATCTTCACGAAGCCCACGGCCCAACTGCTCCTCCAGTGGTTCGTCCAACGAGCTCCACTAGCGCGGACTTTCTAGAAAAGTTCACGACTGACGCACTCTTGCATGGAGTCGAAGAATTTTCCAGGGGAGAGAAGAGACGTTACTCATTGACTGATCTGAAGAAGCTAGCTGCACAGGCAGCCTCGGACCTTGCTAGCGACGAGGGATCTGGGCATGATATTGATATAGTGGGCAATGTCATCGACTCAACCAATGAATTGCAATGGCCTATGCTTCCCATATCGAAGGGAACCCTAGACTCACCTCACCCAACCGTGCCACAGCAACAGCGGAGCCTGAATCAATCTGCAGAGTATTGCAACGAGCCAAGACGAGAGCATCCAAGCGTGCAGCCTTCGGGCCACAACCGAGTGCTGCTGGACGCAGGCAGTGACAAGCAGGATGTTGATCGAATTTCACCTTCTGGATCTGGCCCCCTGAGACAGCTTGTTAGCCCTACTTGGCACCCTCAGTCGCTTTGGGAGGGGTTTGCGGACATGCCAATGTCATCTTGTCATGTCCACTATTCGAGAAATCGACACAAAGACCGTGAACTCCCCTTGGATGCAGACAGTATCCCCGAATTACAACGATGTGCCGCGGGACTTGGGCATTCTAATCGGCCGGCGCCAGCAAAGCCTGCTGTCACCGGGAACTTCATGAATGAAACCGAGGCACTTCACACTATTGCCGAGTCTCCATGCGAGCTGGATGATTTTGACAGAAAACTGTTGCAACTAGGGACGGGGTTGGCACTGTCGGAATCGGGAGCCATGGTCGACCGAGAGTCTCCCCTGTACGAAACCGACGTCGAAAAGCCTTTGCAAGACGCAGTTGGCTACTGGTGCGAAGCTTTTGCGGACAGTGCTGCCGATCGATACCGGGCTCATGACTCATTGGGTGTCCGGCATATACGCGACGTACCAGTGGACAATTCCCAGTTCCAACATGGCCAGGAATTTGCTAGATCGTATCGTCATACGTCTCAGGATACCACAGAGGGATTCTCGGGATTCTCTCGGCGACATCTTCTATATTGATCGGCGGGACATAGAAATAGACCAAGATGAAGCAGGCTGTTGGATCTGGAGATAGGGACGGGAGCAGATGTAATGTAGCTGATGCAACCCCAGACTCTACGCGCCCTTCCCGCTGACCTCCGCCCTGAACTCTCAGCTGTTCGTCTTCGCGTCAGATGCTTACCCCGTGGGCGAGGCAGTCTTGCCTCGGAAGAAACAAGGCGCCTTGTCAGGCCTACGAGGTATAGTACTTTTGGACGTCATGGGGTCGCATGTCGATCGCGTATTTCATGAGCCGGGGCAGTTTCTGCTGGGGGCGATTTCTAATTAAACGTCGCACTTCGGAAAGGGCGCAGGATTAGAGATCATCCAGTGCCGTCGTTGGGTAATGGCGAGGAATTGATGTGAGTAATCAGGTCCTGGTCAGGAAGTCTTGGTATGTCATTGTGGGGGATTTGGAGTGCGTCGTGAGATTCCAGCCTCTTCATGTTGCCGACCATTACCGCTGCAGGACGGCACCTCGTACGACCAGATCTTCTCTCCTCCATCTCTTCTAGTCAGACAACCTTGCAACTCCCGCTGTCATCAACCCGGGCGGGCGACCTAGCTTTATCGTATCCGAGCTCCGTGGAAAATATCATATCAAGAACGAGAGCGACAGGCACTTGGCTGAATATATCTAGGAAAAAACCAAAGCAGCGCAAAAGAACTGGCCTTAGAAGAGATTCTTTAATACGTTAGCTCTATCAGTTGCTTCTATCAAACTAGACAATCTCGGACAGAGATCATTGCTGGCTGGGAGTATCAGTGGCTGGCAGATAGCCGTGTACAGACATCTCTGCCTGACACCAGGAAAGCGAAAAAAAAGATAAGAAAATGAAGAAAGTCATCCGCTATCTCCAAGACCAAGGTATGTCAACATTGGGTTATGAATGCTCTTCTTCCACCGTTCCTTTCACTCGTCCGCCTGTCCGGGGTCCCCTTGCTGAAGACAAGTTATTAGCACTCGAAGCTTCGCAGCAGAAGTATTCCGGCGCTGCATATCTTTCCCCCACGACCAGAGAACCTCAACAGCGGGTCAAACACCACAGCCCGTCGTATTACAAGGAGCAGCACACTTCCCACCATCAATCACGCTCTGCGCACCCTAGCTTAGCTGCGCACAGCTTTCCCGCTCACACAGCAGCCGGGACTGGACCTCCAAGATCGAGCAGACAGGGATCACCGCACATCGCGGACAAGATCCACCGCGATATTACACGGCACCAATATGCCTTAGATAACATCCTCCAGTCCTACGAGTTATATGTTCCCGAACTCGATCACTCGCACCTTGCCGATCCCAGCGGGAAAAAGTACTGGATTGTTTACGTCCATGGCGGGTACTTTCGTGATCCGACAGTCACGTCTTCATCCTTCTACCCAGCTCTTGACCATTTAGTGTCTGAGAAGGCGAATGGCCGCCACTACCACCATAATCCATTTAAACATGACGAGCACGTACCGGCAGTTGCGCCGTACATCGCAGGTTACGTGTCATTGAACTATCGTCTCTCTCCTCATCCAGACAAGGCGCCTCAAGATCCATCCAAAACGCCAGCGTACGAGCTCCGCAATGCCAAATGGCCGGATCATGTCCACGACGTACTCACCGCGATTGCACATCTACAGAACAAATACGGCTTTGGGGATCAGTACCTGCTCGTGGGACACAGTGTGGGCGCCACGATGGCCGTGCTGAGCACCATTGCGGCACACCGATCGTTCTCAAAAGGAAACCCCGCCGACCTACCAAAGATCGAACCGCCCATGGCTGTGCTTGGTGTTTCAGGCATCTATGATTTCCCGCTCCTCCATGAATCATTCGCCGACTATATCGGGATGACGAGGAATGCTATACCAGATGAGGCTGACGATGTGCTGGCCAGCCCCGCTAGGTATGATGCAAAGGACTACGTGGATGCCTGGGCGGCTACGGGGAAAAAGAAGAGAGTTTTGGTTATTGCACACTCCAAGGACGATGGGTGGGTGGATTGGAAGCAGGTTGAGGCGATGCAGAAGGTCTTTGCGGGCAGTGGATCGGTGATCGATTGCGAAGTTTCCGAGTTGAAGGGCCAACATAACGATATCTGGGAGAAAGGGGCGGAGTTGGCAAGGGCCATTGCTCAGGCGGTGCATATAATGCGAGGTCTAGAGGGAGATGGACAGTGAACGGCCAAGGAACCCCCAAAATTGACACGAAAGCCATGTGTAGTTTGATACCCCTTTTGCAAGGACTACGGGATGCCAGATTGAACATGACGGACTTAGCCATATGCAGGATCATAGTAATAATGAAAAGCAACTCCATCTGGTATGAAACGAGAGGCGCAGGGGACTTGTCAATGCAGCTGGCTGGAGCGCAGGGCGGGCAAAGGCGGGCGGTGGGCAAAGTGCTGTTTGGTGTGGTGGTGTGGTGGTTGTGTCACGGTGGAATGACGTCGGTTGGTCTTGGCATGTTTACTCTCCAGCCAGATCCGACCAAGTCGCTGCGCAATCAACTGGCCTTCGCTTTGACCCAAGACTTGGTGCTGGGTCTTCGCTTCAAGTTACAATGCTGCTGAACTATTTTCAGCAGCATCACATATCGCTGGAATTCAACAACAACTAGGCAGGCAAAAGTCCTGTCACCCGCCATCATGGCTCTACGAGCCTCGGCCTCACCCTCGCCTGCGCCAGAGGCACCTGTCGCGTGCGCACCAGGACCTCGCGCAGCGGCACTACAGAAGGTTTTTGCGGGCGCCCTGGCATCGTCGCTCAAAGCAAACTCGTACACGAACTTCAGTTCGTGCTTCCCGACGCCCGCGAAATACTGTCCGACTGCGCTCGAGGGAGTCTGGAGACAACTGAACACGCGGTTAGAGGAAGAATGCATGCGCGATTTCGAGAAGATATTAGAAGAAAGACAGGTCGTCGCGGGCCTGAACCAGTGGGATAACATGATCGACGAGGCTAGAAGGAGGAAGCATCGCGCCGTAGAAGGCGAAATGCCAGAGAGACCGTGAGCGACCATTTTGCCTGCCGTCGGCACTTTGTCCGTACGTGGCACGACTGACCGGAGACAGATTGCACACTTTGTCCGCAGACGAATTGCACACCGCTCACTTCACGCCCTACCTGCAACAAGCGACCGAGGAGCTGAATACGAAATTGCAAAAGTCCCAGCAAGAGAACGCGGTCATGAGGGGATCAATCTCTGAGCAACGCGCTGAAATTGAGCGGCTGCTAGCCAGCCTCGAGCACGCCGTGAAGGACATTGAGGGAAGCGTCGAGGCAATGTGCACAGACGAACAAAGCGGCTTCAATGAGTTGAGAGAGGAGGTGTGGCAAATGGAACAAGAGGTCGCTGCAACAAGATAGTACTCGTATTGTGTCCTCGATCATGATTGGGAAATCGATATGGGATGGTCTCTGGTCCTTGGTCCTAGGCCCTAGCGTTGGCGCTGGAGGAGTGATCTCACGCGAGCCAAAAAGTACCCAAAAGTACCCAGAACAAACATGCCTGTCGGAGGAAAATGGAAAGACCCGGGGCAAGACCCCTTTTGAGGCCCAGGGTTTCATGATGCGACGATTTGCGGCCATGATAGGCGGACAGGGAATGCAGGTCATTTGGCGAGGAGCATCTCAGATTGAAGCCAGGAGTACGGAGTATTGAGATCTGCTTTGAATCTCAAAAGCGTCTCAATAGCCTGAGACAGGTTTCCAACCACCGCGATCCGGAAAGAGATTGAGGGCAAGTGAGTGGCCAACGCTCCAACGGTGCTAATAGTGTCAATATCGGACATCCGTTTTGGGCCATTCGCCAATCGAGACAGGCTGTCCAATCACAGCCCATGTTGGCGCCAAGCCCCTCAGTGTGGTGCAACAGTCAGCCTCATTCCGCCGTCGTCCAACTTCACGCTTGTTCAGACTGCTCTACGATTCACCGGCTGTCCAAAGGCTTCGCGGGAGCAGCATCCTATTCGAGCCAACAGAAAGTGATTACTCTGTCTAGAGCCCATGCGGCCATGAGAAGGCAGGCCATCAAGCCTGTTGGTGGAGCTGCCAGCTCTCTTGCACCAATTTCCAAAGCAAACAGCCCCGTTCAGCCCACCAGAGCGAGCATTCCGTACCAGGCCTTTCCCTGTCGCCACGTTCGTCTATTGCATACGGCGACCTCCGATAGGGCGGGATCTGCGAGTGCCCCAGGATGATTTTCAGGCCATCCCATTGCGTCTGTTTGTTTGTGGTGAGAAATTGAAGCGCGGGAGGGGCAGGCAAATTGGCCCTTCCGCCCTACCAGCATTTAAGGTTTGATAACGAGATTGCATGGTCGCCACCAACAAACCACAACAACATCGCCTACATGCGCATCCTGGCGTCCCCGGTGCTCGCGGCCCTTCTGGTCTCTTCGCTTCTGCGCGTCAAGAACCAATCCTTTGGTGCCGTCGCTCGCACTTGCCGCAGTTTCCGCCGTGCTGCCATCCGAGTCTTGCTTGCGGCATCATTTCTCCGGCCAAACCCTTGTTGCCGCAAGCCAGATACCCCCCAGACTTTCCACGAACATGACGCGCCAGCAGCCTTCCTCCCCGGCACAAGGCTTGAGGCTAGTTGATACTGTGGATTGGCGAAACGCTAGGACGCGTGCACAAAAAACCATACCGGCACCGTGGGTGTCGCTGGTTCGCTGGTGCGTTGTTCCTGTTATGGCTGTTGAAGAAACGTTCTCCGGTTTTTTTGTCTTTTGCCTCAGCTTACCTCCATGCTCTGTTTACATCCTCGTACTCAAGCCCGCATGCCTCTGCATATGATAATTTCGGATACTCCACCAGTTCTTCCATCTGCCCCGCCTTCATTGGCCTTTTCGAGAGCGCGTGTGTCGCCTTCGACCCCTCTTCCGCCTTGTTCAGCCATCTGCTCTTGTCTCACCAACGAAAAGCCGGGAAAGAGCTGAACGTGAGCAAGGAAAATCCCAACTGAAGCCGGGACCCCGGACTTTGTCTGCTGCGCGAGAGAACAACAACCTCAGCTCGTCATTGTTCGCTCTCCGTATTCCTCCCCGTCAACTTCTCAAACGCGTGTCCAAATCTTCTTTCCTGACTATCACTTCTATCAGTGTCTTTGTTTACTCTGGCGAATCTGGATGTCAGCCTCAATTCTTGTATCCAGCGAGTCTCGGGCTAGAGTATTTTACTGCAAAGGCCCATATCACCGTTGACAGGTCAAGGGTTGCTTTGCCCACAGCATCGCGTTACACCAACCTATGGAGGCACGGGTCAGGATAGCAGCGGTCGCGAGCCTGGCGAGCATTTTGGGCATCGCAAGCAGCGTGCTGAATATCATTTTCGCAACAAACATCGGCAATGTTACGGTGGTCTCAGGTCTTCGAGTTCTCCTTTACATCACCTTCGTTCTCAACCTGATCAATCTCGCGGGTCTGGCTTACTTTGGCACGCTCTTTGTGAAGAAGCTCTGGAGCCAGGCGCAGCACTCGACACCAAGTTCATGGGGACTCTTCTACGCCGGGGTGGTTTCGGCGGCAGTCAGTGTCATCGTCTCCGGGATCGCATTGGTATGGCTGGCTGTTAGACGAAGTGACCTTCCAACAGAGATTTTGGACACATCTCTCGCCACATTGCTTGGGATTTGGTTCGCTGTGTGGGCGGTCTCTGCTCTTTTGCAAGTCGCCCTGTATGTTCTTCTCGCCTCCTGGACCAAGACTGTCTTGATGACAACAAGGGCCACTGGACTCCACTTGGACTTTGGCATCAGAGCCCGATCCATGTCCGCTGCTAAGAGACCGGGCACTCAACAGACTGATCAATCGTTCGGCTCGCAGGACTTGACTCTTAACTCACCGCCACGCACTCCTGTCTCAAGGGGAGAGTCTTCGACACGCCGATCGTCAGCTACAAAGGTGGGAACCGGATCATCGAAGACAAAGCGGGTGCGGTATTCGAGTCGATCTTCGCTGGAGAGTTCGCCGTTTCCAGCCGGTGAGGCCATGTCTATCGACAGTGCTTTCGACAGCTGGGACACGTCCTCAGTTCATCATGAGATACGCGTCGTCATCCATTCATCTCCGCCCGTCGTCCACGGAGCTCTGGAGACGATTCCGGGCAGTCGACCTGAATCACCTGCCAACGTGCTGGATGGTCCATTTCTCCCTGCGCCACACTCTCCCACGTCAAGTTCGCCGCCGCATGCCACGACCTCGGATACTGCCACCGCCTATGGCTGGGGCTCATCGCCGCGACAACCGAAATCATCACCACCGTCCAGCCCGGTCAATTTCTCCCGGCCAACATCCCGACCTACTTCGTCACACGTCACCAAGCCGCTCCCACAGCCACCTAAAATTGGCAAGTTCGAGTCCCCCTTGCAAGAAGAACTAATACACCCATTGTTCCGACCCAACAGCCCTCGACCACCTCCGATCCCTATTGCTGGCACCATGGTAACAGCCTCGCCCATGGCAAACACCACCATCACGCCTCGGACGCTTGCCACTCTCCGGAGCAATTCGCACCTAGCACTCGAATGTGCGAAGGCTGAACCCAAACGAACGGACGAGTCCGAGACAGAGAGCGAGGAGCAGTTTCTGCCGGATAGCCCTACGCTGGGCAGTTCATCTCTTGGCAGCCCCGGCCCGTCGATTGTGGACGAAGCAGACCTGCCACCAATTCTACCTGGATTCGTGCTGTCAGCAGGATCGCGGACCAGCCTGGTGGGATACGGGAAGCGCAAAAGTGTCAAGAAGGACAGACCCCAGTCCCAGGTGTCGACTGGCAGTCGATTGAGTCAGATCATGGTTTGAATGAAACGGAGCCTGGCAGTTCAGCTTTGGTTTCTTTGTTGATTTTTTTGGTCGCGGCTACTGGCACCGCGGTTCTTTTGTTTTGAATGTCATGTTAGCGTGGAGTTGGCGGATCCTTGATTGCTGATTTGGAGGATTAATGGCAAGTAGGGTTTACAGATACCATTTGCTGTATGGGAGACATGCTTCATGGGAATTGATGGATATGGGACGATGGCTGATGTTCATTGGGTGGATGGCGGGCAAAAGGGAAAACGGCATTTGGGAGGCGGAATTCGGCGGCACGAACCGGTCGAGCCATGGGCACCGAATACTAAGTAGGGGTGTTTGGGCCCGAGTTTTAAAGCAGCGTCGTCTGACGGCGCATTCTCCAGCTTCTGTCTGTCTGTGCGTTCCTCCGCCCTGTCAGACCGCACATGCCTCTTTTCGGCCACTTGCTCGCCGGGAATGGGAGGCTAAGCCGCCTAACTGTAGGCAGTTTAGTGGCTGGGGCTAGTCCGGCTGCGGCTAGCGCGCTGGCTGCACCTTTGAACACAGCAAAATGCTTCTCACTTCCATCTGCCAAACTCTGGTCGCTGTGTCAGGCTCACAAGGGAAACAATCATACTCCCCCCCCCCAGCCCTGGATTTTCCCTTCACCGTCGCTATTCACTCTCGATTCATTCACGGGCCGTTCCACATTATGGCCTTTGATATCGGCCCCTCTATTCAGCCCCTGGGCCGCGATGCCATTGTTGCCCTTTCACCTTGGTCCTGGTTTACTTCATCCCTGTCTGTGGCCACTAATACCTCACCTCCCGAATGCTTCCAGCTCTCCCCTTCCATCACCACCACCGCTTCCCAATCTCAAATCTCGGCAAAAGCCGCCCAGTTCTGCTGGAATTACCTGTCCCGAATTCTATCTCACCCTGCAGAGCGAGTGCCGCCGTCTCAGCAGCACCAGCTCCGCCCACGGAGAAGGACTCGCCGCTCTTCTCACCCCCGTGCGACAGCAGCTGAAAAGCGTCTTTGCTCTTCAATTGTCAAATCTTCTCGCCAAGCAGTTGCGTCCAGGCGATTCTCTCTCCGGGATCGTAACGAGTGAGTCTTCATTCCTCTGATCCATCTCTGGTCGCTGTGTGCTTTTTCGCCGTCTGCCCGAACATGGTCCGATCGGCATTCTGATAACCGACCCATATGTCTCGTCTTCTTCATCCCTGCTTTACCCTCATATTCCATTTCAAATCAGCCTCTTCTCCAAAAGTTGCAGGATAATAAACTGACTTCATCCGCAGCAGCATGGCTACCACGTCGACCGAGCGTCGGCCGTCGGTTAGCTTCCACATGGAGACGAGAAGTCGCACTGCAAAAATCACCCCGGAACAAACCGACGCTTCTACAGAACAATCATCGCCCTCATCGTTGTCATCTCTATCAACGCCGCCGTCCACTCCGCCCAAGAACACAAAATCTCGAAAACGAAAGTTTTCCGACGCGGGCTCAGATGGCGCCGAGCACTCGTCAAAGACTAAGCGCCTTGCACGACAAGGCTCCACAACATCGTCGCTGTCGGATTCTGCCACTCCACGGAAGCGAACGTCTCGAATGCCAGTTGTAGATAGTGCTAGAGCTGTTGCGGACACCGACAGTGCTCCGTCGCTAACCTCGTCATCACCCAGTCCGCCGGAATCGGCCAAGACGTTGAGACGAAGCTCGCGTATAGCACGATCGGATGTATTGGAGGCTATCCAGGATCCTAGCAGTGATGGAACCCAAGCCTCGTCACCTCCTAATCAAATAGATGCAGGCAACGTCCCATCGCAGAAACCTTCAGAAGCAAGCCCAACCGACCCCGAGACACCGCCAAAGCCTGCCCGCGCCTCGCAATCTGCCAAAGAGACAACAGCGACTAAGGCGAAGATCAGCTTCCAGGATTACAAAGACAAAGAGCTCTGGCCAGAGTACGATGCGCAGAATCCAACATACTACGCAAATGACGCAACCACCCGCTACCGTCCTGCAGAGAATGGCGACACTCCGGAGTCCCGCTCTCCTAGGAAGCCGGCACGAGGTGGCGGCCGAGGTGGTCGTGGAGGTGCTCATGCAAATGGTGGTGGACGTGGTAAAGGCAAGTCCAGAGGTAGAGGAGGTCGCGCCGGTGGTGAAAGCCCTGAACCACCAAATCGAAGACGACCACTGACCCAAGAGGAAAAACTCGAAATCTCCATAATCAAGGCGAGGCAGCTGGAGCTGAAACGATTCTTTAGCATTGTGGGCGCTCAGCAGGTCGACATCCTTGATCAATTGTCGGGGCGAGACGCTTCCAAAATCGCCAGAAAGCCAAAGGCACACAGACATGTCCCCGAGTACGACAGCGTAGTGGAAGAAGTTGAGGCCACCATGAGAGATGTGCAGGACTTTGTCCAAACACGTTATGACCTCCAGGTCGAGCATGAAAAGCAGCGCCTGCAGCAAGAGAAGGAAGTAATTGAAGCGCAATTCAAGGTAATTCCATACGGAGAGTCTGTTGATAGCACGTATCTGACCAGAAACAGAATCGCGTCACCGAAGCCCGCAAAGAACATCTTGCCGGCGCCGAAGGAGACATTATCCTCTTCGAACGAGCTTACCGCGCCGCTCACGACGACACCCATACCGAATCTGGCTCCGATATGGATTACTTCCCCCATTATCACGAGCTTCCCGAACCAAATACCCAACCCCGTGGCTACTCCTCCAGGAAAATCATGGATGAGAAGCCCTTCAAGCAACAGTTGGAATCGTACGACGAACAAGCCCGCCAGCAGGTGCTCAATGAGGATGTTATTGGCCCCTTGTTGAAGCAGATGGAACAACGAAACAACGAATGGCGCACCGAACAACTTCGAAAGAAATCCCAGACCATGGATGCTCTCTCTGCGGAAGCAGCCAAAGAGCTCGAGAACATCAAGGGTTACCTGATCCCCAGACCTCTCAACATGGGCGAGAGCAGTTCGTATGCGTTGTCGGCGCTGGCAGACGTTTCCGACTGGGTCGCCCAGCAGCATCCCGAACGTCAGTACATCTACATGCCTCTTGCCCAAGGAGATGTCTTCCCAAAGCAAGGCCTGGATTTCTCTCCGCTTCCTGGCCAGGGACCATCTGCCCTGCCACCACCCCCGCCGCCACCACCATCATATCAAGTCATTCGCCCAGACTCGAGGGGCCGTGGCCGACGCTCGAAATTTCCACCCCAGCACAACGCGCCGGCGGCCGGCCATGTATCCACTCCTCCACCTCCATCATCGCAATCCATCCCGCCACCTCCAAGTCCTTTATCAGCACCGGCCCCCGCTGTCGGGCCTGCGTCTTTCCTGCCGCCACGCCTGGTTTCGAGTGGACTAGGTCAACCGATCGCCCCTGCGCCGCCCAAACCCGCGCCTCCGCACCGCTCGACCACCCACATGAATGTTTTCCGGCACAGTCCTCGACCGAGTGTCCATCAACACGCCATGCCTCCTCGCCACAACTCTCTCGGCTCGCCGCTGCTGAACGGGCCCCAGCAATTCATCTTCCAACCTCCTCAGCAGCCCTACCAACACCAATCTGCCCCGGGGCCGGCACCGACACCACAATACAGCCCTCATCCGGCGAGTCCCCTGGGCTCTGGAACGGGCGCTAACAGCACCGTTACCAGTGCCGGTGCGGTCCCAAGTGTCAGCGCGGGCGCAGGCGCAGGCTCGGGCGTCGGTAATGTCGGCGCTCCTAGTGGCGGCGGCGGCGGTAATGGTGGTCCGACCATGCAAGTCATAGGCCAACAGACCAAGATCCCCATGACGTTTGTGAACCAGACGATCGCGAGCCGGAACGCCGCCGCCGCCGCCGCCGCGAGCGCAGGCGGCAACGGGACCCCGAGTGGGAACGGCGGCCCGGGCAATGGAAAGAGGGTGCTGCTGCCCAAGATGTGAAACCTCGTTGTCGTGTGGTTTTTGTGCGTGTCTCTACGTGCGTGCATCCATGCATGGGACTGAGAAGAACGAAAGATAGGCCAATGGTTTCTATTTGTATGGAAAGAAAGAAACCATCCCTGGAAGGGAACAGTGTATTCAAGATGCGCAACTGGACGGACGACGAGGACGACCCTCCCTGGGGAAGGGGGGGTTGTTACGGTGACATGACACGATTCATGTGATGAAAAAAAGCCCTGTTTTTTATTTCTTCCTTCTTCTGATGAGAGGGAGCGTCTTGCTTGCTTGCTCGCTGACAATCACACTGTTATTGTTATTGTCACTGTTGTACGGGTCAACGATGGACGATGAAAAAGGACCCCGTGTCTTTCAAAGGGCCCCCTGCGATTCGTCATAGAATAGGAGGAAATCAGGGGGGGGGGGGGGGGCGACGATCCTCCTAAGAGGGGGAAGCAACAACATACGGAATGAATCAGGAAAAAGAAAAAGAAATAGGTACACTGGAGGCAAGACAGGTAGAGAGGTATGCAGATACGAGACTTTGTGGCTAAAAGTACAGAGCACATGGATTAAAAAATACAAAAACAGTTTCACGACGTCTCAAAAGGTCCCGAAATCTCCTGGAATCCCGTCTTCGTCTTCGTCTTCGTCTTCGTCGCTCGCTTCCGCTTCCTAATTCTTAGTCTTATCCCTGCTTGTCTTTCGGACTCTCGCATTCTCGTTCTCTTTTCTTCGTCTCATTAATTGAAAGAAGGTAATCGTCCACTCGTTATAGTCGTTCCATCAATGGATAGATGAATAGATGCGATAGATAAGTAAGTAGGGAGATGGTGATAAAGATCAGACATTTTCGACATGCCTCGCCTTCTCGCCTCCCGCGCCTGCCATGGAAGCCTTGCCGCCCATGTGCATGGTGCTCCGGCGCCTCTCGACGGCGCCCTGCCGGCCGAGATTGAGCTCCTTGGCGAACTTGCTGCGGTCGCGGAACCACGCGCCCTTCCAGTAGAAGAGGTAGATCGGGGCGATGACCACGACGGACAGGCAGGCCAGGATGGTCGAGGGGTATTCGAGGGTGTATTTCTTGGAGATGTTTTCGTAGACTAATCGTAACGAAGAAGGGGGGTTAGACACGGTGACAATCATGAAGAATAGGGAAGAAGTAGGAGAGGAGGAAGGGGAGAGAGATAGAGCGTGACTTACATGGTGTACTGTACAAGGCAGCTATGCCCGCGAGGAAGTCTCTTGCGAGATCGTTGCCACCAGTCGCAGAAGCGGCGTAAGGCCCGTAGGCGGCGATCATGTAGTCGATCGAGCTCTGCCAAAACATGCCGTTAACGTTCACATTCATGTGCGTTCATCTCGGCTGTCTTGGGAAAATCGGGGATGCAAGTTACAGATTAGAGCCATACCTTGTATATCCCGTAGTTCGCCATGGCAATTAGGACGGTGAAGATCATGGGCGCAATCCACGGAATGCCGTAGTCTGGTCCGAGCGACGTCCACGCAAAGCCGAAGAGTCCAATCGTCTCGAGAGGTGCCACTGGGAGGGGAGAAAAGCGGTTGTGTCAGTGAAGATTGTGAGAAACAGTCTCAGGGATAAACGAGGCAGCAAGGCAGAACGTGGAGGAAAGCAGCGAGACTTACAGAAAAGTAACCACCACAGACGAGATTCGGGGGACAATTTGTTCGGGTCGTCGGCGCGGATCTTGTTATGATGTCGAATGACAGGGAGATATGTCAGATATGCGAGCACATATCCGACAAGTGACCTGCAATCGTTTTATGGTCAGTCACATCCCCTCACCATTGAATCTTTGATTGACATTTGGCCAATGGATTTCGACTCAATATGCAGGAGAAGATAGAATACTCACGAAATAAAAGCCAACCCAACCTGGTATGGCTTGAAACCCCATTGTTTAAACACAGGCGTGAACGCCTCCAAAAAAGTAAACAACAATGCATCACTAAACCCACTAAGCAAGCTGAGGCAGAGCACAATCGGTTCCGTGACAAACATCTGGAACGGTCTCATCCAAATGCGTACAAATTCCTTCATGGGAAAACGCGGCTTCTTCAATTCGTCTGGTCCATAGATGTTGGTTTCGCCATTCTTGCGCCGTTTCTTGGCCTCGCGGTCCAAAAGGATGGTTGCGCGAGTCTCGGGGACAAGGAAAAAGTGAATGACTTGCACGGCGCCGCCGATGCAGAGCTGCATCCAAAAGATCCAGGGCAGAGAGAGGTATTGGCCTACGAAGCCGCCGATCACTGCGCCTACCGGTGCACCGCCCACAGACGACAGCACGACAAAAGCAACCGCATACTGGAACCCAGAATCCTCGGGCTGGTATAGGTCTGCGATGACTCCCAACGTGACAGAGCCCCCTGCTGTGGAAAGGCCAGCGAGTGCTCTGGCGACAACGATAGACCCGAAGTTAGGGGCGAGCGCTGCGGGTAATTGCCAGAGATTGACGAGAAACAGAGATAGCTGCTGTGTTGGCCAGCGGCCAAGTTCCTCAGACCAGGGCGCCCACAGTTCGCAGCCAAAGGCGTAGCAGATGAGAAAGATCATCTGCCCAACTCGCGCCTTTTGCTTCGAGATGCTGTATTTCTCTGCAAGGCCGTCGACGCCGTTGGCGTAGATACTGGCGTTGAGGTTCATCGAGGTCTGAATCAAAAGAATGATGACCAAGATCATCCACTTCTTCCATCCTGGGAAAGAGTACCCCAGTTTATCGTAGCAGTCTTCTTCGGTGAGCTCGATCTTGCCATCCGCACGCTTGGGATGGCCTCCTTCGAGATTCTCTCCTGCTAACTCTGGGCCGGAGACACCCAAATGCTTTTCTGTCGCTCCCGGGGGCTGAATCTGATGGTTCTCCTTTTCGTTTTGTGCCTCCATGGCTATAGTGGATTGATCCGAGACCGACATTTTTGACGAGCGACAGCCAAACACGAGTAGGGCAGCGCGAGAAAGGTTCGTCGTTTAATTGTTCAGAAGACGCTCAGAGGACAGAAGGCATGAAGTTCAACGACCAACAGCAGACTGAAGAGGACAGGACGAAGAAGTATGAAAGTGCTTGAACAAACCTGGAATCTCGTAAGCCACGATGCGGACCATACTGTTAAAGTTATCATCCCTTTTGCATCTTGGGGCATGGCATTCAAGGATCGACATTGGAAAACAGGTCGATAACGCGCACAAGGCCATGATTTCATCCTGCGTCAACCCTGGACACGCGGGCACCACTCAGGAAGGCTAGGAAGCTCGAGCAAAGGCGCCAAAACCTGGGGGTGGGTCGATGTTTGGGATGTTCTGGCTAAGGTGTCAGCGCGCCTCCAGGGTGCCTTACCGATGGAGCGGGAAGCGTTTGGGACCAGCATCACTGGCATGGAGCCGACTCGACAGTTTGGCTGCTCCCGTGTCGAATACGAGATCTGCGGCTGGGAATATCTATGAGGAATGGCGTGCTTTGGTATTGGGAGAACAGATGTGCTGGATGGATGGTTCAAGTTTCCGCAGCCTCTGAAGGGAGGCACTCCATGACATGCCTAGCGAAAGGGTTGCGTGCCCTTGATCCTGCCTCTGGCACTCAAATCTCGATGATGTCTGTGGCTGCACCGAACTTCTTGGCCTGAGCGACGGTATGTATGGTGGACAGCTATTCGGCGCTTTGGAAAGGAGCCCGCTTCTTGGCTAGAGGGCGATCGTTGGAGGAAAGGACAAGAACAGGCACAGATCGCAAGACCAACTCTTCAAGCTTTGGTGACGCTCTCGATAAGAGTCCTTGGTTGTCCGACTTTTGATCGAGATCGCGCCTTTGGCAGTCGCTGGCGCCGCATCACGGGACAAGGGAATTGGCGTTGCTTGAACCAACTCCAAGAAAATGCGAATGCAGATGTAGTTTCTCGGCCTGAAGCTGTCTGAGCTGGAGGCCTTGGAGGAGACGCAGGTGCCAGGAGCCCGCGGAGGCGTTGGTTGAGCTGCGACGCACTTCGTAATCAGCCTCGTGGCTGTCCGGGACATATTCGGTGCCGGAAAATTTCAGCCTCTGGATACATAGGCACATTGAACCCATTCACTATCCCCTTCTCTCGTGCTCTTTGCTTAGCCATGTCCCTCGCATGTCCAGACCGCTTATGCGAATCCCGTACACGGGGCCTCTGCCACCACCCCTGATTATCCCACCATCGGCAGCCACCAAACAAGGTGCCATCACCGCCCTCTCGCATTTTCTGACTTCTCCCGCGCCACCCTCGCCCAACCCGTCCCCAGGCCAAGATGCGCAGCGTGAGGGAAATAAGACAGTCCTTCTCACAGGTGCAGGCATAAGCGTCGCCTCAGGCCTGGCCGACTATCGCGGCGTCAACGGCACCTACACCCAGAACAAGAGCTACCGACCCATCTATTACCACGAGTTCATCTCGAGCCACGAATCCCGCAAGCGATACTGGGCCCGCTCATTCTTGGGCTGGAGGGGTCTTCACCGCTCAAAGCCCAACGCCGGACACTATGCCATTCGTGATCTCGGAAAGCTAGGGTTGGTCGACCGTGTGGTTACTCAGAATGTCGATTCGTTCCACGGTCTTGCGCATCCGCAACTGAAGACGGTGGAATTACACGGGTTTCTCAGGGCTCTGGTCTGTCTGAGCTGTAAGAGGCTCATTGACCGCGATGATTTCCAGAAGAGATTGGCCGAGTTGAATCCCGCCTGGGCGGAGTTTCTGCAACTGCTCCTGGCGTCCGGGGCATTGGACACTGAGAATCCCACCGAAAGGAGGAGGCTGGGTTTCAGGACAAACCCCGACGGTGACGCCGACGTCCCTGGCGCCCCGTACTATACGTTCAGATATCCCGCCTGTCCACATTGTCTAAAGCGGCCGCCAATTCTGCAAGATGGCAGCAAGGGGCACGTGGATGTTGATGCGGACGGTGCTTGGGTACCGTCACCCACGGCATCCGTGGCACCCTACGGCGTGGGCGTCCTCAAACCCAACGTGATCATGTTCGGTGAATCCATCTCAACCGAAGTGAAAACCGCAGCGGAGGAAGCTATTGATGCCGCGGCCAAGATCTTGGTCGTCGGCAGCTCTCTCGCAACCTACTCGGCTTGGCGGCTGGTGAAGAGGGCGCATGAGCGGGGCATGGGCATCGGGATCTTGAACATGGGTGGTGTCAGGAAGGAGGAAGTATTCTTTGGGGAACTCCTACCACACCGCCATTCCCAGGGGCAGGGAGATCAACATGCGGGATGGACAGCATTGAGACGGGATCTTGTGCGTGCCAGTTTGCCAGCTGAAGAGGTCTTGCCTGGAGTGGTCGATGCGATTCGCGCCAACATGTCTGAACAAGAGCAACCCCCTGCAGCGCGCCTCCAATCTTATCCCTGAAGCCACCTCTCCCACAGGTGTCTGGTACTCTCGGATCAGCGTAGAGATCTTTAGGGACACCTTGGTTCATAGCTGTGGAACGCATCTCATTTGTGACTCGGGCGGACGGGGCCGTCACGGTCAGAGAACGCTACGAGCTCTTCTAGACCTTGGCCTGGAGATATCCAAATGCTATGAACCAAGATCAATGTCAAGGCTGTCTGGGATCTCCGGAAGGTCGGGATGAATATACGTGAATTTATCTTCCAAGTCGACTCCTAAATGATGCCGATCCAGTTAATGATCATGCTCGCCACCAATACCATGCTGAACAAAAGTATAACAAAGAACATGGACAGGCCCCGTAAAAAAATCTGCCCGCGGAAAAGAGCGTTTTGCTGGCGAAAGAAGCGATATGCACCGACGACCACGCTGAGGATAGCGAGGACGAAGCTGGTGCACGCCATTGCTTTTGCCAACTGCACAGCATCTGCCGAATCAACGAGCCGCCCATTCAAAATGCCAAATTGCAGCACTACCAAGCCGAAGCCCGCCATTCCAAATCCGAACTCGAACCAGCTGATGAATGTTTCCTCATTCGTGATATGCTCACGAACATTGTATCCAAACTCCATTTCCACCGCCACATACTCATCCCAGAACTTTTTGAGAGACCAATTCTCCCTCGCATCACGGGGTTTGGTTGTTGCGGTCGGGGTTTGTTCGAGCCCATCCCAGAACTGCCTGGCTATCTCGACATAGTCAGATGTGGCGTCAAGGGTGGAAGAGGAGGCTAGTCTTGGAGACGGTGGATAGGATTGATAGATGGTAGTAGTGTGTCTGTCGTCGTTCATTTGTATAACTGCAGAGGAGGAGTGAAGGCGGCGTCTGATGGCCATGGCTGTGCGTTTGAAGAAAGGACCTGCAAAAAGATCTGTGATAGAACCAAGGGAGAAAGTATAGTTCGCGAGATTCGCGTAAAGTATGTCGAGTAGTACCGAACACCTCTTAGATCGCAATCCAAGGACTCAGGGAGTGTAAATCAATTGTTTTACGGCTGAGAGAATTTGGAAAGGATTGACAACCCACCTCTCTGCTTATAAGGCACTTGGAGTAACAGGCCCTCCTTCCGCGACGGCAAAACCAATATACCAAAGTTCTTCTTCGATCATGGCAACTACCACTCGAGGGCGAGAAAGAAATGGCAGCACCTGGGAAAGTAGTTCTCTGCCTGGATACGTCCAGACTCCTCGATCTCCTTGAGCATTCTCTGCATTGTTCCAAAGTATCGCAAAACCGCCTTCTGGACATGCTCCCCCACAGAACTCTTTCACCTGATAGCTGCTTTGAAGATGTGTGCTTCACATCAAGGATGCTGGCTTTACCGACAGTGCCAATTTTTACTAATGGTGGCTTGAAGTAAGGACGGGCGCTCTGAGAAGCTCAGATACGTCAAGAAACCCTGGGAGATGAGGGCATCGAGCTTGTGAAAGGCTTGTCTTTCCTCGGTGGATGGTGTCATGCTTTCGGTGACTGTGGATCAAATGGGATTGAGCGGTCTTTGATACGAAGGTAGCAGCTTGGTTCGAAAGCGGGCGGCACTGGTTTGCGACAGACACACCAGCTCTGAACCACGAAATCCACTGACGTTATGTATGGGATGCTCGTGTTCATGGGTTTGAAATGGATGGTCGGAAAGGACTGTGCCAATATCTCACCGATACAGTTCAGGTATAACAGAGGAGCAAACTCATTTCTTGTGCGTTCTGTACACCGCTCAATCGGGCTGTTTCTTGCCCACTCGCACTTCGGTTGACAAATGGAACCGGGTAGGAGTGACCTGAGACTCATAGCTTGCTACCCAAAGGCTGTGCAAGGTCATATCAAAGCCAGAGCAAACTTTGACGCAAGATTCTTTGATGCAACGAGCCTCCGTGGTCGGGAAGCAGCAGGATTTGAGAGGGCATGTCATTGAGCAAGTGTGACCTCAGGTTGATGCATACGTAGTCAAATGGCAGACAAAATCAATAAGAAAACAGTTCGGGCACAATGATCTGACTTTCCAGACCCATCATTTCGAGATGGCAGAAGACAAAGAGGAAATGGTCGTCGCCAATAATAATATCGCCAGTATGGAGCTGAAAGGGGACGAGAAGTCACATGACATGCTGCTTACTCAGCCGCCACAGCCGCAGCCGCAGCCCCAGCCACATCCGCAGACGCCGTCGGAGTCAGGGTCGCAGTTGCAGGCTCATCCACCCGATCCGAGCGCTGCATCATCTCGCCATTGCCCTTGCCCTTGTTATTACGCTTGCGCTTGCCACGAGGAGAAAGCCGCACCTGCGTCGTCGCCTTTGCCCTCGCCCAGGGCTCTTATTATCTCATCCCCTCCTCCCTCCTCACCTTCGGCATCTACGATCCATTCCTATCCCAAACATCCCACCGACCTCCCTCAGAAGCCTCAACAGGCATACTTTAGCCCACATCGAGTCCCTTCCTCAACCAGGTCCTCGACCTCTTACCGATTCTCCCCCGCCACTGCTTCGACAGAGACGGTCAACGAGTGCTGCGCGCCAACTTGCGCGCAGCCACCCCGCACAAAAAGAAAGATGGGTTTCTCGAAGACGCAGAGGATCTGTATTCTCCTGGGCATAGACTCTGTCTTTTTCTTAATCGAATTGGTCGTCGGTCAGTGTGATCCCACATCATCTTTGTCGCGAACTAGCCAACTGACATCCCCTCCAGGTTATGCAGTGCATTCTTTGGCCCTGGTGGCCGATTCGTTTCATATGTTAAACGATGTCATCTCTCTTTGCGTTGGGCTATGGGCTGTCCGTGTCGCCAATACCGGAAGCTCGAAGATGTACACTTATGGCTGGCAACGCGCCGAAACATTGGGTGCTCTTGTCAATGGAGTCTTTCTGGTTGCTCTCTGCTTGTCCATCTTCCTGGAAGCAATCCAGCGATTTGTCGAACCACAGCCTGTATCCAATCCCAAACTCGTTCTCATTGTCGGCTGTCTCGGACTTGCATCCAACATCCTCGGACTCTTCCTTTTCCATGAGCACGGCCACAGCCACGGCGAGAAGGACCATTCACACGAGGAGGATGCCGTGAGATCGGCCGAAGAAGGCCATGGTCATCTCTATGACGACGATAGAGAAACGCAGAAAATTGTGGACGAACATGGTAACATCGAAGACATTCTTCCACAATTCCGAGTGGGCAGCTTCAGCAGCCCTTCGCGCCGTGCCTTCACAAAGTCTGATGAAGAGAATACAACCATCTCGGCTAGATCTTCCAACACCCCGAATCGTAAGTCGATCGCTAATGGCGAGGTCCATCCCCGGCACCGTCGTCGCACCTCAGGCTCCTTTGGTCGGGGTTTCGGCTCGGTCGACAACATCCACATTCACCCAGCCTCATTTCGCCAGGATATTATCCAAGCTGCGCGGTTGGAAGAGCGATCTGAATCTGAAGCGTCAGAAGAAGACGCCTTGCTGGTGGAGCCGGATTCGCCAGAGCAACGTCAGGAAAGATCTGCGGACGGCCTGCAATCATCCTCCAAGGATGACAAGCGATTTGCTGGCTATGGCAGCATAAGCAAACGAAAGAGCGTTGACTACAATCACGCGGCACACAACCACAATCATCAAAATGATGGCTCCAAATCGAGCCACGGACATGGCGGGCATGGTCACTCCCATGGCGATCTCAATATGCGGGGAGTTTTCCTCCATGTCATGGGCGATGCTCTCGGGAACATTGGTGTTATAGTGACTGCACTGATCATCTGGCTGACGACGTTTCCCGGACGCTATTACTTTGACCCAGCAATATCCCTTGTCATTACCATCATTATCCTGGGCAGTGCCATACCACTCTGCAGAGCAGCCGGGCGGATCCTCCTACAGGCAGTCCCTGTGGGCATGTCGATCGACGAAATCACAGCAGACATTGAATCACTACCACGAGTTATTGAGGCACACCACCTCCACGTATGGCAACTCAGTGATACTAAGCTTGTGGCGAGCCTACACGTGAAAGTTGATTGCGAGATTGACGGCACCGGATCTGCCAGCTACATGCATCTGGCACGGGAAATCCGAGGCTGTCTACACGGCTACGGTATCCACAGCTCGACAATCCAGCCCGAGTTCGTGAATGAAGCGGATCCACATGGTGTTGAATCAGGAGCTGATCCTGATGAGGGTGCTGGTAGCGGGCATTTGACTCCGAAGAACAATGGGAACGCCAGTAAGACTGCAAGTCTTAGGAGCGAAGGCCAGCCAGCCTGTTTACTCGATTGTGGTGACATGTGCGCTGGGAGCAAGATGTGCTGTCCAAATGACGGCAAGAATGGGAAGAAATAAAGGGTTCCAGCGATCATAATATTTGTTTGACTCTTACTATTGGGAGAGTTATTGGCGGTCTTGCGCATACAGCAGGTCTCAGGCTGTTGTAATGGAGAAGATTAATCGGGTTGATTTCATTGCAAGTCCGGGAAGTCGAAAGACTGGAGGTCTAAAAGCATTGTAGGTAGAACTTGCCTTGAACTTTTGTAACGTTACATGAAGACGTCATTGCCCTTGTTGGTGCATTCCGTGTCTGTGACCCTGGTATCTTTTCAGACAGTGGTCTTCAGATAGTCCACCAGGTCGAGGAAAGAAATCCAATTTGCACAAGCTCAGCTGCTAAAGCGCTAATGTTACACATATCTTTCCCACCAACGCTGAGCCATCAATCCCAGTAGCCAAAGGAGCTCGGTAGGCTCGTCAGCCGTTCCAAATAAGCCATCCATAAATCAACAACACCGGCCACGCCGTCCGCCATAACGAGCGACCAAAGAACGCCAGGCGGGATCGCGGCGGTCGGTTTCTTCCCGATTGACGCGCTTTGGTAGATTTCGGCATTCCCCAGTCGTCACTGTCAAGCTCGCCCGCACCAGGTGCACTATTTCGGACGTAGTCGACATAAGGTGGCTTGGAGGGAGACGAGGTTCGCGATGAAGCAGGGAGTTGTCCGTACCCGCCCATTTTGCGCGTGGACAGTTGATGCCCCGCTTGACCATTCTGTATGCAGGAACTTTTTGAGGTGTCGGGCCTGCGATGGTGGGTTTCGGCGGTGGGCAGCAATGGTTCGGATTTTTCGCGCGATGCTTCCTCAACTGCGGCCGTGGGATTGTACCGAATAGCAGCGACGAGGGCGGTGAACAGTGTCAAGCCAAGCAGCTGGCCGTAGCGGATGAAGATGCTCAATTGGTCCGGGAGTAGACACAGATGGTTTTGCACCGTGTCTCGCGGCGTGGAGAGTGATGAATCGGCAGACATTGCCTTGTTTATGTCGACTGGATTCCAGAGGCTGACGAGTTGCACGCCCGGCTTCCGGATGCCCATAGCCCAGCTCATGCTTTTGACCGTAATTTCTCTGATACGGCCTGTGAACTCGTTGTGCTCGATCTCGCAGTAGTCATGATCGTCACCAGAGTAGACCATTGTGATCTCTTCTGCGGTCAGATGCTTGACTATATCTTGTGAAATCAGCGGAGTAAGCACATTTTGATACTGGTAGCCTGCATGCAGGGGTATCACAGTGCCTCGTTCCCGCATCGGTCCGCAATTGGTCTCGCCAGATCGGTAGAGAGGGACGTGAGACAGGACGACTGTTGGGAATTGAGACGTGCTGACTGTATAGTGGGCGCTCTGCTTTGTGTCCCCGTGCTCGACGTCAGCAACTCGTTCTACCGACGGAGACTGCAACTGTGGCAGTGGACGTTTCCAGTCGAATCTTGCCTCGCACGTATGTTGCACCGCTTTAGCCCGGATGGATTTGGCTTCCGCAAGGAATTCCTCGACAGGTTTCCAAATTTTGCTAGAAGAAGTCGCGGCGGCACTCCCGTCTCCTGCTCCCGAACTTCCGGTTTTGGGATCAACCTGATCCATGGCACTCAAAGAGACTGTGTCCAGATGGACAAATGAGTGATTGCCGATGATGTCGATTCGGTTGAGGGGCCCGAAATATGCGTCGAACCTCTCCTTCACAGGCAATTGTATGCCCGCCGCAAACCCCAAATCATGGTTACCCGGGAGGGAGGCCAGAAGACGACGGCCGGTCGGTTCAGCCGCGCTTGCATAAGAACCTTTAGCCCAAGACCGCAAGAAGAGGTTGGAGAAGCGAATGTATTCTTTCAGCCAAAATCGAGATCCGTACTTCTTGTACCGCTCTTCGGGAGACGTCGACTCAGTAGTGCCCCATTCCCTGCCACCATCAAACAAGTCACCGAGGAACAAGGTCGCGTCTGGCCGGAGAAACTCTTGTAGATATTGATAGGAGCGGCGGAGGTAGCGATCGGTGTAGAGGATCGTTAAGCTGGAGAGAGGCCATGGTCTATCAGGGTAGGTGTGTGGATCCACGAGTTGAGGGTCGGCGACAAGAAGGACATGATGAGGTTGAGCATGGCCTGGCTAAGAGAGAGTCAGCGATGTGTGTCTTTGTTGGTCGGTGGTTGATGCGCTTGGTTACCCATGATTCCCACTCTCTCCATCGACACCGAGCGACACTTTGTTGAAAGGTGTAGCGCTCACCCCAGAAGAGCACACATATCCAAAGTAGCACCAAGGCCGACGGGAGGCTGAGGAGACGGTGTCTTATCCTGGACAAGGCATTGGCTTTCATCTCTCTCTCTCGGGTTGACGGTGGTACGTTGGCCGTCACTGTCGCCAACGTCCCTGTTTGAGTTGGGAAACTACTTAGGCAGGTAAGGCGTGAGCCGCAGGTCAGGGGTATACAACTTTGACCAGTGCCACCAGTGTGTCACGGTGCGCCGCCGTTAATGCAAATCCGCTCACCCTCATTCACTGGTGCCACGGGGTAAGCATGTTGACTAATAATATGTCAAAGCTTTTTCTTGTGGGCTCTGGGTACTAACTGAAGCGACCTATTCAGGGCTCCTCTCCCAGGTATAACTGGGTACTTCCATCATGGCCATCCTCGATCTGATTCAGTTACTGATCTCGCCACCATGCTCGCCACCATGCTCGACTGATAAATCCACTACCGTTGCCCATATCTCACAAGTGGTGGTGGTCGCTCGAGTCATGTCCTCGTCCACAATCGACCCGTCGTCATCTCCCCATGGACGGCGTCTCCGTCGCCAGCAGTATTGCTGGTCTCGTCACCCTGGCGTTGCAGGTCAGCGCTACAATCGCAATCTACGTCAACTCCATCAAGGAACGCGCCAACACGGTCCGGGAACTGCATGATGAGCTCCTGCTGTTGGGCGAAGTCCTTAGTGGACTGCGAGATTTTCTGGAGAGCGAAAAAGTCAAGGGTCGGGCTCTTGATACTCAGTCAGTCCTCTCCAAGGCCATCAGAGACTGTCGGCAACGGATGGAGCGCATTGGCGACAGATTGAAGCCCTCGGATGGTGGAAAAGTTGCCCGTGCCATTGACCATTTGAGGTGGCCTTTCGAACAGAGGGAGGTCATGCAGATGGTGGAAAACCTCCGACGATATACCCAGACGTTTCAGTTCGCTTTCACAATCGAAGGGTTCAACTTGTTATCCAAGACCTCCGAAGATGCTACCAAAGGCTTGCAAGAAATGCTCCTAATCTCAAAGAAGATGAGCGAACTGTCGGCTCAGATGGGCCGGTCTGCTGATGAGTCCTCTAAGCTTGCCATTCAACTTGAAGGAATCATTGCCCTTGTCCCGGTCCTTGCGAGAACAGCTGCTGATGTCAATGAGATTTCTCAAGCCACGCGACTGGCTGAATTGAGGGAGCAAGAGAGACGCACTACCGATATCTTGGACTGGCTGGCGCCTCTCTCATCCCTCCACAAGCATCGGGATTTGCAAGTGCGACGAGCCGAGGGCACGGGCCGATGGTTCCTAGAACACCCTCACTTTTCTCAGTGGGTTGACGGCGATTCCAAACACGATCTCCTCTGCGTTGGGGGTCCTGGTGCTGGCAAGTCTGTCCTATGCTCCCATGCTGTCGACTATCTGCGCACCAAATTCAAAGATCACGACGTCGCTATAGCTTTCTATTACTACGACTACTCAGACCAACAGTCACAGAATCCATCCAGCTTTGCAAGATCGCTTTTGCGCCAACTCAGTTCTCACAGCGAAGTCGTCCCTTCCGCCGTTGCCGAGTTTTATCAACGCACGAGGAACGCTGTCAAAGACCAAACTTGGTTTCATGACTTGCTGAACATTATCCGTCGCGTGGTGAGAACTTTCAGCCATTGTTTCATCATAGTTGATGCTCTTGACGAAGCCGATGTTCAAAGCCAGCGTTCGGGGTTTTTTGAGGTTATTGATGCCATCAGAAGCTCTCCTAGAGGCACAGTGAAAGTGCTTGCCACTTTGAGGCCTCATGTTCTCAATCTAGTGGCCAAGTTTCATGAACCATCGATCATCGATATCCTTGCAAACCCTGGGGATATTCGACAGTTTCTTGTTCAGATGATACAGGAGCAGCCAGAGTCCGAGTATTTGATGGATGACAAGCTCAAGGAACATGTCTTGAACACCTTATGCACCAACGCAAATGGCATGTTTTTGCTGCCTGCCCTTCAGATAAAGACAATTCTGGATCAGATCACCAAAGCAGATGTCAAGCGAGCATTACTCCATCTCTCAACTGACTTGACTCATGCCTTCCAATCAACCATCAAGAGAATTTCCACTCTGTCCAGTGTAAGACGCGAACTTGCATTCAGAACATTGATGTGGGCATCTCACGCCAGGAGGCCTATGACTGTGCGGGAGTTGCAGCATGCCATGGCGTTGCGGCCTGAAGACCATGATCTGGACAAGGACAATTTGCCTTCCGTAAGGACGCTCATAGACTGCTGTTGCGGACTAGTTGAGGTGGACTATGAAAGTTCAATCATACGTTTGGTACATCACTCGCTTGAGGAGTACCTCCGTGACCACGACCATGGTCTCTTCAACGATGCCAACCTCATCATCACCAGGACGTGTCTTCAATACATGAGGCTGGATATAATCAGGGACTTACCATATAAGAACCGAAAAGATTTCGGGATGGCACTGGAGGATGTTCCATTTTTGCAGTACGCAGCGCTCGAATGGGGCCACCATGCGTACAGTGTGCCCGCTGAAGAAATAAAGGACTTGGCCCTTCCACTACTTTCGGATAGCGCCTGCTTGAACACTATCGCCCGAGTCCGGGACTTTCAATCTCCTGATCTCCGGAAATGGAACGACAAGGCCTGGACTTGGGCTTATTCTGGCGGTGCTGGAATCTCGTTGGCAGCAGGATTTGGACTTACTGAGCTTCTGAAAATCCTGATTGCTGCAAATCAACATAACCTGCAGCTTGACGCGCGCAACATGTACGGAAGCACAGCCCTGCACGAGGCGGCTTTCTTCGGCCATCAGGAGGTAGCGAAAATTCTGGTTGAGAATGGCGCCAATCTGCTGGACACGAACTATGGTCAGAGCACTCCAATATTCCTTGCAGTCTCCTACGGCCAGCTTGAGATGGTCAAACTACTTCTCAGATACGGACGAGATCAGCTCGACTGTCCCGGTCCGAAGGGCTTTACAGCCTTGCATAAGGCAGTTGAGCAAGGAGACGAAGAAATGGTCACCATACTGCTCCAAGAAGGAGCACTGCTAGGCGCCACTGACAACCAGGGGACGACTGCTCTGCACGTTGCTGCTTTTCGCGGCTATCTCTCTATCGCCGAGTCACTTGTGCGTGCCGGCGCCGTCGTCCATGTCAAGGATAAAGAAGGCCTCTGCCCTCTCGACTATGCCGCCACAGGTGGCTTCACTGATGTGGTTGCTTTTCTCCTTGAGAATGGGGGAAGCATGTTCCATAAAGGCAGGGAACTATGGACTCCTCTACACCGGGCCGCTCGAGGCGGGCACACGGAAACTGTTGCGTTCTTTCTGAAGCGAGATGCGAACGTGCTTGCGACCGATTTCAGGGGCACCATCCCTTTACATCTTGCAGTCCGATCGGGCAACATCGAAACCGTAAAGACGCTTCTCGAGCAGAACACCAATCCGAACCTCAAACGCGCACAGCTCTTCGTTCAAGACCGGAAAGGGTCTACCCCACGAATTGTCGCTTTCTTTACCGCCCACTACGATATCCACAAGTACCTCCGGGCCGCAGAGTGGCAAGTTCAAGGCATCACTTCGCCCAGCAGTGCCAATCAACTCACCACGGCCATTGAGAGGGGCGATCTGCCCACAGTCCGCACCCATTTGGACAAGAACCGGGATTCCCTCACCTCGCTCGACGAAGACGGCCAACCACCCCTCCACGTCGCGTTACAAGAAAATCAGAAACACATTGTGGCATTCCTCCTTTCGCGGGGTGCCCCTGTCGAGGCGGTAGGCTACCACGGCTGGCGTGCCTTACACATCGCTGCCTCGCTGGGGAACTTGGAGCTCGTGGAACTGTGCCTGTCGCACGGCGCACACGTCGATACTCGGACGAACACACAACAGACGGCCTTACACAAAGCCGCCTCGTCCAAGTCTGTCGCCGTGGTTCGCCGCCTGCTGTCCGCTGGCGCGGACCCTGCGGCCGCGAACGAGCGCGGCATGACGGCCCTGCACATCGCCGCGCACCAGAACAGCATCGGCATCGTGCGCATGCTCGTCCTGGAGTGCGGCGTCGACATCCTGGCCCGCGACCGTCAGAGCATGACTGCGAGCATGTGGGCCGAGAGGTCGGCGCACCTCGACGTGTGCGCGTTCCTGAGGAGCGAAGAGCGCAAGCTCAAGCAACGCAAACGAAGCAGGGCGGTCGAGCACGTCGAGAGCCGCCCGCAAACCAGAACGGACAGTGCCGAGAGCCTCGACCTAAAAGAGGTCGGGGACGCTCTGGGCGATGTCAACGAAGACGGCACTTCCCAGCATCAAGAAAGCATAGCAGGAGGTATACAATGTGCACAAGGTGAACAGGGATGAATCTTCGTTTTCTAGATAGTGAGACAGCTATGTAATGGTACAGTTTATTCGCGGATCTATCCGAATGAGTCTGAGTCTGAGTCTGAGTCTGAGTCTGAGTCTGAGTCTGAATCTGAGTCTGAGTCTGAATCTGGCCTCCGCATTTCTACTACTGTCTCTGTCTCTCACCCTCTCTCTGTGTCTCTTTTGTGTCTCTCCCGTCAATCCGGCAACCTATCACTAGCTCAACTAAACCGAATCAATCGTCTTTTGGAAAAGTCATTTGTCGTCGCTGCCATCAAACGGGACTGTATCCAGGCAGAGCATGCTCTTGCTGCTGTTCGCACAGTCCCACCCCAGACTCAGCTCGCAGTCCGTTGTTGTGCGGCTGCTGGTACATACATCATACAGTCATCAGATCGTGAGTAGAAAATGTGCCCGCAATGTCCCGGCCACATGTCTCCGTTGTCGTTTTGTGTACTGAAGGTTCGTCATCGTCGTCATCGTCATGCTCAGCCATCACATTTGCTCCAAATCAGCCAGCCCATGCCTGATGATGCTATCCTGCACCTCATGTAGAGGACCCGTATCTACATCCTTTGGATGTGAGGGGGAAAAACCATTCTGTCCAGCCGCGGAAGTTCTTGTGGTAATTCCTGGAACTCCATTCGTAATCGTAACCTTGTCTCGCTGTGCCTCCGAGTCCAACGTGTGTTTTTCTCCCTGTGGAAGCCAAGGAATCGGGAAATATCCCCCCTTCAGTTGATAGTCGTCCAAAAAGCAAAAGCAAAAGAGGATTCTCACATCCCCGTACAGAGCATGTCGGTCACCGTTGGGAGTATCTCTGAAAGTCCTCTCACAATCCGCAAACGAGCTTCTTCTCACCAAAACCCCGCATGTCGCTCAGTAAACTTGTATCCTATCGGCGCAGACCGCACCTGCGCACCGACTTGACTTGCGCTATCATCCGGTATGACCGACTCTCCGGAGCCAGATCGGATTTCCTCATCAACAAGGGGGATCCTCGCACCACCCAGACCCAGCCGGTAGCGATGACCCAACCCGTCAACCATCACCTGAGCCTCTGTGTTCATACGTATACCTGGAACGTGTTGTGGCACGACCGATGTTCCGCCAGCAGGGTTGCTGTTATTCTTAATCATCGGAGATCGACTTGTGGCTGCGTGTGAAGGTTCTCGAGCTATATTGGGAAATTGCAGGATGGTCTGCGCTTTCGAGCCAAGAATTGCTTCGAGTTGCTCAAGGTCTTTGCGGGCCTTGTCTGCCAGGCGTTGTTGTGTGCCATAGTTTCGAAGCCCGACGAAATCCATCTTGGAAACTGTTTGGACAGCAATGTCGAGCATGGAACGGATGGCAGGGGGAACAAGAAGAGATTTTCCGGTAGTTTCTGGGTCGGTCAGCTCCCCAATTTCTAGAGCCTTGTTCTTTGCAAGCACGTCATTGATCCCATTATGAACGAGTGACATTTCATAGTGGATGTGACCGCCATCTGCAAAGTCTTTGTAAGCTTTCTCGGGATCTTCGTAACCTTGCCAGAGTCTCTTATCCTCTGGGTGAACCCGGAACTGCAGATTCTTTGCCTCTGTCGCCTTGAGCAGGATGTCCTGACCGTCCGGAAGATTGTTGCTGTGATAACTGTCTCGTTTCACAACGAGGTTGCGAACTTGGATTTCCTGGTCATTGGGCTGTCGAAACACCAGCTGCAGCTTGTTACGCCCAGGCAGAACATATAAAGATTCGACAAACGCGCTGACACTCTGAGCGACGGTCTCTGGGGGATCCGGCCACTTCAACGGCCCCGTCAGTGTGGCAGAGAGGTCCCAGACCTGAGCTGGGACATGCACGTTGACGTCGCCGACAGTGACCAAACCTTTTCGCAACTCGTAGCTTCCAGATTGGTCTATCACGATCTGAAAGTCCTCATTAGATCGACTTTGGCAATGAAACTCGTAGCTGACAGATTGCGGACCAGGCGAAGGATTCCAAAGCCTGCGAATGCCATTCCCAGTGCTTCCCTTCATTTCGAGGACACGGTCGATATCTGCACCATTGGATGTCAAGATCTTAGTGAAGTTGGAGAAGGTGTGTGTTGGTCCTGGACGCTGGCCGAAGCATGAGTTCCAGTCGTTGACGCTATGATAGACCTGGTCTCGCAATTGTGGTCCGGGTGTGATGAGAACTTGACCGAATTGAAGCTCAAACGTCAATTCACCGCTGAAAGCTCTGCCACTCTCAAACGCTGGCTCCAAGAGAGTGATGAGCTTTTTCGTCTGCGCAGCTCGGAGATCGGTTGCGACAAGCTTTGGATGCACTTCAGCCATGGCCGACTTTTTCTTGATTTGGTCTCTCTTCCATTTGCTCATCTCATCCGGCTTTGGAGAGGCTGCTTGTGACCTTGGCGGTGTACTTGTTGGACTTGGATATGCTTCTGCCAATACCGCAGCTATGCGTGCTTTCTTCTCCGCTTCTGTTTCCTGTTTAGCAGGTACCCTTCCAGGATTTCTCCCCTTTTGACGCATTGTAGAATGGAGTTTGGGTGACTTTTCCTCCGCTTTCTTGTTCATCGCTGCTATCGCCTCTTGTACCTGTTGTAAGCTCTTTTCCCTCACAGCAGATTGATCCAATTTCGGAATGAACGTTGTAACGTAGTCAGACCCCTCTTCGCTGAATCTTAGTCGTGACAGCCCCGAACCCGAAGATCGGGATGTTACGCTGGAGTGAAGCTCCAATTCAGAGGGCGCAGTATTCGGTGGCGGCCGCTCTCCACAATCACTTGACTGGTTGAGATTGCCGTCTGTCGTTTCTGCAGGCATGAGCGGCACGCTACATTCCAGGCCTGGCGGCACAGTAGAAGGGCGACCACCGGCCGAAGGAGCTCCCAGATCGACGAGAGCGCTGTAAGGAGCACGTTGGCCTCGAATCCCACGACTCCTGGTTGCTCTCTCGGAAGGGTAGCGTCCGCGTAGCCTTCCATTTCCTCGCGGATAGAAGTCTGCTGCAAGCCCCCGAGGGATCGTATCGAACTGCGCCACGCGTTGGCTTTGACTTTGATCGTAGGTTTCACCAGTTCCACGTCGACCGTCTCCACGATAACGGCTGTTCATCCGCCCCCGATAGCCACGCTGACCTCTCTGCCCTCGGAACGGCCGAGTAGACGATCCATATCCGTGCTCGCCAGGACTGAAAGAAGGTCTTGCAAAGGATGACACACTCGGAGCCTCTGGCATTAAGGACGCAATATCTGTAGCCGAGGACGTAAGTTCCTCAGCCTCTGTTGGTTCTTCTGCCTGGAGATGGGACTGGGCTTCGGTATTCAGAAAAGCATTGGACTGAGACGGAAGGTCGTCGGCTGGTTCGCCTGATACATTTGTATTGTCGTGCTCGTCTTCGTGTCCGGGTGTAAGTCCTTGATGTGATTCTGCAATCATATCCACTTCATGTCCTTCATGTAGGGAGGCCGAACGAGTCTCGGATTGTGCCTCAGATCCTTCATCAGCCTGGTCCATGTTGACCTCTTCTGATAGATCGATCAAGGTACTCTTGTTGTCGTCTAGGAGGGGTGATGGAAGAGATTTTGAGTCCTGGACAGGTTGGCTTTCGGCTTCCATCAAATCCTCGTCCTCCGACAGTGAAACTGAGGGGGTTTCCGCTACGCCTTCGGCAGCTGAAGGGACGGGTTCCGGTGTAGGGATAGACGGCTCTTCGTCCTCGCTGTCTGATTCCATGGCGACTCTGCGACGCGCCGGTGCTACAGATTCCATCGGTGCCTCTGGGGCGATATCTGGGTTTGCTAAGTGCACCACATTGTTCGTCCAGGCGGCAATTCTAGCATGGGGGCGTTCCTGGCTTGTCGCGGGGTCATTGGTATCTGCCGAGGTCGCATTGGATGTGATAATAATGGGATCCATATTCTTCGGATCGCCAAAGCCGGCATAGACCTCTGCGTCCCAGAGTTTTGAGGCTTCGAATGTAACTGTAGGCTTGTTGGCTTCTTTTTGGAGATTTCGAGGAACGTGGAATTCCTGCGTCTTCGAGTCCCACAGACGAAGCTCTCCAATAACTTTCCTGGAGAGGTTATGTTCCACTCTATCGACGATCACGCGTTGGTAGCCCGGGTGGTCGGCGTCCATGCTCACAAACTCCATCCTGGAATCTGGTTGATTTGGAGGCCAGATGAGGAGATTGCCAGTTGGGAACGATTGACTGCTGGACTGTTTCTCAAAAATTTCCTGACAGGAATATCAGTGACCAGTATTCGCAACTATGGAGTGGCATACCAATAATGGTTCAAGCCTCAAGAGCTTTTCATGAGCCAAGTTGAAGTTTCCTTGGAAGATTCGATAGCGCTTTTCAGCTTCTTCCGCAAAGAGGGAAGAGCCGGTCAATCGTGTGATATCTTTTGCGTACATAGCTGGAAGTATGCCGATGTTCCCTTTCGCAGGCTGCCAATAGGTCGTCAGATGAAGCAATCCGTCCAGTGCGTCCTGGTCGTCGGATTCCTCATCTGACTGATACTGTAACAGAACGTTTTGTTCGGCGCTCTCTTCATGGCTTTCTTCTGGGATAATGTCCGCCATTACGGTTCCTTCCACAGGGCGAATTCGTGGCTCATCCTCAAACCCGAGCTGATTCGATTCATGGTGCTCGATGTACTCAGCCATACGAGTAAGAAATTGTGGCGTGGTGTCCTGATCATCTTGGTCGATTTCTGCGCAGAATACCTGTGTAAGGTCGGGGATCAGCAGCGTCCCAGTCCCAGTGGAACCCAAAGGCTACGGACCTGGTTGGAAGCATCAAAGGAAAAGAATGCCGCCGCCTCCGGGTCATCATGAGCATCCCTATATCAGTCACTTAGTTTGTTGGCACTTTGAGGGACGGAAGGCCTACTTGTCATTCTGGATCAGCTCCGTCGACTTGTTGAAAAATGTCAGTGTACGAGCGAGTGTGTATTCAGTGTAGCCCAAACTCACTGCCAACTCGCCGAAATCATAGAGCGATCTCAGAATGATCGTCTTCCTCTTCTTCGTCGCCATTTCCTCGACCGAACTCTGTACGACGTTCAGGCTGCCTCCGCGGCCTTGCGGCCAGGAAAGAATGCCTGCGAAGAGGAGGAGGAGAAGCCGGCAGGCGACCAATGATAGCTGTACTGGGCTGAAGAGGTAGGAGTCGGTTTGGAGGCGGGTTGGAGAAGGATCGGTGAGTGGACGAAATTGAGAAGAGAACGTGGGCGGAAAAACTTTTCGCCGAGACCCCTAAGATCTGGGTGAGGGGTGTCTCAGCCTCGCCTTAAGAAAGCCGCTCGTAGTGAATATTTGTTGTCACTGAATCTCCAGGAAAGAGAGGTGTAGGCATACATGTGCTTTCTTAGAGATGTGCAACAGCATGCTTATGACAGAAGGGGCGTCACTCGTCTTGGATATGGCGGGCGTGTGTTATGCTAGTGTGCTTCAGTTGTTTTTGTATTATTATCCCTGCGGTCGTCCCCCTGTCTATCTCTCTACTTTGTTGTTTGTCTTTCAGAAAGGCGTTGCTTTGGTTGCCCTCAAGACAAATAACGCTGCAGTTTGTTGTCAGACAGGAGACCTCAAACCACATCGTTACGGTCACGGGCAGATTTCAGAGCACCTTTGACAAATCGGAGTGAGCTCCTCACCGGTCTTGGCCAGTGAGTGGTGAGATTTGGGGCTTTCTATTAACGGCCTGCTTTAACGTATGTTGTGATCATCACTTCGTATAGTCATGTCAAATTCCGTGCAACTCTGTAATCTCAGAAGAATCTTCATCTCGCGGCCTTTGCTGAATCTTTCCGCCTGTGTTTGGTGAGCACATTCTTCGTGGGGCTGCGGCTTCTCTTTGAAACTTCTTCGTGAGACGAAGGTGGTCTCGAGATGTGATCTCTTCGCGAGTGCTGGGATTGTTCTTGCACGGGTTCGTGAGGGTTGTGGTTCACAATATTGTCAACTTTCATGACCCATCGCATCCTTCCTGTCACTTCCGTCATCTCGTCCAGCTTCTGAGTCAATGCTTGGTCGTTGTTGCTCGCAGCCTCGCGAAGGTCGGAGATGGCGGCGTCCACTTCATGTCTGTAAGCCTTGAAATTCGTCGTCAATCTCTTTGTCAGTTCTTCGAGCTGGGCAATGGTCTGCCGTTGCTGCTCGGCGATGATCTCTAATTTCTTTTGCTTCTCCAAATCATCCTGCTGTCGCCGTAGAAGGATGTCAAAACTGCTCTTAATCTTTTCCAAGCCACTTTGGTGTCGATCGTAATCCACCTTCCGACAGGCGACCACGGTTTCGTATTCTACCTCTTTCTGAACAGCGAGAGCCTTTGCCTGGCTGGCTTGGTCTCTCCAAATCTCCTCATTAGAAGCTGCGGCTGCTGCTTGGGCTTCTGCAGCTGCAGTCTTCAATTTCTCTTTCCTTAGCTCTTCCCGCAGCTCTTCGACTTGTCTCTCCCTCCGTGTGAGCTGCCGAAGATTCGCTTCATGAGATTGCTCATAGTTGCTCGTCCGATCTTGCAGCGATTGGTTTCGTGTCTTCAAGGTCTCATTCTCTTTCTCTGCTTCCTCAAGTCGCATCTTGAGCAGTTGTTTCTCGCGTCGTAACCGGTCAATGTCTCCTTGAAGACGCTCAATTACTCTGCCTGATTTCCCAGTGCCGGCGTGACCAATTGCCGAAGACCAGGGCACGGATTCGGAGGAGGGCGAGGACTCGGAAGACGACAAAACTATTTCTTGGTCAACGAAAGGGATGGCAGAAAACGACAAGGGGAACAGCGGTACCTGAACGCATCATGGAGGCACTGGATACTCGACCCGAGGCAGGGCGCACCCCATCTGGCTGACTCTGCTCCTTGAGCGCTCCATTCACTTCGGGCATAATCGATGTCGTATTCACATCAGAAAATGCGGGTGACGATGCCCCTGATGGAAAGGTTGAGTCAGCGTGGTTCAGGGACTGTCGAGTAGCTCGACGCTGAGAGTCGAATTTGACCAAGTACAAGGTACAGGTGGCTACATACCCAGACTATTGTCCAGCCCTTCGTTTATTGGAGTTGCGGAACTTCTTGAAAGACGTGACTTCCTCCTCATGACACGCCCTCATTCGTCAACTGCGATCTCACAATTGGTAGAAGGCGGGCCTAGAGAATTCGAAGCGAATGTGACGACGATGGCGACTGCGATGGACGCTTCCGGACTTGGGGTGCAGGTGCAGGTGAATGTTGCATGGACTCGCGCGACCACAGAAAGATAGAAGATCTCTCATATATCAGCGAAAGATGCAGACCGAGAGAGACTCCTTTCCCGGATTTGAGATGATGGCATTATTATTTGTTTGAGATCAGCCGTTTGGGTCGGTGGAGATGGGCCGGGTCAGCAACGCCCGGCAAGTTCGGGGGAGCCTAGCAGCCTAGCAGCCGGGGGGACGTGTTGACAGGCAAACCCGGTCCTCCCACGCGTTGGCGACCGCGCCTAACAAATGAGATGTGGCGCCCTCCAACCGTCCCTCATGCCCTGTCTCTTCTCTAAGCCCTTTTTAGGGACGAGGTGCTTTAGAGATTAAGGCTAATGCCAGGGGTAAAACAATAGACTGGTCCAAAAATCCAGTGACGCACTGTCAAAAACAAAAATTTCGGAAAGTGGTAGATCAAGATAGATTTCACGTATTTTCCAACCAAACGCCTTGCTCTAGTGGCCGCGCAAATTTCCTCAGCCCAAGAAGAAACTACACGAGGGTTTTTCTGATCAACTCAAGAACATGACTGCGGCAAAAACCCCTAGCACCAATGCAGCCGAGCTGCCCAGCTGCCCAGCGGCCCCAGCGTCTGGCACACTTGTCGTGGCCGCCGCCGTAGGCGCAGCCGACGTGGAGCTCGGTAGGCCTTCACTGCTGGACGAGGAAGAGGAGGTCATATGTTGGGTCACAGCGGGAATCATGCTCGTACTCGAGGTGGACGACAGGGTTGCAGGGCTAGATGTGAGATGTAACTCAGCCTCCTTGGACTCCAACAAGCGAGGCAGTTGGATTGCGAACCCACCTGAAAGTCATATTGCCTGCAGTTGTAGTGGTATTTCCAAACGAAGCGATTGCAGTGCTTGTGGTGCTGATCAAGCTTGCGGTGGCATTGGTCGCGGTCGTTGTTGTGTATGAGATCGTCGACGTACCACTTCCTCCCGCGATCGAGAACAAGCCGCTGTAGTTGATCGAGTCCTGTCCCTGCGTAATCTGGAGTGCGTAATCTCTGCAATTGGCGCCCATTAGAAGGTTGGACTTGTGTGATGCGGGTGGGTATGTGAGGAAACCACATACGACGCAGTCGCCAAACTCTGCGAGACATTCCAGACAAAGAAATCCTCGGTCACGCCATCTGCCAGCGTCGCGATCGTCTTGAGATCATTCGGGTCTCCCTCTCGCAGCGTGATTGTGACGGGTGAACCGTCTCCGCCAGCCCAAGAAATACTGATCAGCACGTTATTTTTCCCACTCTCTTTGCAGAACTGCAGTGTACGCACTTATAGGATTGCCCGGCAACTACCAAGGCAGGGACAGAGGTGAATGCGATTCTTGCTTGTGCAAGAGCATGGGTAAAGAGCGACGTGCTCAACAAGAGCAGCTTCCCCGAGAGCCTCATTCTTGTGGAGATCGACGGTAGGATTGAGGGTTGAGCTCGAACAGTAAGGATCTGCACTCGTAGCTTCGATCGGCAGGACTCGCAGAAGGACTGTCAAGTACAAATGTCAAGTACAAATGTCAAGTGACGGACATAGAAACGAAAGAATCAAAAAACGAATGGATGGCAGTCTCAAACACGCCTTTCGGAAGAGGTATCTCCAAAGAACAACTCGAAGCAAAGAATCGCCAGAAGAGTACCAGAAGTAAATCAGCAAATCAGCCCCATTGCTCTGCCTAGAAATTTCCTTGCTTCTGTGAAGAAAAAGCCGAGATCACGAACAAGCCCACATCGACATCTATTTGCACAGGGACGCGCAGAGCCAATAATAGCCGACAGTGGCACCTGGCAAGGCTAGCCAGTTTGAAACTGGGTCAATCTTGATGGTCCACCGTGCAATTTCAAGCGACTCCGCTTCTCCAGACGAAAGACCGAAACACAATGCCCAAGAGGCCAGGTCAAGAGAACCGCAACAGAAGACATAAGCCAACCGTCCACCCTAGCTAATCCGCGAAGAGGTGCTTTGTGCAGTGAGTGAGTGGGAGACATGAATTGAAACACTCATCGACATGGAGGCTGCAGCAAGTTGGATAAACACGGCTGTCGCATGGCAACCTACAGCCGTATTCAGAACTTGTCCTGTACATGTGGACGCGGAGCGCCGCATGGTTTCCCCTCCGTGACAGAACCGATCCATTGCACTGCTCCGTACACCGGGAAAGAGTCTTTCGTGTTACGAGGAACCACAGGCCGCGTGAAGACTGATATGGAAAGTCCAGAAAGTGCTGATATCGGTACTTCCTCCCCAGCCGGAGTTCGAGCTTTCCAATTCAAAGCATGTCGAAGTAAGGGTGTAACCGACCGTGGCGAGAGATCTCGAAGGACGCCTCTCGACACACCCACTGCCAATGTGTGGGTCATTGAGATCTCGCCGCGCACTTGTCCTTCAGGAAATCCGTTGGGATGGAGCATCGTGACATTGGCGGGATTGAATTGCGCATAGGTGCCGATGAGGTTCGGAGCGGCGGGCCAAGCGGACACCTCATCCGGAGCATCGCCCATGAAGAAGTCAATGCAGAAACTCGTGTTGAGCGGGAACCGATCAACAAGCACGGTGATCGACCACTGCCTGTTGAGGTTGTTAACACGGAGCTGCTTCGCCAAATCAAGCGACACATGACCGAAACTCTCGGCTATACTCGAGGATCTTCGCCTAGTCTTTCTCGTTGAGCTGCTGATTGTGTTGTTTGATGAAGGGTTGTAGAGCGCATTGACTGCAGTTCGGACGTTGTTCCTTAGCTCATCTGGACTCATCTCCCAGTCTAGCAGTTCCGGATAACTGTAGCCGAATGTCTTCGTACTGCGAACGTCGTTGGAGGTAAACATCGTGCTGCCACCGTCAGAATGAAAGGGCGCCAAAGCTAGGATGTGTTAGTTTCCACAACTTCTGCCGTTTGGGTGACACCAACCGGTTGTTCCCGAATCGACAAACCCAACATTCTCGTAGTACGATCCATATGCATTCACAGTCGGCTCGATGTAGCTGTCCGGATACAGCGTTTGCCACATGGCAAACATACGATCAACGTTGGCGTGATGCAGCCAAAAGACAGGATCGAAGCCCGCAACTTCTGGAAATTGCATGTGGCCATACCCTCCAACGCTGTTGTGTATGCTATTGTGGATGGACTCGATATTATTCGCAGTAAGCCATTGACCGCCAGGCCAGGTGCATGAGAATGCTGTGTAATTCGCCACAGACGTGAACATTTGATATGTCAATGATTGGATGCTGGAACACCGTGCGTCAACGCTTGCCAGCACTGGGGAGGGGATGGACTCACGCAGGAGCATTGGCCTGCAACGCCGCAGTGGCTGCGCTTTGATTGCTAGACTTTGTGTCTGGACTCCACCAGCGCACTGTCTCCGGAAAGTTGGCCATCTATGTACGTCACAGTCAGTAAATGGTCAAAGATTCAAAGAGAGTGGGCAGACCACACCGGATCGGAAAGCGGAAATCCATTGCCTGTGGCATTAGACTGAAAGACATAGCTGTAGAGAGGATTGTTCACTGTTTGTTGCCCATTCGGAGTATTGATGGAGATCTGAGGCTCCGAAACCACGTCAGGCAACGCTGGATAAACAGCCCAGTCCCAGTAAGGAACCCGTAAAGCGAGGGCCGCACTCGAATATTCATCATGTTGATCGTCGGGATAGTCGCTAGCAATGTCTTGGGCATGTTGCCAGATCAATTGCTGTAGAGGGCTGTGGTCAGCGATACCGCAACGAACGACACAGAGGTTGCGAGTTACCTCAAACAGTGCCACATAAGGTCGGTGCCAGGTTGGAAATGGAGTTGCTGCGTGCGTGCAAAATCCTGGGTAGCTACCAGTGCCCGAGACGCCGTCCCACGGGATTCGAGGGAAGCCATGGATTCCTGCCACTGGTAAGCATCTGTGCAATCCATGACTGGCATTCAATGACCTGAGACTTGGAAGTAAGACAGCTCTTCTGACTGCTCAAGACTTTGGAGAACGATCAGGGCGAGGATGAACAAATCAAAGGCCGGACCAGAGTTGGCAAAGTCATGGATCTCGTATCTCAGAGGTCTTGCTCCTGTAGTTGAATTGACGCCTCCCAGTGCACCAGTGATCTGGAAAGCGACCAAACAATCACACAGTGACAGAACCAAGAGGAGAAGCGGCGTAAAGTGCTCTTTGCAGCGGAAGAAGGGGGAAAACATGGTCAGGAGTAGTCAGGACGAGAGGATGTGACGAAGACAAAAGAGTCACTTTGTTGGGCGACCATTCTTTCATCAAGCAACATATGTACTGGGATCTGAACCACCGCCCCAGGTCTCCCGCACACCCCAAGGGACTCAAACGTAAGGAGATTGTTTGTTAGACATGCAAATTGCCAGTCTCTGGGACCGCACACCGATGCGCTGGGCCCGGTGGCTCGGGCAGGTGCATCCGTTGCCTCCAGTCGCATTGTAACAGTGGTGCAAACACCGTGGGTAGAGTCCATGTTCGAACGGGTGCCATCCACGATGCGCAACATAGTCAACGCAATTCCATCTGAGACAGCCTGCGACCTCGGTTCTACACGCGATCTGGATGCTGCCGTCGACAAGGAAGACGCGCAGGTAGACGACGGTATATACACAGCAAACGTCCACTATTCCTGGTCCAAGCCCCTTCCTGCAACACCGTTCCACAATGTTCTTCCGAGATAGTGAACCCCGGCGGATTCGGTGCGACGGGCATTCTGCTGGTGATACTGACTAGGGCAGCTGCTGGAGGCAAACAAGGAGGCATGCTCTTGAGAAGGGTGCGGTGCAAACCACTCCCTGCAGGGTCTACCTGTCGTATTCTGGGATTTTGCACCCATTTCAAGTATGACAGAGCATTGCAAACCAGACTCGAGATGATGTAGGTACGTGCCACATAAGGCCACAAGAGAAAAGAGATGGAAGTCCGGGATGCAAGGAAGCTGAAAGGCTCCTCACCTCGTCTGGCTCCGGTGACGAGCGGCTTGGCCCGCACGCAGAGCGCAGAGCCACCGAGCCACATCGTCATCCCTGTTCCGCAGGTTCCTTTCTTCGGCTGGCGCGGAGTCGCGGCTCCTCGAAGGTCCTCGCAGGCAGAGGGAAAAAAATTATATCGCGCGTTTGTCAATAAAGAATTGGCTTTCACCTTTGTTGCCTCTCATTTCGCTTTGCTCTTCTCTGTTTGACAAGCCTCACCCCACAGAAGCAGAGCTCAGAACGTCATTATCGCAGGAACAGTCGACGCTCCGTTTGTTTAGCCGTCCGCCATGGTTGAATATACTCCTCCACCAGCGGACCTGTCGCGCCTCAACCCTATTCAGCGGTACATGCAGAAGGGCCAACTCGACAAACAAGACTATGTGTACCTATTTCTCATCGTCCTCGTCTATTTCGTGGCCAGACCTAAGATCGAAGAATTCTTCAAGTGGTGGATGAGCCCAAAGGAGCTGCAAGAAGGCGAACAGGCCCGAACAGCATACATGCAAAAGGCAAAAGTTGGACCAAACGTGATACGCGGAATCGAGTCCAGGAGTCTGGAGACGATACCTGAAGTCTCTACCGATACTACCACTGGCACCAATGTGGATAAGAACGGCAAGGTGATCAACCGGAAGACAAAGGAGAAGTCGGGAACAGACAAGTTGTTAGACTGGGAAGACGAGCCAGAGAGAAAACCCGCGGAGGGAGACAAGTCAGATGTTGTTGCGTGGCTCGACAAATGGTCAAACGAAGAATCATGACAAGTCTCGAGTTGTCGTCCTTGCATCGACTCGATGCTGAGGGAGAGCTCGACATACTTCAGATGTGAGGTACACAGCATGTGTCAGCAGAGGCATTCGACCCATGGGCAGACATCGACTAGTCTCACTCATCTTGAGCGCAGGCATCGGCAGGTGTCAGGCTGGACGACAGGGATCCATGACGATTGACGGTTTGGAGGCCAGAGGTTGGACGTCCTCCTTGAACTTGCGTTACTCGAGAAGCTGCCAAGATGACCAGATGCATCTTGATCCATGGCTCAGAGCATGGCAGGCCTGTCCAGTCATTTATGCTTGGGCAGATGGTGACGCCCTGATGTGCCATTTAACTTGATGGCTATTTGTGGAGGTGCCTTGGACATAGAACAAACATGGCTGCGGAATCCTCACAGTCAAATCCTTCTTCGACCCGAACCCCGTTTGTTGTTCGAGTCCTTCCCAGCCCTATGAACACTGCAGCTCTCGTCTGCAGAACCGCTTTGCTTCTGTCAGTTCGGTTGCTGGAGAAAGGCTTGCTTGACAACCACAGAACATTCCGAGATGCATGCCGGATGGAAGTGGAACGCACAACAAATCTGTCACTCCGTATTCGACAACGTGGATTAGCCAACAGGTGTTGCGCAAAGCGACGCTACGTCAAGGTCACCCGTGGTGTGTAGTATAAGGCTTAGGGCCCGGAACTCTCAATTACATGGACCCCGTCTTCCTCGCCATTCACAGAGTGTACACGAAAGGCGGCATCTTCGACTCGACATACGATTGTTGAGAACTCTGTACCATGCTATGGGACACGGACAGTCCAAGGGCAAGCTCCAGCTAAGATAAGAAGAGGAAAGAGAGGCGCCCGGATAGCGAGTTGCAAAGAAGTTTACTAGATACCGACCGCTGCCAAGACAAGACAAGACAAGGCTGCTGGTCCCCTGAAGCGGGTGGTGGGCAGGCTGGAAGCTCGTCGTCGACTTTGATGAGATGATTAACGCTGGTCCTCTCTCGCACCTCGTTTCTTTTCAGTATACTATTATGCGAGCTCTTTGTCTTCTGCAACCTTATATACCTTCTCTCGCCTGACTTCCGGGCCTCGAAGACTGCATAGTCCTGGGCGCAAATCCGCACCTGCTATGTCCACGAATTGAGAGAATGATGCAGTGGTATATTGGCTGTGTCGAGAACCTGCAAGGGAACCCTGGCACCCTGTCCCAAGCTCCTTGCCAGCGTCCCAGAGGAACGGAGGCTTCTCTGACCTTCACTTCCGTTGATGTGACCAGGGACACCTGTAGAATGATCGGTCTCCAAGACGAGTTTAGTATGGTCGTCCTGAGCATCATCGACAATATTAGCGTAGAATCGGTGAAAATGTGTAAAAGTACAAAAAGCTGGCCCCCCAGCACACGCCCCGCTCAAGGATCTCTCTCATCCAGTAACAGAGGTTCTGTTTCCGGATTATGTGCCTGATTACCTGTCACGGCGGCACCTAGGCGAGCTCGGAGCCCAGACAGCTTTGGAGGACGCGGAAGCTCTGGGTATTTCCCATATAGGAAGACCAAGCCCACGAAGCCGAGTCCCAAGACCACGCAGCCGAAGATCAAGAAGAAGATTGACCAGACCGCGAGCTAGGCAGAGTTAGTATTGAAGACGTCAAGGTAGGACGGTGGGGGAGGGGGGCTTACAGAAGGCGAAGGCGTTTTCACGATCGCCGAGTATGCCATGACAGCATTCGTGGCGTCCAGCGCCGCGATCCGTACGTAGCCATGGTCCTTGCGAAGTGTAAAGCTCGTCTCGAACCCGTCACGCTTCAGTTCTTGGATGGTCACGAACTCGTGGTCCTTGGCCTCCACCGCCTTGGCCGTCTCTAATCTCCACCCCGTCACCTCGGTGGCTCCATTCCAACTCACGTAGACTTTCCCGCGCTTCACCTTCACATCCGGCGCCGTCTTGGGCCTCCCCACCCACGGTTTCTTGAAGACGCGGTACGATTTCACGAATCCGAAGTCGATGATCTCAAAGATGAGGTGGGGCGCGAAGTGGGCGCTGCAGAGCACCTTGCCCTCCGCCGAGTACTCGACGAAGGTTGGCGAGTTGCCAAATCCGACGAGCACGTTGCCGCTTTCCGGCACCACTTGCACCGAGCCCTGGGACACGTTGAGGATCTTGTCTGGGTGGACGAATGCCTGCAGCAGGGTGGCAGTCATCTCCTCCATGTCGAGTCGGATCAGCATGCCCTTGCTGTGTTTGGACGGGCTGTGAAAGACGTTGTTGGCGTGGTTGTCAAAGAGCGAGATCGTGTTGTTGCCCTGCCATGTCACATGGTGTTGCCAGGCGAAATTGGTGGCGCCGTTCAGATCTTTAAAGCCGTTGTTCTTGCCGCCCAGTTGCCACAGGATGTCGCCTGTCTTCGAGCTGATGCACACGACGGCATGCATGTAGCGGGCGGAGATGAGGTAGTCGCCTGAGTCGGTTTTGTCGACACTGTTAATGTGGAAAAAATCAAACGCGTCCTTTTTGGATTTCCCATGTCCATCCTTACGTGAAGGACTGCTGTATACGTCCTTCATGCGGATGTGATCAGTGGCTCGCCATTCGAAAAGCAGATCGCCCGTCTCGATGTCGATCTCTTGGAACAGACCATCCTGAATCCAGCAGCTCTTGCCCAACCCCAACTCCGTACAGTCCGCTTTGTGTTTATGGTATATCGTTATGAGAGCAGTGCCTTGTGGAGTGATGCGAAATTCATGAGAGTCTCCTTTGAGACCAGCACCCTTCGGGTGTACCCGATAAGCGACCTCGTAAGAAGAGTTAAGCTAAAGCCGTCAGTAATGTATTTCGCGAACACAGAAGAAGGGGGTTAAACCATACCAGCACATATGACTTTTTGGAATGCTTTGAGTGACTAGTCTTCTTCTTCTTCGTCCAAAATGTCAAGTAGTCCTGGCCCTTGTATTCCTGCACGTTCAAGTTCATGGCCTGTTCAAACTGATTGTTCTCCATCCAGACCAAGTTGCCCCTCGCGTCCAGAATAACTGGGCCTCGTGCTGCGCCAGCTACCAAGGGGCCCCTTGGCGTGAGGAGGAGGAGATTCCCAGAGTCGCACCGGGAATCCCATTGTGTTATCCTGGGCGCGGGTGGCTCAAAGTCGACAGAGTGGAAATGCTGACGGGGATAGATGCCACGAAAGCCCAGGTCGTAGGCATTGAACGAGAATGCAGCCACCCAGGGTATGGGGAGAGCTGCGAAGTATAGAAGGGAGCGCATGATAAGATAATCGTGGAAGCATGATAAGATGATCGGTGAGGCATGATTAGATTGTTGAGGTGTTATAAGAATGACAGTGAACAGGAAAACCAGCCAACAGATCATCAGAGACCGACAAATTGATGTCTGGAGTTAGCCGGAACACTCGGAACCTACATAAGCCTCGCTTGTCTACTCGCTATGGGCCATCGTGGCATGGCGGCAGGGCGAGATAAAGCCTTGTGTTGTTGACAATCTCGATCCACAAACAACGTCCACAGCACCCCAGACTTGCCATCACAACCGCGAGTCTTCGTAACATCATAGCTTCTAGGATGCACTGAAGAGCTTGCAATGGATGGGTGAATGCTTGATGCTCTTGCTCGGGATCAACCAGGGAACCCACTCAGCTTGTATGATGGGCTGGGCCTCATTCTTGTCGCACAGTCAGGCAAGTAAGTGGCTTACTCGAAATTGTATCTTTGCGGAAATACCACGTACCGACATCCGTGGAAGATTATGACAGGCCAGATATGGGGCCGGGGCACGTGCTCAGACACTGCGATGCTGTTCAGGGTAAAGCTCAGCTAAGCAAAACCAAGCAAGCCCAAGCTACACCGAGCAACAACTGGTCAACCACGTCGAACTTTAATGCTCTTTGGTTCTGAACCAATGGAGGAGGGATCGCCGAGCCCATAAATGTCGTGATCCGTACAGGACGAGCGTATTAGTAGTAGCAGTGATAGAGCTATGCGCCCCTTGTCGCCCGCTAGAAAGCGACGGGGCTTGACTGGGGACTTGACAGAGGTCTTTTGGAGCCCGAGTTCCGAGAAGCGTAGGTGATTGGTAAGTTTCTTTGCCTTGCCACTTGACTTGGCTGGGTAATAGGTAGGAGTAGCGCTGAAAATTATGCAACTGCATTTTGTGCGACGTTGATCTGTGAGGCCAGCTGTTGTGCTAAGGGGGCGGTATGGCTTCGGCAATGATAAGATGCCACACCGACGCGCTAACGGCTAAGCGACGTTTCGGGCCTTATGCCTTGGCATGCTCGTATATCGGGAACTCGGGTACCTTAGATGCCTTGAAAAGAACAAACTGCTTACCTGGGAAGGCATCTGGTGGAGAACAGGAGCCCCTGATGTGGTAGAGAAGGGACTTTCGGTAGTGACGCCAAAAGGCGACGGCAAATTGATGACATGTATTAAAGTGTCGAGGAAAGACGGAAGAGAGCGGTCGAAAACGGCCGCCGCACCCAGTCTTCGACCGTGCCCGAACCTGGTAGGGCGCTCATGAAGCGCACGCGGATTCTTCGATGGCGATTTCATTTGTATACCTGTACAAGAGGAATACTCCGTACTTTGTAGGGACTGCGAACTGCTGCAACATGAAGTCGTCCCTGCGGAAAATCAAATTTCCATTTCCGAGTTCTCGGTGCCAAAAGGACCGATAGCCTCCCCAGGGCCTCAGGGCGGCAACATAATGGTCCGAAAAGGGCTTTTGGAGACGTATGCGCAATCGACATGTAGACACTTGTTTCGGTCTCGACAGCCAGAACACACCTTCACAAGCACGCCTCTTTCTGTGTTCATCTTCCTTTCTCTTTCCCCGTGGCCGTCATGGCCGTCTCCACGCCTCTCGACCCGTTCCTTCGTGGAAGTACCAGCAAAAACACCCGGGGACTCCTTCGAGTTATTATTCTATTGACCATTGCGGCAGCCGCAGTGTCAGCCCGTTTATTCAGTGTAATTCGTACGTGCAAGGCCTAGACTTGAGATATCTCGATGCTTTGGACACAGCTGATTGACTGCGTTGTTTAGGGTTTGAAAGCATTATCCATGAGTGTCAGTAGCCCCCTGAACGCCTCCTCAACGACCTGCATATCCTACTGTCAAAACGATCAGAAGGGAATTCCCTTGAGCTTGCTCCTGACACTCTTCAACAGTCGATCCCTGGTTCAATTTCCGCGCGACGAAGTATCTTGTAAAGAATGGCTTCTACAGTTTCTGGGACTGGTTCGATGACCGTGCGTGCATCACCACCTCCCGCAAGAGATTGGATATACTAATGGGTTATAAGGAACATGGCACCCACTCGGTCGAGTCACTGGTGGAACGCTCTATCCGGGCTTGATGGTCACATCTGGCGTTATATACCACATCCTCCGGCTTTTGTCCCTTCCTGTCGACATACGGAACATCTGCGTCCTCCTCGCTCCGGGCTTCTCAGGCCTCACGGCGCTTGCCATGTATCTTTTGACCTCCGAAATGTCTTCCTCGCCATCTGCAGGTCTTTTGGCTGCCGCTTTCATGGGTATCACTCCAGGTTACATTTCAAGATCGGTTGCAGGGAGTTATGACAATGAGGCTATTGCCATTTTTCTCCTCGTCTTCACATTTTTCCTGTGGATCAAAGCCGTCAAAAATGGCTCTATCATGTGGGGAGCTTTGGCTGCCTTGTTCTACGGATACATGGTGTCTGCATGGGGTGGATATGTCTTTATCACGAACCTGATTCCTCTACACGCTTTCGTCCTCATCTTAATGGGACGATACAGCTCTAGACTTTACATCAGCTACACCACCTGGTACGCTCTCGGAACCTTGGCAAGCATGCAGGTTCCCTTTGTGGGATTCCTCCCAGTCAGGAGCAGTGATCATATGGCTGCACTGGGTATCTTTGGTTTGTTGCAATTAGTCGGGTTCTTCAGTTTCCTCCGGGAGCAACTCCCAGGCAAGCAGTTTCAGACGCTGCTGGTTGCGCTGGGCGGAACGATCTTCGCTGTCATGTTTCTGGCTCTCATAACTCTCACAGTCTCGGGCGTCATTGCACCATGGAGTGGCCGATTCTATTCTCTCTGGGATACTGGGTATGCGAAGATTCATATTCCCATCATCGCCTCCGTCTCAGAGCATCAACCTACCGCCTGGCCCGCATTCTTCTTCGACCTCAACATGCTCATCTGGCTGTTCCCGGCCGGTGTCTATATGTGCTTCCGCAATCTCAAAGATGAGCATGTCTTTGTCGTCATCTACGCGGTTCTTGCCAGCTACTTCGCAGGGGTCATGGTTCGTCTCATGCTTACACTGACACCAGTGGTGTGCTGTGCTGCTGCACTCGCCCTTTCACATATATTCGACACCTACCTCTACATTCCGACACCTTCCAAAGATGCAAGCGATGGAAGCAACGGGTCCGTCAAGGCAAGCAAAATTGCCGCAAACCCGTCACTGCGGTCAACCAGAAATCCCCTTATTGGCATCTACTCCATCGTGTCGAAGTCTATGATCACGTCAATGGCAACTGGTTTCTTGCTTCTGTTTGTCGCTCACTGCACGTGGGTCACCTCGAATGCGTACTCATCCCCGTCGGTCGTTTTGGCCTCAAGGCTACCGGACGGATCTCAGCACATCATTGACGATTACCGAGAAGCATATTACTGGTTAAGACAGAACACACCTCAAGATGCAAAGATCATGTCATGGTGGGATTATGGATATCAGATTGGAGGTATGGCTGATCGACCGACGTTAGTGGACAACAACACCTGGAACAACACGCATATTGCAACTGTTGGAAAGGCCATGAGCTCCCGAGAGGAAGTCAGCTACCCTATCCTTCGCCAGCACGATGTCGACTACGTGCTGGTTGTTTTTGGAGGGTTGTTGGGATATAGTGGTGACGATATCAACAAGTTCCTTTGGATGGTGAGGATCGCTGAGGGTATTTGGCCAGAGGAGGTCAAAGAGCGAGATTATTTCACCGCTCGCGGCGAATACAGGGTCGACGAGGAAGCCACGCCGACGATGAAGAATTCTCTAATGTATGTGTCGCTCTTTGTCCTACCGAAAGTCCAACTAATTGACCCTTGTCACAGGTACAAAATGTCGTATTACAACTACAACAACCTATTCCCAGCTGGCCAGGCGCAGGACCGCGTCCGTGGCTCTTCTCTTCCCGCTCAGGGCCCGGAATTGAGTACGCTTGAGGAGGCTTTTACAAGCGAGAACTGGATCATCCGAATTTACAAGGTCAAGCCTTTGGATAATGTGGGGCGAGATCACCAAAGTGCAATGGCATTTGAGAAGGGCCACAAGAAGAAGCGGAAGGCTGGCGCCAGAAAAGGGGCGAGGGTCCTGAGAGTGGATTAAGCCAGGAAGCGACCTACCTCACTCACATCCCCCTGTGAGTGACAACCGGCGGGAACATGGGAATCATGTTGTGACGAATAGACTCAAAATTTCAGGTAGGATTAAAAGCGCTTGCCATGGTACCGTTTGTATAAACAGAGAACTATCATCACGACTGCGTCTTCTTCCGATCGTTTGCGACTTGGGACCGTGTCATTCTTGGTCTCAAAGACCCAGATCTAGGTAGCGCGCAACGCTCTGACAGACTCTGGGAATGCAGTGCAACACAAAGCATTCGAGTTCTCGCCCCTTTCCAACGTCGACTCCCCTAATGAGTGACTGCATGGGATTTAAAGCGGCGCGATTTGCTGCCTCCTGCCAAGGCTTCAGCGATGCGCAAAGCCCGCCTCACTATAGACGCAGACTTCATCCTTCCACGACTCTACTGTTTCATTGCCTCCTGCATAGTTTTGCCTGCATCAAGCAGTGGTCCTTGTATTTGTTTGTTACGCGTCCAGGTGATATGGTGGAGAATAGCAAACGAAGCGCCTCAGACGCTGGCTTTTCACAATCTGATCCAGACGCTGGACGCACTCTTGATGATACTGACACCCGTGAAGCATCAAATGCGACTCATGTCCACGTCGCAGAGCCTCACAATATGAACAGTGAAGACTCAAAAGCCCATCTCTCACAAGACTGGGCCGTGGCTGAATCCAAATCTTCCCGAAAGAAAAGACGCAAAATTGAACGAAATGCGGACAGCGATCCCAGCATCTCCTTCAAATCAAGAGCTGAGCGTGTTGATCTCAAGGCATTACAAGATCTTGTTCTCTACGTTCTGGCGGACGGCATCGCACCAACATGGCTGGCTCTGAAGAACGCCAAGCAGATCAAGAAGGTGGTGGTCTTGATGGTTCCCACGCTCGATCAGACGATGCTTAAGGACTCGGAGCTATGGGACCGCGTATCTGAAGAAGGCGAGATGGCTGAATTGAACAAGCCTTGCAAATCATCACCAGGTCCCGACTCTGACTCCGCTTCTCAAGACCGAAATTCAGCCCAAGCCGCTGCTTCATCCGTCCACTCATCACCAGAAGCAGCTCCGGAGTCCCCATCCATCCACCTCTCTGCCGAACGAGACTTGGCAGATAGACTCCTGCAACACGTTATCGAAGTTCGTGCTCCTGGAGATTCACGTATAAGCAGAGTACACTCCCCGCTTCAAGGCATGCTCATTGCGCCCTTCTCGGAAGCTTCCAAGCAGAAAGGGAAGAACAGCAACGATGAAAAGTCTTTTCAAGGGACCCGCACTCCGATTGTGGACTTTATTCATTCACTCAACGAACTGCGAGAAGCAGAATATCCGCTTCACCCTGCGGCATTTACGGATCCGAAAGATGCGCAATTGGAGAAGGAGCGAAGAGAGAAAACAGGCCAGTCTGCCTCGTCGGGTTGGGTCGACACCGATGTCTCCGTCTTCAGACCTCACATATCTTCTTCTTCCCCTCCCAAGGCTCACGATTTCTTGACGCAAGGTCTGAAGCCCTACGCTCTGGATTGTGAAATGGTTCTTACATGCGATGATAAATATTCCCTTGCGCGCATCTCTATCCTTGACTGGGTGGGGAGAACCGTGGTGGACAGATATGTGAAGCCGTCGCTGGCCATAAAGAACTATTTTACAGAATTCTCTGGCATCACCAAGAAAATCCTCGAAAATGTCACAACGACGTTGGAAGACGTTCAGAAAGAGCTACTCGACATTTTGAGACAAGATACGATCCTCCTCGGCCATAGTCTCGAATCTGACCTCAACGCGCTGAAAATGACACATCCGTTCGTGGTCGACACGTCAATCATCTACCCGCACCCACGCGGTCTGCCCTTGCGCTCGTCCCTAAAATTTCTAGCAAATCGCTATCTCAAACGGGAGATTCAAAGAGGCGGGATGAGCGGGCATGACAGTGTGGAAGACGCGAGAGCAGTGTTGGATCTGGTAAAGCTGAAATGTGACAAAGGGCCTACGTGGGGGACTTTGGATGCGAACGGCGAGAGCATCTTCCGCAGAATTGGAGGGACACTGAAGATGGATGCCAAGGGAGAGATTGTGTTGAAGACGACGGCCATGGTGGAGTACGGGACACCAGAGAGGGGACTGGGACGAGATGCAACATACAAGATTGGATGTTCGAATGACGAGGAGATTGTCCAGGGTATACTCAGGGCTACTCATGGAGATTCGACAGAGGAGGTGACACTTGCAGAAGATGGTGACGAAAATGGTATTGCGTCGAAACCCTCTCGCCATGATGGAGATAGAGCGCACCAAGGTCCCGGTCAGACCATCCCGCCGGGCGGCGCTGATTTTATTTGGGCTCGACTTCGCGACCTCGAAGCCGCACGAGGGTGGAATGTCCTCCCCAGCGACAACGTTTCCACTCATGCGTCTTCCTCGACTCCCAACTCGCCCTTGGCGAGCGACCAAGCAGAACATCTCAGAACCGCCGCGCGTCAAACCCTTCGACGCATCTATCAAACCTATGCAAACCTCCCAAGTCGGACACTGCTCATTGTCTACAGTGGTACCGGTGACATGCGTCCGCTTCTACGGCTGCAAAATATTCAGGCCCAATACAGACGGGAGTTCAAGGTGAAGAAGTGGGATGATATCTCAGTGAAATGGACAGATGTCGAAGAGCAAGAGATGAAAAAGGAGTGTGAGAGAGCGAGACGGGGAGTCGGGATTCTAGCACTTCGATAAAATGCTACCGAGGAAGACGGAAGGGCTGCTGGACTTTCGACCCTTTACTCGACGAGGATTTGCCGGCATTGAGTATCTATCTGATCGATTTGCTTCCTTGGGCTTAGCGAATCGTGTTCATGCGAGAGAGGGATTAACTCGGTGGCTGGCGAATGTCTAATACCAGACAACTGGCGGCGCCCCTGTATGGTCCAAGTATCAACGCTTTCGAGCTTCTATGACGTTTCTTGTACGCACCGTCACAGCAAGACGTTCTTTTTCGAGGATCTCTCGGATCTGGCCTCTCTCGAAACATCGAACGACTCAACGCCCCCTCCCCCTCCCCTATGACGAGTTTCTCACTTCCCAAGCATTCCATATATATCCCGCTTCAGCGACACCCTGTTAGCCTCACATGGCAAGTTGTGTTCCAAGAGTTATTGCGCCCCTATTCTGGACGAGCCGAGAAATATCTCTTGTGTGGGAATGCTCGCAAGATCGGCTCTTGGGCTCATACAGTTGCGTGAAAGCTAAGAAGGCGAACTGTTGCATACTGGGGACGTCAGAGCTCACGAGTAGGCAGAAAGGGTCCGCATCCCTCTATTACTGCTCCTCGGGCGCGACATTCCTTCCACCGACTTAGTTTGAGACAGTGCAGGTAACAATGGCAACTCGACATGGTGCTACCTACTTGGAAGAGCCCTCGCTGCGCAAGCAGAGTGTAGCTGTTATCAGAAACTCCGTGTGGTCTGTGTTCATCCTCCGCAGTCGACCGGTCCCTTCTCAGCACGGGAATATGGTTCAGAGCCTAGCACGTTGGCATTGAAGGCGGAGGAGGATTGAGCCCGAGTTCCAAACAAGTTTGAATTGGACTCAATCAGTCATGTGGATGTATTCATAATACCTATCTTCATGACAGAATATTCCCTTTCCCATCCATCCCGAGGCCTGGCCGTAGGGGTTCATTTCCCTCCTAGTTTTTGTTTCCTCGCCCTGGCCGCCTTGTATTGGGCACTTCTCTGGGCACTCTTCGAATCTGGTCTTTTCCTCTTTCGATCCCGGTTCCTCTTTAAACTGCCCAGTCCACTTCCTTTTCCTTTGGCATTGGTGCTCGTGCTTGTGGCACGGTGGCCTTCGAAGATCAAGGGTCGCTTCGGCCTCCCGTCTTGCCCTCCCGCCGCAGCAACTGTGCCGTTCATGCGCCCTCCATTCCTCCTGCCATGGGCGGGGTCTCCTCTTGAGGCGAACGTCGGACGCTTGATGTTCATCTTCCTGGCGCGCATGACCCGAAGTTTCCTCGGCAGCATCGGCGGGAATTTCTTGTCGTTCATGAGCAGGGCGGCCTCCACCCCGTTCTCATCCTTGAATTGCACGTACGCGAACCCCTTGCCCACACGCGTCTCTTGGTCTCGGACCACACGCACGCTTTCGACCTTTCCGACTTTGCTGAACGTTCGCCACAGGCCTTCTTCGGCGTCTGCGGGCTCTTTGGCCGTCGGCCGTCGTTTCTTCGGGAGACCCTCCGCCTCGTCATCTGCACCACCACCCGAGGGCGCCTCTTCGTTGACGAAACTCAAATTCCCGATGAACACGCAACGTTTGTGGTCAATCGCCGAGGGATTGGCGAGGTAGTCGACTCTTAAGTGCCGGTCGAGCACAATGGTACCATTGAGCTTCTCCGCCACTCGCTCCGCGGCAACGTCAGTGGTGAAGACTGCGTACGCGTTCGTGCTGATCGTGGTCGCGTCCAGGAGTTCCTTTTTGGCGTATGTAGCTTTCTTAGGACCCTGACCGGATGCGTAGGCGGTGGAGCGGAAACGGACCGACTCGAGTTTTCCTGGTCTCTTCCCGTCAAGTGGTGTCTTCAACACGGAGCGTAGATGTCTGGTCAATGCTCTTTTTGCCGTCTTGGACTTGATGGCTTCAGTGGAGACATTCCCCAGAAACACGGTTCTGTTCAATTTGTCTTGATCCTTCATTTTCTTGTCAAAGATTTCATGTTTCAGGGGAACTTCGACCTCGGAGGGTTCGCTGAGCGAGCTGTCGTCAGAGTCCGAGGAGGATGTGTCGTCGTCTTCGCCCGAACTTCCTTTGGCGCCATCGACCCTCTGGCCCGATTCTCTCTTGCGGTTCTCCCTCTCCTCTTCTAACTCTAGCCGCTTGAAATACGCTTGCTCCAGATCATCCTCATCGGTGGCTCGTTTGCGCTTCCGAGGTCTCGAGACGGGGGCTTTAGCTTCCTGCTCAGACGTCGATGTCTCGTCTTCAGAGGGCCCGTGTGAGGCTTGCAAGTCATTCTCACTGTCACTTTCTTCAGAGGAGTCGGATCCGGAAGACGATGTTTTGTCTTCGAGCCCATGCGGTACTTGTGAAGGAGCAGCTTGTGCTAAGCTCACAACCCGCCGCGGTACCTTGACTGGTCCAGACTGAACCAATCGTGTTAGCTTCGATTCAAGACAGTCGACCTGGCGACTTACACTTGAAGCAAATAGAGAAGCAAGCGCAGGATCGACTGCTTCATCTCCGGCTGCCAGTCTACTGGTAGCTGTTGTTGAAGGGGACGCTTGCGCCGCAGCCTTGTGTTTCTCTGATTTTGGCATGTTTCTAGACTCCCCACGCGCGAGTCAAGTGCTCGCTCTGGGCAATTCTCCCAAGGATGCCAATTATCGCTTTCTCTCAAGGCCACAAAAATTTCGCGAGGTGAGGAATCGCAAAAATGGGGATAAGACGAGGTGCAGGATGGTTAACTCCGAGGGTAGCCTGTATGCCCTGATTCGTGCCTATGACATCGCCCACGCAGGTTGAGAGCCCCATGATTCAAGGGCAGCAGCCAAACCGCCCGCAGCCGATGTCAGAAATAAATGGCACGGTCTGACGAGAAGAGCGTTCTTGCGCTACAGTACATACTTGTAGGTACCGAGAGTACCTCGTCGTTATCTCCAGACTCCGTCGCCATCCTCTGTCAGACTGTGGCATTTTTTCCTTCTGGAGGCCTGCCGCCCGCAGCCTGTCTATGTTCCCTTTGTCCCCCCCTGCACCCCTTCCATATGTAACTTTTGGGGCTACGCTGCGTTTCTCCACCGACGCCAACACGCCTGCTGCTCCTGCATTTTGCAACCTGCGACTTACAACTTCCACCTGCATTGTCTTCAGCAATACGGCTCTTTTTGTTTTATATCGCTAGCCGACGTTCGTATTCTCCTCCAACTGTGTTTCTGCTCTCCAGATTCACCCTGCAGCCTACCAAACCCCGTGCCCCGCGGGCAATCTCCTCTGGCAGTTACTCACACCATCCCACCTTCATCCGCCTCGAGTGTTCGAGTGTCACTCGAAGCGACACAAGCTTGACAGTCCCCTCGCAATATTCTTCCCCTATAGAAGAGTGAGATTTCCCAAAGTCGCAGCCGAATGACGAAGCCCTCGGTTACTGTCACTGTTGCGCCCATGCTACTGCCAGAACCTAGCGCAAGAGAGAACATAATCACCATGCTATTGTGACTGCGATTCTTTCACCATTATATCGTATGTCGACTCATCTGCCAATATATGCAATTTTCGCATTCTTGTTTTCGCGGAATTGTTCCTTTCGTGCTGACCGTCGATGCTCATTCTAGGCGACATCAGTCTACGATTTCTCCAGCTCCAGAAGACCACATTTGCCTATACTGACTACCTCTTGACCTCTTTACAAGACCTACCTTCCACAGAAGTCCTGGTTGCCACAGCCATGGACTCAGCGGCAGACTCCCTCCTGGCTCTTTCCAATACCGCCGTAGCCTACGCCCCCAAAGACGAACCCCTCTCCGACGACGACCGTTCCAGCAGCCTGAGCGAGTTGGACGATGATCTTGAAGATGGTGAAGAAGAAGACATGGAGGCCGCCGTCGTAGCTGATGTGGATTCTGAAGCTGAGACCGAACGCCTACAAGCCACTCCAGAAAATCTAGCCAGGAAAAAACCCCTCGAGATCAGCCCGAGCAAACTATCCCAAAGACAAGACATTGACATGCGACCAGAGATAGAGAGTTTTACGGAAAGTCCTGTGTCGTCCCCAATCTCCTCCCACCACGAGTCGGATCATGAAGAAGGCATAAGCGACGGGCAAGAAGCGGATGAAGACGCCCAGGAAGCCCCCGTAGTAGATCCTGCAGCTTCCCCGAACAAGCGCAAACGGGAAGAAAGCGAATCAGATGTGGAAGAGGCCCCCAGGTCACAGAGACGACGGACAGGTTCTGTTGAGACCGAGGATGACAAGTCTGAACCAGACACCGATGGCGAGGAAAATGACAGCCACCATTTACGGGAAAATACCGTTGAGCCCGAAGTAGGGGCTCCCGAGCACGACGAAGAAGTAGTGGAGCCAGAAGAAGAGCAGAAAGAAGCTGAAAAGGTCGATAGTAGCGAGGACTCCAAAGACAAAGGCAAAAGCAGACCTCGCAGGAAGGCAAAAGATCCCGTCATCCAGGAACTTCGACATGAAGACGAGGAGGACGCTGCACATGCAGAAGATTCCGAGGTCGTCGATGACAACGATCTCGAGGCCGCAATAAAAAGTGAAGAGGAACATGCGAAGCGACTGGCGGCCATGGAAGCCCTGACTGCACTCGAGAGACATTTTGCGACATTGAGGGACCGTCTCTACGATGAAAGAATTGCTGCCATAAATCACGAATTGCAGCTTTTGTCGGAACCCAAGCCGGCTCACCCTGAATTAATTCGCCAGGTCGAAGTGGTACAGAAATACCGGGATGAGAAGTATGAGATCGAGCAAAAGCTGCTAGTCTACAAGGTCGGAGCCCTAAAGAACAAGGCAGTCGCTGAACGGAGTCAGATTCACAGTCAATATTTCCAGACGGTCAGAGATATTCGAGAGAGGCATCTTGAACGCCTTAGCGAGCACTTCTATCGAATTCAACGAGACAGATTCAAGGCCGACTCTTCAGTACCCAGCTTCAGCATACCTTTCCCAGAACGAAGGTCGCAGCAGATCCTGCAGCAAACAGCCTACAATAAAGAAGTTTCGATCCTCGCAGGCGTCGCCAAATATGTCGGCTTTCCTGCTGCACCAGAGTTGGCTGCATCAAAGCAGAAGGACATCGAGGATGACATCCAGAAGATGGGAGTACGTATACTTGGTACTCCGAAGCTGCAGCAGACTAACATTGTGCAGATCTCGCAGAGTCAGATTCGGGCTAGCAGACCCAATCAACGCCCAGCAGCTCAGACACAGATATCGGGACCCCAAGCAGAAGAGCAATTTCTCGAACAGACACCGTGGGCTAACCCTCAACACCCCATCCATCGCCTGAGTCGACAAAATTCCAACCGCTCTCCAATGAGCGAATTCCTCACACCAGCGAATCAGCAACGGAACGTGAGCGATGGGCTCCAACCTCCGGGCGGTTCAGCATCTACCATTGTCGACCCTTCTGCTTCTGCTCCGGTGTCTTCAGCAATCAACACTCCTCACGATGACCAAAGTAGCGCGACAAAAGCAGAAGTACAAGCTGGTGGAGGGTCGTCTGGTATGCAGAATTATCGCATGCATTCGGCAAGTCCTCTGGACATGCGGCGGCAACCCGTTCAAGTCGACAACTCCGATTTACAGCGGCAGCAAGGGAGGGAAAAGGATATTATCGGTAGTGGACGGGATATGGGTTCTTCGCCCTTAACTTCCCGAGCCTATCTCAATTCGTCGGGACCCCGAGCTCCTGCCATTACAGCGGGAACTGGAAGGTTCAGCGTTCGCTAATATTCAATGATGATGATGATGGTAAAGTGAAGATACACAGTCTGGCGGCTTATGAAATGAAGGATGAAAGAACGCCTTTGATAGACGCTGGTCAAAGCCCTTCCAGACTCTCGATTCACAAGTTTTGCATCTTGGATAAACTTTAGCTGAGGATATTTTGATATTGAATTCTCCCTTGATCCGCGTCCCACGTTGAATAGTATGTGCTGAGTTGCGAAGTGCTTGAACGGCCAGGCGTCCCTCTTCCTGGATTTCCCATCTATATGGACCTTCGACTTTGGCTCAAGTCGGATCGAGTGTGAACATGCTTCAGATGCCTCCAGGTATCCATCAACCCATCTTTCCCTTTAAGGAAACCCACATCACAAGTCACCTACGTTCACAAAGCTCCGTAGAGTCAACGAGGCGCAACCAAGTCCGACTCGGGAGTCCGCCCACTAGAGCAGGGTAGTTTTCACATGCCAGGTACGGACGAGTGGCTCTGATGAAAGAGATTTGTCCGTGAGGACATCCTATTCCAAGCGACTCCCAGGTCCCGCTTGATTGCCTCGTCATTATTATACACATTCGAAGCATGCTGACTTTTCAAAAATTGGCTCTCCCTCTTCCGATAGTTCGTTATGCGGCCGTTCCTCGCCTACTTTTTCGACCTTTGTTGTAACATTTCCATGTGGCATTGTCGCTCAACAATGGAGGAGGTTTTGGCGGTGGCTATGAACGCATCCCGTTGGCCTGCGCGGTGGGTGTCTTAGGCGACTGGTTCTGGATCTGCTGTAACCGTGCAGCTTCGGCGGAGGACGAGTTTGGCGCAACGACTTGCGGGTCCGACGGGACGATCACGTCGTCAAAGGTCTCTTGGCCCACGGCTTTGAGGGTAAATGCAACTGTTTCATCGCAAGATGATGCAAATGTAGAGTCAGTCAAGAAGGTTCTTTGAAAAAAAGCGACTGGAGGCTTCGTCGTGGTCGTCTGGGGAAAAAAGGAAAAAGATGTCGCATAGCCAGCCAGGGGTTTTGGGCTTGAAAGGAACAGCCCAACAAAGGCGTAGGAGTGCACGTACAAACTCCAATTGCGAAGCCGAAGATCGCCAGGCCCGTGAGGGTATTCTTGACTAGGTACGGCCGGCGGGCTCGAAGCAGGGCAGCCCCGCTACGGTAGTCGGAGTTGTAGTAGGAGGAGCGCTTGAGGCTGGTCTCGTAAGTAACTTCGCAGAACAGAAGAGGCAGAGTCGCAGTAGGAGGAGGGGTGGTTGAATCAGATACATGAGAGGTCCAGCACACTTGGGCAAGCAAGCGACGGTGCTGAGGATGGGAATGGGGATGCTGCGAGGAAAGGAGGCCAGGACTTACATGCCAGCCCGCAGGGGAAGCGAGGAATGCATATTCGCGACTCAATTCCGAGATGCCGCTGAGGGAGGTAGAGGAGGATAAAATACCACGGTGCGAACTTCGTCTTGGAGCAAGCAAGTTGCACGTTGCAAGCATTCTCGAGTCGAACGACTATATGCGGTTGGTGCAGTCATGCTTGGCAGTAGTGTATACGGCGGGTCGTTGAGTCAATGTGGTTAGACTACAGCCTTGCTCCCACCAAAGAGTGAGCGATCACCTTCAAGCAACCAGGTCACCTTCATACCACCAAATTCGATTTGAAAACGCTAGACATGGAATATATCACCAGAGATATTGACTTATAGAATTGCACGTCAAGATGTTACAGTGCGAATGTTTCGGCGACAGCGCATCCCCGAAGATCCCTTGGATCGCCGCCTATTCCCCAACGACTTAGCTTGAGAAACCATCGCGAATCTCCAAGAATCGCTGGTATCGGTTCCTTGTCCAGCGACGAGACCTCTTGCCCCAGATCATCATGGGCACAGTTGTCATGATGAAAACGAAGGCCAAAACCCCAATTGCCACAAATGTGTTTCGAACACCGCTCGCGTCGATCCAGTCGGAAGCCGTGAATGTGAAGACGAGTGCGATCGAGTTATTAATCGTTGCCACGCCCACCATGCCTTCCAAGACCATGTCCGGGTAGGCATCCATCAGGTACGCCATGCTCAAGTCGCCACAACAGCCCCATCCAAAGCCGATGAAGCCCAGACCAACATACGGGGCGGGCCAGGACCACCCGTAGCTGGTCCCGATTCCAAACAGCCAGAGACCAGTAGGGAAGATGGCGGCACATGGGTACATGAGCCACAGTCGATGTTCGGCTTCGCTTACACCCCCGTTTCTCTTGGCCATCCATAACATGAACTTGTCGCTGAGCCATCCACCATATGTGGCTCCGATAACGGCACCAATAAGGCAGGGGACGTTCATCAGCTGTGGGAGGTCAGTAAAGGTTTGATACTTGCATTAGGACAGCAGGAGACTTACCCCATCAGCGGCGTCGCTGTAATTCCATGGCGGACCATACCAGTTATCTTCCTCGACGGTCAGATAAAAGGTAAGCCAAGCGTCCTGGGCACCCCATTGCAACCCAGAGTACAGGACGGCAGGGAAAGTAAAGATCCGCAGAGTGTGGAAGAGGCGCTGGAAGTATTGCTTGAAGCCGAGCCCGCGTAGATTGGGAGCGGGAGTGATGATGGCAATGCGTCGCCAATACGACTTGGGGCGGTCCTCGGCCGCAAGTCGTTCTTCTGCAACAGACGCATGGCGAGGAGCCACAGCCTGCGACTCAGGTTCACCGGCAACCTTTTCTTTCTCGGGTCCTTCCGCCTCCAAGCCTGCGGAATTGTCGCTACCGGTTCTGTTAACACCGTCGATCAAATACCTGTCTCCGTCATTGACCAAATACCGATCGCGGTGGAACGCCGTCTCCTCCAGACCGAAGAGAAGCACCAAAAAGGTCCCTCCAGAGATAATGGCTCCGAAATATCCGATCCATCTCCAATCCAGGCTGCTGTCTGCAATGTAGCTGGCGATCAAGGGTCCCAAGTATGTACCAATACTGGTTGCCAACACATAAATGCCGAGCACTGACCCACGCTGGTGTTGAAACCACAGATCCATCAGTGACAACTGAACCGTCGCTTCGGCCACGGACTCGGATGCGCCGACAAAAAGCTGATTCCAGACAGCGTCACTCGTCGTCTGCCCTCTGGCGAACCAGATACCTCCGATGAACCCCAGCGTCATGCCAACCAAGTACAAGATGCGGCGACCGTACAGGTAGACGGCTGGAGAAGAAAGCAATGTCCAGTAACCGATTCCGCAGAACAGCACACCAGCGCCGGTATTGAACGAGCCATAACTGATGCCCAGTTCAAGATTCTCATTGTATTGAGCGGCGCCCGCATCGTTGGAAGTAGCGGCTGTCAAGGCCGTAACATAGCAAACGAGAAAGCTGTGCCATATTTTCCGGGACAAGGACCAGTGGAGAGGATCATTGGGCGAGTCAGTTGGCTGAGGAACCAGGACTATGTCCCCGTGCCTCTTCAGTGCTGCATCTCCAGGATAGAGCGGCTTCCCTTCAGCGTCAAAAATGCGGCGCGTGCCCGGAAGTTCCTCAGCGTACTCCATACGGCCGGGCGCTTGAACGAAGCCAATGAATCTTGAGGCGCAAAAAAAACACTACGAAGGGAAAATGCACCGCAAAATGAGCTGGGGACGAAGACGTTTATGAACCAAGCGAGAGGCGTCGCCATATCGTTACAGCGACGAGCAAAGATCAGATCCCTTATCGTGATGGTGTGTGCCCTAAGAGACGCCATCCTCGTCCTCCGTCAGGTTGTGGGCATGGGCTCGCCTCATCCACACAGCAACAAGGCCACAACCCCCGCAAAGAGGCGGGAGGGCCAGTCGCCGGAGGTTCAAAGCTTATCAGTGGCAAGACGGCCAGTAAGCGAATTGCGTGTATATCAGAGGATGGAGGGCAAATGACAATGCTCCCAGTACAGTCAGAGGGAGGGGCCGCCTTTGGGGACGGAGATCGATTTTTAGCAGGAGCTTCACTTTTCAAGTTGCTTTCTAAAATTGCGGGTAAACGCAGAACAAGCAGAGTGGTAGGACTGGGTGGATGGCTGGGGGAGGGTGCCGATGGAGCTTGAGCAAATCTTGATTTTTAGTGACGGCCTTACCTACTACTCCTAGGGGGTCGTCCCTAGTCGCAGGCCCCGGGCCCCATAACAATAGGCGAGCACCTTGACCTCGTGCGCTTCTCCGATAAGCAGTCCTCACCATCGTCACTACGGCCTCTCACCCTGGATCTTTGCCCGGTGACACCCCTAAGCCTGCAGCATCATTGGCGGGTTCTCCCCATGCCACGGCTGCACTTCCCTAAAAGCTTCTAGCTATCTGGCCCAATTTCTCCCCCCCACCATCCTTCGTCCCTCGTGTTCCATCCCTTGCTTGCCTCTCCCTACATCATCACATCGCCGTTCGACCTCTCTTCCTTTTCCTTCCTTCTCCCCTTCGCTTCACCATCACCTGCTCACTTCTCCGTATCGGCTCGAACGCAGCCTCGTTGCCCAGAGCACCACCCCCCCCGTCGACACCGTCGCTAAGCCTATCAGGTAGCTGAATGTCGACTTGCCAACTCAGAATGGCTCAACATTTCCACATCGCTCAAATTACCGCCCATAAACCCAAGGAGTCCAGTAGTCCTTCGACCATCCTGCAACTCGCTCAACGGCTTCTCCCTTCACCTGCCGCTACCAAAGAGTTGGAGGATGGTCTAAACCCGAAAGACCCTGAACTTGCTGTTCAGGATGTTGTGAGTCAAGAGAAACGAGGAACATCTGCACAAGATGGAACACCCGCCCCGAAGAAAGTGATCGTAGTCGGTGCCGGCATCGCCGGTCTTCGTGCTGCCTCTGTCTTGCGAACCCATGGTGTCCAAGTCGTGGTCCTCGAAGCCCGTCCTGATCGGATCGGCGGACGCATTTACACGAGTAGGAAGGCTGGGCACGCTCCACGAGACATTGGTAAATATTACCAAAAGGCAATACTGACAATCGCCGTAGGCGTTTGAGATGATGTCGTTAAAAGCGCTCATTGTTCGGCCACGACCATTGTGGGGTTGTTTCCCCCTGTCGTCCACTTCTACTCACACTTGTTTCTAGGTGCCGCCTGGATGCACGAAACCGCCAATAACAAACTCGTCCGTCTCATCGGCCAGCTCAGTATCGAGCACTATTATGATGACGGCACCCCCCTCTACTACACCAGAGACGGTCGCCTCGGCTCCCAGTTCAAGGCGAAAAAGGTCGCCGATGAATTCGCCGACTTCTGTGCTTGGTACTACGAGGAAAACCCCGACGCCGAGGACAAACCTGCCCTGACTTTTATAAGGGAATGGCTCAGCAACCATCCCTTGGTCAGCGAGGATGAACGCCTCTGGGCCCCTCAAGCTGCTCGCGAGGTCGAAGCTTGGATCGGTACCAGCCTCGAACAAGCGTCTTCCAAACATCTTGCCTACTTCGCAACCGAACGCAACCTTTACATGAAGGGAGGATACGATACCATTATCGACTGGGCTGCCTCAAACCTCCGTGATCCGGGAACCATCCGGCTTGGACACAAGGTCACGAAGATTGATTGGAATGATGACGACACACGCAATCCATGTGTGGTTCATACCATCACTCCAGATGGCAACCTCACCCCTTTCGTCGCAGATGCCGTCGTTTGCACCCTTCCCCTTGGCGTTTTGAAACACAAACTTGTGGACTTCAGCCCTGCCTTACCAGAGCAACTATCGCTGGGCATTGACAAACTCGGCTATGGAGCGCTCGGCAAGATCTTCGTCGAATTTGAATCAGTGTTTTGGCCCAAAGACAATGACCAGTTCATCTACTATCCTGAGCCGACCACCGACGCTTTCGACGAGGATTCCATCTTCTCTTACATGACTGTTACGAGCAACAACTGGATCATGAGCGGCACCAAAGAGCTGTCTGTCCAGATTGTTGAGCCCCTCACTCAGCGAATCGAAGCCATGACTTCAGACGCAGAAATCTACGCTTTTTTCGAACCGCTTTTCAAGCTTTTCCGAACCGAGCCTTACAAAAAGCTTCCTCCGGTTGTGAATCTGGAAACGACACACTGGACTCAAGATCCCTTTGCTGGCTTTGGTACATATACTGCCGACAAAACCGGAGATGACCCGGATATTTGGTTCGATGCAGTCGAGAACAGCAAGGGAAGCAAGCTGCAGTTTGCCGGAGAGCACTGCACGCGGACTGGAAATGGATGTGTGCATGGTGCTTTTGCCACTGGCGAAACTGCTGCCGTCAACATTCTGACGTCGCTGGGAGTTCCGTACAAGGGTGGGGATCTCTACAGTAGACGTCCATCGAGGAGGAAATCACCACCCAGATACTGAGCGGGCGGATACCCGAATCCACTGCGAAGGAAATCTGGGGAGGTCGTGGTTCTCCTAGTCTGTTGACGGACAGGCTGGAGCGCCGGACTGAGACATGTCGGCGTTGTGTTTTTCGTGATTTTTCTTTCTCTCTTAAACAGAATGTTTTCGTTTGGTATCTGGTTATTTGGTACATGTTGAATCTAGTCACTCCTTATTGTATTGACCCTCTTTCTTACCGAGATTAGGAACTGATTTGGAGGTTGCTGAAGATGAGATGGGAGGTTGGTGGCCCCGTCCAGTGCCGAGAATGTCAGAATGAATGCTTTTTTGATAGTCAACAGTACAATTTGCTATGCAAGATATCAATTATTCTCCTTTATGTCTAAGTTCCCCTTGTCCGCACTAAAGTCCCTTACATCGCCCAGGGGCATCAGTTGAAAGATACTGCCCTTACATCTCTGTTCCACAATCCCTTCCGCAAGAGCGATATTCTTCTCCGGAAACCCTTCGTCCCTCAAACTCTGGTAGTACGCCGCGACGAGGGCCTTGCCGAGAGTGGTAAGATCATAGTCCTGACCAGGCGTGGACGTCGGTGCAGGCCGGATGATCCAGACGAGGGTCAGGGGCGGATCGGAGGGTTCCAGGCCAGGTTGGACGTGCGCGCTCAGTATCTCGTCTTCTACGTCGTCGCTGCCTTTCTGATGCCGCGGCCGACGCAGGACAAGCGCCATGCCGCCCGTCGAGGTGTGGATTTTGGACCGCTCCAGCGCGTATGCCCGGCTGTCGTGGTCGTCGCCGTGGTCCGGCGGTTCCGTTTCGAAGAGCGTGAAGGGCACGCTCCGCATGACCGGGCCCGCGCCTGGAGAAGTCGAGTCTCCGTCCTCGGCGTCCATCAGAGCGGCATCCGCGGCGGCCACGGCGAGCACCATCGTGTGCAGGACCTCGGACATGTCTTGGCGCCGGTTCTGGCGGCGGACGTAGATGTATTGCAGATACGGCACGGCGTATTGCGTCGCCCTTCCGTCCAAGCCGTCGCCATCGCCTCCATTACGATCTGCATCCGTACCGGTCGTGCTCTGCCTCCCTTTCCGCGGGGGGACGGGCAAGACGCTGAACTGAGCCGCCCCGATCGCCTCGCCCTGGTGATCGCGGATCCCGACGATCCGATAGGGCGCCAGACCCGTCCTCTCACCCTTCGCCTGGGCCGCGAGGCGCTCGACGATCAGATCTGACCGTTCCCGCTCGGCTGCGCGGGGGAAGCTGTGGACGTAGAGCGGGTCATACAGTGTCGAGAAATCCGTGGCCGAGACGAGTTCGATCAGGCCGATGTTGGGGAGGGCGGTGCGTTGGAGCCGCGATGGAGGCGTGCGGCTCAGTGTGTCCAGAGGGAGGGAGGCAGGGAGGTGGGCTAGCAGGGCGGACAGGGAAGGGGAGAGGTAGGGGTGGAAGATGGAGGAGGCGATGGACGACGACATTGCAGTTTCAACAACGGCAACAGACAGTATATCATGGAGGTTTGGGCCTCTTGACTTTGGCAGGTCCCTAGTTTGCTGTCCCTCCTATCCGCAAATTTCCCGCTGGCTGAAAGGATTGAAGAAGGGTGGAAAGAGAGTAAAATAGTTTAGACTGGCCTTTGCAGATGGCTTTTAGTCTTCATTCTGTATTTTTCTGTTGACCAAATTGACGTGCTAGTCTTCAGGCAGAGCTTGCGGTAATTCCCTGGTATCTGGTATAGAAGGTTCACAAGCTGGACCGCAGAAGAGTGCCGTAGGTGAAGAGAAAAATCACGGATTAGGAATCGTCGAGCAGAAGCAAATAATATAGAGCCGATGGCGAGCGACGGAGGTCAGCTTCGCCATAGTGCTGTATGTTCAGCCGTAGAGACGGCTACGGGGAATCACAGGCCGCAAGGACGTTAGAGAGGCTCAGATCCTCTGTGCCTCTGTCATTGCCTCGACAGTGCCCGTCTGTTCCAAATGCTTGCGGAAGACGACATACCTAAATCGCGTCGTCAGAGATCACGAGGCTGCCCTGATCTAAGCGACGAAACGCGCCTGGCAAAGAGTATCAGAATTGGTTTGGCACTGGACAGGAGCATTCCCGCACAGCCAAAGCGACCTCGAGTTTCAACGGTCGTGCAATGACCACCTCCAAGTTTGCTCCTGCTTACCACCAGGGTTTCCATCAACGCCCTCTCTCCAGGAACAAATAGCTCGAAGCTGAAAGACTCCTAGGTATCGAGACTCTACAGCACGTCAATACCGAGGCCCATACTAGTGTCAATCGGCAGTATTTTTCCGGACACCAGCGCCAATGTTCTCAGAACAGAGCGATGCACCCCCGCCTCCCCCGCAGTCCAGTTGGACAGAAACGAACCCCTTATGACATTATGCCCAGGCGAAGCCCAATGCGAGACCTCATGGATGAAGGCTGGACAAACGGCTCACCCCCTCACTGGGGTTTAGCGGTTCCGAGGTTGCTTGATGCTTTTCCGCTCTATTGAGGGTTGTTTGCAGAAGCGTGGAGCATAAAGGGACCTGATTCCATAACATCTCACTCAATTCGAGGACTCTTTACAACCAGCGAGTTATTGAACATCCCACGAAGACTGTCTTCATACACACCGGGAAAATGTCTGAAGGTTTTGCATACAGTGAGTAGTCACTTCTTTCCCCGAGAGATTCTGTTTTGAGTTCGCACATTTCCTAGGCTTGTTGACACTGACAACCCCAAAGTAACGGGCGGCGCGAGTGGAATTGGCCGAGGGGTGGCGCAGATGCTGGTGAAGCACAAGTATGTCGTCTGTCTGTCAAGCGCCGGATGCCTTGGGAGAAATATCTGACACGCCTCTTAGCATCAAAGTGTTCATCGCAGACAGAGACATCGAGGGCGCCCAGAAACTTGTGGATGAACTGAACAAGGGAGCCCCAGTGGCCAAATGTGCTCAGGTCGACGCCGCCAGCTGGAATTCCCAAGCAAAAGCTTTCAGTCAGGCCGTGGCAGACTTTGGTCGGATCGACTACGTCTACCCCATTGCTGGCATCGGCGAACGCTCTTGGATTCCGAATGATCCTTCCATGAGTGGCTTCGAGCAGCCTGACCTGACCGTCCTCGACATTGACCTGACAGGTGTCATGTACACTGTGGCATTGGCTGTGCAGCAGTTCAGGAAGCAGCAGCCCGGAAAGGACGGTTTCAGAGGCAAGAGTGAGTGATCCCGCCATCCAGAAGGATTGCATGAGCTGATTGTATATTAGTTGGATGTGTTGCAAGCGTCTGCGGGTTCTACTGCTGTCCGACTCTCCCGGTGTATACTGCGGCGAAGCACGCCGTAGTGGGACTGGTAAGGAGCTACGGAAAGTACTTGCCGGAGGAAAAGATTACGATGAATGCAGCCTGTCCGAATGTGGTTCGCACCAACATCTCCTCGGGTGCCTTTTACGACCAGATGGAGAAGGAAGGATTGTTGACGCCCATCGAAGGGGTCATTGGGGTGTTCGAGAAGCTTCTCGGGCCAGACGCGACATCCGGAGAGACGTTCGAGATCGGACCCAACTACACGGATCAAGGAGCAGTGCCACGGAAGGGTATTGAGTATCTGGACAAGGAAACCGAGAAGTGCTTCGACATGCTGTACAAGAGGTCGCGACCGCTGCATCAGCCTCGTTGAGCACAGAGCGGCGCAGCATACAGGCAGATGGCCGATGCGAGCCTGCTGTCTTTAAGACGGACAACTGCTGCTCCGTAAAGGCTTATATTCTTCCTAGTCGGTGTAGTGATGAATGACTCCAACTTAAAGAAAGCCCTCGCTCAGTGGAAGATCGCATACAACGAGCACCCCCCTGCTTCCCCGCAAAGGCGCAGACAGCCTCTAACTAAGGCAAGGCTGCGCATGTGCAAACTTGGTTAGTGTGACGACCACGGCGAGCAATCCGTTCGCTGACGTCGCCGTTTTCCGTCCCCTCCGACATCAACTGTTCGGATGGACCGAGTACTGACCTCAATCTGCCATTTGCATTCGCGAGATTCAGAAGCTCGTACACTCGACTTCTCAAGGTGACTCGAGCTCAACACTGACACCATCAACTTGTGAGCTGCTGCCATCTGATCATCCGGCAGCCTCTTTCCTTCTGCCTCGAGATCCATTGCCCGTTAGCTGACCTAAGTGATCTCTCTGCTGCGTTTCTGTCCTCTCAGAGCCATTGAGGTCCTTTCACCCGGTATATCCTCCCAATCTACTTGCCTCAGTCCGACCCAAAGCCCCCTCCCCTCGACCTCGAAAACTTCGGGCTCCATTCCCCGCCGCGCTCACCCGCACGCCAAATGGCCGCCATCCACCGCCCCGCGCACCTCACGCACCACGCCGCCAAACTGGCGTCGGCGGCGTGCTTCGAAAAGGCCCAGGAGATCGGCGTGCCGATGAACATCGCCATCGTCGACGCCTCGCTCTACCTCCTCCACTTTGAGCGCATGCCCGGCGCGAAGCTCACCTCGGTCGACATCGCCATGAACAAGGCGTTCACCGCGGCCGGCCACCGCGCGCCCACCTCGGTCTACAAGGAGGCCGTGTGGCCCGGCGGCCCGGCGTTCGGGCTCAACAGCAGCAACAACGGCAGGTTCATGTACGTGGCCGGAGGCATCCCCATTGTCGTCGAGGGCGAGGTCGTGGGCGCGATCGGCTGCAGCACCGGCACGCCCTCGCAGGATACCAAGGTCGCGCAGGCGGGTGTCGATGCCGTGATGGAGTACGTCAAGCAGAGTCAACCAAAGGCAAAGTTATAAACCAAAAAAGTGCATTACATTGGGAAGGGGGCGATGGGTACAGGTTTTATGGTTCTCTGCTACATTGCCCCAGCAGTCATGCTCGAAATGCTATGATGAGACGTCTTACGACACATGTCGAGTTGCGTACAAGCAACCGCAGCCCCGTTCACTCAACGCCTTGAGTCTTCCAACATGCCAGACTGTGACGGAACATGACTGAAGCTCGCTCTGATCTCTGACGATCAACACAAAAGAAATTTCTTCGGGGAGGATTGCAGGCTGCGGAAGAAACGAAGCCGCCCACTGGGATGTGAAGATGTAGACTAATTGTACAGAGTAACTTTTGGACAATCTTCCCTCTGGTTGTTGCTTCCTCGTCGTCCCCTTCTCTCTACCACGGATTCAAGCAAGCAGAGCTCTCCAACAAGGCGGGCCCAACCCATCGTCGTCGAGGAATTTCGGCACATCTGATATCCATCCTGCCCGCACGAGTAGAGCCAGGTCAACTATAATACCGAATACATGCCTGGGCTATGAAAATGGGCGGGGCCAAAAGGATCCTAACACAAAACGTGGTGCCTTCTGGCACCAGGTGATTTCTAGTCGCCGTCGCTGGTGGATAATTCTGAGACTCGCGCGGGATGTTGAATGCTGAAACGGGGGTGAATAAAGACAGGTTCCTGAAGGCTTGTGATTGGTCAACCGCTCGCAGCCTTGCGCCGCCCAGAGGATAGTCAAGTTTCTTTTTCCTCCCCCATTCATCTCTTCGCGTTGGTTCATATATGGTAGGTGTTTGTTGGTTGATGTTAGGGGCACTCGGTGTTATTGGGTGGCTTCTCGCTGGTTCTACCTATTGCATCCATCCTCCTTATGGCGTGTTCGTGGGTGGTTCCGTCGAAGCTGGCTTGCAAATGGAGTCGGGACTGCCTCCCAGGTCCTCAGACAGAGTCTGGTTCTCGGGTGGCGTCCGATTTTCATTTTATGAGAACCCGTAGAGCCGTTTAAAAGAATCATTTGCAACAGTCTCTTCAAACCTGAACGTACAGCACGTGAAGGAGTTGACTCAGTTGGCTCGGTCTGAATAACAACAATAGCGACCACAACAAAGGTAGACAGTCACACACACACCCTCAGAAATTCACCATCCAGCCGAAAAGACAGCCAGGCCCGATCTCCAAGCACCGCCCCTCTTGTCGACTCACCTGGGCGGTGTTCCTCCTCACATATCACAATATCACACGTCACACATTCGCAACCAACACTTCACCATGACGGTCCTCGAACAAGAATACAGAGCGTCGTCGCGGACCGAGTCATCGTCTGGGAAGCCGGCAATGCCAGAACAGGTGTTTCATGAGTATGCCGACGGCACGATCCACACCCTCGTGGACGACTCCGGGCGGCCGTTCGAGATCAGACTGAAGAGAAGCCTGGGAGGGGACAACGGCGAAGGGTTCTCCATGGCCTGCGTTTTTCTCGCCGAGTGCGTGTCGCGAGGTCGCGACTCGCCGCCACCGCGCTACGATGGCTCATTTGTCGTCAAGGTCTTTGATCCGCGGTACTCAACCAGGCTGCGTCAGGAGTTTGGTCTCTCCGAGTTCGACAAAGACATCCTCGAGGACATTGCAGAGTCCGCCTGCAGCGGTCACCAGGCTGCATCTGAATACGACATGACTGATCCCTATCACCCTTCCGGAAACCTGTCCGACACAACTCAGGACATCCTCGGCGAGCTGGCAACGCCGTTCCTCTTCGGCGACATCTACGGCCACGCCCTTGCAGACGAGCATGTGCTGCAGGCCTTTCTGGCCGATGGGATTCTCCCGACTCTTCCCACGTATGTCGACCGGGAGTTGTTCGTCTGGCTCATGTCACAGCAGATGTTTCGACACGAAGAACACATGCACACCTATCTGAGCCAATTCCCCGACGCGCCCGTCGTGCGCTTGAAGGACGTTGTCAAGATCCAGCCAAGGCTGCCACTCAACTCGTTGCGTGACGATAAGCTCGCCGCTCTCTCGACGTCCATGGGCTTCGGAGCCATCGTCATGGAGCTCGTGAATGGACACACGATGTTGGATCTCCGAGAACTGTGCATGTTACCCGCGGAGGAATTCAAAGATAAACCGGCTGGAGCCCGGAGACTGGTTCCAACTGGCAGAGAGTCGGCCAGACAGTTCTTCGAAGAGGTCAACAACCTTCTCTGGTTCCCCCACAGTGTTGGCATCCAAAGCCGAGACCCCAACCTGGGTAACATCATGTGCAGTCTACTACCTGATGGCAAAGGCACGCGGCTTACCTGGATTGATGTTGGCCAGTTCCAGCCTCTCCTCGCGAAAGAGATCTGTGCACCCGACACCTTTGACATTGCGAGAAATTCACGCCTTGCCATGTTCGCAACCAAGGTCGACGAGCAACAGGAACAAGAAATCTACAGCAAATTGTCCTTCATCTTCCGCAAGGTCGGATATTCCAGCAGCTTGGTGCACGACCTCAAACTCGACCGATTTTGTCAGTGGGGACACAAGGTTTCAGTGACATTCGCATGGCGCGCTATCATGGAGGACATTTGCTTTGAGGACTGGCAATATGGAAGGCCTGTTGATGCACAGTTGTCAACCTGCATCGTTCGCATGGCCAAAACCATCTTGGAGCAGGAAAAGCGTGCCACGGGAGCTCCACCAAGAGGAGCCCCAGAGCGGCAGGACTGGTTTCACCGTGCTGTGCTCAAGCTGCACTACTTGCTTTGTAGCGAGTCGGCCGATGACCCCTTTGTCACTTCGCCCGGAAGAGAGGCGGCCGCCAGATTCGAAAACCTCATGGCGTCAGCCGGTTACCCCGATGGCCAAGTGGTAGTAGACGGCCGTTCTCAGGCCGAACTGAGGTCAACGGGCGGAAGGAGCACATATCCATCTGTGGAGGAGGTCGTCCTGCACGTCGCCGCGACACGGATATTTCCCACGCGGTTCTGGTTAGCGGATCAGCCCATCGACTCGGTCATTTCTGAGCTGAAGACTCGCTGTGCGAAGGTGCTGAAGGCGAGGGTGCTTGGTCGACGTGAGTTGCATCAATGACGTGAGTGGAATGCAGGAGCAAGAATGAGCCAGGTTGGAAGGCTCCTCTAGTATTACAAGATGCAAGCTATGCTGCAGACTGCGGTTGGCGCTGGCTTGAAAGGACATGATGGCTCAGAGTTGGATTGATTTGGGACAGAGACACGAAGTCTGGAGAGGGATACAGATTTACCCAGAGGAATCTAAGGCGGAGATATCAGATCCATGTATTTCGCAAGGATGGCGATGTCGACATTGGTGGGATGGAAACTTGGTCGTTGAGCTGGAGCAGAGACCCAGCCACGAGAGACGGACATGGCGAGGACTTGGCGCCCAGCATCACAGCCTTGCTTCGCCAGCCTCGCCGGAGTGCTCGACAGGTGGTATTGGCAGACTCGAGAAGTATAGTACATAGTTTAATGGACAAATCTATGGGTATCTTCAAACCAGCAAGTTCTAGATTCAAAGATGACCAGTACATAACCCCTGAGACTTTTCTATACTTGGTGTACGATAAGACTCGCCTCATAGCTTCCACCTCGTAGACCATGAATCTCCGTTGTGCCCGCTCCACCAAGAGAGATCGTCACTCTCTTGGTAAGTCGAGTACCTCCTTGGACCTTGGAGACTATAACATGTCCTCTAACACCAGTCTGGTGCGCAAAGATTACACTTCCGGTTGTCTGCGCTGGAGTATTGAAAGTGACATTCAAGCCACCGTTCTCTACTGACGTCGCATTGATCTCAAACAGTCCTAGAGGGCTCTGAAAGCCGGCCTCAGCAAAGGCTAGACCACCCAACATAGGCGATATCTTCCATGTTCTTCCAGCAGCGCCAGTAACCTGGAGACCGGCAGCGTAGAACGTCAATGCATTCGTTGGCCCAGTTGCCCAGCCATGGGCATGCGAGATGCGTGGGTCATTGCTGTACGGAGCGTAATGTAGATCTCCGTTCGTCGAGTATCCCTCGATAAACGTGCTATTCGTCATTCGCGGATCGTCCAGCATGAAATCTCCCCACATGAGCTTCATCAGTCGCACAGCGTTGCTCGCTTGGCCTGCGAGATAGTGCGCTTGTAGTTCAAAGCCCGATATGAATGGCGAGACTGTGGCGGCGGCTTCTGGGGCAGGAGCGCCGTAAGGGCCCCAACGCGCGGCCAGGGCGTTGGAGATGTTGATATTCTGCGCCGATGAGGTGGTGAGGTTCGAAATGACTGCCCACGCGTTGCCATCTTGCGGGTGGAGTTCGGTAAATGGAGTAGTGTCGTTATCACGGTATAGATTCGCATCAGGGTCCCACAGTTGGGCATTTGTCGCGTTCTTGATTCCTGCCGCGTATCGAGACCATGCTGACACTGTCGTATCGTTCATGACATTAGCGAGCGTCGCTCCTAGATTGAGGGTGTGATACAGGATGGCGTTGGCCTCGATGTTATGGGCGCCCATGCCAAACCGCAACCAATCCGCCGAGGTCGTGACATTTGCCATGCCTGATGGATCGATGAAGCTGATGGAGTAGTTGAGCCCGAATTTGAAGCGCTCCCAGTTTCTCGCAAGATAAGCCTCGTCACCACTGTATAAGTAGTAATCATAGATACCAATCAGAGAATACAGGTGGTATGTAAAGCTGAAGACAGGCATCGCTTGCCCAAACGGCACCCCGGCATACGGTAAGGCCCCTGTCGAAGAATTCTGTAGTCGGAGGAGGGAATCTAGGGAGTTCCTCACTGTTGAAAGATCGTTGGTGGACACGAAAATGGATGGGACAGCAATCGACATGTCGCCTGGCCAAACGAGACGGTCGCGTTTTGCTCCGTCAACTAATACACTTGCACCTGTGGCAATTGTGTAATTGAGGTACCATGGCAGAGGTGAATTGATGGTACTGCTCGAGTTGATAGTCCCAAGGTAATTCAAAGCATCACCTGCAGTCGGGTCGATGGTGCAGAGTTCGTTTGTATAGGCGCCCGCATACCAAACCCTGTTTAGTTGCTCATCGTTGGTGTGAAAGAATCCGGTATAAGCTTGAAGGTCCGATTCTCTCTTCTGGGGAACTGCTGTGAAGTGGACAGAAAGGTTGGAGAGTCTCACATCATCGGTAGAATTGTGATAAACACTAAGGTAACGAAATCCGCCGCGCTGATGCTCCTTCGAAGCTTGACGGTGGCCAGCACCGGAAATCTCGAACCAGAGGGCTTGATCAATGCCAGCATCTGCCGTTGCATCACAGCCTTCGCTGCTAATCCACAAAGAACTCTCAGTGAAACTGATTCCAATGTGTGTTTCTCCAGCATCACCACTAGTATTGAAGTCAAATGATACAATGCCGGCAATATTTTTCCCAAAGTCGTAAGTTGCGGCACATTGGCCAGTAAAAGTGGCCGCTGCGGTGGAATTTACGAGGCCAGCGGCATTTTTGACTGTGCCATTGATGTTGTATACAGACACCGGGTATAAGGTCCGAGAGGATGGAGTCAGAATATACTCGGTATAGCGCACCGCCGATGTCATAGACGACAAGTAACAGAGTATCAGCACAAACAAAGTGAAAAGCATGCTGCAATTTGTTCTTGAAAAGAGATATATTCTCGCCACGTCGTAGCTCCAAAATTCTCTCATGTATGGCAGTGACGACGTAGAAATATCGTAGGCGTGAATTTAGTTCGGTGAAGCAGAAGCCGAGCAAGATTGTTGTTGACGTTTGCCGAAAAGAAGAGCTTCGCTGATCATGACGCTAAGTTTGCGGGGGAAACCCTTAGATTCGAGCGGAGAAGCTACTGACCGCCGCTGGAGAAGCTTTGGAGACGTCCACAGGGAATTTTGGAGGTTGCTATCGGAAGAGGAGAGACCGAAAGGCGCTGGAGGCGGATGCTGGCATATTAACCTGGCTGGGAGTCTGAGCAGCGGTATATCCTTGTAAGCTGATTTCCCTCGCGTGAGCAGCTCAACCCGGGGAACAGCAGATTGGCTTCGGCGCAGTGAAGTGCGAGTTCGCCACAGTTGGATCAAGCGAGTTCAAGTGGTATGCTTGGAAAATCCCGAGGATAGTGATGACTAGCCTCCGCCTAGCCGCCCGGGTCCTTGTTGTGTCGTATGTTCCTTGTTCCTCCAGAGACTCGAGATCATACACGCCACCATCAGAATTGCGTTGAATATTGCCATGATGTAGAAGGGGGCAGCCAAAGTGACTTTATCGAACAGCAGCCCCCCAATCTTGGTTAGAATCAGTATCGCAGCCCCTCCGTAGAATGAATAAACGCCGGCAACAGAGCCCTTCAAAGCTGACAACGGCACTTCTCTAGTTCCCTGTTGCGTGGCAGTCAGAAGGGGGCTTGCCTCGTCAGGGCCAGCATCAGCTCTTTGGCCATCGTGCTCGAGGGTGTTGGGCCGACGGGTTGCTTCTTTGCGAAGTATCCCTTTGCTCAGTGTACCCAGGCTGCAGACAATGGCGCCAATCTGGCTGATTCCAATAAGGGAAACAGCAACGAATGCTGTTGCCCGTTTCGATGTGTTTCTATCGTCAGGATCGAATTCGTTGGCGAACAAAGGGTACCCGATTATTCCCGCCAGTGAGGCCACCAGGAGCGGAATCTCTTTTCTCGTCGCCTTTGCTGACCAGTAGCCAAATACAGGAGCAAAGACAAGTGCTACCAGTTCCGTAACGCCCGTCAGTTCTGCCGCAACCACATAAGCCCGAGGACACCTTCTCTTAATGTCCGGCAGACCAGTTGGATCGTCGCTGGAGGACGGATCCACACAGAGGCCGGATGAGAGAAACATTGCATTGACAAGAAGGGGAATGAAAAGAGAAATGCCAACGGAAGAAGCACGGGCCACGAAACCTCCAAGGTACCCGATGGCTATTTCGGAGCGTTTGAATCCTGCCATAATAGAGGTTTGAAAGTTATTCGACATTTGAGTGAGTGCGTTGGTGAAGCGTGAGGTTCCTCCCTTGCCCTGAGAGACGGAGGAGGTCGAGGGATGATCTTCAGCGTCACTCTGTAAACGCCGAAGACCAAAGAAGCACCAGATAGCCAGCAAGAAAGCCACAGCAGCCACGATGTAAAAGCTGTCTTTCAGAGCAGCCTTTTCTCCAATACCTGCATACTGGAATTTAGCCGGAAGGGGCAGGAAGAGAGTCAGGGCGATCAGTGCACCACAGCCGGTGAACATGCCCACGAATCCAGCAACTCGACTCGTCGAGCCAGCGACGTCTGAATCCGTTGCCATCGAGTCAACGTTTTTGCGTGGCGAGGATCTGGACACGAATCTTGCGGGTGTGATCGTCACTTCCGACTCAATCGACGGGCTCGAAGCATGGCCATTGCCACCATCAGTGACGCCGGCACGTTGGTGGTCGGCTAGGTGGCCTGTATATGGTGCTGCAACGGCAGGTAGAATTGCCGTGACCATGGTGGATGCCGCAGCACCCCCAAGGCTGAAGAATAATCTCGCTAACAGCAGCTCAGGATAAACATTTTTGGCTTGGACGAATAAAACCAGAGCCAGGCAAATGATCAGGTAGCCTGCAACGCAGACCTGTCCGGAATCAGTTCTGTGGCTCATGGCAGTGCCAAAGGGGTTGTCTTACAAGACGTAGGCCCATTCGATCAGAGAGCAAGCCCCATACTGGGCACGCTACCAATGCCACCAGCTCATCAGCGAATCCCAGAGTTCCAACGGCATCACCGACGCCATGCTCCCTGCCAATGAGGTCCGTTATAACAAACGAGACTGAGGAGTTAAGGAAGACCAGAAACGCGATGGAAAAGGGACAGACGCCAAGCAGGTACGTGGCAACTTGGAGCTTGGTAGCCGTGAACATTGTCGAAGCAGGTGAAGATGCCACAGAAATGATTTCCAAGACGACGACTGAATCAAAGACAGACCTCCCAAGCCTAACACATGTTTAGCAGCCCGTATAACAGCCAGCCAGAACGTAAGCGACGCTGTTGAAGCGAGGAGGGAGATGATGTTGTTGTCATTGATCAGCGGGCCGGAAGAACTTTTCCCGGCCTTGGCAGGAGCTCGGCAAGCCGGAACCTGCGTAGTGACTAGTGCAAAGTATAATGCCTGCACGCGCTGATCCTCCTCCGCATTTTGCTGGGCGAATTTGTTTGCTTTCACCGCGTGTCAAACAGCACAAACATCTTGCCGCGCCCTGCCTACTGCGATTGGACTCGCCGCACGATATCTTGTTATTCTATCTCGAACACATACCTACGCACTGACCTGCAGCAGGCCGGCAGGCCCGCCTGAGCGGCCAGGAGCTGCTGTGGAAGTCTAGCTCATGGCAGACGCATCAGACTATCCTGAAGACATTCAATTCGCCGGTCTTGTACAAGCAGCAACTGCGGCCGCCGACGAACAGACTCGCGATCCGTCGTCGCTAGGAAAGCGCAAACGAGATGACCATGTCGTTGAACACGTTCATACACTAGATGAAGGCGGCGTTGGAGATGCCCCTGATCCCGCAGCTGCGTCGAGTCCTGCGCACCTTCAGAGTTCTGCGTCTGTCTTGTTCCGAGAACCTTCATCCAAGAGTAGGAAACACAGCAGGCCGCCGCTGGGAAAGGTGTTTGCATCTTTGGAGCTGGCTCCAGAGAACTTCTTGCGGCTTCAGACTGCTGCCAAGGCGTTCATGCTGGACGAGGCTCATCCTGAGCGAAGAGAAGTTGTGGGCCCCAAGAAAAATGCGGGTGGCTCGGATTTGGCCAAGCTAAACTTGTGGAATTGCGTTGAGGAGTTTCTCTCCGTCCATGGCTATGGGGAGAGGTATTTCGCACCTGGTGCGGGAGAGGGAATTCCCGGAGCACCTCACAGAACCCTATTCTGGCCTCACGACAGCCAGACCATCATAAAGCTAATGATGCCGTTAATGAGGAAGATGGTCACCAATGAGCGCCAGCGCATCTATGCTGCGGCGACCAGGAAACAAGGGTCGGCGAAAGAATCGGGTGAGGAGCAGTCGCCAGCAGCTGTGGACGAGTCTATCGTGTCCGACGGCAAGGTTCATGAGACGATTTACGTGGACCAAGAGTCTGGGGTCCATACGCCCATAGCAGTGCAAGAAGACATCCCCAGCCTGTCGCCACATGTGTCACAGCCGATCACAACTTTCAAGCAATCAATCGTCCTCCATGTCAACGTGGTGTCAAATACTGGCGGAGCACTGAGACGAGTGATACCACGGTTTAGCTTGACACCAGAAGCAGCTCCTAGTCTGTCAGCTCTGCTTGCCGAGGTGGAGAAAAGGTACACCTTGCCGGCGAGAACAGGAGGTGCTCCTGGCGTGCATCGCCGTCCACTCGTCAAGGTGTGGCTCACCGACGGCCTGGTGACGGTGGTGGAAGACGGAGAGTGGATGGTTGCGCTGTTGAGCGCTGGAGTCGTTGACTGGATGGACGGTGAAGTTCGAGTGCTCGTCGAAATCTGATACCGCACTACAATGATAAGTGCCCAGGGGGTTCTCGGCCGTCCTTTTCGGGAGCATCGGGCTGCCAACTTTGGCAGCCAAAGCCTCACAGCCTCCCTGATCGGCGAGCTTCCCGAATCTAGAAAAAAGATTCTAGGGCTGAATTGATTCTTCGGGGTTTAAAGATGGCGCCACATGAATCCCGAAGACAGGGACAGCGAACAAGTGTCGCAGCCTAATGCAAGCCTCGTTCCTGGCGCTCATGCTTCTAGCAACACGGCATCTTCCACGAAGCTCCCAAAACGTAAAACTGCAGGTGGCCTATCTCTCGACTTGTCGACAGACCAAGGCTGATCGACATTCTTCTTCCCTTTTTCTGCTGTCCTTCAGAGCACGAGCTGCAGCTTGACTCGACAGAAAATGCTCCGGCGCAGGTGGCGAACGTTGACCGCCGTGTCGATAGCAGGGGTTTGGCATGCCCTGGGCGAGCTTCCCCTCCAATGACAGGAGCTCCCGTTTATCTTCGCCCGTTTACAAAGTATGTCGTGCTAACACGACCCTTAACCGCAATTCTCCTTGATATTAAACATGCCAATCTTTTCCTGCTCTCCCAGCCAGTCAACGCGTCCAGGCACTCCAGAGTCGAAGATCCAGCCATATTGGCCATCTCAGTATCCTCCTTGTCTTACGTACTGTGTCGCTCTGACAACAACTAAACCCGCCAGCTCACCCGCTTCAATCCTGCCGGGCACGTTTGACATAACATCATAACCACTAACTGGTGCTACTCTCGGTACGGGGCAGGCAACGTGTACTCAAAAAGTCTGTGGCTAGCACTGACTGCAAGCAATTCCGTGGTCCGAAGCAGTGGGACCCAATTGATAAGTTCCGGGACACGGGGATAGGCTCTGGCGCTTCTGCTGGCTCTGAAATTGTAGGGACTCTTTCGAGAGCGAGAGCCCCGGCAACCTCGCCTATGTCGCACCACACCCCCGTCCTGGTCGGTCGCAAGGATCATGTAGCGAGCAGCCTTCGGAGAAAGCACGAACTGGTGGCAGAGCAAAAGCCGCTACAAGGGGGGAACCGGGGTTTCCCACTGCACTGCATTATTTCGGTGTCATGCTATTCAGCTATATTCCAAGTAGTATCAGATGCTCTTGGCCTGACGCACGGCCGAGATGGGTTGTTGTTTGACGGGGGGGTTACTATAATTATGCTTTTTTTGAGGCCTTGGGCTCGCCTTTGTAATTCCCAACCAGCAGTCCGATCGGGCCTCAACACGCGAGAGACGGTGCGCGTGTTTCCTGTGTGCCGGGTCTCGGAACTGCCGTTTAGGACGAACACGAGGCGGCAAGCGATGGCAAGAGGAGGAGTTAAGGACGAGTAAAGGGGGGAGGGTGAGCGCTGATCGTTGTCGGAGACGGGAGGTGATGGCCAGTGGCCTAGGTGAGGTGGCAATTGTTGGTGGTCGTCGAGGTCGAGTGTGCTTAAACAGGAAGTGATGCGCTGGTTGCTTGAGACCAAGCGAGAGAACTAAACTGGATTTCGTCAAAGGTCGGCGCACCGGCCTCTTTGTCAAGAGATTGAGCCCTTTTCGAGCGTCTGCGTGCTGGCTGGGGATCCGAGATAGGAAGCGAGAGACCAAAAAGACAAGTAACGATGGCGGTAAAAGGACTGTCAGCAAGGGCAATGCAAGTGTGTCGCAGATGGGTTGTAGAAGGGTATCCTTGCTGCAGTGCAGTAGGATAGGTACCTCCTTAGGCTATCTAGGCACGATGATGCTTTGGGGGGGGGGGAAAGATGGCGCCGGGGCTCATGGAACCCAGTCCTTGAATTTGAGCCTTTGGGTAGCTCCCTGTTGGTCGGACTCTTTTGGCGAGACGCACGAGGCCACCGCCAGGCATGCGTCACACTGGTTGGCCAGAGGGAGGGTAGCCTGGGAGGGGACTCGGTAGTCAGTGGCTTTAACTAAAAAACAAAAGGTCGGATCTACAGTGGACGGACTTTGAGCTCGGGACGATCGCGAGCCCCGATCCAACAGTGGAGGCTTCTTCACGTCAGAACCGCCCCCACCAAGCCCCCCCCAAGCCCCCCCAAGTGCCCCCCAAGTCCCCCCCAGGCATAGCGCCTCCCTGAGCTCCGACAGGCACTGGCCCCTCAGTGGCTGGCCAAAGCGACAAGTCGGACAAGCCCAAAACTCCACCCTCTCACATCATGACTGCTACCATCAATGCCAAATAACCACCACCACTACGTACTCGACTTTTCCTCCCTCCCAGAACCGCGTGCGAGCTTGGGCGTGATCTTGCTGAAGCTCTCCAACGTCCATGACAAGCTTATTGGGCTGTTGTGGCGGAAAGAGACTTTCTGGGCTTGCCCATCCCGTCTCCTCCTCACTTCCTCCTTGGTCGCCCTGTCGCCGGCCACCCCCGCCCGTCGCTCATTGCCCTTTACTGTCAAACTCCCAGCTCCTGCAACTCAAGCCTCATGCGCAATTGAACATCAAATCCCCTCACATTGAGTCGAGACCTCGTCTTCACCGCCAAGCGGCGTTTTACGTGTTACCCTGGAGCAACGCTATCAACTCTGCTCTGCCCTTCCAGCGTTGAAAGATATCTTCCATCCCTACCTACCCTTTTCTCCTCCCTCCCCCTGTACATACTGCCCCTTTCATCCCTCCTCGTATGTTTTCGGCAGGGATGAGACATACATTCGTTTGCACGACGGCCTTATAGCTCTAATCTCCTTTCATTCGTTCCTGTCCACCTCCCAACCATGAGACGCATTCAGGGTCGCGTGACGCGCGACGATATTCGCTCAGCCGGGCTGAGGCGATGGGATGGACGAGCTCGAGTCACCACGGACTGGGTCAATCTTTTTCATGTAAGTGCTCACTTGCTCCCAAGCACGCCCCAATCCCATCCTCGTTTTGAGACACTCATAGGTCAAACTCTCTAGGAGCCTGAGCTATGCTGGCCAACAGGAGACTGTCTCGTCTACTTGCGTGAACCGGGTCAGTCCAGTCGTGGACCGGCCTTTCGAGTTCACACCGCCTTCCTCAAAGTCAGAGGCTTCGAGTCTTTGGTGGACCGCTGCGTGGTGAGAAACTCGATTCACGCGGCAGTGCAGTGTGTCCTCCCCAATTGCTCAGGATGTGACCCTCAGGAGTCAGTACAAGAACTGTACATCCCAGCACCTCATGGGGCAAGCCTCGAGGATATCTTCAACCATCACATTACGACACGGAACTTCTTCGCATGGCTGTACAACCGACCACTGGCGGGTCGGACGCTGGGATCGGCTTTGGCGGCGCTGAAGAAAAGGGTTGATGTCTATCGGCCCGATGATAGCTCCCAGAACAAGGTGGAAGTGCTGTCGTTTGCGGAGAATCAGAGGTATCTGGACTTTAGGGAGTGTGTTGATCATGCTTTGGCATCGCTCTCCTTGGCCGAGGCTCTTCAGGTCGAGGATCTTTGGGTCGACGCATTTGCCCATTGCGTGGGCATGAGCCACCGTGGCCTTCGATCAAGCATCGAATATGCGGTGAGTCAATATCCTTACCGCAGCTCCTTTCCGCCCACATCAAGACTAACCAACGATTTCCTAGGGTTTGAGCGCCAAGTCCAAGACACTCATCAATCGCGCAAGGCTGGAAATGGACATTCGACTGGACAGGGTCAACAAATCCGTCGTCACATTCTTTGAAAACGACGTCTCAGGAAGCTTCCTCGGCCTGCCCCAGCCCGCGAGAGATCATCTCAACAAATTCCGCTCTTTCCTCAAATCATTCTACCTTGATCGATATGGTTCTTGGCCCCCTAATGATTTCGAAGAAGAGGTCGTCCAACAAACCATATACTCGACTATGTTCTCGGACTTCCGGAACCTCTATCAGCACCTGGTCAATCCCGAGTCCACGGTGGATATGGAAGAAAACGACATCACCAAGACTGGCGGCGTGTGTACTCTTCAGAACATCCAAGCTTTTGATAAGAAGCACTCCTATGAGCCCCTTGCTCAGCCACTACCTCTATTACCGGAGCCTCTGGAAGCTAGCTCAGCTCCACGCCCCAAGCTTCAGCGAAGAATGTCTTGGAATCCAATCCAAAAACGCAAGGCGCTTAGGGAGACACGAAAAGCGCACGACAAACGCGCGTTGATTGGTGCCTCGAACCGAGACCTATTGGTCATGGACTGCCCCTTGGTCCGGAAGTACTCCGAGTTCGAGGAGATGACCGTTGACGATGATCTCGAGGGCGTCTCTGCCATTGAAGGGCGTAAAGTGAGATGGATCCTGGTTTATGCCGTGCTCCAAACTTTCCATTCCATTGCCCAGCCTCCGAAGGAAGTACGCAACACTTCCAACCTAACATATTCGCTTTGCTGTCAGCCTCCCAAACAAAAGCCATGGCAAGAAACGTCATTGCCTCAGGTCCGTACCCTGAACAAAAAAAAGTCTCTGCTAGCTCCCGATAACCGCTATTCACACACCAATGTGTCATCTTCCTCGCTGGGTGAGACACTGACAAGAGGGAGATCGGCGAAGATGCGTCGGCGCACACTCCCGGCGAATCTGCCCGGGTCTTTGATGACCTCTTTGTCAATCAAAACACCGCCAGCCTCCCGCTCTGCCTCACTCCGAAGACTGATATCTCGTGGAGGCCAGACCAGTAGGGATGAGATGCCTTCTAAGCGTCCTTCCTTCTGTGAAATCTACATTGAAGGCTACGGAAATGGTCTGAATGAAGTTGCTCGTAATGTGTCGGAACCTCCTCCAGTGGAGCTTACTGCCGAACCTGAGCCGGTAATCAAAGAGGACCAGCAAGAACCACAAGAGCTTCAGGGTGACATTGTCCATGAAATGGCTGCCAACGACACCGAGAACTTACCTCCTCTACCAGAATCGGAGACATCGGCAACAACACCACCAAGCATGTCTCGTGAGTCTTCCAATTCGTCCGTCAGCAGCGCGTCTTCCAATAGCAACGAGGACAGCGACGTTGCCCCGATCACACCGGCAGGCAACGCCGCATGCACACTCGAAGAGATCCTGAAGTCTACCAGCATCATCAAACGGCGGAACGATGTCAAATCAGACCTGGCCCCAACCGCCATCAGGCAGCGACCCCAGTCGCTTGTTCTTCGAGGGAAAGTTCCTCATATCAACATCATCAGCAGTGACCGAGATGACCCAGATTTAGAAATGCCGTACGTCCACTTCAACACACAGACCTGGGACATGATTTTGGCGCAGAGACCAATGACTGCGCCCAGTCCGACCGCGATCGCTGCATAAAGCTTGCGGAAGAGCAAGACCACCGAAAGAGGAACGCTGACGGTTTCCCTCTCCAACTTACGATATACAACCAACATCCCATACCCGCAGTTGCCTCGCTTAATGATACGACAAGCAAGAGCAGGGGAAGCATCATCATACGCGAGGTTTTACTATAGGAAGAAGGGGGATGGGTTTATAATGACACGAATCTCATTCCCAACACAAACACCATGACTCTTTTTTTGGCAGCCTGCAGGCGAGGTGGGATCTAATCATGGCGGCGTTCTTTGCGTTTCGATACCCTTGGGCGAGAGTGGTTAATCGTGCGGCGTAGAGCACACTCCTCCGCTACGCGCATTCTGGATATGTTGTCAGTTGAGCAGGCGGATGAAAGCGCACGTAGCGGAATATTTTAGTCGAGTCCCCGAATAAAGAAAAGTTAATGTCTCGATTTTTCGTCGTTCTTCTCGCTTGTTTTCATGGAGAGACTGAACCAATATACGAGGGTTTGATTGGCCCTCTTGGACGATTTGGTCCTGAAAAACACGGAGTTATAGTTATCCTGCTCCTCCCCTCCTCTCGCGCCACGCATCGTCCAAGTCCTCCTGTGTGACCTGATACCCCCACTGCAGACAAGTCTGGTGGATGACCGGACTGACCGTGCTCTCGTGCTGGTCGTCACCGGCCCCTGGGTCATCGTCGTCGCCACCCCCGTCGTCAAAAACACTCCGCACCCCCATCTCGACATACTTCTTCAGCAGCATCCTCCTCCACCGGCCCCGGGGGCCGACGCATCTCAGCCACCGGCCGACCTGCCGCTCGTCCTCGCCGTCGTCGAGCCGCCGCCCGAGCCAGAAGCGGATGTACCACTCGAACCAGCCGCGCGGGTCGTGGCGGAAGTCGAGCCACCCGGCGGCCTCCCACTGCGCCAGCGTCTGCCCGCACGCCCGGCCGTGGCGGTTGAGCGTGGCCTCGTAGCGCGCCGCCGTGATGTACTTCTCCGCCGGCTGCAGCGTCGCGAGCCACCCCGCCGGCAGCGTCGCCAGGTGGTCGTCCGCCAGCGTCAGCCCCAGCGTGCGGCTGTGCCACGGCGCGAAGAAGCTGCCCCCGAAGGCGCCCTCCTGGAGGATGTCCAGCGGCGACTTGTTGGGCCGGAACGCCGGGTGCGAGGCGAAGTGGTAGCCCTGCGTTTCCGGGTCCTGCGTCGGCGGACCCGCCGAGGGCGTCCACGAGTTGTAGTACTGAATGAGAGAGGGGAGGTCGGTGGGTAGCAGGGGCGAGAGGGGCTTTGGGATTGATGAGGCGCGTTGGGTTGCGTCAGAGTGATGATCACGGCGAGAGGTTCGGGCCTTGCGAGTGTTTCTGGTCCTTGTTCCTCGCGATGAGCGGTCGTCCATGGCTTTGTCTATGTCGACTGGGCCTTTGGTGTCCTCGTTGTAAGACACATGGCCGCCCGCCGCGGCGATTCGAGCAGATGTCCTGGATGGCGGCTTCAGCGCTGGGCTGGGACTGGTGGCTCCTCTCCGTCTCTTTGCGGGCGGCTTTTTCGTCTCCCTTGCATCCAGGTCTCCTGGTTTTACGTTCGAGGTAAGTAAGTTGAGTGACTCGAGCAGCTTTTGTTTTTCTTGCATGTTCGCGAGGCGCGCGGCCTCGAAGTCGATGGCGAGATCCATCGCGTCCAGCGCGGCACTAACGCGACGACTCGGTCACGAAACCGCACCTTCACGGCGGCCAGAGCACAAGAGTATGGAGATCCTTTCTAAGAGGTAGTTGTTGTATCTGTAGGGCTTCCTGTATGGCGAAAATACTGACAGGATATTTGCGTCGTCGCGCACTGTTCTAAGACGCGTTGACATTGGCCATGACGTCACTCATCCATATAGGTAGATGATGCGCTTATGTTCATTTACTATTCTATTGCGATGCTGCTGGTCAGGTTGTATAGCACTGGCATGTCTTCGCCTCAACCTCTATCGCAAGCAAACCTTGTATGAAAGCCATCTACCGAAACATCTGGTTCCAGGCTTCCCAATGGTTCTTGGCGGCTGGCTGGCGAGCAAGCCCCCATCTCTGCAGTTCCTTTGTCTCGTCACTCACCGACGCATCCGTTTCGCGCCAGAGTTCGAAGTCGATAATGCTGCATTTCTTCGTGTCTCGCTCCCACAGAATGTTCCGCAGCCCGCAGTCCACCGGCTCTATGCCTTGGGCGTAGATCCACCTGTCCACTGTCAGCATGACCGAGACTTGGCGAAGGTTTTCTTCTTCGGTTCGTGGAATGACCTACTTGAGCGCGACAAGGAACTTTTGAGAGATCTCGTTTCTCTCTTCGGCCGTCATTCCCCAGTAGTACATGTTAAAGAGTGAGTCGCCAGGCATCTTTGTCATGACGAGGAACGTGAGATATCCCCCCGGCAATGGCCCCTCGGCAGGCTGGACTGCCTTTTTGAAATTTACCAGAACTGGAGTGAATGCGCTGTGAGTATCTTGTAATCTTTCCAGAGCCTTGAGCTCATGTGCTGTAGTAGTACTAGGGCCGAGTTCTGGGTTGTTGCTAGGTCGCCGCTCTCCTCCCGGTATTCTCAACGCCTGAAGTCAGCCTTGAATGTGTCTGCAGGATTGGAAACATACTGGATCTTGATCTTCATAACATACTCGTCCTCTGACGAAGAGGTTTCGTTGTGGCGCCGGCAAGTCAGGACTATTCGTGCTTCGGCGGGAGTGCCGTCGTGACAGGACCGATAAGTTGCCAGAGGTTTCAACAGCTCATAGGAATTTCCATCAGCAAAATCAACAACCTCGTCGAGGTATCTTGGTAATATTGGGGCCGCTTCTTCCATCTTTAATAGTATTAGATATTCCCAGACCCGGGCTCGCAGCTGGGCCAAAGATTAGCAGCGAGAAGGACGATTACTGATGAGATTGTGCCGGGACATCTAATCAATCGAACGTGTGCCCAAGGAAAGTGGATAGTATTGCCGTGTGGCTGAATAACCCTTCAGACCGTCTAATGGCTTCTTCTCGCGTCAAGGAGAGATGCTTTGAGTTGTTTGAAGTCGAGGGCGGTGGTGGATGGATCGATATCTGGAGGATGGCCCAGTCAACCGTCTCTTCTGTTTGGCCAGAGCTTATTGATCCCGTCATCCGGGGAATCGGGGATTCACCGCATCGCCCACACCACTGACCCTGAGGAGAGTAAGTAAAATTAATGCCTGGGCAGAGGATACGAGGCTTTGGGAGATAGACCTGGCAAATGTTGTTGCTGCTGCGGCTGAAGCATCGTGTTGGACAGGAACGGAGTGCACAGCCTGCGCAGTGCCAGAATATGGCGTCGGTAAGCCTCAGTAGAAAGTATCGCTGGGTAATAGGCGTCGACGGTAGGTTGGGACGCGGAGGACAGACACTGGGGCCAGCGAGGCGCAGAGAGACACCGGAAAACCATGTTCCCCATAATTGGGACAGTCTCCCTCACTCCTGGAGCTCCGGGCAACTGCTTGATTGATGTTTCAGGCCCGCTGTGGTGCTGGCGCTGGTGCCGTTGCGGTGCCAATGCTGCCAGTGGAAGATCATCGCTCCGTACCTGCATGAAATATCCCAACTGAGTGAAGCCCATCCTCGATCCGGTCCTCCTCCACCGCATCTTGACGTCTGTGGTTTCGCTGCTCTCCTCTTTCCACCGTGGCTTGGGCGGTGCAGGCGATCCCCCAGAGACCAGAGACCAGACGAGCATGATCTGCCCTCTCGATCGTTGTCACATCTAGTTCACCGCAATCTGTTTCGCTCTCCAGCTCCCACTGCCAAACATCAGAGTGTTTGTACCTTTTCCAGCCGATGCCATTCAAATACGAGCCCAATCCGCGGTTGCTCCTTGCTCCATCGATCAAACCCTCCTGCCATCGCAGCCACGGTCTCAGAAAGGCCCGGAGAATTCGACCTTGGTGATTCCATTGGCGCCCATTGACCCCGAGTCGGATATGATTGCCACCTCATCCCTCAGCGCAGAAAGACCGGGCTCTTCTTCCCTCCCCCTCCTCGCTCACGATGCCACCGATCGTCCTGCCTCGAGGGCGCAGACGGCCGTTTCCGAGGCCAAAGAACTGCCCGTAACCTACTCCACCGATGCTCTGCTACGCGAACCCCTCGAGGAAAATGAACTACGCCAAGTCAATGGTGGTCGCCGTGCGGAACAAGAGCTGCCTCGCCTACAAGCAAACGCGCAAATAGAGAATGGCGACAGCTTGGAGCCCATCCTCGAAGACGATCCTGCGTCCTTCAACCTCATCGCTCCTGCACCCCCAGACCAAGGCGACATCTTCTCGTTAGAGACACAGACACAAGCCCTCTTCTCGAGGGGACATCTACAAGTCATCTTTGCCGACCCCGGCTACCTCTTCAAGTTCACATCTTTCCTTGGAATGTACAGACCCCAGTCGGTGCCCATGCTCGTGCACTATCTCGACTCTCTCAAATCACTACGGGCCATCAATTATGCCAACGCCATCTGCGAGGGCTTAGACCCGATAGAAGGATATGAGTTTACACAAAGGCCGGTCAAGCCAACCATCAACACGGCATTGGAAGAGCGGGCGCACAAGGCTTTCGAAATTCTGGCGATGGAGGAACTGCCTGCTTTCATCACGCATCAGTACATACAAGTCGTGAGCAACAGTATTACCGCCCGAATAACGGGTTCGCTCTCGCCTCAGTTGCGGGAGGCCTCAGACGGATTGGCAGAAGTGTTTTGTTTGACAGATCCCTCCAGGCACGACAACCCGATTGTCTTCGCCTCAGAAGGTACGCCTCCTTAGGAATATGAATTGGCCCATTGTGCGTGTGCTGACGCGAAGCAGAATTCAATCGGACGACCCAGTACGGCATGTCATATGTTCTGGGTCGGAATTGCAGGTTTTTGCAGGGGCCTATGACAAACCCGCACAGTCTGCGAAGGATCCGAGACGCCCTCAAAGCAGGCAGGCAACATCAAGAAGTCCTTCTCAACTAGTAAGTGTAACTTCGACGCGATTCTTGACATGTCTGACGGGGTATCAGTCGACGGGACGGCTCTGCGTTTGTGAACTTGTTCATGATGGCTCCTCTTTCTGACAGTAGAGGCGTGGTCCGATACCACATTGGGGCACAAGTCGACGTGAGTGGCCTTGTCAAAGACTGCGCCGAAATGGAATCCCTGCGCAAGTTGTTGGATCTGCGTGCTCGGGGCGAGGATCCACCACTGCCCGAGAAGCCTAACCCGGAGAAGAACGACGAGCTGCGGGAATTGAGCGAGATGCTCAACCAGGGCGAGTTGAATACGATCAAGCGCCATGGGGGGAAGATGCACCGTGAAATTGTCGAGGATGACATCGAGAGTGTCTCGTCTCACCATCAACCTCGACTGTTGCTCAAGGACCCGGACACCATGGTGCCATCGATTGCCAGCATCAATGGCAGGTTGAGTGGCATATATCAACACGTTAGTTGTCTGTGAAGCCTGCAAGTGTGCTCGTATGACTGACCAGCGATGCAGTATCTCCTCGTACGGCCATACCCTTCTTTGCGAATTCTCTTTGCGAGCCCGTCACAACGATTGCCTGGCATCCTTCAATCGCCCTTCTTGAGCAAGATCGGCGGGTCAAATCGAGTGCGGGAGGAATTGACGACGGCGTTTGCTGAAGGACGAGGCGTGACTGCCAAAGTTCGCTGGGTCACCAAAGGTGACGACCAAGGCAAGAACAAGTGGATTCATTGCACTCCGCTCCTGGGCCAGTCAGGTCAGATTGGCGTGTGGATGGTGGTGGTGGTTGATGATGAGAAGACCACCGAAAGATGGCCTCCTGTAGCAGGACGACTCCCGCCTCAAGTGGCCACCCCAGAGAGGAGCTGGACTCCGGCACCAAGCAGCGGATACCAGATGGTCGGATCGAGCCACAACGGTGTTGGCGACATACACGGCGGGCACTCGGATCGCAATGGTGGAGGGAGCCTAGGCAGTGCCAGTGGCAGCGCCACCAGCCTGAGGATTGGATGAGTACAGGCATTGAGCTTTCTTGGATGTTGTTTACCTTGCCTTTTTCTGGAGCATCTGCTGGTACATGGACTATGTAAGATGGTCAAGAGAAGAGATTTGCATTTTGGTTATCTGGTGGCCCAACGGAGGGGGTGTTCAGGGGGCCTTTACTGACTGCTTGTAGTAATATTTGGTGAGCATCTCACACCACCGAGCCCAGATATCATTAATGACGTCGATGTTTGTTCAGCTTTCATGCTAGGCTACTTTGCTAATAGGTGAAATCGTTCAAGGGACGCTGGTGGACCAGGCGCGCCAGCTGAGCCAGGCTGCGTTTGGTGGCCGCTACTGGGCCATTCAAAGGGGGGCCGTACAAGTAGTGTATCTGCCTTAATTGTGGAGTTGGACACCATCAGTGCTCGTTGTGTCTAACGAGTCACAAAATGCGGAACTTGGGCCCCGGTGAAGTCTATCTGACGGCTGCTCTCCAGTGGGAAAAGAGTGAATCGACATATCTTCTCCCCCCATCCAGCCTTGTTCATTAGAATGCCTCTTCCCTACAAGTAAGCACACTCTTGTTCATCCTGTGCGCCGGGAATGTCTTCTTGTGCAGATGACCCTCGGTTGTCACACGACCTGCGCTGGCCAGGATCATAGTGCCAACTCCCTAGGCAGCAGCTGCTCGCGAGGTACCCTGCAGCTCCCCCCGGGGGCGATGGCCCTCACAAGCATGTGGGATTGGACTCTTCCGAGTATTCACAACATCACAGGCTGCAAGATTGTCTCGGCCCGCGAAGGGGCCCGGCCCAGGGCGATTGAACCCATGCTCTAGTTCCTGGGGCGGAGATCAAGGGGTGTTCGCTAGGTGTTCGAAGGGTGCTGCGCCATTTCTCTGACTCAAATTGTGGCAGTGGGCATCTTCAAGGCTGTCGTTTCAGAATGCTGGCGTCTTTGAGGAGCCATCTGGGACTTAAAGAGCCTTGAACTCCTCGAAGTCGCAGCACTGGTAAGTCAACACTCTTGCTTCTGGTTCGAACCTGACAAAATGTCTCCTGCTAGCGAAATACCATGCACCTGTCGTTCTCTTCATGAGGATTGCGACCCTGAAACATGCCCTCAAAGGCAACACTCGGGCCATCCAGGCAACAATTTCAAGCTGTCCGAGTTTCTCAAGAATGCTGAACGTGGATGCAACACATGCTCGGCGATCGTGAACGCGCTCTCCATTGACCCAGTGAAGAAGGTTTGGAGGGACACCATAAAGGCGGGCAATAATGCGTCGACAGCAGAGCAGAGCATTCCCATCGAGTTGATGCGCACGGGAGAAAGACCTGGCCGAGTGGTCATCAGAACCGGCAACGTCTACGGCTCCAGCTCTCAGTTTTGGAGACATTTCAACCTGTTCGTCCACCCAGAACAACCTGAGCCGAAGTCATGCATGGCCCTGCGGAAGCTGAAATGCGCACCGATCGACAAGACGGATTCTGCTGAGAGCTATCGATTTCTGAATCAGTGGTTGGACGAATGCAACAGTCGTCATCAATGTGCCACGCCTGAGCCCCCTTGCTTGCCCAAACGCGTTCTCAAGCTCCAACGAGACCGAGTTCATCTGTATCTGAGCCAAGAGAACGAAAAGGCGCGATATGCGACCTTGTCCCACCGCTGGGGAAACTTTGATGAGAACTTCGTCTTGGAGCTGACCAACCTCGACTCCCTCACCAAGGACATCGCTTGGTCGCAACTCCCCAAGACTGCCCAGGATGCCGTAGAAATCTGTCGCAAACTCGGCATCGAATACCTGTGGATCGACTCTTTGTGCATCATTCAACGCTACAAGCCGGATTGGGACGACCAGTCGGAGAAAATGTGCACCATCTATGGCCAGTCCTATCTCAACATTGCGGCAATGGACTCGAGCGACTCCTGTGGTGGTTGTTTCCGGACGACAGGGTCCGATAGGCGATACCCTCCTCACGCCGTGCCAGGGCATCCGACCCTCCAGGTCCAGCAGCAGCCTCACTTCACTCACCTTGATTTCGGCGCGAACTACGCCACATCTCGTGCCTCTCCACCGCTTCTTCGGCGAGGCTGGGTTCTCCAAGAGCGTCTCTTGTCCCCGCGTTGCGTCTACTACGGCAGAGACGAGCTTCTCTGGGAATGCAAGGCCTGCGCGGACTGCTTCTGCGGCGGAACCAATGTCATTGCCCGCTTCAAAGACGTCCACCATCGCTCGCTGACCGAGAACGGCGACTCTTTGCCCTTTGCCTGGATGAGGGTCACCGAGCGCTACTCTTGCTTGGACCTGACGCGCGACTCCGACCGGGCAATCGCACTGTCCGGCATTGCTCAGGAAGTGGTGGAGTCGGGGCGAGGGGGGAACTACCTCGCTGGGCTATGGTCAGACAAACTGGCACATCAGCTTGTCTGGGTGCTGTCCAACACATTTCGCAGACCCAAAGAGTATATTGCGCCCAGCTGGTCATGGTTATCAGTGTTCGGCAGGATCGAGTACGGCCCCAACCGTATGGATTATGGAGCTGCGTGGTCGACCATCGATGTCGTGATCACTGATGCCGCGGTCTCGGCGTCCAAACCGGACGGCACCGGCAAGATCAAATCGGGCTATCTTCTACTTGACGGCAAGGCTCTCGACATGGAAGTCGAGGTGATCGAGGTGCTGAAAGGGGCCCGACCTCAGATGAAGCTGACTCATTCCGAACCCTACATTGAATATCCGAGTTTCCTACCTGACTATACTATGACCCCAAAGGAAGCTGTGTCGGTCGAGAAGGTGGTTGTGCTCTACTGGGGCAAGGTCGTGTACCAACAGACGTTTATGATTCTGCGGGAAGTACCCAACGACGGCGGCGTGGCGTACGAACGTCTCGGACTGCTCGAAGCGGATGACCACTGGACTCGACAATTTCAGAGTGCAGCAAAATCCAGAACGAAGATACGGATAGTTTAGACGACTTTTCTACTCGAAAGGACTGGGACATTACATTCTTGAAGGATCTCAACTTCGGGCAAAGACTTTCCCTCTTCCTCGGTCACCCACTCTAGCATATTGGAATGAAAATCTCGCAGCACCCTGTCGACCTTGACAATGCACCCAACGGCTTGCACCCTGATCAGCAACGTTGTGACTAAAATAAGACCAGTTCCCACTTACCCGATCACCAGTGCTCTGTTCATTAAAGACGGATGTCACTCTTCTCAACCTTGCTCAGACAGGTACAGCCCTTTGAGATGGACAACGTGCCATTGTCGGGCCTGTTGAAGATGGTTGACTGGCTCGCGGGACCTTCCTGCAGGAATCTGTCCATGGCTCCCAGCTGACGACAATGCTGAGGAGGGACAACGAGTCGAAGGATAGGGTCATGGTAGGGGCAGGGGCGAGGCGAGTTTGGTGACTTCTTGCTAGGGTCTCGCGACGATTCAGGGCCGACGTTATGCTTCTGTCAGAGGGACACTCGTTAGCAGTCTGGTAGAAAAGAGGCCTTGGGGTCAGGGAGACTCTTCCGAATACCTCGATTTTGTCTGTCAGCGAGGCTGTCTTGGCCGTTGGAGTGGTCATATCGGAACAGGGTCTGTACGACAACTCGAGCGCTGGGGAAGATGGACGCAGTCAGGAAGCAGAGAAAGCCAAAAGGACCAAGCAGACACAACTACCTCACAGCGACCAATATTTGTATCAAGGTGGGACGAGGAAGACCCAGATGCCTGGGATTTGCGAGAAACGCCGGGCCTGTCGACCTTTATAATGGCTGTGCCCGCCTTCCGACCAGTACAGCATTGCTGAGTCGTATCAGCACGCCGCGACAGCGCCTCTTGCTGCAAGGCATGCTATTGAGGAAATCCAGACTTTGAGGCCTTCAACCCATGTCTTCTTCATTGATCTTGGCACCTACATGAGTGGGGTGTTGCGGGGCCGGCTCCTGCACCTACCTGGATGAGAATCCGGATTGCTCCCCAGAGCACGGAGTCCAACAGTCTAGCGGCAGGAAAAAAGTATCTTCTGCTTCACATTGGGGTCTTGCGTCAAACTAACCAGTAATCATTGTCATCATCCAACCCATCCACGGCAGTCAGTTCATGTAAGGATTTCGTGGCCGTTGACCGCAATATGAGCTGTTGACATGGACTGCCTCTCCGGATCGAGTATCTCTGCAACCCGGTGTCCCATGCTTCGTATTCTAAATTCCAAGGGTCTTCATATGATATTTTTCGAATCGGTTCTTGTACGCAGTCTAGAGTAATCAGTCCGTCACATATTGTACTCTAATTGAAGCCTTTGCCATTTTCTACATGGCTTTTGAATTTAACAACGGGTTGACGCCCAGGGTACGGAAAGATTGTGGTAGAAAAAGCCGTAAAGTGAGAAAAGGCCGAGAACTTTGGTCTCATAACAGCATGGACCAATTAATGTGACTAGATCTCTATATCCATCTGTCATTGGTGGGCAGGCGCTGAGAGTCGATCAGCCGTATGGGTATTTCGCCCATCCGCCGCTTTGCTTCTCCCTACCCCCATCAGTTCAAACCCTCGCCTCAAAGGCTCCGAGGCACCAATGCCTCCACACCTCACCCTCTAGGATCTCTGGTCCGTGAGGCTGACGATCTGGCTCTCCATTCATTGGCGCCAACGCATCGTGTGTTGCCTCCCGCGGGGGATTCTATCTGCGACGATATTACAGGTTGAGCCGCATCGAGATAGAGCGTGTGTGGCAAACCGGGGGAGATCCTGTGCATGGACTTGTCGATTGAGCATAATCAGCTGGTCAACCTCGACCGAACCCAGTCACTGCTCTTTTGATGTCGCCATGTCGTCCTATATTAGGAGTGGACGTCACCTGCTACATTGGGTGGTCTTGCTATTGGGGACCGCTATGGGGACCCCATTGGGCCTAGACGCATCTTCACACAGCAGAACCGAGGGCAATGTATCAAAAACTACTAGCCACGTGGGATTTGCTGAGATGGTCGTGTCTGTCGGATGAGTGACTGCGTGGGTTGGAGTCGCCCAATATCAGCCACGGCAGATGAAACCAGACAACCGATGATAGACCCGAGGTCCGAAGCCGGACGAAGTCACCTCCTCCCCCAAATAGGATCTCAACGCGACCGAATACACTGTCCAGCATACGAGAGTACATCTGTTCCAGTTCTCATTTACAACAAAAGTCGGTGCCTGCTCCCAATTTGTATAGAAAGCAAATTAGCAACCACACACCATGCTTTTCGACCCTTCCTCGACGAGCCTGCCCAAGCGCTCCGAATTGCCCAAAATCCCCGGCGCCCCCGACGGAGCAGCCTGGTTCTGGGGCAAAGACGACGAGGTAGGAGACTCTTCAAGCGGTCCTTCTTCGCTGAAATGCAGCCGCTCATTCGAACAGCTTGGTCGTCTCAATCTCCTCACGCCCGAGCGCGTCTCCAAGGCCGCGGCACTGATCAAAAGCGGCGAGGTCGTGAATCTCAAGTAAATATGAAAGCCCCTGAGGCCGAGTGCGGGCACGCCAGCGTCCTGGAATGCTAATGTGTGGCCGTCCCAGCTGGCGTGCCGACTATCCCAACCCTCCTGCCTTTGGAAGACAGAAGTTCAAGCACACCATTTCACCGCTGGGTGAAGCCGGGTTCGATGACCTGTACGACATGAACACCCAAAGTGGATCGCAAGTCAGTCTTTGCAGCCCCTATAACAGGTCCCTAGCACCATGTTCACTTTTCTGATTGACGTGCGCGCAGTGGGACGGGTTTCGACATGTAAGGCTCTGTATAGTCGGGAGTTTCTGAGGAGCATTCTGACCGCTGCTTGAAAGGTTGGCCTCAAACACGATGGCGGCGTGGTCTTCTATAACGGAGTACGTGGGCCATGTTACCACCTGTAGTTATTTCCACCAGATCCCGGCTAGCTGACCGGAGGCACAGCTTACAGTGGACGAGATATACAAGACCGACCGGTGCGGGATGCAGGCGTGGGCCAAACACGGAATAGGTAAAGTGACGACCAATCCCAGAATTCCATTCTCCATCTCCGGTCAATGACATCCCGCTTACTGACCCCGTTCTTGGTACGGCACAACAGCCGGCCGCGGCGTCCTCCTCGACTACTGGGGGTACTCGGGCGGCAACTACGACCCGGTCTCGTCGCACCGGATCCCGCTGAGCGAGCTGCAGGCGTGCGCGCAGAAGCAGGGCGTCACCTTCCAGCCGGGCGACATCCTGCTGGTGCGCTCCGGCTTCGTGAACGCGTACAACAAGCTGGGCGCGCCGGAGCGGGCGCACCTGGGCACGCTGAGCATCCCGGAGCACACGTTCGCGGGCGTCGCGGCGACGGAGGAGATGATCGACTTCCTGCACGACAACTACTTCGCCGCCGTGGTCGGCGACGCGCCGGCCTTCGAGGCCTGGCCCGTCCAGCAGGTCTCCTTGCACCAGTACCTCCTCCCGCGCTGGGGCTCCCCGATTGGCGAGATGTGGGACCTCGAGCAGCTCGCCGAGACGTGTCGCCGGAAGGGCCAGTATACGTTCTTCCTCTCGAGCGTCCCGGCCAACGTGCCCGGTGAGTTGTTTTCTTCTACTTATACCTCATCCCTGCACTCCCCTACTCTGCTCTGCTATTAACCCACCTGGTGTGGTTCGCCGTCTGGGTTCTTGGGATGTACGCACAAAGAAAAGGGTTGGGCTGACTTTGTTTGTCCGTCTAGGTGGTGTCGGGAGCGTTCCCAACGCTGTTGCTATATTTTAACCTCGGGCACGAGGGCGTAGGAACTGACCCTCCTGCGCGAATAAACTGAAGGGGTCCCTAGGAGCGATGCCGTGCTAGGGGTTCCAGGTAACTCTGTAGCTTCTCGCCTCAGACCTCGAAATCAGAGATACCTTCAAAATACACGCACATTAGCTCTGGAGAGACTGTGGTTGCATTCCCCTCTTGATCACTAAGGGGGCCAAGAACTCGGCACATCCTCTCATACACAAGTGATATTCTTTACCTACTATTTAGTATATCCAGGGGCTACCAACTTCCATTCCCTCCTTTTATTTGGATCCCCCTCATTTCCATTTCGAAGGGCCTCAGTATATGGGCACGTTGAAGGCGTCCAGGTCGTAGTTCCAGTAATCCACGCTCTTCTGGTCGTAGCGGCACTGCGGACCGGTCGCGTTCCCGGGCGCCCACACGGGCCTCAGCGGCCAGGCGCAGATCTGCTGGTTCCGGCCCTTGTCGGGGCCCAGCAGCACCGTGCCGTTCAGGGTGTGCGGGACGACGCCGCGCTCGACCCAGTCGATCATGACGGCGAGGTTGGTCTGGGGGAATGGCGCTCCGGGCTCGGCCGGGTTGGCGGCGCAGTGCGTCGCGCCGGGCACGAGGAAGAGGCGGAAGAAGTCGTTCTGCGCGGCCGCCGACGCGTTGTACCCCGCGCCCGGGTGCATGGTCCGCCGCACCGACTCCCAGTACCGCACCGACGACGCCGTCGGGATGCCCCAGTCCGACTCGCCGTGGAACATGAGCACCTTGCCCCCGGCGTCGCGGTACGGCGTCAGGTCCGGCCACGTCGTCTCCAGCACCCCCTGGAAGCGCTGCATGCCCTCGACGATCCACCCCTTCAGCGTGTCGTAGGTGACCCCGGCCAGGTCCGGCACGTTGGTCCCGTTGAGCAGGTCGAGCTCCACCTCGACGAAGACGCCGCCCAGGCTGATGACCGAGAGGCCCCACCGGTTCGCCGTCGCGTCCCACCCCGTCTGCGCCTCGGTGAACTGCGCGCTCGGCGTCGGCGCGAAGTACACCCGCCGGCCCTGGCTGTCGTGCAGGCCGTCGAGGATCTTCTTCGCCACGGCGATGGCCTGCTTCGTGACGTTGCCCTGCTGGACCGGGGTCGCGGGGGAGCCCGGGGACGCGGGCGTCGCGGGACAGTGATACGGCTGGCCCTCAACGGCGGCGATGTCGTAGTTCATCGAGCACAGGTCGGTCCGGGCGACGACGCCGTCCGTTCTCCCGTCCAGCGGGTCGCAGTGGGCGATGGTCTCGTTGACGATCTTCTGCAGCTCGCACGGGGACGGGTAGTAGCCCATCGTCTGCTCCACCACGTCCGGGTACAGGAGCTGGGTCTGCTGGAAGGACCACCGGAAGGCCGGGGCGCCGATCACGGCGCCGTCGAACGAGTCCGCGTAGCGCTGCACCTGGCTCCACCCTTCGCGGCCGCCCTCCGAGCAGCCCTGCCAGTACGTGTACAGCGTGGTGTTGGTCCGGGTCAGGTTGAAGAAGCTCTTGGTGAACTGCTTGCCCAGCTCGCTCATCTCGCGGATGCCCTGGTACCCGAACATGTAGATGTTGTGCCAGTTCAGGGTGCCGTTCGCTGCCAGCCACTGCGTGATCGTGTTGCCCTGGGCGGCGCCAAACCCGGCGTCGGTCATGCCGGCGACGGCGCCGTAGATGACGCCGCCGGGGAGAGATTGATTGCCCGAATTGATGGCATACCCGCCGCCGCCCGTGGCCAGAAAGCGGTTCTGGAACTGGGCCGGCGCCGGAAGCCAGTAGGTGAGGAGCACTTGGTCATCCAGGCCGTCGTGCGAATACGTGAAGCTGACGTTGCAATAGTCGAAGACTGCATCGGGATAGAAGTCGTTGTCCACCACCTTGACACCGGTCACCGGGTTTGCCGTCACCGAAGACGGACTGAGGGTGACTCCCTGGTAGAAGCCAGGCGGTGGGAGATGGGCTTTGACGTAAGAGACCGAGCAAACGTTATTCAGGGTGGCAGCACGGACAGCTGTGAGGGTGGCGAGGATGCCAAACAGGGGGGAATGCATCCTGTATGTCTAGACAGGTCACCACTTCGGAGACATTCCAGGCGTGTTTGGGACAGTCCCAGTGTTCTCCTCCTCCATTATATAGACAAACACGATCCACGAAACCCTGCGCAGAGCCGGGGCAGGCTGGCTGAATGTGGAGGGGCATTGTCTGGCCCATGCTGGAACGGAGCACCAGAATGTGGATGTATCGCGGCAGATCGAGCAGCATTTGCCTTTTGAGGTTGGAGAGAATGTGGAGAGCTGGGCTAGTCTTTGCGCTGGTTGATGGAAAAGTTGGGTTGCGCAGGAGGGGACTGGCGATGAGCAGGTGTGCGGTGGACTTGTGTGGTGACAGCTACCAGCTTGCCGATGAGAGTCGCGCTCTGTCCCTGCTTTGGGAAGATATGGGGGAGAACGAGGCGAAGAGGGTTTGCAGGATGCGGGGATGGTGCCTTTCTATCCCGCCTTGGTCGGTATTGAAAGGCGCTTTCATACACCGCTTCTGTTGACGTCTGGTCGACACCGGTTGAGATAAGATTAGATTGCGCCTGGGCAGCTTCAGCTTCTTTACCTAGCGAAACAGACAGGTTCGGATGTTGTATCAACGCCTCTTCGGCTCTAACATCACCGCTATCCCGCATATGCAGTCCGACACGTTGAATTGATGAGCAAGGCTGTATCTGAGATGGAGGGCGCAGGCGCACGTGGGTAAGAAATCTAGCCTGAACCTGTTGCGACATCTCGTGTTGACCGCCGACCGCCCAATAGCTTCCAGCCACAAAGCATGGATTCGACCATCACCGCTTCGACAGGACTGCCCGCCAGCATCATTCTTCTTCTGCTTACCGTCATAACTCTGTTGGCAGTTACCGTCCATCGCAGCCTGACCATTGATCACAGTCCTGGGGAGCCTCCAGTTATCAAGCCGGGAATACCCTACATCGGCCACATACTCGGCATCATCAGATATGGCACCAAGTATTTTGAGATCGTCAAGTGAGTGTTCTATGCCGCTGACACTCGCAATCTAATCTGTGTCAGTCGCAAAACCCGGTACCCGATCTACACGTTACCCACCTTATCTACCAGACAGTACATCGTCACGTCCCCCCAGATTGCTGCTCAGCTTCAGCGACAGCACAAGGACCTCGCCTTTTACAATGTCATTCTGGAAGTTACTCGGAGGTTGACCAACCTCAGGCCAAGCACCATGAAGATCGTCATGAAGAACGTCAACGCGGAGCAAGGTGACTGGGGCCTCATGCCGACGATGCACGACATGTTCAACACCGTACTCGGTCGAGGAGAGTCGCTGAAAGATCTCACTCGTTCGCAGATGTCGATTTTCTCAGAGATGCTGAATCAGGTCGCGCTCGGCGGGGAATGCCTCGAGACTGACCTGTTCCAATGGATTAAATCCACATTTGCCTTTGCAAATGCGAAGTCCATCTACGGTCCAGAAAACCCTTTCGCCCTTGACCCCAGCTTGGTGGACTCTTTCTGGGACTTCGAGGCTGGCATGCTGGCCCTTATCATTGACATTTTCCCTTCCATCACCACGAGGAGAGCTTATCTGGGCCGAGAGGCAATTGCCAAAGCCCTCGTAGAATACGTACGAGAGAAGCGGTGGCACCAAGCATCTCTCCTCATTCAGAACCGCATCAGCATCAACCTAAGCCACGGATTCACAGAAGCCGAAGCTGGTCGATCAGAAATCATCCTCCTCTTTGCAATTCTCGGAAACGCCGTGCCCTCAACGTTCTGGATTCTGGCCAATATTATCAGCCGCCCGGACTTGCTGGCCCAGATACGGAACGAGATTCAGTCGGCCGTTGCTGACAACGAAGACGGAAGCAAAAGCATCAATCTCTCGGTCATTGAATCCTCCTGCCCACTATTTGTGTCGACCTATAGGGAGTCTCTGCGCATGATCGGCAACCTTGCCTCACTTCGATACGTGCTAAGGGACACGGTAATCGGGCAACATTACTTGAAAAAGGATTCCATTATACAAGTGGCCGGAATCATCATACACCATGACCCACAAACCTGGGGTCGAGACAGCGACCAATTCAACCCTCGACGGTTTATTAAAGGACAAGAATCTGTAGCCGATGGAGATTCAGAGCCGTCGGGCTTGGACCTCAGGGAGCCGGCGGCAACACAACTGCCCCCAGGTGTACCATCAGCAGCATTCCGGCTTTTTGGCGGTGGCAGTGTGGTGTGCCCAGGACGCCACTTCGCGCAGAGTGAGATCCTCGCTTTCGTCGCGTACCTATTGATGGCGTTCGACATCTCCGCTCCAGACGGAACACTCGTCAAACTGCCACCGCGGGACAACGAGAAGATTCCCCTGAGCGTCATCAAGCCCAAGGGCGACGTGAAAGTAAGCATCAAAAGACGTAAGGGGTATGAAGACGTTTCATGGCGATTGCTGGCAGATGGCCAACGCTGATGGACCTGGAAGCTGTTCGGTGTGATGTAAACATTCAACTTGAGCAAAGAAGCCCGAGGAACCATCTTCCCCTGGAATCCTGGAGGTTATCTCTTCGAGGGACTCCGTACCGAGTAAACCCAGAGGAGGTGTATGTCCCCCATCCTTGCGATGGTCCGACTGCAATGTCCGGACAAATGTTTCTCCACCCGAGCACAAGTGGAGACGCGACACGTTGCTTCCCCCTTTCGTTCCGTCAACCTTCAACATGTGTACAGAATTTTAGGCGGTGCGTACGATTCCCGCCTGATCTTGTGAACCCCCTCAAAGGACTATGGCGATTCTGGACGAGTCTTTAGGCGAATGCTGAGCTTGCCGGTGAGTTGTAAGACACCACTGCTCGAGCAGTCCATTGACCAGAAGAGCTGGGAATGATCCTCTTCTTTCTCTGAACGCGTTCTTTTCACATGCTGACCGGGATCTGCATGTCTTTCTGTTCCCAGTTGTTTGGACCTCTCTGTTACCATTCCTCGATGATCGCACTGTAGGTCTGTGTTTGTCCATATCAGCATAAGAGGCGGAACGGGGCGTTTGGGCGATCGACTTTCTGCATAGCGAATTGTGTCGGCAATAATACAAACTGTTCTTCACAGCCGAGACACGCACATTCCCCCCTCAAACGAGTCCTCCTCCTGGTGGCTGTCTCGACCATGTTCCTGTTCCGGATAAGGCATGCTGTCATCTGTCTGATTTTCGCAACCATTGTTAGTTTGGTCTTCTATTATCGATCGGCGAGTGGCTCCGTCACGATCAGAGCCTTACAATCCAAGGTCCCGCAAATTGTTGGACTTGGAGACTATTTCGACGCGGAGGATCAGGATGCTCAGAACCAGACCCGGCCAATGTCCCATCCGGACGGAGACTCTCCTGCCTCGAACTCTGCCACAGACTCAGCGGCGGTAGTAGCCGGCGCCCTCCCAGGATTGACATATACTCGAAATCTGGTTATGGCTCGGCTGAAGGAGGAAAACGTTACGTGGCTTGACGGGGTCGACCTTGGCCCGGACATCAAAAAGTTCATCTACGTCGCCGACGACCCCAGTGCGCCGTTGCACCCTCCCCAAAACAAAGGTCACGAAGTCATGACTTATCTCACCTACATTATTGATTTCTATGATGAGCTACCCGACGTCAGCATCTTTATGCATGCCCACCAAGACGCATGGCACAACAACGAACTTCTGAACTGGGACGCCGCCGAAATGATCAAACAACTGAGTAGCGAGAGAGTCCAGCGCAAAGGCTACATGAATATGAGATGCCATTGGAAGCCAGGATGCCCAGATTGGATTCATCCAGGTCAGATAGAGAGGGACAAGGACAAACTGGAACAGTCGTACATGGCGTCGACTTGGGCCGAGTTGTTCGCGAACAAGCCCATCCCAGCAGTCCTTGCTCAGCCGTGTTGCTCCCAATTTGCGGTGAGTCGCGACCAGATAAGGTTGACACCAAGGGAGACGTACAAGCATTACCGGGACTGGCTTCTACGGTCGGGAATATCGGATGTCACCAGTGGTCGAATCTTTGAGTATCTCTGGCAAGTCATCTTCGCGGATGAGAGCGTGTTCTGCCCAAGCCAACGGGCATGCTATTGTGACGGATACGGTGTCTGCTTCGAGACCGACAAGACATTTGACAAGTGGTTTGAAATAAGATACCAACGGCAAATGGCCGAGAAGGAGTTGCGTGAGTGGAATGAGAAAGCTGAGGCAATTGAAAAATTCCGGGACAAGGACGGAAGACTCCCCGGTATTGAAACAGGGGAGCTTCAGGTGCCAGAGCTCGGGAGGAAAGAACAGCTAGAAGCCTCGATTGAAGGAAAGAAGGCGGAACTAGAACGGAGGAGATTGGAAGCCTTGGAGAGAGGCAGGGACCCGAGGAATAGAGCAGAGAGTGACGGGCGACCCTGGAAAGAGGGCGATGGATTCTAGAGGTTCTGCTGTATATCTGAAGCCGTTGGCGGGAGGATGCATATACTCTGGCTAGATCATAGAACCTTATATACATAGCGGAGGAGTTGGTTATTTTTGCCCAGAGAAGAAGCTATGGAGGCTACGAGACTCGTTGAATCTCCGTCCAAGGCGTTTGAAACGAAGACTCACCCGTCCTCTCCCATCGTCGAGTAGATGGAGAGATGTTGAGTCGGCCACTCGCGTGATCCGCCACTTTTGGCCTGCGCAGGGCCATGGCTTGCGCAATCGGGGTGCGGAGGAACTTCAAAGTCCAGACAGGGCAATCAGGAAACTGACCACCTTTCGTCTTTCTACCAACAGATACTCGCGCCACTGCCTCTTCTCTTGCCTTCCTTCCCATGAGTCGCTCCCTGTCGATGACTGCCTTCTCACTGCATAGCTTGTGAGATTCGCTTCTGCAACCTCCTTGCGCGGCGTGCTGGCTCAGAATCGGCGATTTTGAATGATGGCATCGACGAGACCGCGCTCAACTCACACTTGACGAAGACAGTTGTCTGCTGGATAGCTTGTGAAGATGCCGGTGAGAATGAGAATGAGATGGACGGCGTATGCCGGGGTATGCACCGCCGCACTCTACCTATTCATCCTGCACCCGCTGACCCTCCTCTCACAGGTGTCTACCGCCCTCGCTGCGGGCGTCATCCTCAAAGCTCTGGCGCAGCGACCCAACTTCTACTCCGCTGCGGTCTACCTCTCGCAATCCTCCGCGAACCTGATGATCCTGACAAACCTCCTATTCGTCATCGCCTGCACCTTTCTGCTGGCACTCCAGAAACTGCTCTACGGAAACCTCCGACCCATCGAGATCGAACAGCTGTACGAAAAGGCATGGTTTGCCGTTACCGAGACGTGTTTGGCCATGACGGTTTTCCGCGGAGAGATCGGACTCACCTTCCTCGCCATGTTCTTCTCTCTGCTCACGGGAAAAGTCTGGGGTTGGATCGGTGAAGGCCGGGTGGAGGTGCTGGAGCAACAACCACCCCGAAACCCAAGATTGTTCCACACGCGTCTGGCACTGAGCCTCGGGTTGAGTGTCGCTTTTGACTTGACCATGCTGGAATACGTTGTCAAACAAGTCATGAGAATGGCTCGGCCCGACATGATGGTCATGTTTGGCTTCGAGTTCGCCGTGTTGTCGATCATGAGCATCAGTACCGCAATGAGATATGCGATTGACTTGGTCGAGATTGGCATCGTGCGCGAGCAGAAGAGACATCGAATCGAAGAGATCAAGAGGGAAAGAATGCAAGCCGCAGTGACAGAATTCCAGGAGTCTCAGGGCGGACAACCTGGTGGCGCGGCTACTTCTGAAGCTCCGGACGCGACGACAGACACGCCAACACCAACCCAGCGTACCCTCGACCAAATATCTCGAGAAGCCTTTAACCAACCAGTCGACGATAATGAGGTTGAGGTCGAGGGCTGGGAAGATAAAGGTCGCTACATGTTCTACCTCAACCTGGCCACGGATTTCTTCAAACTTGTGATTTACCTTGCTTTCTTCTTTATTCTTCTTGTATTCTACGGACTACCCATCCACATATTGCGGGATGTGTTCTTGACCATGCGATCATTTTTGAAACGAATTTCGGACTTTATCAAATACCGGACGGCGACGAGGGATATGAATGCCCGCTATCCGGATGCGACAGCGGAGGATATTGGGCGTGAGGATGTCTGCATAATCTGCAGGGAGGAGATGCGCCCATATCAACCAGCTGTCGTGCAGCCCGGTCAGCCACAGCCCCGACCGAATCCTGTGGCGGAGAGAATGCGGCCCAAAAGGCTCCCTTGTGGACATGTCCTACACTTTTCTTGTCTGAGAAGTTGGCTTGAGAGACAGCAGATATGTCCGACATGCAGAGCAAACGTTGTGCGGACAGGTGGGGCTCGGGGTGCAAATGAGGGCGGTGGACAAGGTGAAGCTGGGCAGGGGAATGGCGGACAGCATCCACCAGGTGCGAGACCAGGTCCACGAATATACCAGTTTGGTCCATTGAGAATTGGAGTCGGAGCAGCCCGAGGGAATAATATGTTTGAGGAGCTTCAACAACAGCTCGGAGATGGGGCGGCTCCAGCTCCTGAAGGGCAACCGGCGAACCCTGATCCCAATGCACCACGACAGATTGGAGTGGGATTGCGGTGGTCTGGGAGAAGACGTCGCCGAGCAGATCAGAACCTGACGACTCAACAACAGCTTGATGCCTTGGCGGCACGTATTCGACAAGACACCGATGAGCTGGCCCGGACGTCTGTCGAGTTGAGCCTGTTGCGGTCAATGCAAGCTGAACTCGAAAGATTGAGAAGCCTCAGGCCTGGAGAGAGGCAGGCACAGACAGAGGCCCCGACTCAAAATCCAGCAGAGGCGACAAGACCCGTCCTTCTTCCTGCCCAACGCATGTCTACGCTAGTTCCAGACACGCAACAAAATATCCTACCAGCAGGTAGTGACAGACTTCCTGCTGGCTTGACGCTACCAGAAGGCTGGACGATGATGCCCTTGCAACCCATGCAACTTCAGCAGCAGCATCATCACCGTCACGACCAGCATCCAGATCCGCTGTCATTTCTGCCACCACAAGCGTATAGAATGCCGGCTTCTTTCGGTATTCTTCCCCATCCTCAACAATTGCCACCATTTCAGAGTTGGCCCGCTGCCAACGGAACAAGCAGTGGTCAAACAGGCGCACCTCAGCCAAATGGAGTGCAGTCTGCTGCGCCTGGCACTCCAGGTCAGCAACCACCAGCCCCGTCCGCAAATGAGCATATAGATGACATGCGAACTCCCGTGCCACTTCGAGGACTGTTTCAACCTCCCGAAAACTTCCCCCAGCATCGGAACCCGTGGAGTTTGGCGGGTATGAGGAACCACGTTAACCAACCACGCGTGGCAAACAGTTCGACTCCAACGACCACCGGTGCAAATGGCACTATGTCTCAGGCCGCCCCGTCCGTTGCATCCGGAACAAATGCAGCATCTGCAGTAAACACGAATCAAGACGTAGGACACGCCAGTCATCCTTTTCAGGCTCATTCCTTACCTTCTTGGGGATCTCTGGCTCCTGAGCCTACAAACAATGCCGTGAGCGACAACAACGGCAGTGCTGGACCCTCCGAGCTGCGAGTTAATGGTAGCCATGATCAGGCGGGGGAGAATGCGGCAGCAGATGAACCACGTCCAACTGCGTCGCAACCCAAGGATAGGAACGCAACAGTGGAAGACGCGGTGGGAGATCTGGACCCGGATTGAAACATTGGATATTGTGTCTCGTGGGAAACCGGAAGTAAAAGCGCCTTACATCTTATTGAATAGTTCACTGAGCCCTGCATTCCGAGATAGGCATTTTCAGCATAGCGAAGGCGTTTCTGCCTGGAAGCCTGAATTTTGTGTGAATCTTCGTCACCACAATGAACAACCATGTTGCAGCTGAGATTCCCTCCCTCCTCTTGAAACAAGGTGACGAATATCTACTCGGATGACAATGAAGGGGCAAAAACGCCACATATGCATGAGGCTGGAAGGGGGAAAGGAGAGAGCGGAGCCATCAGGCGCATCGATTGGCTGCGAAGCTTCAATTAATAGTGGCATCCGTGGACGGTTTGGAGATCTGGATGGATTCGCTCCTTTTTGTCCTTGTTTCATCAGGGACACCCTGATGAAGATCGTCGAGTTCAAACGCGCGACTGTTGCCAGTTGACCCGCTCGTGCCTATCGATAGTGGACTGCTGCGCCTCCCATTGTGGACATGGACCCCCCAGTTTCAGGGAAATCGGGTGTCTTTGTTGGCATGCAATGTTTCAGGAACTTGAAAATGCCATGATGTGTTGTAACGTTTCGACACCACGGCATCAGATTCCCAATCGTTCTTGAACTTCAATTACTCGATACACTCTCTTCACTCCGTTCTTTCTTTCGAGAAGCTATCGAATCTCAATAGTTTTAATTCGAGGTCACAGTCTGCCTCCAGGGACACTTTGACCGTGACACCCTCCAGACACCCATTCCTTTCAGTCAACACTTCACGTCGAACAGAAGCCCGTGGTACAAACCCCTCGAACTTGCCTGCTCTGAGACCGCCTCCTTCCAGAATTCCCTCAAACCATACTCTCCTTTCCCACCGTCTCAGTCAATCTATCTTCTCTCTTTCTTTACGCTCTCTGCTTCTCATAAAGTACATCCGGTTCCCTTACGACGAAGTGTCGACCACGGGACTACATGGTGCAAGAACTGCAGTGAAGAAGAAAAACCAACAGCAGGTTGAGTTGCAGCGACAAGAAAAAGGAGACTCGGTTCAGCGAAGACAACCAGCACAATGGGGGTATCGAGGATACTTGGGCGACAAATCAGTGACAACGATACGGGCGACGACTCTGACAATGGCTATTGGTGGTACTCTCCTGTAGGTTCAACTCGTTGAGCGACCCCTTTTGGATTGCGTCGGGATCGAACCTCGACCTCTCCAAGGCAAGCCTGAAATGTCTGGATCTAGAACTGATTTTGTTCGAAAACAGACCGCCGATGCCATCAAATGGGCTGTGGTCGCAGCTATCGTCCTGGCCTTCTCCTTCTACTTTCTAGCAGGACACATGCATGCCAGACGAAGGATGCAGAAGGGCTTGCCGCCTCTGGCTTACCATCGGGTACGTACGGCGTTCCTCACTTGGCTTATCTTGTGTCTACAGCAACTCAGGAGATAATTTCGAAGGCCTGGACAATGGACTAACGTGAATCAAATATAGTGGCTCGTCTCGCGCCGCCAAAAGGTTGCCTTTCTGCAACAACACCCGCAGTATGCGAATCAATTCGCGTTCTACCGGGCACAGCAAGAACGAGTAGGCCCTTATGGTAGCTATTCGTATGCTCCCGGGTCTGGACAGGCATATCAGATGGGTGGAATGTACGGGCCGCCTCCACCTGCGTATCACGAACCAGAGTACGTCCCAGCATACACTCCTCCGCAAGAAAATGGACCGAACAAAGTCAATCCGGATCAACGCTTCGACCCTCCGAGCGGACCTCCCCCGAACGGACCTCCTGCGGCTCCTGCCAACGTCGTGGCGGAACCAACTCAGCCAGAGCCGGCAAGAGTCGCACCTTGAGGTGCGGGAACCGTGACTTGCACCAGATTAGGTGGCTCGACACCGCTTTCGACCACATTCTCCAAGCTGGCAATCGATTTAGATTGGGGTATCGTCTTGTGCATTACCACCTTCTGCCTCTGGGATGACGGGAGGCCAATAGAACATCGCTTTCAACATTGTGTATGAGATTATCAACCACAACTTACAGAGTTCCGCACACGCATGATCGCGCCATGGGAAATCAAACCCCAACGAGGTCGCACGGCTTGCAGAGCTTACAAAATCGAACCGCACTCCATAAGGGACATGAAGATCAGTTTGTATCATGCTATGATGCATAGCTACATGGCCACATCCAAAAAGCGCATGACGCATCTATGGAGTCGGACAATGTATCGTCTTGCTACAAGACACCAAATGCAATACAGATTGCGCTCCATAAGACTTGAGCTCGAACAATTATCAGAGGGACTTGACTCTTCCCTCCCAACCTCTATTCTATTTCCATTGCATCTAGATCGTCATCCACCACTGCCTCCCCATGGAGAGAATTGTCTGTCATTGCATCGTCCCATTCTGTGCTCCTTTGGTCATGTTGTAGAGCCCTAGCTTCCGCTTCTCTCCTTTCCCTTTCTCTCTGTTCCTCTGCCGTCTTCTCCCGCGCCCTGCGTCTTGCCTCAATAATGGTCTTTCTGACCACATCTTCCTCCTCCGGCACGGATATGCTACTTGGATCTCTGTATAATACCAATGCCGTATTGAGATTCTCAGGTGGTAGCCCCGCAGGTTGAGCCTGCCGATCGAGGTTCCGCAACTGGAGCAGCTTCTGCGGCACACTAGACACCTTTTTGTCTATATCCGGGAGGAATATCGTGGCGTTGTGGGCGGCTTCCTCGGCTTCGATTTGAGCGATTTCTGACTCTAGGTCGTGGATTATTATCCGGTGAGGGGTGTCGTCGACGGTCATGAAGTCCGTATCCAGGAGGGTTGGAGGCTTTATGGGCACCTGAGGTACGGGTGTAGGATGGGGTGGAGGAGGCGGTCCATTGTCATATTGACTGGACGGAGGAAGAGGTAGAGCGGGTCGAGCATCGGTGTTGGCGATGTGCGGACGGAACGAGACTGTCGAAGGACTCGTTGGCGGACTAAGCCGGATCTGTTGGGCTTGAGATGGCGACGAAGGCGCGACTGAAGGTGTAAATGCTGGAGATTGTGAATATTGGTGCGATATTGAATTACTATGGCTGTTGGCTTGATTCAGGCGGAGTTTCTTGAAATGCGACGAGATGTTGGATTGAGACTCCAGTTCGTCTTCGGCCCTTCGCTTGCCATGGCCAAGGAGGTTGCTGCGATGTTGATTCGCAAGCGAAGGGTGCCATTCTGCTGTTACGGGAGCATAGTGAGCCATTGGTCGTGTGAGGGTTCGCTGGTGGTCGGTGGGAGGTGCGTCGTAATACGAGTGATTCGATGTGAGGCTGACTTAGTGTATGGGGTTGGTCTAGAGTCGAGCACCGCAGGCGGGATGGTGGTGACCTTTTCTCCGAAGATTGGCCTTTCTCTTTGTATTTTCCCTTTCCTTCACTCCTTGCTCATTTCTCTCTGGCGCGGCGGACACAGCTCGCTTCGCGGTCTGGGTCGTAATTTGACATTGTCTGAAGGGTGAAGAGAAACACAGGCTTGCGGAAAGATCCTTTCGAGCAGAAAGAGTCTCAGCGGTAGCGACAAAGAGGGATAGTCGGCGGCTGGAAGGTGCGAGAACCAAGGAGGTGTGATCAGTGAGTTGAATGCGGAGCCCAAGCGCGATTTGGAGAGCTGCCGCTGCGGGCTGCCACCGAGGAGCCACCATCACCGGCACCACTGCGAACTGCACCCCTCGATCCTCAAAAATTGCCCGCTTGACTCACGACTCCAATCCTCTGCTCACCAAGAAATTTTCCACCGGTCCCTCACGACACGTTGCCAGCCGGCAGCGACGTGGTTCTACAAGGGACGATCTATCAGCAAGGCGATCCCTGAGCCAGAGTTCTTCCATCTGGTGCGTTTCGACTGCTTTACGGCCGTCCATCGTGCGGCGGCACACGACCTCGACAATGGCGTCTTCCGCGCCCACCACCACTCACGAGTGGTCCGCTCCCAAAGTTCGAGACACCTTTCTCAAGTACTTTGAGGATCGAGGACATACATTCGGTGAGTCCAGCCTGACCTTCTGCCTTTGGGACTGTTCATGACTGACTTTGCAACCCAGTCAAATCCTCGCCCGTCGTTCCTCTCTCGGATCCGACCCTCCTCTTCACAAATGCAGGCATGAACCAGTTCAAACCTATCTTCCTCGGTACCGTCGACCCCTCGAGCAAAGAAGGCCAGTACAAACGGGTGGTCAACTCGCAGAAATGCATACGTGCCGGCGGAAAACACAATGACCTCGACGACGTCGGCAAGGACAGTTATCACCATACCTTTTTTGAGATGTTGGGCAACTGGTCGTTTGGCGACTACTTCAAGAAGGAGGCCATCATATTTTCCTGGGAGTTGTTGACACAAGTATTCGGGCTGGAACCGGATAGGTTGTATGTCACCTACTTTGAAGGAAACGAAGCCGGCGGTCTGGAGCCGGATCTGGAGGCAAAGGAGATCTGGAAGAGCGTCGGGGTACCAGAGGACCACATATTACCTGGTAATATGAAGGACAACTTCTGGGAAATGGGTGATCAGGGACCGTGCGGCCCTTGTTCAGAAATCCACTACGATCGCATCGGCGGTCGCAATGCAGCCAGTCTCGTCAACCAGGACGACCCCAACGTGTTGGAAATATGGAACAATGTGTTTATTCAATACAACCGAGAACCGGATAAGAGCTTACGACCGCTACCGAATAAGCACGTCGATACAGGTATGGGATTTGAACGACTGGTCAGCGTCCTGCAGGACAAGATGTCCAACTACGATACCGATGTCTTCACTCCCATATTCTCGCGAATTCAGGAAGTTACAGGCGCCAGACCCTATACGGGAAATTTCGGCGAAGAGGACGTTGACGGTATCGACACTGCGTACAGGGTTGTGGCAGACCATGTACGGACGTTGACGTTTGCAATCAGCGACGGCGGTATCCCCAACAACGAAGGAAGAGGCTACGTCGTTCGACGAGTGCTGAGACGTGGTGCACGATATGCCCGGAAATACTTCAACGTCGAAATCGGCGACTTCTTCTCCAAGATTGTGCCGACCCTGGTGGAACAGATGGGCGGGATGTTCAAGGAGATCGTTGCGAAAGCAGAGGAGGTCAAGGAAATTCTCAACGAGGAAGAACTCTCTTTCGCGAAGACATTGGATCGCGGGGAGCGGCAGTTTGAGGTATACGCCCAGAAGAGCCAAGTCCAGGGGCTAAAGAAGCTGCACGGCGCTGATGTCTGGCGACTATACGACACTTTTGGCTTCCCGGTGGATCTTACCCGGCTCATGGCTGAAGAACGAAACCTTTCTATCGACGACAATGAGTTTGAGGCTGCGAGATTGGCCGCAAAAGAAGCCAGCAAGGGCCAGAAGAAAGCCGCCAACGATGTCCTCAAGCTGGATGTGCATGATTTAGGCCAACTTGAGAAAATGCCCGGTGTGACAAAAACAGATGACAGCTCCAAATACGGAAGGGAAAATATCACCAGCACAATCCAGGCGATATATCACGCGAAGAAGTTCCATTCCGACACCAAAAGCATTCCCGAGGATGATCAGGTCGGTGTCATTCTCGATCGAACCTGCTTCTACGCAGAACAGGGTGGTCAGGAGTTCGACACTGGGCGGATTGTCATTGATGGACAAGCCGAACTCGAAGTGGAGAATGTTCAACTTTACGCCGGCTATGTGCTACATACAGGTTACATGAAGTACGGTCACTTCTCGGTAGGGGACAAGGCAATCTCCGAGTACGACGAATTGAGAAGATGGCCCATACGGAACAACCATACTGGCACACACATTCTCAATTTTGCGCTGAGGGAGGTCCTGGGTGATGGTGTCGAACAGAAGGGCTCGTTGGTGGCGCAGGAAAAGCTGAGATTCGATTTCAGTCACAAATCAGGTGTTTCAGATGCTGATCTCCAGAGGATCGAGGACATATCGACAGAGTACATCCGGCAGAATTGCCCTGTTTATGCCAAGAATGTGCCTTTGTCCATTGCCCGGGAGATTGCAGGTGTCAGAGCCGTGTTTGGCGAGACTTACCCCGATCCGGTTCGGGTCGTGTCGGTAGGAGTTGAAGTCGATGATATCCTGAAGAATGTCAAGGATGAGAGATGGAAAACAGTCAGCATCGAATTCTGCGGTGGCACCCACGTCAGAAGTACGGGCGATATCAAGGACCTCATCATACTCGAAGAAAGCGGCATTGCGAAAGGCATCAGGAGAATCATTGCCGTCACCGGCGAGGACGCCCATGAAGTTCAACGCGTGGCAGAAGATTTCTCTGCGAAACTCGAAAAGCTTGAGAAGATGCCATTCGGGTCGCCGAAGGAGCAAGAAGCAAAGGCCATCCAGCTTGAACTCAACAACTTGTCAATATCGGCTGTGAGAAAGTCGCAATTCCGAGATCGCTTCGCCAAAATCAGCAAAGAGATTCTCGACCAGCAGAAAAAAGTGCAGAAAGAGGAGACCAAGAAGGCCATCGACACCATAACGGAATACTTCGAGAAGAATCCCAGTGCCCAAGGGGCGGTTCTGAGGCTACCGATCGGGGGAAATCCCAAAATCGTGCCAGATGTGGTCAAGCATGTCCAGACCAAGATGAAGGACAAGAGCGTGTACATTATCGTAGCGGATGAGAAGGATCCTGAAGGCAAGGTCTACCATGGATGTTTTGTTGGTCAGGTAAGTTTTTTGCGTCCCGCCACAAATGCAGGAGCATCAGCTGACAGCATCCCACAGAACGGCACAAAGGCTGGCATGAAATCTCCGGAGTGGTCGTCAACAGTGTCGAAACTGGTTGGCGGCAAGGCTGGTGGAAAGGAGCCAGTTGCCATAGGCACAGGGACGGAACAGTCCAAGATCGACGAGGCGTTGAAGGCTGCGACGGATTATTTGGAGAAGTTCAAGCTATGATTGCATAAGTCGAACTGCACTTCACTGAAGCTAGCCTGGCTAGAGGAAGACCTTCGGCCATACATGAGCGGGATTTGTCGGCACTGGCTGTGCAAGTATTGATTGAGGCACGTCACTTCACGGAGCACATGTAGGCATCAGATAGATACCCCCCTGGTGATAAATGCAAAATACACCTGGTTTTTTCTGGTGGACGTGCAACACTGTCCAATGAAGTTCCAGGACGGGCAGTGCTCCCGCGTCCAATGAGCAGTCAGAATGCCCGTCCAAATCGGGAAATATGACGAGTGAGGGACGAAATGACGTTCGCGTGATGTCGACGTCGTATATCAATAAAAGTGACAGCCAACAGACACTTTTGCTACTCGCTTCTTCCGCATTGACGATGTTATTGCTTGTGTAGTCCGTTTCTTGTTGAAGGGTACTCGTGTGAAAAAACTAGACTTCATCGCAGGGCAATGCACAGTCTGCCACTACGCCTACCACGTTCTAAACTGAGCATTGACATCACCAAAGTCCACTCCACAATTGCATCTTCTTCAGCTCCATCGCCAGCTCTGCGACGGGCAAGGGTTTTCTCGACCCAGGTGAAGTGTACTTCCCGAAGCTTTTCGTTCTCCACCCCGCGAACCCTCAGGACCTTTTCGACCTCCGCGCGCCGCCCGCTCGAGGGCCTAGACGTGCACCCGGAGACTATTCGCCAACAACAACCTCGCCCAAGAACAGCCGACGACGGCAACAACAAAATGACCCGCACCATCCCCGGGGGCTGCTACTGCGGCAAGATCCGCTACGAGATCACGCTGGACGACCCGGACAAGGAGGCCCGCACGTCCATCTGCCACTGCGGCAACTGCAAAAAGTTCACCGGCGGCAACTTTGGGATCACCAGCAAGATCCCAAAGTCCAGCTTCAAGGTCACCCAGGGCCAGGACGCGGTCAAGGTCCACGAGGCCGATAACGGCACGGGGACTATCTTGCACCGGGAGTTTTGCAAGGAGTGTGGCAGTGGGCTGTTGGAGTATGGGGTGAGTGAAATACTAACCTATCTGACTAAAAACCCCGTAATCCACTGTTCCTTTCCTTCCCCTGACTATTCTCGTACTCCCCCTTTTTGTGATGGAATGTGTCTCCCTCGGGGCCATTCCGCTTCCCAGCTGCAAGCCGTCACAAGTAGTTACTGGATTAGTGTTAACGGAGAAACACCAGGCGAACGCGGGAGACTTCGTCTACATCTTCTACGGCACGCTCGACCACCCGACGGACCTGCCGCCCAAGGGCGAGTTCTTCACCAGCAGGCGGGACCCGTGGATGCCCGAGGTTCCCGGTAAGTTTCTGTTCTCCCTGCCCGCTACTCTCGCGTCGTGTGAGCACGCATACGCTTAGAAACCCCGGTTGCGGGACAAGGCTGACACGCTATCCGCCTGCGCATACAACAGGATTATTCCAGAAGAAGAAAATCAAGGAGTAAAGAGAGATATCAGAGACGTTGATGAGAAGGTGTGGAGGTGGTGCGGCTGAGAGGGGTGTCGTAACGATGCTCCGTACTGGCTTGCGAGGTACAGGTGTCACCCCATACAGTCTGCACTGCGCCCTCATGTTGTATGCTGGGGCGGTGGTGTGACTTACAACACTACTCTGCAACTTTGGGTATTCGGCGAAAACGTGTGAAATAGTCGACGTTCTATTTTGAGATACACATATCACACATTTCCATGTGGGTGTTTAGGAGATCAAAAGAAATGTTATGGCTACCTTATGCATGTTGATGCTCGTATTGAATCTAGTAAGCTACTTCAACACAACCACGTCGAACATCTCGGGAGCACCCCAAAGCCTACTGTGTTCTACGTATGTGGTTCATAATACGCCGTATTTAGACACCGAATCAGTTAGTTCACGGTTCCTCCTTGGTGTCTCTTAGCACGCGCAAGGGAGCGGAGTGGAGGGCAGCCGATTCGCGGAAAATGGAGCACTCTCGTCGCTCTTGTTATTACTATTACTGCGTAGAGAAGCTGAGAATGAATGTGTCGAACACCCGAGACTGCTGGCCTTTCCATCAATATAATACTCACCAAGTGCCTCCAACCCTATGTTGATCTGTTACCGGTTGTGCGGGCATGTGCTATCAAACATTCTGTCCACGTCAACCCTTACCGCAATCGAAAGGCCCCCCACAGTCTCGCACAGATAACCCCAAGCCGAGCGCCTGTCATGGTGCTTCACGTGCTCGAAAACTTGGCCGGAGAGTGCCTCAGGCACAGACACCGACGCAGTCATCATCCATGACGCATACGCCGACACAGCAGCCACAGCCACCGCAAGAGGAGCCCACCACGCACTGGGCATGGACGTTGCCGTCGCCATCGCTGCGCTGGATGCTCCCCGCCGCAGCGCCAGCCTTGTTGATCGCGGCTAGCTGTTCCACTTGCCACTTGTAGAGATCACCCTGAACATTTTTTGTTAGTATTGCGTTCCTCCGCGGCGGGGATTTCGCTGCTCCTTACCCGGAATGCCGAAACAGAGACCGAACTACCAGCCAGGGCGGAGAAATCGACATAGGGAGAGAACTTATCCGCCACCTCCACAACGGCACTGCTGCAGACCTTTTGCTGAAGCCAATTGTCGATCGGCTTGGGCAGGCAGTCCCGGCAGCCGCAAAGCTGTGGCGAGCAGTCAGCTTTCTGGACCGCTACCCAGTAAACAACAACTGGAGGGCCGGAAGACCAACGGTTTTCTTGCCAACGCACTTGAGTGCATCTTCAGGCCTACCGCCGCCCGCCAATGCTGCGAAAAGGCAGGGCACCGATGTAGCCACGGTGGTGCCGCATTCCTTGATGCAACGCCAGCTGGCGGCGGCAGACATGTCGGAGTCGTTGGCGTGCTCGTAGATTTTGTTGAAGAAGTAGTTCCCAGCTACAATGAAAGGGTCTTAGCAGTTTCCCAAATGTCGCACTGAGCTTGGACAAGCTTGGACCCAGGCGGCCTCACCTAGGGATATCAACCCCTCTTCGACCAGCGGGTCGACCAAACCCGTGCGAGCCAACGGGCTGAGAGGAACAACAAGTTGTTCATTTTCCCGGAGCCAAGCTGGCGTGACTTTGCCGTCACCAAGATTGGTGAAATCAGCCAGAGAGACTTGATATGGGGCGGCCAACGCTGCGAGAGGGAGGCTGGAGACGGCCAAGAGGGAGAAGACGTGCATGTTGCTTCAAATTAGTATTCCTTAAAATGTGACTGAGAGTGGTGGTGGTCTTGGGGACGTGAAGATGGAGAGATATTTTGAGGAAAGGGGGAAGACGGGGACAAGCATAGTGGCACTATTTATACAGGACAAAACACGGCCAGCCGAGATCGAGATGCAACTCGATGGAGCGATGGAAGGGCTCACACTTCAACCAGAAAACCTGTTCTCAGCTGAAAGGCTGGCTGCAGCTCAGCTGTTTGCCTGATGCGGTCAGCGGCGGCATCTAGATCGACAATGTACGAGTGTCCTGGGCTTCGCGTCGCTGTCCACGTAGAATCCAGAGCGGTGCCATTGGGCCAGCTTAACCAAGTCGAGCTGTTCCTGTATGTCAGTCAGGGCCTGGGGGAAACTCTCATCGTTCGTGTTTGACCAGAGAGACCTTCTATTGGCCTCGGTGGCCCGTATTGTTGTTGTTATATGATGTTTGTGAAGCATTGGCATCACGAAGGGAGGGCCTTGGAAATGAAATCCCAACCCAGAAAATCAGCTGGCCACCACTTGCAAAAGGCTGAACACGAGAACCCACGGGTCAATGCATCATCGGGCGCTGAAAATCGTCGACACAGGGCCACCGGACGTCCGAAGTCTTCACCACCACCCAAAACTGCGACTGTGTGTGGAGAAAGACAAGACGACAAGTCCCAAACATGGTCCGACAAAGGGGGCCGACCCTTGCAATCCCATGATGAGATCCCTGGCATTTTTGTTGTCAGGAAAGCGACACAGTCCGAGTTCATCAGGCCGCTGCGAAGACCACAGTCTGGCCTACGAGGTGCAAGGCGAGCCTGGAGATTTCCCTGCAGGATTGTCCACTGTTTGGAATAATGGACGCACGGGCGGTCCTCATTAGGCATAGAGCATCCTTGGACAGCCCAAGCTAGACTGCATAATCCTGCACCGAATGTACTCAGACATCCGAATAGGGTTGTGGAGCCTCGAGAGAAGGAGATTGGTGAACCAAGTAATCGAACGCTTTTCCAGCGGGAGAAAAAGCTTGGGAACAGGATCGTACTTCAGACTTTCAGGCTGAGTGGCTGACTAGAGCAAAGGACTGAACACGGCAGATCAGCCTCCTTTCTGCGACGTTGGACGGTGGTGACGAAGAGGACGATCCTGGCCAATCCAGCCTGAGAATCGTCCGAGTCCCTTTCTGCAATGCGAGCTGAGGAATATGGTGATGCTTGGAGCTGCAGCGATCGCGGTGGGTAGTCTCGGTCAGGCCAGACTTGAAGGGGGAGGCCCGTCTTAAGAGCTCGGATCCAATTCTTCGAAAACACAAAGCCAAGTAGCGCATGCAGGGTGCGCAATCAGATCGAAGATCGACAGCACGGGGGCAGCACAGGGCAGGGCAAAAGGTGGGGTAGACACGAATTGGGCTGGAAGGGCTGCTACAGCATCACCTCAGCTCGAGCTGAGAGAGTGCGGCGATAGAAGACTTGCGTAAAATGCTCTGTCCTGCGAGGTGAAATAGAGAAATGAGTTGAAGGTCTGCGGGAGATGCGACTTTGTCGTAGGGTCACGTGATCTTGATCACGTGTGCCGACGGCAGGGTCGACGCCGACCAAACTCGGTTAGGTTGGATCTCGAGACCAGAGCTAGCCCAGATCCGGCAGTTTCAATGCTGCGCTTCCGACATTCAAAGTCCTCTAGAATTGCAAAACCCTTGCAGGAAGACAAGGGCGGGATATGTCGATTGCGATGCTAAGAATTACTACTATTTTCAACCGGTTTGTAGCTTCAGCTGGGTTCAGAGTGAGGAAAACCGTTTCCGGGGTGTTGCATCGCTAGGCCGAATTTCCATACAGCGAAATTCGGTGGCTTCACGACCTTGAATACACAGGTGGGTGGAGTGGGGACAGTGCGAAGGCGTATGTTTCAATAACTAGTTACTATGGGCCTCTATTCGTAAAGCCATGCCCCAGGAAAGGCTCTCCTCCGCTTTCAACCGCCGTTCAGTTCACCCCAGGTCCTGGGTACCATTTGCCGTTTCCTTTACTCTAGAGCGACTTCGTCATCACTGTCTTCGTTCCAGGGGCGTAAGTTCTCATCCACCCACTGATATACCTCCGATGTCGTCCGAGAACACCGACGGGCACACGGACCCATACAAGGCATGTCGACGAGGTTGTGATGAACTATCGACATCTCATGTAGATGACCCGGCATTTGCCAAGCCCGGCGGATCTGGTACTGTGGCTCCAGCGCACCGTCGTCCCAGCGTAAATGGACGGTAATCGAAGCATGTGGGAGCCTGATGCAGTGTCTGGTGAAAGGTTTATCCTGCTTGACTTCAAGGGACAGGACGTATTCCTTCTTGGGGACATCTGGGTTGCCGGGTTCAGGCCGCCAGTCGGTAACAACGACGAGGCAGAGATATCGCAGGGTGGCTGTATAGCTGAGAGCGCTAGTTTCGGCCTCGGTTGTTTCTTCATCAGAGAGATCAGCGTCCTCGGCCAGCATCTCATATGATTCCATTTCTTCGTCGGAGGAGCTGACAACGCTCGTAAACGGTTCGTATGAGTCTTCGTCGGAGATGGAACCGCCATCTGCTTCATTTGATTGATAGACAAGCTCGTCGGCGACGAACGCCCAGGTAGGTTCTGCGGCGGCGGCAAATTCTCGAACAGCGTTTGTTACTTCAGAGAAATCGACTCTTCTGAGATGGGGGTCTGTTGTAACCTCGCCATCTTCAGTATATGATATGCCCAGAGCAGATAGGTACGCACCCGCGGAGGCCGGGGATATGACCTGAGGCACGATAGGGTTCGGCGAAGGCTGGGGTCTGCTTTGAGGCTGAAGGATATCAGGGAGTGTGTAGAAGATGTCAGTGGTAAGGTCGGCCGCCATTGTTCCGAATGGGTTTGAATCAAACGAAGATGCGGTCTTGGTCGAGATGTGATCAATGATGGGGAATTAGGCTTGAAAGTGCAGGAAGTTAGGCTGCTCTGCTGGCTCACACTTCCGTATATATAGCACGCTGGCATCGAAGAAGCTTTTACTAGCAGGTCCAGGATGAGGACCTATCTCGTGAGGACCTGTTGGAAATCATGGTTCAAAGGATACTTGGAACCTCTTGGGCACGGACCTCGCTGTCTGCTCCAAAAAGCATGCAGAAATTCGCTACATTATGACCTTACTCTTTTGTGTCTGGTTTGCAGCAGTTCCGTCGATGATCTAGGTACCTGTCGAGGTAGAGGCAGTGATGTTTCATCTTGGCAGAGAGCAGTCTCGTCGCCCGCGGTGTTTGCAGTAGCGTGGGCGAACGTTCGAGCAGAAGCTCCTGGGGTTTACCATAGCGCCCTTCTAGGGGCAGATGTTGAAGAGAGCGCAACATAGATCCTGTGAGAGTATGTAGATATGTATCGAGTAGGTATCTTGAGATGTAACGATGTCAGCCTGGCTCCCTTCTGCCCCTGCCAAGAGCCATGCCGGTTAGCGCTGTCTTGGCATTATAAGCCAATCTAGACGCCTAGGCATTGGTGCCGAGGCTCATCAGGCTGCGCTCCTCGACCGACAAATATCTGGGGAAAGGAGTTTGAATTAGTGATCCAGATGCCTCGACTCCAAGCTGCTGGCATGGCGTGCTCACCTCCTCCGCCCCACACACATCACATACGGCCATAACATATGACTTATATATGCGTGTCTCTCTCAAGTCGCTGAGGTTCTGAAGACTTGTTTGTTCCTTTGGACGAAGACAGGTGGCAGCACCAGAGATTTCACGATGAACCCCGACAACAAGGAGGTCTGCCTCATTATCGGCGCGTCCAGGGGCATAGGCCGGCAAGTCGCCGTTGACCTCGCGAAACATGGCTACTTCAGTAAGTCATATGTTCACCTGCCCTTGATGACGCCGAACAGACCACCGTCGTCAATCTTTCGCCTGTCCATTGATTTCACCCTAACTCGGGTGCCATAGTTGTTGTCGCCGCCAAAACCACGTCCGACGCGAGCGCCATCCCGGCCTCTTCGTTCCCGCCTGACCCGAACTCTTCAGCCTCGACAATCAATACCGTTGCCCGCGAGATCACTGAAGCCGGCGGCTCCGCACTCGCCTTGCCCGTCGACGTGCGAGACGTAGACAATGTCAAGGACCTGGTTGACGAAGTCGCACGCCGCCTGGGTCGCCTGGATGTGCTGATATACAACTCAGGAGCGATCTGGTGGTCCGCGGTTGAGACCACGCCCGTCAAGCGCTTCATGCTGCTTCAGCAGGTCAATCCGCAGGGGCTGTACGCGGCCGTGTCTGCGGCGCTACCTCACTTCGGGAAACAGGGCTGGAAGGGACGCATCATTGTGGTGTCGCCACCAATCTATTCGAGATTCTTCCGGGGCAAGACGGCGTACGCGATCGGCAAGGTGGGCATGAGCGTTTTGACCAAGGGCCTCGCCATGGATTTTGTGAGGCAGGGACGGAAGGAGATGGCTATTACCAGTATTTGGCCTGCCGCGGTATGTCACTCCTTTGTTTTGCTGTTGCGTGCCCGAGACTATGCCATCCAAATCGAATGGTTCACTAACTCGTGAGGCATGAGTTCCAGTCCATCGAATCAGCAGCAACTCAAGACTCGGTGAAACGAGAACCACATCTCCTTAAGGATCTCAGAAAACCTGTAAGTCGCTTTCCGCCTATCTCGTCAGTGTATGTTGTCGTGACGCATCACATTAACCCAACCTCTCTTTCTTGCCTTGACAGACAATCTACTCTGACGCCATCCTGGCAATGTTGCAATCCCCGGCTGAAGAAGTTAACGGCCTGCTCGACCTGGACGAGGACTTCCTACGCAAGAAAGGCGTGACAGACTTCTCCCAGTATTGCGTCGTGCCCGGGGCGACACCGCGCCGCATCATGCCCGCGGAGTTCCCAGTCTTGGAGGTTGCCGAGCAAGACGACGAGGGGAGGAGGGTCGACAGCGTGGTTCTGCGGCAGGGCAGGGACGAAAAGCCGAGTAGCAAATTGTAATACTAGTGTCTTCAGCTGGTCAATGCATGTGATGTTATGATGCATGACGTTTCAACAGCCATATGCGGCTTGATTCCTGAAGGTGTTCGAAGTCCGTTTCAATCTGCTGAACATGATGAAACGTTCCCAGCCGGCCGATCTCTGAGAAGGGTTCCTTCTCGAGGGCTGGGTTCTGGTATCAACACTACACGACAGTCTCCTAGCGGAGCTTCTCGTACCATCTCCGCCAGGTTTCGCTCGTCTTGTCGTCATCTTTCCACTTCATCAGGTGATCCGTGTGGCATTCTCCCACCAAGAAACACTGGCCGTCATGGAACCTCGAGGGCCTCAAGATGCAAGGACGGGTCGTACCGGCGAAGATGAAAACAACGTCTCCCTCGCGCATTCTGGCGGGACCGATCCCCACGGTGCCGTCTTGATCTAGTCGCACCATGACCCTGGAGTTTGTCGTTTTCCTGAGGTGGCTAGTCCATTGCAACCCCATCGCCTTGACTTGGTGGCCACGTTCAGCCTTGTCTGCCTGATTGATACGGACTGCGTCTATCCATAAGCCCTTTCCTTGCTGCGAATAGTTCCTCTCCAGAGGGAGATATCGCCAAGCTTCTACCAGATTCGGCCTGAGTGGCACATCGATGCCATCGATCTTGGCACGGCTGTTCTCCCTCATGGAGGGATCGTACTCTCCCTCCCAGGCACAGGATAAGGCATGATATCAGGGCAATCTTTGGAGACAGAGACCTTCTTCATGGAACAGGCGAGGTCGGTCGTTGTGTTCGCTCGCTCCCTAAGATGGTCGCGATCCATCGGATGCATGTAAAGTAGCCGAATTTCGCGCTTTTCAACGTCCAAGGGCCTATAGATGTGCTTGTAGCTTGCTACGTTGGTTTGCTCCATTGCGTCTCTGCGGCTCAACATCGGGTTGGCCGCTTCCGTCAGATGATGTTGTGGCTGTCGGAATCTTTGGTCAAAATCGTGGCAAACCCCCAGCGAAGCAGCCCATTACATAGAGTGAAGCTCTCGGCTGCGAACCACAATTGACTCGAGGAGAGCGGTTCGAAGGCTTCAATCGTGAGTGTGGCAGGGCCATCCTGGCCTCGCTTAGCGAGCCCTAAGGTGAGGCTGGCTAGGCACACCCACTCACCCACGCGACACTAGTTGTGATTATGCAGCTCTAGCAAACGCCTTTAATGTGGGCCAGATAGGTCTAGAACAATGAGAGAAATGATAATAAACTCGGTTCCTCGTCTCCAGCGGGTTCTTTTTGGCAGAACCAACGGAACGGACAGAGCCGACCCCTAACACGATGAAATCCCTCTTTCGTAAGATTCGCACCGACGTGGGCACAGTCAAGGAAGCATTCAAGGAGGGTTGGTCTCAAGGCCGAGAGCACAACGGAGCAAGGAAGGCGATCGCTGCTTGCGTCGACCAATCTCTTTGCTTCATGTGCCGGCATTTCATAGTCGACTTCCTGAGCAAGAGTGTATGGGCCTTTGATGGACGACTCCCCGGCTGGAAGAGAGTCGAAGACCAGCTCGACTACACTTTCACCACTTCCTACCCGATTCTGTTTTCCGATGATCTATCAACTACCAAGTGCGAGCTCTGTCGGATGCTGGTTCACGGTTGGCGACAAACCGAGGCCATCGATGAGGGCAGGGACTCCAGCCTCCCTTACTCGAAGGAGATGCTGTCGATGGAGCTAAAGCAAAAGATGTATCTCGACATCCGCTACATACCGTCGGTTGAGTTCCACGCAATATCTCGGTTTTCCCGACGTGGTCCTGGCTTCCGATTCAGCTCGGACGCTCACGGCACAAAGTGGCTTGATGAATGGCTGGACAACGCTGACATTGCGCTCAGGAGCGGGTATTCGGTCGACGTCGAGGGACGTAAAACACGCCACACCATGGCAAACCATCAAAGCGCTACTGCAGAAGCCGCTTCGATCGCTGCCTCTGACAGCACTTCCGAGTTCCTCGAACAAAATTTCATCACGGCGCCGCGACTTCTGCCTGATCTGGATTCACCTGAAGTCCTTGGTCTCGTCAAGAGCTGGGCTGATGAGTGTACATCCTCGCACGAACAGTGTATGCGTCGAGACAAGCTTCCGACCAGGGTTGTTGATGTCGGAGACGGTAGGCACCCGCCCAGACTGTACCTTTCTCAAGGAGAAATCAAGCCATACACTGCCTTGAGCTACTGTTGGGGTCGGAAGCAGAGCACTGTTCTGCGCAGGGAAAACTGCGAGAACTTTCAATTGGCGATCCCAGATGACGCATTGCCCAAGACCATCAGCGATGCAATAAAGATAACCCGAGCGATCGGTGTTCGCTATATCTGGATCGATGCACTCTGCATCATTCAAGACGACGCAGACGACTGGCAGCGTGAATCGGTGCAGATGGGCGAAATCTACGCCGGAAGCCATGTTACTATAGCTGGTGCCGAAGCCATCAGCCGCCACACTGGTCTGTTCGAGCCTCGTGCGGTGCGCATCTCGTCGAAGCCTTTTCCCTGTGGCTCACACATGTACATCACACGCTCTGAGCCGGACAGCTTCCTCAAGCGAACCGAACTCCACGTTCTCCAGCACCGTGGCTGGGCATTGCAGGAGCAGCTGCTGTCTACGGCGGTCGTGCACTTCACCGCGGATGCACTCATGTGGGAGTGTCGTCAGAAGGGCTGTCTCGAAGATAATGGTGGAAAGGACGGCACGTTCGCTATCCATCCGACGCTGAAAGCCTTCCAGCTGTCGACCCTCGAGAAGCTCCCAGAGTCTGCCTCCAAGAGTCTTTGGTATCACATTATTCAGAACTATACCGAGCGCAGACTCACTCGCGAAACCGATCGGCTGATCGCCCTGGCGGGCCTGGCAAGCATGTGCCAGACCGAAAAGTGGCAGCAAGGCTGCTATCTAGCTGGATTGTGGGAGGGTGACCTTCCCGCTGCCCTTCTCTGGGCTAGGGCGCGGGAAGGCATCGACGACAACGTCACGCGACTGTCTGTCCCCTCTTGGTCATGGGCGAGCCTCAACCTGCCAGATAAGGTCATGTGGCCGGGTGCGTTTCAGCATGGGATTCCTGCTTTGGCCGGACCTTACGACAGCCGACTAGAGTCTTTCCAGTACGGTGGTGGACGGGACAATACACTCGCCCATGCACAGGCTGCTCTTTGTCTAGTGGCTTACATACAAGAACTCACACCTTCGCTCGTGGATGAACTTTGGCCAGATCGGAAAAGGCACGCCGGAGAAACGCAGGATTTTCAAGATAAACCGATCAGAGACGTACTCAGCAGGCTCTGGCCTGTATGGCGAGTGAATTCGAACGGATGGCATGATGACTATCTAAATCCCGACGAGTCACCGCCTGTGACTTGCCAGTTCCTGATGGACCATCCATGGGACCCTAACGACAGACGGCGGAAATTGTATCTGGCCAGAATATGCTCGTGGGCCGTTCCGTCCCCTGAAAATCGAAGTACAGAAGATGACGTGGAACCAAGCCGGCTGAATACATACTGCTTGGTTCTGGAGGCTGTGCAAAGGTCTTCTACCGAAGCAATGCGATATGCGAATCCCGCACCACCGGCACCTTGGACGGCGGTCTGCCAACCTCTAGGTGGCAGTCAAGCAGAATCTTTGGCGGAGGTACGCCATAAACACGATGGAGATCGTCCACGATATCGGCGAGTGGGCGCATTGAGATACGAACACCGTACGGACGATGAGAGTGCAATGGCCACAGCAATAGAGGCAACTATTACTTTGATTTGAATATATTGTAGATTATAATTACAATTTGCTAGCTGGTGTCGCTGCCCCCCTGTCATCGAGGTCCACAAACTGCGCGTACCACTTCAAAGACTCGGGGTTGATAATCGTAGAGCTCGGAGTGATCTTCTGACCGGAGACGATCTTCTTCACGGGCAATTCGGTCTTCTTGCCATTTACCGTCATGGGAATCTCTGGAGTCTCGAAGATGAACTTGGGAACATGTCTCGGGCTCAGGTCCTTCCTGATGTGCGCCTCGATGGCACGTTTTAGTTTCCCATCCAGCAAGCATCCCGCTTTCATCTTGACGAATAACAAGACCTGCTCGTCGCGATCATGCAGCCTTCGTTGTCCAACGCACAGGCTCTCCTCGATCTCGGGAAACACGGCAATACAATTGTAGATTTCGGCACTTCCAAATCGTACACCTTCGAGACCGTTAGCAAGGCGGAGACATTTCGCGATCGAGGGAAGGAAATTTGACGCTTACCAGATGGATTGAGGACACCATCGCTTCTACCCAGGAATTGGACACCTTGGGTGGCAGGGTCCATACGAATGTAGTCGCCTTGATGCCACACACCTTTGGGGTAATCAGCTTTATCCTCGTCTTGGGGTTTTGGGTTGGGAGCGTCATCACTCTTACCAGGAAACCGCTCAAAGTACGCGGAGCGATACCGTTCACCACTTTCATCACCCCAAAAGAATGCTGGCTGTGACGGGAATGGCGCCGTACACACCAGCTCTCCAGGCTCGCCGGTCGACTCGATTGCCTCTCCCTCATCCGAGTAGATTTGCACTTTCATCCCCAAGGTTCGTGCCTGGCACCAGCCAGCATAGACTGGAATATTGGGTGCACCGCCCACAACTGTTTGATTCCTGATTAGCGACGGCACGAGGATTCAGGGGAAGTCTGTAGGCTCTCACAAGCTCCTGCGATGTCTGTACCGCCCGCGATACTGCTCAGCTGCACTGGGCCGAAGGTTTTGTAGACATAGTAGTATTGTTGCTCAGTGAGAACGGATCCCGTACTTGTGATCACCTTCAAGGCATCCATGTTGGGTAAGCCTTCTTTCTTGAGGCCAGCCTGTTCAACAAGTGAAAGGTAGTGCGCGCTGGTCCCGAAGTGAGTTACTCCCTGGCTGGAAAGGATTCGGAGAAATCCCACCAGGCTCGGCTTCATAGGTGAGCCATCGTAGAGAACCGATCTTGCGCCACTCAGCAAGCCCGAAACAGAGTAAAGATACATGATCCAGTTGGTCTATTGGGGCCCAGATGTCAGTGATAGATGCCAAACCCGTCTCCATAGATGATCCACTCCCTACCGTTGTATATTGAAAGTAGATACTGCTAGTGTTCATATCGATGCACAGGATTTGTTCCACCTTCTGCTTTAGCAGAACACCTCCGAGGGTGTGGACAAGGCATTTGGGCTGCCCGGTCGTCCCCGAGGAGTACACGATGATGAGTGGGTGCGAAAATCCCAGTTGTGCAAACACCAGCTGCTCAGACACCCCGGCGGTGAATGCCTCGACGCTCTGGAAATCTCGATGAGGTCGATCGGGGTATTTATCACCAAAGCGTGGCACCACCACCACGGCCTCCAGACCGCCCTGGGCCCTCAGACTGGTTGCCACGCGGCGGGCCTTGTCTAAACAGGGAATTCGCTTCCCGTTGTATAGAACCCAATCATCGGCAAACAGGATCTTGGGTCGCACCTGCAGGAAACGGTCCAAGATGCCCTTTTCGCCCATTTCAGGCGAACAACAACTAAAGATGGCGCCAATTGAAGCCGCGGCCAGAAAAAGGGCAAAGGTGAAAATGCTGTTGGATCCAATGCAGACCACACGGTCGAGTTTCCGCACGCCGGCTCGAGACAGGCCATTCGCCAATCGACCGACTCTGTTTCGCAGCTGGGAGAGTGTAACATGTTCGATCTCGTCGCCTCCTTCTCGGACGCCCGTCAGGATCGGGGCGTTCGACTGGTCCCCAGCAACATAAGCGGACTCGAGGATGTTCTGTGCGAAATTCAACCGCGCTTCTGGGAACCAGGCTGGTGTCGGAGTCAATCTCGTCACGTCTGAAGGCGCAATGGCGTATGAAGGGTGCACCGATGCTTGGACGCGCGTAAACTCCCACACCAGCATCCAAAATTCGTTCAGGCATTCTGTCGACCATTTCCACAGCTCGTGATAGTCGCCTGCAGACGCACCACAAGGTAGGTTTGTCAGCCAGGCGGGAGCATGAGGAGCGACTCCTTCATTCGACCTTACCGAGAGTCAGATGGTGCCTTTCCTGCGCGAGGCGTCGAAAAGCCTCGATGCTCGTGGATGCAATATCGGGGTGCTCCCAGAGCTTCACTAATTGGCCCGACATCTTGTGACCCAGCTACGACCGTCTCGCTCTCACAGTTGACTCCAAGTTGTACGGAGTACAAGCCACTCGCAAGTTAGATGTGTTTTGAATCCTTTGGCGCCGGGGAGAAAGGAAGTCGGACCCTGGAAGCTCTCCGGCCCGGGGTCGGTCACGGGCTCGGCAAAGGCTGCCGGCTTCGGCAGAGAGCGACAGTCCCGAATTGGTAAGGCTTCGCCATGAGTGGGACCTCCCTCGGACCCATGGGGACGAGGCAAGGCGGGGTAAGAAACGTATGGGGCACCAGATTGGAGGGTACTCTACATGCCTGTCAAGCGATCCCTCAGAAGATTCCGATCATCTCATATCAATTCATATCACATGAAACAATGAAGCACCGGCATCTACGTGGACGTTCACCCCTGTGATACCCGACGCCCGAAGCCCAGACAAGAAGCAGACTCTTTCCGCAACTTCCTCAGGGAATGTCAGACGTTTCATCGGGCTCTGTGCTTTGGCTCCCTGGTAGAATTCCGATGCGCAGTCCGACGGATATGTAGCAAAGGCATGAATACTTATAGATGGGTCCGACAACACTAGATGAATTTATATCGTGGCGTTCAGAAGCAACTGGCTAATCTTCTAAAACTGTCGTGAGCCGGATGACCCCTTCTGAGTAGCAGGTGATCATCCACGAACGTATGCTCAGAATGTAAAGAGAAATCCATACGTTCTAGTTCTTTGATATGGCGGGGAAAATGTCTCTATATCTCCTGCTTCAAATTCACTCATAGAGGCAGTCAGGAAATCCCAACATACCTCGCTACTGGCGATCCACTGCATCTATTCACCCAACTCATTCCCGACAATTAGCTCTCACCACAACTCGGAGTTTTTTTAATCGCTTGACAGCCTTTTACGGATCTTGTCGCTAGTCAGATTAACCTGTTGCATCGCCTGGGTCTTCTTAGTTATGGTCTTTTGAGGAGCGCCGTCAGATTGTCGGCGACTATCAGAGATATGATTCTGTCCAGACTTAGCAACCCACCGCTATACGCGCTTCCAGAAACTGATAACTCACGAATGTGGGGCAATTCTCATGAAGTAAGTCCCAAAGCCTCGATAGAATCGCAGGAGTCCTTCTTCTCGAAACACGCGAAGAAAGCAATCCGAGACCCCAGCGTAGGCCGGCGGTCCCCGCGCGTTGGTCGACTGTTGTTGGAGCCTCGTTTTCACAAAGTCCAGGGGCATGCTAAAGAAGGCCGCAAAGAACCCTGCCACGGTTGAAGCCGCCACCACGCGCCCCTGTTCGGGGATCCTGGAAATCTTCCCGAGCTGGCTCTTTGTTTCGGAAAAGAAAGCGAGCTGGCCGAAATTCGTGCACATCGCCCGGACCACGGTTGCTTTGGCGCCCGTCCACAGTGCCAACAGACCCTCGTTCTGGACAATGCGGCGCAACGCATCGAAGACGGACCGATAGTTCGCTTGCAGTTCCTTCGGTCTCATGCCGTCGGATTGCATTCGAATCAACCCGACTTCTGTGGGATTTCCGATAAAAGCCCCCAAACCACCGGCGGTGATTCCTGCCACAGCACGCTCCCGGAAGGTCACCTCCGTCCCTCGCTCCCTTGCGCGGCGCTTGAGCATGTCTTCAAACGTAAAGAAAAGCCCGAGTCGGCTGGTGCCATAAACCACTTGGCGCAGGAGCGCCGCCGACAGGCCGGAATACAACTCGAGGAGTCTGCCATGAGCGACAATGTCTCGAGCCACCGTGAAGGGGCTGACACTTGGCCCACTTCTGCTTCCTGCCCCAATCAACTGAAGCCGGACCTTGACCATATCGACGGGTTGTAGGCATATCGTCGCGATGGACCCTGACAGCCCGCCGATGATGAACGGGAGTGCCGTCTTATAAACGACGTTGTTGGCGAGGCTCGAATTGACCGGCTGAGATGCGTCCTTTTCTGAGGGTGCGTTGTTTTGCTTGAGGCTCGCCTTCTGTCGTACAGCCTCCATACCCGCATCTGGCCCCCTCAGAACAATTTCACTAAGAGCTAATAGCTGATGCCACAGAATTGAGGCCCTTTTGTGGATTTTTTGTAAGGTTCAAGACATCATTCAACGCCCTCCTCGAAGTCTCCATTACCGGTCGCGGCATGTTGGGAGCGCCGCGTCTCTCTGTACTCCGATCACCAACTCCGCAGACGACCTTTCAGAACTCTCAAGCGGAGAAGCATTCTCGGACAACGATCTGCGAACCACGGTCTTCTCACCTGCGAGTTTTCATGGGGTAGAGAACCAATTGGTTGTCTGCAGAGGCTGGAGTGACCAGACCTGATCCCTCGGGCCGACGGCGTGATTTGCAGTATGATACACCATGCCGGACTCGGCCGGCCGTACCCACTGCTGCTCCACACGCCAAGAGCCATGAATGATGAATCTATTTCTCCAATCATGGCAGCCTCGGCCGTTCAGCCTCGCTGTTGCTCTGCTTCGTAGTATGTGTCGTGTGGCATAGTCCTGTAGGAGAGCCTCG